ATTAATACTTATAATTAGGCCCTTCTAGAATATCTTAAAGTATTTGGCTATATAGCCTACTGATTATTAAGGACCTGGTTAAAGCTTACTTATAAAGTAGAGCAATTGGTAGATAGAGTATACCTAACTTAAATCATATATTAGTACTTATTAAACTATAATAATATTGCTATTAGTATTAAAAAGAGGACCCCTTTTTAATAATAAAGTTTAAGGAAGGGGCAGTAGTAATAAGAGGGCCTATTTATATTGCTTATTTAAGCTATAGCCTTTAGCGCAAGCAGCTAAACAATAGTAAATATAGGTATCCTTAGGCCTATATATCTATTAGGCATCCTTTATAGAATAGACTTAATATTTTTTATTATAAAGCTGGCAGGCTATATATCTATCTTTCTTAAAGAGTTATTTACCTAACTTGGTCTCTATAATATAGCTGATATAACCAATATCATACTATTTGTTAGGGTTAAAATATTCTAAGTCTTTTTATCTAAAGGATTACCACTTCCTAATAGCTATAGGGGTATATGCCTTTATTATTTTATCTCTGGGGGTCTATATTTAAGGTAAATATGGCTAATCGGCTGTTTAAGACTAATTATATTATTTTTATATAAGACTAAGAGCAGGTATAATAATATTTAGAGAAGATAGGGTTATAATAATAAAAATTATAGGTATTAAGGATAGAGTTTTATTATAAATATATTAGTATCTATCCTTTTTTAATAGTATTATTACTTATAGAACTATCTCTAGATTATTATCTAAAATAGGCCCAGCAAAATTATTATTATTATTATTATTATAGTTTATTTTAGCTATAAAAAGTAGATTAAAAATCTGTAGTAGGTTTTTTAATAATAGCAAGAGGGTAGGTAACAGTAGACTTAGAGATAGGGGAGGGCTAAATTATATATTTAATTATTCTATTCTAACTCTGCTAATCTGCTATTATTTTAACTAACTAATAAAGATAAGGTAGGAGAGGAGGGCTAGATATTAGATATATTAGTCTTATTTAATAATATCTGGAGCTAATATATTTATATAGGAAAAGGCAAGGCTCTACTTTAAATTAGAGAGCTTCTCTTAGAATTATTATAATAGCAGCTAGTATATCTCTCTTATTAAAAGAGACTATAATAGGATAGCTAAATACTTAAATTATAGGAGAGCAGGCTATCTTAAAGTTTATTATTTTAAAGAAAAAGAGAAGGGGTTAGAATTATATAGGCATATTTATTTCTACTTAAATAAAGCTGATATTTAGTGAATCTATTATATTATATTATATAAACATATATTTTTATTGGCTAAGGATAACCCAGTAATTCTTAGAATAATCTAGCAGTTTTTAAGATAATCTAAAAGTCTTTAAGATAATCTAAAAGCTGGCATAAGTTTAGATATATCCTAATAAGACTCTTTATCCTAATATCTATATTATTACTCTTTTAATATTAAAAAGTTCTCTCTCTTAATTATTATTAAAGTCTTAATCCTTTTATTTTTTATTATAAGCATTTATATAAGCTTTTTATTAGGACTCTATTCTTATAAAGGTTATTGCTTAACTAGAGTTTCTAATATTTAATTAATCTATCTCTTCTAAGAAGGGGTCCTTAAAAGAGATAATGATTTAATTTATATATTAGCTGTCCCTTTAGTTAATCTATTTGATAAATTACCTAGTCTATTTAATTTATATAGCTCTAGAGATATTTCTTGTAATAATATTATTAGTATCTAAACTAATAAGCAGGGGATTAAATATTCTGCTTATAATTTTTTAGCTGTAGTTTATCTTATTAATTATATAGTAAGAGAATTATCTTTCTGTTAAATAAACTTGGCATATCTTTCTCTTATATTAAGGGAGATATCTGACTAATAAATATCTTTATATTGCTAGTTCTGGTTTTAAATCTAAGCTAACCTCCTTATTATATATAGATTATTAATTTTCTGAACTATATATTATAATTATTAGATTAAATTATTATTATACTATTCTTTAAATCACTATTTTTTAACTAATAGAGCTTATATAATAAGCTTATTAAACTCTGCATTAAAGGTTATCTTTTTTAAGCTATATAAGGCTGATAGTTGCTATTAGTAGTCCTGGCTTATAAAAATAGTAGATATTATAAGGAAATATTAATTTAGGTAAGGATATATTAACTCTACTTATAAAGTGGCCTATTAATTAAATAATTCTAGTATAATACCTGCGCGACTTCTGTTATATAATTTCTTTATAGGTTTTTCTTCCTCTAAAGGTATAATAAATATTAGGATCTATAATAGATTATATTTATTATAATAATCCTATGCTAATAAGAGTAATATTTTAATATATAGGGATATCTTATTCTTACCTAGATAAGATAGAAATACTTTCTAATAATAAGGCCTATTAATAATCTGCTTCTAATAATTAGGAAGTTTAGATTAAGTTTCTATCTCTTTTTAATTCTAATATCTCTTTTTAAGTATAAGATCTTAACTTCTTATAAAGATTAATAATAAGATGCTTTTAGTATTATTAATATCTTTTAATATAATTGACTTAGTTAATTAGGTATATTAAGACTATAGCTTTAGAGTTTAAATAATTATAGGAAATAATATCTGCTTCTTAAGTCTATCTATATTCTTTAAGTTAAATATCTAATATAGAAGTATAATATAATCTTTACTTATTTAACCCTTTTTATGGCTATTATATCTTATTTATTACTAGATATTATAGATATCTAAACTAATTGGGAACTTCTAATTAATAATATGCTTAATATTAGGTATATTAATTCTTATTCTAAGGGCGGTTATTGTTATTATAATGCGTATTTTTGATAAAGCAGATTTAAATTTATTAAAATAAATCCCTTAGTTATAAGATGAAATATATAAAATAAAGGTCTAGATCACTAAATTAACTGAATAAAGGCTGTCTTTTATCTTTAAATACTGATGGTTAGATGATAATAGTGTAGTCTTTATTAAAAGTATTTAATAAAAATATTCTATTGCTATTTTAATCTTCTAAATATTATTTATAAAGATAATTGTTTTTAATATTTATTTAGGTATTGCTTTATTATCTTTAACAGCATTATTTAAAAAGAAGTATAATGCCTTAAAAGAAGATAACTTCCTATATAGAATAGGTAGGATATAAATAAATATATTCTTCTAATTAATAGAGGTCCAAATAATTTTTATTTAATAGGGTTAATCTCTAATAGCTTTAAAGCCAGCTCTTTAAATAATTGCTTTCTTTTTATCTTTAATAAATATTATAGAATAGCTAAATTAAATAATATTCTATTTTAAAAGCAATTATAATTTGCCTAATATAGTAAATTTAGGTTAGAATATCTCCTATTATATAATAAGATAGCATTTATTAATTGTTATAAGACTAATTCTAGCTTATATTTTTGGCCTTAATAATATATTTAGGAAGACTTTCAATATGGCTTATTTAGGGCTCAGAAGTATATATATATATATGCTAGCTTTAATATTTTGAATAAGATCTTAATTCTATTATTTAGTCTTATTATTAATAATATATAGGTTTATCTTATAGAGCCTTTTAATATCTTATATTTGCTCCTTAGCAAGCTTATTTAGAGGGATTATTTAAAGAGTTATCTTCCCTATTAAAATTGAGAAAGAATAAAGAATAAGACTCTTTCTAAATCTTATCTATATAATAAGAAGAGTATTATTATAGCTATATATTAGTCAACAAAATATTCAAATCTATTCTAGATATAGGGAATGCCTAGATACTAGATTTATCTCTTTAAGTATATATTTTAGATAAGCTTCAATTATATAATACTGCTGAGGGATATTATCTTCTTTAATAAAAGCCTTTATTACTAATAGTAAGTTATTAAGCTTTATCTTAGGTATTTTAGCTAATATTAAAGTAAAGGAATCTCTTATTGCTATTTAAAGTTATATATTTTTATAAAATTTATATTATCAACTTTATTTATCTTTCTCCTTTATTTTTTCCTTTTTTACTATATGGCCTAGGAGTTTATAGAGGTTTAAAATAATCTTATTTATTAATTTAAGAATTTGCGGAAGTTCAGATATAAGGTTAGATAATATGTTTAAGCGATATTAAGTCTTTAGAATAGCCTAGAGGTTAATGGTGAGCTTTTATAAAATCTAACCTAAATACTTTAACGCGATAACTCGATATCAGCAAATTATCTTAATATCTTAATATATATATGAATCAATAGATAATTACTAGCTAAATCTATAATATTTAACTCTAATTAAATTAGTTAATAATTAGTAGAGTTATTTATTGTTGAAGTTTAATAATACTATTTAAAGAGGGTGAAATTGGTAAGTTTTATTAACAAATTATAACTATTTATTCTCAGACGCTTACTAAAGAATTTTCTTGTGACTATTATATTGGGTTTAATATAGCCGCTTAAATATTATTGGCTTAGTATATTAAGCTAGTTTGCACTAGTTCCTAAATAGTATAGTTAAAGCATTAAACCTTTGGCGAGCGTCTGAGCTTGTTGAGATAAATGGCGCATAGCCTCACGGCTAGAATCGTCTTCGAATTTTTCTTCTCTTTATACAGTAATTCGCCCTCGAGTGTTTTTAGAGTGCAAATTCTATCTCGTTGCGTCCAGGCCATCGATAGCTGCTTTGACTGTTTGCGGGGATTTAAAGAGAAAAGCTGGAGGGTCACGCGCAGCCCCGTGACAACGTGATCACAAGCTTCAACGTTATTCTTCAGAACATGTCGGCCGTTTAGTAGCAGTGCTGCTGCAGTAGTAACAACACTCGCCAGCCACGCATCCCATTATCGAGTCGTGTATCAGTCCAACTTTAGAAACGGACAGATATTGCAGATCTCGTGTTTACATGGTTATCTCTTTTTTTATCCAGCTGGTAGGTAGGGATCTGCGAGGCATCGCACGGGGATATTGCAACATGACCTAATGGGCCTGGACAACTCATCAACGAAGGATCGCAAACGGTCTCATGACAAGAACAATGACAGCCTCAAGAGATGGATCGGCATCTGGGTGAAGATGAAGTGTTCCAGGAGCGGACGATCTTTAGATCGGAAAGCCTCTCCTGCGATCCCCGCAGCAAGGCACCCCTGACTCGTCCGTGAGAAGTCCAGGCTAAAAGTAGATCATGTTCTGTCCTGGACGCGGTAGAATGAGAATTACTGCACAATAGTACATACTCTGTAACTTGAACTCCAGCTCAACCTCCTCCATTCAGCCGGACGAGGAGAGAACGAGGCGACAAAGGCATCCGTGATAGGTGAGGATCATCGTGGAGTTGGCCACTGGAGACAAGAGTTCAGCCATCAAAAATCCGGGGGAACCGTTGGATCGTTGTGGCTCATGAGTTCGGCAGCCGAAACAAGCCATCGGATGATGCCCAGCAAATAATCGCTTCAGTAAAGTTCAGTTACGCTGGTAGCAGACAGGCGCAGTGCAGTGGCTATCTAGTTATCCTATTCCGCGCAGGATGAACGAGTCGTAGCCAACGGCGGAAACAGCAATGTGACAATTCTGGACGACGGGGCGCTGACAGCCACTGGTCTCATGTGCGACTATACAAGAGAGCAGGAGACTGCGTTTCAGCTACACGACCATCTCTGGAGTATCTATCTTCGTTGAACGGTGTGCTCACTGCTCAGAAGGAGCGGGAACCAGGCAAGGAGCAAAGTACTCCGTAGTGGTGAAGCTGATCCTCCGGGAATATGCCGTAGGAGAGAAGAAGGCATCTGCTGCTCCCCACTCCTGCGTAGGCCGTATGGTAGACTAGATACCAGTAACTAGTAGTACTCTAGTTTCCCTCGCTACGACCAGACTATGGTTTACCTGGTTTACCATAGCCTGTAAGTATGTACTGTATGTAATGTAATGGAGACGGTAACGGAGCACGACGGAAACAGACCGGTAAAAATACGGTATGTTATGACGGAAATAAATAACGGTACTGACGGACCGACGGGGTACATCGGGAGTTTCTCCCCAAGGGAGCAGCCAGAACTCGCCGGACCCGACCAGACCCATGGGCTTAGCACTAGTGCCTTACCGCCCTCCCCACCTCCTTCACGCTGAGGCACAAGAACCTGTCCCTCGGTATCGTCGTCGGCTTGCTTAGCGCGGGTGGCCATTTTCTGCACCTTCGCCCCCAGGTAACTTAACCACCCTCGTATCGTACGCCACGGTATCAAAACCACTCGTCCTCCCCATCCCTCTTCGTCGTCATATTCCCCCATATTCCCCTACATCCCCATTACTCCGTACTCTTCTCTTCCTCTCTCTTACTCTCCAACTCTATCTCTCCATTCCTCCTCTAACCCACATACCTTCCTTTCCCGTCTCAATCACTCTCCCTCGACAATCGACACCTGCTCACCTCACATTCCCTGCCGATCTTTCACACCCGGACCACCGTTAATCGGCAGTATACTTTTGTGTGTGGTGTCTGCAGCGTGTTTTAACGCCAACAAGAATCACAGGGAGAACTTGTTTGTTCGCCACGGCGATTTCCTCCTCCTTACTCCCTCATCAACGGGGGATTTTCATCTGGTGCGAGCAATACACGCCAATTCACAGTTCTAGCGCCTCTGCTTAGCGGCGAGAGAGCTTTTCATCTTGGGATCCACACCGAACTACTACCACAGACAAACATCTGCCTGTCGTCTCTATAGACGACTTTCGCGCAACAGATCGACTGTTGTGAGCCCAAGGAAGTTCCAGACGGGAAGTTCTTCCATAGGAAAGAGAGTTATCACCCACACTTGACGCGCCGTACGGTTACGCTCGGGGAAGACGGCGGCCCCAACACGATCACGACTTTACACCTTCCGACGACAACGTCGGTTCTAGACACTACTTCCCACAGACGGAATTGTGGCTTCGATATCATGCCTTCACGACTATCTACACCCGTCCTCACGGTGGACGCCGGTAAAATCCGCAAGGTCGACACGGCCAGTGTACAGAGCCTCCACGGGATGTGGATGGGTGAGTTGTCCATCCCCCTGGTGCTCTGGTAGTAAGGGTCTGCTGACATGTGATATTCAGTTTTCTCGAAATGTGCAGACTACATGGAGGAGGGCAGACGACTGGAGAACCTGAGCTGGCGGCTCTGGACCCGGGAGACTTTCTGTGTCGAGCCGGAAAGCGAGTGCGATACCTCCGTTCTGCCACTCCTGCGCCAGGAGGCTCCTGATGTCCCTGAACTCTCCGCAAGTGTCGAGTCTGCAGCATCCGACCAGGCGGAGAGAATCGAGTCTCACATCAAGCGACCCAGGACCCTCGAGCACAAGCCCACGGTTGTGAGCGATGATTACAGCATTCGCACGGGAAAGGAGAAGCACATCACATCTATGGGTCTTGAGAGGATGGTCCTGAACATCAAGGAGAAGAAGAATCTCGAGCCACTCTCACCTATCATGACGCCGGTGGATACTACATCTGTGGTCGATGTCACTCCCAGACCTTCTTCGCCCACCCCGTCGCCAACTCCCTCGCCCGCTACCGTTGCTCCCTCGATGCAGACCGCACATGCGCCCGCTCGTCCCACTCCCGTCAGACACCCCCTTCAGTCCACGGAATCGTGCTCGACCACAGCACCCGAGGCTAACGACAGCGATGCTGCGGTGACTGCCGGTTCCGATACCAGCATATCGTCCGATGCTATTCCTACGGCGAGGCCGGGTCTCGCCAAGTCTCCTAGCATCGTACGCGGATTCTCCCCTTCCCAGATCTCTGCATCGTATCGATCGCAGGCGAGGCTTGCAGCGGAACCCAGTCCCGCGAAGACGTCACCAGAACCTACTCTCAAGCCGTCGCCACTGATGAAGAGGAAGGGAGGGATGTTCACACTGGGCGGATCATCTGGTGACGATGAGAGCTCCTTTGAAGAGCGTATGGCGTCGCCGGCTCCTCACCGCAGCTCCCTCGCGGAGGAGCTGCAGAAGCCTGCTTCTACTACTCCAAGCCCGAACAAGAAAGTGGCATCGTTCAAGGACACGGTCGAGACAAGGCGCATCAAACCCATCAAGGAGATTGGTCCTGAGGATGAGGATGCCATTGAGACGGAAGACGAAATCTCAGAGAGCGCTATCGAAGACGACGAGGATTCATCTGATTGGGAAGACTCGGTGACAGAAAGCGGACGATCGAGCGTTGACGACAAGGAACTTTTCCAGCGCGTCGACTCGCGACCAAACCTTGTGTCCCGCCGTTCCCTCTTGACGATGATGATGCACCAACCCGAAAAGATGGGATCCCGATCGACACCAGCTCTTGCACGCTCCCGTCTCTCCTCGCCCAATGGTCCGTCCATCCCCACGTCTCCCCCGGAAGAGGATGAGGAGAGCCTCACCATGCGTGGTCCTGACGTTCCTCGATCGAAACCCATCATTGTGAGGCCTACTGCACAGCAGCCAGTGGCTCATTCCCCTCGCACTACCAGGCGAAATATGCTTGCCACTGAGCTTACCGAATCTCTTCGTCGACACCTCCTTTGGGAGCGTCAGCAGAAGAGTGCTACCGCCAATGCTGTTTTCAAGCGTCGACACACAGCTCAGGACATGGCCAACCTGCGGGAGTATCCAGGCCCAAAGGGGTCCCAAAGAAACCAGAAACCTGGACAGGATCCCTCCCAAGCAAAGGACAAGGATACCAGTTCATGGACCAATTACAATGACTACGGACCATGGGAGTACCACGCCAAAGGATGGTAGAACAAACTGTTCTCAATATGCGTGGACATCTAAGTCACTGCTCCTAACTGCACATATACTTTTCTCCGTGGCCCATTTTCATAATGAGCGTGAGATGAAGACGTATCTATCTCAGCTTCATCCTTTTCTTCGAATGGTCGCTGTCATGATTTCGGATGTGGTCACATGGCGCACAACAAAACAAAAAAAGTCTTGCTACTTTGGGTCACTATACACGACACTGCATTGCGTATTGGCGAATCTGTTTCCTCCATATTTATCCATCTCATGTTTGTGTGTTTTTCACTCGCATTGCGCGGCAGTCTGGGTTTGCTGTTGTGTTAGAGGGTGCTCGAGTAGCGCACCCTCCGATTCCCCCTACTTCATTCTTGTACGAACTCTTAGGTCTTTCCTGCATGTCATCGCAAGGGTTCTTTCATGGAGGTTATGGTGACATATCACGGATCTGGGTGGGCGGCGGTTTCTTCTGATTACCGTTTTCTCTTCCTTGTTTACGTGGGTTGGCTTTATGATACTGCATGGGACTCAGGACCTCATCGTCATCATATTTTCTACTGATTGCACCCTCTTAGTGGTGCGTGACGTATTATTATGTCTCTTTGTTTTATACCGGATACCACTTGTGTTTTTCTGCCTCGGCTGCTACCGCGCCACATGGCCTTCTGATGTATGTTATCGAATTCAGAGAGAAGAAACAATGTCTTCAAAACCATCTATTCCACATAATCGCTGTTCTATTGTAGGTAATAAGTGTACTTCAGTGGAGACAAGCATTCTAGTCTGCAGCCCGCGACACCAGAACGAACGCGGGCCTCGCACCCACAGACCGTAGTCTCATCGAGGCGCACAAAATAAATCTATTCTTCCCCTCGTGATTATCAATTATTCCAAGGTATCCGGGCTGAAGAATCCCGCATTCCCCCTTGTTGATCAAAGCTGAAGTTAGCTGAAACGAAGATTACGGCCCTGTGATCCTCTCCTCGGACTCTGTGCTATCGAAGGCCTCCCAAGCTCTTTGTCTTCAAGAGGTCGAGTCATCATCGCATTGCCATTACTTAATATTACTACTCAGCTCTTTACTAACCTCGATACGGTCCTTGTTGCCGTCGACTAACACACCAGTTTCCATGCATGCGATAATCATCTACCCCTGGTGGTTTTACTGGTGCTGGTGCTGGTCGTGGTTGCGATGAAGGGGTGTGTGAGTGGTAACTTAGGTAGGTAGCGATGAGCAGGGATTGGGACTAAGCCCAGTAAGATCTTGTTGCTACTTGTCTGTTTCCTAGGTTATTATTGTTATTTGATTTCGGACTTCAGGTCGGGTCTAAGTAAGTAAGTACCTAGGGTTGGTTGTTTTGTTCCTCGGTATCGTGACTACTACTACCTACTTATCGCCGGAGTGCATATTCACGTGCAAGTGGTTTTTTAAAACCAGTTAGGTAGTTAAGTTACTTTGTAGGTATATTAGGTCTATGGGTGGTCTATGTAACTGATGCGCTGTCCTGGCGAGGTGCGGCGCATGCACATGCTTTCCCCCTCCCCGGTCTAAGCTTTTCGGGCTTGGTTTTCACTGTTTTTTGCCTTTCTTTCATCCTTGGGAAAGGGTATCGTGTCTAGGCTTCGTTAGGGGTCGAGTACTGTCTGCCTGGAAGCAAGTGAGCGACATACCGATCGCTGAAATGAATGGGATGCGGATGTGCTGGCTAGTCAGTGGTAGGGCTGGTCTTGGATGGGTTCATCCGGGATTAAATTGCTACTGTAGACTATGTTTCGTGCTCAAGGTTGCAGGCGGGAGGGGGAGAGAGAGAGAAAAGATGACCTTCCTCTTTCGGGAATATCCTTCGGGATACCTAGGTACCGTTGATGCTTATGATTATGTGATTAGCTGCGATTTGATTGATACTGTTGTTATCTTGTTAATGTCCACACTGGCGACCGCCCCCCCCAAAAGCATATCGACTTAGATAGCACGGGAGATGTCTATCTATGGTATTGTAACTGCAACGCAGGAAGCAGTGGGTGGTATCCACCCGAGATCCTCCAGCTATGGCATTTCTATCGAGCACATGGCCCTTGACACGGCAGCAGGTGGATGATAAGACCTGACTCCCAAGTCATTTCTCGCATGGATGATGCCATGTTGATGGGACTTAGACTTGCGAGGGGCGCCAACGGTAATAACGCTCGCGTGGTAAGATCAATCAATCAATCAATCAATTGTACAGTACCCGTAGAGACAGACAGCTTCCGCTCTGAAGCTATTTGTCTTACCATATCCAGAGATCACTCTCCGCATGACACCCAATGGTCAATATGCGGGAATCCGGGCGCCCTTTACCGGGGTAACGTGAGATGTTAATTTTCTCAAAAAAAAGGCCCCCAAAATACCATATGGAAAGCTGCAGTCAGCCGGAGCACTCGGTGGGTGTTCCTGGCGCTTACAGATCGGTTTGTCTTGAACGAGAGCTTGCTTGCTTACTTCGATCGTTACAGACGCCCCGTCGGAAGTTCGGTTGTTTACGTCAAGTTGTCATGAGACTCACCTGAATCCTGCCTGGCTGGGGAGTACCTGACTGAAACATGAAGTTATCCCCGTTCTGCTTGGTATACTCGGTAGATCATGATGGAAAGTACCAGATCTATCGATCATGATACGTTCGACTTTTCCCATTTCCAACAACGTGAAAAATATACATTGCCACTTTGTCGCATTATCTTGTTTCTAGCAATTGGGATGGTCCTGTCTCAGTTGGAGAAAAGATACAATCGCGGAAGATCGGAGATCGAACGATGGTGGATGGGGATAATACGTCATCGTAGACTTGCCCATATGGGGGGAATGCCGCGCAATGAACCATAACAGCAGACACAGCAAACACCCCAATGCTTTTGTCTCCTCTTCTCTAATTCATCATTTCCCCGGGTGATCCAGTCCATAATTGCAAGTGTGGAGAATGACGTTTAAAATAAATCGACATTGAAAGAGCTTCGAAGCGGTCAAAGTGACCAATAGAATGTGGAGAACACAAGAAGGTAGTCTTGAATTTCCTTGTTTCCAACAACCCGTCACCCATTCACTGTTGGAGCTATGCATCGAAAGAGCTCTGGGGAAGGGTCTTCAATGGATTTCTAATGTTGACACAATTATGAGTTACGATTCTCCCTGTATTGGGGTTTGTATCGAGTGAGATCTGAACGATTCATTACGGACCGGTGTAAAGTATACCTGTACACTACATCGCTGTCTCTGCTTGGAAAAGAATTAACTCCGATAGAGTATTACCTGGCTTTACTCTGTATTTTGCGAGAAATACGATATATATATGCTTTCAATACATTTTGGTTGCAAACGGCTAACCTGATGATTGTGTGGGAGCTCTGAAGTATACGAACACTCATACTTGTAGATTCTGCTTTAACCTCCAAGTTCAGAGTGATTAACTGGATATCTTATTGGGAAGAATATCCCCGTGGCTCAGCCAGGAAGGTATACTTAGAACTTCACCTTGTAAATCCTGTATACTTCAATGACCACCACCCAAATTCAAATACGTCTCAATACTCGGTTTCACGAATAGCTTTGTATTCTGATAAAGAGTTTCCTCTAGGAACACATCTGTATACACATATCTAATCTGTCATGATCGCAAATACAAAGCAGAACACCTCCCATTATCGTTGCAACAGACCAGTCCTCGTGATGAATGAGTTGTTCTTTTTCTTTTTCCTCGTTCATAATTATGAGTATACTTCCACATGAAGGTTTAAAAAGAAAAGGAGAATCGACTAACTATGTCCACATGCCTCGCTTCCAGGCAGCTGCCTCTCTCCTATACCCGCATACATGCATCGTCAGCCACTATAGCCACCATGTAAGGCAGGTAATGTCCTAACCCTCATGCTCTTCCTGGGATAATAATAAAATAATTTCTGCATGACGCAGCACCTACAGCCGATCAATTACTCGCAGCGGGACTCCGTCCAGTCAATAGCTACCTATCTAGAAATCATCATCGCGTTAATAATAAACACAGTTAATATTAACAGACGCCTCATGTTAAGTTTAGACTACGCGGCCTTTCATGCATCCTGTCAAGAGATCAATTCACATTTAATTTTTGTTTTTATTTCTTGATGAGGGGTGGTGATGATGATGGTGGTAGTGGTCATATTCGCTCCTCCCATCTAAGTACCGGGGTCTCCTCATTCCCGTTCAGGTGACTGCTTTGTTGTCCAGCGGAGATCCAACCACCGGGCACCCGTGGCGGTGATTACTAGAGTAGACTAAAATCAATTCGGGATAAGATTGATGTATGTATTGTACATCTACTTCTGATTTTTCTTTTTTTCTATCTCTGATGGGGGAAAGAGGCGCAGGATTAAAAAAAAAATCTACGAGATCCACGTGGGCAATGTTGCGAAGACGAAAAAAGGATATACAGTAGTGATTATTTCCAAGTTCCAACAGTGATTGAAATCGAGAGTGAGGGGCATTATTGCGGGGTGCACTCCGTACCTAAGAATCTAGTGCTTACTTACAGCACCGGACGTAAGACCCGCGCGTTGGCGGGGTAAGTAGTGGTGTATGCTCGATGAGAATGACCTTATTCTTCTACCTATACTGAAGCGGCAAAAGAATTAAGCAAGGGCGCGCCACAAAATGACTCTTTCTTCTTATCCGCGGGTACGTACTATAGTACTGTGCTATAATACTCCGTTGAACAAGTATGTCATGAGTTTGGAGCAGATTAGCAACTGCTCTACTACCTAGGTAAGTCAACAGCGCCCGTGTTGTCATAATCCTTATTATTATCTGGCTTCATACATCTCATCCGTCATGAGGGACAGGAACTTAAACCCGTCTAACTATCACTTCTTGTGTATCTGCTTACTTGAATAGCGAAGTCAAAAGTCAAAGACGGAAAAGCAAGACTATTGACTTCTTCAGGCTGGTCACACCCCCTCCAACGATGAACTTCGAACCTGGTTGGACGCTCAGACATAATCTGTATTCTGCAGGCGTTGCATTTCCCGACTTCCGCGAACGTAGCGCCTATAACATGCTAAAACATGGACGAATAGGAATTTTTTTTGCTTTTTTTGTTTCTTCTGTTATTCAAGTAAGGGAAGATTTCAGATTTGTGGCTGAGACGGAGGAAAAAGGCTGGAGTTTATGGCGTGGGCATAGACCTAGGCATGTGAGGGGGTTTTTTCTTTTCTCTTGATGATCTTTATTTTCCTTACGTTGTTTGTCTCTTCGCTTTGATTGCGACAGCAGTAGAAGAGAGAGGCTCTTTCTCTCTTCAGATGGATGCCTCGGTAGAGGTAACCTATTTTTGCTTTCGTCGTAGACTCTGTTGTATAGCCAGAGATTGCTGCCTTACGAGCGAAAAGGACCGCGTTCCCCTCCCTTCGCCCCTCTATGAGACTTCTTCGATAAACGGAGTTATCCATACAGTTCAGTTCATAGTAGTATTCTGAATCGTATTCCGTCGCTTACTCTCCTCCCAGTACTGTATCCCGCGAACTCTCTATATGAGGAAAACGCTTCGGATAACTAACTAACCAGTACTAGTTACCGCTGTCAGGTTCAATTATTCATCTTGCTATGACGGTGCAGTGCAGTGTGTAATTAGGGCACCGTTGCAACAGCCTGACCGTTAGAAAAACTCAAAAGGAAGAAGCATTTATGCGTGTATCTTGAAGCCAGGTAATAATTACGACTCGTATTCAGAGGATTAGGGCACAGTGTATGTATGGAATGGCAAGACAAGACAAGGAAGATAGTTTCCCGCGGGTTACAGATACAATTGACATGTGTATGGGCTTGGTATCATACAAACGATGACAAGGCGATGGGGCAGGTGGAACTGCGATCAAGAGATGCCTAAGTAGAGTGGACCGGGACCCATCGTAGAGGACACTGTTACAAATGGCGACATAGAAAAAGGATACGAGTAGAGCTCCATAATAATAATGGTGGCCTTTTTGATTTCGCTGTATAAGCATAATGGGCTTTGTGCGGGGATGACATAACCCAATTAATGCTTCTCGCTTAATTAGTTGTTTTGGGTAGGTTGAGGCTCTCTTGTTCTTTCCTTCTTTCTCTCACCTTGTTGGTGGGTCCGGGGCAGTCAGCTCCTGATTCTTCCGATCCGTTCGCTTCATTCGAACCTCTCAGAGCGCGCAGGCCACTATTTGGCTCCCGTTGACGCCCGATGCAACGTGGGGATGTGGCTGGTGTATGAAGGGGGTTGTGCAGGGGTTTTCCAGAAAAGGGAATGATATGTGGAATCGCGACTTGTCACGGGCCGGTCCCTGGTGGATGGGAAGTAGAGAAAGAGCGGAGATCGCGAGGAAATGGTAATACGCACAGTACAAGAGCAAGGAGAGCTCTTCTCACCGGTAAGTATTAGTATTGTGAATTTTTGTGACGAGGAAGAGGGTCACTCCATCGAATCCAGAGCGAAACGAGCTCAAGATCCTACACAAGGCCCGTGGTTGGGCTGTAAGACCGAGCGATCGAAAATCGATGGACCATGTCTCGGTCGCTACATATGAGTGGCTGTGCCGGTGAAAAAAATGCGGAGTGCAAGGGATGCTTGGTAAGCCTGGCGGCATAGCCAAAAACACCAAGTGCCGGAGTGGTTATGTGAGGAGTTCTGCGTCCAATCCCTTCGATTTTGATACTGTTATGAGCTGTAGATTCAGGGTAACTGAGATGGCCAGAGTATCTTCAATGTTCTTGATAGAGAAATCCGCAAAAGTTCTCGAATGTGAGGTGCGACTGTAGCGATCGTTGCTGAATCGGGTAGTCTAACGCGGTTATGGATGTACTCTAGCTAACCCCGGTAATAATTTCGAACTGTGGCCACCATAGGCAGAGACTTCACAAGGTCACAGTAATACAGTTCACAGCGAATCGAACACGCTGGGGATTCCCAGCCACATGGTGAGGAGCCATAAAAACCGGTATTTCGCTTCTGAGCGACTAGATCAGTCTCCTTGCGTTTCCCGTTAGCGATATTCCATATACACGGCTGCCCGATGACTGGTCGGTGATCGGGTTGGTCCAGATGTTGTGTGTGGGATGCCGAACCGAACAGGCCGTGTCGGAGTCGGGAGTGGAGAGCCGAAATTAAATTGCTGCCCGGTGATTCGCTTTGGCCTGCAGAGATGCGCAGGACGGGGGACCTTTCCGCTTTAGTTCTAGAAGACATTTAGAACCCAGACCACTTCCCTGTCCTCATCTCGAGGTCCGTGGGTTCCAACAATAGCTGTCCGCGGCCAGGGACATTGTCCTCTCAGCCAATAAGCTCATTCGTGGATCCAGATTGGGATAAATTCCCTCGCTAATTTTCCGGGAGGCAAGAAAGAAAAGCGCTGTGTGCCTTGAGGAAAAACTGCTTCCGAACGGCTGTCGACACGGCCGGAAAAACCAGATCACCGTAACTCCTTTAATTTCGAGAAGCTGGGCTGAGGGGGATCAAATCGGACGGGTTGATTGGGCCGCAACGGCATAAAATGTGAGCCCTTCAGTGGCTAATAATTAAAAAGAGCAAGAGTAGTAAGCCACTACCTTTTACCGGCGGCGAAGATCTTGCGACACGTGCAGTGTGGTGTCCAATAATCGCTGGGCCGTTTTGGAGATGGGGTGCTCTGGAGTCTGTATAAGGATCCGCCCCTCAGCCCGCCCGTTTCTCCTCAGTCGGAGATGCGGAGCTAATCAAACCAACCCCCCTTGACAGTTGAACCGAAGCACTGGACACGCCATTCATTGCTCCATATTATTATTCGGACTGTCGTTTCGACTGTGAAAATCTGAGCGTAAGGCAGAATGATACGGGTTAGTTAGGTGGGTTGGCTGCCTGACGTCATGGCATCGTTCCCAGGCACGCCAATGGGAAGCTGGCAAGCTGTGACCACTCCCAGGCCCTTCTCGAGATCGTCTCGATTTCGAGAACCGCAGGGATCGTGCCGGATGCTTTTATGTGGATCTTTAGTAACAGCATTGAAATGGAATTCCTCATTTGCCATTCCGGAAATCATTGCAGATATAGCAAACAGGATTGGTTTGTCGCGATGGATCTTCGGGCGACGAGGATGCTTGCTGCATGTGAGGGCGGTACGATCCCTGCGAGCTGCGGCCTGTGGTGGTGTTCTCGAAGACAGGGCCTGCGTTCTAGATGCGCCGCGGTCGCGTCTCATATCACGTGATGAATGAGATGGGTGGGAATAATACACCCAACACAGGCTCATGGCAAAGTAAGACGATGATAATAATAGTCTCCTCATGGGAAGCTCCTTGTTGAGCAAAAACCGCGGTTCAATGCCCACATACCCTTGGATAAATGTGTAAAGTATGTTCAAAGGCCGCGTCTTACCCTGGATGCGTACCGGTCTCGATTGCAATGCCCGCCTGTCTGCCTTGCGCAAACAGCCCAACCGTGGCTCTCTATAGAGCAGAGACGACAAACGAATTCTGGTTGGGAGTGTCTACGAGTATGGTACGAGTACAAAAAAAAGCATGGGTTTTCTGCTTAGCTTTCTTGGAAGATGTCCCGACTCGGGAAAGTCTATGTGTATTGTAACTTTTGTCACGCCTAGTCAAGCTGCTGGCCGTTACACGTGGACCGTATCGTAACAAAACGGTTCTCTCACCGCTTCCCCAAAGGATGTGGAGGACAGTCCTCCGGAGTATATTATTATGGGAGCGGGGTCTTTTTATGGTTCTCTACTCGGTACTTGACCGTTTGCTTTGAAGACTTTAGGCAGCTGGCAACTTCAAGTCGAAAAGACACGCATGAATGCTCAATCCTGGGTGATGGAGGGGTTGTGTTGTCTTTCTATTCGGGTTTAAGCGCCCTGTTGACACCGGATCTGGTAAGGATGAATGGCGTTGCCCGCAAACGTAGAGTTGGTTCTGTAATATTCTCAAACAGAAGCAAGAAGTAGCGAACAAAATGCGAAGCCACTTCCAATCATTGCATCGCGCATCGCCGGGAGAGATGTTTCCGTGGCTTAGATAGATTATGGTAGGTTATTTGTCTTGAGACTCAAGAGCCGCGTGACTCGCAGAATTTATTTCCCTAAAAAACAGCCACAACGAATCTATGAGCCGACCTATTACACGCGCCATATCTGGTCTGGAGGGAAATAAACGATGGAATTGTCGTGCGATCTCTCCCACCAGTGGCTGCTTCAAAGTTCTTTTTCATTTTGCCGGCGCATTTGACATCGAAATAGCTTCGTTTCATCTTCCCCGACCGCAAGTGACCGTGACGTGACGAGATCGTCTCGGTGCGTGGAACCTGCAGGCGCTTAAGTCGCAAGATATCCCAGAGTAGGAAATGGGACGGTTGAAATAACAATGGCGGTGTCGTTGCTGTGTTTCCGCAATCCCATCGACGTGTTCTCGGTCAACTCCCCGATGGACAATCCTCCTCCTTGAAGCCTTTGCGGTGGTGTGAGAGTTTTGCTGCTTTGTGTGGACCGGGGTTGCATCCCAATGGCGCACGATGGCGCGCCACGAGGGGGAGCCCTATGCGGGCGATTTGCTCGAGCTCTAGTGGGCCCCGATGGTTCTCGTCGGCAGAGGGACAAAAGACAAACTCGCGATGGGTTCACAGACGAAGCTATAGTGAATCTTGCAGATGTACCAATGCCGGCAGTCGTAAGAGTAACGCGACCTTGACATGTTACTTGCTAGGCTCGGAAGATCAGCGAGACCATTTCTGAGGCATCTGTATGTCGACAGGTATGGTAAGCATCTATCTGTAACTATACTTATAGAGTACCTTTCTCTCCAGCAGACGGGTATGTATGTATGGCCCATGACAAGGAACGACGCCATACATACAGCGATACTTCGTCGGCCCGTGTACTCCCGTATCACCGGCCATAGATAGCGGCTCTTCGCGAGGGATGGTTGTTTTGCTTTCGTCTGAGCGGACGGAGCTCCGGGAGCGGTGAGAATGCAATGTAGATGCTCTGATACGTCATGTTTGAAGCTCTTTTTACTTCTGGTATGCGCATTTGTGGTTGATAAGGCATGACAGCAGTGCACGCAACCATGATATGGCATGTCTTGCCATAATAACAATGCCATTACGATAGAGATGTGGCTGTTCTTGCTGTAAGTTACGCCTTGCTTAGAGACATACAACAATAGGCGGAGGAAGTGCCCGCGGCGGCCCTTTCCATCCATTGATTATCACGCAACACCACCGCCATGGAAGAACAGTCACTGTTATTGATAGCGCACTTTGCCCTCGAGCTGACAGGAGTGTTACTATAGATAATATGACTCGACGGCTGCAATATGCCTAAAGACCAATATTTCACTTCTCCCCATGAGCCACGATGTCTGCACAATGATCATGGCTCATGCCATTGTCACATTCGACGTGTCAAATTCTAACCCGGCTTGTAAGTAGTCTATCTGAGTTCTACGGCGGCAATCACGGTTGTCAAGGTGCCCCCTTTTGGCATCTTGCATCCTCCGGTGCTCTTTGGCTGTTTTTTAAAGAGCGTTAAAAATAAACTATCATACTATAGACTAGACCCGTAACCAAGCGCCATACCAGTCGATGAGGTCATCAGAAATCTGTACTCTAACTATAGTGTGGAAATGGCTGTTTTTATAGAACGTACATACATACAAGTCATCTTTTGAGAAGAGCACAGCAGATGGTTGTATGCGAGTATGCCGCACCGGGTCGCTATCCAGGAAGTACGGTGTCCAACGGCGCCAGTATGATCTCGAGCTATGACACCCAACGCTGTACTTACGGCTCAACCACTGAAACCACAGCGATCTAGATCTTTTTTGTGTGGATGAGCAATGATGAGTCAAAGCTCGTACCTTTTTGTCAATTCGAGTCAGAATAACTAGTTACAGGGTTGAATGACAAAGCGGCCATACTGTATGATGCGTACGCCCGCATGTTTGCCTTGCTGGTCCATTGGAAAAGCCACTGCTGCATGGCTGGAGTTGGTGGTGAGGAAGCGCTGCTTGTCGACATATCAAGAGCTTGCTTCGGCCTCATTTTGTTGCGCCCTCAACGGTTTGTCACCTCACGTGGCGCCACCATCTTGACCGCCCGCAGTCCAACTCTCAGCAGACGCCCGTCAGAAGGATCGAAAGTAATAGACGAGAATCCATCGCGCCTATTGTATTCAACAGATCCTTTCCACGCGACTGTCCGCATCACATCCCACGAGAGGTGTTTCTTCCGTTATCCATCACTTATTCGCCCGCTCGAGATCTGTTTCTGTGATTCCCGTTGCATTTGAAGGTCACCAGATCCTGATCCCCGGTTGGAACTGCTTTGTTGGCATTTGGGCGGCTTTCCCGGGTCACTGGAATAACATTTTTGGGCTTTCCCCTGTTTATTTGCGTTGGTACGTCAGATCTCTGGACATCGCCCGCCCGATCTACTCCTCCACTATCTGCGGGCGCTAGATTTGGAGTGACGATGTCCACTCGTGCCCACTGCAAGACATCGAGCTGAGGACAGCTTTCGCCCTCCGTTTTTTCCTGGGGTCTTGATCGACGTTGCAGTTGCTATCTTTACGCATTCATCGTTACCAGTTCTGGCTGGAGCTGAACCTATCACTGACGGGGTTCGTAGTGTTGTACATGTACTTCGCCCGGGTGGCGCTGCAGCTCGAGGCTTCATAGATGGAATCCAGGTCACTTGACGGGGCGGCGCGACCCCAATCTGACGGTGAGATCCTTTTTCATCCTTTTGGATGTTGTTGTCTTTGTCATCTTGCTGCGTTCTCTATCTATCTTCCCCTGACGGTCAAACGATGTCCTCCTGTACACCCGCGTTCCAGCCCCGTGTCCAGACTGATTAGCCATGCGCCCATACCCTCCATCTTTATCCTTGTGCCCCAGTCATTGTTACCATTTCTTCCCTAGCTACTGCTGCCACAACATCGCAACATCGGTTCCGGCACTGATCGTCAGACGAGGCCCTGTTGCTCACTGCCTTGCCCCGATGCTGAGATGACTAGTCCCTGACTTCTGACATTCGCGGCCCGCAACCTTTTTGGTCACACGCTCACCATATCTTTATTTTGACATAGTCCAACCACCTTCAGCAGCTGCTGAGTTGGCAAGCGCTCAGCCTCAGGATACCGCTGCTGCACAACAGCAACGGGCAACCTATGGACGGCCGGCTCGTAAACAAGCGAGATGCCGGTTCTTCGGTACCAAGAGAGGTAGGTATCACTTTGGCCTCACATCAGCCTCATTGTCTCTGTCTCCAATGTTACCCGTATGTCATTGTTGCTTCTGCATGACTGTAATCCTGTTACGCCGTCTTGCTCAATACCACATGGCCGTAACGGTCTGACGGACGGGACTGTCTAAATTTCATACCGAGGATGGCGTAACTATCCGATTCTATTATTCTATCATCGCAGCTATACGCCCTTTTCATGTGACTATTCAGATTTTGTGACGTTGAGCTGACATCTGTCAAGGCTGCCGGGCCGGTGATGCATGTCCCTATCTTCATGAAGGCTCCGGTTCTGCCCGGAAAGATCGGCCTCTCGAGGGCTCTACGGCCCCCGGTGGACAAGAGGAGGTGAATCAAGCATCACAGCTTGCTGCATCTTCCGAGAAGGGAACTGCAATTGAAAATCGTACCAAGGCAGATTCATCAGCAGTTACGTTGCCAGAGCGTTCTGGCATACCCCGTTCCAAGGCTGTCCAGAAGCCAGTGTCAAAAGCAGAAAGAGAAAACCCTAGGGAGTTCCAGATCAACCAACTGAGACGCAGGTTTCGTCCAAAGGAACAAAATGATAGTTCTGGCACCTCTCTAGTCTTCGGAATGGCTCCTTCAGATCCTGATTTTCCCTTTGACATGGCAGAGCTGCAGTGTATTCTGCGCGTGCCGCTGTCATACCCTTCCAGCGGAAGGCCTACTCTGAAAGTTACAAATCCCGAGATGGACAGGGGGTTTCAAATCAATGTTGAGAAGGGGTTTGACGACCTAGTCGAGACATCTCTCACAAAGGACCACCAAGGAACTCTCCTGGGTTGGATGAACGCTCTTGATAGACAATTGGAACGCCTGCTTACTACTGAACGAGCACAAACCATTAAGATCATACCGAATGTCGGCAATAGAGAAAAGCCAAAATCTGCTGAAGTCACTGGCAACATCCCACAGAGGTCACCTAGACCGGTGGAGAGGACCTCCCGCGTGGAAGAACGGCCAACTGCTTGGCAATCTGCTATCAAAATGAGCAGAACGTATACAGCCGAAGAGAAGGCCGAAGCAGAGAAGAAGCGAAATGATGAGACGCGGCAGCTTGAGGCTCGTCTTCGCAGGCTCCCACTTTTTCGCAAGTCCTCTGACGGGCTATCGTTCACTATTCCCGCGCAGCCTAGCAAACCTAACCTGCTCCCTTTACCACTGCGATCCATCAAAACTATTCAACTCATTGTTCCTCAGTTATATCCTCTGGATCAAAGCCGCATCGAAGTACAGGGGACTGAAGGAACAGACGCCCGGTCACTGGAAACTGGATTTCAAAAATGGGCCCAAGAAAATCCTCATCTCAACCTAATGTCGCAAGTCAACTATCTTGTGCATAATATGCATGTTCTATTCAACAAAGCCGCGGAAGAGACGTCGAAATCTACCTCTGAATCTGTCCCTATGGCTTCTAATCCGATTCCTCCGTCCTTACCGGAGCCTTCGCCTACGGAACAGGCCCCTGTAAAAGAACTCGAAGGCCGTTCTCACGTCAAGATCATCCCGCGGCCTCCTGAATGGTCACTGCCAGACGCAGGCTCATCCTCCGGTAGTGAGACTTCGACCGACTATGATTCCGAGGATGCCTCGGCGACAGATGATGAGGAGGAAGGAGGAGCTTCTGTTCCGGAGGCTCCTGCGACGTCTACGAGTCGTGGCGTGGCTTTATCTTTGCCCTTCCTTGAGTTATACGGAATTGAAATATTGGAACTCAAGAACTTGAATATTACCGTGAAGTGCGAACGTTGCAAGGATACTATGGACGTGAAAAATGTGCGCGCGGCCAATGATCCTAGCGGTGCTTCTTCAGCGCGAGCCGAATCCTGCAAAAAGTGCTCTAATTATATGACAGTCGGTGAGAAACTCAAAAGACATGCTCAGTTTGTCGTGAAGACGGAAAGGACCTTATGTACTGATACTAAAATCCTATTTTTTCCAGGCTTCCGTCGAGAATTGATGCATGGTAGTTCAAATCGAGCCGGATATCTAGACCTAGAAGGATGTACTGTTGTGGACCTTCTTCCCAGGTAACTTCCGTGATTGATCTTGTCATTAATGATACAGAAGACCTGTGCTGACCATGCTGACCAGTAACTTTCTGCCAACCTGCTCCGAATGCTCTACCACCTTCCCGGGACCGGGCCCTGTGGCCGTTCGTGGAGAGAGTGCGATGGCCACATGTCGTGAATGCCATAGGAAAATGGGTGAGTGACTATACCTTTGCTGCACATGATGATGATGAATATGTGAATGAAACTGTGAGTCGGCTTGTTGTCTCTCATCATCAGCCGAGAATGGGGGCCAAAACAAGGATCAAAGAATTGCTAAATTACAATAATATGAACGCCTCGATGGAAAAACATTTTGGAGAAACAATGTAGAGATATCTCGCTAACACTTAATCGTTATCCACAGTCTTCAAAATCCCCGAGGTCAAATTCCTTGTGGTGGGCACTGCTGCAGGTAAGAGCCAGTCTCCTCGACCCCTTGCACTCAACACACATCCCCCTCCTTAAGGCCTACCCATCGCGTGACGAAGATGATTCGGCGAGGTCGAAATCTTTCTCCAGGGTCCGGTCTTTATTACCCCAGAATCCGCTAAGTTTCCCTATGCGGGTTACTGCTCTCAATTGATGACAGGGAATATCGCTGACTCTGTCCAGTGACAACCCGGCATGCACTGCCGCGGAAGAAGGTCCGTATTACTGCGATCTCCCTATGTGCTTTCGTCCGTACCTGCCGAGACTAGTGCTAATGCCGTTGTCTTCTTCTAGCGCAAGGAAGTTTTAGGGATAACCGCCGGTCAAGAACTCCCTCGCCGTGGTCGCTGCGACCACTACGCAAAGAGCTACCGTTGGTTCAGGTATGTTACCTCATTTGGTGGAGTTCTGTCGATCGACAATTATTCGGGGTGGCTTTACGGCTATGAAGAAGGGTCGATTGCCGTGCACATTTGCACCGCGATGATGATGGCTCCCCGGCTAACTTTATGGACAACAGATTCAGCTGTTGTGCCAAAGTCTTTCCGTGTGATAAGTAAGTTGTAGATATACCGTCCTCATGATACTTTATGCGCGCCCCACGTTCCAAAGCCACCTTGAGTGAAAATAATATTGACGGTCGTCCAGATGTCATGATGCAGCCGAGGACCATCCAAATGAACATGCCAATCGCATGATATGGTAAGTTCCATACGGTCATGCCCGATATACATTTGCTTCTTTGAACCCGCTAACCCGACGTTCTTTTGTACAGTGGGTTTTGTTCTCGGGAACAGATATATCGTCCAGAGGACTGCGGGATATGCCATTCCGTCCTCGTAGGTAAGGCAGGTAGCGGATTCTGGGAAGGCGGTAAGGGTACTAGAGACAGGGTTCGGATGAGTCGTAAAGGTTCGTATTATACCTTTTCATTAATCATACAACGCAGACACCATACGAAACAACATGAATGATAGCTAACGTCTTATCTAGATCCAAGGAAATACAAGCGCCGTGGGGGAACTGCAAATTCAACAAAGAAAAAGTGATGGTACCGTGTGCATATAAACGAAAAAAAAGCAGAAGTGTGCATCAACAAGGTTTACGTACTGGCATAGTGTATGATAGATAGAAAAGCATTATGAAATGGGAGGATGACATGCCAATACATATATAGATATGTCAAACCACAACTATCGGATCTCGACAATCTCGAGTAGATTTACTATCAAACTAGATGGCAATTTCAAATCAACATGATTTTCTTCCTCGATCCATCATCTTTAGAATAAAAGATAGACCGTGGGATATCATGTCTTGCTAGAGAATATGAAAGCAATTTGGTGTGCTTTCACAACTGAGGCCATCTGTATCTATACAAATAGGAAGTTATTTCTATGCTTCCTGAAGAAGCCGTGATAAGTCATGATATTAATGCCATCAACAGTACTCGTTCATCGTGGCCAGGATATTAGGAAATACAACGCTGAACGGCGACACACAGAGCAACCGAAATGCGGTAACGAGGCAACTTGAATCCAGAATCAGCGAGCAGTTTTTGACCTCACACGAGGTTTCCGCGCAGCTCCTGCTCCCTTTCAATAGCTTCGAACAGAGACTTGAAGTTCCCTGCTCCGAAGCCGGAGAAGTTGTTCCTTTGAATAATCTCAATGAACACGGTGGGACGATCCATCAGATGCTATAGTCATATTTAGGATTTGCTCGCTGTGAAAGTCTTATGGTTCAGGATACAAGTACTTACCTTTGTGAAAAGCTGCAATAGATAACCTCCCTCATCAAAGTCAATAAGGATATCCAGACTTCTGAGAGTCTCAAAGTCCTCTTCCAGGACCATGCCCGACTTCTTCAATCGGATCTTCATGTCTTCATAGTATGTATCGGGGACTTTGATAAACTCAACGCCGCGTGCTTTCAGGTTGGTGATGTCGCGGATGATGTTGTCCGTGCGGAGAGCGATGTGTTGGACTCCGGCACCGTTGTAGAAATCGACGTACTCTTCAATCTGGGATTGCTTCTTGCCCTTGGCGGGTTCATTGATGGGCATTTTGACGACGTCATTGGGAGATGCCATGACGATACTTTTAAGGGCGGAGTAGTCACTTTGAATTATTAGCTGATGTTCCAGTACGTGTGTTTTCTGAAATATGGTAGATGCTTACGTGCAGATATCCTTATCATCAACGGACCAGAAGCGGTGGAAGCCCAGAGCCTTTTCGTAACTGTAAACTTGTCAGTTTAATACAAGATAGGATTGGTTCTAACACGATACTCACTATTCGCAGACCTTGTCCATCTCATCCCAATCCTGGTTACCAACGCAGTGATCAATCACACGCAGACCAACTTCAGGAAGAAGGCTCGCAATCGGATCTTTTGCGCCATTCTCAATGCGGTATCCGGGAAGAAAACCCCCCTTATACGACTTCCTCTCGACGAGAGTATGCGTCGTCTCGCCATATGTCTGAATCGTAGCAACTTTGACTTGACCATTCTCATCCTCAAGCACCTTAGGATGCGACACGATCTTAGCTCCGTTCTTTACGGCGGCGTTAAAGACAGCATCGACGGAATCGACCTCGAAAGCAACATCTTTGACGGCATCCCCGTGCTTTTCCAGATGAGTATGGATCTCCTTGAGGAGTTCCTGCTCCTCTTGGCTGAAACGGTCGATTTGATCTAGCGATCGCAGGGGAGATGAGAGAATGAATGTGATATCGCCATTTCGGATAACGTGGGAGCAGACGCTTCTGCAACCAGTTTCAAGTCCGCGGTATGCGATGCGCTCAAAGCCCATACGGGTCACGTAGTAGGAAGCGGCCTGCTTTGCGTTTCCCACGTACCAGTGGACATGGTCATATCCGCGATAGCTGCTGAGACTGGAAGACTCGCTAGGCGACGAGGAGGAAGGGGGTAAGATGGCTGATGGTGCCATAATTGAGTGTCAAAAGTATATGTTTAGTTTGTATAGAATATTCAATTGAGACTAAACCGTCGAACAGTTGATCACCGATGTCTGCAAGGCCACTTCTCAACAAGAGACGATAACTCAGGTTTTTAAACATCCTCCATTTCAATATCGAAAATGATTACATTACGCACTCTGCGGTTGGAACAGGGAATTCTCATTTCATCATAGTGGTAAGCCTCTCAGCACAGCGTATAGGGAAATTATCCGCCCATCTAGATAGCGGCAAGCGTCGGAGGCGGCTTTTCGCGGATATTTCCTAGCCTGCTGATCTTCTTAACGAACAAAGAAAATCCATGGCTTCTAGATTGACCCTTTTTGCTCATTTTCTGGGATTCTTCGGTTGTCGACGGATATTTTGCATAGCGGAAGGCCAGCCCCGGATTCCGCTGTTGTCCGCGGTCAGATTTCCGCCTTATTCCGCGTTCCCCGCACTTCTTCCCCGGATCGTCTGGGGTGAGGTCGTTGGGAGTGGTAGAGGGAGTGATGGAGACGGCTTGATTTAGAGATAAGGGTCTTCTTCGACTTCTTTGCTAGGGTAGTTGGTATACCAGAAGGGAGAGCTTTGGTCAACGCCCTTCGTTATAAGGATATATGTTTTGAGAAGCGAGCAGCTGTCAACAAGCGCTGAACTATACAATCCCAAACAGTCTAAAACAGGAAACAGACAACATGCCGGCCACCAATTTCTCAACACCCGATCCATATAAGTATAATAACGGTTTCGGGTCATATCATGAGTATGTCTGAACTCTGTACAGCTTACATCCTAACTACATGTCCATTTCAATTGCTGACGATCAATTAGATCCGAGGCTGTGGAAGGTGCTCTGCCAGTAGGCCAGAATTCACCCCAGAAGGCCCCATATGGGCTGTACACAGAAAAGCTCTCCGGAACTGCTTTCACGGCTCCCCGCCATGAAAACAAGCAGACATGGGTCTATCGGATCTTGCCCGCTGCGGCGCATGAGAACTTTCAGGCCGTAGACGCGGATACGTACCACACCCATATGACTACGGAAACTGGCAAGCTTCATCAGATTCCAAACCAACTGCGATGGGATCCATTTGATATCGACGAGACGGTTGACTGGGTGCATGGACTTCACCTCGTTGCTGGCGCTGGTGACCCCACGATGAAGAGCGGACTGGGAATTCTCTGCTATGCGGCAGGAAAGGATATGGGCGACGAGGCATTTTACTCTGCAGATGGTGATTTCCTGATTGTGCCACAGCATGGTGTTTTAGATATCCAGACTGAGCTTGGAAAGATTCTGGTTCGTCCGAATGAGATTTGTGTTATTCCAAGAGGAGTGAGGTAAGAGATGGACCTCCTTTTCCTGTTTCGCGGGGGTGGTTGTGATGGACGCTGATTAGACCTAAGATACCGCGTCAAGCTTCCCAATGGCCCTGTTAGAGGCTACATTTGTGAACTCTACCAAGGCCATTACCAATTGCCTGAGCTGGGCCCTGTTGGGTCCAATTGTCTCGCCAACACGCGTGACTTCCAAGCTCCTGTTGCAGCCTTTGATGATGACGAAGAGAACCCGAATGCACCCAAGGAATACCGCATCCTGAGCAAATTCAACAACTCCCTCTTTTCTGCCCGACAGGACCACACTCCCTTCGACGTCGTCGCCTGGCACGGTAACTACTACCCTTACAAGTACGACCTCGGCCGCTTCAACCCCGTCGGATCCATCTCCTTCGACCACCCTGATCCATCCATATTTACCGTCCTCACTGGACCATCTGACCATGTCGGAACCGCCATTGCTGACTTTGTCATCTTCCCGCCCCGCTGGCTCGTGGCCGAGAACACGTTTCGTCCCCCGTGGTACCATCGTAATATCATGTCTGAGTTCATGGGCTTGATTTCAGGTGATTATGATGCCAAGACTGGTGGTGGTTTCAAGCCGGCCGGAGCCAGTCTGCATAATATCATGAGCGCACATGGTCCGGATATGGATGCGTTTGAGAAGGCGAGTAATGCAGAGCTGAAACCGCAGAAGATTGGAGAGGGAAGCTTGGCATTTATGTTTGAGAGGTGAGTTGATATCCGTGTCTGCGTTACCATACTGGAGTGGAATGGTTGGCTGATGTGGGACATAGCTGTCTGATGGTTGGTGTTTCCGAATGGGGTCTCAAGACATGCAAGAAGGTCCAGAAGAAGTATAACGAGGAGAGCTGGCAGCCACTCAAGAGACATTTCAAGAATCCGAAGAAGAGCACTTAAGTATCTAACCAGTTTTCTGTAAGTTCCCTTGCAGGAGCGATATAGCCAGGATGTGAAGTATGAAATTATGTGTATGTATTTCATCGATGAATCAATCTACCAAGTATCTTGAATCATCGTTAACTGTATACGCAAATGGCTTTCCTGTAATATCACTCACGTAAAGAACGCCATGGCTCCATGCCAACCGAAACCCTAGGCTATTAGACTCGTACTTCTCAGACTCCTTGAATCTCCTTCCTCATGGCCTCCTTCACAATTGCACCACACATCTTTGCATACGGATTCGTCTGCACAGCCAACTGCTGCGCAATTCTGTTCCCATACCGACCTCCCAGAAAGAAATCCCGACTAGCCATCTCCTCTAGTTGATCCTTCTCCAATCCACGTAGGCGGTCTGGACCACCATCAGACCCCCCCTGTCTCACTCTCGCTGCCTTCAATAACATATAACCACGATGCGTGTGCGCATCAGCCAGAATCCGAGCTTGTAGAGGAGAGACCGGATCCGCAGGTGATCGCGGCGTCGCGAGCGAGATAGCCTGGCCTAAATCCGAGAAGATGCGAGATGAGATATCCGCATTTTCAGGCAAAAACAGGGCATCTTCGTCGCCAAGGTCAAAAAGCATACGCAGAGCTTGGGCCCGATTCATGTATGCGGATGGATATGAAGGGTGTTTTGTAATGAGGGTATCGAGTTCCGTAATGATAGACTGGACTGTGTCGCGGGAGGGATTGGGAGATTGTAGACGGCGGATTAGTTCGCGCTCGTGGTTTCTTAGCGATTCGAGCTCCTGTGATGAGATTCCTGGAAGGGAGGAGAGCGTCGAGTCGATTTTCACTGCGGAAGATGGTGCGGATTCAGCATCGAAGAGAGCTTGGAGGACCGCAGAGTCGTTGGAGGATAGACAGGGTTGTGTGGGATGGACGTCTGTTGCGGAGGACATGGCGGTCTTTGGAGCTTTTGTTCGAGATTTCCTGGATGATGCAGTTGATCTTATTCTTAAGTGTATATAAATGGAACTATGAGGATTGTGTTAGTTTAGGTATTCTGAGAATGTGAGAGAGCTGTTCTAGAGCTAGTCAGGAAGATAACAAAGTCCCGTGAAGACGGATCATTGTATCATCCATCCCTAGCTGCCAAGTCTCATCCGTGGATAACCTGTTTCAAATATCCGCTTCTTTCCATGCGATACAGTGAGACTCTGATAGAAGATGACGATGGTGGTTGTCTCCGGATGGAAATAGCCGGCGATAAGCGCGGGCGGTTTGTTTCCGCGATGGACCCCCGCCTTTCCCGTTTGGGACGCGGAGAGACAGCGGAAATGAACGAGAACTCGCGGGGATCTGGATAATGGCGTGTTTGAGGATAAGGGGGAGCTTACGGTACGATTTAGAAAGAGAGACTCCATATTTGGTGTTTTTCTTAATATCATCAACCTGGATGGACTTGGATAGCCAGCGAGATCTTCATCGAATCTACCCAACATATCCTCCACAGTGAATAGATTGATGAGGATGGCAGCCTCGTGGCTCAATTTTCCCAGGGACTCTCCCTTCTCTCTGGCTAATATCCCATTTGGTATCATATCGACTAAGACGACAACTTCTCCAGTGCCTGCTGTGGCCATTGGTGACCATGCGCTGAACCTGTCCGCTTTCGCTGCGTCAGGCGGTTTCTCACAGCTGCCGTCAATCCAACAACATCTGGACGTCTTCAACAAGCCTACATTGAACGCTTTTGCCGCCTTGGGCCGTCCCATTCATCGTGCTGTACGAGAATATATCCAGGCTGTCTTCCAGGCGGATACCCCCTATCCTCAGGTCCTGAAGGAGAATGCAGCTGTGCAGAAGGAGTCGCTGGTGCTCCGATCAGAAGTTACCAACCATGTTCCCATGCAGATTGGAGACTACACAGACTTCTACGCTGGTCTGAACCATGCTTACAACGTGGGTGTTCTGTTCCGTGGCCCGGACAATGCCCTGCAGCCAAACTATAAGCATCTCCCAGTCGGATACCACGGTCGAGCATCCTCCATCGTTCCATCTGGAACACCTATTCGCCGACCAAATGGTCAGATTCTCGCCAACCCAGCAGCAGACCCCAAGGTTCCTACCTTCTCCCCATGCAAGCGTCTCGACATTGAGCTGGAGCTAGCAGCATTCGTCTCCAAGCCCAACAATCTGGGCGAGCCCGTCCCAATCGATCAGGCAGAGGACCATATCTTTGGATTAGTTCTGATGAACGACTGGTCCGCCCGTGACATCCAGGCCTGGGAGTACGTTCCATTGGGACCCTTCAATGCGAAGAATTTCGCCACCACTATCACACCCTGGGTCGTCCTCCTTGATGCCCTCGAGCCATTCCGTGCTCCTGGCCTTGAGCCCGGAAACAGGGAATCCCTCCTACCGTATCTGCGGGAGAAGCGTGCCGCTAATGCTTACGATATCCGTCTGGAATTCGAATTAAAGAATGCCGGCGGAAAGCCCACGCTCATTTCTAAAACCAATGCCACCAACCTGTTGTACTCGTTTCCTCAGATGCTCGCCCACCACACCATCACGGGCTGTAACATGAACCCGGGAGATCTGCTTGGAAGCGGCACAATCTCTGGTACAGAGCCTCGAACTCAAGGCAGTCTGTTGGAACAGACCAATGGGGGCAAGCAGCCTATCAAGCTGGCCGATGGCTCAGAACGTATTTTCTTACAAGACGGTGATGAGGTAACTCTGCGTGGTATCTGTGGAGAGGAGGGTAGCTATGTTGGGTTCGGGGACTGTGTTGGAACGGTTTTGCCAGCAATCAATATCGCCTAGGGGTGGGTGATAGAATAGGGCGATTGATATAACATGATTCATGATTCATGATTCTTCGTCATAGTTTATGTGTATTGTAGACACCATGAATAGGCTGTGATTTGTCCTCTTACTATCTAAGGATTCGAAATTCATAAGTAATGAGACCGTAGAAAATCAAATTTAATAATTAAAATAAAATCCTACATATAGTTTTATCAGTTGCCAGTAAAGATGAAACAGATTCCTCGATATAATTTAGACCACGTTCAAGATATGTCGGCATATAAAGCGAACGCCAGGTGATCTGTCAATCCTCCGTTTGCGACAGATTCTTTGAATCCTGATTATACTGGATTACTACTAGATTACTAGGTTACTAGGATCTAGATTCTTTGTCTGCTAGAGATAAACATGGGATCAAATTCCCCCTAGATCTAGATTCAAGCAAGCAATTCAGATTCTGCTTCTGTGCTAAAGGATTCGACAAGATACAACTAATAAAAGCCTCAGAATCAGTATCGCATCATATACCTCCTACACCCTAAACTCCTCCGGCGTATCTCCCTGCTTTCTCCAATGTGCCTTCTGCACCGCCTCCTCTTTCTCCATTGCATCCAACACCCTCTTAATCGTCGCATAACTCGCAACATCCACATTCACCCTCTCCGCAGCCCAGCACGCAGGGACGAGACATACATCCGCCATAGTGATCCGGTCACCTACACTGAACTTTCCTGCGCTCTTGGCCGCAATGGCTTCATAAGCGCTGAATCCTGCCTCGACCAGCTCCTTTGACCACACAGCTCCGTCGCCACCAAGCGCTCGAACGCGTTGCTGGATACGTAAGTTCGTCACGGGTTGCACGTCGCATGCGATGATGTTCACGAGAGTGCGAACTGTAGCTCGCGCCTGCGGATCTGAAGCTGGAGGGAGGAGAGAGGGCGTCGGGTGCGTCTCTTCGAGGTATTCTAGTGCGGAGATGGACTGGGGAATGGCGAAGGAAGATGTCTTGTCCTTATGAACGACTAGGACGGGAACGAGACCAAGTGGGTTCAGGGCCCGGTGGGATTCAGAGGATTGTTGGCCTTTGAGCAGGTTCACGGGAATGGAGTTGTATGGTATGGACTTGAGGTTTAAGGCGATGCGGAGCCGGGCGGAGCAGGAGGAGCGGAAGTATGTGTGTAGGTCGTAAGTGGTTTCTTCAGACATAGCTGTTCACTGGTCTGTTGGTTAAGTAGGGAGAATTCTTCTTTTTGGTTTTTAGTGTGGACATAAAGTGCTCGTGGAAGTGCTGTCGATGGGTATGGAGTAATAGCGGGTATAAAGAATGGAGGGCAATTCTGTGCTGTAGAAGAATGGTATATTCTAACAGTACTTCCAACTAAAACACTTAGTCATATGCTCGTATATTTACTAGTTATTTAGGAGATGGATGATCCTATTTCTCTACACACCACACCCTTCGGTTTGTATATACATTCTCGGGTGAAACGGCCGCTTGTTCCTGAGCGGAAACTTTCCGAACCAGCAATAGAGACAACTTCCCCGCAATTTTCTCAACTGGTTCTAAACATTCCGTGCCTGGCCATCTACTTTCCGCTGCTTTCCGGAACGAATTCACTGAACTTAGTTTAGTTGAAGGATCATGGGATTTTGCTACCTTGGACGGAAAAAGTACTACTGACCTCAAACAGAATAAAAACGTTCTAACCGTCCAGGACCTTGTCAAGCAGCTCTGCGTCCTTTAAAAGCTGTCTGTCTTCTAATCTGGGACCAACCACTGCAAAAGCTGTAGAACACCCGCCTCCGGAACATATAATCGACTATTATGCGTATCGCCTACCGGACAACTGTCCATATAGGCCAGGCATGCTGTTGGACTTGGAGCACGGAAGGCCGATGGAACTCGAAGTCGTACTTGGTAATCCCCTGTAAAGGGCCAAGGAATATAACATCCCAATACCTATCCTGAGCACTCTCTATGAACTCTTGAAATCGGAGCAATGGGAAGTCAATCGGAAAATCCAGCTGTTTGATAGACCCTTGGCTACTGAATTAACACATAAAGACATTATGGCTTTGTATGGAATTGTTTCTTTTACCTTTTTGCTTGTAGGACCACTGGCAATTACTCTAACATAACTGGGTTCGAAGGTACATGGTGCTCTGTCTTAAAATTAGGTACCTAGGACCTGTGAATTGCCTGTTACGGTTAGTTTTACCCTTTTATGGAAAATCATACTATTAGCGCCGGCGTGGCCCCTGAAAACTTAATAGCCCATTTCAGAACTGCGAAACAGCAACAACCGCAAGGCTGAATTGACGCTGACAATAATTTTACCGCCATCTTGCGTTTGTCATATTGCGTAGTTGAAACAGATGCCTGTTGGTAGCTAGTTGCCTAACAATCTCAAAATTCCACTTATCTAGTAATTATACACAATGTGATTTGTCCGATCAACAAGCACAGCCCAGCAGGTTTCACCCGGGGTGAAATTAAAATGACAGGGAGGCAATCTGAACACTAGCGCCGAATGAGTAGATCTGTTTTTCCCTAGCCATTGAGGATGTAACACATTGCCCAGCTACGCTCAAGATCTACCTACGATGATACATTATTGGCGGTCTACGTAGACGCAGGCCAAAGCCTTACTCTGCCTTGCCCTGCCTTGCCCTGGCCCCCAATAAGGTACTTACGCGGCTTGTGGCAAGATAGGCAACTACGCGATTCGAGGATATAAAACAGTAAGCGAGATCAATTCTTTTCTTCAACTGCGCCTATTCATAAACGACATCAAAATCGAGGAGATCGACCCAGATCATGAGCAACTTGAGGCGCTCGGCCTTGCAATTTGCCTCGCCAACGTGCCTGCCATGACAAATACCCAGCAGTCTCCCTACGCAAACGATGAATATACCGTGGGATGGATCTGCGCTTTGCCGCCCGAGTTTGCAGCGGCCAAGGGAATGTTGGACGAGGAGCACGGAGAACCACAGACTCTACAAGCCAGTGCCGATGACAATCCATACTTCTTGGGGTCGATAGGCAAGTTCAAGGTTGTGATAGCTTGTCTACCCCTGCACCAGATTGGCCCTGCATCTGCGGCATCTGCCGCGAAAGAAATGCTCTTCACCTTCCCTAAGATCCGTGTCGGGCTGCTTGTTGGTATCGGTGCGGGCATCCCGGATGACGACGATGATGATCCAGAAATTCATCTTGGCGACATCGTTATTAGCAGCAGCCCTAAAAGTGGAGGGGTTGTTGTTTATGATTTTGGGAAACAGCTCTCTGACGGGTCTTTCGAGAGTCTTTCCGTGTTGAATCGCCCGCCGAGATCTCTAGCCTCTGGTCTTACAAAACTCCAAGCTGAGCATGACATGAATGGCAACAAGGTAGTACACTATATCGAACAAATGCTGGATAAATACCCTAATATGCGGAACAACGGGTACACTTATCCTGGCCGGTCGCTTGATCGACTATTTCAACCCAACTATCCGCACATTGGTGGCAGGACCTGCAAGAAATGTGAAGAGTCCGGGCAGGTTGACCGAGACGAACGCCAGGATGATGCACCAAGAATTCATTACGGCACTATAGCGTCTGGAAGCATGGTGGTTAAAGATCCAGTCAAACGCGATAAGATCAGAGAAAAACATGGAGCAATTTGCCTAGAGATGGAAGCAGCAGGCTTGATGAATATCTTTCCCTGTATTGTGATACGTGGGATCTCAGACTATGCGGATTCCCATAAGAACGATGGCTGGCAAAAGTATGCCGCCGCAGCCGCCGCAGCATGCGCTAAAGAGTTCCTGAGTTGTGTGCAGTCGAAGATTATTGATGGGGAGCCTGCAGCGAAGGACCTTTTGAACCAAGGTTAGTTCAGATTCGTGAAAACACTCATGATAGCATACCTTAGATAGGTATTCTACAAAAGTTCTAAATATACATTGGAATTCTAGTTCGTGACGAAGTCGTAAAGGCCAGCAAATTTGTATCAACAGAGCAGACGCGGCAAATCCTTGAATGGCTCACGCCTTTGAATTTCGACGATATCCAGAACGACCTACTTGGCCGCAGGCAAGAGGGAACAGGCCTTTGGCTTCTAAACTCAGAGGAATTCACGCAGTGGATGAGTCAACCAAAGCAAACTTTGTTTTGCCCTGGTATCCCAGGAGCCGGGAAAACAATCATGTCCTCTATCGTGGTTGAGCACCTGAAAGGCAAATCACAGGAAAACCCCGAGATTCAGACTTGCTGCATATTCTGTAGCTTTCAGCCGAATCACCAGCAAAGAATCCTTGATCTTCTCCTTAGCTTTCTAAGACAACTCGCAGTCAAGGGCTCCGCTCTCTTACAAAACATAGAAGACATGCATACCCGTCATATTCAACGCAAAACGCGCCCTACTTTCACCGAAGTTCAATCCGAACTCGTCAGAACAGCGAACTGTTATGAAATGATTTTCATTGTGATTGATGCTCTCGATGAGTATTGTTCTTCGAACTCAGAGGAGCTACACAAATTTCTCTCGACGCTATTCAATCTTCAAAAGGACGCCCCTATCAATATTCTCGCGACTTCTCGGTTCAATTCCGGAATCATGTCAAGATTTGAAAGGTGCCCCCAAAAAGAGATACGGGCACAAGAAGACGATATCCAGATATACTTAAACGGCAGAATACCTAGTCTGCTTGAGAAGAAAATTTCACTTTTCCCCAGTTGTCAAGATGACGTGCGCCGAGAGGTGTTGAAGAGTGCAGACGGAATGTATGTGTGGATGATTCAAGATGATCACTAGTCCCTAATAACTTTGCCTTAGGTTCCTCCTCGCCAAACTTCACATGGATAACTTAATGGGTCATATCACTGTCGGGGAGCTTGAAGAAGCTCTGATTAATTTACCACATGGTGAGACCAAGCTGGAGCTAACCTACCACGAGACCATCAAGAGGATCAAGTCTCAGCATTACAGCCGCTATCAGAAGGCCTTGCAGATTCTGTCATGGTTAACGTATTGCAGAAGAGTTCTCTTTGCACAGGAGCTTCAGCATGCCCTTGCCACTAGACCTGGGGATAAGGACCTGGATCGAAGATTCCTGCCTGAACTCGATATTATCGACTCACTCTGCGCAGGTTTAGTCGTCTTTGATCAAAGAAGTGGCATCATTCGCTTAGCTCACTACACGACAAAGGAGTACCTCATAGATCATCCGGATCTCCAAAATTCTGAGACAGAAATCACACAGACATGTATTACTTATTTATCGTTTAGTTGTTTCTCAAGTGGGCGATCATCAAGCACATATGACTACACTTTTCGACAAAAAGAGTATCCCCTTCATCACTATTCTGCCCAGAATTGGGCTTTACATGCATCTCAGGCTCTGGCTAGCTCTCTAGAGCAAGCAGAAAAACTGACCGACTTTATTCTTGAATTTCTAGACAAAAAGTCAAATATGCAAGCGGCTGGGCAGGTGATGCTTGATCGTTTTCCACACCGGCTGACAAAGGTGCACCTGGCGGCCTACGGTGGGCTTTCCATCATGATTTCAAAATACATCAGCTCAGACGAAGATGTGGATGCTCGGGATTCCAATGATATGACGCCATTGGCATACGCGGCACAGAACGGCCATCTTCAAGCGATAAAACTTCTACTTCGGTCAAATCGTGTGCACCCTGATGTCCGGAACAATTGTGGCCAAACACCGTTGATATTAGCAGCTTGTGGTGGTCACAAAGAGGTCATTGAAGTTCTGCTACGATATGGCGCATGTCCGGACACCAAAGACAAACGTGGCTATGACCCTCTAAGTGAAGCTGCTCGGACTGGCAGAGTTGATATCATGAAAATCTTGCTTGATAAGGGTGTTCCAATTGACTACATTTGCGAAGCCCAAATGTGCGGGCCCCTGATCGAGCGCAATACCCCTCTCATGCTGTCTCGGCGCTCCAACAACAGACAGGCTATGTGGCTTCTGCTAGACAAAGGTGCCGATCTTGATTTTCCAACTGGGACAGGAGACACACTTCTAACACAAGCGATACGGGATGGTGATCAAGAGCTGGTAGATTATTTTCTGAAAAGAGGGTTTTTTGTTGATTTCGTCGATAGGTCAGGATATACTCCACTTCATTACGCTGTGAGACGCGGACATGGCACCATAGTCAAGAGCTTTCTCAATGCTGGGTGTGATGTCGATCTTCAATTTTACCGGGAAACTTGTCTGATGACTGCAATCGAGCATGGCCACGGGGATATTGCAGCCCAGTTACTTGAACATGGAGCAAATCTGAACCTGCAGAATCAAAGACTCGAAACAGCTCTGTTCTACGCTGTGAGGGCAAGCAATGCAGATATGGTTGAAACCTTATTAGAGCATGGCGCGAGTCCAAACGTGCGGAACTCGCAAGAGGAAACACCACTTTTTACCTCGGCCACAGCAGGTGACGAGGCAATCTTGAGATGCCTCCTTAGCAAAGGGGCAGACCCGCTAATCCGAAATAATCACCAGCAGACTGCTCTATTTTTGGCCGCAGATTACGGGCATACGTCGATTGTCGGGTGCTTGATTGACGTGGGCCTGGATGTCAACGACCAAGATGATAGAGGAAATACTGCAATTTTTCACTCTGCTCGAAGTGGCAAGACAGATACAATGAAGATATTATTGGAAAATGGCGCTGACGTCCACCACCGTAATGTACTTGGCGAAACAGCGCTCTTTTATGCAGCCAGAAATGGAAAATTGGAAATCTGTGAGATTCTGATACAAAATCATGCTGAGCTTGACGCAAGAAACCTTCTTATGGAGACGCCATTGGTACATGCTGCAAGTGGTCCCTACATTCGTCCACTTGAATCGGGAGCTCTAGATTATAGCCAAGTAGTCAGACTTTTCATTCAGAACGGGGCTGATCCCAACCCTTCCTATGACTTGGAGAGTGATGTTCAACATCCTGAGGCATGGAAAGTTCTGCTTTCTCCCAGAATTTCCTCTCTACGCAAGGAATACTCTGAGTCTCGTTTACGTTTATGTGAGGCAGCTCGCCAGATATGGGATTCACGGATCAAAAGCTACAGCGATGATCAGGTTCTGGACTTCCTTCACAGGGTTCTACCCCCGAAATCTCCTTTTCACGGGGTAAATCGCAGAAAAGAAAGCACAGCGCCGCTTCTGTTTGCCATCCGGGGCGGCAACGCTGAGCTAGCCAAAATCTTTCTTAGATGCGGGCAACGCATTGATAGTTTGACCGAACCTGTGCAGGAAATCCTACGTCGAGCAGTCGATTCAGGCCATCGCAGTATTGTGGAGCTTGTGCTGAAAGAGGAGCCCGATGAAGATGTGGATATTCCGTCACTGGTATTGCACGCAGCAGAAAAAAAATACACTGGCCTGTTTAATCCTCTCATGACGGAGCAGGAGGTCAATTTGAAAACCGCAAACATGGATCTTCCGTCACTGGTATTGCACGCAGAGAGGAAACACACTGATCTGTTTAAGTTCCTCATGACGGAGCAGAAGGTCAATCCGAAAACGGCAAATGTGGATATTCCATCACTGGTATTGCGCGTAGCAGAAATGGGAAACACTGGCATGTTGAAGTATCTCATAAAGGAGCAGGAAGTTAATTTGCAAACTGCAAGCGAAGTACTCCTCCTTGCGGCTCATGGTGGAAAGACTGAAGTTGTGAGATTCCTCTTGGAGAATGGAGCAAAGCCAACATTTGTGACTCGGAATGCTCAATCAGCGCTGCATGGTGCTGTCTTGAAAAATGCTACCGAATTGGTGGAGCTTTTACTGCAACAAGAGATAAATATCGACGCCCGAGACAAACACGGTCGAACCCCCTTGTTTTATGCTGTACAACGGTGCCGAACGCCTATAGTCCAGATGTTGCTTGAGGCAGGTGCGGACTCAAACATATCTGAGGATGACTTCACAGAACCAATCTTGTACGACACCAACGACCAACGGCGTATTTTCAGTGATCTGAATACACGCAATTCCGAAAATCTTTTTGGGGGTCTGACACCACTGTTTTTTGCCGCTGGTAACGGAAATGATGTTACTGTCAAACTGCTGTTGAGTCACGGTGCCATCCCAGACGTGCAAGACAGATTTGGAGAGAGGCCCATTAATTGGGCAGCAGCGCGAGGGTTCGAAGCGATTGTGAAGATGCTCCTCGACAGTGGAGCGAATGCAAACCAACTGGATCATCCTAGCCAGTCGCCCCTTTTATGGGCTTTAGGAGTATACAACCATGATTTCTCGAAAAAGCTCTATAGGGGCCGGAGCCCTCTGAGGGGGAATCACTTTGCATTCGGGGACGCAGAAGCAGTATTAGATCTGCTGCTAAAAAATGGTGCAGATCCCAATGTTATTGATGAAGATGGGCGGACACCACTTTATTTGTCAGTAAAGCTTGGCTTGAACTCGAAGGCCTTGGTTCGCTCATTTTTGCGTGCAGGCTGCGACCCCAACAGGAAAGATAAATATGGACGAACCCCACTGATGGGAGCAACTGTTCGGGGAATGACCAAATTCGTGACAGCACTCCTTGAAGCCCCAAATCTTGACCGAGATGCGACTGATAATTTCGGTCGCACGGCGCTGCTGGAAGCTACTGCGAGGAATAAGCCGCTCATTCGAGACATCCTGCTCCAGCCAAGCGCAGAAACCCAAATGGCGCATCCTTCAACTTCGTTGGATGAGCAGATCAGCTATCCTGGCCACCTTTGTGGTATTTGCGGAGTGCACGAGTGGCGAGATCTCGCCTACCATTGCTCAATATGCGACGAGGGCCATTTTGATATGTGTGAGGAGTGCAAGAAATGGGGTGCGACATGTTTAGATGCCACACACGAGATGACCAGAAGATTTGATATAGTCGGGGGTCGAGCGTCTGACATTGGAATCTACATTCTTTCTGAAGCGGAGCTCGCTGAGCTTGGAGGAGCCAGAAAGGCGCAGGAGAAACCCGACAGGATGTCTGCCTATAGGCAGGCTCCGAAATTTTTTCAATGATGTGGGATTCTTAGGCTGTTTGGAGGTGACGATTGCGAAAACGATTTTTTGCCCCCTGCTTCTAGCTTTGCAGTATACTTGTTTCTGATAGCAAGTGGTGATTTAGAGTCCCCACTGAAGTTGCTACGGCCCAGGCTTTCCATTACGGCGAGGGTCTGATGCTCTTTGAGCAGAATTTAAAGAGCTTTGGTATCCTGATATAGCTAATAAGTTCGGCGTGTACTCCTCTCTCATTGCTTTCTCGAGGGCTACGTGAATCAATACATAACCCGCAGATGACCCCCCAAAAGGCAATTCCAGGTCATCTAATGACTGCCAAGTTTGCGACCATATCTTTTCTAAGTCTATTGTGGACATGAGTAGTTGGATGGTGATTGTTTAACCAAGAGTCGCCAGTTCCATTCGTGCCTTCAATACAAGTATAGCCAGTGCTGTCTTTAAGGCTAGATTACTGGGGGTGGTCTAGGAATCCAGAGAACAAGCTAAACATATCGTATTTAATAGCCACTAGTCCAAAATTTTTGAGTAAAGGTTTAGTTTTCCGGAAATAGCCCAGTGTTAAAACGTATCACTCTGTCTCAATAGTTGTTTGATGTAGCCTATCTATTCTCTGTCACTATGGAGGCCCATTGTCGGCGCACAAAGCGTACGTCCAGGTGATCCGCTACTACAGTTGTTGCAAGTGCTTCGCCTTCTACAACGTCATCGACGTCCACGACGCCCAGTACTACAGGTATCAGAATTTAGCGGAATGGATCGTCTATATTTATGGTACCAAACCTCCATGACTCAGTTTGACCTAAGTACTACTCTCAAATCGGAACCCTCAGAAAGTACAATACTGGAGTGAATTGTCCAGATCCAAGCTGATCTGCCTGCTTGTTTCAGGTCGCAGTTCTTTGATTCTTTCACTTGCCTGACTCACCACTCTTTTCTTCACAGACACCACTTTTTCCACCTTTTATAACGTCTGATTCTCAGCGTTCGCTACTTCAGAAATTCTTCTCTCTGACACTGCTATGGTCTGGCTTCTATCCAATTTCTTGCTCAGGAGCATACTCTCCGAGCCGTTGCCTTAAGGTCTATCTTCAACCTATAGCCGTGCGCAAGTTGGCTTATACAGATTTACTTCTTATTCCTTATATAACCATATATTCAAATAGAAGGAGTCACAGTTATTAACAAGTTGATATTTCCAATAACCAATATCGTATTTATATAGCATATTTTCCCTGCCTGCCCCGCATAATCTGGAAAGCTACTCCGGTAAGTATAGTGGTTAACACCTCTCTAGTTTGGATAGCAAGTTCTGATTGAAGTATAGGGTTCTACATATGACGTGAGCCAGATACTTATAGGAAGCGCTCTGGTGGTATTTCCCTGCGGTCCGACACATCAGAATGGACATCGAGAATATCAAAGACCGGTCTACTGGTATCGCTCTGAGAGATGATGTGCATAAGTCGTTTGGCAACTTCGCCTTGAGTTTTCTCCTCACTATAAGTGTGCTCCCATTGCCAAGTGTAGTTTTACTGGACTGCCATTGGAGGACCATTTCGATCACTTGTGGACAAATTCCCTGTCCCATTATTTTGACTCAACCAAATATACTATCGAGAGAGAAAATCACGCATTGACGAGACAGTTGGGAACAGTAAACGATCAAATTTGATCGTGAAGAAGCTTGAGTTTGGGCAACTTCAAGCCCATTTGTTTGTCGAATGCAAGCGGCAAAGTTATCAGACAGATATGGAAAAAAGGCAGCGGGCTGAAGCTCAGCTAAGAGACTACATGGTTGATTGGACTGCACTTCATCCTACGACAAATCACCTGTATGGACTTTTGTCTATGGGCACACATGTCACGTTGTACGAGTTGATTCCGCGGACTCTCATCTGGAGAACTCGAACGAGAATGCCCATCTATGATCTTACATCTCAACTTGATCGACTTCGGCTGGATCGTCAGCTTCGGACTTTGGGTCGCCTCTGAAGTAGCAACGCTGGATCGTTGCTAGGACACAGACACAATCCAGGGTTACCAAGTATCCTCGGGCCGCATGGGGATGTTACGCTGGACGCTGGACGCTGGCTGCTGGGACGCGGCGGTGACGAAAGCCAGGTCGCCAATAATATCGAATGTCGTATAATTGTACCAATCAGAGATAATGACTGGTTTTTTATCGTTACAAAACCCAGCATTGAGAAGGCCGAAATCCTGAACGCGTCAGGCATGGGCGAGAAGCAAATAAGGGAATGGGAAAATATAAAGATAAGTACTTCAGCGCGATCCCTGATGGCCCTTACGTGCATCCACACGTGCTCTCCTTCCCAGACGGTAAAATGAAGACCAGCTGGTGCAATTCGTTGCCGGATATCGATGTCCGCGATACATACTCGTTCTTTTGGAAAGCCCCAAAAGGGGGGAAGCAGATCTGGTTCGCCGTTTGCAGCACTCCCAGCAAAAACTGGGTCGCTGATCTATATTAGGATATAAAGTGCTGGCATGTTTAGGATATTGCGGTGATTCGCTCCGAAGTTGGGACCAGCAAGAACTTAATCATCTGGGACTGTGATCCCAGGGATCCGGCCGGGAAGAAACCCCATGAGTTCCTCCTTTCCCCGCAGAGGGCCGTATATAAATACACGAGAGAACAAGGGGAGCTCGCCTCGTTCTGGTATTCGACCAACCGAGCTTTCTTGGGACTGGACCAGTGCCTTCCCTCGACCCTGGGCTGGCTGTGCGATATGGTCAGCATCCCGCTGGCGGAGAATGATCCGCCATTAAACCATTGTGTGAAGATCACCAGGAAATATTAGGGCCTGACCGACTCCACACGGATATGATCCCATCTCCCTTGTGCTCTCTTCATTGATGAACTCCTTCCGATCGGTCTGGCAACCCCCCCTGGAGCCGAGTTTTGGTCCACTGTCCGATACTATGCGCGACGGTTGTCTGAACGAGGACGGCTCGACCGATGTTTCTCGTTATCTGAAAGCCGCCTTCTAGAACCAGGATTGACTGGTCTGTTTCATGCTGATTCTTATTCTCGACTACTGTTTCTCTCATATGTGATACCTGACCTTCTTGCACTGCATGGTATTGTTTCCAGCGATACTGATACCTTACTGCTCACTGTTTAGCAGTTATTGCGAACCCCGTTTTTCTGCCCAGGTAAACTGCTGTGTTGGATACTATTTCTTGGCCTAGCCATCCGTTATCAGTCGTTTCACTTTCACGTCATTACTCTCTATATTCCTTTCAAACCGTTCGTTCTATCTCCAGGATGAGTTTGACGGAGGAGTTTGAGTCTGAGGAGATACTAGCTCTCCTAGGATATTCCGCTTCATACGGTTCGTCAACATTACCAGGAGCCAGCTGTTCGACTCTGCGCTTCGGGCCTGGAAACACCCAGCAATAGTTCTCACCCTTTCTTTGAATGACCTGCGAGATATTGCGGATGAATTTAACAGAGACGAAGGGTCCTTCCGGCCTAATGGATAATACTATAGCATCTCCATGGCATCGACGAATTCTGGAACGATGGTTGCAAACAATCTACCTGAATTCCAGAAATTCCTGGATATGGCTGGAAGTCGAACACCAGTCAAATCTGTTCAGAGGAGTGATAATAGGCACCCAACGTCGCTTGCGGCAGTAAGAGTCCTTCAGAGATGTCCAAGCGAGTGGTGGGATACACCTCGGTTATGAGGGTCAGTCACCTCTGCCACTGATTTCGAGATGGCCAAGAAGAGAATATCGGAAACATTGCCTGGGTCTTTAGATAATCTTTCTGATTGGATGTGTCAGATACTGGATAAGCAGCGGAGACTTATCAGAAACTTGCCGACCCTGGATGCATATAACGGCATTGGAAGTGTATCCGATGAGTCGGATTGGCGAAATGTCCCTCTTGGGCCGTCCGCACAGTTTTCTCCCGCTAGTTATATTCATGGACTAGGCTTCATCTAGATGTCATGACGTCTGACTTTGGTCCATTTGCAGAAGACGTTGAACTTGCCCGGTTGGATATGAGCGGTCACTCTGGATATCTACTTATCTGCCACTGTTCACCGCCCTGGATCATAATCGCTTTTATCTAGCATCTAGCTGCCCCTCCAAATAAATAATAGAAGAACAACAACTTCTTCTTCCCTAGAACATTCCGTGTGACTTGTCTTAGCATACTCATACTCATATTCATCTTGCTCAGAACCCGCGGGATCTGCTCTTATAATTCTCCGTAGTATGCAAGCAGTAATTAATTAATATCATTAATAATTGCTGTAGACATTCTGAGCACGTTGCCCAGTGGTGCCACCACCATGATTGATCGGGAAGTGAGATGGAGAGGCAAGCCGAGAGTTCGGCCGACTGGGTCGGATTTTCGATGTTGTTTCGTTGGGCGGAAAAGATGATCAGAGGCTAACAGGGCTAAAATGGGCTAATCAGCCAAAAAACTCTCCGCAAGATCGACTTCATTATTAATCATTCGGAGTTATTAATCATTTCAGAAGAGGCCAACAGCTGCACAATCCAACCACGGTTCGGTCACTTTTCACAGCATCCTATTGATTGCCCGGCGTTTCACAGGAGAAGGGAAAGGAAGAAAAGGAAACATTTGAGACGGCGTAAATCTTAATCGGGGGCAGTTGTTGCCATTGTCGCCGCCGACGTGACGATATTGATATGATGGAGGGGCTTCTAAGCAGTCCAACTCTCCGTGTATTAGTATTAGTTAGTTATTATGATTATTATTATTAAGTAGAGTATGTATTAGAATTAGTATTATTATGATTGCTATTATTATTATTCCAAGCTACGATGCTTCTTCCGGCATTATTCTTCTTATTTCAAAGCAGAGTGGAGCAACATTTGTCTGCGATTTGTCCTTCGATCGGCTTCTCCGCGGTGACATTTCTCTTGCTTGAAGTTATTTAAAGCTGGTCGATCTCCCCGGGGTACGCTCCATTCATATTGGGGTATAGATATTATTATTACTACCATACTCAACCTTTATTAACATCCTCTCCTCCTCCTCTCTGTTATCTCTCTCTCCCTGATCAACCACAACCAACAACCATGTCGGCCCGCGCTCAGGTTCCCGATATCATCAACAAGCCCGCTCCCGGCGTTTCCTACTTCACTCCTGCCCAGGAACCTCCAGCTGGAACAGCTGCTGACCCCCAGTCCGATGGCACCAAGCCTCCCAAGCTCTTCACGCCTCTCAAGCTGAGAGGTCTCACTCTGCACAACCGCATTGGGGTACGTTGGTAGTTGTGCTATTCGTCGTTATCGTTATCATCGCAAGATGAACCCAAGATGAACCCAAGAACTGACCGTGATCTTCTTCCTCTTCAGCTGTCTCCCCTCTGCCAGTACTCCGCCCAGGATGGCCACATGACTGACTGGCATCTCGCCCATCTGGGAGGCATCGCCCAGCGCGGTCCTGGTCTCCTGATGATCGAGGCCACCTCCGTTGTTCCCGAAGGACGCATTACCCCCCACGACGTCGGATTGTGGAAGGATTCGCAGATTGAGCCGATGCGCCGGGTGATTGAGTTTATCCACAGCCAGAACCAGATCGTCGGTGTTCAGATCGCCCACGCTGGTCGCAAGGCTAGCACCGTTGCTCCCTGGTTGTCCATGGGTGACCTGGCCACCGAGAAGGCTGGCGGCTGGCCCGACAACGTCAAGGGTCCCAGCGACATCCCCTTCACCGACCGTTTCCCTCTGCCCAAGGCCATGACCAAGCAGGACATTGAGGAGCTCAAGACCGCCTGGGGGGCTGCCGTCAAGCGTGCCGTCAAGGCGGGCGCTGACTTTGTTGAGATCCACAACGCCCACGGATACCTGCTGAACTCCTTCCTCTCTCCGCAGTCCAACAACCGGACCGACGAGTACGGTGGCAGCTTCGAGAACCGCATTCGTCTGACCCTCGAGATCGCCGAGATCACCCGCAAGGCTGTTCCCGAGGACATGCCCGTTTTCTGGCGTGTCACTGCCACCGAGTGGCTGGAGGAGGTCAAGCCCGACGAGCCCAGCTGGCGCGTCGAGGACACCGTCAAGCTGGCTCAGATCCTCGCCGACAAGGGCCTGGTCGACTTGATCGACATCAGCTCTGGTGGAAACAACATTCAGCAGAAGATCAAGGGCGGTCCTGGATTCCAGGCTCCCTTCTCAGTCGCCGTCAAGAAGGCGGTCGGCGACAAGGTTGCGGTCAGCGCCGTTGGCAGCATCAACGACGGCAAGCTGGCCAACAAGCTGCTCGAGGAGGACGGTCTTGACTTCATCTTCATTGGCCGTGGCTTCCAGAAGAACCCCGGTCTGGTTTGGACCTTTGCTGAGGACCTCGACACTGAGATCTCGATGGCCAACCAGATCCGCTGGGGTTTCACCAGCCGTGCCGGTCCAGTCTTCTTGAAGAAGCGCAGCCAGCAGAAGCACTAAATCTTACACAAAACGATGTAACTAGAATCTCGCGTATGAGGACTCCCAGACATGATTGATGGTTTTGTTATGGTCTCTCCCCCTTCCTCTAGAGATACTATCATATAGAGCTTATGAATGAAAATATTACGGATGTTAATCTTTATTCTTCTCCCTGTTCAAATAGATGATATATGAATCACTTACATGTTGATCGCAGTCATCCACCATAGGGAAGTAGTCAAAAAAACCCCCCAATCCCGATAAAGTGTCACGTAGTTAAGTAGTGTCAAAGCGAATCGAATGATTTTCTACCACTAAACCACCACAGATCTACCCGTGCAATAAGTACATAGACCATATCCATATTCGTAACTAGTGTAAATAGACCGACCACACGGGGCATCCGATCGCGTGAACCCCAGATATGCTTTCTCGGAGAGCCTCGGCGCAACGTGTGAATTTTGAAAAAGCCGTCGGACACGGAACCAGATAAGATCTCCGGCGTCCGAAGTTGACATCAAGCCGTTTCAGAATAATGAGAATCCAATCGTCGTCAAAGGAGTGTCGATTACGAAAACAATTGTCGACTTGACTAAGGCATCAGACAGAAAGAATCCTTCTGCCTTGATTGTCTTCTGGGGTAGGTATTTTTTTGAGAAAAAGATCGAGGTAGTTCAACATCCTCGGGAGAAGCAATTGAACCGACTCCGTTTATTTCGAGGATTGGATTAGCCCGCTCCTCGCGCTGGTTACCTGATCTGGGTTGACTTGAGGACTGGCCATTAGTTATAAAGAATCGACAGATTTCCAGCTCACCGTCGGGACTCGGACGTCGAGTTTGCAATCCCAGATCGATCTCGGAGATCGATCGTGATATGGATCGTGGATTATTTCGGTGACTAGTTATCGATCTGCAGCTGTTGTGCAATTAGGTACTTACATCCGATCCCTTCTGCAACCAACCGAGGTGTCTAAGTACCTTGACATTTTCTCCGAAGAACGAAACAGCTCCAAGAACTCCAGTGTCTATCCATCAATCTCGTCGTGGATTACTTTCACTGGCCCCGAACGACACCGCATTTTGTTACTTTTTCTCCTTAACAAGTTAAGGAGCGAGAGCAATCTTGCATAAGATCCAGCAGGCTACTGGTGTCGGAGATCTCGCGTTTGGACGGGGTGGATCTTCAACATACTTAGTCCCTAACCAAGCCAAGCGTCGATGAAGCTTTGGATGTTTGAAGATTCATCATTATTATCATCTCGCCAAGTCCAACTCTTCATGGACAGTTGATATAATCTCGTCCTTTACCAACGAAACATCTCCCTGGAACGCATCGACGGCCAAGACCGCTCTTCTCGACGCAACAATTGACGAACTCGAAAAGTGCATTATCAGTCAGCTGCTAATTACTGGCTGAACCTACTTGGTCTTTCGTGTATTCGTGTCTTGCGAATTACTTCTACCAAACTTACTCGCCATTATTCCTTTTTGATCTCATCGTCTCTTTAAAACATCCTTTTACCCTAACTACAATGGGTCTCTCTAATCCGATTTGGGCAATCTTGTCCTTCAGTCTCGGTATTCTTCTCGTGCAACATAAACCAGAGTACTCCGTGCGAGAATCCTATTTCCTAACGGCCCTATCGATCTTCTTCACAACACTCGTCGGGAGAATTGTCTATACTACAATCCTATATCCGGAATTCTTTACGCCGCTAAGACATATCCAGACTCCGAAGGCAAGTATACACACATACATACAATTAATCATTCATTTTGACCTTCTCGAAAAGGTCGGAACGATCATTGCTAACCTCTTTATAACTATATACAGGGAAGATCATGGCTCAAAGGCAATACGCAATCATTATTCATCGAGTCTCCCGGATCGCGCTGTCTCCGATGGATGGAGGAGATGCCTGATGCGGAACTTATCCGCTACTATCTAGTAGGAAATATGGAAAGAGTGCTTGTAGTGAGCCCTAAAGCTCTAAGCGAGGTTCTTACTCTGAAGTCATACGACTTTCGTAAGCCTGATCTGGCACGGATCTCTCTGGAGCGTATCACTGGTAATGGCGTTCTGCTCGCTGAAGGGGACGAGCATAAGGTTGGTTCGAACATCCTGTATTATCCTGTTTTGGGGACCTTTTCATCCATCTCGCTAACTAATTCATTCCGCAGAGACAACGAAAGAATCTCATGCCTGCTTTCTCTTATCGTCATGTTAAGAATCTCTACCCAGTCTTCTGGGCCAAAGCAGTCGAGATGGTCCAGATGATTGGCGATGAGCTTCGCAGCAAACCAAACTCTCAAGAAGAAGAAGATGATGATGATAAAACAATCATAGTCGGCGACTGGGCCAGTAGAGCCACTCTCGACGCCATCAGCATCGCCAGCATGGGCCGCGACTTCGACACGCTCCGCGATCCAGATAACGAACTCAACAACCACTACCGCCGCTTACTGATGGAGCCGTCCGTGAAAATGAGAATCCTCTTCCTGGTAGCGATGTTCCTCGTCGATTTGGGATTCTTCCAGAAGATCCCCATAAAGCGAAACCGTGACGTTCGCGCAGCATCAAGCTACATCCGAACCGTTGCCCGACAACTAGTTCGCGAGAAGAAAGAACGGCTTGAAAAGAAGACACAAGATGCCAATGGCAATGCCAATACCAACGACGCAGTGACAGCCGCCAGCGACGAAATCGACATCATGTCCGTCGCCCTAACCAGCGGCGGCTTTTCAGAAGAGAATCTAGTAGATCAAATGATGACTTTCCTCGCAGCAGGGCACGAAACCACCGCTTCTGCCTTCCAATGGGTCATCTACGCCCTGTGCAAACATCCAGGAATCCAATCTCGTCTTCGTGACGAAATCCGCGCAAATCTCCCATCCCCATCACATACATCCAATACCATCTCCGCCTCAATCATCGATTCCCTTCCCTACCTCAACGCCGTCTGCAATGAGACTCTCCGCTTCTACCCCTCTGTACCTCTCACCATCCGAGAAGCAGCCCGCGACACCACCGTTGTCGGCCACCATATCCCGAAAGGATCCCTCCTTGTTTTAGCCCCCGAAGCCACGAACCGGAGTAAGGAACTCTGGGGCCCCGACGCGGATGTATTTGATCCGGAACGATGGATGGGTCCAGGACGAGCGAATACCGGTGGTGCGGATACGAATTATGCGTTTTTGAGTTTCCTGCATGGTCCGAGAGGGTGTATTGGTCAGGGGTTTGCGAAGGGGGAGTTGGCGTGCATGGTGGCTGTTACGGTGGGGAGGTTTCAGATGGAATTGAAGAATCCAGATGCGGAGTTGAAGATGAGGAGAGGTGTTACTGTGTCGCCTATTGATGGTGTAGAGGCGAGGTTTAGGGTTGTTGAGGGTTGGTAGTAGGTTTCGTTCTTTAAATGCCGGAGATTTCTTTTTTTTTTTTTTTTTTTTTTTTACGTTTTTATTCCACTATAATGATAAACCTGACCTGTTTGATTATTGCGGTATATATATATATATATATATTGTTCCTTTTCCACCAACTCGATTCTATTGATCTGTCCAGTGTCAAGTTTCTTGCACGTATAGCAAAGGTCTAGCATTTCCAAGAGCAACGGGCGCTTATACACCCACGTAAATAACTAACTACAGAACCAGCTTAAATAAACGTGAAGCAAAGAGTGAACAATCTAATAATACTCCTCTCTAAACACCATAACCCTCTCCTTTTCTCCATCTGCATCTTCTTCGATCCAGGCCCGAAACATCCCCCCACAATTGAAATCGAAAACGACATTTCCTCTCTTTAGCTTATCACCAGGATTCTCTGGGGAGTGAGATGAAATTTCGATCCCGATGATCCCACCTTGTCCCTCACTCGTCTTTTCCCATCGTCTACCTGCGGAGCGCTGCAGTTCACCGCCTTGTCCGGCGATGGCGGTGACTGCCTCAGCGAGCGTGCTCGGGAAAGATCCTGCAGGAGAGAATCGGAGCATCGAGGACGCAGTACGGGCCGCGGCGACGCGTAAGAAAGAGTCGCCGTTGCCAGTTCCTGAGAGGGCGACGGCACGACGGGTGGTAAGAGGTTTGGTATATCTCGGTTGTTGATGGCTCAGAAGGGGTTGCTTTTCAGGGGAACGAGGACGATGTGATCCTGAGTCTTGGTCTGCGGGGACATCCCGGCTTGAAGACAGATAACGAAGGTAAGAGGTAAGACAATCTCCCAGGCACGATTTCAGATAGCGAGTAAAGTCCCAAGTGGTGAGATGTGCGGACTGGTCTGATTCTGCATGTGTTGCCGTTGAACTTGATGTCCCATATACCATCGTCCCAGTCTCACTTTCAGCAGTTACTTTAACATCCCACGCCTCAGCCCAGAATCCCGCTCCGAACGTCGGTGTATCACCAACTCTCCCGGGCTTCTTGTTCGTCAAACCCCCCGTACTCGTAGCAACGGCCAGATTGCCCCATTGGTCCAAACAGACGCATCCCACAGTCCCCTGACTCATTGTAATATCTTCCTTAATCCCCTTCAGGCCTCTCATATGCTCATCCCATCGCTTCTGGGTCCAGAACCACTCGTCAGGCGCAAATTCTAGACCCCATTCGTCAGCCAGCTTCTCGACTTCGAGCCCACTGAGCTGCGAGTGCATATTTCCTCCGTCACCGTTCGGTTCGCCGTTGGAATCGTAACCCGTTCGCAGAAGCGCTTCCCGCGCAAGTTGGATCGGATGCCGTACGCTCCTCACGTTGATAACGCCCGCGCCGCGTTTTATCGTTCCCGGTTCGCTGCTATTCTCCCAGCCCTCTTGAATGGATGTCACCATGACGGAGGCTTCCATCTCGATAGTGCCAGCGGAGGTAAAGACGCTGCCCCGACCGCAGTTGAACAGCTCGTCGTCTTCCATCAGCGAGACAGCATGTACTGCTGCGTCGAGGGCGGTTGCGCCATTCTTGAGCAGTGTGTACGTCGAGCGGAGGTAGGCAAGGAGAGACGCATGGAATTGGTCATAGAGAGGAGGTGGAAGAGTCGAACGATGGATGTCACCCGCGCCGCCGTGGAGGATGAGTGTCGGTTTGAACGTCGGAGGAAGAGTTGCGGACATAGTTGATATGCTATCGGAGGTATCTGCGGGCTGAAGTGGCCTAGTGATAGAAAGCTGGTTGTTCTTTGATGGTTAGCTATCTGGCATCTGAATCCATTCTTTGCAAAATAATAATCGCACACTTCATATGGTGAGGAAAGCTGTAGATCTGCGAGGTGACTTGGAACTATCCATGCGGGAGTACCTGTCACTTGGGGCTTTTCCTGTTACGGAAAGTCACACGTCGTCCCCCGGTCACCCTCGGACTAATCGGGGAAATACCTGGGAGATCTAAAAAAACGAATCGCGCAGTAAAGCAGGCTGTGTATTAAATATCACATTCATTCGGACGTTAATGTACAGGGTCGAACACAATGGCTTGGACAGACTGTCCTAGAAACACGGCCGGAATGGCCTTTTTGTGAACCCGCAATCCCCGACGTAGAAATGCAGAACGCCAAGGGGATGGAACTAATAACCCAGGCGCGAAATAGATTGCTGAGATATTTTCGAGCAGGAACGGAAAGGTAGCGAAATATAAATGGAACCTCTATGTCATGCCGCAGAAAATGAGAACCCGGACCCAACACCAGAGGAGGAGAGATGGTTTTATGAAGAGAGCGGTTAAACTCTTGTCGAAAGATATTGTAGGGTGACTCGTGTATGTTTATGCGACGGCCTTCTCGCCAGCGGGAGGAGGTGGGGGTAGCTGCAACACCATGTGAGTAATAGGTTATCTCGGTGAGGAGCAAGGCTACTTACATCCAACCTCGTGTTCTCAGCCATCATTCTCTGGAATCCAATACCAACACCTTCAATGACACCCAAGAAGATGGCGCACATGATAGCGGAGTTTCTGGCAGCTTTCATACCACCTCGAATGGCCAGCGCACCACCTGTGAAGAAACCGGCAATGACTAGGAAACGACGTCAGACCTTCACTCCAAGCGCATATTGGGTGGACGATAAGGGTCCATAAACATACTGGCATTGTACGGGTCCTCCTTCTTTCTGATTCCCTTGATCGCGCAGTCGAACGTCGAGAACATACCACCCCAGACACCAAAGTTTCCGCCCAGCACCGGGGCACGAGCCTTAATCGCGGTGATCGCACCTATCCGTCGTTCACCGTACGGGCTGTTTCGGAATCCTTTAACACCGTGCCAGACAGCGCCTCCAATAGCCTAAAGCAAGAAAATAACCCATCAGCGCTCAATGTTCGGAGCTGAAGGAAAATACGACCGGCGGGTTCGACGGAGCTGGATGATACATACACCCATACAGAAAGCACCACCAAAGTCACTCAGGGCAACCCAGGGGCAAGGATCTCTCGAGTGATCCATGACGGTATCTATAAAAGAGTAAAGGGATAGGTCGAGGGAATGGACCGGCGAAGAACGGTGGCCTTAGGAGTCGAGATCGCGAGATGGCGCGCGCGGCCAAATAAAATAAAAGGTTGAAAAAACAGGGCCTATCACCCGCACCCTAGTGTACAGTGTTTAAAGTATTAACCGTCTCTGTTAAATGAGACTGGATGGGAGAAGAAAGAAAGGGCCGACGATCGAAAAGCAACAAGATAGACAAAAGCCGGAACTTGGCTTTTTTCTCCAGGTAAACGTGACCGGCTCGAGGGAATGTCACGTGCATCACCACCACCGCCTTCCCAATATGACCGTGGCGTCATCAAAGGTCCATCAGGGTCATAACTATTCACTATTATTATTGTGTGAGTATTTCTATTGTTACAAGTCAGAACTGTTCTTGACAGATGAAGTAGATGCGTGCATGGTGACCTGCTGTGATAAACATCTTGTCGACCTTTCCCCTACTGTGTTTAGTCATCTGACGACCGTTTCCACCTGACGACCACCTTTTCCCCATAGAAAATTAGCAAATTTAAACCTTTATAACTCAACCACAATTATATATTTTTAAAATAAAATTTAATGTATAGATACTATAAATACTAAAATTTAAATTAATTAAATTTTTTTATTAAATATATTAGTATTTATAATATTATAAGTAGTTAAAAATTAGTAAATTTTCTAAAATTTTAACTTAATATAATTTAATTATTTCTTAATATTTTATTATAAAATTAATTATATATTCTTTATACTATAAAGTTTATATAAAATATATAAAACTCTAGAAAATAATTATTATTTATTATAATAATAATAGATAAAGTTTTAAAAATATAAAGTTTTTAATTAACTTTAAATTAATAATAATCTCTATAAATTTTTTATTTTAAAGCTTTAATATATTTATTATTATTATATATTTATAATAAGGTTAAAAAGAATCTAAGAAAAAGCTTATAATATATTAATATTTAATATATCTTATTTTTAAAGCTAAAATATAGAAATTTATTATTTTATATAAATAATTAATATATATTTACTATTTCTTTATATTACTATTATTTATTATATATAAATAATATATAAAACCTTAAAAAACTTTAAATATTCTAGGTAAATCTATTTATATTAATAAAATATAAAGATTTTTAAAAATAATATTTTATATTATTTTAAGATATTTATTATATATATTAATTGTTTAAATTATTTTCTATAATATTTTATATATAGAAATTAATTATATATATTATTTAAGTTTATATTAGTAATAGTATTACTATAAATAATAAAAATAATAATTTTTATACTTTAAAAATAAAACCTTTAAAAAATTATAATAAATTCTAAAAACTTAGAATTTTTTTATTTCCTTATAAATATATAATAATAATTAATATAGAAAAGCTTTAAAATAAAGAGTTTATATATATTTTTACTAATTTAAAGTTAATTAAAAATTTATATTTTTAAAACTTTCTTTATTATTATTATATTATATTACTATTATTTTCTAAAGTTTTATATATTTTATATAAACTTTATAGTATGAAAAATATATATATAATAAATTTTATAATAAAATATTAAAGAATAAATAAATAATATTAAGTTAAAATTTTAGAAAATTTACTAACTTTAACTACTTATAGTACTATATATATTAATAAATTTCATAAAAAAAATAGATTAATTAAAAATTTATTATTTATAATATTTATATATTAAATTTTATTTCAAAATATTTAATTGTTGTTGAGTTATAAAGGTTTAGATTTGCTAATTTTCTATGGGGGAAAAGCGGTCGTCAGGTGGGAACGGTCGGCAGCTGGTCAAAGACTGTAGGTCCGTCAGAGGTTCAGGATATACATTTACTTCGGTGCGATAGAATTCGACAGTTATATATGAGGAGGGAAAAATAAAAATAAATTATATATATATACCTATATAAGAGGACGTCAGGGTGGTACTTTCTCTCAAAGTCGAACACGTAATATTTATCTAGACGTCTTCCCCAAAGCTCTCTATCAACTACCGGGATAGGAGCCGAATCTCGACCTCGGAAGTTAAGTAGAGAGGTTCGTTCGGCTGTTAACCCGACAAAGAAGATCGTACATACATATGTTTACCCCATCCTCGGGGTCCATTCCGGATTCCGACGGTAGTATTAATACTTTTGAGTACCGTATAAGCATGCATATTAAGAAGGAAGTAAATAGTACTCTCAAATCAGTCTCATAATTACCTACCTATCGCAGCTACATTCAGCATCAGGATAGGATGCTACCTTCCACGACCGAGGTCCTCATCTGCGGCGCTGGATCAGCCGGTCTCTGTGCCGCTGGGTGGCTAGCGCGTTATGGACTGGAGTGCACAGTCTTGGAATCATCGGACGGTCCTCTAAAGTTGGGAAAAGCCGACGGAGTGCAATGTCGGACAGTCGAGATTTTTGAGAGTCTCGGTCTATCAGACCAGCTACTACGTGAATCGTACCATGTCAACGAGGTCACCTTCTGGAATGCAGGCGAGAAGGGAATCGTGAGAACCAGCCGAACGGCAGATACCCCGACAGGGCTCAGCCACATGCCACATGTGATCCTTAACCAAGCGAGGATCAACGGCCTGATGATCGAATATATGAAAAAGTGGAATAATCAGCAAGACATTAACTACGGCTGGGCGGTTACCAATGTGCACGTTGACAAGGTCTCCCAAGACGATCTGGAGGCGTATCCTGTTACTGTGACCGCTCAGAAAGACGGGGTAGAGCACAAGATCAAGGTGAAATATGCGTTGGTAAGTCTTCTTCCCTTCTTTTTCAAGATATGCACGCTTGCTGATATTGCCAGGGTTGTGATGGTGCCCATAGCACAGTCCGCAAGTGCCTTGGCTATACAATGGTCGGAGATACGACGGATTCTGTCTGGGGTGTGATGGACGTTTACCCTCAGACGGACTTTCCCGATATCCGCAAGAAAGCAGCTCTTAAATCTGCTGCTGGATCATTGCTGATCATTCCCCGTGAGGGAGGATCTATGGTCCGTCTCTATATCGAGCTTCCTCATGGAACCAAGCCCAAAGAAGTCCGCCTCGATGACCTCCAGGCTACTGCAAAGCGTATCTTCGCCCCGTACTCTCTTGAGATCGTTGAGACATTCTGGTGGTCTGCATACAGTATTGGCCAGAGACTCTCTGATCATTTTGACAAGGATTACCGCGTTTTCCTGACCGGTGATGCTTGCCACACCCATTCTCCCAAGGCCGGCCAAGGAATGAACGTCTCTCTTCAAGATGGATACAATATTGGTTGGAAGCTGGCCCACGTACTCATGCGTCGGGCCAGCCCAAGCTTGCTGCGCACGTACACATTCGAGCGTTCAGAAGTCGCTGCGAATCTCATTGCTTTCGACCGCGAATTCACTCGGCTTTTCAGCCAAAAGCCAACCTCGACTGACGCCCCTGATAGTTTCTCCAAGTACTTCATCCAGTCAGCCAACTACACGGCCGGACTCACTTCGAAATATAAAGACTCTCAAATCACAGATTCTGCGAACAGCAAGCAGGAATGTGCTCCAAAAATCGTTGTCGGTATGCGTCTTCCAACCGCGCAAGTGGTGCGCCATTCCGACTCGTACGCAATGCAACTGCTTCGAGCACTGGTCAGCGATGGCAGATGGCGTCTTATCTTGTTCCCAGGTGATATAGCGAAGCAGCAAACCAGAGACAGGCTCCACAATGTGGCGAAATACCTAGAGAGTGAAAAGGGACCAGTTCGCAGCTTAACTCCGCGCGACCAGGACCTAGATTCAGTCATTGAAGTCCTCTTAGTCGTCAAGGGCGACAGGTCCGCATTGGAGCAGAAAGATATCCCCGAGATTTATCGTCCTGTGTATGGAAAGTGGCGTATGAGAGGTATACGTACTTGGACAGTGCACAATATGGACCAAATCGACTAATCAGCAGTTTACTTACAGATCCGCATAAGATTTACTTCGATGATGAAAGCCACAACCACGGCCACGGCCACGCCTATGAGACTTATGGCATCGACCCAGAGCGTGGTGCGCTAGTAGTCGTGCGACCTGACCAATGTAAGTATACCTCTCATAATACAGACCACGACCAGGAACTGACACCAACCAGATGTCTCCTTGGTAGTTGATCCAAACAATGTCGAGGCTATTGGTAAATTTTTCCAGGGCTGGGCAAATACCCCGACTGCGCGACTGTAAAAAAACACCAAGAACGCACTACATCCTTTTATTCATGATGTAAATATGTACCACGATATATCTTCCCTGTTCTAGATGCATGATAGCGTCAGATATACTGGATATACAAGTATGGCATGCACAGCATTTTAATCTGCCAATCTGAACGGATGCCAAACCTAAAAATATATTAATTACCCGATCGACGATCCTGGCAAGCCCCGGTTTCAGGTTTGTGAAACGGGGAAATTCCAAACCTGGTACAGCCGCTTCTTCAGGATTTGGTGGCTATCTCTGTTTCTCCAAGCAAACGTGTCGGCCTCTGCGGGGGAAGATGGGATCATGAGTGATATATTGGATGCGGTGCTGAATCCGGAGTAAAGGCCTGTATCGGATATATAGGGGTGTGTATATTTCCCGTTCCCCTGAGAAGGGGACCAGGATCTACGTAAAACGAGTTCCTGCTGTTTATGAACTTGATTCAGTTGTCTCCACAAGGATGAGCTATTATAGACGTAGAATTAATTGCGAAACTAGTATATTGAAATTATTAAACAGGCCCATCTATATGCACCACACAAGTCTATGTAATCTTTAGCGAAGAGAAGTAGCTATACCTTCTATTGATGGTCGAAAGAAAAACGTTGAGACACGAACAAAGAAACTTCGGAACATAAAGTCCCGATCGAATAAGAAAGACTGGGAATAACACCACTATTCCGCTTTCTTGGAAGCCTTCGTCCTCAATCTCATAAGGACGTAAACAAGCGAGTAAGAACTGATGGCAAAAATGACAACAATTGCAGCATCCCTCCAACCATAGTAATACTTCTTCAGGTTGACAGTGTAGAGGTAGTCCGCTCCTTTCCTATACTGGCAGACCTTGCATCCCGAGGTTGCATCAGGGTTGATGAGATTTGCAAAGATGCCGGAACCTTTCATGTAATCGGAGAGGTAATTGCCGCAGGTAGTTCCGTTGGGAGGGTCGAAGATGGCAAATTCCGATTCTGCACATTTGATGTCCGCGTCCCAGACATTGAAGACTAGGAGGCCTCCGATCAGATAGTTGAATGGATTGAGGTAGTAAATCCAATAACGCCAGAAGGCTTGGATTTGGCCGTAGGGCACTAGGACACCACAGAATGACACCAGGGTACCGATAATGAGAGGGTTGGCGAGAGCGGCGAAGGTGGCGTTAGGTGCGTAGGCAGCAATGAATTGGCCAATTCCGGTGTAGACGAATTCGTACATGAGCATGATGAAGAAAGTGGCACCGGCTTTGTTCGAGTCATTGGGGAAACCGACAGTGTAGTACCAGCACACGAAATAGAGGACAGCGCAGATGCAGAGGTATGGGAATTCGGAAACAATCAAGGCCGTCACAAATGCCTTCCAGGAATACATCTTAGATTTCTTCTCCCGAGTCTCGTATATATCACGACGCTCAATGAACAGTGGCTGCAGTTGGTTGATGACACCGGGTGCGACGAATATGAAGTTGAAAACAGTGAAAAGGCGCAGCTGGAGGTCAGACACGGTATCGCCAATCATCCAGAATGAGAAACCGTTAAACAGAGCCAAGGCGATATGCAGGGCGAACTTGTTGTTGACGTAGTCGGTGTTGCGCCATAGTGCAGTCGACATTCTCTGAGTCACTATCTTGGTTTGTTCCCACAGCGGCATTGCAAATTCATGTCCATCATCCTGCGTCTCCACTGGTTTGGCGGCAGCCTCGCTGATCATCCGATCCAACTCTTTCACCGTGTAGTCATGTTCAGGAGATTCCAGCCAGACCTTATTCCAGTCTTTCCCTTGAGAAAGAACACCAGAGACGACGTCGATCATATGTTCCGCCGGGTTACTCTCCGGGGGACAGGGAGCCCCGTATCTGGCGAAATATTCTCTGATAGTCTGGGCATTGTCGCCGATATCACCAAAGTAAACAGTTTTACCTCCTCTTGCAAGAAGCAAGAGAGTGTCGAACTGAGCAAACAGTTGGGCTGACGGCTGATGAATAGTCACAAGGACCGCCTGACCAACATCTGCGAGCTTCCTCAAGAAACGAACTGTGTTGTAAGCTGCTTGACCGTCCAGACCCGAGGTGGGCTCATCCAGGAAGATTAAGATGCTTGGCTTGGACACAAGTTCAACGCCGATAGTGACACGCTTCCTCTGCTCCACGGAAAGGCCTGCGCCCACCTTACCAATCATGGTATCTGCGAGATCGTGAAGTTCCAGCAGATCGATAATGACGTCAACGTACTTCAGCTTCTCCTCCCTGGGAACATGGCGAGGTTGACGAAGAAGAGCGGAGAATTCTAGTGCCTCGCGGACGGTTGCGAAAGGTTCGTGGACGTCAAGCTGCTCACAATAACCAGCAGATCTCTGGAATGAAACAGAGAGTGGGCGTCCATCGACCATGATTGAACCATGAATCGTACCATCGGTTTTGCGCTGAGCAAGCACATCCAGCAAAGTTGTCTTTCCGGCACCTGATGAACCCATCAAGGCACCTAGCATACCAGGTTTCACCCATCCCTGCACATTATCAAGAAGCACACGATCACCAGAGGGGGTCTTGACCGTGTAGGTGAGGTTCTTCCACGTAAAAACCGATGTATTCCGTACCAGATTGTCATCGATAGCATTCCTAGCTTGCACCCCAGTACCTGACGAGGAGCTGCTGCCAATCTGTTTTTCATTCGCTTGTGATTCCTCATCCTTGCGAGCAGCGTGTACCTGCTTTAACTTCTCTCGAGGAATAAGCATTGAACTACCTGATTCGGATGGCGATTTCCACCTGGACGTGAAGATGACGGTAACCGCCACGAACAGCGCCCACCAGGCCCACACGATTCCAAAGTTTCTCCAGAGGTGGGCATGGCTGTAGCTTAGAGACTTCAAGTACGAATCTCCATTGACGGTCACTTGGCCTTGTACCTCGCCCCCGACACCTGCACAAGACTGGTGTGCTGGATCAGAATATCCAGGACCACTTGGGACCAAGTTATTTCCGACGCAAGGTATAGTCTTTTTATGGAACTCATTTGCCAAGAGACTCTGGAAAGCATATGCCAGAGGGTCAATCCAATATATCCAGCCTAGCCACGGGTGCATACTTGGCTTTCGAATCATATATCCGGTATACATGACCAATGCGCTGATGAGGAAACCTGAGACTTTGGATGCACCGTCGAAGGTTTTGAATGCGGCTCCAACAGCTCGGAACATTGCCGTCATACACTGCCGCAGTTGTTAGCTCTAGTCTCATCGGAGAGATAGGGAGTTACTCACCATAGTCCCGGAAAAAATGATAATCCAATACGTGAAGAAAAGACCAGCATCCATAGTCAGGCCAACCATGAAGTACACGATAATGGAGAAAATGCTGACTTGGATAAGGATGATAGGTATATCAGCAGTGATCTGTGCAATACAGAATGCTGCTGGGTGGAAGTAAGCAAAGGATTTGTGCTTCACGAGAACTGGTCGTCCATGGAAAGAGTCCGTGACCTCGGACATGGAAAGCAGACTGTTGTATAAGAGCGAAAAGAAAAGGGCTCCCGATTTGACGAAGAGACCACCGGAGTTGTCCGGAGCGTTATAGAAAAGGGATCCCGATATAAGAGCCTGGGCCAGGGTGGAAATCTGCTTGATCAAAAAGGTTGCCTTGTCACCCCACAGGATCTGGTATTGTCGTATGATACATGCTTTGACCTGATCAGGAAAGCTGACAGTGTAAGGGCTGTTCTTCGATTGATGTGTATCCTTTTCGAACGCAACAGAGTCTTTGAAGTTCTCCGTTCTGGAAACGGCAACTTCAGTATTCGGGTAGTCGTATTCGCTTGTCATTCGCGTGAAGATATCGGACTTCTCATACTCGGAGCGGATTTGCTCTGCGTTCCTGGGGAACCTACTCTCGTATCCTTCGCGGATCTGACGCTCCGTAGGCACAGTTACTCCAGTGAGATAATCAGCAACGTTTGCGCCCTCTCTGCAGACGAAGCCGAGACTCTCCATAAAGGGTCGAGCCTCCGTCATAGGACCATAGTAGATCTCCTTGCCCTCATCGAGCACGAGAACTTTGTCGAACAGGTCATAGATACCGTTTCCTGCTTGGTACAGGGTGACGATGGTGGCCAGCCCAAGCACGTCAGTCATCGCCCGTAGGGCCTTTGCCCACTCCAGCGCACTACTAGCATCCAATCCACGAGTACTGTTGTCCCAGCAGAACACGGAACCTCTCGTTGCAAGACACTCGATGATGGAGACACGTTTCCTCTCTCCTCCGGACACTCCACGGACGAATTCATTTCCGACCTTGGTATCGCGAGTGTGTGATATTCCCATTGATTCGAGTAGGAATTCTTTCGTCTCAGCCCTGTACTCCTCTCGAGATTGGACGTCGTTGGGAAGGTGGAATGGGACTTTGAGCTTTGTGGCGAAGTCCATGGTCTGTCCAACTGTGAGTGTTGGAAAGAACAGCTCTTCTTCCGTATTCATCACAATCTGGCCGCGATACTGGGCAGCCTCCTCATGACTCATTGCCCCAAACTTCACGTCGCCGTTGATAGAAGCATAGCCACCCCGTCGGTTGGACAGCATTTTCAGGAGCGTGGTACATCCTGAACCGGGTCGACCAAGAACCAGGAGCATTTCTCCTGGTTTCACGCAGCCATGGGTGTTGTCGAGGATAGTTTTGTTCGGCAGCTTGTGTCGACTTTCCTTGATGAGCTTCGGGAGGTTCAACTGAGAAAGGAGATTCTCATTGACGGCGGCGTCCGCACTGGGAGCCTCCACGGTGAGGTTCTTCCAGGTAACCCCAAGCTCACGCCCCTTGAAACCGGCTTCGAGTTCTCTTTCGTGTGTCTCCTTGACTCTTGGCATCAACTTCCAGCCGCTGGAGTTGTCGTTGTCGTTGGTCTTCTTTTCTCCATTGGCAGGGTCATTGACGAAGACAGTAGCGGCACTGTCCGTGTCATTCTGGATCGACACGTCTTCCGACGCCAGAGCTGTGTTTGGGGTCGCCATGGTGCCTGAAGTTCACGGATCGGCCTGACCATCTTGATCTGACAGGGCCAACCCGGTCTATTTATTATTTCAGCAGGAAATAAACCAACTAGCTTTCGGAACGGAAGCGGCCCAAAAGGACGATTTCGAGTCCGCTAGGTCCAGTTCTAGATCCGTTCCGGCTATCTCGTCGCTGTTTCGCGTAGTCGACGCCCCGAACCACATTACGTTGACAGATGGATGATCTGTGGGGACAGCACTGATCAAGACTATGTAAAATGGCAGTCGCGGAGCCCATGTTTTTCTTTTGTCGCCAATCTGAGAACGCGAAAGCAAAAAACTCACTCCATTCAGCTGCTTTCTTTCGGAATTGGCCCCTGTCCGAGCCGAGAGAGCCCGTTTATGGATTTTATGGATTTCCAACCGACGGGTTAATTCCGCTTAGTCATGCACTTGGCCATTGCAATTTGCGATTCACCCAATAATAATGATTCATTATTACTGCGTATATCCGGTCTGCTAGTCGATTATCCGATCCGAGATATCTCCACCTGAACTGTACCATACAGTAGATTCTCTCTCATTATTATTATTATTTGCGTGGATATTGGAGTATGATTCACTGCGCACCGAATCCGGCGTCGTCTTTCGGGTAAATAAGAATAATGGCTTGACATCGGATATATACATACTCGATCTGAGACCGCGGCGCATGCATTATTGACTAGGTAGTTAGCCGGCTGTTGATCTGGCGCAGGCCGCAGCATCCCCGTTATCTACATGCTCTGTTTAGCAGACAAAACGGAACCGATACAGAGTATAGTAGATAGTATAGGGCTCAGCTTCCTAGGCAGCCGCCACAAGAACATACCATGGCTGTGGCATACTATCCAGAACGGTCCGGACCGTAAGGCTCTTCTAGAAGGAAGGAAGGACGTTCATCCGAGATCTGGCAAGGAAAGATCCTCTTGCACGGAACGGGTTAGCGGCAAATCTAATTATTCTCGGGAGCCCCACAATCTTAACTATCTTTTTCTTTTTTTTCCGCTGAATAAGCGGATGGCGGATGGCGTTCGGGCGTCGGGCGTCGGGCTCCGGCTCGGAGGGCGTTTATAAATACACAGGAATCAATGTATCATTATTATTAACTATCGACTGCAGGTGTGGATCGCTGCAGGCGCAAATTTAGTAAAATAATAACAGTGTTTGTCTGCATCTTATTGCCACAGATCACTTCTATGCTGCGTCTGTTTCACCTTTTCTGGAAGACCCAATGCACTCTTGAACCGAATCCAGGAATTAAGCTCTCAGGTCTACTCCGTAGTTATCGTCCGTATGTATCTACTATTATTGTTTTGCAGGAACCCACCCAATCCACTAAAATATCGGTGGTCTTAACAACCGATCGCCGTCGACAATCCGGTTGTCCGAGATGCGACCAGGCAGTGAGCGTCCGCCTTTGCAGATGCTGAAACACAAAATGTTTTCGATGCTTAGCTTAGAACGCAGTACAGAACTCGGTAGAGATGGCAATTGACATTATTTGCGTGGACAGACAAAGTACAAATTTCTTTTTTTTTTTTTTCTTGTCTCTTCCCTTTTTCCCCAGAGAGTTGATAATAATAAATATCCTTTACCATGTTTATTCCGAATGACCCCTTAGGTACACTATGACGGCGATAATGACGCTTATCTCCGCCTGCTGCGTCAGATAGTTAGGCCCCGAAGTGGAACGGAAGGATGCAATGCAATTCTGTTGAATTGTCAACAATGCAAATTCTAGGGTTATTTTATTTTCACTAATCCTGTGGGGATAATCATCAGGCAGGCCATTGGAAACAATATCCTTCCCGGGCACCAACAAATCATATTAGATATCAGAAGAAAGTTCTGGAAAGACCCATACCATACGCATAATATGCATTAAGCAGTAACTAATGTGTGAGGATTTGATAAGAATGTTCAAGCAGAACGCTCACTGCATGCCTTTTCAATAGCGCATTTTGCAAGCCTGCCCAGTTCCGCCACAAACTCCGTAATGACTTTCAGGTGAATGAGTTCCTTTACAGAGATCTGACGGCGGAATAGCCCCCTCACAAACACGGGAGCTTTGTTAAGTAGCTCGACGTCCTTAGCGGCTTGCGGGTGGAGGGGATGTAGAAGTACATGACAGAAGATGGTCAGAAAAGCAGACATCGGGTAGAAAAGGACAACCCTGGATTGGTTCCAGTCAGTTGCATGCTTTGCCAATATCGGTGAATAGAGAGGATGAAAACGTACCAGAAGCAGTCATCTCCTAGAACGTGTTCTGCAGTCTGTAGGTAAAATATGGTAGACCGACTGGCTTCGACAGATAACGCTAAGCTCGACCCAACCCCATCCAGAACGCCGTCCTCAGGGCCAGCCCATGCTTTGCATCGGCTTGTCGCCTGATGGATCATTGATAAGCAGTGATGATAATCCAGCCGCATCATCACGACACCCATGTCCATAGTGGCATCGATTGGCATCTCGTAAGAGAAAGACACGGTCGGTCTGATCCGCGGTGGCAGCGATACCCTCCATCTCTCCAGATCAGCGTCTAGCTCGCGGATAGCTCGCAGAAGTTCCGCGTCTGTTTTTTGGAGAGCGCGCACTGAGTAGAGAGCGTCGTACGCTCTTGACTTTATCATGCTGAGTCGAAGATCGAGCGGGAACAACGGCACTTCCGGGAAGTTGTTGCGTGGCGATTCAGGATCAAATCTCGCATAGAATTGGTCGACATACTGCGCTGGCAAGGTAAGATCGCATTGCGAGTCAGAGATACACGGGGGTTGGCCGGTACGCAGAGATATATCCTTGTCTATCGAATAACACAACCAAAACAGATTCCGGAGGTGATATGTGGCCAATGAGCGCAAATCGTCGGACGGGGATATCGAGTCGCCAATGCTTGGGTTCCTATGGGCGCCGAGCATGAATATGAAACGTGCCGTAAGAGACGACATAGAGGCTGCAGTTGGTGTGTTTCCCGAAGCAAGTTCGTATATGGCCTGATGTGAGGTTAATAATGTACGGAAAAGCTAATTCATCTAAAGAGATCAACAACGCCGACACTTACCATCATGACGGCAGTTTGCAGCCCGTCCGAGCTGACTGGCTCCCGTAAAAGTTGCGGTAGCAGACATTGCGCTTTCAATGCAAAGCCCTCGCTGTCCACAGCGGGATATGCCGGTCCCCGAATATTCAAAACAGAGCAAAATGCGAGGAAAGAGTATATACATGCTTTGGCGCTAGCACTTTGGTAATACTGATTGGCATGCCCGTGGCCATAAGCCGTGTTCAGGGTTTCGGTGAACAGAGTCGTATTCACGACAGGAAAGACGAGGCGGAAGATTGTCGAATTATAGACGTCCACATACTCTTCCACCGTTTTGCGATCAGGAAGTTCCAATGAACTCGACGACTGCAGGTTCATCAAAACAGCATCGGATCCTAGATTTCTTTGGTTCTGCCATGGTGGTCCCAATGTGCACAGCTTGTCAAAGTCGACTCGCTGTCCGGTACGAGCTCGGACCCATTTTTGGCCCTCTAGGGAAAAGAATGGGATTCCATTGTATGAGCTAATATCTCCTAGGTTGCGTCCTGCGAAATGGAGCTTTCCAAAGCAGACAGCCAAAGATTGCGCGGCCGGTGTAACGTGTTGTCTAATATCGGTGGCCGGACGACTTTCAGGTTTATCTGTGACTCGTCACGATGATTGGTATGGGCCACGGAATCACTGAACATGAAGTCACTGACCGGTATTTGATAATTTCTCTGTCAATATTATTTCAATTTTGTCCATGCGTTCCGCCAGACTTAGCGAGGTGCTCTGTCTACAGTCATATTAGTGGGGGCCTCTCAAGAAATAGAGAATTAACCTAGGTCATTACCGCTCAGTGACATATTTCCTCTTGCGTCTGACACGAATAGCTCTCTCGAAAGTGCATGGGATGTTGTGATGTTTGCACCAGTTACACTGTGGACGTTCCGCATCACATTTAATCTGAATGTATTGAGTTACTTTAAGATCAGCTGACAACCCAGAATGATCTATAGTTAGTTGACAGAAGAGACTCAGAACAGATCACGGACCTTTCTTCTATAGCATGAGTCGCAGGCCCGAGCGGTTCGTTTCCGCGGGGGTCCATCGGTGGACTCGTCGGATCTCGACGACTGCGGCGTGGTATACATACAACAAGAAAGGGAACGCGCTGGAATACAATTTCACGAATAAGGAGAGAAAATCTTTATTACTTGATTAACCTTTTGACAAGGGCTAGTTAGTGTTAGTCGGGTAGTTGCCGGCAACCTTGGAAGACGAGGAATTTCCGCTTGATATATTCCGGAATATCGGAGAGTTCCAGTTTCCGCTGAATCAGCTCCCAAGGGTGGATTCTTAACTAACTTTAACTAACTTACACTAGTTAGTTGATGAGAAAGTAATCCTTTGGGTGCTTTTGCGGTCAATTACACCTTGACTGGCAAATAATTAATATTGCATGTACCTATCAGCATGCGCAGTCTCTATTAATGCACAGAGAACATATTATCTAGGAGCGCTAAAGCACAGCGAATCTAAGGTTATGCTAGAAGGCTTTTTTGAAATGGCCTTCATTTGCGTTCACTGCGCAATTGCTGTTCCCACAGAAATAGTCGGAAGTGGCCAAACACAATATCGCTTTCCTTTGATATGATTCTGGATCATTGTTATGTGCTGGAGAATACAAAAAAAAAACATTGCATGTCTGCTCTGCGATCATCGTGAGATCGGATACGGTTTTCGGCCTGACGAATCAGGCTTCCATACGATCCCACACCCCGCCTCGGCTACCCCGACCTCATCTAAATCATGGGAAACAATTAAATAGAACTCGTTAAATCACATTGAAGCTCCTTGATCAGTATCATATTCGAACCTCTGATTTGGGCTATCTAGCCTCAAGTTCGCAGTCATGTCTCTCGTTCAAGCACTCCAATATGAACTCAGTGCTCAAATACCCCGCTCCTCTTCTTCCCATCAAGAGCCACAGCTACAGCCTTCAATGGATACTATGCCAGCTACATCAGACCATCAGAATGGCTTCCAGGATGACATTGTCGATGAGAATACTCCTATTCCTGCTGAGGTAGCACGCCGGGTCTTCGATGTTGCTCCATTGAACGTAATGAACAAGTCGCGTCGCGTAGTCATTACTTCATTGGTCATCTTCAGTAATCTCGTGCAGGTATGATAGTCGGCGATTAACAGTAATCTGAAAACGATAAACCAGACTTAATACAATAACACTACTGGCAGATGATTGTCAATTTCGTCGGTGTCTCTGGAGGGATGAAACTTGGCGATGCATTGGGTGTGACTCAAGCTCAAGCCACTTGGATCGCGGCTAGTTATGCGTACGCATGTCTCATTATAAATTCCGTTTTTCTAGATATGTCGACTAATTTCAGAGGATGAATTCTACAGTCTGACCCAGGGCACATTTGTCCTGATCAGCGGTCGGTTGGGTGCCGTCTATGGGCATAAAAATCTCCTCTTAATAGGTGGTGCCTGGCTAAGTATATGCACTCTCGTGTGTGGATTCGCCAGTAATTTTTATGCGTTTACAGCAGTGCGAGCGCTTTCAGGAGTTGGAGGAGCGTTCATACTTCCAAACGCCGTCGCAATGATCACCATCACAAACCCTCCAGGGCGTGTGAGGAATCTCAGTTTGGCCTTCTTTGGTGCTTCTGCACCAGCGGGTGGATATATCGGTGCTGTCCTATTGGGAGTGTTCCTGGAGGCGACGGAATGGAAATGGCTTTTTGTTTTCATGTGAGTATCAATGTCAAACGTTGGTGGCTAAGCCCAGCTACTACAAAGATGCTGATGGCAATGACCATGTAGAGCAGCACTTGGTGCCGCCACTTTCCTTCCCCTGTCCGCAATCCTCCCGAAAGAGGTTCCTGTGGATCGGGAAGGCAAGATTGACTGGGTTGGAGCGGGATTGGGAACATGTGCTTTGATATTATTCAACTTCGTTTGGAAGTAAGTGATGCATCAATTATCTCCGCCTTCGGAAGATGCTTTAACTGACACACTATATATAGCCAAGCTCCCAGCGTCGGATGGTCGACAGCTTATGAAATTGCTCTTCTGGTATTATCTGTCGTTCTCTTCGCTTCCTTTGTCATCTGGGAGAAACGTTTCACTCCTCATCCGATCATGCCCTTGGATATATTCAAGGCACCGTCATTCTCTGCCCTTATTCTCGTTGTCCTGCTTAATTATATGGCCGTCGGGACTCTCATTTGGTACCAGATCCTGTGGCTGGAAGAGGCGTGGAATTGGTCTTCTCTGCAATTTGCCGTCGGTTGGACACCTTTCCTGATCTTTGGCACTGGAGCTGCTGGTCTCGCAGCATGGCTTATTCCACGCCTAGCCGCTCAATGGATACTGGCCATTGGGACCATAACGATACTTGTCTCCAATCTGCTCATGGCGACGATGCCTCCGCAGCAGACCTACTGGGCACAGGTTTTCCCGTCGGTAATTCTCTTTGCATTTTGCCCAGATCTGGTGTACACAGCTGCCCAGATTATAGCGAGCAATGCCGTAAACAGGCATCAGCAAGGCGTGGCTGGCTCCCTCATCGGAACGCTTAATCTGTACGGTAACAGTTTAGGCCTTGGTTTTGCTTCGACGGTCGAGACCGAAATTAGACGCCGGACACAGAGTACCATCATGGGCTACAAGGCGGCACTGTACTTCGGGGCAGGCATCAGCGTCATCGCATTGGTGCTAGACCTCCTCTTTGTTCGGCTTGTCAAGGATGACCGCGAGGGATGGCAGAACGCAAATGATATGGATCCAGCAGATGAAATCGAGCTAACTTCCAGTGCGGCTGCTACTGGAACACAGCTACCAACCGCTTCACAGCGCGCGACATAGGCCCATCGTTACATGCCATCTATACCGAGTACATGTATCAAAAACTCCATCGTCCATACGTTAGCAAGATAAAATTTGTTTTGATTTCGAAGATAAATTTAGATATGGAAGAATCGTCTCTATATGCATTCTTTGTTACTTAGCGGAATCAAAAGTCTTCATTGACGTCAGGTCAAATCTATCGGACTAGGATATGTATACTGGATAAGTATCCTGTCGAGATAACTACAACGAATTTTTCATATATACGTTGATATCCATTTACATTTCTCCTATCTTCCATTGAGTAATAGAGCATGGAAACTTATGAAGAATAATAAGTACAGATTGAATAATAATTTCATTCGTAATGCTATACATCTAATAACTAAAGTACCTGCATGGGTATCGATAGAAACCTATGAGAATCCGAGTCAGTAACAGGACCCTTTTGCATGCAAACAGAAAACATGCTGAAAGCAAGACTATCGGCAAATTAATTCTTATCGGCACAGTTATGCACCCATAGCAATTAACTTGATTTCAGATAGTAGATGCACGATGTAATCAATAAAACACTTTTGTGTTTTTAATATGGGGTTGAAACATATTAAAAAAGCATCAATCATCATTTTGGGTAGGGGTGGATAAGGAGACGAAGAGAGGAACATACCAAAACGGATCGTCGCTGGAAGCAAGCTTCTAACTCGGTGGTACCTGGATAGGACGACCTTGATCGAAGCTTTGCCTACAATGTCATAGAGCAGCCACCATTTGGCTGCGATAATGTGCAACTGCCCTTCTCTCTAGCCAACGATAATCTCACTGTACACCAATCATCAATGGGACGTTTCATCTGTGAGAACAATGTTGTGTTGCGAGCGAAGTCGACTTGCTGTTGTTGTACAGGAAGAAATGTTCTGAGTGGGAAAAATTCGGTTAATTTATCCCGCTAATTGACCACGTGATGCGGTGCGGATAAAGTTGCATGCCGGCCCACTTGATCTAGAAATCCGACATGGAACGCGTGCTGAGATCGAGTGGTTGATCTCACCGGCCCCTTTTTAGCCTGACATAGATGATGAGTAGTGGTGGTGCACGGCATGATAAACTGATCAAGTGTTTCATGGATGGGCCACCAGAACGCGTCGCGAGCTCAATACGTAACTGCCGGTCCGAGAAATCGCAATAAGCAAGCACTTGAGGGAAGCATATTGCGTGCAGCCGACGCCAATCCGCAGTAATTAACGATCTCAGGATCTTCCAGTAGTCCATCAGATAATTCAGCGGTGAGAGAAACGTGAAGGATGATATGGTGCCATAAGTCTTGTCCATGGCCTGATCTGAGCCTTCAATCGGTGCCGCTTTCTTCGTCCAACAATTGCCAGATCTGCTGAGCATATTCGACGGCTTTCTTGTTCAACTCTTTGTCCGTCTCCATTTTCTCCCGCGAAAACTGAGAAGCAGCATCTGCGTCACTGCCCTCGTTCTTCAACTGCTGCAGAATGGTCTCCACCTTTGCCTTGACTTGGTCCATTTCTTCTATGTCTTCCTTCGTCTTCTGAAGTTGTTCTTCCATCATTAGAATGAGTGATTCTCGTGCTTGGTGCGGCCTGTAGAGATTGAGAAGATGGTGCGCGTTGACGAAAAGATTTCGCATATCCTCAAGCTTTGGCTCGAATTGTTCCGGTGCTACGGAAAGGATACCGATAAACTCGAGAAAGTTCAAAAGCAATGACTTGCTAATTTTCAAGAGATAATAGGCATGGTTAAGAGGGCGCGAAGGACGCGACAGCGATTGTTCGTCGCCAGCCTCTGTCGCTGGCGGAGAGGGATAAAGTTGCTCTATTCCTTGTTCTTTCAAGGAAGGCAACGCAGTCGAGAGCTACCCGTTACTATGTTAGCTGAAAATATCAGGAGACTCAGGCTACCCTGGTCAGTATAATGTCACGTACACTTTGGAGCTCGCCGAAAACACTGTAGTGTCCATTACTGGGGACTTCCGGAGGTATAAGGAAACGAAGCTCAGGCGGCACCTTGAGAGCCCGCAATTCCGCGGGTGTCCATTTCTTCTTGCCCTTGGGGTCCTGTCCTTCCCTTGCTTCTTGTTTGATCTCTTCGAGCTTTTGCAGATTGGCAGGCGTGAAGTGCTTCCAGAAAGGCGGAGGCGGAGGAAACGCCGCTGTGAGAGCTCGTTGCTGCGCACCGTCGGCCATGAGGGGCACTGGATATGCGTTCAATGGTGTCTTCCTAACGTCGCGAAAAGCTAGGGAAATCTGCTCCAGTACTGAGCCGGACGTTGGCACCGAATCGCAACTGATCTTCTGGACTTCTCAGCCGGAGTTCGAGTCGGCGGACAGTTCGCAGTGACGATCGACGCGCAACCGTGGTCCGTGCCCTCCCTAAGTATCCCGCTGGAGCTGGAAGGCTGCTTGCTCACTGTAAGTATCCTAATCGATGTGCGCTGCGGTCCACGTAGCTGCTATTCCGCTCAATTATTCTTCCCTCTTCAATCCTCGCAATGAGGTCTCAAATTGACTGCCGTTCTCTGGATTTCTGAAGCCTCAAGTCTTCATAGCAAGGCCCATTGCGAATGTCGCGCAACGCGGGATCTCCGAGGCCCATGCCTCTGTCGAATAGACCTGGTGTCGCCGGAGCGCTGTATCGCTTCTGGCAAAGATCATACGCGTCCGATTATATTTCTTTGGGCTTTCTTGCCGTGGGATGGGTACTGGTTAGTGTGACTTCGCACGGATTGATACTTCCGGAGTTCAACTTGCAGACCGAGCACTAAGCTGATTATGATGATCTACAGATACAAATAACTGCCAAACCTTTCCACCAAATGTTCACTTTGGATAACGTCTCCATCCAACACCCATTTGCTGTGGTGGAAAGGGTACCTGTCTGTAAGGTTTAAGACGCTCGCTTTCACGACTCTTTTCTGACCGTTCCATCACAAGTATGGTCTATCATATATGCCGGAATCATACCCCTCCTAATTCTCTTCGCATGGGGTAGTATCTTTCACCCTGGTGCGCATAAGTTTCACGTAACAGTGCTCGGTCTGCTGGTGGCTCTGACGCTGTCATCATTTATCACTGATGTGATCAAGAATGCCGTTGGCAGGCCACGGCCCGATCTCATTTCGCGCTGTAAGCCAGAAAAGGGAACAGCTGAACATCTACTCGTTACTTTCAAGGTCTGCACTCAGACCAATCTCCACATTCTCGATGAGGGATGGCGGAGCTTCCCCAGCGGTCATAGTAGTTTCTCGTTTGCAGGGCTTGGGTATCTCTCACTGTACGTTGTCCACTAGCCCCAAGCTGCCTTTGTATGATACTGACAGCAGGTCTTTTGCGTCATGCAGCTTTCTCGCCGGACAAATGCATGTTCTCCGCCCTGGGACTGATCTCGGCCGGTTCTTAATTTCGCTCGTGCCCTTGATGGGGGCCGCCTTGATAGCCATGTCCCGTCTCGCTGATTATCGACACGATGTCTATGACGTTAGTTGTGGTACACTCCTCGGTCTGGTGGTCGCATACTTCTCATACCGACGTTACTACCCATCACTACGGTCAGTCCATTGTGATGTACCGTACAGCAGGTCTGATGCGGGCGGCTTTGCCAAGTTGGCCGACGATGAAGAGAGACACATGCAAGGAAGTCGTCCAAGGTCGCGGGAATGGGGCTCAGCTGATGAGACTCATCCGCTTACGGAGATATCGTCTAGTCGCCTCCCATAATTATTGTGCATATTTCTACTAGTGGCTTATTGTTAGAACTATTATCAATAAGATCTACACACACTGTTTCTCTGAATCCTGGGATCCTACAGCTATCGTCAGTTATGCTCCGTATCTATGCGAGGCTATATACTTCCTTGATGCGTGGCTATTGTTTCCTACAATTTAAAGAAAGTCTCTGGCTAACTGCAAATGCGAATGAATACCGAAATCTTCAGATGTTCAATACATGTTAGCCGTTTGAATATGATCGGTCGTATACTAGCCCCCGTTTCAGTTGTGGCGGCCACTAAGATCTTTTATCACCGTTCTTGGCGTGACCGGGGCATATAGGTATGATCTCTCTGCAACCACACAGGACCCTTAACTTCAAACCAACAATAGCATCGATGACAGACCCCTTTTCTCTACCCTTTTTCTAAACAGCATGGGTATGTGGTCAGGGGAGTTTGAGGGCGGGATAATGTGATATTAATTGAAGGATTTCGTGCAAGGCTTGCGCAGCTTTTCCACAAAGAGCATGGTTCTTGTTTTGGATCTGGATTGATGCTACCTTAAAGAAACTCTCTGCTGATCAGCATAATCTTGTTTCCCTTTTGGAGTTACGCCCCCGTGGCATCACCCCAAGTCTACCAGGATGCAATGATATCTGTTGTGACGAGAGACCCGTTCCTGGCCCCTGAGTGGTCTTCTCAAAAACGTCCAAGTTGAAGGATGCAAGCAAAAGTCTCGATGGGATGGGACCGGGGCCGAAGAAGAATATAATAGAGAAGATGGTACACTCTACTTATTACTGGATAGCAGGCTGTCTCCGTGCAACATACAATATCTGCGGATAACGCCTTGGCACTATATTCAGCTGTCAATATTGTTTGAAATATACCAGGGATGTATGTTGCGATGTATACCAGACTTCTTGCTTTCGCTTTATATGTCCTTTCGGCAGCAGCAGCCCCTACGATCGAAAGGAAAGATACCAAAGGTTCGCTTCTACTTTATACATACTGTTCATCCCGCCTGTTTCGTCCCCGAAATAACCATTGTAGAACAGATCCTGGTGTCTTCGCAGAACTTCACCGAGCCGCTCAGTTGTCCTCGGCTGCGTACAGCGATTGCCAAAATCAAGCTTTCGATGTTACGATTACCAAGCAGCTAGATGATCATGAAACAGGCACTCAGGTATTCCATAATGGGTTGTATTTGTCGGTCTCTGGTATTATAACACCTGATTTTACGTAGGGGTTTATCGGGTATTCTACCACCAAGGGCCGCATTTCGGTGGCCATGCGTGGATCAACGAGCGGTATGTCCTATACTTTAGACGCGAAAGATTTAACCTAAGCTTACGCTTTCTAGTCACGGACTTTGTCAATGATCTTGACGTAGATCCAGTGACTCCAACCCTCTCCGGAGTCAGCTTTCCCTCAGGTGTTCAAGTCATGAAGGGAGTCTACGATCCATGGTCTTCCGTCCATGATACCGTCATATCTGCCGTCAAGGACCTCGTCCAGAAGTACCCCAACTATACTCTAGAATCCACTGGACACTCTCTCGGTGGCGCCTTGACATACCTATCTTACATCGCGCTGGCACAGAACTTCCCCGACAAGGACGTTACGAGTACCGCGCTGGCTGCGTTTCCGATCGGTAATCAAGCATTTGCAGAATTCGGGAGCTCTATCAATGGCACTTTGCGCCGTGGGAATAACCTCAATGATGGTGTACCAGTAATGTATCCGTTGAATACAATTTGAAAGCACAATGTTGATTTATTTCTTAGAATATGTATGTGGGTTGGCCTTTCGACATGGTACACTACGGAACTGTAAGTTCAGCATGTCTCCCGGCATAGTCGAGGTCTCACCCATTAACAAACTGTTTCTTTCATAGGAGTTCTACAGTTCTGGAAACGCAGATACGACCTTATTGTGCCTAGGTGAGCGCGACGATGCATGCTCTGCAGGAAACGGCGAGTGGGGACCTACGCTTCCAGGACATATAGACAGCTTTGGTATTACCATGCTTCTGGCGGGATGCGGGCAGTGACTCTTTGGATAACCAGTTGTCATCTGGAATGAATGTTATTGTTAGAGTCTGAGCCTTTATTTTTATAGTTTTCTCATGATTATCTTTCCGTCCGAGATTTTGCAGTTGTGAAGTACTTATGTTTTATGTATATATATAGCTGCTTTAGGTACATGATGAGAAACTTCCCAGGACAGACAGTCTAAATATTTGTTCCAATTCAAAGGTAACTTTCGACATTGTTTAATAACATAAAGATGCATATGATAAACAAAGACAAACAGAGATCCTCTTGCTTTTGAGGTTGCCAGAGATTCGCGGTTAGATTGCACCGCTCGGGCTCTCCGAAACAGGCCTGGTCCCGAAACTCCGACATTCCCCAGATAACCCAGCGAGACTTGACCTCTACATGCAATCCGGGTCTGCTCCACGGCCCTTGAAAATGATTCTATGTCGTCGATGCCAAATGTTTACGGTGGCACATACTGATATGGTCCGCTGGGCAGAATGATCGCATCTAGCGAGTCACCCTCACCGCTGCCGTCTTTCACCCAGCATCGCAAAGAGAATCGCAGTACCAGACCGCCTCCACCGGAACTCTGCCTCGAAGCCGATAACGACTCCGTACCCAATAAAGATCACTTCGAAGACCTTCGAGGGCGAATTTTGGCGACCGTCGCCGCAGACAATCTGAATGGAGGAATGATGATGGCGCAACTTCAAGCGGAACCGCAGCAGGTTGTTGGGACAGAGTCTCCGAGGAACCGCGATATGCATGATGGAGTACAACCTGACGGAAGAAATATGATGCATGTGGATGTGGATAAACTTGAGAGGGAAGCTGTTCTCCAGTCAGCTGGTAGTGTGCTGGGGGATCTCACCACGCCCTTGGATTCTCACTCTGCGCCGGTGGCGGGCGAGGACAAGATAACCGTTGCTAAACGACGCAGAGAGGCCCCTCACGGCTCACCAAGAGCTCGCGGTAGATCCGTTGGTGTGGACGCTGAATTTTCCACCACAAGCCAGGATTCGTCGAGAGTGAGTAATGGGCTATCGGATGTGCATGCAGGGACAGATATAGAGGAAAAGGATACCGACAACGGTTCAGCACTTGGGCTAGGGCTTGTGTCCCCGACTCTTACAGAAAATGGAGTGGAAGCCGCTGCAGTTCCATCGTTGCAAGATGACCGCTTCCCAGATGTCAATGGAAGTCCAAGCCGGCCTCGGCGAGAATCATCTCCAGGGCGAATTCGTGAGAGAGAAAAGGTCTTGAAGCTCTCCCCGGAAAAGATACAAGAACTCACATCATCGCCTGAGTCAATCCCTTACCGTAAAGTGTCACCAGATCACCATAAGGGACAAGGGGACATTCACGATACACCGTCTTTGCCATCGCGAACAGTACAATACGGATTACAGGGGGAACACATCCCCTCCAAACGGCCACCGGAGGAGGTGAGGACACCAGACAACAGAGCCTGGCAGACAAAGAGTAGGAAGGAAATTCATCTCGATGAACCTCCTGAATTTTTCGCTTCGGTCGCGCAAGGTTCTTCGACTGTTCGACATCGTCCACATACAACGCGGACGATTTCGACCCCAGCATCCACACGCCAACGGACCTCGTCAGTGGGCAATGAACGTCCCGCTCATAATTGGACGCAACGGTCGAAGCATGACCGATCAGCGCCCAATCGAATTGATATCGAGCACAAAAATAACCTCCTTCCTTCATACATCGCCGACCCTAATCCATCACCGATGCCCCAGACAATTCCACTTCCCCCGCTCTCCATACCCACGTACCTTCAGTTAGAACTTTCTTCCAGTCGGCCCTCTCCGTTGTATATCCATCGGTCTGTGGCGAGCGACTTTCCTTACGAATCTTCTCGAGTTAAAATCGAGAGATTGCAGAATTTCTTTATGCTACCTCCAATCCTAGAGCAGGTACTCTGGTTCGGTGCCTTGGCGTGTCTCGATTCGTGGCTGTACTCTTTCACGATACTTCCTTTACGTTTCATCAAGGCTCTTTATATACTGGCACATTCATGGGCCGTCAACCTTTATGCGGAGGTTCAATTTATCTCCGGGTTCGTCATCAAAGGCGTTGGAAGAGTATGGCGACGAAGAAGAGAAGCTGCTTCTGCAAAGCTATCTGAGCAACGAGGCAGAGAAGACGAACCACCCTCGAGAAGCGTATCTGCCAGCTCCTCTGCGAAACAAGATACCTCTCTGTCAGACCGGGAGACGAAACCTCGATCTAACATACCGCAACCGGATCATGCGCGGCGCCTAGGGCGACCTGGTAACACGAGGCATCGCAGGCAGAAGTCGATCCCATCTGCGTTGCTACCAGATGACAAAGCTGATATTCTAAAGGGGCTACTTATGATCGCTACCTGTTGTGTTCTCATGTTTTTCGATGCCAGTAGGGTATATCACTGGATCCGAGGCCAGGCAGCCATCAAGCTCTACGTCATCTATAATGTTCTGGAGGTCAGTGACCGACTTCTATCTGCCATAGGACAAGACGTTCTGGAGTGTCTTTTCTCCCGTGAGGCCCTAGAGCGGAAGCCCGATGGAAGGAGTAAAGTCTTTCGACCATTCTGGCTATTCCTGATTGCGCTGGCGTATACCGTCATTCACGCGATTTCTCTCTTCTACCAGGCCATCACGCTTAATGTAGCGGTGAATTCTTATTCGAACGCTCTGATCACTCTTCTACTTTCGAATCAGTTCGTTGAGATCAAATCGACCGTATTCAAGAAGTTTGAGAAGGAAAACCTCTTCCAGCTCACCTGTGCAGACGTTGTGGAGCGATTTCAACTCTGGTTGATGCTGATCATCATTGCATCCCGGAACATTATCGAGACAAGGGCGTTTAATTTCTTTGGCACGATAGGGCCGGGTTTTAGCAATGGTCCCTCTGCAAGTACGAACAGCACGCCAGTTTCAACACCGCCACGGTCCTCGTCATCGATTCTTCCCCAATCGTTTACCATATTCCCGTCCTCTCTGTTTTCATCCCTCACTGGAGCAAATTCGTTCTTGACCAATCTGGGCCAATTGCTCGGACCATTCCTCGTGGTCTTGGGTTCCGAGATGCTTGTGGATTGGCTGAAGCATGCTTACATCAACAAGTTTAACAACACTCGTCCAGCAATCTACAGCCGCTTCCTCGACGTTCTGGCCAAGGATTATTACACGAACGCCTTTGCTGACCAGAACCTGACTCGACGACTGGGTTTACCTGTTATACCTCTGTCCTGTCTCTTCTTCCGTGTTTCTGTGCAAACGTATCAGATGTTTCTTGCGGCGTGGTTGCCCCAGCTTCCGCCGTCTACTCCATCAGATACAACGTCTCTTTCGTCGATACACAGACACTATGCTCCTTCTCCATCACCATCCGTGACACCATTCACGCTCAAAACTGCAATTCCGAATACCATCAACCATATAACAAGTCTCTTTCAGTCTGTCATCGCTAATGCCACACCGTCTCCCGCAAGATCGGTCCCAGTCTTCACGGTTATCATCGTCCTCACATGCTACGCTGTACTCCTGATCTTCAAACTCGCTCTTGGCATTTGTCTGCTATCTTTTGCGCGGTCAAGATATAAAGCCATGAAGGTCAGAGAACAGGATGAATTCTACCGATCGGCAAACAGTAACACGGGACAGAAATCTTCGCAAGGAAATGGCCCCTCTTCGTCCCGGGGTCGCGAGTTCGTCGTTGAAGGCGGAAGACGCCTTGGCGGATGGGGAGTAGTCGAGGTCGATGATGACAAAAAGCGATGGATCTACGCGGATGACCCGGAAGGACTGAAGAAAGTGAGGGAAAGAGAAGAGAGAGATAAGTCTGGCAAAGATACCGGAGGTGATATCGAAGGAGTGAAAAGATACGAAATGGTCGCAAAGAGGATATGGTGAGTCGTATCTCTGGTTGCATTTTCACGGAATTCTGTCAACAGTAAAGAGACCAGTTTGTGTCATGTATGTACTATACTTTCTCTCATAGAGAACATATCAATCATCTGCGTCGTGTTCTGCCATGGCGACTCGTTCATTTACAGATATTTTCTTTTGCCGAAGAAAATTCGCGGGAACCTTATATCGGATCCCCATCCATAGCCAGAAGGAGTCTCTTCTCGAGATCCACACTGACACTGTCTTAACCGATGCTTCTGAGCTCCTGATGATATTTCATCTTACGATCGTAATCACATACAGTAAACGGTGCCGGTTGGGAAGTCTTAAGCATTGCCGGGCACAGTGAGATCTTCGAATCAAGTATTCCGCTTACAAGCTCGAAGGTAAGACGAGGAATGACTGACGTTGAGGTGAGGAAGATATAGTAGATGAATCTTATTTTGTTGTTGAAACAAACACACGTGTGCCGCTTCAAGTTCCTATCTCATTGGTTCTCGTCCAACTATCCACCAATGCCAGATGTTAACTAACGACGCCTACAAATTGCTTGCCAGTATTTTTGACAACAGGTCCTCTATCTCATCCTAAAGTACACCCTTACATACTTCCCCCACATCCCTCCCCCCCTCTCCCGAACGCCAATTAGATAGCTTATGAACTCGGTCCAGCTGATTTGGTTGGTAATTTTGCAAACACCGAGCGGAAAATCTCACGGCTCTTGTACAGATTCTCCACACGCAGTCGCTCATTGTCAAGGTGAGCATGGTCACTTGCTTGACCACAGGGCATATGTGCTGCGGGTGCTCCAAATTCTTTTTCTAGAAATCGTATAGTAGGGATGGATCCTCCCTCGCGGATGTAGATGGGTTTGACTGGAGCACGAGCAGATACGGCAGGGTCCGCTTTCCGATGCGTATCAAGACTATGACCATTGGATACTTGGCTCTCAGCTAGTGATGTAGAGGCGCCGTTGGAATTACTGGCGAGAGTCGACGAAGTGGGAATAGTGGCACCAGAGGTGGATTGTTTCCTCGAGGCCTCCTTCCCTGCAGATGAGGTCGTGGTTGAATAGATGATGCGGTCAATATGAGACGCAATGCTGTCGGATGAATCGGTCCGCAGCAATTCGCTACCACCAGCTCGAGCAGCACGGCCACGCTCGAGAGGAGGATAGTTGTGCTTTTTGTTGTCGTGGTCAGGTGTCCACGCGGCCGTAATGGCCTCCGATAAGGTCTCAAATATCTCGTTGTCAGGGTCACCCAGCCAAGGGTCCGATTTCCCTGTTATTTCGACAGTGAGATCATTCTGAGAGTCCAGAAGAGCAAATTGCTCTTGTGCATAGGCAGTCAAGCTTGCCGCTACCTGATCAGCGTCTTGATTAGGGACAATACGGATCGACAAGCTCGCTTTCGCCTTGCGCGAAATCGTTGTTGTTGCACTCTTGTTGCCAGGAACATCGACAGAGTGGATAGTCAGAGATGGCTCCCGCCAGCGATGCATGAGTGATTTTGTGAAGGCCTGGCTATCAGGGATCTCAGGGTGGTTCGGTAGCAGTGCCTCCGCAATTGCATCGTAGCGCTGCTTCTCAATCTCGGTGAGAGGCAGCACAGGATCATGGAATCCAGGAATGTTGATCCGGCCTTTAGGTCCGACAAGAGTACTGAGGAGGATTGTCAAATCCTTCAACGGCTCATCCAGGAGAGAACTACCATCAATACCACTGTGCAGGTCAGGATGGTCGCTTGTGACAATCAAGTTTGCGTGGACGACGCCTCGCAGTCCGTAGGTGAGACATGGTGTGTAGTCATCAATCCAGTAACTGTTGGCGAGCAAGATCCAATCAACACTCCCGATTAATGACTTGTGTTTCCGCACAGTTTCTTGGAACCCTTGCGAGCCCGATTCTTCTTCTCCCTCGATAAGGAAGACAACATCGCAGCCAAGACTCTTTTGCCGTGCTAGATCAGCGGCTCCATACAAGGCCGCTAGAATAGGCCCTTTGTTGTCAGAGACACCTCGACCATATAAGAAGCCGTTGATTGAAGACAGCTGGAAGGGATCCGACCTCCACTTCGGCCGATTCGTATCAGCCCCGACAACATCGTAATGACCATAGAAAAGAACCGTCTTGTGTACGGGCTGTGGCGAAGTAGCACTGAATCTCGCATAGACGACAGGATTAGTGTCCTTCCCCGAGGCCAGGAGTTTCGTCTTGGCCCCCAGGTAGTTGCAGTGACGCCGGAGGAATGCTGCGCCTTGGTTGCACTCTCCCGCGAACTTTGGACTAGATGAGATCGTCTTAAAGGATACAAATTTTGCCAAGCTGTTGACCATTTCATCTGTACAAGGCGTCAGAATAGATACCATGGAATTGGGCTTAAACGATATATATCCTTACCGTTGCTGATTGGGGCCAGTTCTACCTCATCAACGGGATGGTCGGTCAAGTCCCAGATAGCCACAGTGTTGTCATTTCCACCAGTGGCGTAAATACGCCTGTCTTTAAAGACACCGGCAGCGGAAGCGAGCATCGTCCCTTCGTGTGCCACCCAACACCCGATCTCTTCAAATTTGGAGTTAAATTTCTGGGCCAGTTAGTATAACAGTGTGAGGGGGCCTTAAAAGAACTCTGTAATACCTTGACTATGCCATTTGAGTCACCACTAATAGTGATTCCCTTGATGATATCAACAGCCCATAGATCTCCGCTCTGCTTCGCGATGCGCTTCACCAGCTGGTGGGAATCCAGATTCCAAATGTTCAAAATGCCTCCTGCAAGACCACAGTAGAGAAACGAGCCTTCCACAGCTATTGACAGAACAGCGTCACTACCATTCTGTAGTTTGGCAAACTGAACTGGCGCACCATCCGAGCCCTGGCCCAGGTGCCACAGCTTGACGGAGCCGTCACCAGAGCCAGTCAGCAGAACCTCCTCTGACGGCGCGGACTCTACTAGTCCTCTGACAAGAAGCATGGAATAGACGTAGCCATGATGGGAGAATCGCTTGTGCTGATCTCTCCTGAAAGTCAAAACCTTTCCGCCGTGACTGACTGAATGAGCGCCTCCAGGACTTGCATCTGGACGGGGAGTCACCGCACCATCAGGGCCTCGAGAGTCGAAGAATCTGTGGGCTCTGTTTGACGGGTGAGCGGCTGGAGCCAGCACCTGGTTCGCTTCTGTTTGTGATAGATTGCACCACTGTGAGGGTCAGAGCTACATGTTATTTTCTCATGCGTATTACGAAGGCATACCTGGAGGCTAGTATCTTGACCGCCGCAGTAGACAGTCTTCAAGTCTGACGAGTAAACTACGGCGAAGATATCACCCACATCATGATGTGAGTAAATCGAATAAAGGCGCTCAAACGTCCTCGTAGACCAGACCTGCGACTCGAGTTACTTGACATGCGAGCCGCTCATAAGGGATAGAACTCACATTGACCACGGAGTCTCCTCCACTGGAGAACAACAATTCTCTGTCTTCGGATAGGTGGAGCCCAAGGACACTCTCCTTGTGGGCATGCACGGAAAGCACCAAGTCGTATGTCTCCAATGACCAAGCCTTCACCGATAGTCAGTCAAATACATCCTAAAACCACAGAAAGACAAACTTCAACTAACAAGGATATCGCCCCCTTGGAGGCCTGCAAAGACACTTTCTTCATCGAGCACAAGAGCTAAGACAGAGCGACTAGCCTTGACTCGATGGCCGACAGCACATTCATTCTGTGGCCGTGGATTTGGGTCGTATTCGGAGACAGGACCTTGCGCAGATCGCTGGTCACTGTCCCAGGCCTGTGCCTGATCTTCGAGATCTGATGTGCCGTCCGATTCCACTATATCACTCATCGCGGCCAGATGGCAGCGCAATGCTATTTAGCTACGGTCCGTCGCTCTTTTGTTTTTGGATGTTCTGGTCCCGGCCACCCGTGACTGCGTGGCTTCTTGTGACACCCTTTCAACCTCGGGCCAGTGATATCCGGCACAGCAGATAAAGTGCTATATATTGATCGATTGATTTCTTCGACACTGGCACAGATAGTCTGGTGTGTCACAGTGGAGTCTTGGAGGTTGACGGTCCAGCCCGCAGTCTCGGATGTGGCGGTGCGCCGGGTGAAGTTTGGTACACCCAGGAAACGACCAGAGATCGCGAACAATAGCAGTTAGACGAAGCGGAAGAAACTTACAGCGTCCCATGTTACCTTTCTTCCGGTTCAGACAACAGGCCGGGTTACTGTTTGAGATGGATCGACCGTCAGCCCTGTCTTTAACGATGTGTTCTGGAAGGCCAAGCTAGGGGCAAGCTAGATGCAGAAAAGAACAAGTGAACGGCGACCGATGAAGCTCCGGATGGACCGAATCGCTCGATGATCTCCACAGAAGGCCGCAAACTGTACGATCTAGAGATGTCGCAGGTCGCAGGTCGAACTCACTCTGATACTGAAAGGACTCAGGGACACTTGCCTTGGTTCCCACGAAAGTCGAATAAGGGGCGGGTCTTGGCCCCGATGACGTGCTGGCATTCGAGTCATTGTTGTCTCCCATGCCTTGAAGATGATGTCTTCAGACAATGGAATGGCGAGATAGATGCTCGTTCAAGCAGGTGCCACGTGCTGGTTGGTGGTGTTGCAGTACTCAACACCTCAACAGTGACGGCGTGTTGGCATCGCCTTCTTCGATATAAGTACAACACGGTCGACAAATGGGGACCGGATCAAATGAACAATTTTGTCGTCAGCAAAGTATCTTGTATCACCCTCAAGTTGTCTCAGATCACAATAATGGCTCCAAGAGGATGGATTACTCCCTCAATCCTGAAGAAGATCGCGTGTTTGACTATGCCTACGAGCTACAGAACAGGAACATTGAATTAGACTACAATCATGGGCGCAGGTGAACCCGATGGCCACCTCAGCTGCAGCCGTTGGCGTGGGCATGGCGCATCCGTCGAAGATAACCAACGGCCTGCTGTCGAAGGAATTCGCAGGTCTCTCTACCTGGCGAGCCGCGAGACAAGCAGCTCTTGGAGACCAAGATCCGCACTTACTGCGTCTACCCTTGCCCCGCGGGGAGCTGTGCTTGCAGAAATTGTACTCTTCTTCGGGGGAGATCCCTTCTGTTGCGATCAGGCCCACGTCCTTACGCAGTGGTGACATACATGATAGGCGCCATGGTTATGAGGCCGAGATCAGTGGTTCTGTGTAGCAGATGCTCGTGTACGACAAAGCAGAGACTGTATTGGTACCTGATTGCGGGGTTGCTCTGGCCATCTGACAAGAATAGGCGCTTCGAGAAGCCTGGAAACCGAGAGTGCAGAGTAAGCAGGGCCATCTTCTTCAGATCGTGACCGATCCCGGCCCCGGGGCGATTGACTGGTTTTCCCTGATACCCACCGGGACTCGTTCTTGTACGCCATGAGAAAGAATATTGGCGCGGGCGGCTGCATCGAATAGAGACAATAATAACGATTAGTTAGTGTTTTATGGATCAGATTCCTTTCTGATTCATAGAAGAACAAGCAAATCATCCCTCACCGCTTGTGGCGCAGTCGCTGTCACATGGTCCGTGAGCTCACCAGCCACAGTGTCGGGATCAGATCAATACGGGCATTCAGCCAATGATACAACAGGACACACTGTCTGCGCCACAGGAGGACACCGCCAGTCAATGCCAGGACGTCCGTCTTCCTATCATCCTGAAGCCCTGACAATTGACTCGCATTTTGTCGAACCAGCACAGGTCAGAGCCTCCTTCATTAGGTTGTTGGTCGTGCGTTGCAGCCCGCCAGCTAACTATCGGTCCCTCGCATCAAGCAATCAGCAATCGACAACGAACATTCTCCACGGATCTCCGGCTACTTTTCTACCCAATATGCCTTGGACAGGCTGGCCTTCCTTTTATCACCTTTTCCTTTTCTCTTCAAAGCATACCGACGGAGTGTAAGACCATCGCCGGAATCACCTCCCGTTCGCTGCTTTGTCTGGAGCGTCGCCGGTGCATCCCAGCCCCCTAATTGCATCGCTCCACCCAGGAGCAGCGTTAACCGCTGTCACTCCCGAACCGGTTCAAATACCCGCTGTATGCCTTACCGCGACCATTTGTTTCACCCAACAACGCAGCCTGCCTCACAGTGAATCATCTCGACAGATTCGACATATTTCAGACCTCTCAGCAGTCTGCAATTCCTGTTGACATGACTATTTTTTTCTTCAAGCATTTTTCGCCCTGTTACTCCAGAGTTACTATTGATCGCCCACTGACCACCACATTGGATGTGTGACTCGATCGGCCTATTTTGGAGCGCAGACTAGAACTTGTGGAACGGCAGATCATTGCGGGGAGCTGAACTGAGCTGAGCTGACAGCATTTCCCTCGCAGTCCGCTAAGGACCATGGCGGCCAACTTCGCTCATACCATATCGGTGGTGGACAAGTCTGGGAAGGTAGTGAGCACGGTGAGTAGATCTCAGAACATGCATCGCGAGCGGAACAGTGCTGATTTATCCGTAGAGTAAACATATCTTTGGCGTCTTCAAGGAGGCCCGCGATGCCTACCGCGAGCGTAAGGCTGAAATCCGGGCCGAACGGAACGCAATCATTGCGGAAAAGCAGGCACTGAAGGCCCTGGAGGCCTGTCATATCGATGAAGAGCGCTCCATAGCTGCATCGAGAAGGAGTGGCAGGAGCAGGAGATCACACCATCCTCCGAGAAGTCACCACCACCGATCGCACTTCGAACAAGATGCCCCTGGACAAGACCCTCAGGCTCCATATGGACAGGCAATGGATCTTCAGCGGCGTTACAGCGATCAAAATATTGGAGTGAAGGAATCAAGACCAGTGGCAGGCCGCTATAACTCGGATTCCCACATCGATATGGATCTCGCGTACGGGGAAGTTCACCCTTCTGCGCTTGCGCTGGCCCCGCGGAGTGGACCAGCGCCCGAAGCAGAGGAATTAAATGGCCTAGTCGACAGGGCAAAGATGCTGCTTGAAGAGGCGGACTGCCTCCAGCGCAGTGCAACAGCCACTATGGCCCATCTGCAGAAAAACCCTGATGCCATGGCTGCAGTCGCGCTTACTCTGGCTGAAATCAGCAACATTGCCGCGAAGATGGCACCGAGTGTGCTAACCAGTCTCAAGGCCAGTGCGCCTGGAGTGTTCGCACTGCTCGCAAGTCCGCAGTTCTTGATCGCTGCCGGCGTTGGTATCGGTGTGACCATTGTCATGTTTGGCGGATATAAAATCATCAAGTGCATCCAAGGTGCGGGCGTTGGCGCTGGCGCCGACATCCCCAAGGACCAGCAGGCCGTTGCAGAGCCAATGGACCAGATGTTCGAACTCAATGAGAAGAACCTGAGCCGTGTAGAGGTCTGGCGCCGTGGCGTGGCTGACGTGGAGGCGGAGAGTGTCGGCACCTCCGTTGACGGGGAGTTCATCACTCCGACGGCGGCAGCCATGTCTGGCATCGATATTACACTTGCTGGCATGTCCCGCGACCCCAGGTTCAGATATGAAGACGATATGTCGATGGCGTCATCTCACCGATCCCGGCGCTCGCATCGCTCAAAGGCACATTCGAGTGCCCACTCTTCATCTTCAGCCCCATCCCGGGCTCACTCGAAAGCTCCTTCAAAGGCCCCCTCAAAGGCTCCCTCAAAAGCTCCTTCGCGGGCACCTTCGAGGGAGCCCTCGAAGGCACACTCTCAGGTTTCCGCGAAGGAGAAGAAGCCCAAGGAAAAGCCAAAGAGATCTAGCAGACTGAAGCTGATGTTTACTGCGTAAGCTGCTCTTCCGCTTGCCTATCTATCGTGTCAGGGACAGGCTGCTATTTGCATCGACATGTATTGCCAAGTGGGCAAGATACTAATTTCATCTCGATCTACGCGCTACGGAATTTACGACTGAGGAGTTAATATAAAGGAGCGAGTATACTAATACATGGAGAACGGAGTCAATTATATGCTTTTGGGTTTTCGTGATTATGATCTGCACGAGCGTTTACAGTTGTTTTCTATGGCGTGGCGTCTTCATGTGCTGACTGTCGATATCTTCTCATTCACATTATAGAAATCTCCGAGAATAACCGGGTACATATGCATATCATTGTCGATATCAGCGACAGATAAATAGATGTCTATTTTCAGCTCTATTGTGTCGCTTTCCGTGGTTGAAGCTAGTATTGTAATTTCTGCATAAGCTATCCACTCCGTCGACAGGCATTGTAGATGAACTCGGCCCAGCCTATATTCATCCAACATCCAACAACTAGATCTACGCTTCAGCATCCCCGATCTCCAGATGCCTCGCCTCAACAGACTCTGCCTCGGAACTCTTTAGACCCTGTATGACAACTCCTTTAATCACGCATTGATACGACCGGAACTTGCGCGCGGGTAGAACTGGTTCTGCATTGATGATGAGTAGTTATGAGCTTACTTGTGAAACAAAACCAAGATCCCGTCTAGTATTTACAGTGATAAGAAACTATTATAGTTTAGGAATGAATCCAGTAGCTCTGAAGTATACAAATGAACATTGACATTCTCTAGGATTCATTCCCTACTCCCTCTTCTGATATGGACGATCTTTCAACGGAAAGGAATATATATATATACATGGACATATCCAGAGTGATACCCAATACAACAAACTTCTTCCATTCATCTGCGCGATTCAGAACGAAAGATCTACTTTCAATTTGCGGAATATTATTTATTTACGGCCCTCGAGATCGGAGAACACTTCCCCCGCACTGATATTGAGATGATCACTCAAGCCCACGAGCAAGACATAGCAGCCCACAAACAACTTGAATGTGCGAACGCATGGAAAAAGATAGCAGAGTTCTAGGCCGGCTCTCCACTTGTTTCAGAACATATCGGTTCTCGAATGAGTCTTGTGACAAAGTTAATCATCATAATAATGGGTTGAATGGTTGATGTAGTTAGTCTATGAGAATGTTTCTCCGCGGCCGGACTACCTAAGTGTGCCGTATCTTTATCAACGGGCCCATCAACCCAGTCGTGAAATATCGCCTCTAACTACTGCGTAGAATCATGATAAACGCGTACCCTTCGTCCCGGGGCAGCGAGGAAGATGAGCTCAGCACGGATGTTTGATTCTAACTAGGTAGTGCATTGTATTACTCTCAGCCAGTCCGGTACAAAACGGGGTAAAGTCCCACATGGAGTCCCGGCAAATACATATTAAGCTTTATTAGAGTCCGGGGGCTGGTTTGAGCTTTGGTGGGGTAGTTCTAAGTACTTAACAGATGCGATGTCGATGACAAGAAAGCATATTGTTTCGTGAGTATCAGATCCCCTCGTCAGATAACCCATGGATGGATGCATCTTACTTTCTAGAGGTCTCGGGTTTCTAAGCCTGTCTTAGTCTAGAAGGCAAGTCCTTTTCTGAGGAGCTCCAGGGAAAGACAAATCATCACATAACGAATTGCCTGAGTAGTCGTGAAAGTAGCATGACATTGGCTCTGTCGGAACATCCCTTTCTGCCGCTCTTTTTCTCTCTCGACTGCCCCATGTCAGGAATGCACGCGATTGAGACAGTCATAGCATTCATGCCCCATGTTCCGTGCCTACTCGTCTATCGAGATTGGTAGAGATCTAATATTTGCATGCAGGAATGATGAATAGTTATTGCAAAGGATAGGAAGGTCTTCCTAATGCGACCTTAACTGTCTGTGGGGCAAGTTGACTATGAATCCTCAGCCCTTAAAGACACATTGGAGATATCCCTGCTAGTTTAATAATGTATCTACTCTACGAGACGCGGGAGCTGGAAGAACTAGCAATCTGGTTTACCTTACCAGACGATTGGTGGTATGATGCTGTGCTAACATCGATCTCGTAGATATTGGCACCAGGTCCCACGTCCAGAGCCAAACTCGTAGCAGTTCACAAGCGGGGTAAATAGTTCTGCGAGATGGACGGTTGGAGCAGCATTCGTATACATGAGAGGACAATCCTGATCATAGTAAGAGACACCAGCAGTGAGGAATATCCGGCTGGGCCTGTATTCGGAAGCTATTTATGCAAAGCAGTTTGGCACACACTGATATCCACCCCTTACCAGACGGCAAACCCTGGATCTATTTCAAGCAATTTGTAAAGGAATATAAGGCACCCCTGATCACATTCTGGAGTGGTCGCAATCCGACACTTTGGATCCGCGATGCATGGGCTGCGTAGTTGCTCGACATGCGCGCAGGCATCTATGCTTTGCGGCCGCGAATGGTGGTCTTCGGAGAGCTTGGCTTGGATCAGTTATTCTGGGGACCGCTGGCGGCTACATCGACGGTTAACGCACATGGGTGTCAGTCTGCAATAAGTCAGGAGTTATCGCAGCTTCCAGAATGACGAGAGTAAGGTGGTCGCCTACAACCTGCTATCTACCCCTAAGGCATATGTTAGCCATTTTGAACGATATGCCGCAAGTGTTGTATCTATCATCGGTTTTGGAAGACGAATTGTGAGCTTCACGGATCCTATTATAACAGAGGTCATTGTGGTCATGCAGCTGGCCTGAGAAAATGTTCCTGGCAAGAAGTTCCCAATGATGATGGGAAGTCTTTGGTGCGGGAAGCGGTATATCCAGTTCCACACCGATCACGTTCGTTCTCCCCTGCTGTGCCTTTCCAGAGACGTTACCAAAAGCCTGGGAGGAACTCGACCAGGCTGTTGGACATCAGCGCAGCCCCACGTTCGAAGATGAGCCCAAGCTGCCTTATGTCGACAGTCAAGGCATTTGTAAAGGAGGTTCTCCGCTGGCGGTCAGTAGCAATCATTGGAGGCCAACCCCATGCTCCAATCCAAGATGAACATCTATAAGATATGCATTCAGCGCGATAACAATACGAACGCTAGTGCCTGGTACTGACAACACACAGGGGTGGCTGTTCTTTTTCCCAAAGGTATCTGGGTCCAAGGGAATGTTTGGGCTATCCACCACGATGAACGCGAATCCCGACCGATTCAAACCGGAAAGATAATACATCAAAGGCAGCCCTGACAGCCGTCCGTACCCGGGAGACAGAGAATACATGACCTTCGGTTGGGGCCGTCGGGTATGCAGTGGCCAGGGGCTGTGGAACAGGGTACATACATTCATCATGGTGGCCCGCTTACTGTGGGGTTTTGAGGATCCAAAAGGCCGTTGATGAGCAAGGAAACAAGATTCCAATGAACATCTTTGACTATACGTATGTGTTCCTGGCCGTCCCCGGCAGTCTGTCTCGGGATATATCATTATTGTTGTTGTCTGACTGAGATGACAGAAACGGCCCCAACATGCGTCCCAGCCCGTTTGAGTGTCGGATCACACCTCGCAGCCTGAGATACAAGCAACGATTGAGCGGGAGGGCCTGCAGGCTCTCTCTGATCTGGTTTCGTACGAGGGTGAAACCAAGTTATCAGACAAAGAGATTGTCCTGAAGTCTGGTCGTTGGGACGTTGTCGCATGGTGATCCGAGCCCAATATCTACTCAGCATCAATCCTTCCGCGAATGGGACAACGGCTCTGGATTCCGCTAGCTCAGAGATCCACGATCACTGATCAACGGCCGGAGTAAAGTGAGTCCGTAGATAAATGATAGATATTGGCAGTTCTCGGATCCGCATTGGAAAGGCAATACCGAACGACTCAGACCTGTGGAGCAGAAGAACAACCTGTGGGGAAAGGGACGGGAAACGGGGAGCCCACCACGTGCAGATGAGAGACCACGGATTGATTCATAGGTTTCGTAGAGGGCAGAGGCTGAAGGAATAACAATAATAATGGATGTAAATATCTGCTTGTGCTATCTGATCCAAGACAGCCAGGGCCGTTGCACATTTCCTTCTGATACTGTATGTAATAATGTATACTACCAGCATCGCAGATTGGCCACTGCATGGACGTTGTAACTGAAGCATCCTTGTTTATTCTGCCATGACAGGGCACCGGGGAGGAGCCAATCGCTGGGGTATTCCGACTGTTCAATAATGATACTGCATCCCCGGGGCGTTGCAGCAACGGAGTGAATTCTCCGGAACTGTCCCCGTCTAGCCTCAGAATCATCATAATACCATACATAGCGTGTGCAGCAGACGAACTCCTGTACTCCTTATCGAGAACAGCAATAATAATGACTTGACTCGTCTTTGAGTGAGTGAGCAAAGAGAGTTAGTGAGTTCGTGTATCGGCAAGAGAGAGAAGCCATCATTGCCGTGAACTGGACGGGCGATGGCAGACGAGGCAGATGACATAGGGAAACAGAACAGCGTAACTAAGTAAGTATGAATAGTTACAGCTCACAAAAGAAGAATGAGACTTGAACCACCGTTGAACTGGACAAATAATTAGTTAGTTCGCGACAGAGGGAGAACCGGCAGATGAAAGGGAACTGACAGCCGGGCACGACCAAAAGAGAAGCGCTGCCGAGGATTTCTGCCGAACGCCAACGCCTCAGGACGCCAACTGCTCCTCCACCGCGCGCTATCCCATAGGACATTGCAGTATCAATCTGTTGCCAAGCTCCGCAGCCTTCGATCCCGCCGAACGCTTTTCCAAATTTCCACGCTTTTCCTGTCTTCTTGGGCCGATTTTTTGCGCCAGTCGCCGCACACAGACCGGACCCTAATCTACTACTAATTGCCCCGGAGAACAGTCCCTTGGGTCCCGCGCCCCGCACGGCTGGACCGGCAGTGCGCATCTCGGACGGCATTACCCTCGCTGTCTTTGCCGTCGCAAGACGAGGTCGTGGGGGCACAGTATCGCGAGATGGGGTCTTCGACCGGCTGTTCGAGCTGTAGCCTCGCGGTTCTGCTTCTGTCCACTTCCCGGAGGCAGATAAAGACAAGCCAGGTCCGCGACATCAAGGTGAAGTGATTCAATTGCTTCACTGGATACGGCCCGCTGCCTCTTCGCGCGCAGGAAATTTTCACGTGGGACGCTCCGGGTTCTTTTCTTCTCTTCTCAGTCGATACCGGGCTTTGGTCAGACGATCGCCATCATGGTGACGGTACCACAGGCGAAGACGCCGTTGACGGTGGTCGTGGTTGGGTATGGCTCCTTCGATGCATCTGTTCCATCATATCTCGAGAATGATAGCTAATAATTTTCTTATAGAGCAGGTATGACGCATGTACAGCGCGCGCAGTGGCATCAAAAGCTGATGGCGAACAGGAATCGGGGGTATGGCAGCTGCTCTCACACTTGGTCTGCGGGGACACCGGGTGATTATCGTAGAAGCAGCACCCAAGGTACGTGGGACGAAACAATGCTCCTGAAATGCGTGACAGGATGCTAACTTACAAGTACAGCTTATGGAGGTTGGTGCCGGAATTCAGGTTTCCCCGAACATGTTGAGGTTACTCGACCGTGAGTGCAATCTATCCAGAGAGGTTGGACATACACAGCAGGTTCTGATGGGATACAATAGGGTGGGGTGTCAGTGATTTGATCCACGCAACAGATGTTCCCCTTGAGCATATCAACGTATTGAGATGGGAGAACGGAGCGGTCCTGGGCAAGATGCCGGTCAACAAGGCCTACGGACAGCAGGTTGTCATCCACCGGGCAGATCTACACAACGCTTTGATCGAAAGAGCTCTGGCCCTGCCCAATGTTGAGCTCCGGGTCAATTCGATGGTTAAGGATGTCACCTTTGAGCCCCCGTCAGTGACACTGGTCAACGATACGGTGGTGTCTGGAGATGTCGTGATTGCAGGCGACGGCATCAAATCCGTGATCCGCGGCAAGCTCCTGGACGATGACATCAAAGCGTACCCGACGGGAGATGCTGTGTACAGAGTCATTCTACCCCGCAGCGTGATGGAGACGGACCCGGAGCTGAAGCAGCTGATCGATGAGCCCGATGCCACCCGATGGATCGGACCCGGACGCCATGTCATCGCATATCCCGTTCGCAAGCACGAGCTGTACAATGTCGTCTTGACGCATCCGGATCGAGGTAATGTTGAGGAGGGTTGGACCACCAAGGGATCAAAGCAGGGTATGGTCAACGACTATCTTGGCTGGGACGCCCGGGTGAGGAAGATCATCGATTTGGTGCAGGAGGACGAGGTGCTGGAGTGGAAGCTCTGTCTACACAAGCCCCTCCCGACATGGGTCAAGGGTAGTGTGGCGTTGATGGGAGATGCATGCCATCCCATGCTGTAAGGACATCTCCGTTTGTTCCCGCTTCCCCACGGGTTCGTGCTAACTCTTTATCAGACCATACGTTGCACAGGGTGCTGCTCAAGCCGTTGAGGATGCTGCTGCTTTGGGCGTCCTTCTTTCTGCCATCTCCTCTCCCCGCGAGGTGCCCCTGGCCCTACAGGCCTACGAGAAGTCCCGTAAGCAGCGTGCAGACACTGTACAGCAGTCAGGGACGGACAACCGCATCACACTGCACCTGCCTGATGGCCCCGAACAAAGAGCGCGCGACGAGCAATTCCGTGCCTCGATGAATGGAGCATCTAATCCCGATAAGTGGGCCGATCGGGAGACACAGAAGTTCCTTTGGGGGTGGGATGAAGAGGAGCACGCCCTTCAGGCGTGGAATGGTGCGTTGTGTGAGCCTTGCCTCAGACCCTCGTCCATATATGGAGGGGTAGCTAGAAAGAAACAGCTACTGACTTTTCTTTTGACAGAGATTGTTGGCGCTGAAGTGAAGGTGAATGCCAGCTTGTAGAGCACGATCTTCGTTTCAACATGACGGTTTTTGCATGACTAGGTATTTTCCCCATTGCTCTATCTCTTCTGTTACTGGAATTGACCTGAGACTTTTGCTACTAGAGTTATTTAACGTGATCGGTCGATCTGTATGCAGGACAACTATACAGTGGTTGTGTCCTCGTTAAGAGATTCCCAGCGAGCAAGCGATCGGATCGATTCCGGCGTTCATCCTTTCAAGGCGGCTATATTGCGCATTTGCATGCACATGATTTTTTTATCTTCTCTTCTATCTTCGACCTTCATTCTTTTCGCTCTATTGTAGACTAGATTCATCAATTTTATTGAGATGCCTAACTTGTTATAGCTTTATACTGAACATCTCGACGCGGATGGATCTCTCAGAAGCTAGTGGAAAACTGAAACTAGCATCAGCCATATATCTTGGGCCTGCTAGATGCTTGATTGGGTGAAACATCTCTTGGACAGCTCTAGCCAACCCCGATCAGGAAGGTGTAGGAGATCGAAAACATATATTATTATCTAACAATATGTACGTTCAATAGTTATAAAAAGATATCTCCAAAATATGTAAGGCGAAATAAAAAAGCAGCCAAATATCTGTTCAAGCAATACGAGTAGAGAAAACAAACTACTCTTTGAAACCCGCTTAGTTAGTAGACCGGGACCTTGAACGCGGGGAAACTATAAGTCCAACTTTCAATAGACTTCTGATCGTTGACGCAGTCAAAACTCGAGCTATTCCCGTGCCAGAGCGGACGAGTCGGCCACTGGCACAACATCTGCGTCTCGCCAGCATAAGGACCCGAGGAGACAGTCGCGTTAAGACGACTTGGCTTCACACCATTCTCGACCCAATCGATCATGATCTCCATGTTGTTCTCTGGGTATGGGCCAGGCTGCAGGGAGTTGGTCCCGCAGTGGGCTGCGCCGGGGACCAGGTAGAATTGGTACCAATCCTCGAGGGCCTGGAGGCTCTCTTCCTCAGAGAGGTTACCGTACATGATCGAACGGACGGATTGCCAGTAGTGCACGGAGGAGGCGGTGGGGATACTGGGGTCGGATTCTCCGTGGTAATGAAGAAGTTTTCCGCCGGAGGATTGGAAGGTTGTGAGATCAGGTATGGTTGTCTGGAGACTGTCGAGGTACCGTACCATGCCGGTTTCCATCCAGGAGACGAGAGTGTCGTATGTGACGTTGTCTAGGTTCGAGAGGTTGTCGAGATCGAGCAATTCGACGAATTTGGTCGCGTACGAGCCCCCGGTGGATGGGATGTTGAGCTCCCATGATTTTGTGTCATTGTTCCAGGTAGTGTCAGCGTCAGAGAGCTCGGAACCGATCTGCCATGAGAGGTAGGCTCGCTCGCCCTTGGAGTTGAAGAGACCGTCGTAAATTGTCTGGGCGACAGCGACTCCCTCCGCGGAAACTGTGCCGTTCTGGGCTGGTTGGTAGCTGGTCGTGCTGCCTTCGGCGGCCTGACGCTTGTTCAGATTTCCTCCTTTGATATCGCGCTTGCTGAAGCCGAAGCCAAGGGACGTGCTGCTCTCGGCCGCGCAGTAGTAGGGTTCACCGATGATTGAGCTCAGGTTGAAGTTGAGCTTACAGAGATCCGTTCTAGAGATGACGCCGTCTGTTCTCCCATCCAGAGGATCGCAAGCAGCAATAGTGGCATTCACGATCTTATCCAGTTCACATGGAGGTGGATAGTAGTCCAACGTATGCTCGACAGCAGATGAAAAGATATGGAGAACCTGTTGCTGGGCTAGACGGAAGGCTGGAGCACCTGTGATAACACCGTCGTATTCCTCACCCCAGCGCTGAACTTGGCTCATACCTTCTCGCCCACCGTCGGAGCATCCCTCGTAGTAAGTGTAGACCTTGGTGTTGCTAGACAGCCCGTAGAAGTTCTTCGTGAGGGCTTTTCCTAGAATCGTCATCTCGCCCAATGCCTGATATCCGAACATGTACGTGGCGTCCCAGTTGATGGAGCCATTGCCAAGCAGAACCACTTCGTCGTAACTGTAGTCGAAGGCATCGTAACCTGCTGAGGTGGCACCTCCAACAGCACCGTATTCAAGACCACCAGTTGCATCGCTGGAGAGGGAGTAACCACCACCACCTGCGACATAGAATCGGTTCTTGAAATCACCTGGACTAGGGAAAGCATACTTGACCACCACAGTATCACCCTTGCCAGGGTGCGTATAGGTAACTGTCACATTACAGTAATTGAATGTTTCAGCACTAGTGGTAGTGCTCGTAGAACCCATTCCTCCTCCAGCGGTGGCATTGTAGACAGGGCTCGCGGTTGAAGCCGATGGGATCAAGTTGATGCCGAGCAAGGTGCCATTGGCAGGTAAAGCAGCCTGCACATTAGACACTGTGCAAACATCCGCAAGGGACGCTGCATTGGCGGACGCTGCGATGGCAGCTACGGCCAAAGCTCGACGCATGTTGATTCCCATTAGAGGAAAACGAGTGTGAGAATAGAAGAACCAAACAAGTGAACGAGTGGATGCAACGAGTGCAAGGACGGCTTCAATTTCGCTGAAGTCACTATCCTTATAAAGTCCATGCTGGACACCTCTTTTGAAGTCTTCGGATATTCTCCGGCGCGTAGCCTTGGAGATCGAGGAAACAACAAGGCTGAGAAAACGGCCTAGCCACTGGCATCGCCATTCCATACATAGCCGTAAGAGAATACCAAACCTAGAATAGTATACTTAAGTAGTAGTGCCGTCGTTTCCATTTTTAATAATAATAATATATGGAGGATGGAAGGTCTCCGAATAAGTTCCAATTTAATAGTTGCCAAGATTAGGACGCGTCACTAGATAGCGGAGCAGATCTGGTCCGTTGATTGACAATGTCAAATCGGGGTATCTGGTTATGGTGTTTTTAAACGACGGAGATGACGGCGACGTATGCATTGAGGCTAAAGAATGGAAGGACGCGGCAGCTTAACCCTAATTCCCATTTAGTTCGCTGTGCTTTTAAGTTATCAGATCCTCTCCCACAATTCCCACGCCATGAGGCTCCTTTTGCGACCACGATTGAGGATAAGTTCAACCATCAAGTGATCGCCGAATCATCCAAAACAAGCCCGGCCCCATCTTTTGAGACTAACCAGCGAATCGGTATCATCAGCATCATCTTCTCCGTCACGACCAGAAGAGTGGGTGTACCGGTGTGGTGTCAAAATTAAGCATGGAGATCAGTTTTAGCCAGAAACCTAAGTAAGCCCACCGGGCGTCCAAACGTAAGAGAATAGAAATCAATAATCACGATGCGGTCTCTCCATAGGTAGGTACTCTATCCTTCTTCAGTATAGAGTATGTTATTCCCAGTGCGTCGTAGAAGCGAAGACTGATGGCCTCGAGAGAAATCAAATTGCAACGACCATGATCAAAAATGTAATTAGAGGGGAGCTGTGTCGAATGGATGAGCTGTTCCATTATTAGGTACCTGACCTGAGGCTAGTGAAAACATCTTCATGATCGACGATCCGATGCTTACCGGAACAGGAGACCAAGGCTAGACTATTATTGTGACTACTACGCCTCCGCCTAAGAGTGGGGAAGTCAGCGCACTGCGTAATGAAGTGACCGTCGAGCACGGCGTGGGGATTGTGGGGATTGTGGGAATTGTGGGAAATCCGCTGTTGAGTAGAACAGGATCGCGATGGAAGAATCCTTCATAGAGAGTTGGAGTTCGACGATGTCAAGTTGCAGGTCGGCTCATTGCGATTATCTCTGCGTGAGCTTCCGGAACATTTTTCATAGCTGTGTGTTACAGGAAGATGCGAATGTTTCTCCACCCACCACCATATCGCTCTCATAATTCATAGAAGAATAGTAAATGAAAGCTCAGGGCTTTTTACTTCATCCTCCTATTTGGTCGAATCCAAAGCACGGAAGTATAGTCTGAATTGAACCACCCAGCTTATACATCTAGGCCGCTTAAACTGCTTGCTTCAATCTATTTCTAGGGGGGGTTTAAACCCATATTGATCTCCTATTAGCGTACAAAGAATTTAGATCTTAGTAATCTAGTAGGTTCTGTTCTGTAATTAGGATATCAGAGCCTGCTGCAAACGGATAGTTAACAGATTATCTGGACAAACGCTTTACGCGCTGACATATTTTGCTTATAGGTTTATTAACTGTCTTATAAGCTATTACTGGATACAGCTAGACCTAGTATACCGCACGTTTTGCAATTTACGGAGTCTGCATTATGGACATACTATATACAGACGCTCTGGACTGGAAACTCTTTTGAAGAAGATCGTCCTTGGTGATTATTGTATTGACATATCAACTATTCGGCGTGTCCGTTTCAACCAAAGACAGATCTCAACTAATCATTCGCCTAAGCCTTCCCTAGAATGTTACTTTCGTAAATCGTGCTTGTCTTCCCGGTATTGTTATTTTCGATCTGCACACCTTTCAGACTTATGCTCTTAAAACACCTAATATCATATAAAAGCCAGTCCATGAGGATAATACATACCTCATATCTCGGATCGTCCTCACTAGCATCGACGTTCCGACCGGCCTGGTTACCCGGCTCAGTTAGGACAGACTTGATGGTGCCGACACTTTCGGAAGTATTGGAGTCCGGTCCTGCGTATCAGTATTCGTTAGCTACTAAACTGGTATTCTGTAGGGAAGAAGAGATACGGAAGAGAAGGAAGAGCAGCACATACCTCCAACAGGCTTGTATCGCACAGTATCGCCGACTTTGTATGCAGGTGCCATGTTTGCAGGGTTATCTCAAGATGCAATTTCAAGATGGTTCTCGTAGTTCGTGTGATAGAATGAAAGATCTAAAGATGCTATGCTCGACGGGGAGGACAAAAGGTCAATATATATCCGCTTTCCGTAGACTACATCAATTAGCATAGTACTATATGACGTTAACTAGAACTATTCTATATTCTTCGAATGTAGTATATACGTCATTCCATGTTATCATGATGTCGGTAGTAAGAGCGTATCAAGAAGCAAGTAACGAGGGCGTTAAACAGGCCGTTTCCTAGCCCCATGTGAAAGAATCACCAGGATCTATATTCTAAGTAGCCGAACCATGGTAAGTAAACCATGTGGGAGACTCTGAGTTCTGGTAAGGTTGACGTCTTCCCGCCCCAAAAGGAAAACGGTTATGTTTCTTCCATTATCAAGTATCCTAGATTGGTAGGGATAGAAATACCCATTCGCATTCTCATTCGTTATGACTATTTCCATGCGCCTGTCTGGTTTCCCCTATGGTGTTTCAAGGACGGACTCCCCGACCAATGAGCTGTATCAATGACTAGTATCGTTCTATGTCGATATAGTTAGTTATGCGTGTTATATGTTCGTCAGCATGACGAATTAATCCACTTCTTCCCATGCATGGTATATAATGAATATACAGTATTTTGTACTAAGGTAGAAAAGATCTTCTATTTCCCATAGGTCCCTAACGGTAATGAGCTGCCACCTCTACCCATGATCTTGTTAAAGGTCCTGCTGTTCACAAGGTACCTTCCAACTTAGCCCGTAGGCTTCCTGTAGATCCGCATTTTGGTCTTTCAGCTATCGTTAGTCCGCGTTTATATCTATTGAATTAGTGGCAATCTGCTGAAAGATGATATTTCTTTATACAAGCATCTCCTTTAGATTCTATATCACCCGCAAGATTTCCCTGGACTGGCCCTCCATCACTTTGGACTTAGTCTTGTCCTGGTGGGTCCAGAGCGATAGGTATGTTGGGGATGTTTTATCTAGACAACTGTGGGATTAGCTTTATTTTGTAGCCTCTCCTTTCTCCAGGAGTTTAGGAAGCTGTTTAAATATATTATTATTATTGCTTCACCGATAGAAACATGCACAACATGATCACGTGCTCACCGCCACTCTTGCCTGCTCAGTGGCAGTGCAGAGTCAAGTTTCATGCCTGGCGCTCGAAATTCCACTCGTCGGCGTCCTAGTGCCTAAACAACCAAGTGGTGATACCCAAGCAAAATATTATTGTTGTACTTAGGTATTTATTTCCAAGGTTGTTTTCTCCGGCCGTTGCTTTGCACGGAGCGGACCCCACACACGGAAGCGGATATCAACGGATATCAACGGCTATCAATCTGCCATCTGTGATATTATCAACTTTGTATCACTTATCCGCTTCTCATATGCAGATTACTGATTATGGAAGCCCCTACTCCAACCAAGACCAGGCAGCGAGCATACAAAGCGTGCGTCCCATGTCGCCAACGGAAAGCAAAATGCGACCTGGGTAGCGGAGCCGACGGCAAACCGTCTGGGCCGCCTTGTGCAAAGTGCCGCAGAGAGCAGAGGCAATGCGTATTCCCTAAGAAGAGAGCCTGGGAGAGACGGAGGACGTGTCTGTATCAATAAATCCTTAATTTTCGCAAGAGTTTCGCTAATAATTCTATAGCTCAAACGGATCAGCTGCTTCCCGCACATGAAGGGACCTCCAGGAGTCCGGGTTTGGGGAGGAACAGTATTGCAGCATCGGAATTCTCATCACCATCCGCTAATCCTCGACTTAATAGCCGCAACGATACTGAGGAGCAGTGGTCCCCCGACGAGGCTAGAAGCGGCCGTGCGCAACCAGCCCATCATCACGAGAATTATCAAGCAGAGAGCCGATCAGTCTCGATGACTTTGGACAGCTCGATGGTGCGTACCGTTGTTTCCAGTGGTAATGATGCGCTCAACATTCTCTTCGAGGCAGCTACTGCTCACGAAAATGGGACAAACCCAGCCGGCGATGTTGACAATGTTCCCCGCCGGGAACAGAATGGGCGCACGACTGCCCATGAAGGGACTCAACCTCGTCTCTCGATGGCCATGACTAATGAACCAGAGAGACTTTCAAATGCGGGGAAGGAGGTCCTTCGGATTTGGGAGGCATGTCGGTTCGTAAGAATGGGATGGTTCACTGCTAGAGAAGCTGTCACATATATTGACCTGTTAGCTGGGCACCCATCTCTTATACCATACTTCCTATACTAATCTTTTATAGATTCTTCAAAAACATGTCACCATTGTCCCCTATCCTGTGTGGTTTCTACAGTGATCACAATAATCACCAGCTGCTTCTCAAAGATGAGCCCATACTCTGTTGCACTATCTTAATGATATCCTCACGATATCACGTTCTACCAGGCAGCGGCGGAGCTTCAAGGAGTTTCTTCATCCATCACCGTCTATGGCAGCATTGCGAACAGCTGATTATGAGGTTAATATTGGGGCAGGAAAAGTCATCAAAACGGAACACGCGGACTGTTGGCACTATAGAGGCGCTTCTGCTGATGTCAGAGTGGCATCCTCGCTCTCTCCATTTCCCACCCGACAGTGATGGGTGGGATTCTGACTTAGTCCTTACGCTTGAGGAGCCATCTTATAGCATGTCAAGAGATCAGATTTCATCCTCAAGCAGATGGATTGAAGACGTCATAGCGCCTGCGACAAGGTCTGACAGGATGTCTTGGATGTTACTTGGCTGTGCATTGTCACTTGCCTATGAACTTGGAATCTTCGAGTCAGACGCTGAAAAGTCGGCGAGCGCTACGAATAATGACGGTATGCCAGGCTCATCTGGGCAATATGGCTATCGACAGAAACGCGTTCAGCGCTTGCTCTACATCTATATTAATCAACATGCTTCTCGAATAGGTTGCAGATCTCTAATGCCTCAAAGCTTGAACCGTACTGTTATCAGCCGTCTCTGGATGCGGGCACCCGATGAGTCGGCTGATGAGTGGTCGGCATTCATGGTATCATGGATGGATCTAACAAAACTTATGGGGTCTATCAACGACATGTTCTTCCCGTCTACGTCGTTAGCCACTAATCAGCTACAGAGTGGACGGTATATAGGTCTGTTAGACCACTTTCGTCAGTTACTCCAGCGGTGGCGTGAAACCCATCTTAGTCCAAGAGGTATGGTGCCTTCATTATCACACCCTCACCTCACTTTTGGATTCCATGGAGAGTATGACCAAGCACGATCGCTAATACTACCTCCACAGATCTAGGAAAACGTTCTTTTGATTTATTATTCATCGAATACCATTTCGTCCGGGTGTATATGAATTCTATTGGAATGCAGGCGGTAGTGGAACGTCTTCTGGTAGACGGATATGGGTCGACTGGTCATCTCATGGCGAATATTCGCGCGATGAGTATAGACCCGGTTGACTACGAATTCATCCAGGAAGTAATCGACGGATGCTGTTCCATACTTCAGAAAGTAACAGAACTCGCAAATGACAAGGCTCTCCAGTTCGCCCCCGTCAGGATATTTCTTCGTGTAACAAGCTCGTCTATCTTTCTGCTTAAAGCTCTCAGCTTAGGAGTACGCAACGCGAAACTCCAAGAATCTCTCGACATCCTTGACGAAAGCATCCGGGCGCTGAGACTGAATACACTGGACGACATACACTTGGCAGCGCGTTATGCAACACTTCTTGAGGTGCATGTTTCGCGGCTGCGACGCCATTTCGCCGCATCATCTAAGACGACTGGGACAAGCTGCGACATTACGAGGCCATCATCTTCGCTGCCTCAAGAACAGGCATTAAGTACAGAAGCATCCAATGACCCCATGGAAGAGGAGACGTTCGATGCGGACTTTGTCCCCTCGTTGACCGATATGCCGCCGGATGACTGGCTCTTCCTCCCTTTCGATCCCTCTATGGCACCATTCGGTACGGCAGGCGGTCAGTCTTTAGGAATGGAAGACGGTGCGCTCGACTTCATTTGGAATCTACCACAGTGAATTCTATCTCTTTCTTTCCTTTTTTTTTTTTTTTTTTTTTCTCTCTTTTTGCGCGTTCAAGTGAACTACTATTTAATCTTAGGAAACTATTGGAAGTTGATAATCCGCGGTGAACGCAGACAGGACAGAACTTCCTCGTTTCATCATTACAACATCGTTTTGGATTGTCTGGTATGACACAGGACATGGATGGGGACGGTACGAAGTATCCAGCGGCTATACAGCTTGGAGTGATGGATATGGGATGGGTGTTTTTTTATTTTTTATTTTTTATTCTTTTCTTCTTATTCTTCTATACATTTTGAAGCACTGGAAATTCAGTCAGCAGCAATTTTGACTACTGCTCGACCTGGAAGCTGCCCAGCCAACATCCTTTTCGCGAAGACGTTGATGTCCTCCATTCAACCTTTGACCAGGATTGGCCTGACCAGTCCTCGTGAGGTGAACTCGAAAGCTTCATCCACGTCTCTCCTCCTACCTGTGATGGATTCTACTACGTTCAAATCCTTCGGAGCCATGGTCATGGGCGGTCATCCGCATCAGACCTCTCATTACGAAGTGCCCAGAGGGTAGGGTAGTTGCTCCTGTACGACCCGAGTTGCAGCAGTCACAATGCAATGACTCCATGTGCACCATACGTCGTTATATCCATGACTTTCTCCATAATATCTTTCTGTGTGGTAAGATCAAGGTAGCGTCCCGCACCAAGTTTCATGCAGAGCTCTTTTTTGTCTTTACCACCATCAACAGCAACGATGCGCATACCCATTTCCTTCGCGTATTGAATCCCCTTGTGACCGAGACAGCCGCCGGCACCCTCGAGCACTACCCATTGACTTGGCCGGACACCAGATCTTTCCAGAGCCGTATACGCCGTAGTGCTAATTCATCCTATATTGTGAACTCCACGATACAGTAATACGTTGCGCACAGAAGTTATGTTGTTGTGTGTAGCAGACATTTTCCGATTTGAGACTTGATTAAGGCCTCGATATCAAAGCAGGCGTTTGCCCTATTCTTAGTCATTCTCAAATATATTCCAACATTCGCCTACATACTAAATAGCACCTGTATCTTTCAGCTGCTGATAGATTTTTTAAGGCCGTTAACTTTGGAACTTCATTAGGTACGAGGGCCCTGACACTCTAGAATCGGCTAGCTAGATATTTTTCGACCCCGTATTTTCTGTAGTTTCTCGCTCTCATTCGGTCAGGCAGCAGCGATTGTTAGCAATCCATGTGCCGAATTGCTGCTGCCTGGCGCAGCTGATGGCGATCTTGTCAAAAAACACGCCTGGTTTTGTCGATATTCCATCATTTCCCCATAATAATAAGGGAGGAAAAGATAAGTGCTCAGCCACGTCTCTCGAACACCAAACCGAATCCGGTATGCCGTGCGAACCAGAAGTTTTTCGACGATGTTTCTCAACGAATGAGACGTCCTAGAAGAAGGTAATTAAGTAGAGCCCGTCTTGGCATTCGACAGGTCAAGCTTTTCATAGTCTTATCTAGCGTGAAATCCCAGAGGCTGAGCGCTGAGGTTAATGATAATTTACCTTTAGCCGAATCACACTAGACTGCGAGCTGGTTGTTTAGTACACACGAGAGCCACGGGAGACGAGATGCTAGAGGTGTTAGGGGCGCATAAGGCAACCCATGGCTTCATGCAACTCGTGTAATAATTATATGCACTGCCCTTTTGATTTGGCTGGATATTATTATTGTTGCTGCAGGTAAAATCGCAACGATTACCGAAATAGGAAACCATGCAGCTGGAGGCATAGTTACTCGTAGATACTTATATAACACCCCCCCGCGATCTCATGAGATCTGATGCTCATAAGCAGTAGTTACAAGGTATTCAGCTGCAAGTCAATTATCGAGCCTCTCATTTTGACTACTTCATCCTTTTCCTTACCTATTCATTGCCCACTGCTACATTTGCTGGATCTTTGTTGTCTCCAATGGCTATCAGTTACCGCCATGGGATCTCCATCCTGGAACTCATCTTTTACACACCCGCCATTTTTGTTGCGCTATTGCTGGCATTTCGACATGGTTTCAGGAAGAGTTCCGGGTGGTACTATTTCATCATATTCAGTCTTGCCCGCATCGTGGGTTCATGCTGTTATCTAGCCACAATCAGCTATCCAACATCAACCGACCTGTATATTGCATATGCGGTGTGCTCGTCAGTGGGTGTAGGACCGCTACTTCATGCTAACACGGGTCTTCTTTCGAGAATGTTAGTGTTTGAACCAATGCTACCTATCCATCCAACTTTACTCTATGAAACTACAAAAGCTAACGATGCCCCCCCTTGAACCAGCAATGATTCGATCGATCGAAAAACGAACCGACCGCTCAACCCACTCATCTTTCGAGGACTCCTTTTCCTTACGCTGGCTGCTCTGATCGTAGGAATTGTCGGTCAAACAACCGGCGGTTCTTCTGCCGCGACTCTTGCGCACCCCAAAATCGAAACGAAGATCGGTATCATCCTCTTCGTGGTCATTTGGGTAGCCATTTGCTTTATCCTGCTTGCCCTCCGTGGCAGATACAACGATATTGAGGATGGAGAGCATCGCCTTCTCGCCGCGGTGGGAATGTCATTGCCCTTCATTCTCGTGCGGCTCATTTACTCGGTCCTTTCTGTCTTCGTGCACAACTCAGACTTCAACATGATCACCGGCAATGTGACAATAATGCTCGTCATGGCTGTTCTGGAGGAATTTGCTGTCGTCGTGATCTGTCTTGGTATCGGGTTGACATTGCAGGTTCGACAGTCGGTTGCTGATCCGGAACAACCACAGACTGGATACCCAGCAGATCAGGGTTACCGGAATCAGCGTGAGGGAAAGGGGCCGAGATCTTCAGAGCCAAGATACCAGCCAACTCCAGCAGATCCATACGAAGCGGAAATGAGTTATCTTCCTAAGCAGCCGAGGAGACACAGAAGAAGAGGAGGTCCGATCACGCAGCTGGTCAGACTAGCTGCAGATGAGATCCAAGACAGGAGATACGGCTAGGTCTATGATATCTTGAACCATTGTTCATTTAGTTTGTTTTGTTATACCCGTGTTTTCTACACAGAGGAATGTTTTTCCATTTGTGCTTAGCAATTGTTGATTTTGAATAGATGGGAACAAAGCTTTTTGTCTTTCCCCTTTCTTACTAGACATTTATGCACGATAATAATGTTACCAACCACACCACGATCTGACCGGAGACTGATAGCAAGCCCTAAAAACCAGTAAACCCATTCATAGACTAACCCCAATGGGTCTTTTGTCATCTTCCGTTTTGTTGAGGCCTAAGTCTGCTTGTCGCTTGGGACGAAATCCGGCGCCGTGGCACGCAGCTCGGCGGACTGGGCGCTTTCCGCCGCAGCAGCCTGGTTCCGGTTCCTATTCTCATTGGCCTTAATGGTATCAGTCATATAATTTTGGTCAATTCGATTTTAGATTCTTACTTACCCGCTCGCGAGGGAAGAACCGACTTCCTCTGTTTCTACGAGGGCTGTACTGATTCATATTGCCAAAGCCAGGTGGCGGAAGAACGAGGCTATGGCGCGCAGTACCACCAAGACCAGAAAAATGATTGTAGTGATTCATGTTGGCAGCCCCGGATATCTGAGGAACAAAGTGACGGCGTGCCATACCACCCTGTCCAGAATAAGGACTGAGGTAGTGCGAGTAAGTATGTTCAGTCATGTTCGCAACCCCAGATGACTGAGAAATGTAGTTACGGCGCACAGTACCACCCAGACCCGAGTAAGGACTGAGGTATGGAGGGTAAACGGGATGGTACGTCGTCGGATAAGCAGCAGGATACAAAGGCCCCCAGTGAAGTTGTTCGTACTGCCTATGGAAAGGGACAGAGGCAAACTCGGTAGAGTTTGTAATCCTTGGCTCTGCGCTTTGTTTATTCTCAGCGGTGGCAGCCCCAGGAACAGTCGGGGCAGTCTCAGATCTGCGATTCTCCTTCTTCTTCAATTTGTCGTGTTGGTTGTTGAATCTGTTCTTCCGCTTGGGGCGCTGTTTCTTCTTGGAGTTTGATTGGGCGTTGTCCTCAGCGGTAAGAGGAGTAGCAGGCTGTTTGGAGATCCCAGTTGGAGCTGGAGCGTCTTTGGTCTTTGTGTCGATGATAGCAGTAGGAGCTTCTTCGCCCTCGTCGGCATGTTTATTGGTAGTATCGACTTTGTTCTCGTCATGTTTCTCTGCTGCTATTTCAGAGATGTCTGCCCCAAGGACATGTTCGACTTCAGTCTCTTTCTCTTTTTCCTCATTTCCCTTCTTCACGAGAGAGGTCTCGCAAGTGGGCAGCGCAGGAAAATGCTCCACAGATTCCATCACAGCTACGGACTGCAGCGAAGGAGAGGCAATGACCGGAGGAGTTGCAGCAGGAACTCCAGTCTCAATCTCGGTCTCGGCTTTGCGTATTCCTTCTGCGAGAATCCTCCAACGCTCACGAGTAGCAGCTAGCTGTATATCTCGTCAGAGCTTGTGTATGTCATGTGGCGAAGGGCCGAAGATTCAGGGGGGTGGGAGAGGAGGGGGGGGTAAACAAACTCTGGCTCTCTGCCCTTTCCCCATCTTCGCGGTCTTGAAAAGATAGAGTATGTAGGAGTAGTAGAAAGGAGTTATTGAATCAGGCCGGGCAATCAGGAAGAGCCGATGCTTGACTGTTGATATGAAGATGTAGGTAGAGAGGAGAACCTGGAACTGTTCATGAGAAGAACAGTGGAGGTGCAAGGAGTGAAAAGAATAATAACAGATATTTCCCTGGGTGCTATCACTTGTCCAGGTCTGTTATGAAACGAGTAGAGCCCACCCATATTTGGTTGCGTTCAAAGGCGCCGAGATACTTTGCTTCACAACAATCGTCACGGCAATGGAAAGACTTGTGTGTAGTGAACCACTTTTAGGTAGCCCCCTCCAGACTCCAAGGATGGTATCATCACAAAGGATTATTTGCAGTGTAGATAGAGTCTGTGAGCTGAACATTTCAGAGTTTTGTAAGAGGTCATATATCATAAAGATTGTTCCTTTAAGGGGAGAGCTTACTAAGAGCGTTGGAAGAACATATATACTCAGACAAATTTTTATTGTTTTCTATTTAAATTTTTTTTTCTTTTTTCCTTTTTTTTTTCCTCATTGAGGAAAGGAAAAGACACTTATTCGTACAGGGGTATTATTTCACCAAAGAAAACACCAAAGAAAACACCAAAGAAAACACCAAAGAAAACACCAAAGAAAACACGAAGAACCCGCAGAAAACACCAGGACCCAGAGAAGAAACGGGAGACGGCCACAAATCCCACACCGAACCAAGTCCCTGGGGAACTTAGTTCGGCGTGAGCTTTATGAAATCTCGCGGCGCCGAGATCTGCTTGCCCCTGGCTGGGTTTTTGGAGGGCCGTTTAAGGCCCCTCCAGCCATTTGCCTGTGAGGTTTTACCCTCCTTTGCCTTCGACTTCCCAAGGAAGCCGAGTACGCTTCTCAGAACGCCGAAGCGTCTGGAAGTAGCAGGCCGGGCTTGCACCGTCCCCCGTTCGCTGAATTCGGGAACCGAATCAGCGGCCCTCATACGCGTAGGTCCACGTATGGCAGTAGCACCATTCCCACCCAGGTACTGAAGCGAGGAGGTGCGGAGAGGGAACCTGGAGTCCCTCGAGGTCCGCACCTCCTCTGTGTCCACTGGGTGGGAATGGAGGGCTCTATCTCTGAAGTCCCTTCTCCCCGTTGCCACAAGCGTATTGAAGCTTGGCATTGCTGCCAGGCCTCTGCCTGCGGCGGCAGACGGTTCGCCAGAGTCAGGGCGTGAAATACCACGCTGGGTATTTCTGCCCTTTGCAGCAGTCATATGATATTCTGCTGGAACCGCTGGGACGGGGGGTGCATCTTCAGGTATGCACGTCTTCGAACCAGAGCTAGACAAACTAGACAAACTGGTTCTACTCCCAAGTCGACGAAACAGATTCATCTCCTTGCCACTGAAATCCCGCTTCAGAGTCTGCGCCGAAGACCTCTTGGAGCGAGGAGTGCCAGTGGGGGACGATGTCTCATTGTCAGCGCGTGCTTTGCCCTTGGAACCCTTATGGGCATCGTCGTCTTGGACTAGGGAGGGACCAGTTTCTGTCCTATCGTTCTCCGTGCCTTGGACAGCGTTCTTCAGATTGATGATTGAAAAGCGACTACCTATAGAGGCACGTATTCCTTCCCCAAGGGAGCGCTGGGTCGGTCGAGGAGTACGGTTGTCTGGAGAGACGTCGTCCTGAGATCCCATAATGAGTTTATCGGCAGATCTGGAGATATGCATGGTAGGGCCAAGATCTAGTCTGAGTCTGGAGGGAAGCTTTGCACGATACTCTCCGGTATAAACACCTTGTGGGCGCAAGAGAAGCTGTCCATTGCTCGTGTAGATGTCGTCGTCAGTGTCCACCAGAGGGGTTGCTGCTGAATTTGCGTTTTGCGGTCGAAGAGACGGCGTCAATGCAGAATCCTCATACTGAGGGATAGGCGAATCCAGTGGATCGTCAATGTTAGGTGTGGGAGAGGCAGCATCACCATACTTCGGGTTGGGAGAGCCCAGTAGATCGTCAGTGTTTGATTTGAGAGATGGACCGGCATTAACTGGGCCTATGTCTTCGAGAGGCACATTATTCCTGGTGTTTGTGACGTCGAGAGGAACATGTATCGAACTGCGGCTCTCAACAGAGGCATTCATTCTTTGTATGATACGTCTTTCGTACCGTATTGGAGAGTTCAGCAAGTCCGAGCCAGTTGCTATTGGGATTCCACTGGCTATTGGGATTCCGCTAGGTACAATTCTTTCGTCTGCTGGAATGGAAGTCTGGGCAGGCGCAGACAATATCGGAGCAGGAACTAAATGAGACTCTTCCCCGGTTGGAGACATCTGCCTTCTGTCTGCGTTTTCATTCCCTGGAAAGAAGCTGCGTCCAATAGTTTCCAAGTCAGGGAGAGGAGGAGAAGATGGTGATAACTGGCCAAGCTGCCTTTTCGTCCTAATAGGGTATGAGTCTGACATGGCTTTGTTGGCAGAAACGTATTGTGAACGTAAATAATCAGCCGATGAAGACGCTCTTCTGAGGTAAGCAGAGAGATTTGCAGAGTGGTGTGAGAACTGAACTGAAGGACTGAGACTCAGATGTGTTTTGCTCTTTGTCGCGGCAATATCAGAGTGAATGCTAAGGCGACTTTCCGTCTGGTTCTGTGACAAGGGCGTGTTACAGGACAATCGCACAGTTCCTGAGGTGCAGCTAGCTCTCAGAGAGTCTAGAGATCCTTCATACAGAAGTGCAGGGACGTTAGACAAGGACTTGATATGTCTCCGTGTAGCAGCTTCCGAGTCTTCTATGATAGGGTACTCAGGAAAGGGGTTGTCACTATCTGGACGCGTAGCGTTTGGTGCAGTATCTGTAGAGGTTGACGACAGATTTTCAAGAGTCAAAGTAGATGTAGATTTCTGTAGACGGTTGTCAAAAGTCCCAGGGTACTCAAGGGTAGAGGATTCCTGCTCGTAAAAATGAACCAGTGATGATACCGTAGAGTGAGTCCTTGTGCTGGCGGGTGCCGGAGTCAGGAAATGATTGTTTCCTCCAGTCGAGAAGTGTTTGTCTCCTGCTTGGACTGGAGATCCAGCCTCTGGAAGGCTCGAAGCAAGCCACTCCTCCTTTATCTTTGACTTTCGAGGAAAAGTTCGGCGTGGAGGTGTCAACCTTGAAGCAAATGGAGTTCCTATTGCGGCACGGATATCTTCAACAGGGTCAGCGTCTGGAGGGAGAGAAGGGAGAGGCTTTGACGGTAAGATGGGTTCCTGGGTCACCGGGTTTGCTGGAGGACTCTTCACATGTCGCATCCCCTTGTCTCTAAATTTCTGCCCGTATGTGTTAGTGCTCACTTAACATCAATACAAATGAAAAATTCACATACAATCACCTCCGATACCTCATCATAAGCGAGTGATGGATACACATGAGACCCTTTACTGACTTCCCTGAACCTAAAGACTCGCTCACGGGGCTGATATGAGATATATCAGCCAAATCCCTGAATCACTGAAGCTCATGAAGCTTACCTTGGCCACTAAACTTGAATTCCTTCCCCATGTATGTTTAAACTTCTTAACATACTTCGAGTCCCTGAATTTAACCACGCGTTTGAAGACAGTGTTCCACATCTTACTACTCTTCGATAGTATTCCTTTTCTGTCCATATCCGGTGGCACGGGGGCCGGTTTAGGGGCATAGAACTGTGGGCTACATCCAGTTATCGTCGGCAGCTTTGGTGCACCGCGTTGCAATCGAGATCTCTCCGTTCCATAGAAACTATTCGCTGTCTTTGCTTCGGGTCCATTAATGTTATGAATCTTGTCTGTCCTTGTGTGATCATTTTCCTGGGTTCTATTCTGGTCTGCTGCCCCCTTTGGGTTTGATTCTTGTGAGGATGGATGGAGAATAGAAGCAACAGCTTTCTTGAGTGTTCCCGTCATATTATCGGTTGCATTTCTTATCATGATGGGTATCTGGATGAGAAGTACATATGTGCATCTGTGTCTCCGAAAGGCTTGACAGTGCCAAAACAAAGGTGCTTTCAAAGGATGAATGAATCGAAATTCCCTGAATGCTGAGTATTGGGTATCCTTATGGGTTGCTGAAAGATTCGAAAAGCTCGCTCGCCTTTTTCCAATAGCTTTATACTAACTGTGGAAGCTTTTAGGAAAGGAAAAGAATGAGTCTTGAGGAAGGAAAAAGCACTGTGTCACTGCACGTCACAGTCTCAAACAGCATATCAAAACGGAAACTAGATATGGACTGATCTCTGACGTTGCTATGGATGTTAACTGATGCCTGAATGTAACGAAGAACTGGAGAAGCAATCAAGAGGAGAGAGATGAAAGGTAGGAAATCGTTTTTGAGCGTGAGTGAGGTGAGGTTTGTGTGTTTCAGTGAAGGGAGTCTGCTCATAAAGAGTAGTAGCTCCTTCACGTGCTCATCACTGACTTCCTATATAGGTAATATAAGCGTAATGCACGTGATGATATCTGCAATGGTAAAAGAGGGCATAACTCAACACGTGCCCCATTGCCCTATGTTAATCCTCTATTCTCACATATTAGGGGATAGGGTTATCGGGTAATTATACTCGAGGCTTTAGCATGTTCCATGGCCTTTCGAATTGGCCGAGTATTGAGCATCCGGTCAATCAGCAGATCTAGATATCACCAACCTACTAAGATATCCGCTTTCTAACGTGGGAGGTGACCACTCCAGCGACGACTCTTCAAGCTACAGCGTCCGTGAATAAAGATCTTCTGGATATAGTATGTACAAATTGGATATCTAGTGGCTTCCAAAGTTCTATACGGTACAATGGGAACCAACTATGTTCAACTATCAGGTGAAGTATGCGAAATATATGGGCTTCTGTTTCCCCGTTTTGCTGGCTTCGAGTCAAAATTCGATGACGGGGCTTTATGGGCGTACCCCATCGTCCAGCGAGACGATACCAGAAACTGCAGAAGACAGTTACAAATGAAGAATCTACTGAGGTGGTCACGGTACCGTGTTTGAAATAAGCTACTAAGGCACTTGCAGAACCCGACGAAGGCAGCTTGGGTATTGATGTCAGCATGCAATGGGATTGGTGCAGCTAGCAGCATCCTATCGATTCTATGAGAAGCGAAGTACTGGCAGTCTTTGTCGACATAGAAGATCCACAATACTTCAATGGCCTTCGCGGACGAACCAGTTTGATAGAGATATTCATCGCATGAGGGTGCAAGGACGCTGTTGGTTGATGCAGGGGAGCGTCAAAAGCGCGGGACCATGGTTCAGCACGACAACCTGCTCGAATATAGAAATGGGTCTCTTTTCTTTTTTTTTTTTTCCATTATAATACATCCGCTGTAATGCAGAACGCGAGATCTGAACGGCATGAAACGATTAGCGTCACTATACTCCATCAGGCAGTTTTTAGTTTATTACAAATAGCTGCAGGAAACCCAATCTCCCGAACTTGAGAGTGCCTGCAGCAATTTTGTTGTCAACCACAGATCAAAACACACAAGGTACAGAACAAGGGCTTGTTAACAGGCCTTGTGTATTATCAGCCCTTGGAGATACTTATAAGTCCGTCCGGAACTGAGATGAGCGACCTTCCCCTGTAGTTTGTTCATGCTTCCTCTTTGAGATAACATTTCGAGTTGAAGAGTCAGTATTGATTTCCAGCTCCTCAGTAGGTCCCTCATCACGCCATTCCGTGATCTCCCATTCGATTGTGGTGGCCTGGTCATCGCTCCTACCGACTCCTCGTCGACTCCTCATCAAGCGACCTAGGCGGCTACCCTCGATCATTTCCTCAAACCACGGAATACCGCCTACGGTGCCCTGACTGTAGCTTCTCGAGAAGTCTGAAACGTCGGCAGTGGATGATACGGTGGGAGCAGACAATGGGGGGTTTCTCCTAGTTATGGCCGCCTGCGCATCCAGTGCCTCGTCATCCACATCATCTGGAAGGAGCTTGAGATCCTCCAATAGCCTTTGGTCATCTCCACGTAGACTGCCAACCGATATAGACATAAAGTCCGCCTCCTCGGGTGGCAGTTCTGTCCAGTATGTCAAAGGAGTGCCGCAGAAACCGCAGAAGCTACGCTGGCTATGAGGAGCGTGTAGAGGAGTGAATGTACGACGGATAGAGTTGTGAGATTCGTCTGGATAATAGGATCGTGTGTTTGATTGATACCACGCCAACGGAACTCGCAGCCAGACTGAAAGTGGTGCGCCGATGGATCGACCTGAGAGATGAGACTACCGGTCAGTTTATCTATAACTGAAGGCAAACATGCTAGACAAGGCAACTTACGGTGGTCTCTACCACTGTCAAAATAAACCTGGGCAGCTTCCTCTGTGACACCTTCAGGTACTATAATCATGTATTGGTTTCGACCGCAAGCGCAGCCTCCTCGCAAGTGGCGGTGGCTCATGTTCAGATTGCTCCGGGAAGTATAGGTATGTACGATCCAGCAATTGTGAACAACCGAACTGTGAAGCTTGCGAGTGCTGCTCTAGATAAACAGTATCAGTCGAGATCGACAGTGAGGAGACTGCTGATAGCAATAGAGAGAAATGGAAAACGATCGTGCTCGCAGGAAATCAGCGGAAACCAGCGCTAGTCTTACAGAGGAGACGATGACGTGCATCGCTAAGTACTCTCTCCGGATCGATTCCAGCCCAATTGAAACAAACCACTAAGAGTATGTACTTAGGTTAGCCCGGGCCAGAGCGGGACATCGCCCGACAACCTTAAAACTTGCCTAGGTTACTTATGTATCTTTAGACTACAGTAGACTAGACTACTCCGCACTTTTGGCAGCGTCCACCACAAGATCACCTTATCCGGCAGACAACAATGTTCCTGTCTCTGTCTCTGTGTCACCGTCAACCTCATCCACGAGTGACCAGAACCAGAGAGGCGTCGACGCGCCTGGCTGGCTAGCATCCAGCGCCTCCCTAACGAACCCTCGTGTTCCCTTGATGCATCTGGGAGCGATTATCGCGATCTTTGACCCCTAGACCCTGGTCCGCCCCATTTGCGATCGGAGATCTTTGACGCTCGAGACACGTGCAGACGTGCCACATCCACCATGCCATCTGCACAACCACCTGCTTCCGTCTCTTCGATCTCGCCTGATCCGTCATCATCTCCAGCGCCAGCCGGAAGGGCAAGTGGCGCAGACTCATCAAATCCAGCAGCAGCGTCCGCTGCCGACAAGGATAAGCCGCGGCTCACTGAACAAGAGAAGAAGAACAACCACATTGCTTCCGAACAGAAACGCCGCGCCGCAATTCGGGAAGGGTTCGATCGATTGACTGAACTAGTGCCGGGTCTTGAAGGCCAAGGCCGCAGCGAGAGCATAGTCTTAAAGAAGACAGTCGAATTCATGCACTTGCAGCTGCAAGAGAGGAGGAATCTTATCGCAGAGATTGAGCGCAGAGGTGGTATTGTGGAAGACTCGTTCCGGCGATAATGGCTTGAGCGTGCTCGATATTTCTTGGATAACAGGGTGGACTCAAGGTCCTCAGTTGTAACAAGCAGCTGCATGCTGTATGCTTTTGCCATACCAGCAATCAGGAAATGACTATAATCGCTTGTTGCAGGCCTGGTGCGAGCCTTGCCAGGTATTCTGTCGTTTTCTACCAGCCAGGCACAACTTCACGGCGGAAATGGTCTGGGTTACGGGCGTTTATGGTGTAACAGCTCCATTTGAATACATCAGACTATGTTCTGTGATACTTTACTGTGGGGCCTGGGCTACATATTGCACGGGACAGAGGACGATGATAGATTTGGTCTTGCTTCGACGATAATAGTCACATTGCTTGCATGAGACCACTCCGCTAATTGAGTCCGGACCGAAGCACCACTAGGTCGGTAAATGCCACCTGATCCGGTGGTGACTACGTCAAATGGGATAGCTACTTTCTTTGTTATTCTCTGTGTATGCTATCTTTTAGAGAGTTGTATTGGTGTCTACCTTCATCCATTCCCCTGACTTGGAACTCTGCCACGGAATACGCATGTCCACACACTCGACTCAGACGGCAAGTATAAGGCGCCAGTCCTGAGCATCCCTACCATCACATCAACAGGAACCGTAGTCTCCCTCGTTTCTTGAGCTGAGGAAGAAGGAACCCCACCCGAACAGATCACATATTGTCTCACGAGATATCCTGATATTTTGTCTGGCGCGAACAGAGCGTTCCGCACGAACAAACAAGCAAGTTAATGCACTTTGGGACCCAGTGATCGAGATTAGTGCCTGCAATAATGCAACTAGCTTGCCTCCGTAAAAGGATATAGTCCATGAGAGTGCCCGTGGCCCAATGCCGCCCTATCTCGATGCAACACGACCTTCTTAGTCTGCTTTTTCTGTTTCGCTTTCATTTCTCTAGCCGCCATGAAGACCTGGGTGGAAGTCCTGGGCTTTTCATCCTTCATCATTTATCAGGCTCCTCCGTAGAGCTTAGGTGGATAAGTTCACAGCTAATGATAGGTACCTAACCAGTCATCCGACAGCTGGTCGTATGTTCTCTTATCTGAATACCAAGTACGTATGTGATTTATGAGAGGCCCGCATTTAATCTTAGAGCATGCCTACAGATTATCAACATTGGAACTGTGTATACCACTCCCGAAAGAGACTAAGCTGCATTAAGCTGCTATGTTTGGCTTCCAAGGTTACAGAGACTATTTCATTTTTTGAGAAGAGCACATGCACAAAAGCCACCAATATATCACTGTGCTCGATATGAGACTCAGTATGCAGCACATATCGAGCCAATCGGTGACCAGAGAAGCTGTGACCCCATGTGCTAGATCTATTACAATGGAGATAAGACGCGGAGACGAACGAAGGCGCCCCGGTTCTATTTTTGACATCAGCGCTAACGACTAGATCAGCCGTCCTGCTTCAGGTTCAGTAGAGCTTCATACATCGATTGGATATCCCATCCCCGTATGTCCGTAGCGCGGAAGATTCGGTGTAAGCCACCGAGAAAGAGCTGCATTAATATCCAGATCTGAGAGCGGGCTTATTTGACCTTGTTATGATCGGGACTACTGTCTCTCGATCGCTGTTCGCCAGTCGGTAACCGCCAGCCGGATCTACAGGTTATCGTTGTACCCGGGCAGATCACGCAGCAAAGTGCTGCCCTTGGTCCATGCTGTATTATCAGGTGTAACTCCGCTATCTTCTCTGTGATCACTCATTCGGTCATAATTGCAGAACTACAGTTACATATATCACGTATACCTGGATTAGGTATCTACATAAGATAGGCTGGGTATGGTGGTTAGGTATTGTTAAGACTTATTCTACACGGTCAGCTCCTTGCACATATCAAGGCGTCCGCAATCTATTCTAATCAAATTGTCCATGCATACGCTACCTTGATGAACAACAGAGTCTTTTCTCGCGGTCGGGGTCAGACAGGGGCAGGCAAAATCACTAGAAACGTACTAATTCCATTATGGGAAGAGGATGCTTAGGCTTCGTAGCAGATAGCGCCTGGTTTTTCAGTGACCTGATTCCTGCTAGCATGCTCCAAATTAGGAACTACCGATTATAGGACTTCTCGTAGTTCGAACCAAGATGGCCTCCAGATGTTGGAATCGGGGTGTTGGCCAGTAAACAAGCGATGGCCAGGGAGCAACATGCCCCGCCCTCTTAGTGCATGTTACCGCAAGCCGGGCGTCAACTCTCAACCAACCACCTCAGGTCGGCGCGTAGGGGTGCCAATGAAAAGATCACGATCTCGATGTACTGTTGGCGCCAGGACCCTCCATTATGACTGTTAATAGAATACGCTGTTTGGGTTTAATTAGTCGTTTCTATTCTTGCTATGTGCAGAGAGGCTCTAGTAGATAGTTCATCGTCTTGGGGATCATACATATACAGGTTCAACGACTGCACCTTCCATCATGATTTCTCTGGATCAAGTTCCTATTTTGTATTTCCTTACTCCTTTACAGTATTTCTTTGAGTCAGTCACGATTTACCTTAGATTTTTCTTGTTATCCTTTCCTTGCGCATATGAGCAGCACATCTATCTGCGAAATATCGTTTGTTCAAACCCTTGCTATTTCGTATTGAACTACTACAACTTGTCTTGCTCTTGAATTTCCTTTGCTGCTTTCAACAACTCAAATTTTCCAACGTCAAAAACATTTACAAGGCCATTGTTAGCGATGCGGTACTTGCCTGTCCTTGTTGCGTCCCTGGTGGCGAGCGTTGCTGCAGCCCCGTCTAACATTGTCCGGAACAATGTCTATGGGTATTCTGCCGAGCTCGCAGAATTCTACTCAAGAGTCAGTCACTACATTGGCGAGATACGACAAGCATCCACTGCATCTCCAACGTGCGATACATCGAAGATCGCATTGCCCGCCCAGGCAAGCGGGCTGCCTGCTCCACCAGCGGGGCAGAAAGTGTTACATGTTGCAGTTGGTCGAGGGACACAGGTATGTATTTCTCTATTGCTCGCTCGCGATATACAGCCATGGTATCACTACTGTAAATAGTCCATCAGGCTAACAACTACATGTGTATAGAACTATACCTGCGCCGACTCAACAGCCAATACTAAGCCTGTGGCTATCGGTGCTCTTGCCAGTCTCTACAACGCCACCTGCGTTGCTGCAAATTACCCAGATCTAATGTCAATGGCACCGAATGTCGTGATTAACATCGCCCTACCTACCAAGTCCTCCTCCACACTTCCACCTGCCAACCTCGAGTTGCTCGGCCATCACTTCTTCAGAGACACCACTACGCCGGTATTCAACCTGGACACCACGCCCGAGCGGCAGTATGGCATCGCAATCAGCAAAAAGAACTCATCTATGAGCGCCCCCACTGATGCCGTGAAGGGTCAACATAATACCGGGAATGGCGCAGTGGCCTGGCTCTACTTGGATACCATTAATGGTACTGTCGGCGACTACAAGTCTGTCTACCGCGTAAACACGGCGGGCGGCAATCCTCCAGCAACGTGTGAGGGTATGGGTAAGACCTTTACTGTCCAATATTCGGCAGATTATTACTTCTATGGCTAGTTCACTTGTTTCGTGATCGGTTATTGCCTAGCAGCTGTCTGAGCGTTCTGAATTTGGCATTGTCTGCAGCAGAGCTGGTGACCTGTGTTCTTCGATTTCTTTTTGTGGAATGGTTATTCCCCTTTTCTCCTGGTTTTATTCACATACCTTGTTCCAATGAGCCGTCCATCGGTCATCAAATAATAGCACGTTTTTATCTTCATTCTTGTGCAGATCATAAGGTACCGATTCAATCTCGGGTTTCCTTATTTCAGAATACATATTTGAGTCAGAGATAAGATAGCGCGAATCAGAGTACGTAGTAGTAGACTCTCTCAAAGCGACAACAATGACTTTGGATACAACTTGGAACCACTCCACGCACCTCGACTGGCGGCGACCGCTGATAGGGTTAACGGTTATCCCGTGACCTCGCTATCGGCAGAGGTTTTCAACCTCACGTGATGATAGTTGCTTTCCCACACAGGCCAGAAGCGGTGCCGGGCAGCGGTACGCTAGCCCACGACGGGTTTAGCGTATTTGATTTTCGAGAAACCGAAAAGCTCAAAAGTCTGAAAATCTCGAGCGCGGCAACGACGAGCACCTGCGACGGCTTCGATAGAAACCTGATACCATTTTCACCTGTGACATTTGAAGCAGGTCAGGTTCTCGATTTCTGAGCCACTTGCGATCCAGTGTCTTCCTCGTCTTAACCGGAGTCAGCAAATTTTCTCCCCTCGGGACCTACTTTCATCGACGACGGTCCCTCTACGGCACGAACGTCTTTCATCAGTTCGAACGTTGTAACGGTCAACTTTACATACAGACATAATGGCATTTGGAGCTCCTAGAGGACGCGGTGGACCGGCTCGTGGTGGCCGTGGTGCCCCTCGAGGAGGTGGTGGCTTTGGTGGTCGCGGTGGCAGAGGTTTGTTATATCCATTTCCTGCAAAGCTGAAGGACTGTCCATTGGTACTCGATGCTATGGGATTATCTTCCTCCTTAGGGAGAAGTGACCTTGAGATCACGTACCTCTAGTTGTCCTAGTCTGTGACCACGAGGCTAATCTGCTCGTTCTGTTACACAGGTGGTGCCCCCCGTGGCCGTGGAGGACCCCGTGGAGGCGGCCGTGGTGGTCGCGGTGCTCCCAGAGGTGGTCGTGGTGGTGGTCGCGGCGGCAAGCCCGGTGTCAAGGGTGGTGCCAAGGTCATCATTGTAAGTTCAATCACAACTCCTATGCGAATTTTCTGGCAGTTGACTTACACCGTCATTTCTAGGAGCCTCACCGTCATGCCGGTGTCTTCGTTGCCCGCGGCGGTAAGGAAGACCTGCTGGTCACCAGGAACCTGACCCCCGGAGAGGCTGTTTACGGCGAGAAGCGTATCTCGGTTGAGGCCCCGTCTACTGGGGAAGATGGCGCTACTACCAAGGTCGAATACCGTGTCTGGAACCCTTTCCGTTCCAAGCTGGCTGCCGGTATTCTGGGTGGTATGGATGACATCTACATGCGCCCCGGCTCCAAGGTTCTGTACCTGGGTGCTGCCAGCGGTACTTCCGTCAGTCACGTTGCTGATATTGTCGGACCTACTGGAACTGTGTACGCTGTCGAGTTCTCTCACCGTTCCGGCCGTGACCTGATTGGCATGGCTACCCACCGTACCAACGTCATCCCCATTGTTGAGGATGCCAGACACCCTCTCCGCTACCGGATGCTCGTCAGCATGGTCGATGTCATCTTCGCAGACGTTGCCCAGCCTGACCAGGCCCGTATCGTGGGTCTCAATGCCCACCAGTTCCTGAAGGAAGGCGGTGGTGTCATCATCTCCATCAAGGCCAGCTGTATCGACAGTACCGCCAAGCCCGAGGTTGTGTTCGCCAGAGAGGTCCAGAAGATGAGAGAGGAGCGGATAAAGCCCAAGGAACAGCTGACGCTGGGTAAGTACTATGCATGCCGTTACCGTGAGACAACGCTGATTGCTAACACTTGTGATAGAACCCTTCGAGCGTGACCACTGTATCGTGGCTGGTATCTACAAGCGCTCCGCATAGATATCCGCATAGATAGTTTTGTATCTTGCTCTTTCATGTCTGGTGATATATGTCTCTTCTGGCGTCTAGTGATGTGTGTGCTGTATTTTTGAAATCTTCTTGTTCACTATCTTCCAAGGTTGCACGTGTATTTTCTTCGTTTTAAGTCACAGGAAGCTTCAGGTGTCTGGTCTCGCTCGGATCCAAGCGATTCTCCTGCTTTGAAAACAAAAGTGCGGCAGTCTTGCAACAATTACGTTAATGCTCTCCTCCGGGAAAAGAAAAAGCTATCCACCGTTATATTGATCTTCGATATGGTAAACGGGAACTTCTAACATGAGCGCATGCTGCCGCTTGGTTCAGCAGATTAGAACTGTTTGAATGGCCGACTATCTCTGCCATATTCTCAAGGGTCATGGGCACCGCCTGGGTATGCATTGTGTAGTTCGTAAGACATGGCTGTTCTCGTGAAGCATGTGATTGAAAAAGGAATTGGCCATGTTCTTTTATTCTAGACGTACTTCCCAATATCAGGTTACTAACCACCAGTTTGCAACGTCTAATAATGTATGAGCTTCGTATCCTCACTATTGGGCCTAACTACTTCAAGGATGTGCTCGTTAGTAGCTTTTTCCTATCCTACATGTTGCAGCCATAATTTAGCAGATTCGATGCTTGCCCGGAAGATGATCCTTGAAGATCTGCTGCCAACGGCTATCTCTCGGAGAATATGTGGAACATCTTCTTTATAGCACGGGAAAAACCAGCCAGACCGGGATGGACGATCGCCTTGTGGTCGTCAGGCGTCGTACAAGTAAATGTTGAAAGCTTTAACGTGGTTAGCTGCCAAGATCGTCCCCCTCTACGATCATATGTCTCCAACAACAACCTTATGAGCTTTCCTCTCCCGCTAACTATCGCTGGTCCTACGGATTAATCACGGCGAACGGGGATCCTACAGCCGAGTTCTGCCCGTCGAACACTGCCATACCATAGGAAGAGGCAACAAGGATGAGATGGCATTCTTTCCAGCACGCCTGACGGTAGTTATCCCTTTGGTGGCGAGCGCGACTGACAGACACCCCTCCCCAGGCATACCCAACTAAGTATATACCGTCCACTCGGTGGTCTACACAGCGCACATCCAGGTCTGATTAACTAACTAGCGCTTGTGCCTGTTGCTGACCGGCGTCGGATTTCGCGGCGACCGAATGCGCCGCGAAGGGGCCCTAGCCCTGGAGTTTTCTCGGGTCTATTAATATTGTCAATCATGCTGACTTCCTGTTCGTCCTCCCCGCGACCCACTGAAGAGAGCAAGACGCCGGCACGGAGATGCTCCTATCCTCTTCCACGGCTGTTGTTAAACTCTCCGCCCTAACCCCGCAATTGCTTGCGCTATTTGAACTGGCCAGCTCTGTTGGTTGGGACCAGACGAGAACAGAGAAAAATGGCAGACAGGAACAGAGAGAGTGAAGGCTTTCCCTTCTTTCCATACTCGTTTGGACCTTCGAGAAGCGCTCCGTCCTAGCAGGCGTCCAGTGAAGCCATGTCTATCCTCATCACCGGTGCGAATGGTTACGTCGGGCAGGAATTGACCTCTGCTCTCCTCCACGCTACCCCTCCAGAGACTATCATCACAATTACTGATGTCGTTGCGCCTCAGATACCTGCGTCGGCGGCCCAGCATGCCTACCGCTTGAGGAGCGTCCAAGCGGACCTTACATCGACGCAGGTCGTCGATACGATCATCAAGGATTCCAACCCGTATAGTACGGTTTACCTGCTTCATGGGATCATGTCCAGCGGCGCGGAGGCCAACTTCGAGTTGGGACTGCATGTGAATCTGGATGCGACACGATATATGCTGGATCGTCTGCGTGCCACCATGCCCGGTGTCAAGGTCATATTTACCTCATCCCTAGCCGTCTACGGTCCGACCCCGAAAGGATACGTGATCGACGAGACCAACCTCCCACCCATGCCCTCCTCTTCCTACGGTTCACAGAAACTTATCGTCGAAATCCTCCTCAACGACTACTCCAGGAAGGGATACCTGGATGGACGCGCTGTGAGACTGCCCACAGTCACTGTCCGAGCAGGACGGCCGACACAGGCCGCGAGTAGCTTCGCGAGCGACATCATTCGAGAGCCATTCAACGGACAGAAAGCAATACTTCCCGTCAGCAAGGAGACCGAGTTGTGGATTTGCTCGCCATACACGGTGGTCAGGAATCTTGTGCACGCCAAGGATATACCCAAGGAGGCATTTGGAGAGTCTCGATCAGTGAATCTGCCTGGACTGAAAGTGACTGTCCAAGAAATGCTGGACGCCTTGGAGGAAATTGGTGGTAAGGAGAGACGTGCCCTGGTGGAAGAGAGGTACGACGCCGACATCGACAAGATCGTGCAGTCATGGTCTCCAAATTTCAACACCACTCGCGCAAAGCAGCTGGGATTCGTCGACGATGTTCCGTTCAGGGAGAACCTCAGGCAGTATGCTAGTCGATTTGTGCAATAAATAGCGATACCCTTGGTGTGTATGGTATAATGGATCGGGAAATACACCTCTGGAACTGGTGTGGATGGGATATAAGAGATTATCTGAATCTGAGACTCTTACTTAGTGAACTTCTTTTTATATGAATAAGAGAGCGACGCCATCGTAACTCTGCTCGGGAAACGAGTAGAATGCAAATCGCAAGATATGGATGGTTCAATGGCGTCGTCTGTTTCTGTGGCTTATTTTCACCAGCCTATATCTTCTAAACAACCCAGCATTCTGCAAACAATGAATGCCAAAACCATAGATCCCGTTTCTACAGTTCGCCTCAGGGACAGTTGTGTCGATATAGAAGCCTCCGGTTCGGTCCGACGTTGTTTCCATACTCTAGTATCTGGAAGTTTGTCCTGGAAGCAGTGGCGAGTGAATGAACAGGTAAGCCTAGGTCTACTACACCGTAATCGTTGACACTCAGAAGGATACGAGTAATGTTGTTTGTATCGAGACAACATGTCATAAATAAATAGCAGATTATCTCGAAGATACTGTGACGTCGTTAAGCATGATGCAGCAGGTATAAACCTCACGGGATATATATACCCTGCTCTCGGCTGAATGGAAAGTCACCACGCACTCCTTATTGCAAAGCATTGAACATTTTGAAAAGAAAAATTAATAGCTTAGTAGATCGCACTGAATCTTAAGAAAAAGAAAAGAACAAAGTCTTGCTACTCCAAGTCGTTGCGTGGCAGATAGGCCATGCTGCCATACTGGTGGTGTTGCGCTGGGGTTGCTGTAGGGAACGGCCGGGATGGCAATACTGGGTCAGTTGGAAAAGGGGGTCATGTGATTGGCCGACGAGCTTTCGAACAATTTGACTTCCGATCTTCACCTCGCAACTCCAGGGCAGACAGACTCTCTTCGCCGCCTCACCCTTCCTCAATCTCCTCCCCCCAACCTCCCCTCACACTCGATCACAATGGCTTCCCGGCGCCTAGCTTTCTCTCTGAACCAGGCTCTCCGGAGTCGCGCTGCTATCAATGCCGTGAAGCCCGTCAGACGCGGTTTCGCCTCCCCGGTTACGCTCCCGAGCACCACCCAGTCGACGACCCTCACCAATGGCCTCACGGTACGGTTTCCGGTCGCAGCAATTGGATTGACGATGTGCTGATGGGATACAGATCGCTACTGAGTACTCGCCATGGGCGCAGACCTCCACCGTCGGTGTGTGGATCGATGCCGGAAGCAGGGCTGAGACCGACAAGACCAACGGAACTGCGCACTTCCTCGAGCACCTTGCCTTCAAGGTACATTACCATTATGACTCTGACGCGAACCGATGGAGACTGACAGTGATATAGGGCACGAACAAGCGCTCTCAGCACCAATTGGAGCTGGAGATCGAGAACATGGGTGGCCACCTCAACGCCTACACCTCGGTATGAATATTCGGAACGTCATGGAAAGATCTCTTTCGAGATACTAATTGCCGTTGATAGCGCGAAAACACTGTCTACTACGCCAAGTCCTTCAACGCCGATGTTCCAAAGGCCGTCGACATCCTTGCCGATATCCTCCAGAACTCTAAGCTCGAGCCTGCCGCTATCGAGAGGGAGAGAGATGTGATTCTGCGTGAGCAGGAGGAGGTTGACAAGCAGCTCGAGGAGGTTGTTTTCGACCACCTGCATGCTACTGCTTTCCAGAACCAGCCTCTCGGCCGCACCATCCTCGGACCCAAGGAGAACATCCAGAGCATCCAGCGTGATGACCTGGTCAACTATATCAAGACCAACTACACCGCTGACCGCATGGTTCTCGTTGGTGCCGGCGGTATCCCCCACGACCAGCTCGTCCGTCTTGCTGAGGAGCACTTCGGCAACCTTCCCAGCCAGCCTCACTCCTCCGCTGCCTCTGCCATCGCTGCTGAGCAGAAGCGCACTCCCGACTTCGTTGGCTCTGAAGTGAGAATCCGTGATGACACCATTCCCACTGCTAACATTGCCCTTGCCGTCGAGGGTGTTAGCTGGAAGGACGATGACTACTTCACTGCTCTCGTCACTCAGGCCATTGTCGGTAACTGGGACCGTGCCATGGGCAACTCCCCTTACCTCGGCAGCAAGCTCAGCACCTTCGTCAACCACCACAACCTGGCCAACAGCTTCATGAGCTTCTCCACCAGCTACAGCGACACTGGGTAGGTTATATGAGGACCTTAATCCATGATTCATAAGCTTTGCTAACGTATAAAGTCTCTGGGGTATCTACCTTGTCACCGAGAACCTTACCAACATCGATGACCTCGTCCACTTCACTCTTCGTGAGTGGTCTCGTCTGTCTTTCAACGTCAGCGCCGCCGAGGTCGAGCGTGCCAAGGCTCAGCTGAAGGCTTCTATCCTTCTGTCCCTCGACGGAACCACCGCCGTTGCTGAGGACATTGGTCGCCAGATCATCACCACCGGTCGCCGACTGAGCCCCGAGGATGTTGAGCGTGCCGTTGGACAGATTACCGAGAAGGATGTCATGGACTTTGCTACGCGAAAGCTGTGGGATCAGGATGTCGCTGTCAGCGCTGTCGGAAGCATCGAGGGTCTGCTCGACTACCAGAGAATCCGCAACGACATGAGCCGCAACCTTGCGTAAAGGAATTGAGACCTTGGGTCTTTATATCGCCGTGTTTCCGTCCCATCATGCCATCATCTTTTCCTTTGTTTTTGCCAGGTGATAGATAGATCATGTGGTAGTAGCAGCGCGTCTTGTACAGTATACAACTGTCCACCTATATTCTCCAAAACTTTAGTTCATTTCTTTTTTCTTTGTCGTTATCCAATGTACTGTACGTAGTTTTAAAGCTGCTATGCTTCCATGACCTGCTATCTAGAAAATGGCCAAGATCAAGCTATGGCAATTCTGCTAGGAACTGTCGAGCAAGAAGTTCTGATAACGACCTGGGCGGACTCGTACAGTACATAATTAGCACCACGATGCAAGCTTGATTTGTAGACCCCTATTCCACTTTGAGAATAAACGCCTTTCGCATTTGATGCTTTCTGCAGCTTGGAATATTGAACATTGAATGCAGAGCCATATTCTTGCTTCATCTTTGTAGAAGGTGCTGCGTCGAATAGCATCGAGTTTCTTGTCAAGTGCAACCCTGCAGGAGAAATTTAGTGCTTACAGACACATCCGGCCCGGTGGTTCAACGTTTGACCTGAGGAGATAAGAAGTTTCTTTGGACTTTATGATCTGGAAGTGACTCATGACATTAATCTTTACCTTTATTTCTGTTGCGATTTGGTCTCATACCTGGCAAAGATCCATGGTGCGCAGATAACATGGAGTGACGCGCTGAGTGGAAGTTCTGTTTCAATGCATCCAACTTTGTTATTTCCCTCCGACGCCCCCCCTGCTTGTCTCTGTCCGTACATCTACTCTTGCCCCTTATGCGACTTTCTACTTCATTACGATCAGCAGAGGCCCTTATCGTCAAATACGCAACTTGGATAATAATACAGATATCCACCACCTTATGATATGCAGCAATGCGTTGACTCCATAATTACATTGCCCAATCCTGCGGAAACACAGTTCATTTATCGGACGATTAACCAGAATGCAGTTACATCTCCGGTGTCCTGCGACGCGCTAGATGTACGTCTACCAACCGAGGTATGTCCCCAGGACAGCCAAAAAGGATGATGGCTGATTGCTAATTGATATCATCCAGGATGGCCCCAGTGAGGTGGGTTTGCCTATGAAATACGCTTCTACAGCATGAAAATACCACACTACGGTGTACTTAGCATGAGCGTCGAGTCTGGTATCAAATCCTCTGGGAGAGCACAAAGTGGATGTTCCTGGAATTGATTAATAATGCGGCACAAAGACACCCCGTTACGTGTCCCAGTATGCTAACTGACATCACATAATAATGATCTCGCTGGATTCATGTCTTGGGTGCTCCAGTTGAGAGAATGAAGCATAGTGACTCTTGAGGATTTATGCTATGAGATTCAACAATCCCATTGATACCTATTTGGATCATGTCATGCAGTGAATCCCTCTGAAGCGAAAGAAGTGTGAAACGCGGCGGGGCACGGTTGAAGCTTGACGGTGACCTCACGGCCCTATTACCGGTTCCGCTACTTCCTACAGGAAAAGCTCCCCGCTGCAGTGATCTGTGAGGAAGTGCGTGCCCGAGCCTATGGAGATCAACTGCTGGCGCTCCTCTCTCCATGTGCGGTCGTTTCTGGGTCGTGTTCAGCCACAATATGACAGCTATTGCGCAACGGCTACGCCAGAGTGAATATGCTCCCGGATGAGGGCAAAGCTCGCTGTCTCTCAACCTTTAAACCCAATTTGATTCATTCGACTTGGGAAGATTTCGCCTATTCTACGCATCTAGAAAAAAGGATCTACCGTTTTCGAGCTATACGCCGCTAAAAAGATCAATTTCTAGAGTACATTTTTTTTGTGGAGATCGCCACCACGTCCACGCAGACGTCGTATGGTATTAGAGCTCCAGAAGCTTCGAACCAGATTTCGGGTTGACTCTTCTCCGTTGCTTTATAATACATACTGCACGTTGCTCGGACGCATACCTATTCTTGGTAGTCCACCGCGACAGTATAAGTTGCTCTCCAATCCCTCAGATCTAGAGACCCTTCTGGCCTGGGAGTCTTACCTTACTTTCATACCCTGCCAATACCCAATTTAACCCTCTTGATATCTATACTCGAGAATAGTCATCATGAGTAACAAGGCACTCGTTTTCAAGAAGGTCCCTACCGAATACCCTGTTCCTGGGGAGCATTTGGCCGTCGAGACGGTTTCCGGCGATGCTAACTCTCCCGCGCCAGCAAATGGAGTCACGTTGAAGTCCCTCTACGCCAGCTATGACCCCTACATGCGCGGCCGGATGCGCCCCGCAGAGGTGAAGTCCTACGCTCCGGCTTTCGAAGTCGGCAAGCCGATCGATAGCGCCATTATCGCGAAGGTCCTCAAGTCCAACAACTCCAAGTACAAGGAGGGGGATCTTGTCATTGGTCAGCTTCCCATTCAGGAGTATATCCTGCTTGATGGTAACTCAATTGGCGCAATCAAGCCTCTCGACAACCCTCTTGGCATTGAGGACATCCGAGTCTTCCTGGGTGCCCTTGGCATGCCCGGTTTGACTGCCTACTCTTCCCTCTATGAGATTGGAAAGCCCAAGAAGGGCGAAGTCATTTTCATCTCTGCAGCTAGCGGTGCCGTTGGCCAGCTTGTTGGACAACTCGCGAAGCACGATGGTCTCAAGGTCATTGGCAGTGTTGGTTCGGATGAAAAGCTGGAGTTCATCACCAAGGAGTTGGGCTTTGACGGCGGTTTCAACTACAAGAACGAGAAGCCTGCAGATGCTCTGAAGCGCCTTGCCCCCGAGGGCATCGACATCTACTACGAGAACGTCGGCGGAGAGCACCTCGAAGCTGCCCTGGATGCTATCAGGGACTTTGGTCGGGTCGTTGTCTGTGGTATGATCTCTCAGTACAACACCACGAACCCCTACCCCATCAAGAACATCTCCAATGTGCTGGTGAAGCGTCTCGAGATGCGCGGCTTCATCGTCCTGGACCCTGGTTTCGCCGACCCGTACCTCGAACCGCACCAGAAGAACGTGCAGAAGTGGATCAAGGAAGGTTCTTTCAAGGCTTTGACCCACGAGACCGTTGGCATCGACAACGCTGCGGAAGGTCTGGTTGGTATTTTCCACGGCAAGAACAAGGGCAAGGCTGTGCTCAAGTTTTAAGCGCGGTCGGCGGATATAACCTGAAGCGGAAATCAGACGGATATGAAGTCATGACACCGAAACGCCATGTTTGCGTAGTCGCATGAGACAGTGGACTATGTATGCATGGGCAGTTTTTGAGGAAATTTTCATCCCTTTGGATGCTGTTAGCATTTATCGGTAGTTTATGAGAACAAAGACATCATGGTAGAAATGATGATTCGAATCCAATGTGATTCCCAGATAATAATCTTCGAACTCGGTTGGAGTCGCTAGAAGGCGTAGTTCATGAGCTGCTCAGTCATCTATATTATTAGCGAGACGCAACATGTAGTCTTCAGATAACCTGCGATGCAACAACAACTATCAGTAATGCTCAAGCTAGATTATAGAGTACAGTATCTACGAGCTATTGCTATCATTGCTACTGCTATTATTGCCGCCTGTCGGGCCTTCTCGGCTAGTGAGCGGATGAAGCGGCCAATCACATGACCCATAATGTGATGACCGCATTCCGACTTGAACTTCCGAGGAAGATCCATCCAACTTCCTCCGCGAACTCGCGGCTAAGAGCATCTTGACTGACAAGCTCACCTTTTGACGACGGTCTATACCCAGAGCCATCTTCGAACGCTCAACTACGGTCGCTTGACACTTCCGGCAATCTCTGTCGTCTATTACTGCTCCGAGAACCGATTTTCTCAGCAGCAATCATGGCCTCGTTCGTCCGCCCCTCCTCGGTCCTGAGGCAGAGCGTCCTCTCCATGTCCAGGACGCCTGCTACTCGCACTGCCTTCTACTCGACCAAGTCACCTCTCGCCGCGACTTTTGTCCGTCCTTCTCAGGTCCAGAAGAAGGAGAGCGCCGTCTCGTCGCAGGTTGCGGCTTTCCACGCTTCCGGAAAGAAAGAGATTCTGCCTCCTCTGCCTCGTGAGTGCTAGCCCTCCGCAATTGCCATTATCATGCGAGCAAGAAGCAGTTCGCATGAGATGTGTAGGAGCTGCGTGTTGAGCATTGATGCTAACGGAATGTGTAATTGCAGAGGTCGTTCACGGAACCAGTATGTCTACCCTATAAAACCTCCGTTTGTCCGCATATACAAAACAAGTCACATTACATTCGCGAGACTCCGTCGAAAGAATCGCAACATGGAATAAAAAAAGCATGAGAATACGTATCATGAATTGAGAACTGACTGATGTGATAATTAGCGAACGACGCTGCCCCGGTTCCTCCTCCATCGCCCACTCACGGTAGCTACCACTGGACCTTCGAGAGGTGGGTGATATTGCACTAACAAGTCGTGGGAAAGAATCTTCAATGCTGACTGTTTCTGTAACAGACTGGTCTCTGCCGCTCTCGTTCCCGTCACTATCGCTCCCTTTGCCGCTGGTTCTCTGAATCCCGCTCTGGACTCGTTCCTTTGCGCTCTCCTGGTTCTTCACTCGCATGTCGGATTCCAGTACGTCTCGACCTCACATTTTGCAAATAGGATTTGCACACTGACCCTTTCAATAGGTCTATGATCATCGACTACCTCCCGCTCAAGCGTGTCCCCAAGACGCGGGCCGCCGCCTGGTGGGCGCTCCGCGCCGCTACGCTGGCCACCGCCGTTGGTCTCTACGAGTTTGAGACCAACGATGTCGGTCTGACTGAGGCCATCAAGCGTGTGTGGAAGGCGTAATCCCGCAGAATTCACTAGCATCGTTTCCTTTGTTTCTGCTTTCTCTCTAGATTCTCCCGGTGCCTACCTGTGTATATGTTGTATTGATCACTTAGGTGTGGGCCGAGGTCTGCAGGCGCCTGTCCGATGTTTTCATTGTCTTTAGTCATAGAAAACTATATGTATTTGCCTATGAGCTATTTCTATGTACTACAAAATCATAAGTTTGGTCTATCTTTTAAACCCTCCGCCCGAACGCCAGACGTAAAGCCCAGAAAGTGCAGAACTGGCTGAGCATATAAGTCATTTCATGAAAATCTGTAAGACCGAAAACATAATCTTCCTGTTTCACTCGTCCTCGTCCTCCTCGCCGGACATTCCCTCATCATCCGGTAGCCTGTCATCATCGTCCGCTTTCGACATCACCTTCTCGATCAACTTGAGCGTCGTCCTCAACGGCAATCCAATGACATTATCGGCGCTTCCTTCAATTTTCTCGATGAGTATTGAACCTAGTCCTTGTATGCCGTATCCGCCGGCTTTATCTACTCCCTCTCTCGTCCGGACATAAGCCAAGATCAACTCATCCGTCACTTCGCTATCGAACCGCACACTGGTCTCCTCGACCGCCGTTTCAAGTGCATATCCGGGCTGCCGCGCGCTTGCCAGCGGCACCATCACCGCAATGGCCGTGTAGACCTTATGATCGCGCGCATCTCGAAGCGCCTTGAGCATCGCAATATGATGGCCTTCGGAGCGGGGCTTCTCCAAAATCGTTCCCGTCGTCGTATCCACGACAACCGTGTCTGCCGCCAGGATCAGTCCCGGCTCGCCCTTCTTCTCATTATCAATCTCCTGACTATAAACGGTCGTTGCTTTCTCCGTCGCCGTCGCCAGGACGTACTCGAACGGCGTCATCGTCTTGGGAAAGTTCTCTGCCGTGTTGGAAGGAATGATTTCGACATTGTTCAGGCCGAGGAACGAGATGATCTGTTTGCGGCGGGGCGATGCAGACGCGAGGATCACTCGCTTTGATCGAAGCTTGATGAGCGCTGGGAGACTAAGAGGAGGAGGTCGTGGTAGTAGCGATGCGCGAGCTGGTGTCGTGGTGGACGAGGCTTCATACGATGGCGGGGGTTCGACGGTATCCAATGCGTCGCTCTTGGAGTGTAGGAGAGGCTCCTTGGTATCCGCCATTTCTGGAGCTCGGTTGGGTTCTCTTCTATCTCGGGGGTGATGTATTATGGTACTTGGTGGATAGAGAGAGAGATTGGAGACAATCGGATAGTTATTGACCTCTGGTTTAACAGGGTTCTGGTGCACTGTCCAGTGTCTATATAAGTGCTGGGTAATTCGTATATCTGAGACACTGGCGATTTGATTGCGCGGAAGCGGTGAATAACGGCAGTTGGGGAGTTACTTAGTTCATCTGGAGCCGGGACTATCATTATTTCTTACCCAGTAAAAATCCACGGTTGTGTACCTCCCATATTTCTATCTCAATTATAAAGAATTCCTCGATGATGGTCTTTTTTAAAGAGCTCTATTTAAGATAACCCTTAGTCTAGCTATTGTCAATGCGAACAAATATGACTAAGGCGGTTGCAAATGCTCTTAAAGAGCGTACTTACGGGTGATAATCCCTAGGATATTTACTCGAAATTCATTTAGCTTATATGAAGCTCCAAGCCATATTCTCCTATTAGTCTACTTTGCCATGGCTAATACAGGGGACGGGTCAATTGCATTTATTCTGTGGAGGTCCTGGTCCTGAATATCGAAGGACCGCGTCGTTCTATGGAACATGAACTCTACTGATTTTATGCACAAGTATGTGTACTACTACTTCCGGGTACGAATATGGCTTCTCACCTTTGTTGATTTCATGATCTGTGCTGACAGAATTGAAGTTAAGAGTTGCTTTGATTTGATAAGAATGGAACAACGCATATGTATGTATGCACACTCATTCAGAGAGAAATATTGATACTTGGATTGAATATAATATCCGTCAAGACGCTAACTTACAATAACCACTATTCTATGCCTTTCCTGAGGCCTTCGTCTTCATATATTCGTCGAAGTTGAGGACAGCTTTGCCCAAGACGAGAGCTCCTTCAGCGCAGTCCTCCTTATCACTCCACTCCCTGGCACAGTGACTGATTCCATCTTTACCCCTAACGAAAACCATGGCGGTTGGGCACTTGAGTCTGGTCATGGTTGAGTCGTGGCCAGTACCAGTGCGGGAACCGATTCCCTTGTCGCCGCAGGCTCGCCTGACGCAATCAATGGCTTCTGGCCAGAAGTCTCCAGGGAGTAGGTGAACTTGTCTTTCAAGCTCATATTCAAGGCCATGCAAGGCGGCGATACCCTTGATCTTCTTAACGATCTTTTCTCCCATGTCTTCTAAGCCCTGTGCTTCTTTGTGCATCAAGCAGAAGACGACTTTGGTCTTTGATTGGATGTTGCAGGCACCCCATGGACCGCTCTGGATGTTGGTGGTCGTGGTATAACCATTCAAGTCATATGCAAGATCCTCAAGCGCAACGATGAGCTTAGAGGCACCGACCAGGGCATCCTTACGTCCATACATGGGATAGGTATTCGCGTGGCCATCGTCACCATGGTAGATGACCTGATACCAGGTCATTCCCTGCCATCCCTCAACCCAACCGACGGGTTTGCCGGCCTTCTCGAGATCGGTGGCTTGTTCCACATGTACCTCGAAATGAGCTGAAATAGGGAATTCCTCAAAGGTATTGGGACCATCACCGACGTATCCGATCTTGGCCAGCTCACTGCCCAGCGTCAAGCCAGATCCATCATTTGAGTATGAGGCATGTGCTTGGTCGACGGATGATTCTCCAGCATACACAATGGAGGATCCAAGAAGAGGGAAGAAGCGCGCTCCTTCCTCGTTTGTCCAGTTGAAAAGGGTGAGTGGTGCACGAGTCTTTATTCCTTGTTCTTTCAAACTTCGGATGACTTCGAGTCCGGATATGACCTGTTTTTGTAAGAAACAAAGTCGTGCATGCGAGGATTGGGGGACGACTCACTCCGAGGGGGCCATCGAATCTACCTCCAGTGGCGACGGTGTCTAGATGACTTCCCATAGCAATGGGTGGAATGCTGTTGTCCTCGCCTTCGAAGGTGGCGATTTGGGTACCAGTCGCGTTAACCTAGGCCCTCTTCAGCTCATATCCAGGGCATCATGACGGAAAGCCTATACTGACAGTGTACTTTGCTCCCAGTGCAAGCACCTGATCTCTGAACCAGTCCCGGACCTTCTTATCATTCTCGTCGGCACATAGACGGGTCACACCACCAGGAGAAGGTGCACTGAATTGAGCTGTGTAGTGGATATCATCCCTGTTCAAGTCAGCCAGGTTCACGTTCCAACTAGCCAGTTCATCGACATGACCCGTACCAGAGCCTATCACCATTGATCTTGAGCTTCTCCGCAAGAAGCGCGTTGGGTGCAGTCGAGTATGCACGACGAGTGATGAGCCTCGCTCGAAAGCTCACTGTTACGGCGCGTCTAAACATGGTGGCAAATAATCCTGTTTTCTCGAAATGATTGTTCGATAGCTGAATACCTACAAGGCTCTTTGGAACGATTATAAATACCTAAGGCCGCTTCAGCGGCAGAGTTGATATTTCGCGCATCTCCGACCTCTACAGCAGCTATTCTCTATGCGGGATTACTCGATCAGGATATGCAAAACGCATGGACCCTTGGCGATCTCGTCCAGATTTCTCTCCTGTCCGGTGTTTCTCATGTTATCAGCTACTCTATCATTGGAACCCGAACGATCTTGACGAAATAGACAAAATTTCCCGAATCAGCATGATAAACACTAGCCCGTGCGCAGTTTGACTTTCGAGATTTCCATCCCACTGGTGTTCGGCCTGCAGTTTAAGGTATCGATATAGAGTTCATAGGCCGAATTGTACAGCTTTTCGGGCGATAGAAGAAGGGCGCTTGGTGATAATCGGTATCTGTGGGGCTGAGGCGATGTTATCAAGACCACCTACAGTAAACTCTCAAACCCGCACCGAGTGAACACTAGGCATCCGACAAGCCATATCGTTGGTTATATCCCCGCGGAACGAAGAGTTCGGGATTGCAGTGGATACCGTCGAGAGTCAAACTGCCTTCCAACGTTGGCTTACTCTGGGGTTGAATAAGTCCTCCGCATATCATCGTACCCCGACTAGTTACCCCTCAGCACGGTGGTTCGCCGAAGCTCTGATATCCCATCCACGCGTAATTGGCCCGAGCTTTAGTCGAGACATCGAACTGCCGTGTAGTGTGGTGGACGCAGCCATTATTCTGCAATCGCATACTCACTGAAGTGAACTGTACAACTGCAGATATGGGCTCCCGGAGCATCTCAGCGACAGTTGGACTTTCTCCCTGGCACGATGTACCTGACTGTTGAGGGGTTATTGCTGCCCTGGACCGTTACTGTTTACCACCTCCATGCCATGGAAAATCAGGGGTCTGCAGTAGTAGATACCTACTGAAAGTGGACCCAAACAGGGACCATACTCGTATTCTTGGATTGACCATGAAGTACTATGTTGGAAATGGATCTACCAAAGCCAATCATCTGCTTATTTTGATGGGAGACTTATCTCGTCGCTCGCAAACAGGACGCCAGTTCAAGTCGACGTGCCCAGCTAGTCTAGTCTGCGCAACCACGAGATAAGGAAATCAGCTAGGTTAAAGGATGCGGATTCTGACTACCAGCACCTTGAGTTTGATAATGACCAATCATTCCCGTACGCATTTCTCGGTAGCCAACGATATTTGTCGGAATCCAAATAAGCTATCTTCAACCGTGACGAATTAAGTTGATCTACATGATCTACACGATATGATCAGACCAGCATATTTCCACTTCCAGAAATGGAATGCGATTCTGGTTATCACTGATAATGATAACAACGAAATCAAACACCGTTATCACGCCTGGAGTGCGTGGTAGGTAGTATCTCGACGTCATGTTCGGATCTTCGATGCATCTGGCCATGCGATCGTGGCCCCCCAGAGTGATGGCTCTCGTCGCATGCATCTATCTCTTGTCGTGGTCTATAAGTTCCTTATAGTCCGGCATGAATACCCTAGCGCGCTCGCCCTGTTGCCAAGTAGGTATCATTGTATATTGCATATCTAGGAAAAAATACTTCGACCATCCAAGATGGCTTCTGATGCCGTCGTGCCTGTCCTGCCCGAGGGGGCAGGATACGGGGTAGTTGTCGGTATTGGTTTCTTCTTCGCTCTCGTCATGGCTGGTGTTTCTTGGATGCAGGTCCGTGTACAATCCCCAGCATGTGAAAAGCTGATGCTGACTTCAAGTAGAACAAATATACGCAGTACTCAACAAAGACAAGTGAGGAATTCAATACGGCCAGTAGAAGTGTGAAGCCCGGCTTGATCGCTAGCGGTGTTGTTTCGGCATGGACATGGGCTGCTACCTTACTTCAAAGCAGTACTGTAGCTTACGAATATGGAATTTCGGGACCATTCTGGGTATGTTCACTAAATATCAGCCCTTTTTCGGGAGATTATTCTGACTTGAGATAGTGTTAGTTGTATCCTATATTGATTCATTGTGTCTGCGGAAGAGTACTCACATCATGGTACAGATGCCGCAGGAGCAACAGTGCAGATTTTCATGTTTTCAGTACTTGCGTGCAAGGTGAAACAGAATGCTCCTTACTGCCATACGTACTTGGAGATAGTCTACCATCGATATGGCAGAGTCACTCACCTTGTCTTCATCTTCTTTGCCATGATGACCAACATTCTGGTGGCTAGTCAGCTTCTGCTTGGTGGCAGTGCCGTCGTTACAGCCTTAACCGGAATGAACGTATATGCAGCCGTCTTTTTGATCCCACTGGGTGTCTGCGTCTATGTTGTTCTTGGCGGTCTTCGAGCTACTTTTCTTTGTATGTGAACTACATCCTCGTCAGATTGCGATGATATTGGCACGAGGAAGGAGACTAATATGATTATGCAGGCGACTACTCTCATACGGTGATCTTGATGATCATTATACTTTATTTCATGTTCACAACGTACACATCCAGTGATCTGATCGGATCACCTACGGAGATGTACGAGCTCTTGAAGGAAGCTTCCATAAAGCGGCCCGTGGCTGGTAATACCGACGGCTCTTACTTGACACTCAAGTCCAACTACGGTCTCATATTCGGTGTTATCCAGCTCTGCTCTGGAATGGGAACTGTCTTCCTAGACCAAGGCTACTGGCAGAGAGCAATCGCAAGTCGTCCCTCTAGCGCTGTGCGAGCGTACATTATGGGAGGCTTTGCGTGGTTCGCCATTCCCTTTGGCTTCTCTACAACTCTCGGTCTGGCTGCCGTTGCTCTCACAGATAACCCTCGTTATCCGACATACCCGAACAACATGACCACAGCGCAGGTATCAGCTGGTCTCTCTGCTCCATTTGCAGCAGCCGCGTTGCTAGGAAAGCACGGTGCTGTAGCGTTGCTTATTACGCTTTTTATGGCCGTAACGTCCTCATCTGCGTCTGAGCTCATTGCGGTGTCATCTATCCTTACTTTCGACATTTACAAAGTCTATATCAAACCGTCGGCTACTCCCAAGGAGCTGATTTTTGTATCGCACGTCATGATCTGCATTTTTGGTGTTATCATGGCAGTTTTCGCATGCATCTGGAATGCCATCGGTATCGACCTAGGCTGGCTGTTCCTTGTTATGGGTCTTCTTATCGGCGGAGCCGTCTTCCCAGCTGCGTTTACTGTCACCTGGAAAGGTCAGACAAAAGCAGGAGCCATCTCTGGAGCGATCTGTGGTCTCATTGCGGGCCTCACGGCATGGCTTGCTGAATGCAAAGTCTACTACGGAGAGCTCAACGTCACCACGACTGGGCAATCATACCCAACTCTTGCTGGAAACATGGCTGCCGTGCTCACCGGCCTACTTGTATCAGTGGTCGTCTCAGTTATCAAACCCGACGATTTCGACTGGGAAATCACCCGGGCCATCAACGCTCCAGCTGCTGGCGAGAATCCCATCATAGTCCAGACCGGTGGTGAAGACCCTAACCACAATCACAATCTCCAAACTGTGCAAGATGAAGAAAAGGAGATGATCGAAGACGAAGCTGTGGTCGATGACCCCAAGCGTCTCAGGCGGGCGTTCATCCTTGCCGTCACGGCGTCGACCGTTCTCTCATTCATCATGGACTTCCTGATTCCCATTCCGATGTTCTTGAGCCACTACGTCTTCTCCAAGGGGTTCTTCATCGCATGGGTGGTCATCTCGTTCATTTGGGTCTTTGGAGCGGTCGCCTTATGCGGTATCTTGCCCATCTGGGAAACTAGACGGTTCTTTAAGGAATTGTTTATCGAGATCTTTGGAATATCCAGCACGAAGCCCAAATCGGAAAAGACCACACAGGAGAGTGAATAGGTAGATATATATATCTTGAATGTTCGGTCGGATATACTATGATTCCAGTAATAACTTCGATTATAACGCGGCGCGATATATTACAGATATGATTGCGTGAGAAAGAATAGGGTAGATGTTTTAGATGAGCTCGTATACACGTATCACAGTCAAAATTAATTTATTTTCATGTCTTCTTGGGATTTCTAATAGGAAGCTTGAATTCAGGACTCTAGCTAGGTGTCAGGAAAGCTAACTAAATGCCATGCTCAGGATCTTTGATAATGCAAAAAGTCCATCAACTCTACACAAAGGGCAACGTCGCCATTAGGATCGATCTCCATGAGCTCACGAGCAGTTTTGTCATAATCATTCATAGTCGGATCTGATACAGAGACAGGATCTTCCTATATCTTCGTTCCTCAAATCTATTAGTCGAGGTGCGCTCTCGTACTTGGAAAGGCTAAATTACCGTCGCCGTCATGGAGTGAGCTGCGCGTAAGCAATTTTAGATAGTCAAACTTCTAAGATTCTCTTCTATTATCTATTATAGCACATAGTAGTAATGCTTCTTTTTGTATCAACTGGACTGTATGAGATAGATAAGATAACAAAAATGACCAGTACTTCTGAGAAAGAATATAGCTATTTCCGATGAAACTCCCTTCACTGTGCTCCCATGTATTGTACTTTGACGATCCAGGTAGACCAACAAGGAGTTCTCCTTTTCGGTCGACTGGCAGAAAGGCATCATTTTATAACCCCACATGACTCCATTTAGCTCTTTCCAAGTTCACATAGAATAATAACAGATCTGACCATCTTTGAATCTATTTAAAGAAGGTTACGCGGTAAAGAGTATAACCTGCCGCCTAGTTAGAAAAGTCAGAGTCGCTGGTGACATGGCTGCGAACATAGAGTCTCATCGTCCTGCTATACTGGTACTTGATGTTACCGTTCCTGTAATCAGCATTTTGGAGGCGTGGGCGCAGATAAAGAGCGTTTGGCTCTGATTGGCACCAACTACAAAAAAAAAAAAAAAAAAAAAAAAAATAGCAGAGAAAACATCCTCAAAAAGCCCAGATGGGCGCACATCGAGATGGTATTTGTTGTGCAGAGTGGTCGCTAGATGCGCCAAATAGCCCTGATAGGCTTCCATCGATGCGAACTGGAGACCCATTAGACGATCGAGACGCTCCCATCCAGAGATATGGCACATACATCTCTATTTCCCAGGATTTGCCACCACAATGTTTTGATGAGGATGTAGTAACAACGGGGGGACTTCCACAAAATCACATTTGGTGGCGCGCATCTATCTTGAGTTAGTAAATGTCAATTCCTTTGCAAGTCTCTGCATACCCGACTGGTCCTAACAACCTCATCGCAGTGAGGAATAGTCAGCGTCTTGATAATGTCACTGTTGAAGACAGCAATCATAGATGAAGCCATCTTGTAGTGCGGAAGGACACGGAAGCAAGGCTATGAAGGTAGGTAGAAGTGTGAAAAGCGTAGAACTATTAAGCTAGACACGAAACGAAGCGGCTTATATAGGGAGGTAGTTTGTTTACCTTTTCACCCTGGGACGTCCAGATCACTGCAGCTTAAGCCAATTGCATGCGTTAATCTGCCGACGTAATGAATCACCATAATGTCAGCCTGGATAGAGGTAAAATAAAGCGAAAATCTATAGTTACATACCTTTACTTCTGAAGGTCCTGGCCGCTGCACGTCGAATTACTCAATGTCTTGGAGTTCGATATTGTCATAGTCTTCGGCGGGACTGATGAAGTCCTTCTCGGGGCTCTCCAACAATTGCTGCATGGTTGGAGCTGGCCTTCCGAATATAGGAGGCTCTATATTATTTAGCCAACGCTCTTGAGTGGCTGGGAAGCAACGCTGCGGATTGGTGTGAGGGGACAGGGATATCGTGGATCTAACGATATCATCCACGAATTTGTAGACGGAGGAATGTTGATCTGGATCGGAAATTCGTAGTGAGCTAGAAACTTGCAAGCGCTTCCCGTCTAGACGCAAGAACGTCCAGTAAATTCCATCAGAAACCATGCCATACGTAGTAATATGGACGATACTCTTGGGTTTCCTCAAATTCATCCGCTTCTGTCTAATGCCGACCATATAGGCCACTGCTTGGGCAATTCCAACCGCCTGTGTCTCGCTAGTTTCTCTCTTGGCTTCCACAACCACAGATATGCTCTCAAAACCTTTCGAATTCATAGGAATAACTGGATCGTACCCTAACGCATAGTCTGCATTACCCACGACTATGATTTCATTTTCAGAAGAGATAACGGCCTCAAGAGGAACTTCTCCGCGAATGGATAACTTTCTAGCGGCCAGTTCTTCCTGGTGGGCATCCATTCGATCGAACAATACAATGTCGATCAGAGTGCGTGAGAGGCCGTCCGCCGATCCTCGATCACCCCAGAAACTCGCGCGGCGCATTCTAGTAAGTAGTGCTTCTGAAATAATATCAATATTATATATCTATATCAAGTCAAGATGTAACTGTACTGTACTGTACCTGCTTCGTCCGAGAGACGCACGTCTGACCCTTCTGGCACTCTCCATATATAGGGTTCGTCTTCAAGATACTCGAGGCTGAACATCTGCACGACGTGGCTAAGGTTTTCCAGGCTCGATGCCTGAATTATTTGAGCTCCCAGCCTGGCTTTCTTGGAAGGTGTTAATTGCTGCGTCAGTTGTTCGGCATCGTTCAGGAAAGCTTTCAGTTTCTGAACAGTCACATCTTCGTCATCGAGATCTCTAAGAATTTCACTGATCTTCTCGTCATCCAGAAGCATCTTTCTCTTCCGTGGTGAGCTGCTTGGACTGAATCTAATTAATGGTATACGACTGGTGGCTGTCATGGATTTTGGAATGTATAAAGAAAACCTTGAAGACTTTAAGTCGAGATTGTAACAAAGCCTGGTATATATTGACAAATATTAGATAGGACTTCTTCGGCCCAAGAGGGTCGTCGGCGTAGATATAGTATTATATCTCAAATGCACAAGTAGTAGATAATTAAGAACCAGTATAACGACGGGCTAGAGTTAGTCCTAAACTATAGTTTGATAACAAAATAATAAAAAGAGTTCGGTGCAGATGAGGTGGCAGGTGTGGCCTAGGACTAGCGGGGGATAAAGAAGAATATACTCCTCCTAGGATACTTTGTTGCCTACCTCAGTGTCATTCACAGTCTTTTATTGATACATATTGTATTAACTTCGAGATGTTCTTCCCAGATAGGTTTGGTAGGCATTCTGCCTGGATCCTGCCCAGCTATGATCCTCGGTCACGGGGGGCTGCGGCGCAAATGTGAGCCCTCATGATCGAGACTCGAAACAAACGCCAAAGGCGGTCTTTTATCGTTACTATTATACGTATGTATTCGCAGTAATTCAGCAGTTCATTAATACGGTGCCAAGACCCAGCTATAGGTAGTATATTTACGAGAGTGGTAGTATATAAACTATGCCAGCGCCGCGGGACACGCTTCTCACATATACTGACCTCGATGGTCTGGGGAGGCGTTGAGTGAGTATTGTTTACCTTGCCAACCCGCACTGCCTTTTCGGTCGTTCTAGCATTCGCTGGATCTCTGTCTCCTCGGCGTGATACCTCTCCAAATACAAACAGATCGCTTGGCATTCCAACCGAGCCCGTCGCGCAATCCACCAAAGGGAGTCACACATGGGTCCGTACCAAAACGCAGTAATTAACAGCGCACGCGGATCCTTACCGTGTAAAAAGGATTTAAAGGCCGGTTCCATGAACCCCAAGAATTTGAGATACTGGATCATGGACGCCTGGGTGCATGGGACATCCCAAAGTCGAGCCACGATGGAGACAGCGGAGTAATACGGATTCTGATGAAGTGGCACTGATTGGTCCAGGTGACATAAGCGGACAAACTCCGGAGGAATATCCTTTATCTCACACGGCGGTGGCTTGGTCATGAGTATTCGATATTCGTCCGCCATTTTACTGAAAAGACTATCCGCCCGCAGTGGATTGGTCGCTTTCCAGACTGCATGTTTCCCCTGTGCAAATGATAGCCAGTTCAGATCGGATGGATCAGAGGATTTGAGCGGCCACGCTTCCTCTGGAGATGATGCCTCGATAGAAGAGATATCAAGTATACCCAGCATAGCGGCCGCAGCCCACAGAGGATCACGGTCCTGTGGTTTGATTGGAGCCGATAGTTTCTCATTGAGCAACGCAGCACAGCGTGACCAATGATAAGCCTCTGTGAGGGATCGTCTTGTATTGTCTGGGGACATGGACAAATGACGATCATGCGTAGCTGTGACGGTTAAAATTGCATGCATCAAGAACGGGTTCTGAATAATTACCAGTCAAAACCAAATGCAAGAATCAATTGGGGTAATGCGGTCTCACTTCTATCGCAAGCTGCACCACATCATTCTGATATGATTCGAGATTGATCGCGGTTGCAAAGGTGAATGCGGTACGATGTCTGAATTTGTCCAGACGAGCAATACTCTCCAAGTCCAAATTGAAAGAGCTATGTTTATTCCCAATAGTAACCACTGGACGAAGCAGTGTGAGATTGGGTTTCATGTCAAACACAATCTGGCCATAATTGGTCTGTGGAGAGGTACTGCCAGGTCTCTCGTGCGATGCTAGTTGTAAGTCCGGAACATCAGGTGCATTGTAATTGCAGGCCACTCTGAAGAGGAGACATTTCTGGCAACTGGGTTCGCCTTCATCACACTTTGATAGCGGCTATCAGCACGTTCCTATTCCTGACTGACTGGGGCGCTTACTTTGACTCGACGAAGCTTGCAGTTCCGACAGCCCCGTCGCGACTTGGTATGTGCTCGACGTCTGCGGGGAGGAAGTTCTCCCGCGCCCGACTGCGGAGATGGCATTTCTGTTCTCACATTTCCTTGCAATTTGAAAAGATAGGATAATTTAGGTAACTTAGGTACCTAGGTAGTTAAGGTGGAAAGATGGAAAGATGGAAAGATGGAATACGAATGCAGGAATAGCTTCGGTCATTACGTTGAGTCGTTTGCTTAACTCCGCGCGGGTTGTCCGGCCCCGATTGGCCGCCGGCAAAACCGCGCTAACCCGCACTCGTATTTGAGGTTTGGACAATGTTTTGGCTTTCTACAGTTCGCAATGGAAGATGCTCAAGAGCTATAGACTAACATCTTGACTAACTGTCCAGAAGAATTGTTTTAGGACAAAAACGGGCCTAATGGCTTTATATCCGCTGTGGAGCTGCTACTATGTTCTGCCTACCAGGCATATAAATACCTGTCTGGTAGCCGGCAAAAGAACTATAGACTTCAGCACACTCCAGCACACTTCCACATCGTTCAATTAACAAGAGGTTCATCTTTCACACTCGGTTAAATCAACCAAATATCACTATGCGCGTTTTCGTTACCGGTGCCGCAGGTTTTATCGGCCAAGCGATTGTGGACGACCTCCTCGAGGCCGGCCACACCGTCGTCGGCCTTGCCCGTTCCGAATCTTCAGCCAAATGGCTACAAAGTAAAGGCGTCGATGTGATCAATGGGTCGATCGAAGACACCGAAATCCTCAAGCGTGGCGCATCCGAATCAGATGGCGTTATCCACCTTGCCTTCGACCATGACTTCACCAAATTCGCAGAGAACGTCAGGGTCAATAATGAAGCTGTCCTCGCTCTCGGTGCTGCCCTTGCCGGATCCAATCGTCCGCTGGTGATAGCTTCCGGCACAGTGATGCTTCAGAGCTGTCCGATTGCCACGGAAGATTCAGGTGCGGACTTGAGCAACCCGATCAATATCCGCGCCGCTACCGAAGATGAGGTCTCGAAGCTTGCCAGCCAGGGCGTGCGCGGATCTGCTGTTCGTCTCCCACCCACTGTCCACGGTGACGGTGACCACGGATTTATCTATATGATTGGTCAGGTGGCGCGCGCAAAGGGCCAATCTGTCTTCGTTGGTGATGGACACAACCGCTGGCCAGCTGTCCACCGCACCGACGCGGCTCGTCTGTTCCGCTTGGCCTTGGAAAATGGTACTGCCGGCGCGAGATACCATGCTGTTGGTGAAGAGGGAGTTGCGATGAAAGATATCGCCGGAGCTCTTGGGCAAGCGTTGGGGGTTCCGACGGTCTCTAAAACACGCGAGGAGGCTTCTAAGCATTTCGATGGTTTCATGGCCAATGTTGTTAGCATAGATAACCCGTCCTCGAGCAAGAAGACCCAGGAGCAGCTCGGATGGACGCCGTCGGGACGGACTCTTCTCGAGGACATCAAGGCGGGAGTGTATACCAATTGAGCATTGTGGTGAAGCTAGTGCGATAGTTTCAAGTTTTACCTTTTATTATTATTAGTTAATTGAAGTGGAAATACACATATAAGGTAAATTTCTCTCTTCTTTTCTTTTGGCGGCCTATTACCATTGGAACAGACATCTGGGACCATGTGGATTTGAGTCAGTATCGAGAATGACTGTACGGTCTGGTTTGAATAGGCTCGCAGAAGGCGGCTATGATTTAATGTTATATTTAAGATTCGTCCTCCTCTTCCTCCTCATCGTCATCTATAGGCTCTACCACAAGGTTTCCTCCCCGGCCGATACGCTCGCGGACAGACCCACCTGCTTCAACTTCAAAGACCGTCCGAGGCATGGGAGATACTAGTCGGAAGGGATACTTATGTTCGAAACCCTCAGGTTCTGGCGTCTTCTCGGTGCCGTCTGCCCCTTCAGCCGCCTGAAGAACATCGTAACATTCAACAAAAGCGTAGAGCTCCTCGATATCTGCATCGGCCGCAAATTTGCGGATGACCCTCTCACCAGACGGTAATCGGACGCTTACACGCACAGCATCCTTGACGTCGGGGCCAGGTTCAGCAGGGAGGGACTGTATGCGCCACTTCTTCCACTGCTCCCGATCCCGCTTCAATTTCTCTTCTGCCGCCCTTCTTGCGGCAGCTTCCTGTTCCTCGCGCTGTCGGGCCGCCTCGGCTTCACGGCGCTGTCGCGCTCGTTCCCGATCCTGAGCTAGGGACCGTTCGTATGCGGAATCCTGTTGCTCTCGAAGGCTACGCGAGGCCTGTTGCTCTGCGCGCGTTGAACGAACCCGGTCTAGTGGCTCGCGGTGCTGTGCTGCAGCTGTTCTCAGTTTCTCGACGAACTCAGAGGGAGTTGTGTTGCCCGCTATCCTCGTGATGACTGACATTGCCGTGGAGGAGACATTAGGGGTGTGTACGATTACGGATGCAAAAGGGAATTTGGTGCAGCGCAAGGAATTGGCCACTTGATAAGCCTCTGAGTCTAGCACGTTCCCACCCCAAATCAGGAAGTTGTTAGAAGGGTCATTGAGGTAATCTGTCACCTCTCGAGAGAGCAGAGTCTCCCGGACCCAGGTTGTGGTGTCATCATGCTCTGGTGAAAGAAGGACTACCAGCAAGAATTTGAGATCCCTGTGGGCCTTCTCCAGAGCCATGTTATATCCATTTTCCAGGAACGGAAGGGAATGAGAGCCGTATTCTTCCTCGAATTCGCGGATAAACCTGGCTGCCGTGTCTTTGGGGCCGAGGGGTCTGCGTCCGCGAGTATCTCGTCGTACACCTTGAAGTGCTGGGTTCGCAGTGACGTTGAGGAAACGCGGCAGGAAGGGGAATAGAGCTCCAAATAACCGGAAAGAGCTGCAAAGCAGACGGTAGAGAAGATTGAATGGTGTGAAGAAGAGCGCGAGTATAAACGGGGGTCGATAAGTTGGCTGGTCTTCCGGCTGAGTCAGGATTCGAGGAGCAGGCTCAACAGCCCGAGAAAACAGAGCAGGTCGTCGAGAAAGATCGTCCATCATTAGATTCTGTGTCTGGCGGTTTGCTCGGGGCGGGGATGGGGTGTGGAGAGCAGCCCGAGCTTCCTCCACAGGATCTGGGCCCTCCCCGTCGAAGAACTTCGAGATGGCAATCTACGCGCGGTATGTCAGTAATCAGATGTATGCAGAGTATCATAAGTACATAGACAATAATGCCATGCACATACCTGGACATTCCATTGCGAACGACGCAGAAGTGGTATCGCTGCAGATGGTTCCTGGCCCGTTACCGTCGTGTAGGTCTGCAGAGCTTCTTGCTCGCTCGGAGAGAGCTCCGCAATGTCTATTTCATCTGCAGACATGGTGGAATAGGGTCACTTCCATGTATATCTGGTATCCTTCGAAGAGCAACGCGCAGAGAGCTAGCTAGCCAGCTCCATGAGCCGGAGGTTCTGGCACCTCACCCGCAGCAACTCTGGCGGATCTATGATACACAATGAGACTCGTCGAGTAAGTTGGAAGCAACTGCTATTCAGACAGCAGTGTCAGTTCTTCCTGCCTGGTGGCGTTAAGTACAGTGTCAGCCACTGAGCGTAGCACTGAGTGTGTGATGAGAAGAAGGTGGCCGTCGGACCTGTCGAGCTGGCCCGAAGCAGCTCCGTCATCGCCGGGTCTGACAGCAGGTACTTCCGATGCCGCCTAAAGTCTAAGCAGAGCCAAGTACCGCCTGATAACTGCTACTAAACTCACTGTAGGCGCGCGCCTTTCGGCTGGTCTGTGCTCGCTCCACCTCGCGCCCGCTGGGGATCTTCGAGTCTCACGCCGCCCTCCACCATCATCAGGATCCCCCTCCTCCCATGGGCTTGAGCAGGGCCTGTCCCTCCCTCCATATTTCTTTCTGGATATTATTTTTACTGACGATATCTGGCCATTTGGATTCCTATTCCCCTATCTACGAATTTCTTGGACTTTTTCCTGCCGCCCCTTCGCTCCAAGGTTGCGTGTGCACTGCCGCGGGCCTGACGCGGTACCTGATCCTTGGATAGCCCGAGCCAGCTCACCTCTTGGGGGTGAAGGAATGTGGTTTTTTCGGCACACCTCCGATCATCTGCTTTTCCTTGCGTTCGGATCAATGGGGATCATCCTGCGCTGATCCGGGCTGCTGATTGTGGGTATCATGGCTTCCACGGGGAAGTCGAATCTGGACGATTCCCGTCGCAGTATGGGATCGCCCAAGTTAAAGGGCCGAGGTGAGTGGATGCGCAGCTTATCTGTTTACTGCGACGACCACGATGCAAATCACGAGGTGCAGAAGCAGCGGGTGGGGATGAAATGGTTGAAAGAAACCATGCGTGCTAACGGGCGGTTGCAGCAGAAAACGCGAAAGATACATTGTGTCGCAATGTCACCATCTACGGCCGATGTCGATATGAAGACAAAGGTACTGCGGTTACTCCTCACCTGCCTCTGTATAGTCTACCGTAATGTCATCTAACCGTGGGATCTATATATTAAGGCTGCGCCTTTAACCATGACCCTCATAAAGTCAACTCGGCACATCATTCGGACAGGTTAGATCACCCCTGATAACGGGCGTCCCTATGTTGGCAGGGATGCAATGTGTATATGGCAGTGGCAGGATGGCTTACGCTCTGGTCGCAGTAATGGCAGTAAGAAGCGATTAAATGTCGATTCTCCCAGCTTTACTCCGTCTCTACTAGCCGCCAACGGCACATCGACTACGAAGAAAACGACCACAATCTCCCCTAAAGCGGCCAACGCTGCTCCATTTCTTCCCAAGAGTGTCGCGTCGCGTATGGTACCCTCGTCTGTTTGTTCAGAACGAAGACGTTGGCTGAACGTACACCAGGATCTAACACCAGCTCTCCATCCATACGACAAGATGCAGCTACACCGGACTGGTCTGTGGCAGAAATACAGGATTTTGTGCCCCACGGCTTCGATGCAACGCAAGTGGTAAGAACTGCTCTTTCCAAGTATAAGCGACAAGCTGCCTCTTTCAGCCGTTGCCCTTGCCTTGCAACGTCAACCCCTGAGCCTAACATGAAGCATTGCTTTTCCATCACGAGATCTTTGCAATTCTCTCTTTTCCATCTAAGTCTCGACCAGCCAGCACACATCTTGTGAAGGTCAAGAAAGGAGTACCATCTGTCGTGCGTTATGGATGATTTCCCCTCAGGCTACAATCATCGTCTTCGCTTGCAGCGCAGTCTCAATGCTTTGGCGGACGCCTTTCATCCCCGATCTTTACGATCTACCTCTCTCCCCATGTTCTTTCCTGATTCCCCTCATTGTTCCTCTCCCGAAATCGAGTCTGGCAGGACGTGGACAGACCCCCGATCTCATCCCAAAAGACAAAGATCGTACATGAGCGCACCGGATGCTGATCCAATCTTCCAGGCATCTCTCCAAGGAAACGGCAACGGTGTTTTGGCATCAGCCGCTGCATATGATCCTTTTGTGACAGCGACCGCTCCGCTCACTGCTGCGGGCGCCGTGGGTCCGGTTCAGGCCAACCCGTATGCACACGATGCGGCCGCATTGAGCGGAGCCGCCTTTTTTGCTGGTCAGAGTGGTTTCCAGCAACCGGTATGGGCATTTCCCTTTACTTTCTTGGTCTTGCTGATGAGAATATAGCTTCAATATCACCTATATGCACCCATTGGTCCGCACAACCAGAATACCCTTGGCTATCAGCGGAATGTGCACGACTTCTTCCTGCCCAATGATTTCCGGGAAGAATTGCAAAAGAAAGCCGCTGCTACGTTGCAAACGTTGCCGAGTATGTTGCAGTCATTTAGCCTATCATGAGGGCCATTTTCACTAACCGTCAAAGACTCCTCGTTGCCCGCCCAAGTCGACTATTTTCACTCGCTGGTTCCCTTGGACCTGAACAACCAGAAAAACGCGACCATATTTGGCTACCCAAGCTGGGTGTATAAAGCCCAGTCCAGCAAAGACGGCAACTTCTATGTACTTCGCAGATTAGAAGGTATGCTTGATATGCGATTTATATGGAGAAGGCAGACACGTCTAACTACTCGCCTTTAGGCTTCCGCTTGACTAATGAGAAGGCAATTCGGTCCGTGCAATCATGGAAGCGCGTCTGCAATGGGAGTGTGGTGACTATCCACGACGCGTTCACGAACCGAAGCTTCCAAGACAGTTCCCTGATCTTCGTGATGGATTACCATCCTCTGTCCAAGACTCTTGCCGAGCAGCACTTGGGAGCCGGAAATCGGTTCCAGAATCGTCATAACACCCATATCCCGGAGCAGGTGCTCTGGGGCTACATGACTCAAATCGCCAATGCTCTGAAAGCGATTCATAGCAATGGACTGGCAGCACGGATCATTGACCCAAGCAAGATCTTGTTAACGGGCAAGAATCGGATCCGGCTTAACGCGTGTGCAATCATGGACGTGGTGCAGCACGACACACAGCGATCGATTACGGAACTCCAGCACCAGGATCTCGTCAATTTCGGTCAGCTGATCGTGACCCTGGGTGCGAACTCTCCCAACGTCATGCACAACCCTACCAAGGCAATGGAGCACTTTACACGGGCTTACAGTCCTCAACTGAAGAATTCGGTCTTCTGGCTCTTGAACGCTCTGCAGAAGGATCAGGAACGCAATATTGACATCTTCATTACTGGTATTTCGTCGCAGCTGATGTCCACCTTCGATTCCGCGCTCCATCTGGATGACCAGCTGACGTCCGATCTGAGCCGTGAACTCGAAAACGGACGACTCGTGCGACTGATGGCGAAACTGAACTTTATCAACGAGCGACCCGAATATGAGCACGACCGGCAATGGTCTGAAAATGGAGAGCGATACTTCCTGAAGCTTTTCCGGGATTATGTGTTCCACCAAGTGGATGCGCAAAACAATCCCGTTGTGGACCTGGGGCATGTGCTGACGTGTCTGAACAAGCTGGATGCGGGCACCGATGAGAAGATTACCTTGATCAGCCGCGATGAACAGAGCTGCTTCATCGTGAGCTACAAGGAACTCAAGAAGGCCGTCGAGTCATCCTTCCAGGCGCTGCTGAAACCAGCAGCCAGAAGACTGCACTAGCTCTTGTGTGTTTCTCACTGTTTTGGAGATGAAAGGGTGATGACAGACTTTGCCGTGGGTGTCTTCGCTTCTGCGTACGGTTGCAATGTTAGTGCCCCCGATGTGCGGGGTGCTGTGAGAGAAAGGGAAGATGTAGGAAGGAGTGTTTTACGAAGCATGACACGGATTACTTTGATGACTTGAAGAGTTTGGTTGACGATGGCGTCTGAAACGTTCCTGGCACCTTTCTTGCAGTTTTAGCCTTGCCGGATGGCTGGTCTTGTCTTTTTGAACAGGAGCGACGAGACCAGTAAGCAGTCTGATGGTCCCGGGGTTGGGCATGATATCAGAAGGCAGCGGTGACGATCAGCCCAGCGAGCAGAAAAGTATCTGGTGGTCAGTGAGTTGGCTAGAATCTCAGCAACGTAAACATGTGGAGAAGGGTTATATGTACACAGCTATCTAGAAAAATATGAATTTCACTTTGTTCCACCTTGTTTCCATCTGGATTTATTTTGGGTGCATGCAGAGTGCTTGAGGTGAGCGGGGTAGGGCGGACAGGGAGGGGTTGCAGGGCGGAGGAACAAGGTACGGAGGGTGGCCGACGGAGCGGAGACCACCAGCCACGATACGTACCATATGTAATATAGATAACCAAATGCTCGGGTGCCTACGCGCATGTGACTGACAATATACATTATCTCATTTATTTTTTGGTTTTCATTTTCCAATTCTACCTTCAAAAGAAAAAGAGATATCATACATTTTGTTTTTGGTTGTTCTCTTGTCCATGCCCCCCCAGGAAATAGATATCAAGGACCATGTATGATCATGAGCATAATATAATTCGTTTGAATTCGTTAGGAGAAGGTTTCCCCAGCTCAGCTTAGTGCTGTTATAGGGCATGGTATGTGTAGGTTGGGGGGTTTTCTTTTTCCTTTTTCTCGTCGAAGAAGGAGAATAAGAAGAAAAAAAAGAAGAGGGTCGATGGCTTTTCCTCATTGATACAGTGAGGAAGATAATAAAGAGAAGACGCGCCTAGTGAGAATTAAGACTGTATAGAAAGGATCCGGTATATGGAAGCTTTCAATCGTCTATTCACTGGGCTCGCGTCGACGTGAGTGCCTGCTAGTGATAATTGGATAGCAAGCGATTGGAAGAGAGACGGAATTTTACTCTTCGGGCTGGACGAAAGGGTTGGGGATCTCTTCGGAGCCGTCGGCCGGGGAGATCAGTACGAGAAGGGTGCCTCGAGCGACGACCAGGCCGAGGGAGCGGGTGGTCTCATTGCCTTCGTCGTCTGGAAGATTTATCAAGATGTTAACGTTAGATGTGATGGCTCGAGAGAATGGAGTATCGAGTGGCATGAAGAAAGAGAAATAACCTACCGCGCATGACTTCCTTGACGTCATCGAGAACGAGGTTCATGAGTTGGTCATAGCCCTTGAGAGTGCCAGTGACTGAAAATAATAATAATAGATGGTTAGTGAGATCAAGTAGTTAATGGGCGATGATGATTTTAAGGGCAAGACAAGGCAAGATCGAATGATGATAAAAATGATAAGAGATGATCAGTATATCTAATCTAACAAAACAAGACCGGACAGGATAAAACTAAAGTAAATTAAAGTAAATTGAACTAAAATAAACTAAACTTACCCTCTCTGCCGCCATTGAATTTGACGTTGACTTGCTTGTCCATGTACTTGGTGAGGTCGAGGATGTTTTCCTTCTTGGGCTTCTCCTGCTGCTGGGCACCGCCACCGGCACCGCCACCTCTGTGCTGGGTGGGGTGGGAGCCACGGCCGCCTCGATGCTCACCTCCGCCGCGGCCTCGGGCACCCCCTCGGAAGGAACCTCGCTCGGACATGGCTTGGCTGCGAGCTGGCACTGATATGGTCTGATGTGGTTTGGTCTGGTCGGGTCTGGTCTGGTATTCTGGTTAGGGGGGGGGTCCCTTGTCTAAGGTTGTCTGGAAATCTCTGCGGATCGAAAGGGCGGAGGGGGCCAGCAGAGCAGCCTAGGGGACGGACGGTGCGCGGGGAGGTTGGGGGGAGAGGGGAGAGGGGGGAGGGGGGAAAGCAAAAAAGAAAAAAAGACGGGTGTTGGTTCAGAGGGGGAAAAGGGAGGGGAGGGGAGGGGACGGGAGAGGAGTGTGTGTACTCTATGAGGGATTTTTCTTGGGGACGCACCCAAACGAGTCCAACAGCTGTCGTTCAGGACTGCTTTGGATGGAATAGAATAATAATAATAATAGATAGAGTAAGTGACGAGAACAGTCCGTGATAGGATGGGGATTGGGGGGGGGGAGGGGGAAAGCGAAGGATGGCTTCAGCACGAGAGATGTTGTCCGGACCGCGCTGTGTGTATTATTGCTGTATTGGTATGTAACGCCCGATGACGGGGGTAAGTTAAGTTAGTCGGCTGTCTAGGCCCGAGTGTGCAGCAACAACAACACGGGGGCTGGACTGGACTTGGACGGGGTCACTGTCTACTATCTAGCTACCTACCTAGGTAGGTAAGCTAAGTAATAATCATAATAATACTGTCTGAGCTAGTTACTGATGGCTTCAGGGTGACACATTATTATAATTGGGGGCTATGTTTATGTGTGTGTGCCTGGGGTAATGATTATTTAATTTATCCAACTAGTAGTTAGTTACCGCTCGAGGTCACTTGAGCAGTGTTTTGGTTTTGTTCCGTCCGCTTCGAATCGGGTCTGGCCTGCGCAATGCCGACCGGTCCCCATCGGCCGTCGCGGCGTTACTCTAGGCGATCCGTGCATCCGGAGCGGTCGACAGGATCGTTAGTTATAGGATAGATAATAATAATTATTATGGTAGTAGTTATAGTTATAAGTATGAGACCTGTTAATCATAATAATAATAATAATAATAATAATAATCAAAGTCACTGTAGGCCAGACTGTCCAGGAGATAGATCCAGAGACTCGACGGTCGTTCCGCTCGAAGCCAGACGAAACGGTATCAGAGACGGTATTATTATTGTATCAGTTACCATAAGCCCTCCGGACCAGCCCGTTCGAGTCAAACGGCCAGCGGAAAAGTCCGGCGGGATGGCGACTCCGCCCACCCCGACTTCATCCATGCTGCGGCCTGACCTCGTTTGTTCCATATTATTATTCGATTCGATCGTCGAGAAACCTCGAGAAACCGGATCAGATCCAGGGTGTTTTTTCTTTCTTCTTGAGAGGAATGCAGCAGGACAGTAATAATAATAATAATAACAATAACTAGAGCAGCCACCGTAGAGTCGTTAACTTGCACGGCGCAAACACACAGCGGTTGCGCCCAACTGCTCTCTAGTGGTGCTGCGAAGCTTTCCCGACGCGCGCCCCTCCAGCTACCTGAAGGGCTCTAGCTGACTCGAGTAATTTTATTTTTATTATTAGACTCTCTCTCTCTGCCTAATAATAATACAATAATAATAACCCCGACTCTCCCTGCGCGCGCTCAGCCCTTCCGTCCGCCTCTCCACCCTCTTCCAACCCAACCTAACCATAACCCGTCTCCCGTCTCCCCCCTCCTCGCCCTCTGTTCGCCCCGACGCTTTCCTCTTCTCCTCTCCTGTACTCGCTCCTCCTCCCTCTCCTTCCTCTCCTCTCCTCCCCTTTCTTTCTCCCTCTCTCCCTCTCTCCGCCATCCAGACGCTTCTTCCCAACTGCGACAACTGCGATTTGCGTCCTTTCAATCCACGAGTATCCGTTCTGCCTGCGCTGTCCCGGCCCTCCCCGTGCTGAGCGCCTCGTGCGCCTCTGCTCCGCTCCCGGTAAGACGTCCGGTCGTTCAACCAGCAGCGTCGCCCGGTCCGCCTGACCGCTCGTCGAAGCAGTCCCCAACGCTGCCTCGATCATGTTGAATTCCCCCAGCTTGGCTGAAGCAACCCGTCGTCCCCCCGTGGCCATGGACTCGAGAACAACCGCGCCGGCGGAGCCTCCTACCAAGCGACCCCGGTCTCCGTCCAGTGAACTGCCCCCGATTGCCTCCAAAGTCCCCAAGACGCATTCGAACCACCTGCAGATCAACTACCTGGCGCGCCAGTATTCCGACAACCTCCCGCTCGTCTCCACGGAGGATACATTGCCCGCCATCCTGCGACTCATTGGCGAGTACGACGGCGTGTTGCATCGCCATGAGAGTATCGCCGGCAACCTGGGCGCGTGTCCCCTGGGCCCCATCCTGATCAAGCGCTTCGAGCGCCTGTTTGACGGGCCCCCGCATGTGCTCAAATCCCACGGCAAGGAGGGCAGTACAGTCACCTGGCTGGATATCGTCGAATTCGCCAAGAACAAGCCCGAGCAGTTCAACCTGGAAAAGACCCGCAATGGCGTGCGCGTCTGCCAGTTCTATACGAAGCAGTGTCGCGTCGAGATCTCCGAGGAAGACTACGTGTTGATCGCCTCGGGCATGCCGCAGAAAATGATCCCCCCGCAACCGATCGTCGAGGACGAGGAGAAGGAACTGGGCGCCCTGGAGATTCTCGAGAAGAATCTGCAGCAAATCATCCAGATGGCAGATCAAGGTACGTTTTGAAAAAGAAAACGGTCTAGGTTCTATCTACGAGGAAATGCTAACTGGTCTGTCCTGGATAGTGTCTGCGCGCGCACGACAGCTCAACCATCGTCTGAAGAACCGCAGGACGGCCATCATCAGCAGACGGGAGAACGACGCGTCCCTGCACTCGCAGACATCCCGTTCGATCAGTCCGGCCTGGCGGGACGCCAACGGAGTCCCTCAGGGTCCCGTCAACAACAGCAACGGTCATGCCAATCCCCAGTCGCCCCCCTCTGGCTTCGTCGCTGTCAACACGCACCGTGCCGGTCCGGCAGAGCAGCCGCAGGAGGAGAACAGCAATCTATCCTCCCAGTTCATGTTTTCCCACCCGAATGCTGAGAACATCACCATCATCAACGGGACCTCGATCAAGGGCGCATCTCCGACCACCCGTGCCGAGTTGATGAAGAAATTCTTTACCACCGCTGATCGTCAAGCTCGCGGATACCCGCCCGAGGAGGATATGCAGCAGATGGGCCGCCAATCTGCGCGTCCGCGGCCTCGCGGTTCGGACGCCAGTGAATACTCCACCAGCGTATATGCCGGAGTGTCCGGGACGGTGGCGATCCCCAGTACCCCATCGTCGTTGCTGCCGCCACCGAAATCATCCAGTCACTACGATCGCGACGACGGTGGTCCCTACAAGATGGAAATGGTCACGCGGATGGAAGAGCTGCAACGGGGCGAGCGCGTGCTGCCCCCATGCGACCGCTGCCGTCGTCTTCACATGGACTGTCTGAAGAACCTGACGGCATGTATGGGCTGCACCAAGAAGCACGCCAAGTGCTCCTGGAAGGACGTCAAGGAAGAGGAGCTGCGAGAATTCCGGCCGCCGGTCCGCAACCGGGAGGCCACGGATGAATCCCACCGCGAGGACACTGCCGCGCCGCCTCCGACTCAAGCGGAGCGGGAGCGAGAACCGGTGCCGGGCAACAATTCCCGCAGTGAGTCCGCCCCTAGCCGTCCCGCTTCGGAAACGCAACAGTCCCAGCAATCCCGGGAACCTGCTTTACCTCGCCGTGCTGCCAGTGAGATCCAGGGCAGCGCGGTCTCGAGTCATGATCGACGGCTCAGCATCAACCGCAACGGCCCGGTGCAGGATGACGATGATCCCGATGCCAACCAGCGGCTGATGCAGGCCATCATGGATACCGTCGATCATCATGCACGCGTGGCGGCCGCTGTGAAGGAACGGGGAGAGGATATCACAGATCGAGACCGAGAACGGAGGATGGCCAAGGCATGATCCTACATCTGCGGTCTGCAACGCGTTTTCTTCTCCTTCCTCCTGATATCATGACATGTTGTCTCGTTTATGGGACTTACCGAACAATCGCCATATTCATGGTTTCGTTTGATCAGCATCTTTTTCCCCTCTTGTTTTGCATGGATTGAAAAGCTCCGTGTCTTGGCTGCAGAGATAGCCGTGTGTCATCATTATTGTCCGAGCGAGTTGAGCGACTTTGGATTAGTTTTCGTTGGCGTCGGGATATCCTGGGCGTCCTTGTGTAGCATTTGACACAGACACCCCACGGGGTGTCTGCACTACCCTGCTGTTTTTGTCTTCAACTTCTTCATCTTTCCGCCTATATTAAACTGTTCTCTCCTGTGTGTATGTATGGCTTGTACATCTTGAGTGGTGTCTTGTTTGAACTTTGTCAGACAATAATTCATCTGCTATATTTTGTTTCCTTCTTGACTGTCTTTCTTGTACATACATACGCACGTATACGTAGTCAGTTAATAGCTTCGATCCAGGTACAGCGATGATGATTTCCAATCCCCGCAATCTGGATCAAGTTCGCGGGAAGTGCTAAAATAATTACCCGATTCTTCACCCCGCAGGAAGAAAAAATATCCGTGCGCATGAGACATACCATAATTCCAAACGAATAACTATCTATGTAGTACGGAAATTCCGAGCCCCGGGAAGATCATGAAGATCCAGCTCTCCAGGTGGCCAAGTCGAGGAGATAATCATTATCATCGTACAGCCGTACCGAAGCTAACTGGTTAGTTCTAGTTCATTGTGTGGTACAGTTTAGTTTATTAAGGGGGTTTGACGATAATGATAATAATATACTCTAGGTATAGCTGGTTAAGAGTTCAGCGGGGGAATTCCGTCCAGCTCGTCAGCTATTATGTACAATTCTTTTAGTTAGTAGTAATTAACTGTTAATAACAAGTTAACCCATCAATTAAGTTAACTAACTAACTAACCAACTAGCGAGTTAGATTAGTCGAACAGTAACTAGTAGTACTGTAGTAGTAATCAGAAATCGGTGAGTTGTCCGGAGAGGGGGAAGAAACTCGAAAGGAACTCCCGGGTGGTCAATTGCCGAAGAGGGATGTGGGGTAAAAGTTAAGAAGAAAATGATCGTTGCTAAACTAGCAGAATCATAATAATAGGCCATTTATTATTATTATTATTGTTCCACCAGATTGAAATTCATCCGGGGTGGGGGTGGCTGGGGGTGGCGGGGGGGGGGGTTGTCTTTTCCTTCTTCTTCTTCTTCTTCTTCTTTTTCTTCCTTTTGCTAATACGACTGATATGATAAGTACTTGTTATTATTTGGCAGGGAAAAATAATAACTAAATCAGAAAGCAGAGCCTACGTTAGTTACATTACTTACCATTGTGATCAAGTCGAGGACGAGAGGAACAGAAAACACCATTACATACTTAACATACCATGGACCCCTCTCAAGTCAGCATCCCTCCTCTCAAGGACCTCACCATCGACAACATCACCGAGAATGTCATCCTCATCAACTCCCAATGCGAGGATGCCCGCATGAAATACATCCTCGAGAGACTAGTCACTCACCTGCACGACTTTGCGCGCGAAACCCGCCTCAGCACCAAAGAATGGATGGCCGGTCTGCTCTTCCTGACGGAAGTCGGCCAGATCTGCAGCGACGTGCGACAGGAGTTCATCCTCCTATCCGACGTGCTCGGTCTCTCGCTGCTGGTCGACTCGATCGATCACCCCAAGCCCGCGGGTTCCACCGACGGCACCGTCCTGGGACCCTTCCACACCCACGAGGCCGAGGAGATGGTCGCTGGTTCGGCCCTGTCGCAGGATCCCAAGGGAGAGCCACTCCTGGTCCTCTGCACGCTGAAGGATACGCAAGGCCGACCGATCCCCGATTGTAAGATCGATATCTGGGAGACTGACTCGACGGGCCACTACGACGTGCAGTATGCGGAGCGGAACGGTCCTGATGGTCGTTGTATCATGCGCAGTGATAAGGATGGTATTTTCTGGTTCAAGGCTATTAAGCCCGTGCCGTATCCGATTCCGCATGATGGACCTGTGGGTAGACTGTTGAAGAAACTCCATCGTCATCCGTACAGACCTTCGCATATGCATTTTATGTTTGAGAAGCCGGGTTACGATCACTTGATTACGTTCGTCTCCTTTTCCCCCAACCAACCCCTCTAAATAAAATAAAAAAGAAGAAGCAAAAAACCAAACTAACAACCCAACCAACAGAGCCCTCTACCTCCGCAACGACCCCTACGAAACATCCGACGCCGTCTTCGGCGTCAAGGACACTCTCGTCGTCGACCTAGGCAAAGTCGACGCCACCCTCGCGAAGAAGTACGACATGCCCGAAGGCAGTCATCTGATGACGTACGATTTTGTTCTCGTCACTGAGGAGGAGTCCAGTAATTTGAGAGACCAGCGATCCAGAGAGGCATTGGATAAGTTGGGGAGAAAAGTCAAGATCGTGAATGGATTGCCTATTCCGGATTTGGATTGAGTGGTTGGTTTAATTATTCTAAAAATACTTGAGTTTTTTTCGGTTTGTTTGTTCGTGAGCTTGAGGATTTCTTTTTTATGAGCGCGTATTCCCTTGTTTATGACCATGGCTGTGTGTGGAGCAGTATGCTTAGGGAAAGAGAGATGAGGAATGAAGAGTATGGGACGTTCTTCCTTTTCGCCTCGTTATACTATGATCTAGGAAATACGTATATATTTCAAAGCGCAGTATTTACTAGCGATTTGATAAAATACTGATTCCATAAAGGAAGAGAGAGAGGTAGGCGCAGATCCATATCCGACAGTAATAACCGTGCATGTCATCATTGATACACGCGCTGTCGCTATATAACACATTGAAAGCAGACATAAACTCATCGCTGTTCGCTAAACAGGCTCAAACGAGGTATCATCTCAATAGTATAGTAATATTGTCAACGAACAAATCATATATTTGAACTAACTAGCCAGCCCGTCACTGGCCAGTGACATCACGCGCAGCACTGACCATATCGCCAAAGTCGCTTTGACCATCGTCGATCTCCCGTGGAACCGGGGCCGGTCCGCCCTTCAATGCTCGTAGGCCTTCGTCGTCCTCGATCCAGCCGCCCACCTTCTCAGTCCCTTCGATGTAGGCTACGCTGACTTGCAGGTTGAGACTCGCGCTGAGTGCGCGCTGCAGTCTCGCTTCGCGGCTGTGCGATACCATGTCGCGGAATACGTGTGTGAGAAAACCGCTGAGGATGTCGACACTCCAGTCGTCGGGCACGAGAGCGAGGACTTCGCCGACGTCAAACCAGGACGCAAAGCGTGACAGGAGGTCACTGGTCCGTTCGATTCGGTCGGAAGGGTCCTGGATGCGGAGGAACTCGGATAGGAGGTGCTTGAAGAGACCCGATTGATCGGATACTTTAGGCAGTTCAACTGGCGCGTCTGCGGATGCGGTACTGGAAGGACCGCCGAAAAGACAGTATCGGATGGCAGAGTCGTAATCCCCGAGACCGTGAGTCAGGAGACGCAAAGCTTCCTGATGACGGCCCTGGCGACCGTCGAGGATTATGCACTCTGAGACAAGCTCGTTTTGATATGGCTCAATTCGAGCAAGGACTGTAGGAATGGAATAAGATAAATTCGAAGGCGCAGGCATGGCCGTATACCGAGTACCAAAACCACCACCGAGAAGTTGAAGAAGTCGTAGCCTAGATTGCCACCAAGGTTCAGACGGCGCATTCTCCGTGATGAAGTTGAGATAGGAGGGCTTCGGCGGCCGAAGAGCGCGGTATGTCGCGTAGGATTCTGTTAACGACTCCCGAGCGGCAGGAGACGAGTCCAGCACGGATATCACAGTATCCAGATAATACGCAATAAGGTCATCAGCGTATTGAGTGAGCTGAGGAGATGGTTAGCTAACTCGAAAGTAAAGCCTGTGGAAGCCATGTCACTCACGTTTTTCGAGAAGACCAGGCGTTCTAGATACACCTGGACCGCGTTTGGAGCCTGCTTTTTGAGCAACGCGACAACCTCCGCCGGCTCCAACTTGACTCTGCTGCTATCATCCGCAAAGACTTGGATACCAAGAGCTGGATGCCGAGCGGCAAGCCATGATCCGTACTCTTCAACGAGTTGCGTATCTCGGATCTTCACCAGATACTTGCGCATGTGTATCTGAACGCCCTCCGGTGTGACCTCGCCGCCAAGGTCTTTCTCGCCTTCGACGATTCGGCGCCACGACTTCAATACGTTCTTGGACATCTTTCGGCTCTGGTACAGCCGGCTAAGCACAAAGAGCCTGTTATATGCTTCGAGGAGCTCCACTGCGCGGTCAAAGTTGCCTTTCCAGTTGTCGACTAGTTTGTTCAGCTCGGCTCGGACACTGACAGACGGCACTCCTCGCTTCATGAGTTGAGAGTCCTGCTCCAAAAGTAGATGTAGAAGAGCAGCATCGACGCTGTCAAAGACAAAGTTCTCATCCGTAATACTGCCATACCCTCTCTTGCGCTGCCACGAGAGGAGATACTGTTTGATCATATCGAGAACTGCATTATCCAAGGGCTTTGGATGTGTACCTTGTCCATCTTCCGAGATTTCTATGTGAGGCTCGGCGGCTGCAGCGAGTCCATGGTGGACCCAGATGCCTTGCGGTCCTTGGAGCACTTCAGACCGCAGTAGCGGAATCATCAACAAGACGATTCTTGGATCTATTCCTCCACTCACCAATACCTCTTCCGTAGACCTTATCACGCTTTCATTCCGGACGCGTGGTTCCATGGATATGAGATCTGCGAAAAGCAAGAGACTGGCTTTCTGTCGAATATAATTGAGACCAAGAAATTCGGCTTCAGTTCGTGGTTCCGTGTCCTGAATGGAATCTATCAAGCTCCTGATAGACTCTCTATCGATGGCAGTCTCTTCATTGTCTGCCGACTCGCGCGCCGCTCCAAGAGCGTTGTCGAGTTGAACGGTGAGAGGATTCCTCAGCACTCGCCAGATTTGGTCGCCGGACCACATGATGAGACTGCTTCGCGTAACACCTAATCCACGCGCAAATTTAGCTTCTTCTATATTACGCTCCACCTCCCAGCTGCGCTGCGACCCAGCCTGACCCTTCTTAGGGCCGTCAGAATCGTTGAGTTCCTGGGACTCGAACAGCTCTTTCTCCTTCTGCAATTGCTCTATAGACTCCTGGGTCCGAGGGTCCGCCGGAAGGGCCGAAAGACGTGGCGGAGGAGTCTTCAGTCGGACCATACGTAGCAATTCCTCGACATTCCGGAGACCGATTTGGCTTGAACTCATAGTATGACGGATGCCAACCGGTGGTACTGGAGCATCGTCTGGCGCCGGTATCTCGACCCATGATTTTTGCCTCTCTCCTTCGCCCGGATCGATGTCCCATCGTTGAACTTCAATGCGTTTGCGCAGTTTCCCATCCTCGTTGACTTCTACGACAGCGAGTACAAAGCCCTCTTCGGTGCCGGTACTTGGTTGTTCCTCGCCATTATTTTGCGTACTATCGACGGCAACCGCTTCTGGATACCTGTGAAAGTCCATTGTGCCACGGACGACATCGCCATCCATATTCACAAACATACCAACTCCAGGCTCCGAGGCTTCTGTCCCCGTAACTAGCAGGAATTCAGAGGGTGTCGGAGACTCAATGTGTGGCTTCAGCGTTGCCGAGGACACTTTTGGAGGAGGCGGCAGGGGCTTTTGTTTGTTGGCAGTGGCGCCTTGCGATTCTTCAGCTGGAGGACTTGGGAGATCTTTTGCTGGGCTAGGAGATTTACGGTCCTGAGATGTTGATCTGCTGGACGTCTCCGTTGCCATAAAAGGGTCTGGTGTCCCAGCGCCAGATCTGCCGGGACCGTGAGGGCTGCGCTGACGTCCTCCTAGACTATCTAAAGGCGCATTCAAACTGTCGCTTCGTCTGTGACCAGGAGAATTCCCTGATGGTGTGCCTGACCTTTGGGGTGAGTGATACTGCCTGGGTGGGATATCTTCCACGTGCCCGGACTGGAAGACTTCGCTAGAAGACGATATCGGAAACAGAGGAATCTTTTGCTGGTGCTCTACATCGAGTAGAGAGTACGAATATCCATCGGCGACACAGGCGATTGTGTTTCTCCGCGACGCGACCAGACATCCTGGAAACTCAATGTTTCTGACCCGTCGCACATCATCTCCAATCCTGACGAGCATGATTCTGCTCTGCAGGGCCACCATGATAACCGGTTTCTCTGCAGTTGTGTCATCTATCCTCTGGTTCAGATCGAGGCCTCCGATCCATTTACAATTGGGGACCTTCGTATTCCCGAATGCCGGGCTGAGTTCCGGCAGCGTGTAGAAAGTGACGACGCCATTGCAGACGATGCAGGCCTTGTTAACGCGGGGGAGAAGAAGTATTTGCTGGATCCCACGAGGTTGCGTCCCTGTAGGGGCATTTTGAGACCCTACAATGGGCAATCTCGACGCTAGAATGAAGGTCTTGTCGTCTGTAGCATCCGATGGGTCTGCGGGAAGAGCAACGAAGTGCAGGATCTCCGCGACGGAGGTTCCGATGTAGAGGTTGTCATCTATGCCGTTGCATTCATTGTTAGGAAATCTCTCTATAAGCGGTGGCCGGTTTCACTCACTCCAGTATTCCACGCATGTAATATGGACATCTGGCCCAGTCTCTTCCGTTATCAACGGTACCTTATCGAGAAGCTGCTGGAGAACGTAGGGAGCAGCGTTGCGCGGGCTGAGCTTCCTTCGCTTGCGGGGATTGGCGATACCATCTCCCGGTCCCATAATTGACCGTAGCTGGAAGGAAGATTCCAGCTGGGAGGTTCAAGATAAACATGGAGAGTCTCCAGCAGACAATGCCAACATTGGGAAGCGGATAGAGCTGTCGCCGTTACTGTAAGGGCGGAGCTGCGATGGGGCCGATTGCTTAGTCAGGCGCAACGTCACTGCGAGGCTCTAGAGTATATACAAAAGTGAGTATGATACGGAGTCGACAACCCAAGTCTTTTTTCTCTATTTGGGTCAAGGGATCATTTGTTAGTACTAGACCGTTTAATGATCGCAAGACTATCTCATTGAAGCAATTGGAATAAGTACATACTTAAGATCAGGCAACGTCCATGGACCCCATGCCTTAACTAACAACAAGTGCCCTGAATTTGGGCGTCTCTCCTCCTCACATCCAAAGAACATATACAATGTTAATTACTACAGTAGGTGATAACTGATAATACATATAACTAAATGGAGGATTCGTTGAATATGTTTATCACACAGGCACAGCATAAACTTGCCCCGTTCGCCGGAACAATGTCGGCCCGCTCCGCGCCGGAGCTTCCTCCGCATCGACGGTTAGGCCGCGTGGTGCTTGTTGGATAGCGTGTCGTTCCTGAGCAGGCGGTCTTTGTTTCCTGCGTCCTCTATACAGCGTTCTTCGCGGAGGATGCTATTCGTTTCTAATTGAAGTGAGGATATCGTTGCAGAAATGGATACCTTCGCCGTTACGGAGGGACTTATTCCCGAGCACGCCCAGCAACCTGCGGACCAACAAGGCCCCAAGTCGGAGAGGCAGTCAGAGGAGGCCAATAAGTTCCAACGGGCTATTTCAGTATGGAGAGGTTAGCATACGGCTGCCCGCAAATATTCTCCGTGTTGAGGAAATACTGATCGGTGCGATCCATGCAGCTATCGACTTGGCCAACACCATACCGAAACTGGACAGCACCGCCTCAGACATCGTAGCTGGCCAGCGTGATGCGGTGGTGCAGAGAAAAGATCTTGCCCAGAAGACGAAAGAGTTCAGGAAACTTGACGATAATGCCAAGTTAACAGAATACAAGGGCTTGTTGAAAGGTACCTGCTATTCAGGTTGACGATACGAACCATCTCACTGATATGACTATATAGCCTATCAGGGATTCATTGACCTGCTTACGAACCAGGGGAAGGCATCCTCGTCCGCGTTTCTACAGCTGTATTCATCGCTGTCCGAAGCTCCCGATCCTTATCCCCTTCTGGAGGCCTCGGTCGATTCGCTGGTCCTCTCGGAAGACACTGTCCCAAAGTTGACTTCGGAGAAGGAGCATCTACAGAAATCAGTCAACAGACTCACAGGTCAACTGGAAGATACAGAGAAGAAGCTTGAGGAAGAACGATCGGCCCGGAAGAAGTTGGAAGAAAGTCAAGAAACCAGAATCAAAGAAGTGGAGGCATCTTGGTCAGCCGTACTGGCAGAAAAGTCGAACAATTGGGAGGCAAAGGAAAAGAGTTTAGAGGATAAAGTTGAGAATCAGGAGCGCCTACTGAAGGAGATCAAGGCCAGCTACGAGGTGTCTCAGAGACTGGGCCACGATGACCAAGGCGAGGGTGCCCCCAACGCGGCTACAGCGGCGGAGTTGGAGCTTGTTAGCTCAGAATTAGAGAAGACCAGCTTGCGGCTAGCCGAAGTTGAAGCACGAAACGAACAGTTGAGACTTGAACTAGCCCAGGCCGTCTCTCACTCCCAATCAGAACAGAAAACGCCCGTTGAAGATGACCCAGCATATTTGCGACTACAATCCGAAAACTCGTCTTTGTTACGGAAGCTTGATGCGGCGAGATTTGACCGTGACTCGGAGCGGCACTCATGGGAAGCTAAGCTCCGGCAGTCCGAGAGAACGAGCGCAAAAATCACTGCTGAAAGGGATGAACTGCGGTCGAAGTTGGACAAGTATGCAGACTATGATGATATCCGGAGGGAACTCGAAGTTATGAAAGTGAGTGCCTCTTCTTTTTTTCTGTTGCATCGAAGCCAAAAGACCGAGGGCTAATTGTGCCAGGCTGTCGAATTCGCTGCTGGTGATGACGACGATACTGGGGACACGGCTGTAGAGAACGGCGGCGAGGCGACTGCAAATGGTGCCTCGTCGAAGTCTAAAGAGAATTCTCTCGAGCAGCTACTTCTCTCCAGAAACAAGAAGCTTAATGATGAGCTTACTCTCCTTCGAGTCTCCCACAGAGATCTGCAGGGACAACTAGAGGCTCTTCGAGAAGAGCTTACGAAGACCACGGCGGAGCTTGAACAGTCGCAAGGCCTCGCCACGAAGCTGGAGAACGACTTGTTGCAGATGCAGCAGGAGAGTGCTAACGCTTTCCCATCGACCGCGATGTCCGTCGCGGGAACCTACACCTCCAGGTACCACCAATCGCGTCGGGGAGCAAGTTCACCGACTTCCTCAATCATTTCTGGCTTCGACCAGAGCGCTGCCTCTGCCAACACAATGGATGCTATTCGGGCAGGAGAAGCAGTTGGAGGCGGATCCGGTATCCTCCCAATGGTCCAGGCGCAGCGTGATCGCTTCAAGAAGAAGAACGCGGAGCTTGAGGAGGAACTCTCCAAGACGTATGCCACCGTCAAATCACTTAGGCAGGAAGTGGCTTCGCTCCAGAAGGACAATCTCAACCTGTATGAGAAGACGCGCTACGTTTCCACGTACAGTCGTAGCCAAGGGGCGTCCACTTCAGGGTCTGCTTATGCCAATAAGCCGAGCTCGACTTCAGTTCATCTCTCGGCAGACACACCTTCTGGTTTGTCTCTTGATCGGTACCAATCTGCATATGAAGCGCAGCTATCGCCCTTTGCAGCTTTCCGAGGTCGGGAAGCTGCACGTGCATATAAGCGCATGAGTCTTCCAGAACGTATCGTCTTTTCTATCACACGCATAGTGCTTGCCAATCGGACGAGCCGAAATATCTTCGCTGCCTACTGTTTCGCGTTGCATGTTCTCATATTTCTCATGCTGTACATGATGAGCACCACTGAGATAGAAAAGCATAGCAGTGCAGCTCTAGGTGCTCTGAATGGAGCGGCCGCTGGCGCTGGCGCTGCCGGCGGAGGAAGTTCGGGACAACTGAACCGAGATGATTGGCAGCAGGAAGGGTTTAACCACGCCTCTTAGTGCTCCATGGTATACATTTCTATGTCATGTCCTATGTATTATGATCGTTCTATTCCCCATTGGCGAGTGTTCAACACCTGAACCATCCATTACAGATAGTATCTTATTTATTTAACCCAGGGAGTGGCCTTCTTATCTCCTTTAGCTAGTGCATTGGCGTTCCTTCCGGGTAGGATATCATTCATATTTTAACTTCATCTTGCACAAAGAACTAATAGAAAGACAATTTCCAGACTACAGCGTCTAGCATAGGGCAATTACTGCCTGGTCATATCTTCTCACTAAATTCCAATAACCATTCTAGCCCAACCCCCTGTCCCTGAGAAAACAAACACCCCCTCTGACTAAAACCACAGCGCAACTAAAACCACAATTTCGCGCTGCTGTTCGGATAGCAAAATAAAAGCCAGATATGAGCGTTTTCGAGCCCATTCCAATGTCCAGTCCAAACTATTCTAAGTGTTATTTGCTTAAGGATCAGCAATGATGGAATAGTTAGATGCTATTTCCAAACTAAGTCGTTTCATAAGGATTTCTCGCGGCGTTCGAATGAGCGAATGAGCGCGAGCACTTGTTCACCACGCTTTAGGTGCGTCGATGTTCTCTTTTTGTAGATCGACCCTCTCTTCGTACATACCGGAGACGACTTCAGCGAGATATGCCTTCATAGAAAGATACTATCCATAAGAAAGAACGTAGGTAGAGGGAATGATCAGCAGGAAGAATTCTCGATCATCAAGCACACAAAGGAAACCATTCGTACATGGTATAGTAAGAACCCAATTATCATTGATATAGATCAGAAACGATACGAAGAGATACTCACACTTTCCTGAGATGCTCAACGTTATTGGTGTCGAGCTGCGCAAGAACATCTTCTGAACCTGACGCCGCACGAGTAACGAAGCCTCGCAGTTTCTCTATCTATATCGGAAAACTAGAGACATGCCCAGGTCGCACTGCTGAGCTTGGCCATTCCAGAGAAAAGATCGTCGTTGGCCAATTTTTTTCCACGAATGCTTCTGCTGCATGCGGATCATTGGACCTTCAAAACAAGAAACGTCGGAGTTCGTCTGTCTATTGGAATTCTCGCACACGTTCCGACGCGGCGGCCGGATACTTAAGTACGTAGCGCCATTCTGGATCGAACCAGAACATGACGTGTTTCAACACAGATTTCAAAGGAAGACTGACTTTTTCATTCAACTTCAATCCACAGATATATTCTGACAGGGGAAGATGGGGTCGTACCCTCCTTTGACGTAGAGACAAATACTCCGGTGGAGCCAATCGAGGTATCTGGGTTGGAAGAGTACCCTTATGAAATCAGAACTAGTCGTGGTTCCATCTTTGCTCAGCATGTCGTACATTGCACAAATGGACACGCTGGGCATCTTCTACCGGGACTTCGAGGACCACTGTTTCCACTACGAGGGCAAATGACTGTTCAGTCTCGACCGTCTTCATTCCCATGTGTGGGAGATAAACGATCGTGGCTTCTGCATTATGCCCCCGGGTATGAATACGTTACGCAGTCTCCTTCGCCATCTGGTGATATATACCTTGGGGGAGGTCTACTACAGGCTTTAACGGAGCCTGGATCCGAGGAAAGCAATATTGACGTCGGGAACGTACGTGATGATCAACAGAATACAGCTGCTCTCCGATATCTCGAGAAGACGATGCAAGATAGATTTCGAAATGGTAAAGGATCAAAAATACTCACCAAATGGACCGGCATTATGGGATATACAGTTGACGGTCTCCCCATTGTCGGAAAAGTGCCTTCGAGAATCAGCGGCCGGAAGCTTGAGTCAGGGCGCAGCGCTGAATGGGTTGGTGCGGGTTTCTGTGGCCATGGGATGGCTTATTGTTGGTTAACTGGCAAGGCACTGGCTGAAATGGTGCTTAAGGGGGAAGAAAATATCGGCGACTGGTTCCCAAGAGAGGAGTTTGCTTGCTCGGAAGAACGACTTCAACGGATTAGTCTTGAAGACGCTATTGCTTTTTTCCTGGAGACTGTTTCGTGAAGATGTAGGATAGGAGGACTCTGAGGAATTCGTCGTATTGCTATTCTATCATGTAGAGGTTCTATCCTTTCGTCTTTTTTATTTATTTGGCCAAAACTTACTTCTATGTAGAATTTCTAGTCTTGGATGCAAGTCGCATAATTTAGTTACCAAAAGACCCGTTTCTGTCCTGCCCTTTGACAGCATTTATAAGCCTATCATGTATATTAGCCCGCCCATTATCCTCATCTTGCGGCTCAGACGTGAATATCCAAATAAGGAAGAAAACTCACCTTCTCAACCCCTCTCTAAGAATATCTTCATCCTGCGTAAAAACAAGTCGGAACCAGCCCGGATTCGCAGCGTGTTCCTCTCCCGGATGCAGAAACACACCCTCATCGAGTAATTTCTGCGCGAGAGCAAATTCCCTTTTCTGATGGGAAGGATTTTCTGCTGATTCAGGAGGCAGGTAGGGAGATAAATCGATGTAGATGAAGAAACCAGCGTTCCTATCATGAGAGGTCAATTTCTGAAACAAGTCTGAAGGAATATATTCGGACGGGAGAGACGGGGCCATACCCTCCTTTGACGTATCGGATTCCTGCCTTGTCGAGAGTCGATGTCGCGATACGGTAGCGTGATGCAAGACTCTGGCGGGCTTTGGAGATGAAACTCGAGACGAATTCTTGATCTTCGAGAATAGCGGCTCCGATGGTGACTGCTGCACCGGATGCGGCGTGGAGTCTCCTGATACTTGATGTTAGTTTGATTTTTCTGGTTGGTTATGTGTGTAGTGGAACTAACAAGATAGCTTTGCAGGCGCGAAGAAGCTGCTTGTTTTGAGAGATTAGGAAACCGAGATGTAAGCCACCTGATGCGAAGTCCTATATTCGTACAAGTTAGACACATCGATTGCGACGCGAGGAAAGTAGGCAAAGGACCTTGCTGAATCCGTACATGAAATGCACGAGGTTTGGATCTATCAAGTTGGAGAAGTCGAGAGATAGGATAGAGGAGAACGGAACTGCGTCTGCGTCACCGGAATCGAAGACACAAAGAGCGTATACCTCGTCGCTGATGAGGTGGATCTGGTGTTTCTGGCAGAATCTACAGATCTCTTTCAATGTTTCAACTGGATAGCAGCGGCCTGGTGGATCACAGTCGCCGTGAGTATGGGGTTAAAAGCCCGTCCTAATACAAGTAATCTATGGATGCTTACCAACGGGATTATTCGGATTTGCGATTAAGACTGCTCGAATCTTTACCCCATTCTGCTCAGCCTCCTTCAGAGCAACCTCATATTTGCGAACAACGGCAGGCGTGAAGCTCTCTTCGGGTTCTGTGTCTGCATAGATGATCTTGATGTCCGCCTCGACGCCGTAATCCAGCTCGAAACGGCCGTACATAGGCCGACTAACAAGAATACCATCTCCGGGTTCTGCTAACGTAAAACCCAGCATGCCTCCTAGAGCAGTTGGGCTGCTGACTGTCAAGACATTGTTTGGGTCAACAGGGGAGTAAGGATTGAAATTCTTATTAATGTGCGCTGCGAGAGCTGTAGGAAGACGGGTAGCAGAGGGTGGTTTCGCGCGATACCCAATGCTGTCCTCTGTGAATATGACCTAGAGGTAGATTTAGATCGGACAGTGGTCAACAGATACTTCTTCTGGTAATTGAGATACCTTTTCGTTGTAAATTTCACAATCTCTTTCCGCATGGGTACCTGTTTATTGTTGTTAGCTATTCGGTCTTGTACCGGTCAGTACAGTATCATCGCGAAGTGGGCCATGTTACCTACATGCTCTGCCATTCCAAAGGAGATTAGACCATCAGGATTCTTTTCCCTGTCGTATGTCTGCGTTGGGGCGTATCGCCAGGGGATATCGAAAAACCCCGCTCTCGATGTGCCGCGTTGCGAGAGCATCCTTGCTGATGAACGAACTTGGAGCGCCTCGTATTCATGTGAGCATTCGACCTCTACTAATTGAGGGATGATAAATACTTAATTTGGTATTGTGTAGTCTGTCTGTATGAAATATAGGAATGACTAGGCCATCGCACAATCAATACAATGGCCAGCGCCGAGTCAAGTACCTAAGTACGAGCCGCCAAGCTTCATCCATCTCCATTCTCCACTATCTCTCAAGTTCCTCAATTTAGTTACAATTTTAGAATCTGTCCTACGATAATAATAGGCCAGGAGATTGCATATTATGAACTCAAGTGATATGACCATCTTCAGGTTCGGCATGCATATTAAATAGCAAGCAATCGACGGTGATCAGGTAATGTTCGAAGGTTTCAATCGCAGCAGTTACCGATAATCAGGTATGAGTTGAATAAAGCCATAGAAGCTACAACGGACACGACAAACAGTTTACATACAAGAAGAAAATAGTACCCAGCCAGGAAATTTTCTTGTGAAGGGCCCCCCGTGCTTCAAACGCGGTGAGTCGCGTACTTACCACTCTAACTTGAGATTGTCCAGAGTCTTTGAACGTGGGCGCGACCGCCCTCCTGGAAATTTCAACAACTCTCGTAGGAATACAGCCCGCCATCTCCAACTTATACGAGTGGAAGAAAAGAAGTTGTTTGTAGGGATTCTCACAGGTCCCAAGCACGGATCTAGACAATTTTCAGGCATATCTTGGAGCCCAAGGTAACCGAGTCGCTTAAGTTGGTTCTACCTGAACTTCCGCCGCTTTGCTCCCCCGCTACTTAAAGCCTATCTAAGTACTCCCGCATTGCTCGCGTCTTGCTCATCCTGGCTCTCTCTTAGGTCCCATTCTATCCTTACTGCAGCCTCGTGGCCTACGATGCCTCACTGGCGCGTTCACAGCCCCTGTTTGGCCTCGACTATCGTCAACTTTAGACGAGATGCCGTGCCGCATCTTACAATAGATATCGGCTGCAGTCTTGTGGGAACCCATCAAACCAGCTGGCAGAAAACGGGGTAGACATTAGTTTGATGGAATAAAACGAAGCTGTGGAGCAGCAAGATTAGCTCCATTCGGGAGTCTCGGAGAACTACGTGAGGCTTGAGCATTGAACGGCCAACCACTACTTAGTTCAGTGGGCAGTACCCTGCCTTTATCTCATGAACTCTCGACCAGTTGGCCACTGGTTAAACCAATTGACTGTCTTCCCGTGGCGGCCCCTGTTTTTACTAAGAGTCAATGGTGGTCCTGATAGGGACCAGCGAACGTTATAATATGATGGCTTTCTGTCACTCGACCAAAAAGAACTCCTCAATAAACTTTTATAATGAACCTACTTATCTATATTATGGCTTGGCAGAATGAGACTCACAACAGCTTGTTTTTAATACAAGTAACTGAGGAGGATAAAGATTGTTTAGAGGCCTCCGGAATAGAGGTACAGGGGCAGCACTCTAGCCTTCTTAGTGTATATGCGACTACTCCGCGCACTGGGGTTCTTGGGATACTAGGATGACCACATAGGCACCTATTGGGCTGGTAAGCAGTACCCTGCCTTGATCCTATGAAGTCTTAGCCGGGGAGCCTGTGAAACGAAAGAAATACCAAGATTACACCCATTCCAGTGTAATCGGTGTTGATGATTCCTTTATGCATGCTGAAGTTAGCCTTATCACCTATACCCGAGCACAATCTCTGCCAGGATAGGTAGATACTACCACACACCTCGAGTTTCGATGTGCATGATTGGACGCCTGCAAAGCCAAGGGTACTCGGAAGTCGTATGAACTCTCATGCTGAGAAAGACAGATCTCATCGTCTCGATTGAGCCGCACAATCCACCAAACTCCAGAATAAACCACATGACTGCCTGTTGAGGACCCTCTTTATGTTACGGGAACTACTCCTTATGTTCGAAGCTTCACCTCTCTTACCCATATCTTTATTAGTACGCACACAAACTGGAAGGAATATTTCTCTATTACACTCAGAGTTCCATCCCTTACTGTCCTCATTCATCGCTATGGCCATCATTCCAATAGACGTTACCATAGAGAAAGCATGTCTTGTGTTTTTGTTTTGCTTTCTCGCTCACTGGGTATGGAAAGTTTTAGCGTCTCCTTTGAACAGTATCCCCGGGCCTTTCCTGGCTAGTAAGTATATAGAGCTGAGATACTTTCTCCACTTCATCTAAACCATTGTGCTAATCACATCTACGCGTTCTTTAGAATGGACCAATCTTTGGCGTCTTTTTGATGTATGGGGCGGACGCTGCGAACTCACCCAGAAGCTGTTACACGAGAAATATGGCCCGGTAGTTCGTTTGGGTCCAAACATGGTCAGCCTCGGTGATCCAGCTCTCATCGCAACTCTCTATGGTATTAACGGGGATTGGCTTAAGGTCTGAAATCTGGGATGCATGGAATTCTTCAACGGAGAGCTGACGTCTGTAACTTTGCAGACCGATTTCTATCACTCGAACAGCGTCTTCCAGGACGGGAAGATCATCTATACTCTTTTTAGCGAGACAGATAATGTGCGGCATGCCCAGATGAAACGACCCATCGCTCAGTTATATAGCCAGAATGGCCTGCGTGACCTAGAGCCTCACATTAATAATACCATCTCTTACTTCATCCAGAGGTTGGATCAAGAATTTATAATGGGAAGAAATAAAGATGGTATCTGCGACCTGGCTACCTGGCTGTCTTACTGTATGCCTCACAGCGGTCTTCCAATCGGTGACAGGTCATGCTAACAGGGAGAGTATACAGATGCCTGGGACGTCGTGGGTGAGGTTACATTCAGTACCCCGTTCGGCTTTCTCGAGAAGGCCACTGACATTGGCAACACCATCATGGTTTCCGAAAGAGCCCTCGATTATTTCGCCGTGGTGGGCCAGATACCATTTCTCGATTTCATTCTCGACAAGAACCCTATAGTCCGTGCGATGGACAGAGCATTTCAGTTGGGCCGTCTTGGATTTAACTTCATTACCGATATGACGATCAACTGTCTCCAAGAACGCCGCTCAGGAAGCAAATGTCACAGTGCATCCAATCCTGACTTCCTCGACAAGTTTCTAGAGGAACAGAAGAAAAATCCAGATACAGTGGACGATGGCAGAGTCGTCTCGTACCTTCTGATAAACATGATCGCCGGTGCCGATACGACCGCTATTACCCTTCGTTCTGTCTTTTACTATATCCTGAAAAACCCGCAAGTGTACCGACAACTCCAAGAGGAGATTGATGCATCAAAACTTTCAACTCCGGTCTCGTACAAAGATGCCCGCGCTCTTCCTTACCTGGACGCTGTGATACGCGAGGCGATGCGCATGCATCCAGGCGTAGGGATGCCTCTGGAGCGGTATGTTCCGGAAAGCGGGCTGTCTGCCGATGGTCATTATATTCCTAAGGGCGTCAAAGTAGGCATAAATCCCTGGGTCACCAGTTCGAACCGAGATGTCTTCGGCCCTGATGCGGAGGTCTTCCGTCCCGACAGATGGCTCCAGCAGGTGGACGAGACAGATGCGAATTACGAGACTCGCCGTAAACGGATGAATCGCAGTGACTTGACATTTGGCGCCGGAAGTCGTGTGTGTATTGGCAAGAATCTGGCTCTGCTCGAGATATACAAGACAGTTGCGACTTTCGTCTTAGCTTTTCACGTAAGCAGGCGACCCCTAGAGCGGTTCTACAGGAGAAACTGAACTAATAATACTTAACTTGACAGATGCAGCTGGCCGACCCACAGCAAGAGTGGAAGATCCAGAACAGCTGGTTCGTGAGACAGGAAGGAATCAATGTACGGCTTTCACCAAGGAAGAATTGACTTTGTTTTCCAGGCCACATTAACTACCTAAGTAGGGAAGGTTCCGTGCCAATAATGCTTGTGCGAGGAGCATACTGCGTCTGTTGGGTCCATTTTTGAATCCTGAATCTGCTGCGCTGAGATTTCGCCGCAAAGTAGAAAGATAATCCTTAGACTTAAGACAGGCCCCCGAGTCTCGTAGATAATTTGCTAGACACGTTCTATATTGAGTCCAGAACGGGCAGATTTGACCGGCCGGGGAGAAAAGAAACCCCGCAAAAGTCCACGTGCGGAGACCCCGGAAACGTACTTACTTACATGTACTGTCCTGTCCGTACATCTCTGCCGCTGTCTTCTTGATTCGACAGCGCGAGAGCGACGGTCATTTGTCTTCCAGGACCGATAATGCTTCAGGATATGGATACGCCGATTACGCACATGAAATCCTATCGAACAACTTAAGGCCGTTGCCATACTGCTGGTTGATGTCTGGGTTGGATCTCGCTCCAGATCTCTCCGAAGATCGGATCTGATGCCCTGGATGGTGTGATCAGATATTCGACATCGCGCTACATTGGCAGCATCAGCATCAGCATTGCCAGTAGGCATAGTCTATCATGATGGATCCTAAGGATGTGGCAGATCCGCAGTCGACATCCTCTCAGGGAGTTGCCAGCGGCCAATCCGGTGGGGTCAAACGCCGCCGCAGAAGAAATCGCGTGGCGTGCGATGTATGCCACGCTCGACGCGTCAAGTGTGATCTAGTTTTCCCCTGCAGACGCTGCTTGGATTCGCATGTCAGGTGTGAGTTCACCAGAGAACTCAGAAAACGCGGGCGAATTCCACGAGCCGTTTCCAAGGCCGCTGCAAGCACGTCCAACAATGTCGCACATGCTGAAACTCGGAAAGAAAAGTCTTCGGAACATGCAGAATCATTATCTCGAAAAATCTCAGTGGCGTCAGATTCGCGCAGGTCGCCTGCGTTGAACGGAGAATTGCCCCCATCTGCTTCACCCGAAGAACAGCCTCCAGTCGTGCATCCAGAGACTTCGCCTCAAGGAGGTGAAGCTAGCGGAGGCAGTGTCGGTGACGTCTGGCCTTCAACTCAGAATGTATCCTACGTGCCTTATTCATCAGGGTGGTTAGCAGGAATAGGCTCTCCCAGTGGGCCATTTCCTGACCCGGTGGATATGCTGGGAACAACTGAAATTGGTGGTTACCCGTTACTCAGAGGAGTTTCTTCATTCAACATGGGCCAAAGTGTCCGACAAGGCTCCATCCAGTCGTCTTTGAAGTACCCAGTGTTGCAACCTCTAATGCCTTTTGTGGAACATCATCTACCTGCCAATCTCATCTGTGATCTGCTGGAACTCTATTTTACAAGCGCCTTTTCTACCTGCATGCATCCTGTCTGCCACCATATTCATTGCTATGTCCTCAGGAAGGCATCCTTCCTTACGAGGGATTATCCGCGCCCGAGCAGTCCTGCCCTTCTGGCAAGTATGCTTTGGGTAGCTGCTCTAGATGACCGTGCTTTTGGCTTATCGATTTCGCCATCGAGGCGGAGAAAAATCTGCCAGTTCCTCTGCGCTCTTACCATTCGACTTCTGAGGCCATTGATACATGTCGCTTTCAAAGGGGAGGGCATTCCGACCTTTGGTAATGATCATTCATCTCCCTCTGCGATCTTCGAAGCTCCTACGACGAGGGCTCAGTCCTTCGAGGGCGCGGGCGGTGACGATCGAGGGCTGGTCGGTCCGGCAGGGTCTCTAGACGATGTTATCACGTATATGCATGTGGCTTCAATCATATCAGCTAGTGAGCAGAAAGCTGCAAGTATGAGATGGTGGCACGCCGCCTTCACATTAGCAAGAGAACTCAAGCTGAATCAGGAGCTGGACGCTGATTTCAAGGCCAGTTCTATGGAAAGCATGAATGACCCATTCTACTTTGGAGAGAATGGCGGCATGGACGCTGCGCAGAATCTCGACTACTTTCAATTCACTGGCCAAGGTCGACCAAGCTTGAATTGCGTGTGCACGAGAACGCGTGGTCCCCTCAACCCCATAACCGAGGAATATCGAGAAGAAAGGCGTCGAACATGGTGGCTATTATACATTATGGACCGACACCTGGCCTTATGCTACAACCGACCTTTGGCACTATTGGATAGTGAGTGTGAAGATTCTCTGTTACCTCTGGACGAGGGTTCCTGGCAGGCAGGGATTATACACAGCAACAGTCCGAAAGCTGACGGCCCACAATGCTCGATCATGGGAGACAAGAACAAGCGCAGGGTATTCCCCGATTTCCGCTGCAATGATCCGTCTTTATTCGGCTTCTTCCTGCCTCTTATGACTATAACGGGGGAACTGATCAATCTTAACCAAGCAAAAAACCATCCTATTCTAGGCCTGCGTCTACAGGGGAAGGAGGCATGGGACATCCAAGTGAACGAGATCCTACGGCAACTCGACATCTACAAGACCAGTCTCGCCGCGTTTCCCTCTAAGAACCCAGATGTCGAAGGTGCGCCTGGGTCAAACTTCCAGCCGGACACAGTACCTCAGCAAACAAGCCCAATAGAGGAAGCAGTCCCTAATAGGCAACCAAGCGCGGCACAAGACTTCTTTTCGCAGTCGTGGCATATACAGACAGTTACTGCCTACGCTTCCTACTTAGTACATGTCCTACACATCCTTCTTGTCGGAAAATGGGATCCAGTTACCCTTCTCGAGGACCAGGACTTCTGGACATCCTCGCCGGCGTTTGCCTCTACAATCTCGCATGCTCTTAGTGCTGCCGACTTCGTCGAGCAAATCCTCCGTTTCGACCCTGATGTGAGCTTCATGCCGTATTTCTTTGGTATCCAGCTGCTTCAAGGCAGTTTCCTGCTCCTTCTCATCGTGGATCGTCTCCAAAAGGAGGCTGGGGAAGGTATTCTAAAGGCATGCGAAGTTGTTATCCGTGCGACTGAATCTTGCGTGGTGACATTGAACACGGAGTATCAGAGGAATTTCAGGCAGGTTATGCGGAGTGCAGTTGCTCAAGCCCGGGGGCGTCCCGTCAACCACAGCGACATCTTGCATCGCAGGAAGGCCGTGCTGGCACTATATCGGTGGACAAGGAATGGTACTGGACTGGCACTATGAAATATTAGCCGATCTTCTCTTCTCGCAGTAACCACATAACGAGTTAGGAAACAACGTTATACATATACTCTGCATTTGTACATAAGTAATGATAATGGACAAGCGTTTCTTTACTACTTAAAAGCGATAATTTGGATAGGACATATTGGCAGGTTAAATAGGCGTGAGTGACCACAACAACTGAAAGACAGACGGACACAACCCGTTTCAAGGCTAGAAGTTACTAGTAGGTGATGAAAACCAACTATTGCTCCCCACAATAGAGAACACCGGCATTTTACAGATCTAAGACCTGCAATTGCCCACATCTCAACACGAGAAACGAACATAACCCAATCAGTCGAAAATAGCCTGTAAGAACAGCGCGAAAAGTATTTACCACGAATCAGAGCAAATTTCTACATTCAGGAAAACAAAATCCAACTCGGAGAAAAAGGTTCGGAAGGCAAAGTCGCCATTGTTCGGTTATATACTTAAGTTGCTTGGTGTCATTTGCCCCTGGAGTATCTGGTATCTCGGTTAATTAGAACAGAGACGGGGTGAGTAAGATTTTATCCCATATTTTGATACTGTATTTAAACGAGGATACCGTCGCTGGTCTGGGGCATGGGATGAGATTAGCAGATTCATTTTGGTATGTACGTACAGAGGCCATGTCGATTAGATACTCTGTCGCGTGTACATGATATGATGGCGCAATGCGAAACCCACAAAATTCTGCGGTGCGAAAAGCCGAGAGGGCTTGAGGAGATCTGGCATACTTTTAAGGAAAAAAGGAAGATTGATCTCTAGGAAATGTCTATGGATAGTCTACTTTCCTATACGGTTTCTACCGTACGGAACCCCCTATCGCCTCTCAGCCTGGAGTTGCACCAATCTTCAGTCCCGTTTAGATGAATCTACGTTCAATTTCCCTGGAGGGAGTGACGGAAGTAAAACAGATCATACCATATCGTCTTTAAGTATTCAGTCATCTAAATTTGACGAAACAGACGATCTGTATGTTGCCTCTACTGACACTTACTCAAGTATTACTTGGACCTACAGGTAGATCCATTTCATGATTAAGATTCAGTTCCAGAATGGCTGTCTCACATAGGAATTCCTCATTGACCAATTGGTCGAGTTACCATCACTGCTTTTTTGTTTCTGTATTGTTCCTGGAGGACCACCAGTAGGACAAGACCCGTGCATGACGTGGCCCGTAGAGATCAAGGTGGTATTTCGCAAAGGACGTCAAATATCCCTAATTTGGATTTGGATTATTCCAATTCTGCCGAAACGGCACCAATAAAGTTGAATAAATTCAAGAGCAATGGGCATATCGGTTCTCAACGGATAAGATTCCTGGCTGAGTGGACGCAAGGGACACGACTGGGTCTGTTGGCTGCTAGATGCACCTTCCCCAGCGCTGATAGAACTCAAACCAAACCGCCCCATCTCGATCAGATTCCCATGAGAAACCATTGTCGACTTTTTTGAATACAAAGTCCAGGATATAGCGCTTCCGGTACGGCGGTTTTTTTTGGTTTGTCCTTTGCGTCCAGCCGCATCAGACACGGAAAGGGAGGATCCGTGACCCTGAGCACATGCAGGAGATTTTCAAAGATGTCGTCGTCATTCCAGATATCCGGTACCTCCTCAAGCGCCTTGTCTGCCCCTCCTGCCCGCGTCATACATGAGCGAATAACGTCGATCTGGTTCTCATATCTGCCTTCCTTGTTCTTCCATTGCACTGATTGAAGAAGTCCCGCGTTCCCCCGTCCGATACCAAGCAGAAAGATCGGAATATCATCTGTTTTCACGAAGGCAAAAGAGTTGAGTCCATAGAATACCTGTCGCCCCTCGTCGTAGAGCTGACGATTGACGGCTAAGAGAGAAAGCGAGTTCCAGCATGGGTTATACTGAAGCCATATATGCTTCCCGTCACGTCTAGTTGGACGGACGATCTCCGCGGGTTTCCGTTGTTCTAACATGATGTCCCCGAAAAATAGAACGTATTTGTATATGATGTAGCGGATATCTGATTTGAATGTATAATGGCATGTTAGCAAAGAAGTCCAGCTTCAGTAAAAAAAACGCAGTGTTATTGAACGGTTATATCCTCTCCGAGTTTATTCACTCCACTTACCATAAGGCAAGCGAAGGAAGTCAAACACTCCTGTCCACTTAGGAATGGCAACATCCTTCTTTTTGAACGGCAGTGGCCAAGGGTGCTCTTCATCTTCGTCGTCATGGTATCTTCGACGCGTCCTACCCCCGTACCTTCCATAATGATCCAGCTTCAAGACGTGTTCGATGAACCGGCGTCGAGAGTTGATCACCTTTGAGCAGCCTGGGCATCGATACTGGCACCAGTACTTGAACCCAGGGTGGAGCATTTCCTGGATCTGCAGGACATCGTGGACCCCGTCAGCAGGGATACGGCATGTAGCCGTATACTGACTTAGGTGCTCCCGGAGGCTAGTTTTGTCATAGGTACTATCATACGGGCAGAATGGACACTTTGCTGCTTTCTCAGACATCTTTGATATGACGCTAATGTTCTGCGAATAAGGAGAGAACTGGAGGAGTTATGAGCTTTACCGTTCGGTGACCAACAGGTAAAGTATGTTGAGAGAGATTTTCTGATGATGGAAAGATCAATATTCAGCTACCAGGATAGATTTTAACAGCTAATGTGTGTGTTCCTTTTAGTTATTTATTACTGTCTGCCGGGAAGTACCGCTTGTTGAAGAATAAAGAACGGTATATTCACTGTATCCTAGCAGGCATCCCAAGTCGAGGGCTGAACGGCATTGACAGCCTTCACACACAAAGAATAAGAGCAGATGACCTGCTATGACATCCCCTTGCAGCAGGCAGAACCTACGTCGGAGCCTGCCTACATGCAGGCCTCCTGTCGGCTTTCTCCCACGCCTTCTAACTCCACCCACGTAGGTAAATAGGCTGAGCTAGTTGCTAGAGAATTCAAGCTCAACGAGCTTCGCTCCCAGAACATATCAGGATCTAAGACCACTGAAACAAAAATGGTAGAAAAGTACTTGATACGGTTTATGCCAACGGAGTTCATCGTGATTAATTGCTGCCTGAAGCAGTGCATCCGCTACTATTCCTACTTCCGGCATGTCTGCTCTGATCCTGTATTGGTGGAAGTGTTCTATACCTTTTTATCACCTAGACAGACAGAAGCACCGTAATCATCTATAAACGAGAATATAGAGAAACCACTCATGCTCTTAATTCGGTGACTCCGAGAATCCACGTACCCTAATGATGCTATCTGAGACGGTAACCCAAAGAACTTTAACAGTCGTGTCTTCGTAATAGCTGGGATGATCTTCTCGAAACCATCATCGTGTCAAAGGATGCTCAGCATAGTGACACGAAGTTTGTAGGATCTGTTAGTAACTGTTATGTACAGTATGTATGTACATTTTGCGCATGACATCATAGCCTGAGATACTGTACTTAATGCGTAAGACACAAGTGCAGTACACTGATTTTCTCACTACTGATAAAGCAGGATTTGAAGACAGTGCATTATTTAAATTCGATGGGAATCACATATTATAGTCCCGTGGAATTATAGAAAGGACACATTCCATGTGCATCTTGTCCAGCTTCTTCTTTCCTGAATACAGTAACTACGCTAAATGAACCTAAAAACTTATTCCCCCGGATTGGCGTCCCTATCGGTTAATTTCTCTCAACTTTTAGAGCCAGATTTACCCGACTGGTGATTTACCCCGCAAGATTAACAATTTTCAGGACGTTTAGTCTTTTACCTACGTCTGGTGTATTAGTTCTATGCAATACGAATCTCGAGAAGCAATCCTGCTGCATATGCAGACAGGGATGACGGTGAGATGGACCGCGGGGTGCATACAATGATTGAGATTTCATCTTTGGCTAGGTACCTAATGGTTCTCCTGAAGATTCCTGATGGTATATCTACGATTGATCTTAAAGACATAGATTGTTTGATATCAATAGAGGGTATATATGTGGAATATATTCATCCTTCGCATATTCAATTTATCCTGGATATATTATATACTTTGTGTGCGTATTTACTTGATTTAGTTGGCAGCCAAAACAGCCACAGCCCAAGCGGGAAGTGTAAAGCTAAACGTGCCGTTTCCAGTCAAGGTCTTTGTGACTGGAGAGACTGATGTCCGTTAGTATATGGAAGTTCACTCTAGGAGCAGCGGATGGATTGAGGCTATGCTCACCTGGGTGCTGCTCGTCACTGTTATACGCATTGGGGTCGTCGTTCGCGACGTAGGTCAGAGTGGCAGTCGTTTTGTCGGGAATGGTCACATTAAGAGACTGGGTATCTTGACCATAGTTGGCCAGCTTCACGTAGTAAGTTGAGCCTTTGCTGGAGGCACACCAAAAGACGGGGCCAAAGTCACTGTCGGAAGTAACCTCCTTAATGGTGTCGCCGCGGTTGGTTGAGAATAGTTGCTGGACATAGTAACTAGTGGTGAGGAACACACCGTCTGTTGGATTTTGGTTGAACGCAATCAGGTCAGGCTGTAGATCGGCTCAGTCAGTCCGTTGTATGTTAAGGATCAGATACCTTTCATATGCAGCACTTACAGTCCACTGAGTCGAGTTGACTAGGTTGAGCGTTGGAGCGTACGCTGCCATCTTGACAACGTCACTGTTCCTCTCCATGCCCAGCATCCAGATGGCCTCGCTGACGGAGCCTTGCATGTTGGGCCAGTCGATTTCCCAGCGGGAGTATTCCCCCACAAAGTAAGGAAAGCTACGGTCCACATTGTCGAAAAAGTCGAATTCGTCGTAGAAGTTCTCAGGCGTGTTGTAGTTGTGATAGTCCGTCCAGACACCTTCGGGTAGCGGGTCGGGCAGACAGGTCGAGTTTGAAGTGCTTGCTATAATCCTCAATTGCGGGTACTGGTCCTTGATTGCGTCGTGGAATCTTTGGAATCGCTCCGGGTAGCTGGCGCAGCCACCGCCGAGGTTATCCTCGTTTCCGATTTCCACCATCGTCAAAGGCCATGGCTCTGTCCGGCCGATGTTGGCGACTCTCCATGCACCGTATTGGGAACTCGAATCTCCAAGGATGTACTGCCATCTGGTGAGCAGGGGATTCACTCTGTCTCTGGAGACGACAGCATACTTCTAGTTCGTTCAGAACATCATCAATATAGGGTTGCAGGGCGTCTCCCGTGAGTGGAGTGCCACCACCACCACCTAGCGAGAATCCTGCCCAGACACCGAGGACAGGTTCCAGATCCATGTCCTCGCACCAGTAGAAGTACTCGTCAAGCCCCAGAGCATCCGTGTTAGGATAAGTCCAGTCTCCTGGAGGGATTGTCAGCCCCAACTTCACACTGAGCAGGTGTTCCAAAGCACAGACCTTCACGACCAGGTCTATTTTCAAGAGGACCGACAGTCTCGTTCCATTTCCAGCGGTCAGATGGGCTGACACCCTCCCTACTCGCAGTCAGAGACAAGATATTGGTATCATAGAAGAGAACCATACAAATTATTACCGCCAGGGAACCTCAGGAAAGAGCCCTTAACTGCATTGAGGACATCGACTATTTGCGTCTTCAGACCATTATACCTAGTGCCGGTCAGAATGGGTAACCATATAGATCAGAAGGCACTACAGCGCTTACCGGTTCTTGTAGGTAGTCGGATACAGCATAACCAGATCAAACCACAGTGAGTCTCCTGCAGCTTGTGCCCCGTCAAAAGTCAAGGTGTAAAGCACATCACCGTCAGGCGCACGCGTAGTAGGGAACGAAGTGTTGAACTCCGCAAACTTATCACCGCTGTTGACTTGCAATGTGCTCTTTCCATATTCGATTCCACTAGTCGTACCGACGAGTTTGATGGTGACATCTCCGCTATAGTTACCTTTCATGAAAAAGTAACTGGTATAGGTAGTTCCGTCAACGGGGATTCCCCAGTATCCTTCGTTGCTGAAACCGACTTGTCCCGTAGTATTTGACGGAACATCAACCCTCAGGGACCTGGTGATGGCAGAAGTCAATGGGTTATCAAAATCCACAGCGAGGGAAACATCTCCGACTGCGGCATATGCTGTCAGGTTCGGACTGTCTCCCTGGAACCCATTGTTTTGGAGAAGCTGTCCGTGAATACCACCGTCTCCTGAATGATTGATATCCTAAGTAGTAGCGTCAGATTGTTGTTCATTAGAGAAAAAGAAGGTTATACCTCAAACATAAACCCATACAACAGAGGACTTGAAACATTTCCGCCATCAGGATTCACACTCAGACTAATGCTGCGAGCTCCTTGAGTCAGAACACCCAGGGCACAGAGCCCTAGGAGACCAGCAATTGAACTCATTTCAATACCTGAAGTTGCTCTACTGGAGATGCCCGCGCTGGATCACAAGGCAATTCTCTCTGATGATACTGCATCCTTTTATACATTCCCTCCGCCCCTGTCCCAGGTGGGGTTCCCGTAGAGAAGGCATTTAAAACGCTGTACTGTATTTATCCGACTCATGGCCTGACCGCGATGAAGTCCAAGGAGGAAGATATCGTCGATCATATCCCCAATCAAACTGCCAAGCCACAAGTATCTTGTGAAACACACTGGTCAGATTACTAGTTCCCAGGCCTGTGTACGCATCTCAGTAGAGGAACAGGCACGGCAGCAATCAGCTCCAGGTCTAAGAGTATACACTACCCTGAATATGGCAAATCTCCGGGAGGTACAAAGTCAAATCTTGCCTGGGAAAAGGGTGTTAGTGATTAGATCTTGCAGATCTCAAAGATATTCCTGCTATCAGAAGGCGTGTTTTGGCTGCTAGACTGGAACTTTGATGTTTCCCCGCGTCCATGTGGACAATTTGCCCGCTTTAGTGTCGGTTTCTCCCGCCGATAGGCTATCTCCACATGGATCTCACGGCCATAAGTCAAGAATAAAGTGAGTGAGACATGACCACTCGGTCTTTATTGTAGTGGGCTGATTCAGTTGGAAGAGCAAGACACGCAGGGGATACGTAGTGAGGACACCCTCATGTACGTGCATGTACACAATTTATGTTTACTATTGTTGTGAGTTGTAAGTATGCGTACTTATCGTACAAGTTGACCAGTAACGGTTTAGCGGCGATTTATCAATTTTCTACGTATCTAGCAACTCGAGATCCACGGGTCTATACCTTCTGCAGGAACGCTGATAGTCGTGTTTGAAAGTCGACATGGATACCCTGACTCTATCATCAGCATTACGCAGACACACGCAGGCACCCGTTTTATTCCTGTGATCATTATATACACCAGCTGACTATGAATAATGACCAGCCGAATCAACTAACCAACTCATCACCAGACTTCAAAATGTTCCGTGCTAGACTCCTTTCTTGCCAGTCACTCTATATACTCGAAGCATGTTTTTACCGAGTCTACGAAGAGGCCATCCATGATCGGTTATTCTTCGTTCAGAAGAAGGCCGGGGGTAGACGAAATGTCAGGCCATTATATAGAAAAGCAGACATACTATGTATTTTCCTTTCTTCCGCGACACCTTCGGATAATATGAATCTACAGTATTTAGAAATTTGGTATTCTATCTCCTGAGTTAGGACTGCTATGAAGGCATAGTGCAGGTCTACCCATGTCTTTTCTTTTTCTTCAGGCATGCAATATCATAAACCATCACGAGCTTGAGATAACGCAGGCGTTGCTTCCTGGGGCACCTATAGTGTAGATTGAGGATTCATCTTTACTCCTCAATGTTGACAAATTGGAAGCTAGGCTGGCCTGGAACGGCGTTCTCAGCCGAGAGACCTTCTCTCCTCTCACCAGTGCCCACGACCTCGCCGGTCTTACCACCTTCATCGACAGCAATGATTTCCAGTTCCTTGCAGCCAATGGTCTTCTTAATGGAACCGGCCATCTCCTGCAGGGCAGCGAATTCATCAAACGGCAGCTTGCGCTCAAACACAATTTCAGGGGCTTCCTTGGCCTGGATCAGGCGTCTCTTGAGCGTCTGGACGAAAGGCATAGCCTTCTTCATCTCGCCGAGCTTAGCCACCTTCGGGTTGAGCTCCTTGTCATTAATGGAAAGATGGACTGCGTCGAAAGCCTCGCGCACGAGGTCAATGTACTTCTCCTGCCAGCTCGGGTACTTCTTCGCAGCGTAAATGGTGAGCTTCTTCGGCTTACGCGGGTCGAAAGTCGAGCCCTTGCCCTTGGAGAGCTTCTTGGCAAATCCAGCCTCGGCAGAAGTAATAGCAGATGAAGTGGAGCGCACATACGTCGATGCAGCAGACAGAGAAGGCGAAGGCTCTGGAACATCAGGGAAGACGGCCTTGTGGATAGTTTCGGGCTATATAGAACAGAACGTAAGCGACTTAAAGCGCATTGCATATTCGGGGACAACAAACCTTGTTGAGGATTTCAAGCCAGATGTATTCGGCCCAGTGAGGAGCAATTGGGGCAAGCAGAAGAGCCTGGAGCTCGACATATCGCAGGACAAGATCCCGGTGCATGCCCACCCCAGCAGATGTGGTTGCTTCACGGTACGAATCACGAGCACTGACGAAGTCGTACAGACCGGACTTGAGAGCCAGTTTGAAGTTGGTACTGGACGATGTTAGTGCCATGGAATTCAAGACGGATGTATGTGGATCTTACTCTTGGTAATGTTTCCTTGTTTCCCGAACGAGGCTGTTCAGTTCATTATCGAACAGCTTATCCCAGAAGGCGTCAGCAGGTCCTGTTCGGAGGCTGCTGTTCTTCAGTGTCTCCTCAATCCACTCCTTAAGTGTGAACAATCTCAGGATGTTACTGTTGGCAACAGTCTCTTCGAAGTTGGCGTCCTCGATACCGTCACCCGCATCCGCGAATGCAATACGGGTGGCATCGGCACCATATTTGTCGACTGCATCCCGCAGGGTCAAGAAGTTACCGGTACTCTTACTCATCTTCTCACCGTTGAGGAGCAAGTGGCCGTTAGCCCGGACACCACGGGGCCAGAACTCCGGTGGGAACAAGGCAACGTGGATGTACAGGAAGAATGTCAAGTGATTCTGGATCAGATCCTTGCCAGAGACTCTGACGTCCAGCGGGTACCAGTACTCGAATTCTCTCCGCATGGCCTGCAGGGCCTCCTTGTTGATACCACTCTTCTGGACAAGCTCGTCGCTGAGTTCGCGGCGAGTGAAAACGTAGTCCCAGATCTCGTCAATCATTTGCTCCGGCTTGATGTTCAGGGAACCTGGCTCCTTGCCATATCTGTCATTGTGCAGAAGGTGAGCGATAGTGTAGTAAGCCATGTAAACAGTACTGTCACTCAGACTCTCAACAAGGAACTGAGGATCCCAAGGAAGCTTGGAACCGAGACCGTATGTTCTCGCGCAGGCCCAGCGATTGAGCCAGCTAAGGTTCTTCTCGAAGCCATTCTTAGTTTCGGGAGTGTAGGTGTTGAGGGTGTTAACGACATGGTTCAAGGTGTCCTGCTGCCATTTTTGATCATTCTCTCCGTAGTTCAAGAACCACTGACCCAAGTAGGCAACGACACACTCATCTCCACTTCTAGAGATAACCTTACCCATGGGGTCGGCAAATGGGAAAGCGTCACCGCTGTCGATAAGAGACTTGCGGACCTTGTCCTTGACAGCCTGTACTGGCTGGCCCTTGAATTCACCCACAAGCATGACACCCTTGTAGAAACCTTCAGTATAGGCCAGATCCTTAGCCTGAGCCAGTTGGTTGGCGTCCTTGGGAGAATTGATCTTTAGCTGCTTAACCAGGGTCGGGGCCGTCAGGTTGCCGTAGGTTGGAGTCTCAATGACGGGGATGATCTCGAGCTCAGCCCATTCTTTCTTGATACCGTAGTAGTCGGCCTTCTTCGCAAGATCCGTCACCGTAGCAAAATCATCAGGACTGTCGGATGGAACAGAAGTAACGACACCAGTACCCTTGCTAGCAGACACGGTCTCCATAGGCAGGATACGAATGCCCTGCGTGTGCACGGAGAGAGGGGCATTAACAAGAGTTCCAACGAAAGCGGAACCAGCGGCCTCGACAACAGTGGGCAACTGGTCTTGAGTCTTGGGGAAGTGCTCGCTGTCGAAGAAGATGCCCTGGAAGGCCATGTTCCAGGCTGCTCTCTTGGTGGCGACATAGTACTCCTTCTCCTTGACCTTGAAGATGCCATAGTTGATCTTGGGGCCCACGAAGCAGCAAGTTTGACCATACATAGTCTCTGGTCTCAGAGTAGCCGGGACGAAATATACATTAGCGTCATCTTCGATTTTACCCTTCACCAACTCCGCAGCCGCGGGCGACCACTCCTTAACCTTTAGTTTCACGGCGGTGTATTCCTGGACACCAACACCCTCACCCTCTTGTCGGTCGTGGTCCATGGTAGGCCTTGTTAAGATTGTGTGTTAATAAGCTCCGCAAGAAACACAGGTCCGTCATTATCCGGCATTGAGGGGTGCACTTACTGGCCATCCTTGGGAGAGTAGATCGTGTAACGGTTTCCGTACATGATCTTACCCAACTCATGCAGACGGTTCATCTGCCAGCGCACGAAGGCGTCATAGTAAGGGTTCGCGTCAGTAGTCACGAACTGTCTTCGCCAGTCAATCCTGGCACCGAGGCTGTCCAGGTCACGAATAGCGAGCGGGGGGAAGTGCTCGAGCCAGTATGAAGCGTCGGCAAACTTGTGGATCTCTTCCAGAGGAACACCAACAGCCAGCATGATCTGGAACTGGTACTTCATCTTCACCGTCTTCGCGGCGGCCTTGCTCTTGCTGCCGGAGAACTTCGTCCGGTCAACCTCAACCTCTTGGGTAGGAGCAGCAGGCTGCGCCGGGGCCTCCTCGTCGTCCTTGTATCCCTCGAAATTCTTTCCAAACTTCTTGACCTCATCCACCAGCTTGTCCGCACAAGCCTTGATGGGCATACCGGTACAGTGGAAACCGAGAGGGAAAAGGGCTCTCTTGCCCTCCATGCGGGCGACACCGGTCATGAACTCGACCTTACTCGCAGTGAAACTGTGGCCGGCGTGCAGGGTACCGTTCATGTAGGGATAGGCCATAGTACCAAAAAATTTAGGATACTTCTCCCTCAACTCCGCGGCGGACATGCTCCCCGCAGGAACTTCGGAGAGGGAGGGCGCGTCGACCTCGAAAACTCGGTTCTTCTTCCATTCTTGCTGGTACTTCTTCTCGATGGCGATCAGAGTATCTCGCTTTTCGGTCTGTCGCATACATCTGTCAGTTCTATGAAACGGCGGGGTCGGAACGGAGGGGGAGGGGCATCGGGAGCAACATTTTCGAGCTTGAGGGTTTTACTGGTACTGCTGCTCGGATCGAGCGCAGCTGCGGCGGCGGCAGCCATGGCTCTCAATCAGTATCTCTGCTGTTCTGCAGGATAGAAATTCGAGCCGTGAAGGGTATGGTGGCAGTAATGAGGTATACGGTGGGGTTGCGTTCAAGACGAATTCGACTCATAACCCAAAAAGACATTGGATGGTGAGTCAAAACGGTATGCGTAAAGGCGGTGACACTAGCGTATTTGTCGGCGAACAAAACGGAATGTCAAAGTACCGACAGGCCGCAAATAGGTGATGTGGTACTTCCAATAGCCGTCGCCAATTTCCCCGGTATTGTAACATTCAATACGTAGAGCATCATCGCTTGTGCGCTGTTCAGCCTGGACCAACTTTGATCTAATAATAATGATACGTCTTGTCTCATTTATTCCTCTCTATTTTTCCCTGGCTCAATAATACAGAATCAAATTTCTCAGTGCTTAGTTTATGATTTTCTTTCCAGAAAGAAGAAATGGATCTCGTGAGCCCTAGGATTTGTCCGGGATCTCGAAAGAACCAGGCATCTCGAAGGGAATGAAAGTATAGCGCCTTGATTAATTTCAAAGAGGACAGGTACACTCTTTTTAAGTATTAATTGTTGTGCTTTTCAATGAAATCTTGAATTGTACCTCAGCAGCTAGAAATATACACGGTCACGTGATACTCCGCGGCCTACTCATTTCTCCGATGTATCCCAAAAATCAAAGTCCCAAGCTCGGGACGCAGCAACCGAGCCATTCGGGTCCGCTGAACGATCAAGGGACAATTATCCTTCTTCATCGTCTACGTCTTTTCTTTTTTCGCTGTTTTATAATTCTCCCTTCATCAGTTGTTTCCGTGTTCGCAGGTTGGTGCTGAGACCTGCTTTTGCATCCGCCCATCATGGTGAACCTTTTCAAGCGGATGCGGAAGTTGAGGAGTGTATGTTTCCCCTCTCCTTTCCTTGTAGCTAGGAATTTTTAAATTGTTGTACTTACTGACAAGGTTTACAGAAGGTAAATAGCTATTCAATCCCCTATATTCGTTGTGGTGGACAATCGAACCCTGGCTTCAATTGCGGAACGGAAGCGTTTTGCATGCTTGCTCGATCGATATCCGATCCCCCGTGCTGGAGCTCCATTGCAGCTTTTCGATACATAATAATAGTCCTCTCCTTATCTTCTTCGTCGTACCTAACGTCTCATTCCTTATAGATCCTTCATGTCCGCGTCGGCCCCGGTGCCGCCATCCTCCCCTCCACCAACAACGCATCAAAAGACTTCCCAGCCGTCACCCGCCTCCACCTGACCTATGCCCGCAAGCTGTACGGCGGCCACCTGGGCGCGCGCCATTTCTGGCGCAACTGCCTCCAGCGCCTCAAGTTCTATAACCCCGGCATTCCCATGAGCGTCAAGCAGACCGACGAGCAGAACGGACCCGCAGCCCTGACGATCTACTTCGCAGAGCGAGCGAGCGCCGCAGCGCTGAAACACTCCGCCCACATCAAAGACCAATACGCTCCCGCGCCGCAGCCGAATGAGAAGACAGCCATCATCGACACCAAGGATCTCGACTACAAGCAGATCTGGCAGAAGGTGCAGGAAGCGACGGGCGCGCAGGAAGTGAAGGCCACGCCGGAGGAAGAGGAAGAATTGAAGAAACTCGAGCAGATGCGAATCAAGTCGGAAGAGGACCGGGCGCGTGTTATTGGTATTCGACAAGCGAAGAAGGATCAGGAGCGTATGCTCCAGGAGGCCAGAGGAGAGGTGGAGAGGTTGAGACAGATGTGATTTTTTTTTGATCATGTTGGATTATTCGGATTCGAATTTCCCGCTGTTTCGAGTCCCCTCAATCTTTCCCCTTTTTCGCCATCCTCGCCTCTTTATCTATATCGATATCGTCTTATGGATTCGGCGCCTCCATCTCTCCATCTCGATCCGATTCCCGAATGAACGAATACCATTATGCATCATTTATGCGGGACGTTTGTTGGGGGGTTGTTGAAAGGAAGAATTCTCGCTTGGGGGAGGAACACAAGCCCTCCTACCAAATGTATTGTAGCATATTATAGCGCTGCTCCCCCGTCGCTGTTTGATTTATGGAGGGACTTTACCGTCCTCTTTTTTTATGTTTATTGGGGGAACATTGTATCTTACATAGGGTGTCATGGGTGAAATCGTCTTTTCAATTGTTTCTTTTTCACTGATATGTGTTTCACTAGAGACTCCCACTAGAAGTTTAGAAACAAGACAAAGAAGCTCCCATCCAAGGGTTTCCCGAAATTTGGTGCCCAGATACGCGGCAGCAGTTAGGTAAAAAAAAGAAGCGCCATAGAACGATAGTCTGGGGGTATAACCTATTACAAAGCGATATATACTTCACGTTATGCACACTCGTACCAAGGATATGGAAAATTTTATGAGACAGCAGAAATGTCTGGAGAGAGGTTGCACCCCCAAGAGATAAGAAAATCAGCAGAATAGATATGGAGGGGGAATCCGAACCGGGACCTGGCCTGTTGAGAATATCCTTGCATGGCCAGGATGGGTGGAATGGGAAAAGAGGTCGTACATAAGACACTGAGAACGAAGTGATTCAAAATGATATGCTAGCTGCCACTGCCAGCTGCCACTGCCGAAAGTCAAGGAATCGAGGGCACTCGGCCAGTAGTGTGCCAGAAGCAAGGACTCGAGCAGAAGACCAGCTAACCAGCCGATCAAAATGTGAACGTGGCCCTCTTGCAACATGCCAAATGTGCTATGCTTCGTCCATCGAACCGTCCCATTTTTGTTTACCGAAAAAAAACGAGGCTCGCCTTGGAACCAGTTTCAAGTCTCCAAAACTCCAGATCAGGAATGGTCAGGGGCGTAGTTAGTCTCCCCTAACATGCCCTGTCCAGAAGACACTGTAGCCGTTGCGACTGGAGATGATGTATGCGTCGGAGGACTGGAAACGCCAGATTGTGACTGAGCGCGTGCCGCAGTGGCTGCCTGCAGTCTCTGGTCAAGAGCCTTGAGAGCCAAAGCTCGTCTTCGCTCCGCCTCCTCTCGCTTGCCCATGCCTCTCGTTCCACCTCTGCCATTGTTCAGCAGACTGGGAAGACCAGCCTCGCCTCGTGCGAGCACCTGTTCATTGCTAGAAGCAATAGCCTCATCCGAAAACGGGGTGCAGACCTTCACCGACACGAGAATGTCGAAGATCTTGTCCGCGACCAGAGAAATCGCTGGCTGGACTGCGTCCGGAAAGAATCCTGCAAACGCAAAAGTCTCACTGGCATCACCCTTGATACCAAGACCACTGGTCGAGGTCCCAGAGAGATCTGGCTGGCGCTTGTAGAATCGTAGGTATGTCCAGCTAGTCAACAGTCCGACCCAGGCCAGGACGGCTGCGGTATCCGTTCCAAAAGCGACTCCGCTGATAGTGTTGAGGAGGAGGAAAAGGGACGGGAAGTGCTTGACGCGCACCTTGATGACGCCTCGGAGGATCGTAACCGTATGTTCGGGGACGAGCTGCTTGAAAGCAACCAGGAAGGCTCCTTGAAGCGCTACACCGCCGCAGATGGGGGTCCGACTTAAGCCCAGAGTATCAGCCGGAGAACAGTCTGTGGTACATTCGTCATGGGAGAAAAAGTCGTACCCTCTGAGATGATCCCCGTCGAAAGAATCCCATATAAGATACAGCAGCACCGTCACCGCGTTCGAAACCAGCGCAACGATGACGATGAACTTGCCAAACTCGCGCGAACCCCAGGCCCGCTCGAGGTATTTCCCACCATAGAAGAGAGTTGCTGCATTGAGAATGACGGTAAAGATGTTCTGCTCGACGAAAGTAGCCGTGAGGAGAGTCCAAGGATAGAAGATGAACCGTGCCGGTATAAGTGTCAGGTATGGGACACTAGGCGTCGGGGTGAGGCCGAGCTGGCGCCATCTTGCGATGTTGTACAGGAAGGAAAGGGCGAGGACACTGATTAGCAGGGTGCGCGTGGCAGGCGGGAGGTTGACTCGAAAGGCCATCTTTGCAGAGGTGTATTGCTACCCTCGCGGCTGGGAAGCGTTCTGCCGCGAGTTGTCACAGAGAGGAGGCTCAGCTTGTGCGGGAAAAGGTGGTGGATCGGATGGTGGTGATGTTTCTCTCCGCCCCAAACGGAAGCCAAACCTCTTGGGGGATGCGGCGAAGCTTGAGGTCTTGTGCTTCTCCCGCTTCAGATCTGTTTGACTGCTAGATAAGTAAGCCCATTCCGGTAAGATAACTAACTAACTTAAGAGAATGAAATGCTAGTTACTGAGAAAATCATTATTCAGATTCGCCTTGCGTAATTGGATGAACAGATGATCGTCAGTTAGTGTTGCCTAAGCACCTTCGGATGGTAAGTAGATCGGACGTTTTTATGCCAGCAACTCGGGAAAATACACATCTATCTATCTGCCCTATAACTAGCAGCAGTAAACTATAGATACAGCTATCAGATATCTTTGTCGAATTCAATACAAATGATCTATTCAAATTCTTAGATTTTGATGCAATTCTATGTCTGTACTACACGGTTCGACACCCTCTCCATCGCCCAATTGGGTTTGACACTAGAAAAAGGAGAAGCACACGAGCAGTGGGTTCAGACTCACTGCTTCGAATATAAAACAGTCGAGATATCGTGAATGGAAATAACACCGCCAATTTCTACAGTTCGCTCCTCTCAGTGAATGGATTGGGATACCTTCCAAGACATCATACGTATGCATCATGGCATTATTACACGAGCCATGTATTTGTACCACGGGAAGCAGCCGGGGGCCAGAAACTTCATAACCCTATCCAGCGGATCATGATCCACAGAAGCCAAAGTCCCGAATCTCGCACTGAGTCAAGTCTTTAATGACAGAGTTGAACGATCTCTCGACCGGTAGACTGACTGTCTAGAACCAGACGATTTACCCCAGTCCTTTTGAGTCGATGAATTTATCCCATCGAGCTTAAATTCTCCGCAGACCCAAGGGAACAGTCGTAGTTAGTGGTTTAGAGACCCAAAGATTCGCCGATGCGTCTCTGAAACAGCGTGGCCGAGTTAGTTAGCGTAGGCACAGTGCATATCTACGATCACCCCAACAGCGTGCTTTGACCGGGAGTTCAACCGCCGGTAGGAACCGTCACACCCGCATAGAAAGTGACCATGATGAGATGTATCTCTGTAGCCGTACTCCTGGAGATTATATATATATATATATATCTGCGACGATAGTGATGATCCCTCAGCTACTGGGATTGTGCGCAGGAAACGCAGAGATAGATCATCTAAGACGGCCTCAGGCATCACTGTATGAAGCGTCGATCGACCCATGGGACGATCTGCTGGGTATAATAATCCTGTATGGTTATTGCAGTATTGCAGTACGCACCGTGTACGGGCGGGCATCAGGATTGACGGCGGAGATGGAGGTCGCATGGTCACATGGTAGGTAAGGTGCGGTATGGTATGGTCACAGTGACAACCGTTGCGGCCAACTCTCCGAACTTTTAGCCCAGGAGATCCGCCACCGCGTTCTCTTCGTGATGCAGAGGAAGCCTTTTTTTTGTTTGTGCTCACAGTGTGCCGTGTTCCAACTGGCATCTATCGAAACAGGAATCAGAGTACTTCATCCATCTCATCTCCCTGCGGACTGGATGCTCGAACAGGCCAAGGCGAGAGAAGAGAACAGACAGCTCCAGGGTTCAAGGTTCTGGATGCGTGGGAGGCTTAACTAGGCAGACAAGCGCCCTGGACGATCATTTGCAAACAACCGACGGGCAAACGCTCCTTAGGTATACGCTACACGCCACAGGACCCGCCAGGTCTGGAGAATTGTTAAGTTATTGTTAGCGACTAACTACTGTTAGAGTGCTAGCCTGCCGGGAACTCTGCGCTCGCTGCTAGCGGGTCTGGCATCTCAAGCTACACCCTGGCGTCGATTTCGTTCCGTCCCGTTGTCCATCTCTTCCCTTCGAGCAGTTTTGTATCTTCGCTCTCCAGCTTCTCCCACCTCTTCGTCAGCCGCCAATAGGAGCTGCCGCGGCTTTCCCGGTCTCCTCGTCTCCCAGCTCGAGGTTCTCTCACTGCCCGTTGCATCTTTCCCGCAGCCTCCCCTGGTCGTCCCGCATTCCCTGGTCCCGCGCGCCATCTAAAAAAGCTCCTGCGAAGGAACAGAACCACTTTTCACTCACGGCGCTTCTCTCTGTGGATCGACGACTGGTCTTCCTTTCTCTCTCACTTTCTCTTCCTCCTGTCTGTCCTCTTTGCCTTCGCGAATCTCTGTGTGTGCGCACTTCTCCGCCCTCTACAGATCGGTGATCAGATCTTGAACCAGCTCCAGCCGGTCTGTCAGCTCTTTTAGCCTGGGGCATGTTGGCGACCTCTCCGTCTTAACCTGCCGTCACACATGTAACCATGGCCTCCCCTGACATTACATCGCACCATGTCAACTATCTGATATGGAGGTGAGTCTTCCCCGGTCTCTTGCGTCTCCGCGATTCGAAAAAGGAAAAGTTGTTTCCTGGATTGTGTTGCGCCATGAAACTGGTCGCAAGACCGGCACAAGTGGGATAATCACTGACTTGGTTCAATCTGTCCGGAACAAAACAGATATCTACAGGAATCAGGTTCGTCTTGAATTCTTTTTTTTTTCCCTACTCTCTCCCCGAAAGCGTCGTGTCCAGGAGTGCGCACTTGCGGAGAGATGCTTGACTGCGAATTTGTAGCCCCTCTAACTGGAGTCCTACTAGGTCATGGCGAAGCGGCGGTGATGCTCCAGCGTGCCTGGAATCCCGATCCGCAGGCGTTGCCCTTTGCGCCGTATATTAAGACGCATGCACTGGTGACGCTGGTCCAGAAGGGCCTGCAGTACCATGAAATCGAACAGTCGCTCGACCAGGCACGTCCCGAAGGCAACTGCGCTGCTGTTGCTGCTGTTTCGTGTGGAGAGCAGGATCCTAACAGAGCTCTACAGGATGGGAACCCGGTCCCTTTAACCCCCTCCAAGTACTTTTTCGGCCCAATCCCGCTCGACGCGGAGAAACTGAAGCCTGGCGTTGACCGCGGCGAGGCGGGTGATGGTCTCGGCACAGACCAAGCGCCTGCTTCGCCTGCAAGTAAGGCCGGCGTGACCAACGGCCATGCGACGGCCGAGGCAGCAGCAGGCCCGGTTACTGGCGGAAAGAAGACTCGCACAGCTACGGTCAATGGCGACGAGAGCGCCATGGACATCGACTCGAACGGAGTCGCCCACGAACGGGCAGCCAGGTCTCAGTCGCCGGCAGAGCTTGTCGTCGATGCCGACGGAGACGTGGGCATGGGCATGGGCATGGGCGTAGGGCCGGTGGGTGCGCCGTCAGAGGCCCAGGATCAGGAACCAGCCCCGGCGCCGACTTTCACCCTGACGACCGGCCAGAGCGTTGGCGTCCAGATCAGCCCCGCCAAGGCCGCCGACCTCAGCCCCGACACCGCCGTGCTGGATGTGGCTGGTGACCCGCACGTGACCCGCTGTCTGTGGCGCCCCCGTGACTCCACGGTCGTTGCGACTGCCGGCGAGGCCTTCTGCAGCCTGTGGAAGCTGTCGGGCCAGCGCGCCTCGACCCAGGAGAAGCTCGTGGAGAGTACGGGCGATAGCAGGTGTGTTTCCGCCATCGCGTGGGATCCGACCGGCCAGAAGCTGGCCGTGGCCACCTACAATGACCTGCGCGGCTCCATTACCATGTATAACGCCGACGGAGAGATAGTGGACATGCTCCCCGACGTGCCCCGAATGATCACCGGTCTGCACTGGGCAGACAATGGAGCGCACATGGTCGTCGTGGCATCCGACAGCCGCGTTTCGGAATTGGCCTTATGGGACGCTTCGGTTCGAGCGGAGGAGTTTCCACCCCCACAGGTCATCGACGGCTCCATCTACGATCTGGTCTGGTCGGGCGATAACCAGGTCTACGCTTGCGGAGATGGCTCAGCTTTTCAATGCGATGTCAACTCGAGCGTCCAACTCGCCAAGACGTTTTCCTCTGGCGGAACCGACACGGCTTGGACGTTTATTCGATGCGCCAAGACCGCAGCGTCACCCGTTGTAGTAACGGCCTCGTCCGCCTCAGCCAGTATCTGGGTTCCCGCGTATGATATTCGACTTGATGCTGCACACGACGGAGATATTACCGCCATAGAGCTGCGACCTCGCCCGTCGTCCCTGGAGATCCAGCAAAACTCCCCCATCATGCTTGCCTCGTCTTCCACGGACGATACTGTCAAACTCTGGAATGTCGATATCGAATCCAAGGAGATCAGTTGCCTTCACCGGCTATACCTGGGTCCATCTATTCCCGCTCTGATCTCCACGTTCTCCCCAGACGGCTACGCGATTGCTGCTGCCAGCAAACACAAACTCTTCATTTGGAACGCCGAGCGGGGTGGTGTCCCAATGGCGACCTGGACCGTCCCAGGTTCTGAGGACACGAAGATGGAAAATCCTGACGAGCCTGTCAACGGACAGAATGGATCTTCAGATGCAATGCCCGACAGATCTCTGTCCTGGGACACAGACGGCAAGAAACTCGCCTTTGGTTTTGGAAAGCAGGTGCGTTTACTTCTTCATGCGCGAACGGCTAGATATTATGGCTAACGTGGATATATAGATGGCGATCGTCAACTTCCAGCGCTGAGTTTCTCCCTAGACACGATACGATATCGATATGCCGTACTTGGATTTGGCGGCCCACAGAGAGCCACGTGTACAGAGAACTTAGCTTTGTTGCACTGTTTGTGCTTCGGTGGCATTAGAGGAGCAGGAGACGCGCCGGCGTCTGGGGGGATTTCTAGTGTCAAAGCCGCGGACTTGCAAGATTTTCAGGCCCTCACGGGTCTCAGCAGAGTCCTCACCGGGGACTATACGCCATCCTGCTTTTTATCGCATACTCAGTGGGTTTCGGTCAGGTCGACTTTTCTTTTTGGGATGATACCACTTTACCGGTTTTCTTTTGCGCTTGCACTTGGAGTAACACCTGGGCGGCGCCCCAGGATACGCGCTGGGTGCAAGGGAACGGGGAGCAGGATGGTATGGTGAATGGGGTATACTCTTTTTTCTTTGGCCATTTCTGAGTAGGCGTGACGTGAAACACTTGCCTTCTGGTTTTATTTTTTCCGCCTTTCCGCGGCTGGTCACCGGTTTTCAAAAATCCAAGGCGTCAGATTTCGTTTGATTCGAACCTCTTCTTAGGGAGGGCCGCTAGTTGATTGATGGTCAGGCTCTGCTTCATTTTGTCTATGGGATCAATCTGCCTGGCTCTCGCGGCCCGGTTGACTAGTGGTGGAACTATCATCTGTTGTGGATGAGTCGTTTTGTCTTTGCCGGCGTTGGTCTCTCCTCGCCTGACGTCTCCGGGCCCGGACATGAAATCCTTCCTCGATGTCTTTCCAACCTCGCATCCACGCAGTGATTCCGTCGATGAGCGTGTCGGTATCGTTTTCGTTGTCGCCAATATTATGGGCATGCTTTTTTCGCTTCCACGGACTCTTCTTGGAGCTCTTATTGCCGGCATCCTGAGCTTCCTTCGCTGCACGTTCTCTTTGCCATCGCCCGACCCAACTCTCCAGTCCACGAACTGTGCCTCTGAGGCCTTCTAGCTCGATCGTATCTTCGAGGATGTCTGAATGTCTTTGGGGTGTTAGCGGCGGGATGGAGAAGGGAAGGAAGGTGTCTGCTTACAGATTCTGGATCTCATCCTCGAGGTGGAGTATTCTTTGGGCTAGACCCTCGCATTTCTGGATGAAGAGACCGTGCAGATGGCGGGACTCCGCTCGACGCTGCTGTAGCTGGGCATTGACGGCCGTCAACTCCTTCAGCAAGGCTTCAAGCTGGCGGTGGCTGCTGTCGACAGCGGGGTCCACACCAGGGCGTGCAGCTGAGTTGTTGCTCGCTCGTGAGCCAACCGCTGGAGTGGACGGACTGGAGTGTGAGCTTCGCGGTCGATGCCGAGCAATCTCCCGCGTCAGCTCATGGCGTGGATCGAGGAGGGATTCGAGAGTGTCGAGGCAGTTTCCGATGGTGCCGGAATCATGTTCGGAGATGTCGTTGCGCTTTGCTGCCAACAGAGCTAGTCTGTTGAGACGGTCGCCAAGTGTCTTTTCCCGGCTGTCTTGACCGGATAGTTGATGGCGGTTCTCGGATGGATCAAGGTCGATAGCAGAATCCGCAAAGGATGGCGTAAGACGATGCCGGCGGTGGTCGAGTGAGGATCCCATCGCAGCTAGCCCTCTGGACCTGTATGCAGTATTGTAAGAAACGCAGCAGCGGATGTGGCCGCAGCAGCACAGCCTGTCTTGGTCTTCTATGTAGTTATGTGTGCTCTACTACAGAATCAAATAATTTTCCCTCCCTTAGCTCGATCTGTTCGTCTGTTCGTCGTCCCAAGAAGCCGGTGCAGAGCTAGCGATCACGCGGTGTGGATGATCGGCTCTGTTGGACGAACCAGCCGAGGTAGTGATAGCTAGCAGAAGGCGGAAGTAATAATAATAATAATCACCTTCTCACCGCATCGTTGCTGCACAGTGCAGAGTGACTTGGGAATGGTTCGTTGAGTTAGTTACTTGTTCTTCTGCCGATTCACTAAGTAGTAATTATTATTACCACGCTAGACTGTTTATGGATCTGTTCAAGGAGTCACGCCGTGATGAGGATGACAAGAGAATAATAACAATAATCATAATCATCTGGAGTAACGTAACAAGGATCAAGGCAATTGACATCTAACAACCTTTTATTTATTCTCCTCTGCAGTATCTATCCTCTCTCTCTCTCTCTCTCTCTCTCTCTTTTCCAGCTGTCCTGATAGAGGCTGTCACCATTAAGAGTACTTCTCCAACGCTCCGGGAACCCCGCCGCCGAAAATAATTGATTCCCGCCCGCCTTTTCCTCCGAGCCCATCTTACCCCATCCTTTCAACTCGATTTGAGGAGGGAAACGCCTTGCAGCGATCCTGTCGCTGATACAGCCCGCGCACAGCAGCCATGACACCGCCGGTACGTACAGGTCTTTGCAATCTCAATTTCGCTTCGTCTCTCTCCCCGTTGCGTCTTCCAAACCCCGCAGCGGGCGCGCTCTTTGGCTGACTGTGTGCCCTGTGACTAATTTGTGTCGGTGATTTCGAGACAGGCCACAGTACAACCCTCGTTGGAGATTGCGCGCGATGTTGTTGCGCGGTCGAGAGGCGCCAAGTTCCCTCCCAATCTCCTTCCTCTCTCTGCGTCCATTCCGGCGGACCTGTTGACTCCGACGTTGGCGTATTTGAAGATTGCTGCGAAGTGAGTAGTGGTAAACTGGCGTTCTATGGGCAGATCTCGCTGCTTGGGCCCCTTTCGCGAATAGTATGCTGATTGGAGGATGCGTGGCGGGTTACAGGTCGAAATTGTCCTTCCTCTACGAGAGCGCGGCGACGACGGAGACGATTGGGAGATACAGTTTCGTGGGAGCAGGTTGGTGCCGCACTGTCCAGGATTCTTTGTTGACTATTCCCGGACACAAGCTGATATACGATTGTCGGGAAAAGACCCCAGGAAAGTGTTAAAGACCGGTCCCGGTCATGGCCCTGAGTGCGATCCGCTGCCACTCCTCGAGGAGGAGCTGGATCAGTTCCGCGTTGCAACGGTACCAGGACTTATCCTGCCTCCCTTGAACGGAGGAGCGATTGGCTACGTGGGATATGACTGCGTCAGATATTTCGAACCCAAGACGGCCCGGCCGCTCAAGGATGTCCTCGGTGTCCCGGAGTCGTTTTTCATGCTATTTGACACTATCATCGCGTTCGACCACTTCTTCCAGGTTGTCAAGGTCATCACCTACGTCCCCATCCCCGCGGATGATTCAGAACTGGAAGCTTCGTATCGCAAGGGCCAGGAAGTCATACAAAAGACTATTGATGTGCTGCTGCGACCAGACACCCCGCTGCCTCCGCAGCCGCCGATCAAACCCAACCAGGAGTATACGTCGAACATCGGAAGGGAAGGCTACGAGAAACATGTGACGAGTCTGAAGGAACACATCGTCGTGGGCGATATCTTCCAGGCAGTGCCATCGCAGCGTCTCGCACGCCCGACGACCTTGCATCCATTTAACCTATTCCGCCACCTGCGCACGGTCAATCCGTCGCCCTACTTGTTCTACATCGACTGCGAAGACTTCCAGCTGGTGGGAGCCAGTCCCGAGCTTCTGGCGAAGGAGGAGAATGGACGGATCATCTCCCACCCGATTGCGGGCACGGTGAAGCGTGGTAAGACTCCGGAGGAGGATGCTGCGCTGGCGGAGGAGCTGCGCGGCAGTCTCAAGGACCGCGCCGAGCACGTTATGCTCGTCGACCTGGCGCGCAACGACGTCAACCGGGTGTGCGACCCCATGACTACGCAGGTGGACCGATTGATGGTGGTCGAGAAGTTCTCTCACGTCCAGCATCTGGTCTCTCAAGTATCCGGTGTGCTCCGTCCCGGCCAGACTCGCTTCGACGCCTTCCGCTCCATCTTTCCTGCAGGCACCGTGTCGGGTGCGCCGAAAGTGCGCGCCATGCAGCTCATCGCCGAGCTGGAGGGCGAGAAACGAGGCGTGTATGCTGGCGCCGTCGGTTACTTCGGTTTCAACCGTGCCAGCGTGGACGGGTCGACGGAACTGCCGGGCGCGATGGACACGTGCATTGCGCTGCGGACGATGCTGCTCAAGGACGGGGTCGCATACCTGCAAGCGGGCGGTGGTATCGTGTTCGACTCGGACCCGTATGACGAGTATGTCGAAACGCTGAACAAGCTGGGGGCCAACATCGCGTGTATCAAGGGTGCGGAGGAGAAGTATCTCCTGCTAGAGCGGGAGGCCGCGGCATCCGAGCAGAGATGAAAAAAAAAAAAAAAAAAAACGAATTCAGCATATAAATTAGAATGTTACGATGACCGGAAGAAATGGTGCATTAATTTATTTTCGAGGACGGAGGCGTCTGATTTTGCGAGGCTTCTTATCTAAAAGCTGTGCTTTTCTTTTTTCCCTTCTGCATTCCGGTGTGGATTCTGGTCCTGCATCGTGACCATATCATATCTCATTTACTCTAGTTACCTCATTACCTCATGAGACTTTTCCATAGGACATATGCATGACTTTAGTATATACTATGAGTATGAGTCGAGCCAATGATTGTATGGTAAAGTAAGGTCTTGATCTAGAGTCTGATAGGGAATAGGCCCGGCATCGTGCATATAGTATGTACTGTGAGGTCATAAATAATAGAATGAATGAACCGTCAAGTTACGACAAATTGAGAGTGTTAACTCATATGAGAAACTAGTTAACTATTATTATTGGAAGAATAATACTATTGAATAAAAGTTAACCGGGGGACAAAATAATAAATTTATTTTACAGCATAGCACGCAACACTGACTCTCTCTCTCTCTCTCTCTCTACTGTGATCTTCTACTCCATAAGTAGAGTTACTTAAGAGAAGATCGACCAGATGGTTGTTCAACAGCTCAGGAGTTGTCCAGAGTTTCTAGAAGCGCCAAGCTAAGTAGTAACTAACTAACTAACTAAAGAATGTAAAACTGTGACGCCGTCCAAGGAAAAGTGATAATCAAGACAAGAAAACGACGATGACGTTGTTTGGTAGCGAACTTCGAGTAATTAATGTGTTTTGCTTTGATTGTCCTATCCAACTGGTTATGGTAATTGGAAAAAAATAATAATACACTCTCCTCTAGCGTCTGGGCTATCTAGGCATCTCTTTTTACACAAGACGGACGAAAGCGAGGTGTGGCTGAGTGAAGAATTATGGTTTCCTATTAGTTAAGTTAACTAATTAACTAAAGTAAGTAGTTAATGATAGGATAAATTAGTAACTTAGAGTATTCTGTAAAAGCATCAGTTGAGTTGTTCTGTTCTTGTTCTCTTGTTCCCTTCAGGCCCCAGGGTGACGAACGAACATCCTTCTTCTACCGGCACTCCGGATGAGTTGAGTTGGCAGGATTTGAGAAAAAGGAGAGGATTCTAGAACGGGCTGCAGGAACAGGAAAAAATAACAAGAATAAGTGAATTATCTTCGGAGAGAAATCAGAATAAGAATCAGAATAAATCTCCTTGCCATCGTCATTGTCGCCATCCGTGCCTAAATAACTAATTGAATAACCAATAATCCGTAAGCAAAGCCACTCGAGTTCGTCACCTCCCAAAACGACCTTCCATCGCCCAACCTCCGCATTCCTCCCTCATCAGCTCAACTAACTAACTAACTAACTAGCCACCCCTTGTCCCTTTCCCTCTCTCTCTCTCTCTCTCTCTCTCTCCCACCAAACTTCCAGTCTTTGCTGGATCCCCTTACCACTGCGATCGCCGGAAGATCGGGACTATCTCGTGTCTGACCGTATTGACTGCTGGTCGCGTTTTTCTCGCCTCCCGGTCGCCTCATCTCCCCCCGTTTCCTTCCCAAGCGCCCGTCGGGAGGGGTGCATGCGTGCAACGCCGCAAGCCGGTCTGACGCCCTCTCTCAACCTATAATCAGGAGAAGACAGAATTCCTGGAATCGCAAAGGGGAAGCCATAATTATTCACCGCGGCGTCGTTCAAAAAAACAAAAATTAGATCGAAAAGAAAACAAGAGCTGGTTCTCAAACAATAACTATCGGTTCGCATTCAGGGAGTTGGTTTGGAACAGCCGGTTTTCCACTAGGACCACTACACAGCAACAATCATGTCGAAAGTCGTGCGAAGCGTCAAGAACGTTACCAAGGGGTATTCGTCGGTACAGATCAAGGTTCGAAATGGTGAGTTCGTCTCTTCGATAACTGAACCTATCGTTCTCTCCTGCAACCGGCCTGCATGGCCACTTGCGACATGCGAGCTTTATGGTCGCCTGGGGTGTCGACGCTCCTGAACAAAAGGGGCCTTCCTGCAACGAATCCATCGACTGACATTCGACGTGAATAGCGACAAGTAATGACCCCTGGGGCCCGACGGGCACTGAGATGGCCGAGATCGCGGCCCTGACCTTCAACAAGTAGGTCGCCTTCCAGACCGCTTTCTGTGATGGGGGATTCGCATCGTGCTGACCTACTGTTCCTTTTCAGTCCCACTGATTTCTACGAGATTATGGATATGTTGGACAAGCGACTCAACGACAAGGGCAAGAACTGGCGCCATGTGTTGAAGTCGTTGAAGGTTCTCGACTACTGTCTCCACGAAGGCTCCGAGCTCGTCGTCACCTGGGCCCGGAAGAACGTCTACATCATCAAGACTCTGCGCGAGTTTCAATACATCGATGACGACGGCAGAGATGTCGGTCAGAACGGTGAGTTGGCTGGATGGACGGGATCAGGGCTTCGACGTGGCTAATGGATTGATAGTCCGTGTTTCTGCCAAGGAGCTTACAGCGCTTATCATGGACGAGGAAAGACTACGGAGCGAGCGATCGGACCGGAAACTCTGGAAGTCGCGCGTGAGCGGCCTGGATGATTATCATGGCTTCGGAAACGAGCCCATTCGCCGGCCAGAGCGACGCGAGCGCAGACCCCGCAATGATGACGATGATGAAGAGTACCGCAAGGCGATCGAGGCCAGCAAGGCGGAAGCAGAGGAGGAGCGCAGGCGCCGCGAGAAGGCGAAGATGGCCGCCGAGGAGGATGACGACTTAGCCAAGGCGATCAAGCTGAGCAAGGAAGAGGAGGAACTGCGGAGACGCGAGCTCGAGGAAAGCAATGCTCAATCGCTGTTCGACGACACTCCCGCCCAGGCGCAACCCACCGGTTACAACCAGGGTTACCAGCAGCAGCCTGCCGTCGACTGGTTTGGCAACCCCGTGGACACTCAACAGCCCATGACGACGGGTTATCTGAACAACCAGTATGCGCAACCGACTGGATTCCAGACCCAGCCCACCGGCTACCAGAACGGATACACCAACGGCTTGCAGATGCAGCCCACCGGCTACAACCAGATGCAGTACAGCCAAGCTCAGAGCTCTTTCCTGCAGCCTCAACCCACGCTGCAGCCGCAACAGACTGCCTTCTCCAACAACCCGTACGGCACCGATGTCTGGGGGCAGCAGCAACAACAGCAACAGCCACAGCAGCAGCAGAACGACTATCTGCAGCCCGGCAGCCATAACCCGTGGGCCGGCCAGCAGCCGTCCGCTGAGGCCCTCAAGCCGATGCCCACTGGGTCTAACAACCCGTTCGCTTCGTCGTTCACGCGCCAGCAGCTCCAGACCCAAAGTCAGCCGCAGCGGCCGCAACCTCCCAGTCTCAACACTCTGGCTGAGGAGCGAACGACGACACAGTTCAACAATACGGCCAACAACCCGATTCTCAACTACCGGGCACCCTCGCCGCCCAGAAGCACCCCGCCCCAGGTCAACCAGGACCCGCATGTTGCTCGTCTCAATGCACTGTTGGCCACTGGTGAAGGACAGGATACCTTTGGTAATGTGGGTGATCTGCGTATTCCGGCCCAGCACACGGCTCCGGGTACCTTCGTCAACTCGGCCGGTCAAGGTCTGGACCGTCTCCGCGCACAGCAGACGGGCAACAACCCGTTCCTGACGCAGTCATTTACCGGAGTTCCGCGCCAGACCGGATATATGCAGCAGAACGTCAACCCATATGGGGGCCAACAGGGTTTCCAACAGCAGCCTCAGCAGGGTGGCAGCTTGATTGACCTGTAGGGGGGGGTTGTATGGTGGTGGTACAAGAGTGAGATTAGGCCGCTGGGTGGACATATATGGTGGTAGTCGTGATGAGGACATAGCCGGCCCTCTCCTATTTTCCAAACCGTTGGTACTATGCTGGTTGCTTGCTTTGAATTCGGACTGGGAGCGTTGTCTCTTTGATGGGTTTCCTGATACCAAAGGGGGTATTTCTTCTTGCTGCGTTGGGACAAGATGGTAATTCTTACGGTTCCTTTTTCTATTTCTTTTCCTTTGGTTCTAGTTCTTGCATCTGTCTCATTCCAAGCTTCTGTACTGTCCTGTCTGTCATACTGTATGCAAATATGCGTCATCAGAAAAGAAAAAAGTACAGTACAGGGATACAGTATCCGACCAGATACCTTTTTTTCTTTCTATTCCCCTCCTTTCGAGCTTCCATTTCTTGTGACATTGACTTCTCATCCCATACTACATACCACATCCTGTTTTCTTTCCTATGTCGATATACATATACATATTTCTGTCCACAGGCACACTCACACACACACACACACACAACGAGCTTTCCCACCATACTCTCTCATCTCACTCGAACCTACGGGACTATGTCTTGTCATTTTCTCTCCTTCCGTTATGTCTCTATCTCTGTCTCATTAGGTTAGCTTAGCTTTCTTATTTTTCTATAGTTTTTAGTATTATTATTATTTATTCCATATTGCTAGTTACCTGTTGACTAGTTGTAGAAGTGTATTTGCAAGTATATAACGCACAGTACATAGAGATTTACGTACTAGCCTTATGGATCTATTAGGTTTATTAGGTTTAGTTCTGCTCAGTAGATCCGTTTATCTTAACTTGTTTAGTTAGTTGGTTGTTTTTCGTTGACTTTGCTAAATTTCCTTGCTAACTAGTTTACCCCTGATTACTACTCGATATCACTGAGTTGATATTGATCAAGTTCGGGTGGCTAAACCTCACATACTAGTATTGCGTTCTCGGGTTCCAGTTTGACTATGCAGTGACACTAACGGCAGAGGTCGAACCTATAACATCGATATCAAATAAGCTTCCACATTAAAAATCCTAATAACAAGCGTCGAGATCTCAATAAATGCAGTCTAGAAGTGGACCACGTGATGCAAGGTTATCGTCTTGTCTACTCCTTTCTGTTGTTCTCACATCTTCATCCATACATGGCGGTGATCACATTCGTTCTGCTCTTCCATTTCGGGAGCTCTATTTAATCAGCCTGCTCCTTTCGCTTCAGATAATGTTACCATCGCTTCTACGCTCTTTACCCCGACTAGGACGGACATGGAAAGCCCGTTACCTTTTCCAATTCGAACTTTACCCGGATACCAGTAAGCCAGAAACTTGAAGAGGAGACCATACCAGATTATATTGCTTCGCGGTATTATCCTGCTCGAATAGGAGAAATCCTCAACGACCGGTATCAGATCGTAGGACAACTGGGGTTTGGAACTAGCTCACCGGACTTGACCCAAAATCCCATACATACTTATCGAAGTCAAGCCCACCTCGCTGAGATGATACTTAAGGTTACTTGGCCCCGCTCCGCCCACTCTCTTCTTGCTCGAGGGAGACTTAAGTCATAAATTAAAATCTTTTCTGAAGAAGGTAACTAACTAAGCTCCAATAATCCCCCGCCCCCCCCAACCTTAGTCACTCAGTAACTCTGACTGATTTTTTTTATTATTGTTGTAGGTAATTTCCGCGCTGAAGATATGGTAAAAGATCGGATTCCGCTTGAGAGCAGAGAGAGAAACTATTCTTGAAGAAAAAGGAGGAGAGAACAAGGCCAGTTTCTTACGTCTGATAACGGAAGATATTGCAGTGGGAATCAGATAAGCGTAGCTCTGCTAGGGAACTTCAAGATGATAAATAGATTCGTAAGAATCTAGAGAGTAGGTAGGTAGGTAGATGTTTGAATGATTCATAAGCTTGCTAAGTAGTTACATGAGAAGTGCAGCAGGTACTTACTTAGTATATAGCCTGAAAATCGTAAATGAACATCATCAATATAATTAGGTAGTTAACACTGACGGAGGGAAAGGGAAGCTTGAGAGTCCCAAGTTGTATTGTATTGTATTGTACATATATAGATGTAATAATAGCAAGTATATAGAACAAGCATCTGTATCGCGAAATGCCTTCAGAACTGGCCCTTCCTATTTAGCAGTCCGGGCATCGAAATTAACCTGATTTGAAACAAGTTACTAGTAGCTACATGCCGCCAAGATGCGCAACGCTAAACCCGTGCGCAAACGCGCGGATTGAGAGACAGGATTATTTAGTTTGGTTGTATAGAAAAGAAAGGCCATTTTAACCTTCTATACTTAAGTAACTCAGGCAAGGAAGGCTGGCCGGGATACTGGAATTGATTTATGTTGTATCGATGTTAGAAATCGACGAGGGCTTCCGTGCTGATCTAAGTACGTTGTGAATGGGATGGCAAAACGGCTTCGAATATCAACTGAATGGAGCTAGGCTCGTCCTAAAGCATTTGCAACGGCAATATTTGAGGAGAAAAGGCCGCGCCAGTACCAAGGCGCAGAGTCCCTTGGATTTGGTATATTGACGTGCAAAACAATCGCATTAAATACATACATGAGAAAAGAAGTCACCCGACTTCGAACCAACAGCAGAGGCACCTCTAAAAGTCAGGGGTCAAAAACGAACACAGGGTATTGCCGTGGGAAGTGATGAATTAATGAACCGACCGAACATCTGCAAACCGGTCAAAAGAAGGCATGCATAAGAGCCAGCCAGAGAAGGTGGTGATTTAAATGGCGTAGGAATAATAATCATGTCAACAGGCGCCGGGAATCCAACATAAGACCGTGTCATTCGTCATTAACGCTGCGTCGGAGGTCGCGTGAGCCCTTGCCTTGCCTGCATATCCCGTTAGTATCTTCCACCCTTTGTCAAGTAACTCGAGTACGAACCTTCATCTGCTCGATCCTGGCCTTCAGTTGGCTGGTTACCTCCGCTGCCCTCTTCCAGTTTTCAGCAGGCTCTGCAGACCGTGCAGGCTGTTCCTCTCCCGAATGACTGCCAGATCCGTATCTAAGAGAGTTGGATGATCGGATTGGGCTTCCCATGTTTGAAAAGCCAGACCCGACTGTGGGACTCAGTTTATTGTTCCTACCCAAACTACCGCTGTCCCTGGAGCTGCGACCCGGAGACTCCATACCATTGTTCTCCTTCTCATCGCTCGGGCTTGGAGACATGTAGTTCCTTGACCGGGCAGCATCAAACCGGGATCCCATGTGGAGACCGGAACGGGAGGGCGCCCCGTTACCGTTGCTGCCCGTTTCGTGATATATCGATGCGTGATCCGTCACACCCATATTGAGGCCATCTGGAACAGTGGGCGGACTAATTGCAGTTGCACGGACAGCCCGTGAGAGCTCACGCTTTAATCGCTCAATCTCCCTCTGCTGCTTCTGTACAGTCTGCTCCGCCGCCTCAGCATCACTGCGCGCCCTCACTAGCTGTGTCTCCTTAGCCTTTATGCTCAAGACATCTCTCGTATGATCCTCGATCAGCTGCGCATTCTGGTTCTGCAGTTCGGTGATCTGGGAGGCGAGGCGTGATCGCTCCGATTTGAGGTCTTCATTCATCCTCAACCAGTGCTCCTTTTCGAGGCGAAGCTCTTCTAGTTCAGCGTGTTCAGCGGCCGCAAGACCTGACATTGCGGGTGCTGCAGGAGCCGGAGCCGGGGCCGGAGCAGGTTCAGCCGCCGCAGATCTTGCAATGGGACGCCCAGCAAGGCCTCGACCGAGTCCGAATTTAGGAGGAGCAGGCGTAGGTGCGTCTTCAGATGTCGGAGATGCAACTCGTCGCTGCGGCGAAGCAGGATTGGCTGCGGGGATCTTTCGCTGCAATTTGAGCCCAGAACCGGGTGTAGCGAGCCCGCTGGTTTTTGGAATACCACCGAGCTTAGACGGAATTCCTCTGCCAGCAGGCTTAGGCCGAGAGGGAGCTGGCGCAGGTTCCTCTGCAGGTGGAGGAGGAGGAGCCGCCGCCGCTGGAGGAGCCGCTGCAGGAGCCGGTTTCTTGAGACCCAAAGCGGGCTTCTTTGTCCCAAGAGGCTTCTTGGCTGCTGGAGGAGCAGCTTTGGGGGGAGCTGCCACGGGCTTCGGTTTCTCCTTAGCCTTGACTTCTGCCGTCTCGTAGAACTCCTTAATCTTCGTTTTCCTGATGTCGTCAAGACCGTCGAGGTACGGATTCATCGCTCGCTCTCCCAAAATCTTCATGAGCGTTCCAAGTACCTCAGCTCCCCCGGCACGATTGACCTCGCTCGACTCGGTGAGGAACTTGGTACCGGCTTCAGCTATCGACTTCACTTCAGGCTTGGAGGGAACTTCCCTGGTCGTCCTGAGGCATCGAATCAAGAACTTCAGCGTCTCCTGCTTGACCTGGGGGTTCTTATGCTTCAGGAACTCAAGGACCTCCTCGAGACACTCGGACAAGTTCGTTGACGCAAAGACCGAGTCGAGTGCTTGCCCCAGAGCATCTGCTACTGACTGCTTTTTCTCCTTCAATCGTTCCAGCATAGGCCCCATGACCGTCGACCTGTATTTACCGAATCCCTGGCGGAGTCCTTTTGCGAGAAGGTCGACACAGTTTGCGGCCACAGTGACCACAGCAACGTTTGCGTCTTTCATGCACTTCGCCAGCCCTCTCACAATTTCGTCGAAGGGCCCCTCCTTGATCCTCGGCACGTTCAAAGCGTTGTGTAGCGCGTCCAGGGCGTCCTTTCTGTCTTTCCACTTCGAAGAAGAGAGCTGCTCTTGCAAATCGCTCGGCACCTTGGGCATCACATCAACTGGTTCTGCAAGGTCGAAAACGTCGACTTCTCCCTCGTCCTCCTCACCATACTCCTCTCCTTCCCCGCCTTCTCCCTCGTCACCGCCTGGAGCAGCACTAGCAGCCGCCATCGCATCTTGTTGTGCTCGTGTAAACCTCTCCTGCTTTGGGGGAGCTTCTTGCTTGACATTTTCAAACATCTTTTCGAGGTCCTGCTGTTGTACGGGCTTCAGTTCTCCCCAAAACAATGGCTTGATCGCCTCCCTGAGCCACCGGTAAAGCTCCACCGTCAGGTTCTGAGATTCCGCTCGGACGTTCTTATCTGCGTGCGCGAAAACCTTGGGCAGCACCTTGAGGACCGGTTTCGGGTCCACGATCTTACACCCGTAGTTATGATAGATGGCAGTCAACGCTGCCAGCGACGCGGCAATGATCTTCGGTTGTTTGTGCGACAGGGCGGGAAGAAGGTCTTCGATCACGGGCTCAGACTTGTCCAGTTCGATGCAGAGCAGTAGAGCTTCTACTGAACTCGTCTTTGCTGCGGCACGCATCGACGGAAGGCCCTTCTCCACGATGGGACCGACGGTGGTCCCCCGAGTTCTAGATAGATAGATTAGCCAATCCTTGTAGTGTAAATACCAGGTGCATCTGGGGAAACACACCTCGTGCACGCTTGGACGCCTCCATATTTCAGAAAGGCGCAATAAGCAGCGAGACCCTCTTGCTGTGCGGCGACGTTGGAGTCGGCAACAGCACCTTTCCATAGCCCAGGATCCTGCAAGAACGGTCTAAACACAGGGTCCGATTCATCGGGTGTCTTTTCGAATTGCTTTGCAGCATCCTCATAGCCCTCTTTCCTGACTTTCCAATTCTGCCAGACAAGGAATCAGCATCAACATCGACATCGCACGTGGTATGGCGGGGTAGAATTGACGGACCTTGTGTGTAAAACGATCGGGCAATGGCAAAGACGAAAAGTCCTCTTCTGCCTCCGCCATATCTGCGACTATTCAATGATGAATTTCAAGGGTGTCTTGCTTTTCTGGTTGAGTGACTTTGCCGTTAGCATCCGCACCGCTTGTTAGATCAAATATCGAATAGGTGCGCAGGCAGAAGGTGCTCTGTGAAATTCAACAGATAATGTCTCATATGATAGAGTAAAGACGCACCTGGTCTATATGTGAGCCCCAAAAGACCAGTCCAACGCGCTCCACTGGCTTTCATGCACAGTGTGCGTAGCGTATATACGTAACTTGTCGCACGGAGCAGCTGTCGTCATTCAATAAATAAACAAGGCGGCGCGCTGTGCCCGATGGCTTTCGTCTTGATGATGGAATCAGCCTGCAACAACCTAGACTCTGACGGTGGCCGTGGTTGTGAAGAACAATGTGCGGAGAAAAGCGACAGCAAGAGATGTCAACAAAGTGTCCGTGGCTGCCATCGCTGTGGTGACTTCGCGACCCAAGGGAATTCCAGGCTTGGCATTTCCGATGCGGCCCGCGGGCCTGTGGACGTTTCCCCGCTGGTTTGGCGAGACACAACAGATTGACAGCACAGCATCATCCAACTCTCCTCCTAGCGTCCAGATGCTGCAGACAAGGCTGCTGCTCTCTGATCTGGCCTGGCTTCAAAACCACCTGCCCCGTGCTGCTGTTCTTTGTCCTGCAGGAACCACACGCTGACCGCTGCCCGATCAAATAACTAACGCTTCTGGCCCCTGATCCAAAACAAAAACCCCGCGAGCCACCAGTGATCTGTTCTGCAGGACATATTCTGCTTCATCTCCGTGGTCGCGAGGCCCAGAGCTAACGTTGAAACTGCCGCTGACGGTTGCGGATGACCGTTTCTGACATCGACTGTCTCGAGTCACTGCGCTCAATTCTGCCGCGATCATGAGCCAACTACTCACATCGCGGCAGGCGGAGGAACTGTAAGTGCTCCGGGGAAGCTGCTGGACCAGCTGACGAGAAGCTAATTGATTCCCGTATAGCCACAAATCCATCATAGCCTACTTGGCTTCTGTGAATCTCCCCAAGAGCTCAGCTGCCCTGAGGGAGGAGCTCGCGGACTCGATTACCCTGGACGATGCCACAACGAAGAAATATGAAGGGCTACTGGAGAAGAAGTGGACGAGTGTCGTTCGCTTACAGAAGAAGGTGGGAATATATACGTGGTGCTACCAGCAGAGTCGAATTTAACTGACCGTGCCCCGCTTTCCCCCCAGATAATGGACCTAGAATCAAGATGTGCTGCGCTGCAATCGGAGCTGGATTCTGCCACACCAACATCACTCTCTCGAAGGAATCAGGATCCTGTGTCTTGGCTACCTCGTGCCCCGCCTCGACATGATCTTCAGTCGCATCGTGGGCCTGTTACCTGCGTTGCGTTCCACCCGATCTTCTCGTCTCTCGCGTCTGGATCTGAAGATACGACAATCAAAATCTGGGATTGGGAGCTAGGAGAGCTGGAGAGGACAATCAAAGGTCACACCAGGGCGGTTCTGGATGTGGATTATGGTGGACCTCGAGGTGGTACCTTACTTGCATCGTGCTCGTCCGATCTAACGATAAAACTGTGGGACCCGTCCGATGAGTACAAAAACATCCGAACGCTTCCCGGTCACGATCACAGTGTCTCTGCAGTTCGATTCATACCGTCTGGAGCCGCTGGTTCACCTACATCTGGCAATCTTCTTGTCTCCGCGTCAAGAGACAGGACCTTGCGGATATGGGACGTCACAACAGGATATTGCGTTAAGACGTTGCAGGGCCACTTGGAATGGGTACGTGACGTCGCCCCGTCACCAGATGGCCGTTTTCTCTTCTCCGGTGGAGATGACCGGATACCCCGACTCTGGGATATCTCTTCTGGGGAGACGAAGGCGACCTTCCTCGGCCATGAACACGTCGTTGAGTGTGTTGCGTTCGCCCCCGCTACTGCGTACCCACACTTGGCTGGGCTGGCTGGGCTTAAGAAGCCACCACCCGCGTCCTCCTCTGCTGAATATGCTGCTACTGGCTCTCGAGACAAGACGATCCGACTATGGGACTCTCGGGGGACGTTGATCAAGACGTTGGTTGGACACGACAACTGGGTGCGTGCGCTGGTCTTCCATCCAGGAGGGAAATATCTTCTGTCCGTATCAGATGACAAGACCATCCGTTGCTGGGATCTCACCCAGGAGTGCAAGTGCGTTCGCACAATCGACAATGTTCACGGACACTTCGTCAGCTGCATCCGATGGGCACCCAGTATGCTTAAAGACGCAGCAGCTAATGGGGAGGCAAGCACCAATGGCTCGTCCACGCCCGTAACGAACGGGGCGAAGAAGGACGACCCGAACAAACTAGCGATCAGATGTGTGATCGCGACGGGTAGCGTAGACTTGAGTGTACGGGTCTTTGCTTCATAGGAAGCCAAAAGAAAACAGTCTCGAAAAGACTCACCAGTCATTTCAACACACAAAAGTGGAAGAAGGATCGGAAGAGACGTGATAACGAACCAACCTCATAAGATAGACCAGGGACAGAGAAGAGACCACCCATCGCAAGCATTATTGCCAATCGCCTCATCTGTTTCCCTTTTTTTCTCTTTAGCCACTTCTCCTTCCTCGGCCTCATCCTTGGTACTAGCTCTTTTTATTATCCCGAATCTTCTCACTTTCTCGTACATAATCTTCATCCATCCATCCATCCGTCCACACTTACCTACTTCCTTCCTTTCCTTGCCCCTCTTTTGTCCGTTTCTCTCTCGTCTATCTAACCACTCCTACATACATACATACATGTTCTCGCGGTCTTACCTATCCTCCGCAACTTATCATTCGTCCGATCCGATCCGATCCGATCATCCTGTCGTCCTTTTTCTGATACCCTGCTGAATTGAATTTATTTCTTCTCACTATTCATCTATCATCCATATTCCCTCTTTCCCTTGACTGACGGGGGAAGATGTGGTGGGGTTTCTGGCTCCTTTCCTCTCTTCTTGTTGTATATCTTGAGATGCGAAAAGGGTGAAAGAAAATAGCGTTCGATCTTCAGATATTAATTATAAAGAACTTAGTTTATAGAGATGTGTTTTGCTACTAGAGGATATAGAGTTGTAATGTATTTATACTTGTAAGGACAGTAGATTTGTTTAGTAAGGTTGCTGAGAGGGGGAGAAGGCAACATCTGATGGCGCAAACACAAAATTTTTGCAGGACATATCCCCTGCAACTCCATACCACCCTACAGGTTCATTTTGTAGGGTACACAGGCTACAGGCTACAGCTTGATTTACTCTACGAAGCAGAATTCACGAATGCTTCCACATCAGTAATAGCAGGACTGCGAGATGAGTTTTGAAATGCATTCATGGGTATCTGCAAACTGGAAACCGTGTAAGAACCAAAGGAAACTGAACTGCCCGAGCTGACGTGAAAATGTTTTTGCCATCGAGATGGATTCTTCTTTTCAGGTAACTCGGGACGGAACGCGAGGGAGCGTGCCGTCAATCTAAGCTAATTGTGCCATGACAGTCATTAAGTGCCCATTTCCCATTTCCCCTTTAGTGGAGCTGAAAACAGAAAAAGACGCCTTTCAAAGTCGCTGACTCCGAGTAGAGAAACAAGTTATTTTATTTTTTTTTGAAGTGCTCAAATTCTAAGCGAGAATCGCTTAGAGCTTGATGGCGTTCTCAACGGCCTTGCGCTTCTTCTCCTGGCGGGCAATGGACTTGGCACCGAGGATACCACCACCCCAGTGGCGGCGGTTCTCCTCGTACTTGTCGCTGTAACCCTCCTTGATGGCAGTGACGAGCTTGGCGAACTCGCTCTTGTCCTCAGCGCGGGTCTCGGTGATGGCGAGGACGGCAGCGGTCTAGAAGAAAGCTGTTAGAAATGATCTGGAATATCTTACCCGAATAGAGGATGTATTTACCTTCTTGTGGACAACAGTTCCCAGACGGGCCTTGCCCTTGACGATGGCGTACGGGACACCCATCTTGCGGCAGAGGGCAGGGAGGAAGACGACGAGCTCAATGGGGTCGACGTCGTGGGCGATCAGGACGAGAGAAGCCTTCTTGTTCTCAACGAGACCGACAACGTGGTTGAGACCGTACTTGACGGCGTAGGGCTTCTTGGAGACATCCTCCTTCTTCTTGCCCTCAGCGACGGCGGTGGCCTCCTGGAGGAGACGCTCCTTCTTCTCAGCCTTGGACTCGGGGCGGTACTTGTTGAGGAACTTGAAGGTCTGAGCAGCGGTGTTGCGGTCCAGAGTGTTCTGGAACTGAGCAATGGCCGGGGGAACCTTGAGGCGCATGTTCAGGATCTTCTTCTGGCGCTGCAGGCGGACATATTCGGGCCACTTGACGAAGCGGGACAGGTTGCGCTTGGGCTGGATGTCCTGGCCGATACCGAAGTTGCGGGGGCGCTTCTCGATGAGAGGGCTCTGTGTCTTCGTTAGCACAGAAGTCCAGATGATAGGATTCATCGACGCAGATTAGTACATACCTTGGCGGCCTTCTTGCTAGCACCGGCCTTACCCTGGGGGTAGGGCGCGGGAGCGGCCTTCTTACCGGACTTAGGGGGCTATCATTGAGAAAAGAAGATGTCAGCGAACCGTGTTCACCAATTGTGGCATCTTCTTTGAACTCTAGAGAGCGCATGAGAGAGTATTTCTACTACCCTCATGGCTCAAGCCAGATCATCACCGATGCACAAGCCATTTTCAGGACATGTGCAATCGGCGGAATTGCTTTCGAGACATTGTGACCGAATCTTGAACGATTCGGATACGGAAGTCTCACGACATCTCGCAGAGATCAAGAAGACTCCTCAAGAATCAAGTCGGAATTGTTTTAGCTTACCACCATTGTTGTCGACTGATTGACCGCTGCGCTGGGGAACAGGACTGCAGAACGGAGGAAGGAAAAAAGAGGAGCGGAAGTGCACAAGATATAGAAGTTCGCGCCGGTGCAAACTGTGGGCCGCGCTAACAGTGCGGGAATCAAGCGAGCCGGGCTGGTCACGTGGATTGAATTAGGGCAAGGCCCTATCTCGGTCTAGGTTCGCCGGGTTCGGAGCCTCAGGCATCATCTTCGAGGCATTTACTAGTAATGTATATGCATATATACCATTCAGTGACAGAGCCCGTTTCTATATCAGAACATGAAATAAAAGCGCTATCTTCCAAAATAGCGTCGTATTACTCCATACATGCATAGAACGCCAAAATGCAACCCGTATATCATAACCTTAGCAAAGAAAAAATAGTTAGCGACCTTTCACGACAAACCAGGGTATATTCATATTCAGCGCCATGCTCCCAGACCCGGCAGTCCCGTCCGTCCAACAGTGCTCGCAGCCTCCACAGCTCTCCGTTTTCCTTTATTTCCCTCCTGACTTCGTACGCCCGCGACAATCTTTTCCAGGTTGGTCTCGACCACCACTCCTCCGACAATCATCTCACTCAAAGTCGCGTGCATCGTCTCAAAGCCGAAAATGAGGTCTAGCTCGCAGACGTTCTCGAAGAGACGGTCCAGCGCCTCGACAAACACCTGGATGAGATCGATCAATGCGAGCGGTGATTCGGTGGATGTAGAGATCATGATGAAAGACAAAGTGGCATAAGTGCGGTAGGTGATCTGGGTCGGAGCATCGGAGGGGCCACTTGCAGCGCTGGAACGAGCGCCCTGAGAAAGCAAGGGAGGCAGAGGGAGAAAATTGCAGGCTGTCGAGGGACGCTGGGAGACCAAGTCGTAGATTTGCGCAATCAGGGATTGTTGCATCTGGGTGTCCTACGCGCGTGTGCGGTTAGCAGGAAAGCAAGAATGCGCAGATGCCAGGAATTCACAGAGATAGATAAGATGGCTGGGAAAAGAGATGCTCACAATCTGGGTATAGAACTTGGTCAGGCGTGGTTGCCCATTATTGTTGAAGACGAGGACAGCGTTGATCATGCTTGCGAAACTGGGAGTAACCGGGGAAAGATACAGTCAGGTACAATGATCTCGAAAACGTTCAATCGCTTCTGTGCCGCTCAAACCTGCCAGTGCAGAGGGCGCTTCAATAACAATCCGGTGCTGGAGCTCTTATCAGAGTTGATGCGGCGGGGTCAGTCGGGGACGGAGATCGCGGCGGAAGTTCAACGTGTTTGGTTCCACCTGAGCTTTGCTTGAGGCGGAGGTACTTAGAAAATCTGGAGAAACCCAAGATCTAGGTAGATTTTGGTCACTCCCTACTCATTGCATTCCCTCTCTGTATAAAGATCCTTGTCTCAGAACTAGAAGAACCAGTCAGCTATAATGAATAAGCCCATTATTTGCAAATTCTGTCTGCGTCGGACACCGCAATACCTCTCCGCGCGGCGATTCTCGTCCGCAATCGCCCCGAACAGCGATCCTACGACCCCGACGAAGATACCTCTTCGCGACCTTTCTGCCTCCGATCTTTCTTATTACTGGGATACACCCGCGCCCAATGCGTCTCAACTCGCTTACGCGGAAAAATTCTTCGCTCCATCGCGACACGGGCCGATCAAGCTATGGTCAGCTGCGAAATTCCGAACCACGCCTCTCTCGTCGATAGAGCCTGAAGTAGCCTTTCTCGGACGATCGAATGTTGGCAAGAGCTCGCTGTTGAATGCAGTAATGGGTAGGGAAATGTGCTGGACGTCTTCCAAACCAGGAAGAACGAGAGAAATGAACGCGTTCGGTATCGGAGGTACGAAGGGCGGAGAATCGAAAATTGTCTTGCTCGACATGCCCGGCTATGGCAAGGCTAGTAGAGAGGAATGGGGGACGGAAATTATGAAATATCTTAAAGAAAGGAAACAGTACGGAACCACTATCTGTGTCCCGACGCAAAATGCCCGTCTTGTGCTAATGTATACCAACTCGATCTATTTAGACTTCGACGAGCTTTCCTCTTGATCGACAGCGCGCATGGCCTGAAGAAGATCGATGAGGACCTCCTGATGCTATTCAGACGATACGCTATTCCCCACCAGATCGTCGTATCCAAGGTCGATAAGTTCCTATTCAAGAACAAGAAACAGGCAAAAAGCGGAGTGGCACCGGCGAATATTATGAAGTTGCAGGAGACGCTTCACAATCTCAGACCGCTGGTCCAACCTGACGGTCGATTGGAAGGTCCGGGAGCACTGGGTGAAATCGTGACTTGCAGTGGAGAGACTTCGATAGGACCAGGTCAGAAGTTAGGTGTCAACGCGCTGCGTTGGGCTATTTTATCCGCTGCTGGGTTTGATGGCAATGTGGAAGCGAGGCGAGAGATCATCCCGCAGGGAGCATCAATCGAAGAACGAGCACCATCTGGGCCGTGAATATTCATCTCGCAGTAGAGAATGGAACTCTACATCGTAGGACGCAGCCTGGACTGCCTTCCCACCCTACTGAAGCTAACATAGCAAACGCGAAGGATGCCTAAATACTAGAGCGCCGAGGTAAGATAACCGCCCTTCGCTTTTGCTCCCCATTCCTGTTTTAAATATGCTAACTGCGTATGCCAGTCTCCCGTTGTCCAGCATGGCCCGGCGACAAGGAAGTCGAGTAAGCGTAAAGGATGTATATTCCTGACATCCTACTCGATCAGGGAAACGCTCGTGTTCCACTCAATGCGATTGATAGCATCTAGACCTCTCGTCTCCAAACTCTAGATGCAAGTGCATAGGATCGATAAGCAGAACTCCCATACAGATCTCGACTGCTGAGACTCATCTAGTTGATCTAGTCTCATGACTGCATTATTCGGGAATCGAAAGGCTCGATATCACTACATGCATCAAGTCGGGAGCTCATATAGATATATCGGGAAGAGGCCAACATCATCATAATCATCAACCACATACTACCAGCTTCCCCGAAAATATGTATACTTAATTTACTGTCCTCAAGGAGAGGATATACAGTGTACGTAACCATATGATAGGGGTTACGAATAATGCCAAGTCAATCAGGAACATATCAACTTCCTTGCTAATTCCATCCATCATTAAGAATCCATTAATAGACATGTCTGAGCTAGCAACTAGCTGTAGGGGCAACATTGCGAGAAAGAACAAGCCGCCCATACCCAAAGACGAAGTCCAGGAAAAGTACATGACAGGTAATCAAGTGTAACGGGGCTTTCATGTGCGTCTAGGAAAATCTAGCCCGTCTGGTGCACCGCGCAGCTGTATTATTCACGGGTGCTGCGGATCCATCAAGAATTACAACAGGCGAATTATGAGTGCATACAACGAAGGGAAAACACGTCCAAGTAAACGCCGGGCCCCGTGGTATCTCCCTTAGGCGTCGAGCCTGAATATGAAAAAGCGGAACAACTTCAAATACAGGAAAGAAAATTGAAGTGCTGTGATGCTCATCACCGTACTTAGGTTTGGATGCCCTAGGAAAGTTAGTCGACCGTATGAAAAGGCAGAACAGTGAGAGAACTTACAAAGAGGTACGCTAACTCTCTTGTTCCGAGTCGAGATACGTTCTTGCTCGCGTTCTCATCAAGAGCACCCTCAATGAGCTCTCGCTTCTTCTCCTGAAGCGCGATAATGCGGTCCTCGACCGTGTTCTTGACGAGCACGCGATGGACGCGCACTTCGCGCATTTGACCGATACGGTGTGCGCGGTCGATCGCCTGCTCTTCAATATACGGGTTCCAGAACGGGTCGAAGATGATAACCTGAGAGGCTGCCACAAGGTTGAGACCAGAGTTGCCAGCTTTCAGGGAGACCAACAGTACCCTGCAGTCTGGGTTGTCGGTGAAGTCAATGACCGCACTGTTGCGTTCAGCTGGTTTCATGCTACCGTCGTAGCGGTGGTATCGCCATCCCTTACGCATGATCGGGACTTCAAGCAGGTCAAGAAGCGAAGTGAACTGACTGAAGATGATCGTCTTTTCTCCTTCGCTGCGGCTCTCCGTCTGCTCCAAGATTTCCATGGTCTTTTCGATCTTTGCGCTAGTCACCCAGGTTTTCTCGAGACGGCGAAGGTACTTGCGCTTCGCTTTGGCATTCTTCATGCCTTCTTTCTTGAGCTCTGCCAAGGTTCGTTTTTGTCCGCGAGCACGCTTCGCTTTACCTTTACCCTTGGTTTTCTTCGTTTTCGAATTGCCCTCACTGTACTCTTCATCGTCAACGATGAAGCGAGAAAGACTGCCATTATCATCCTCATCACTATCATCGTCGCTATCAGTGTCTTCTTCTTCCACATTATCATTCCCCTGGGCTTCACCTTCAGCGGTTTCACCTCCCTCCTCCGGATAGTGAACCTTTCTGAAGGAGACATGGTCTGTGACTTTCTTCGGATCGACCTTGGCACGGCAGTTTGGACATTTGACTTCAACAGACCCGTCGTGACCCAGCCGCACAGCTAAAGCTGGGTCAGAAATCCTCGCGAAGCACTCAGCGCATGTGCTGTGTCCACAAGGGAAGAAAATGATTGGATTCTCAACTGCGTCGATGCACACCGGACATTCCAGATTGTCATTCTCCTTTAGTCTGATCACGACTTCCTGACTGAACACCTTGGCGTTAGCGATAAGGTCGAGTTCTCCCGTGCTCGCGTTGACATCCACGCTGAAATCGCTAAGTAGATGTGGATGGCAGCAAGCTTGCCGCAGTCGGAGAAGCAGCACAAGAACGTTGGAGTAATTGCGACCGACGCTTCCTGCTTTGAGATACTTGTTGAACTGGAGTTGGGTCTTTGTCTCCAAAGCCTGGTACAGCTCCTGTTCATCGTCGCTAAATACGGCATGAACCTCCTCAGTAATGCGTGGCGGCAGCTGCAAAATGGGCTTGCCATTAATCTCTGAAGTCTTGGTTCGGCGGAGAAGAACAGCTTTCAACAGCACTTGCAGCTGCTGCATCGCTTTGTCCTGGACGCTGGTGATGGAGCTCTTAAGAGGACGCGTGAACACTGCATTGAACCTCTCCAATTCGCAGTAAGGGCGGATACGGAGAAACCTGAGCAAAGAATGCAGTTCGCCCACATTGTTCATCATCGGAGTACCGCTCATGCACCATCGATAGATCGAGTCGATGCAACAGGACGCCAGAGCTGCCTTTGTGTTCCGATTCTTGATACATTGGGCCTCATCGATGACTGTACGGTACCACTTGCTTCCAGGTCCGAGTATAGGCAGACTATAAGTTTCATGAGAGATATTCCCATTCCGACGTTTTCTCTCCTTCCACTCTTCTCGGCGCTTGAATTCAGAAGCTAATGTTCCAAACGTGGTGAGAACGACATCGTACTTCTTCAGGTCTTTATATTTGACAGCTCGCTTGTCACCGTGAAGCACGTATATGGACCGCTGAAACTTTCCAGGCCTGAGCATTCTTTCGATCTCCCGCTTCCACTGATGCATCAGAGCCACGGGGGCAATGATCAGCGTTGTCTTTCGTTCGGGGTCGGTAGAAGGCCGCGAGACGATAAGAGCAAGAGCTTGGATGGTCTTGCCCAAGCCCATATCATCGGCAAGAATCCCTCCCTTTTGCTCACTCTCTTCCATAGACTTCATCCATGCAAGACCTAGTTTTTGGTGTTCCATCAAGGGGTATTTCAAAGCTTCCGGAGTTCCTTCCTGTCCCGACATAGCGAGTTCCATGTCTGGTCTAATAGTCTCCAATAGCTGCTTGATTTCTTCTGTCGTCTTCTTCGGATCCGAGGAAATGTCATCATACAGGTCCCGATACCTGTCCCTCAGATAATCATATTCATCGTCGCGGCCAAAGCCTGAAAAAGTGGAGACCAGATCTCCGTAATACTGGCCGAAACTGTTGGACGAGGAAGGGCCTGAGAAGCTATGATACATTTGGCTTGCATTGTCGAATACTTTCTTCTTCGTCTCGTTGAGTCGCGCCATAGTATTTTGGAGGACGTTAGGTCCATACCAGCTGTTGCTGTTCCGAGGAGCAGCTGTGTTCATATCACCATATACGTACTGTGGATTGACATAGCCATTAGAGCTGCCTAGAATTCCTGGATCTCTGTGCTGTCCGGCATTCCACGAGTACGAAGGATGGTTTCCGGAATTCTTGAGAAAGTTATAGTTGTGCAAAGAATGCGGCGGACGGTATGTCTGTCTGGCGCTGCGTTCGAAGTCTCGGGGTGTTATCTCTGCAATATCACTATCGCTACTGTCGAGCTGGGAAGCCGACGGAGGGCGCCGGGCCAACGTCTCATCTTTTGCGATGGACTCTCTCGGCTGTCTGCTCGCAGAAGCAGCACCAACTTGATGCGACCTTGGGGCGAAGAAATCTGTCGGACCAAAACTGGGCAGCTCTCGTCGAGTGTCATGTCCCACAAGGCTCTGGTTGCGCGGAGGGGGCATTGCTAAGGAATCAAGCGTGGCATGGCTGGGGGCGGGTGAACTCGAGGCCGTTGGGTGCTGTGGCCCATCAACCCATCCTTCTTGCAATTTCCTGGCCAGTTCTTCATCCCGACGTTCCTGCTCCCTTCGTTGTTCGAGCCACTTCTCTGCCTCCTGCTGGTGTCGCTGCATGTCATGAAAGGTATCTAGGCTGTCAAGACCCAGTAACTGTTGGAGTTCACTACTGGCTTCCAAGGCATCGCTAGATTTAGCAGCTTCCCCGAAACCGGCAGAGGAAACGCTTGAAGCCGTCGGAGTCGATGAGACAGAACGTGGATACATCGGGGTATTCCGCTTTGAGGCTGGCTCCGAAGTCTCTCCCATATATCCAGCATCAACATCTTCATACTGGCGTTTGCGTGTCGGCAAAGGTTGCAAAAAGCGAGACGTATCTGGATAGGGCACATGTCCACGAGATTGAGATGATGCGGAATTGCTTGAGTTGGCGATAGACGTCTGCTGCGACCCGCCCCATCTTGGGATGCTGGACGAGTCTGCTGGCCTCTCGTCCAAAGGGCCATCCAGCTGCGATGGCCCATGCGATGATCTCGAGGGCGCTGCTGACGACGAACGAGGACGGTCTCCACGCAGGCGCGCCACCTGCTGTTCCAGTTTCTTGATGGCTTCCATCAATTCTTCTTTGCTCTCGATATCATCAGGCTGTGATTCCTCGAGACTTTGCAGCAGGACGTGGTGCAGCGAGAGATCTTCGAGGAGGTCCTCCATGGCGGCATCACCGGAGGAGGCAGCCATGATTTTTGTATCTTCCTGGTGAGGCTAGGTTGTAGGTAACTCCAACGTTGGTGTGCTCAGCAGGCGTAACGCGGTCTAGCCAACACCTCCAGGGTGAGCAACACCGTCGAACAGAGAGGGGCCGATTTACCTGTTTGTACCCTGCAAGGCGTACCGCGGGTGCAAAGGTCGAGCCTCTGTTTTTTTCCCGCGCAGGTTCGACCTCAGCCTTACGACAGCCTGAATCGGTTGCGGGCGGCAGCTGAAAGCTGCTGATTTTCTGTTGGATCAAAGTTAAGCTTGCGAGGCTCGCGATAACCAAATGGAATTTACGGCTAAGTCAATCAGTTGGGTTTGGCCACGCGGGCGATCCGCGGGCTGGACCTGCTAAGTAGCAGAGCCTCACTCCGCCAGGAACACAAAACCAGCGATGATTCTAGTGAAATATGGCAGACATTAGGGAAGTAATGCACAGCTGGATAGGAAAAAGAATACGAGTGCAGAATAGGAAGATGGTCAATGAAGGACCAAAACTGGTGTGTCGCAGACGGTGGGTGCGTTGAGTGGGAGAAGTGAAGGTGGCAAGTGTAGGCTTTTTTCCTTCTCTCTGGGCGCCATGGCGATGGAGGAAGAGAAGAAAAAAGATTTCAAATCATACATGGCCGGGGCAGAGGAATTTCTTCTTCTGCATACAGTTAATAGGGCGATTCACTATATGCGACATGCTGGAGGAGTTGGCAGTTGCCGGAATGTCTATTCCTTTGAGACATAATACTGATTAACTATTCAGGCATCTCTATATAGCACACTTACAAGTTGCATTGAGCGTCCAGCTAAGTGCATATATATATGTTACTTGCTTCATGCTATGTGTTTATCCAAACAACCCAACAAAGCACGTTGGCACATCTTTAGAAGCAAAGAACCAGGCGTGTCATGTCACGCTTTCGTCCAATCTCATCTCAATGTTACTTCTGCCCTTCAGACGGAGATCTTCACATTTATAACACTGCCAGACCCAAGCAGACAACACTATAATCAAGCTTATTCCTGCTCCATAAATTATGCAACTTGACCCAAGTCGATAATAAGAGTTCTATGGTACAGAGTACTATGGTATAGTTACGCGATAGAACGGTCTGACACGCGCGAGCGCGTCTATAAGTACGCGTTTTCTCGACGCGGCACTGAAAAGAGTCTTAAATGGCTTCGAAAATCTCCGGAGTTGTCGAGCCTATCAAACTCACCACTGGCCATCTGCTCGTCCACGCCAAGTCGATACATACGCGCCGGCCACAGACACTGGACACCTGCATCTGCTGCCAAGAAGATCCGGGGGGTGTTTCGAAACATGGGATCCCCTCTAGTCTATCGCAGTGATACTCGCAGATAGCGGCCAAAAATGAGGGGCAGACTCAACGTTCCCAACGTCTTTTCGATCTTCGCCTTGTCCCGAGTGCTCTCTGGCCATTCATCACGTCGGGACCGTCTCGTCACGACCGTGATCGCCCCCGTGTGGCTCTACTGCACGTCTACAGTTTCTCGCGGACTCGATGCTGAGATCGACCGCTGCGAGCGAATACTTTTGTTTCTTTAGCTAAAATGTGAGTCACAAGAGGTAAGAGGATCTTTGACTGGCTGAGAAGTCGAAAAATCGGTCTCTATTCGGAGCGTTCTGGAATACATGCTGCAGACTACAGTAGGTTTATTTATGGCCTGCGTGTGGCCTCACGTTTCTTCCGCTGTGCAAAAGGAATGCTATGAATAATACTATTATCGTCTCTTTTTGGATTGAAAGTACAGGAAATACTTTTTACTTTCTATCATTATTGAACGTAAAGCTTGTGCGTTTATTACGTCTTGTCCTGTGGCTCCTGTACATATATCATCTGTCCGCTGTTGAATACCCTTTCTTACTGGTGCAATCTACTGTTCCATTTCTGCCTCAAGTCAGCACGAGTCAAATCAATCCCACGTGCTCGGCCGCAATGAGAACTTGTCACGATGGCGCCAGCACCTGCCCTTGTTCAGTTCTGGCAGACAGATCTCACGCGCAAGACGTTCTTAGACTGCCTCGAAAAGGACGTCTTACGGTCACTACGCCTGGTGTGTCATGACTTTGCTATCCAGGCGTCTCCGTTCCTCTTTGCAGATATCGAAGTCCAGTTCCGGAGCAGCACGCTCACCCGGCCATCGAGAGTGGCTGCGCTCGAACGGATCGGACATCATGTCAAATCCCTGACGTTTAAGATCCCACATTCCCAGGAGACTTTCCTGCCACCGCTGCTGGACCCAGTCACTGGCGCGGAGCAGACTTACGTCTATGAACCACAAGTCCATCCCCCGCGCACAGGGATAGCTCGACTGAGCGTACCCAAATATGGCAGCTGGGAGATGACAGACATGCTCGTGAAGCAGTATCCCCCACTGTTCCATGCGGCTACGAACATCCCTTCGTTTATCCATGCGTTTACCGTCATGTACAATCTAGAAGAACTCAAGATTACCTGCGAGGGACAAGCCCCTGCCCACCGCTACCGTCGGAGTGTTGTGGACTACGCTTTGATCTCTCTACGAGTAGCTGTCGAGCAGGCGCCGCTCAAGTCTCTCCAGACGTTATCACTTCTACCCATTCATCCCGGCGCACTCTTATATCTCCGTCCTAACATGGGGTTTGGTGCGTCGCCTGCCTCTCGCAAGCGCTGGTCGCAGATCCGAAGGCTCGTCATACATATGGATAGCTTTCCCTACGCGAAGGGTCAGCCGATGGATCATTTGAAATTGCTGCACTCCTATATACAGAGTTTCCCTAACGTGAAGCGATTCTCCTTCCGTTGGATTGGCGCAAAGGGGCCTTGTCCGCTTTCTCTGGCTACAGAGCCCTGTCTCGCGGCTTCTACCAAAGCAACATCATCTCAAGCCTGCCCTAAGAGATGCACGTATCCCTTGAAGCCGCTAATATTGCACAATCTACAGTACATGGAACTAGAGAATGCCATCCTAGATGCCTCGCAGATCTCGTCATTTATCATTGATCACCGACGCACTATCCGCGAATTCGACTTTGAAGACGTCCTCCTCCGAGGTGGCACCTGGGACGACGCGCTAGCACCACTGACACGCATCTCCGGCAATGATTCCTGGAAAGAAACTCAAGAAGAGACAATGGAAGTTCCTATCATACTGAGTCCTACCGACGTAGACCAGAAGCAAATACGGCGTGTTATCCGAGAGGAACAGAGACGCAAGGAGCGTCTTCACAGTCTACGTGCGAATGTTAGCAACATGGCGCGAGCGCGACCCAAGAAGCGGGACTTGATCTGGGGTGGTTCGGATCAGTTGAAGCGGTTCTTGCGGTCGTCGATGCTTAGCTGGCGGCATCCTCGGCCCATTGGGGATTTTGAGACTTTCCCTAGGCTTGTTTATCCGGTCAGGTTTTAGTGAGCGAAGGAGGGAAAAAGAAATGAAGTAAAATAAAAAGAAGAAGAATGTAGTCCTGTCTCTTTACCCTTTCTTTCCTTGATCAAGGCGACGTGTATGGAACTAATATATGCATCGTGCAAAGTAAATACAAAACATATTCTGATTTCTGCGTACTAGTAAAAGCCACGGGCCTTGATTCAGTAGCGTCCAGCTAGGCACAGGCATTCGCCTGTTGTCCCTGGTGACCTCCACGGGGTATAAGGACGTGCTAAGCTATGGATTTATGTAGATAAAGTGCAACCTTAAGAAACATTTGGGACCAAAAAGGAAAGAGATTTGCAAAGTGAAATAATCATTTTCAGAGTCCTACAAGAAATAATTCTAGTTAAGAAGTTGAAGTATACAATATGTGGCTGCCAATGCGGGCGGCCATTCTAATTGTTAAAAGGTTTAGTTATCTCATCGGCGTCGGTACATTCAGATGAATGAAGAAGAGAGCAAAAGATAGGAAATTCACCCCGGATCGTCGGGATTACAGCCTCGGCGCCGTCGGAGCTTTCACATGCTCACATGCTCTCCTCCCGCTTTCCTTCCATCTATAAAAGACTCGATTGTTTCTCGCACCGAGGATCTCGTGCTAGTTCCAAGCGTCTCTACCCCAGAATATCGTACCCCAGCTATATAACACAGTACCTAGTTAATTGCTGTTTGAGCTTTGTTCACTCTCATCGTCTCACCAAAGGGATAAGTAGGCAGTTCTGACCGCTTTCGACCAGCAACCACATCACATCACATCACATCTCTCTCTCCTCTCCATCGGAATCTGTCCAGTCCACGACTCACGCATTCACCATGTCTCTCAAGAACGGTATGTTTTTCTCAAGATCAGTAGCAGCTTTCAGCAGCGTCGACTAACGCCTTATCTGCGCATCTGACAGACGCTTTCCCTTCCTCCGCCGCTTTCGACGTCATCAACTCAGTGCTCCAGTCCGACGAGGCTGAGCGCAAGGACGCCGTCAAGAAGGGCGGCGCCGTCTTCGCTTTTAACCTCACCAATGCCGAGGGCAAGCAAGAGGCCTGGTACATTGACCTCAAGAACACGGGCGAAGTTGGCAAGGGTTCCGCTCCCGCTGGTGGAAAGGCCGATGGTGAGTGAAGAACTACCCCGCTTGTTGATCTGTCGATCGCACCGGATACCAGCGCATACAACGCAGAGTTTACGGTTTTGTGATTCGCGTTGAAAGGAACATTGAAAATGGATTAACTAACGACTGATATTTGATGCACAGTCACCCTCACTCTCTCCGACGAGGACTTCGGCTCCCTCATCTCCGGCAAGGCCAACGCTCAGCGTCTCTTCATGGGCGGCAAGCTCAAGATCAGGGGCAACATCATGAAGGCAACCAAGATGGAGCCCATCCTCAAGAAGGCCCAGACCAAGGCCAAGTTGTAAATGCGATTTCGCATCATTGCGGGGTCTTGTCCTTCCCCTGTTTTTCAGCTGGTCAATGGATTTCAGTGAAATGAGGGAGTTGGAATAGAGGAGGCAGAAAAAGCTTCAGGGGTAGAGAGGAATACGTGTTCCTGAGTTCATCCAAAGAGAAGACGAGGGACGGTCTACAGGCTATGAATTCTTATGACTTGCCTTCCTATTCTCTTACTGTTTTGGTTGCGACCATATATTTGATATCGGTCTTGTATAGTACTCCGGGCTTGGTGCAGTGAGAGCCATCTCATCAGTCTTGGGGGTTTTTCTTGCTGCATGCATACATTTCTTGCTCCATGCATGCAATAAATGAATCATGATACCACATGCAATCCATTAATTTGTTTCCATCGGTTTTATGAGATCGTCAATGCTATCATATGCGTGTCATTCGTCGATCACGAAGTACGTGTATAGCATCCGTGACTTAGTTACGCTAGTTAACTAGTTACTACTAAGTAACAATTCACGTAACGCGCCTCGTTGAGAGATAAGAAATATATAGTTCCCTGCTATACTATACAAATCCATTGGGTGAATATAGACAAGAAAACGAGGTTGGTTGAGTTTGATTTTGCTCAACATATACATCCATCCAACCATCCAACCAACCAACCTCAAATGATAGTGAACCAAAAGAAGAAAAAGATACAAAAACCAAAAGAATTAAACATAAAATGTCCAAACGGACAGAAATACCACACAGATAACATCAGCTCAGCTCAGCCTAGCTACCAGTACTATACGTGAAGTACGCAAGCGTACTACCAAACGTATCGACATTATCACTATAAGTCGCGACGACGGTACCATCCGTGACGATCATATCTGTGGAACCAACCGTGGTCAATGAGTAGATGTACAGATTACTAGTGCTGTCGCCCTCGATGCTGGAGATGAGGCTCTGGCATTTAGTAGTCTGGTCTTGGTCGGAGCATGTGGTCGAGTAAGAGTCGAAGAAGCTATAGAGGCCTGCGCCGATGATGGTGATGTCTTGGCTGTTGAGAACGCGGAGGCCGAGAGCGTCGCAGTTCCCACTGCCGGTGGCGCAGATGGTGGTGTAGTCTGGGTCGTTGATTGTGCTGTTGGTTGGGTAGGGGCTGCTCTTTGCGTCGGGGTTGGGTTGGTAGTATCTGTGCATGGGTCAGATTGGTACAATAATCTTTTATTTTTGGGGGGGGAATGGGGCTGACTTACGGAGTCTCAGTCTGGATGAAGCCCGCTACTATATCTTTCGCGCCGGAGAATTGGTATTGGTAAAGAGAGTGGTGCTCGACTGCAGTGCCGTAACTGTGGGATATATTGTCAGAGAGACTCGTTGCATCGATAGGTTTTAAAAGATAAAAAGGTTTATATAGAAAAAGGTTTTCACTTACAGCCAAGCATTCTGGCCCTCGATGAGAAGTCCACGGCCCGTGTAGACGGAGATTTGGGTATTGTCGCTAGAATCCAGATCGTGATCTGCCGTCCAGAGCCAGACATTTTCCAAGTAGGCGTTACGGGCGGCGCTGGTGATGTGCATCGACATGTAGGCTGCCTCGCATGTCGAAGATTCAGCTGCGGAGGTCGGGCACTGGGCGACCTGCAAATTGGATCCAGCGAAGCCTCCAATGCGAGTATGCACATCCCACATTCCGGATCCCGAGTCCGCGTTGAGGTTCCATTCGATAAGGACAGCACCAGCAGCAGAGCCTTCGGTACTGACGATCATATCGGACCATTCGACACTTCCTGAATCACCAGACTTGCCAACCTGGACTACGGCTACAGGGGAGGTCTTGTCCGAGAAGGTATCTCCGCTGGCCATGATCACAGGATATGACTCGCCGACAATGCGAGAGCCGGGCGGGATGTAGATGGTGTTAGTGACCTTGTATGTTCCCTGATCAAAGAAGACAATGGAACCAGAGGAAGCTGCCGAAGTGAGTGCGGAGTTGATAGCAGAAGTATCATCAGTAGAACCATCTCCCTTAGCTCCAGCGGTTCGGATGCTAACGAAAGAAGAAGTGGGAGACGCTTCATACTGAGGCTTGCTCTTGGTGTAGTAAGCCGATGAGCCACTCGCCAGAAGAGCACTCGCCCGTGTAGGCGCAGAGTAAGTACCCTGGAACGTGTTCGGTCCCGAGGGAGTGTATTTGTGGCCTTCTCCCCAGCTGGCAATTGTTGTGGTTCCTCCTTCTAGGACTGTACCACTGGTGCTGTTGACAGCTACTGGAGTATTCGACAGGTTGATGTTCTCAAGCATCAGAGTACCTCCGGAGGCGGGCGAGCCACTTGTGGTCCAGGCAGTTGTGACAAAAACTGAACAGTCGCTAATGGTACTGTCAATGATGTTCACCGATCCCACAGCCTGGTCACTGGTTCCTCCAGCGTTCATGGAAAAGGCTGTGGTACAGTTGCTAATCGAGAGACCCTGATACGTCCAGCCCCAGTTCCAGATTTGAGAAATACCGGTCACAGCATTGGAGATCGTCAAGTTGCGCATAGTATATTGTTGATTGCCAATGTTGGCTCCATACAGACCACCAGTGATGGTGACATCGCTCAACCAACCTCCGGAGCCTACCCCAAACAGTAACATTCAGCGATAAGTTTTAGGATTATTTGTAAGGGAAGACTGTCTTACCATTTTCAATAAAGATACCTTGGTGCTGCGTTCCAGCATCAGCACTCTGGCGGATTTCCACATTCTGGATGCTCGTCGCTTGACCCGTCGGCCAATGGATGCCAGTCGCCGCCGTAGTACCGGGAATATCAGTAAGATCGATAATCAGGTTCCTGATCTGCCTGTAGAATACATTTGTGGAGGTCCAGCCCTGGTTACCGTCACTCTGGTACTGGTCACCATCGATGACACCTAGTCCTGTAAAGCCCGACGTTGCTTTGATGACGGGAAGATCGTTTGGATTTCCGATGAGCTGAGTGAAGTAATAATCAATGATTGATGTAGATACGACGTATGTCCCGGCAGGGAAGTAGACAATTGCTGGGGTGGTTGTGGAGGACTCGCGACTATCGGGCCCGTTCCGGTTACCGTCGCTGATGGCAGCATTGATAGCAGCTGTGTCATCCGTGGAGCCGTCACCTATCTCTGGTTAGTGATGATGCGTATGTAAAGAAAAAGAAGTAGTGTATAGATACCCTTTGCGCCATAGTCCATGACGTTTCGGAACACTACATAGCTAGAAGGATCGGAATTGAAGGCTGCAAGTCCCTGATGCTTAATATCTTCTAACCAGAAAGATGAAGCATCAGCAGCAACCTTCGTAGAAACATCGGCCGGCGCTGTCCAGTTGGACTGTATTGCCGCAGCAGACGCGCTGGCCAGCAGCAAGAAGGAAGTAAATAATGAACGACACATTTTTACGGCCCTACCGTATAATGTAGAAAAAAGAAAGGAGTGTTTGGTAGGTTAATACGGAAGAGTTTCAGAGAACTATAACTCGGGAATTGGCCTCGTTTTGAAGCCACGCTCGGTGATATTTGCCCCATTGTTGTCAGATGTCTCTATACTAAAAGGGGGCGTCCAATGCACGCCTCCCAACTGAACGATGCAACGAATGCCTTCTGACCCGCCGCTAGGATGAGAAAAACCGACATGTTGATGACAGGCGACATTTGTGGACGCGTCTCCTGTGCCCGACATTGCGAGATTGGTTGGCGAGAGGGTGTCATTGCCCCCGTGGTCTAGCCTCAGTCAAGAATGTCACAGTAATCGAACAGTGGTGGATCGTGGAGGCTGGAAGTAAGGGTCTGATCGGAGGCACGGCCGCCATATGGTTCTAGGCTGAAATTAAGGATGCACCAAGGGGAGACTAAACGGAGTGGCTCGAAGCTTGTCCATCGTATGGCCTGTAGTTTCGACGACCAGGATCTGGGAAACTAGGTGTCCATCCCGTGTCGAGTGACAACAGCACGCGGCCAACAGACATCTGGTGCCTGAGCTTGTTGAAACAATGCTGGAATTTCTCACCAGGCTAAGTCGCCTTTTCGGCGTGAAACAGTGTGCGATAGAAAATTAACACCGGCTCCCAAGTAACTACCCCGCATCTCCCCAAGCTGTGATCCCCGGCGTGATCATGTCGGCTGCTATTCTGCGGAGATAGTGCTTTGCTGACAGAGTAAAGTCGTACTGACAGCTTACGTTGTTGCGTACAGATGACCATGATTCCCCCGGAAATCTTGTCGAGTCGGTTTGCACGCGGATAGTCGACTGCGACGTTGCGTTTGGAGTTGACAGGGGTTCTGCAGTTCTCCTTGTCGGGACTGAAAGTATCGGTTAACGCGACTCAGAACGGAAGCCAGAGAATGTATACAACGCGTCCATCCATCAGCAAAAAAGAACCACATAATTTCTGACTCATCCCTCGTTCCTGTACTCCCAGAATGAACATGACCATGTCATAAGAGAGTTGATTCTGCATGTGGTCCATTCATTCTAGATACTCTTGCATGTATAAGCCGTAGCGTGAGCGGGAGCTGCTACCTATCAGCGCACGAGAGCTGATAGTCCTTGGTCAATAATGTAACTTGCTATAGCTTTAGTGGACACCCGTGGCTCCAATGGGCGCCACTTTGATGAGATGCTCGCCAGCGCCAGAGCCAAGCAAAGATGAGTAGTTTTCATGCCTCGTTGTTAGACGGGCCTAGGTTCTTCAAGTGAGCGTTATATTTCCTCGTGCGGCATACGCAGAATCATAATAGTAGGATGAGCGATGTACCACCTGGAGAATACACAGTTAGCTTGGCTTTAGCGATGATACTGTAGTTATAGTGTGACAGCGGCACAGTTGCAACGCTGTATAGGCCAAGAGTATGTAACTTCCCAGCAGTGCTTCACGCCGTCCCTTGGCTCACATTTCCCAATTTTCAATGTATATTATACCACATATCAGATCTTCTGTTGAGGCTGGAAAGATAAGAAATTGAAGGAGCTCCAGGTTATGTGTAGCGTTCTGGAAGGAAACAGGTAGTTAGCGGATCTAGCCGCTATCTCGAGAGAACGAATACGTTTCAAGTCGCCGTTAAACAGGACTGCTTCTGAAACTTTGTTTCAGCCATAGGCTTGTTGCGGAGTATAAACATGAAACGAACGGCGTTCTCAGCGTTTCTGTTCTCCGTAGTCAAGTTCATTCTCTGTTAGCAGTGTAGTACATATCATCCCAGGGGCATACACGCTATTTGGCGCCGTCAGATGAAGGGCAGAGTCAAGTTCTGATATTTAGCCCAATCTCAGTGCTTGAAGTTACAGAAAGATCAGCACGAAAAGTGCTCTCATGGCCAGTAGTATTATCCTCTCTGAGATTCTCCTAGTATATATGGCATTTTCTGGAATCGTTTTGAACGTCGTGCTGGGATACTGTCCATCACACTCGATGAGCGCACACTAGAGACGTCAATATGCAAATCTGCTGTCGAAAGCTGCGCAGTTACCCTCCAATAAGACGTTGAATATCGAGGGATTCTGCCCTGAGCGCATCGTAGTGATAGGCGAGGGAGCAATCCGCCTTATACCGTTGGGTAGACAGAGGGAAGAAGTCTGTCCCCGCTTCTTTCCAATAAAAGACTGTATATGTCATTCTAAGCAACTTCTACAGGCTATCGATCTGGCTACTCGATACATAAGACTCGTCAACGAAACACACGTGACTACAAAGAAACTCCCTTCCGCCTCCCATTCACCATGCCACATATATAACACAACAAAGGTTTAATATTCAACAGGGAGCCCAGGTGGTGTAGTGGTTAGACTCCAGGTCTAGCTACTTATACCCCAAGGCTCCCCGTTCGAAACCCCTGGAGCCCTAGTGGATTACCAGGGGGAAAAAGATAAACTCTTCCTGCCAAAAGCGAAAGTGAGGCGGGTTGTTTTCGTAGCACCTTCACGGCTCTCTGAGATAAAGGAGAGGTGGAGGTGTGAGCTTTTTGTAGTTTCGTTTTGTCTACTGCTATTCCTGGCAGTGGTGGCGTGTTTTTTATGGTCTTTTACTCTATACATTGATTGCTCATATCGGGCGTATATGTATGTCATACCTAAATTGTCTTCATATTGACCCATACAAGACGGTAGCCGGGTTTTATATCTGCGATCTCGTTCCAGGTTTCTAGTCTTGTAAATTCCGGGACTGTCATTTAGGATGTATAAAATCGACCGTATCGCAATAGCTCTATACCGTAGTCCCTCGCATAGAGCAGATGGGGTTGGTCTTTTTGCCTTCGAAGCCTAATGGCTACCTATTCCGAGCTTAAGGGTAAACTATTCAGATTATGTTGCAGGAACTGGATGCGTTGAACTCGCGCCTATGGATCCTATAAGAGATTTGGTACAAGCTTGGTGAATTTTGGTTGATTAGAGTCCTTTTCTTTCCTGGTAATATCTTTCTCGACGGTTTACGCTCCGTTGCTGACAGATTAAATTCTGTGCGATCTGCGGACCGTCCCGCTTCTTATCTAACTTGAATCTTGTCGACACCGTGATATATATATATATATATCTCCTGCGCTGGAGGGCGATAAAGTTTCTCCTTATGGTCAATGATGTTGTTGTTTTCGAGATTATTGAGATAGACACACGAGTCCTTATTAGATTTATACTATACTAGGGATTACCGTCCAGGAGGCAGTTTCGAACCCCGGTTACAGTCAGCAGGCTGGTAGAAACCAGCTCGCTTCTTCTCAACGGTCTCCTCTTCACCAGAACAATTTTGCAAACGAGGGGCCAGTTGTGGACGAAAACTAGCTCCCTAGAGGAGAGTGCGAAACATTATAAAGGGATAGCACCTGGTATTATATCTTCAGTCTAATCATACGGTATTCAACTGAACGGCTAACACTATTGTCTCAACACGTTTGAAGAATGAGCTCGATATGAATATAGTGCCAATGGTGCTAGCCCAAGTGATATCTCCTCGGAACAGTTACCGCAGTATCGATCAGACGAAGGCTCGTAATCACAGGATCCACCTCCAGTTGGACTGCCAAATCTCTTACCTTTGATCTTGGATTTAATCATTTACCCGTCCGTCTCGAGTTCTAAATCCAAGCAGGGATGTTCCACGTGGCGCGGAACAAAGTGCCAGGGCTTGCTGACATGTTCGCTTCTTTGTGGACGCAACGATAAATCATATATCAACTAGTCGACTCGACCCCGGATTTTCCATGAAAATCGAATGAACTCCTGGTCCCAGCTCGGTTGGATCGACTCCTAGACGTCATGATTAATTAAACTAGTTCCCGCTCTGAAGAGTTCTGCTGCTGCAGCAACAGCGCGATGTGTGTACTTTACACAATGAATCTCTAGTCTCCACGCTTGTCCACCTTCCATCTGAGCTCAGAATGCATCGGACACAACAATATCGCCACTCGAGAGGAAAGGCGGATATCGATTCCATCCGCAACGTCGTAGACAGAAAAGGCCATTTCTGCACCATTATGTCATCGCCAAGAATGGCAGGTGCTCCCAATCCCGCCTAGGGCCGAGTGGCACGTGACATTCTTTTTCGCCCGCCCGTCTCCCGCGAGCAGTCGCGATCCAAGGCACGAAACGTCGAGAAAAAGAGCGCCGACATCGAGATATTCTCTCCCCCGACCGACGCTGGACTTGCTGTAAGGCAGAGCATCTTGATCAAGTGCAAATAAGCTCAAGAAGGCTCATTTTCGTTGCTCTGCCTTCCCCCTTTCCCTAGTACCAGACTTTCTCACTCCCCCCGGTCGAGCAAATTCGTACTCGTTCCCGGTTGACCGTCGCCGTTGTCCAGCGCGCCTTTGCCACGACTCGTCGTTTCCTGCGAACCGAGACTCGTATGAACTGGTGTCTGGAATAGGCTGCGACAGGTGTCTGGTCGTACCCAGCTCATTTCAGGGGCCCACAAAGCAGTACACAACGACCATCGTCATCGAGGCGTTGACCGAATCCTGCGGCTGGGTCTGACAGTGGAATATCACGAATATCACCACAACGTGACTCATTGCTGGTCGATTGCCCGGGAAAGCGTTTGCTTGAAATTATATATACACGCAATCAGCTACGGACCGATAGACACGCGCCGGTTGCGCTGTGGCCGTGTATGCTACGGTGACAGTAGCCAGGTAGAGCGAATATACTCTGGGTTGGCCCAAAGCCTAGTTTTCTAAGCTCGAAGACGTGCAGGAGTGGTCTCGCGGAATCGAGTGATCGTTCGAGCGCTCAGTCTGTCGCGTCAATGTCCAAACGGACGGCCCAGGGTCCTCAAGGGGAAAAGGGCGTGGGTAACGATTTTTTCAACATGTCGAGTGCACCGGATGACAAGCCCCAGCGCGCAACTGCTGCGCAGATGGCGAACAGAAAGTGAGTGGTTTGAAGAATATTTCGTTGATAGAGTCAGGTTAGCAGTGTGGGAGTCGTTTAAGACTCCCACCGGCGGGCTCTGGAGGCTCTTTCTGTTATCATTTTTTTATTGTGTTGCTCAGACCTAGCCCAGCCTCGTCTTTCTTTGTCAGGCTACAACGCTCTCTCTCTCTCTCTCTCTTTTCCCACTCTTTCTTTGACGCGTCTACTGACCTTGACCTTCAGGATTAAAGCCATCAACAGACGAACGCGTCCAAATTCGCCAGCTACATCTTCTTCAGCGCAACAACCCTTCAGCCCTTTCACTTCTTTAGATCCAAACACAGTTTCTTCCACGTCTGGCGGATCCCAGCCTCCTAGCATCTCGAACGGGTTCACGTTTGGCCAGTCGCAGAGCTTTCCAGGGGCGGGTTCCAGTCCTGCCGTGAACGGCACCCAGCCTGTGTCGTTTGGCGCTGGTGGTGGCTCCAGTTTCAATTTCTCCTCTTCCTTCGATACAGGCGCGAGTGTCAGCAATCCGTTTGCCAACATGAACGGAGGTGGTTCTAGTCAGGGGGCTGGCGGCTCTGGATTTGGTGGCTACAAAGGAAGCCTGTTCAACCTTCCACCGACGGGCCAAACGCAGAACCAGCAGCCAGCCACTTCAACTGGACTTTTTGGTGCTCAGCCTCAACAGAATGGCACAGGCAGTGTCTTCAGTGGCTTTGGTAACAATACATCTACCGCGACTGCATCCCCATTCCAATCCACACCGTCTACAGCTCCCTCGACCGGCAGCCTCTTTGGACAATCAAGCGCGCAGACGTCTACCGCACCTGCATCCGGTCTTTTCGGACAGGCCAATGCTGATAAGCCGACAATTTTCGGCAATTCCACTGCGTTCTCTGCACCTAGCGATTCGATGCAGACTTCCCCCGACTCCAAGGCAGGTGCTGGGAAGCCGCTGTTTGGCACTGGTGCCACATCACAACCACCGCCCGCTTTTGGATCGCTTGGTGCTTCCGGTAGCAAACCTTTATTTGGTGCTACCAGCGAGAGCAAGACCCCTTTCGCACAGGCTTCTCAGTCTCCCTTCGATGCAAAGCCAGCTGAGGCGTCTACTTCCGCTACCACTGGTGGTTCCCTCTTTGGCATGACCTCTAAGCCGGAGTCCGCTGCCACGACTACACCCTCCGTGTCAGCCGCGGCTCCTGCAGCAGCAACGACTTCAGCAACCTCAACACCGTCTCTCTTTGGTACGAACGCTTCCACAGGAACGTCTGCTCCTACTTTTCAGCCATTCCAACCATCTTCCAGCCTCTTTTCTGGAGCTTCCAAACCGGCAACTACTCAGCCTACACCGGCGCCCAGTAGCTTGTTCTCTTTTAGCAGTTCCGCGGAGAAGAAAATCGAGGAGCCTAAGGCGCCTACCGCTGATGCTGCTGCTGAGAGTAAAAAGGATGGCAACGCTCCCAAGCCTTCAGGCAGTTTGTTCGGTTCTACAGCAAGCTTCGGTCAGTCACCTGCGAGCAACATATTTGCACCCAAAGCGCCCTCGACTGCGGAGCAGACTCCAGCCAACCCATTCAGTGGTCTTTTTGCTATGAACCCTCCTGCCCAGGCCTCTCCCGCCCAAGAGAAGCCTCCAACTTCTCCATTTCAGCCCAGCAATATCTTTTCTCCGAAGCCAGATGTTACAGCTGGAGATTCTACGCCCGCGTCCAAGCGACCGAGTCTGTTTGCGACCGCACCTCCTACATCGTCTGTGACTAGTGGCCCTGGTCCGTTCAGCATCAAAGGAGCAGCATCTACGGCCGGCGGCCCGGCCAATCTGTCCACAATCAAATCTGATTCGACTATCTCAAAGGACAAGGAAACGCCCTCGAAGGTGTCATTTGCCACCAAGGGTCCACGCAGCCTACCTTCCAACCTGAGCAAGGAGTTGAGTGATGATGTCGAGCTGTTACACCGTGTTCGCATGCTAAATGAGAGCTTCAAGCGTAAGATCTCAGAGCTTGACCCGTCCAAGGATGACTTTGATGTAGTCGTCTTATTCTATATGCGTGTTCGTGAGACCATTGGTGTACCCGTTGGCGAGTCTCGGTCTACCGCGTCTAAGCGGAAGACCAGAGATGCCGAAGAAGCTGAAACGCCTTCTCAGAAGAAGGTGAAGCCTGCCGAGAAGTCTACTGATCAGCCTCAATCACTTTCCGCTACCAATATCTTTTCGAAATCTCCCTTCAACCCAGCAGCATCGAATAACTCCCCCGCTTCCAACAAGCGGAAGGTTGCGGACGATGCTGATGCCAGTCCTCAACCGGAAAAGCGTACGGGTGCGCTGACGGCTGGATCGACCACTGCCAGCATTTTTGCCAGCTCGTTTTCAGAATCCCAGGGCTCCAAGACTACAGCTGATAAAGCACCGGAGACTTCACCCGCCACTCCTGCCTTTAAGCCACTGGTCCCGCAGTCTGGTGCCTCCACAGCATCCTCAACTCAGAGTCCGTTCAGCCTGAAACCCAGTGCCGAGAAGGCTACGGAGTCTCCTGCTAAGCCTGTCTTCGAGTTACCTAAATTCAATTCGGGAGCTGCGCCCAATTTCTTGGCGCAATTCAAACAGCAGGCCGACAAAGATGCCGAAAAGGAGAAAGCGAAACGCAAGGCCGAGGATTTTGATTCCGATGAGGACGACGAGGCTGAGTGGGAGCGGAAGGATGCTGAGGAGCAGCGTAAGAAACGTGAAGAGTTTGAAGCTCTTTCCAAGAAACGTGCCAAGTTTGTTCCTGGCAAAGGATTTGTTTTCGATGATGAAGCAAAAGAAGAGCCTGCACAATCCACGTCTGAAAAAACCACTGCTCCAGCACTGCCCTCGACGAGTTCATCTGTCTTCCATGCTAATGGCAGCCGGTCTCCTCCTAAGTCCGGTAACATATTTGGTCACCTGTCTGGCACTAACTCCGAGGCCGAAGGTGACGATGATGATAGTGACAAAGAGTCTACGGATGGCGATGTCAGTGCCGGAGCAGGACAGAAGGCCTTGCCGGCCCCGCCTACCAACGGTTCTGCGGATAGCAGCGACGAGGGCGATATCTCGAAGGCCTTGAAAAAGAAATCCGAAGAAGCCGCGGCGGCTAAGAAGGAGGTGTCGGGAGCTGCCACTTCATTGTCTGCGCCGACGCCGCAGAGCGGACCGAGCCTGTTTGATCGAATACAATACGACAAGGATGGCAAGCCGAAGCGTGAAGGCCAGCCTTCAGAAGAGAAGAAGGACCAAGACACCAATGTTTCTACCTTGTTCGGCAGCTCCAAGTTTGCGCCTTCTTTCAACGCCTCCTCCAGTGGATCCACCAGCATCTTCTCGGCCAGTACCCAAAGCACATCCGGCCAAGACAATGCTGCAACTCCTAAAGCCGGTTCAATCTTCGGGTCTAGTCTGAATACTAGCGGTGGTTTGTTTGGCTCCCCAACTCCAGCAGCCGCTAATGCTGCCGGTTCTGCTACTTCCTCTTTTGGCGACCATACTTGGAAGAAGGACTCGCCCATTAAGTTCTCCAGCAGCACATCTGCTGCTGAGTCTTCATCAGGAACAGCGACTGCTGGTGACTCGAAGCCGTTTTCAGCCCTTTTTGGAGGCTCAACTGCACAAAAGCCGTCAGGAAACTCCGCTGGCGGACCCCAGCTAGGGTTTGCATTTGGCGGCCCGTCCCAGGGTGCTTCGTCTATATTCTCTTCTTCCACCGGTGTCTCTGCTACTCCGAGCGGCACTACAACACCGGTTGCGACATCTGATACGGGTGCGGAGGACTCAGCTGATGGTGACGCTGCTCCATCAGAGCCTCAAGTCGACCTTGCCCGTAGCCATGCTGGCGAGGAGGACGAAGACATGCTGTTGGAGATACGTGCCCGTGCCATGAAGCTGGAGCCACCCGGCTGGCAAAGCCAAGGCGTTGGCTGGCTTCGTGTCCTGAAACACAAAACAACATCTCGTGCTCGCGTTATTCTTCGTGCTGACCCTAGTGGTAAAGTCGTTTTAAACGCTTCTCTTCTCCCGCAGATAAAGTACAAAGAGTCAGGGACTAGTGTTCAATTCCTTGTTCCGAAGGCTGAGGGTGCCCCTGAACAGTGGGCTATCCGCGTCAAGAAGGAGGAAGTCAGCCGCTTGGCTAAAACCATGGAGGATTCTAAAGCCTAGAGCTCCTTCATTTTGGTGGTCCCTTATTGCACCATGAGTCAAGACCAGTTACGAGGTTACTGATTCTATTGATGTCCGCTTGGATTTCTGTCTTATCTGCCTTGCGAGGGACTGCTCTTCATAATGTTTATCAAAAGCATGCATGCTCCCGGGCTCTCGCCCTTCCTTGGCCCTCCCCTTTCCGGTGACTGGGCCATAGTCGCGAAGTCCTTAATTCCCCGGCAAGGACCCTTTCCGCAGGGTCTAGCTGGGTTTCTTTTTCTAATGACGGTGTACGGTTGGAGCCAGGACACCATGTCAGCATTTCTCATTTACTGCCGTTTTCTTCAAGTTTTTGCCTGGTAAGACCCGTGATTTTTGATCGAGCTGGATATGCGTGGAGCTATTTCTTTTCCTTTTTCTTTCTAATGGATCTGCCGCCAGCGTTGCATCGCATGAAACATGCATCTATGTAGAATCAATTTCCTGTTTTCATCACCGTGGCATGACTCGAAGAACATTGTCGGGGCGACGGCCAAAAAATTGCAGCATTAGCATACTCTTATTCTTATCTCTAGTCTTCGTATAGAAGAATTGGCCTGACCTTATTTCAACCTAGTTTCACGATGTATATCTTGAGTCTCATAGGGGCTTGATTGCTACAGTCCGGGCATAATGACGTGGTGGCTAGCAGTTAGTGTAGTGCTGTCGCTGATCTCCAGTAAAGTTTGCGCGCCGCAATAAGGGTAGTTAACTACAAGTTACATGTGAAGACAGCACTCGCTACAGATATTACAGGAGTTCAAATGGTTTGAACCTTCGAGCGGCTAGATCATAAAAAGGCGCCGACATGTTGTCTCGAAGGAAGGGCATTGACAAGTACAGCAACTGTGGGATCTTCTAAGGCGGGGTGGCACAATCCGTTCAATTTCGGTTTCAGGGAGATAAAATCCCCCATTTCTGAATTTGTTCATTATACATAAAAATCCAGTTTCTTTTATGAAGAACCCCCTATTTTCCCGAAATTGGCCCATTGTCTGTTTGTCCCCGGGCCGGATCTGAAATGACATTTATTCAGCACGACAACACCACATCCCTTTTTTTGATTGATTCGCCGTTGGTATTTTTGAGAAATGGGTTCAAAAATTGTCCCTTAGACCAGCAAGGAAGGAGGGGTGCATTTAAGCGTCCTCAACGACGGTGGTGGAGAGACCCTTGGGGTCCTTGACGTTGACGGCCTGGACGTAGGAGTAGAGCTTCTCCTTGGCGCCCTCCTCGTCGTTACGCTTGCGGGAGATGCGGACACGGAGACGGAAGGGGACACCCTTGATACCGGACTCCCAGACCTTCTTGTTGAGCTGGGGGTCGAGGCGGACGTCCTTGGTGCCCTGGAAAGTGAAGAAAAAGGACTTGGTTAGACTTTTATTCTCTTGGAAAAGATACGCCAAAAGTAAAGAAAAAGGTAAAACGTACCATGGCGTGCTCAGCGAAGGCACGGATCTCCTTGATAGCACGAGGAGCGCGCTTCTTGAAGCTGACACCGTGCACCTATAAAGTTGAAAAAAGAAGATAAATCAGTCTTCCGTCCGAATGCCATTTTTTTTTAATCGGTTGCTGCGAGATGATCTCTTTTTTTTTTGCGGCCATGAGGTGGACTTCATCAAACTAATTCTTCTTCTTTTCTTTTATTCCAAAGAAAAAAGTTATATCCCTCCTCTTTTCCGCTTGGCGGTTCTCTTTCTCCACATTTCTGTGGTTATGTTCTCCGTCCATGGTCCTCAATACGGTTTTGTATAATCGACTTCCGCGACGCAGATGCGATTTCCAATTTCCCTCATTTCAACCGCAAAATTTTGAGGAGGATTCATCTCGAGGCGAAGGAAAGCAAGTAGTAGGCAGGTATGAATTGTGTGCTTCAACGTACTCTCCTGTGAAGGTGGATGGTGTACTCGCGCGACACAACGTCGGCGATGGCGGAGCGACCGCCCTTCTTTCCGGACTTGGCGTTGGTGGACATTTCTGTTTGCGCGAAGAAGCTGTCTGTTAGTTTCGAAGAGGGCAGAGGAAGGAGAAGACGATGCGTATACTGACTGAAGGGATGGACAGTGGTGCTGGCTGTCGTTGGCTGAATTGGTCGACTGTCGTTACGGAGTGCTGGAGATCGAGAGGCCTTTTTTCGAGGTCGAAATTCCGAAAGTGTCGGTGTGTCTCGCTTAGACGCTAGCTCCGGTGCTGATTGGCTCGCTGCTTGTACTAAGCACGTGATTAACTTTTGTCCTCTGCCAAGTCTGATTTGCTGAATTAGGAATGGTTGATGATTATTCTTTGATAGGATTAGCGTTGTAGCTCATTTGGTGCAGTATTGATCCTATCAAAGAACGGTAATAGTTGATGTACCTTGTATCTACTATGCGTCTGTCCGATAGCAAGATCTCATTCCTTCTGGATTCGGGACTTTTGTATATAAATACTTTTCCCTGTTCCCTCTCCGCTAATACTTGTGCTCGTGTTGAGCATATATCAATATGAATCCCTTCAATGTACATACTTGTAAAATGTAACGGCAATAGGAAGTCTCCACTGCATTCAATTGCATAAACTCTACCTCTATTCTATTTATATTTGAGGTTCATGACCAGTTCCATTTCATGAAATACGAAAGTATCCTCTAGATTGCCTGAACAAACGGATAAATAAGTCTAGCCAAATCCATCGCCTATGGTACAGGCCTTATGCCCGGGACAACTCAAACGGCTCAGAATAGTTAGTCAGTGCACAAATAAATGCCATAGACAGATTTTATTCATTCAATTGCCTGCTTCAGATGCATCATACAGCCTAGAACAACATCCCCCCTTTTTTTTGGTTGGCTAAGTTGTAATGATTGCACCTCAGCTTGTGATATAGAAGAGCGGATAGGTGTTCATGGCCATGATCTAGAGTATTGCGGAGTGATTTCGGAGTGATACTAAGCTCTCCCTGTCTCAGACTCTACTCTATCATGCGGTAATAGTTGCTATTCGGGGATATCAATCTCCCCATCCCGGAGATGAGGGGGATGTATGACGGAGATAATCGGAGTTAGGGCCACAGCCCAGAGTGTTTCAAAAACACCGTATGAGGAAATGAGAACTAGAAATGGTCTTTTTGTAAATGTGAAGTTGTCTAGGTATCCTGAGCAAGGCGACGGCGTACAAGATAAGACTCATCGAGTGGATTTATACATGTGAATTCGAATTTTGCAATTTATACACACGGATACAATACAGCATGTACACACAGTTCGAAAGCATATAAATATCAGCTCATGATACCTACACGAAGTGATCACATAATAGTAAAACAGCAGGAATATTCGGATCTTTGAATACAATCCACGCTGCTTACTTACGCACTACTCCCTCCCCAAGCTACAAATCAATATGACTGGAAAATACCCCCAAGTCCTCTCCTCTCTCACCCCTCGCGAAGCTATTACGGACGCTATCTACCGTGCCATGATCGGCATCGACCGCTGCGATATTCCGTTGTTCGATTCCGCTTTTGCTCACGAAGACGTCTCCTTTGAGATACGCGCTGGCGATGAGATAAGAGCCGTCCAGGGACTCTCCAACATCCGGACTCAGGTCCTCGACCGTGTCGGACATATGGATACCACGCATATGCTCAGCAATATCCGTGTCGATGTGAAGGAAGGAGCAGATACTGCGTCTCTCACTGCGTATGCGTTGGCGCAGCACTGTCCGCCCGGAAGGGGAAAGGAGCCCGATGGACCGAAGTATCTGGCGGGTGGCGAGTATTGGATTGATCTGGTGAGGGATGAGAGCGATGGGCTGTGGAAGATCAAGAAATGGGTGCTGGATATAGTGTGGAGGCAGGGAGATGCTTCTGTGATGCAGAGGCCGGCTTGATGGGATCCTGGATTGTACTATACGGATGAGCGTTGGAATGGGACTGGCGAACGGGAGTTCCAATTTCATGCAGATCTTACATGAATCTCTAGAATCGAACATTGTCTGGAAAGGAGACATCACGATGTCCATGGAGAGATAACTGAATGAAGTTATATACGCATATTTATTATATTTCAATTATCATTCTTGACACCCTGGCTGACGTCTGTATACAAGTCGAACCGTCGCTGCGTATAGATCGGGATACCTTTTCTGGTATTCTCGATCGTGTCGTTATCCAAGTCCGCATAGACGATCTCCTCGTTCTCACCGGCCTCCGTCAAGACCTCCGCGTTGGGGTTAGCAACCAAGCTATGGCCAAAAGCGTGGTACGTCGCACTCATGTCTCTGGCTGGGCTACACATGGCGACATAGACCTGGTTATCCACGGCACGTGCGCGTCCGAGCAGTTGCCAGTGCAGGGGACCTGTCGTCAGGTTAAACGCGCCGGGGTAGACGAGCAAGAAGGCTCCTTGACGGGCGGCGATCATGGCTGCCTCAGGGAAGCGGATGTCATAGCAGATAGCCAGACCGATCTTGCCGTACTCCGGCAGGTCGACGATAGTCAGTTTGTTCCCTGGTGATAGCACCTCGCTCTCCTTGAACCTGATTTTTCCGGGAATGTCGATGTCAAATAGATGCGTCTTGCGATGCGTGCCGATCAGAGCTCCGGTCGGCGAAAAGACAAGGGAGGTATTGTAGTATTTATTCGTACCCGGTTCCAACTCGGGAATGCTTCCTCCAACCAAGTATGACTTGGCTTCTGAGGCCAATGCTGACAAGGCGTGGAAAGAGGGCGACTGTTCTTTGGTCGGTGGAGAAGGGAGGAGAGTTTCGGCGTACTTGGGGAAGTACTGAGTTCCGTAGGGCGAGTTAAAGCATTCTGGCAGCACGATGAGGGACGCGCCAGCTTTGGCAGCCTCGAGCACCTTTGTGCGAGCGTGGGAGAGATTGACAGCTTTGTCGGAACCTGGAGAAGAGCGACATGATCAGCCAGTGTTGATTTCGCTTGTTGGACGGTTTGCGCCACTCACCGGATGCTAGCTGCACCAGCGCGAGCTTCAGAGGCTTCTTAAGAAGAGCTGCCATGATTGTAAATAGTCTAGAGTGCCTTGACAATGGCGACCTTGAGCTGCGAGGAATGTCGACACGAAAATTGCTGATATGTCGTCTCCGTTATGATTATTGCGGGGGAGAGAAGAGTGGGGGTTCCGTCCGATCCCGAATAGGTAATTAAGTACATAGTTGATTCGACCCTTCAAGCTTGCAATTCAATTATCCATGTTACCAAAACACTATCATAGAAATTGACATCTGACCAGTATTGGCGTTATAGAATGAACGGAGGAAGCAGACCAACTGAAGGTACGAACCCAGGGTCCCGTAAAGGTCTACGGATGATTCTACCTTTGTACTTTGCGGCGAAAACCCAGCGCAGCGATTTCCATTTCCATTCTGGGACGGGAGCAGGACGGGCTCCATCACGTGAAAGGGTTGGCCAGAGACCGCCGAAGTGGGTGATAAGAACTAATAATAATATGGAAGAAATGAAAATCGAGTCAACATACGCACCGCGCGCTAGATGGAGGCTCCAGAGTCCACCGTCTGTGAGATGCTCAGATGGCCACGCTAGTTAGGTACGGTAGGTATGTACATACATACTTAAGTAGGTAGTTCTTCCATCCCCAAACTTCCCACATCTCGGTTCGAGCCAACGGTGCCATGGACGACAAACTGGATTCGTACGTAATATGGAGAGAAAGTGATAGGCTGTATGTTAATTAACACTGTCCTAAAAACTAACAGAGAGAAACAAAAAAAAAGCCAATAAGTGTACAACACAGGTCTGATACTCCACGGTTAATTCTGGAGCTGGACGGTGCCTCGACCATTTGGACGGAGTCGCGGAATGAAAACTACTCAATTCGAGTTTCTCTTCGAAGGATTCTAAGCGATGAGTTTAGCGGCCAGAACGATAACACAAAAGACCTTAACCAACCGTTCTGGCTGCGCTGGTCCCCCGAAATTGATCCTGGCCGGGAGGATTTCATTCTCTTGCGCCACGATCTAGACAGCTTCCAAAGAATCGGCGTTGAAGAGAAACCTAGATATGAAGTGGACTCAATAATTCAGCAATTTCCAAACGAGCCGCCTTCGTGTTACACAGCAGAGGCTAAGAAAAGCCATGACCGCTGCAGAATCACCTACAGGTTATCCTTTCCCGATACTTAGGAAGAGCTCTTACAATTAGGTTATACTTACGACCTTCTTTGGACTGGAAAGGAAATTACTCATTGGGATTGGAGCACGCAGCCAGAGATAAAAGATGAGCCTAAGTGGCCACCAATTTTGGTTCCAGGGGGCGCACATATAACATTCACAGTGAAAGAAGGGAAGCGTCCTCCTATTCCGCGACCTCCAACGCCACCGCTTATTCAGGCAAGTGAAAGAGTGTAAGCGCTCTATTTATAGTTAATAGAAAAAGTTCTTCTGCTTATAAATACAACAGGCCAGGGGCACCAGTTCTTAGTCTTGAGCTGAGTTGTAGCCCAATAATGACCTTGACAGGCAGTCTGGATGTCCATATCAAAGTCATTTACCACGGTGTCTCAAACAGCGATAATACAGCCATAAGCAAAGAAGCTCAACCAATAACCTTCCACACCCATGCATTTGTTCCGGTAGATGGAGAATTCCGCGTCTACCGCCGTCGCTGTCTAGATCAATCTAGGCCCGAGGCAGAGGAGGAATGGGAGACATTTGAGGGCGACGACTACTGTCAATTTGGGATCTGGGGTAATCCTGATAAGCTGATAAACGTCTCTGAGAATCCAAAGGGCCGATTCCCAACACTTTTTCCTGGCGAATCTTGGTCGGACTTTTGGACTATGCCGGCGGACGGAGATGTACTGCCCCATGATCTGAAACCCGGCGAGAGGCTCCGATACCAATTCAAAGGAAACACATTAGACTGGTGGGACTGGGGAACGGCCGCAGCGCATACTCAGACCGTTGTCACGCTCCCTGGCTCGGGAGTGGAACCTATTTCGGACCTCAAGGATAATGGAGGTCGGCCGAAGGTGGTTATACCGGCGTCGAATGTTGTGGAGTGGACGATTGTTGATGAATGAAGGGTTCCTGTCTGTATTCTGGCCCTTTGAGTTTTCATTCTACCGAGTGGCACTTGCTCTCTTCGCCACCGCAGTCTTTCAATTAGGGGTATGGAATGAGATAACGCAGCAGGTGCGTGGTCAACCCTTAAAAATGGGCCGTGAGAGAGTTTTCGCGCTTGATTGTATACACATCCGCAGCATGTCTCTAGGTAAGGAGTTCCAGTGGATAGGAACGTATCGAGAAGAGCATAACTTCCAAGGTGAAGACTAGCCACTGTGAATGATATCAATGCATTGGCGCTACGGACAAGTGTACCTACTGTACCATGTTTTTCTCCGATACGGCCCGCACCCTTCCCCGCGCGGGCGGAAGCCGTTTACAAGAGCGTGCACCGCAAGATATGGCCTTAAGGTCACTTGCGATACAAGCTCAAGGAAGCTTCCTTGAGTATCCTCGATGCATCGGATAATGGTCGGGGCGAGACGCTTTTCTTCCTCAGCGGTTGGGATGATTATCCGAGCCGATTGATGTTTGATTGGAATTGCATATAAGAGTAGTGAGGATACCCATTTGTATTCTGATAGGCTGTGAGTCGGCATTGTGCCGCTATATGTGTAGACTTGGTCGAGCTTTTTTGCTCAGTTGTGGCGTGGTCTGCCAATTTAGATGGGAAGTGATGTTCACAGAGAGTGATTGTAGTGAGTGACAGTGGACAGTGACCTTGCTAGATAGTGACATAGAGCCCCTAGGAGCCACTCCTAGAAATAATATCAGATATCCGTTCAATAACACAAGCAGAGAGAGCTAATAAAAGGCAATATGGTAGTAGATAAGCTTCAACGGTGATGCAAAGCGGCGGGGATTTAATCAGAAAACGAACGTCCCCAAGCAGTCCGGAGTTTTCGCAGTCAACAACCTCAATAATAATAGCAGCCGGAGACAGGGAACGATATGTACAACTCCATTCGGGAAGACGACCAGAATCTGATGCCGATTGAAGCATGTCTGATGTACCCGAAATAGCTACGTACTACTACTACGTCAGCGTATCTCGCATAAGATAGGAGATTGTTGCCATGAGTAACTCGGTATAGAGACAATGACCTGTCAACCGAATTCTAATACAGCCGGTGTCGCAGTGATATAATAGACAAGACTAACTAAGGCTTGCGCTGTGTTCACGGTCTATATGGTCAGTAATCCATAAGAGGGTCTTTTAAGTGTACCCGGGATAAGACAATAATTGGTGACAGGTCACACTGGCAGTAAAATGTCCCATTCTCAGCCTCGGCCGTCGCTTGATGCGGCTTGTTTGAAGAATCATCATTATTATTATCACTGTCCGGTTTGATAACCCTGAATCTACCATAATCCGAAGTGGAGATTAGTATTGCCCGAAACGTCGTAAATAGGAGATAATAATAATTTAACGCGGTCGATCGCAGTGCCATGGATGGGTCTTCCGTCTCGACCAGCTTCAAAGTTCAACGTGGCTGCCGCGTGGCATAGACGCCAAGAAGCGCCTCAGCCTTGCCGCACAGTAAATGAAATAATAGGAGGCCACTAGGCTTAAGTACGGTTAGTTCGACGTTGGGATATGGATCTGTTCTGCGGAGAAATCGGAATCCAGGAGAACCTACGCCGAACATTCCGATCAGTACTCCGTACTCTACGAACGAGTTCTGTTGGGATGCAACATCATCAACCCCCAGTGGACCGGCTGGCGGCGACGGTTGTATTATTCGGGTAAAAAGGTTACCACGAAGAGATCTTCGAGTTGCCTGAACAGCCTTACCAGAGGCCATGTGGATGTCTTTATTGGGCGTTGCAAAAGTCTTGGAGCGGTTCCTCCAGCATGATCCAGTGGTTTGGATCTAGACTGGCGACTCATCTATGGCGTATTATTGGTCCACGAGGCAGCGCACCAAATCGATAGTCTTTTGCCGCCGTGGTTCGTGAATTCTAGACTTGCTTCTTTTCGACGGTCAAATCCATCCCTGGGCACGCCGGCAGGACAGCCACCCCTTGGACGTTCCGAATCCGCAGAAATCTCTTAGTTGATCATAAAGGAGAGGAAGTCCGTTCACTTAGTATGGTTTAGTACTTCGCATTGTAGTTAGCACTTGTCGATGATTAGTTACCACTCCGTGAAGGGTTCAGACCAGGCCAAGACGCCGGAGAGGACCTGTTGAAGCGACCGGACAAAGAAGCTAGGGATGCTCTCGGCTCAGTTCCCGGCAATGACCGTTAAAAAAGAGGATGGCCAAATTTCGTCTTTGTCCCAGCTGCGGAGAAAGCACGATTCAGACAAGGTTACTCCGTGCCGTTGCTCCCACTGGGGCATCGTTCCAAGTGATCAAGACCAAGGAGAAGGCGTTGCGGAGGGTCTTCCTGCAGGGGCTTGTTCGCCGCTAAGTCGACGCCAATCAAGGGCTACAAGAGTTGGTGCCGGATCAAGGCGCGCGCTGCAGTAGCGATATGTTAAGGATCCTGCGTAAACCTTCCTTTCTTCGATGTGGAAGAGGAAAGACTTGAAAAAGTTGCTGTCCGGAGAGACGATGCACACAGTGGCGGCATAAGTTAAGTTAGTTAGTTAAAAGGAGCGACCGCTTAGTCAGTTCCCGGGGGAAGGCCGAGTGAACCACCATCCTTCATCTTTTTATTCAATCCTCGCGCCACTATGCTCGTCACTTGAAAATCTCTGTCGAAGTTCGTGCCAGACGCTCTTTTTCACTGTCCTCCCACCCGTCTCGACTATATTGACTGCAAGTGGCCGTTGTGGTACTGGCGACTGTCTCTGGATCCGCGGGACTATACTTATCGCTCAGCATCATCCCTTCTGTCATCTAGGCATCAGTCAATTGTCCGCGACAAAGACAGTGGTGCAGTTTCTGTTCAAGGCATTCAATCTTCCAGGAAGATAACGGATCGACGACGAGATAAGAGCCACGACTATAGAGCTGCCCGTTGTCTCATTGACCATCGTCTTCACTTCAACAAGTTCCATCGAGTTGAGCATACCAGCCTCTTCACCATGTTCGAAGACTTCTCCTTCTCTTCCCCGTCGTCCAACGGGTCTCTGTGCCTCGCCATCGACACGGAGGACAGGAACATGACCGACTGTGATAGCATGGTTTCCCCGCTGTCGTCGCGCTGCCCGTCACCACCGACTTTCTATCGCGTCCCCAGACCGCTGTCGCGCCATAAATCCTCACACTTTCGTCCTCTACCGCCAACCTCAAACCCATACGACTCGAAGCGTCGTCTATCGATCACGACACTGACTCAGAAACTGCATGCGCACACATTGGCACACAACGATGGGCAGGAACAGAGCGAAGACCATGCCGTATCACCCTCGAGTTCTACCTTTGGGTCAGAGGGTCCAGGGTCAGCCAAGTACGCAGGTTACGTTCTGACGCCTCCGGACACTGATCACGACGATGAGGGATACGACGAGACGTCTTCACTGGCATCTTTTTCTTACCCGAGCCCTCATTCTCCTTTCCTCAGCCCCACTTCAGTCCCATGCGAATATCTGCCCTCAGACACCAACATTGAGTCATCTTCAGATGTGGAGAAAGGCATGGGAGACGGCCACTTGCACGTTCGCTTGCAGCGGCAGCGGATCTCTCGTTTGCAGTGCAACGCTATGAGCGGTGTGGATGCCATCAAACTGGCTCTGCTCGCGGAGGAGGAACGGCGACATCTCGAATCGCTGGGTGAGGATTGTCACCCCAGTTCTCTTCCACCGCTGTCTCCGCCAGGGCGTCGTGGAAGCGCCTTTGGAAGGAACCGTTTCCGCAGAGAGAGTGTCTTGGGCTCCTCTTGTGATCGCTCGGGCGCTGACGCCAAAGGAAGGAGAAGGAGTGCTGCCATCCCGGGCAGTACTTTGTCTCACCGGATCGACAAGGGCCACTATCAGGTTGCTGGCCGCGACCTCCGGCAAAAAAGCGATCAGGAACTAAGAAGAAAGAGTGTTGTCTGTGCAGCTTTGGAATCATTTGCGTCTGAGTCATGAAATATTATGACTCAAGTCACTCAATATTTTCTACTTACATTCTGTATTATTACCATTATTGTTGTTGGGTTGGCTATTTTGTTCATTTGTCCTTGCGGCGTACGGTTTGGGATGTGTACAATAGCCCTACATATTTGGTCGGATACCCTGTCTGAGGATTAACTAGCTATGGTAATGTCTTTTTGGTGAAGCAATCTGTATCGAGTTGCTTGTCATCTGCAACTATCATTCTGCTGTATGTTATACCAGGCCCTATGAAGGGCACGTGATCTATATCAATTTCTATACCCGAAAAAAAAAAAGCAAATGTGCGCCCTCACTATTTCCGCGACCAGTAATTGCTAGTACGTAGTAGTATGGCCAGTGCCTCGACCAGGAGAGCAGCAAACAAGAAAATCAAGGGTGCCCCGGATTACGACGACCCCGCGTTCTGGGATATCAGATTCGCGACCGGCCAGGATGTCGGCGAATGGTTGAATTCGGGCGAGGCTCTGATTGAGACCGTCTTGTCCGACCTGGAGAAGCGCCAGCCCATCGAGTCGGGATCAGGAGAACAAAGACGACCCCAGATTTTGCATCTGGGACCGGGAGTCTCGAAATTAGGATCTAAACTGCGCGATAAGTTTGTGGAACGTGGATGGAGAGGCGACGGCATTGTCGTAAGTTTCTTCTTTTAGCCAAGATTCAAATTGAATCCTTCCCCGCAGAGCAACAGGAAACAAGAAAACATCATTCTCTAACTTCTGTTATAAGAATGTCGATTTCTCTTCTGAAGCCGTTCGTCTCGGACAGGAGTTCGAATCCGGCAAAGATGCAGCTCACGCCATGCATTGGGTTCAAGCCGATCTGCGCTCTTGGAGTGATCTATCCTCTGCTCTGAGGGAATTTTCTCCTTTCGAGATTATTTTAGACAAGAGCACTAGCGACGCCATTGCGACAGGCGCGGAGGAAGTATTTACTTCATCCAGCGCTGATGATCAGTCGAAAGTATGCCCCACGGTGCGGCAGATTCTGGATCTGAAGGAAATCAGCGAGGTTGAGCTCTCTCCGGTTGAGCTCCTGGCATTGCATCTTGTGCCTTTGACGCAAAGGGGGACGACGTGGATTGCGCTGTCATATTCCACGATACGCTTTGATAACTTTCCGTATCTAGCGGAGCATTGGAATGTTGTTTCGCGTACGCCGCTGCAGGCACCAGCGGGAGAGACTGCTTCTTCGGCTTATACGCCGCAGGTCTTTCATTGGATATATGTCCTTCACAGGGTATAGCAGAAAAGTTTACTGTCTGCACCGGTTCGAGGTCGTTGGGAGTTGAAATCTGGGTCTGAATATGGAATGGCCCCTCAAGTTCCAAAGGAATCCGTCAAACTGCCCATTTCAAGCGCGATACATCATTCATGGACAATTCATTAGCACTTGGAGACCAGACATAAAACCGGAGTAAGACTAGATGGGGACACTCCGCTCACTAGAGGATATTTTAAATGACTCGACTTATGACATCAATAGATTGTTAAAAATAGTAGAGACGCGATATCTTGTCGAGCAAAACGGTTAATGCTTCCAAAAAGCATTGCAACGCTTCTCAGCTGTCTATGGTAGAGCACGACTGCAATGCTCATGTCCTCTTGGCAGATAGATCTCAACTAATGATATCATATTACTATACAGATATCCACTTTACCGGTTGTTTATGGCCCATGTCCCGATTTCATCAGCTGTCGACAAGGTGAGGCTGGCCGCTGACCTTGTATGTGACCCCCCAGATCGCCTTGGGGAATCTCCGGAATGTTGTTATTGCTGATATTGTCATTATGTTCACACTAACCTAGCAATGTTGCTTACTGGCATTAGACATCATCTCATAAGGTAAATTGAGCCGATGAATCCCCCTCCAGTACTATCTCTGTAGTACAGATCTGTTGTCCGTGCCTGGAAATTATTATATGCTTGTATCCACATGATCCAGATGAAGATCTGCGTGTTGCTACTATCCTTGACACGTACTGGATGGCTCTGTATGATATTGATGACGAAGTAGCTATCATTGAATATAGCCTATAATGATCAGTATCTTATTCATAGCTGGAATACGATATAAATTATTATAGGAATTTTAAGCTCGAAATTAATTATTGCCTATATCAATTTAGATTTCCTTATACGCGCATTCTCATTTCTATTTGCTGATATCTCACCTCCAGGATCTATAATGCTACCTTATTTACAATATCGGCGTATAGGGAGACAAATCAACAACCAACTCCGGTCAGATCCACACGGAAAAGGAAAGTCTTCAGAGTATGGTTCTTTCTATCTCAAACATTGAGTGCATTCATATCTGACTATTTATTAGATTTGGAGAAGTTTAATTCTCCAGCAGACTCGGGTTTCTCGTCCACATCATCGAGCAGAGATAACAAGGCGCCGGTTTCACTTCCTTGGATATACGTACACGATGATTCCACGCACGGGACAGTGTTTCTTGTGGATGGCGAAGGCGATAATGACCCGATGGACGCACGCAACTGGCGGTTGGGCATACGGATAATATCGAGCCTGATTGTATCATCCATTGCTGGTCTTGTGGGATTCTCAAGAGCTATAGACTGCGAAGCATCAACGCAGATCACTGCGGAGTTCGGTGTGAGCAAGCTGGCGGAATCATTAGCTATATGTTCGTCAAATTAACTCTTCTCTTTCCATGTTGAAGACATGAAGGCTAACATATCCTCCTCTTACCTATGAATATAGCCACATACCTCTTTGGCTACGCAGCTGGTTCATTGGTAACTGGTCCATTTTCTGAAACTGTTGGCCGCAGCCCCGTCTATGTGATTTCAATGATATTATTTACGCTTTCATCCATGGCGACGGCTCTTTCTCCCAACTTGGGAGCACAACTCACCTTCCGATTCTTCGCCGGTTTCTTCGGCTCGACTCCCCTGGTCTGCGCCGGTGGCAGTCTGACGGATCTTTGGAGTCCAAAGGAAAATATATACTTTTTTCCAGTCTTCTCCATTCTCTCATTCGTTGGCAACGGCGTAGGGCCACCTATCGGCGGTTACCTTGCTCAATACGGCCCCAGTTGGAGATGGGTTGACTGGGTGACTACCATTCTCGCAGGAGTGCTTCTCCTGGCTGTCATATTCCTCCTACCGGAAACCTTCAAGCTGATGCTCTGGAAATGGAAGACTCAGCATGTGCGCAAAGTAACCGGGAATGAAAGATATAAAGCTCCATCGGAGATCGAAAAGGGAACCTCCCTTCCTAGACAGCTTTTCGAATCGCTATATCGTCCTTTCTTCTTGGCTATCTATGAACCCATCGTCATACTCATCGCACTGTACTTGGCTATTACCTACGTCATCCTCTTCACGTCACTGAATGGCTACACCTTCATGTTCAGTGATACGTACGGCTTTGACCAAAGATAATCAAGAAGCGGCAGTAGGGGCAGAGCAAGGAAGTTCCCGACCATCATGGCCAGGAAGCAGAGTCCTGTTTTACCCTACACGAGGGACTTGCGCAGGGTTCAAGAACGCGCAAAGATCTCTCAGGGCCCAAACCGCGAGGAAGGATATGAACATGCAGAGAATCAGCAAGTAGAAAATATAGTGCCGCCACCAGAATCCCAACTTTACGCAGCTATGTTCGGTGCGCCGTTTATACCGATTTCGCTTTCTCTGGATGATGACATATACAACTCGATCGGATATTTCGCCGTGGTCTGCGATTATTGGCTCCGTTCCTTTTGGGTTTGGGTTTGTCCTTGTTTTCGTTACTTGTTATGAATACCTGATGGATAGCTATGCGATCTATGCTGCTTCGGCGCTGGATAGTGCGAGTTGCATTCGATATTTGATAGCGGACGTGATGATGCCTGTTTCGTTGCCGTTGTACTCGAATCTGGGTGTAGAGTGGACGCTGACAATGCTGGGAGGGTTGAGTGCATTGATGGTGCCGGTGCCATATGTGCTCTATAGATGGGGACATGTGATTAGGCGGAAAAGTAAGCATGCTGCTTCTTGAATATGGTGCATGCTTCGTTTTTCATATTTTGGTCGCGAGTTACCAGCTATATGACGAGTCCGGGGGAAAAAAGCGGAGATTAAGAACATTTGTTTGCTCTGGACATGTCCTGTTGTGAACTCTATTAGAAGATGAGAGACATGGATATTAGTGGCTCTTTCATCTTAAGATACATGCATGAGCTATTGGGATAGCATCGTTCCAGAGGCCCCGTCCAAACTACCAACGTCAAATGATAGCGTTCTACCCACTGAAGATGTCAATACAGGAATTTCTTTCAGCATGATATCTGAACATCAAGCAAACCCAGATATTCTTAGAACTTCATAGAATGAATTGTCACCCTTCATAATCCCTCGAAGACAGACAGCGTAAGACAGCACTACCTTCTGTAGCACCAAGAAACGTGACTCTCTTTTTTGACTTGTTCCGAACGCCTTGTCCTTGCTCAATGAGTATGTGACGAGCCAAGACCGAGTATCACCATATTGTACGTATCTGAGACACAGACGATCATGAATTGCAAAAGGCTTATTTTGAAAAGAGAGCCATGAATAGCGAAATTGTAGCCCCTATAAGGACAATCGTGTACCCCAAAGTTATCCATCTCGCCAGGATTCTTTCACGGTCGTTAAAAGACTCCACATCTCCTCCTGAGAACCACCTTATCAGACAGTCCGGCCAAGACAGGCCCAAGCCGATGAGAGCCACCACTGGCCACCCCAATGGAAAGAGTAAAGTCAAACCTACAAGGATCCTCCGCCCTAGTCGTTTCTGAGGGACTATGTTCGCAATTGTTGATAGCTGAGAGTGGCGGAACTGCAATGGTACAAGTCGAGGAGGTTCAGCAAAGACATATCTCCCGGAAGTTGACCTGTACCAGGGAAGATACGACCCCACACTTTCTTCATCTCCGGTGAATCTGCTAGTGCTAGAAAATGTCATCGCAGCTTGAGGTCTGGCGATATCTGAGGCAGAAATATTGTCCATAACCCGGAGTCGCTCCCGTACCTCAGCATCTGTTCGGTATCTCTTTGTTCGACGGGTAGAAGTTGCAGAAGATGATTTGAACGTCGTTCTGGTTGCTAAGAGTGCAGCAGTAGAAGGCCCACGCTTAAGAGACGGCTTAGAGAAAGTCGTTGCCATGTCTGCGTCTTTCCCCTTTCCATGCGTCGCTTCCAGATTCCTGCTTCCAAGTGACCGTTGTGACCACTCTTGTAGCTCAATATCATTTGAGCTGCGCCGCTGACTCTGGCCTTTCTGACCCCTGGATCTAATTGATTGATAGATAGAGCCAGGGGTCGACCTCACCAGTGTCGGCTCGTCCGATGAACCGATAATCAGTCGTTCTGTAGAGGACGACTGAGCAGCCGCTTGTTTCGGCGACGCTCCCGGGGCAGCGTTTCCGACGTCGTTGGCTGAGTCGGTTACCCTCCTTCCACAGGAAGGAGGGCCCTCGACGTGTCCAACACGCCCTGGGCGGGACCTAGAAGTCTGTGTGAGAATCTGATGTCTGTATAGCATATCAGATGCAGCGGGGCTCTCATGAGTGGACTGTATAGTCACCCAGCCCGAAGAAGCGGAGAGGGTCCTATGAAGAGAGGGTATCTCAGGCGAAGGGGTTCGCAAAGGAGGCGGTCCTTCATCACTGTGGGTAGAAACATTTCCAAGGGTGTGAACATCCGATCGCAAATCCGTGTCTTCTTCCGTGATATGGCTCTGGTCAAGAAAGCTGAACTTACTGTAACTTGTCCCGCCCACTCTGGATGCCTGTCCGGAGGCTAGATTAAGCCTGCCCGGACAGACATCCGCTCCTCTGGGGATTGTCGGTGGAGAGGAGCAGAAGGGATTCGTATGAGAATCCCCAAGAGGGGTTGGGTGCCGGTAAGCCCTCGCTGAATGAGGACGAGGAGGACCCGCAAGGTAGCTCGTGGTAGCAGGAAGAGGAGGGATATGGCTCATGAGAAGGTTTGTATTCTGGAAGTGACGATCAGAAGAGGAAGCAGAACACTCCATATCAGATTGATGGTCAGGGTGGTGCGTGTTTGTTGGACCCGCACGCTGAGAATGAAAGAAAGGCGACGCCTGTGGGAGAGGTGGTGAAGAAGGGAGGTCAAAGGGAGTCCAGCTAGAAGTCTCCTCCTGTGCCAAACTGCCGTAACTGGAGTAGTCAGCCAAGCTGCTTCCTGTCATTGCCTGTCCCAGTCGGGATGTGTACGGGTCTGCGTATCCAGAGCGATGAGCGCCCTGTCCGACAAACGTGTCAAACGTGTCTCTGCTGAACTGATCACTTTCTGGGATTGTCTCCCAGTCCTGCTCATCATCCTGCATCTCACTTTCTCTTGACGAGGAGACATAACGACCTCGCCGTTGTCCAAGTCTAGAATAGTTATTAGAGAGACCTCCGTGAGAAATACTCCGACTTCTGAGATCCCGCAGTCCGGAGAATAACCTTAAATGAGGCCTTAGAAGGGGAGATATCAAACTCTCACTTAACTGCTGACTGGATGAGCTTTGACTTGATCCTGGTCCCAGATCTTGTATCTGGCTCTGCGAGGCTCCGAAGGTACCACATTCGTTGATTTCTGAATAATTCACAGCTGACTGACTTCTGTAGGGGTAGAAACGCGGTGGATCGTCCGCCGACTGAAGTGTCTCTTTATGTTCGCCAGGGCTGAAACCTTCTTCACGTGTCTCTGTGTTTGCATTCTGATCTTCGCTGAAGGGGACTGCTTGTCTCGCACTTACTGTACTGTTAGGGCCTCTATTATATCCCGAGGCACCTTTGGGCTGCCGGGGCATATACCCTCCAAGGATTCCGGTTGAGCTTGTGTACGGAATAAACGTGCCACTCCCGTGGGGAGCTGCAGTAAATGGGTGAGACGGCCAAGTATCGAGCTCGACAGCAGCTAGCTGTTCGCTAAGTTGCTCTTCATTGGCATTGGAAACCACACGTTCTGTGGTTTTTTCGTGTTCAGCTGGAATAGCAACGTCTGGATTGTCATTCTCCGTCTGCTTGACATTGTCTTGAGATTCTAAACGTCCACAGATTGAAGGAAGAGGAGCCGCTGGTTCATCACCGACAAGACTAAGATGGGCTCCTTGTCCAATATCAGTTTCCTGAGAGTTTTCATCATGTGGTACGCCGTGCTGACAAGAAGATTCGCGAGATTCGTGAAAAGGCGCAGGTGATGACGTTCTGCGGGTGTGACGAAAAGGGTCAGGCCACGAAGTGACTGGCCTTTCTCGAAATTTACTTATAGACCCTCTCCTGGGCCTCTGGTGCACAATGTCGTTGATGGTACTAGATTTATCAATCCTGCCTCGCGCGCTATGGTAGTTTGGTTGGCAAAGGTTCAACGAAGACGTGGATTCCGAAAATGCACCCATGTGAATAGGCTCACCCATGTCCTGCTGATCAATTTGTTCTTGCGAGCCTGAAAACAGAGAATTATCTGAAGTTGACCTGCTCAGTCGTTTTCCGTTACTTCCTTCGTGATCGACTTTGGATCTGGGAAACAAAAAGTTGGACAGTCTATCTTTGGCAGCTCGAGCTCTCTTTGGTCTCCGAAGTAGGGGCCTAGCAAAGCCACCTACCACACTTTTGGCGCTTGCTGAGGAACCGTTGCTAAGCTGGCGGAGGATACTCCTTTGCTCATTGGCATTGGAAACAGACCCAGTCTTCTCTATCTGTTGGTCACACTGGTCGTTGGCGGAGTGGTGACCTGAGGTCCCTGAGCCTGGTACTCGATCCCTGTCTGCAAGAGGATTCATCAAGGAGCTTCTGAAGTCTGTACTAGATGAACGAGTTGCCATCATGAGGTTGTGATCGCCAGTGATCTGTGAATATGCTGTGGGCAAATCATCGAACAATGACCTCATTGGTGTAGCCCGTCGTTGTGAGTTTTCAGAAGTCATGTCGCCAGGGCGCCTAGAAGGCGTCCTATCAGGCGACATAGTGCTCCTTGCGTCCTCGATCAGCCCTGATGTTGTCTTGTCTTCGCCTGAACCAAAAGATTCACGTTTGGTTTCAGGGGTTGATACAATTCGAGAAAGACGGAAAGAGTCCCGAGGATTCAAGATTTCAAATGCAGTGCCTTCGTGAAGTATTGTGAGGTCTGCTTTCTTGAGGTCGAGGACTATAGAATCAGAGACAGACTTCCTGTGAGAGAAACAAGGGATCTCTTGCGCGAGTAGGGTCCTCTCTAGACGATCCCGGAAGCTGATCTGTGCATTGTTCAGTTGAGAATCAGAGAAGACAAGTGAGCACGCTGTCAAAAGAGTAAGGTGATAATCTGGTTGAGTAACAGTCTTAAAACTCACCTGTGTCTCTGTGTTTTGATTTCGACGCGTCGCGCTTCTGTTAGAGGCCAGGCTCAGGTCACGGGAATTGGAAAAGGATGATGGAGCTGCACAAATGAGACTTGTGTCTTCTTTGAATGTAGTAAAAGGTATTCCTTACAGAATGTGGGAAAGATATTTGCAATATCTTTGTCACTATTGTGCGAGATGACACTCACGAGAGACTGAGAAAATGATAAAGGAGGCGGACTCGATGGAGCTGAAGAAATGGGAGAAATGGGAGAAGACGACAAAGAAAAATCAGTCCAGGCTCTTGTCTGGTTGAGATTCAAGACCCCTGCTTTCCTCTTCAACGTCCTTCCCCTGGATGTATCTGGAATAGCAGTGTTGTCCTGTTGAGAGAGATTCTTCCGGTACTCGTGAAGGGACAAAGACCCAGAGTAGCCTGAGGACCACTGAGTACCATGTACAGGAGATGGAGGCGTCGACTTATGTACGTGCGAGAAACAATATAGCTCCGATGGTGCTTCTGTGGGTGACAAAGAGAGACAAGGAGAGTATGGGGAGTAGAGGGAGTAGGCATGGAAGCCCAGTGGATTGTCTCGAACGACGTCTCCCGAAGCCTCGATGCTCCCAGCAGCGCAACAGCTCACTTCTCCGTCCATGTTGAACCTGGTTTCCTTGCCTCAATAAAACGTCGACGTCTGACTGCAAAGATTCGCGAACGACTCTCAGAGACTGCTTCTTTACTTTATATGTGCTGCTCTTACAGATATCTCCAGCTGTTCATCAGCGGGACCCGCCCAGTTCTTCCCCAGACGTCAATGATTTGATGTCCAGAGCTTTGGATGGCTCCCTAGCTCGAACAAGGGAAGCTTCGGACATATGATATTCTGCCACAGGTCAGTACATGCAAGAACGGCCTGATACAAGTATATCAAAGCATTTCGATACCATGGAACAGCGGCAAAGTGGCATACCCAGCACAGAAGTTCCATACAACCTTTCTACGGTATATTCCGAACTCCATACCACAGAAATAAGGAACGAGGCTTTCAAGCGCAAGGAACCGGTCCCTTGAATGCAATTAACCTGTATATCCAAATGCCAATAGAAGGTATACTCGGCGCAAACCACATCCCATATCCTGCGAGAAAGGCGAAATAATGAGAGCAAAAATTGAAAAAGAAATCGAGGATCAAATATTATCTTTGAAGTGTTCAACGAGTGTGAAGGAACCCCATCTGGCTTCCCCATAGAAGTCCAATCCTTCCCCAGGACACGGGACAACCACGAACATTAATAAAAACGACACCATGTTGACAACTGAACGCGTGATAAACAGATCGGACGTCCACAGTGCATGAACACACACACACACATACAAGAGAAAAAAAAATATCAGGTCTAGTACTCATCATTACCGGCTCCGCAAGGCCCATCGCCCATAGCCAGACAATCGCCAGGGAAAGCGGCATGTCGCGTTCGCCTCAGACAGCGAGAAGATCGGCCGCTACGGCCGAGACCAATGGGGAAGGATAGTGCGGTCCTTGGCCTTTTCGACAGACGCAGCCAGGGCCCGACATACACAGCATCGCCAACCACTCCGCGTGCAGAACGGCCTTCGCTCCTGGCTTGGACGGGTTACGGCTGAAGATTCCACGGCCCCCGGCCTATGTTCAAGGGCCGGCAGGGCCAACGTGGCACGGTTCTCTGATTCCATCGTGGAATCGTACGAACCAATGACCCTCACACCTGCAAGGGACCCGCGAGTGATGGTTCCCTGTCTCCGAGTGAACCGGATTAGATACATGATAGAGGCCAGCACCTAGCCTACTACCGTCTTTTTTTCCCATCGACCATTGAAGGCCACTTGGTGAGTGGCTACCCAAAGGGAGGCGATGACAGCATTTTATTTACCGCTTCTTATTGGAAGCAGTCTGGCATTTCAACGTTGTGGGATACATTCGCCGTCATTGGATTGGAAACGTTAACCATACCATCGGAAAAGCGTAGTTTGAGGACTTTCACATACTCAGAAAGGGGGCTCGTGCTGCGTCACGGAGATGCTGGATCTGCCCACCTTCACTCGTCATTTTCTGTAGCCATATTAAGCGGCTGAACAAAGGCCTGATCCCGTGGATGACTGAAATGATGATCGCATTTCCCTGATGTTGAACCTTTGCGGTGCGATTGGAGGGCCTATTATTGAATGTGGCAGTGAAGGGAGATCCCCTCCTAAGTACTATCAACTTCAACTATTCGACCACCGTCCACCTTTCGCATGGGCACACTGCACTACTACACACTGTGCATTGATTCTAGAAGGGCTAGAGAATCGATACAACGGCCAGATCAGCATGGAAATCAGCCTTGTCAGGCGGTACTCGACAAATTTACTGTTTGCTACCAAACAACAGCAGTTAGTAGTACTTGATAACTAATCGGGATTCCCATCTGCAGCGTGCCCGTAGTGGGTTGCCTCGGCAGTTCTTTCTATCGTTGGAGAAGAAAACATCAATTACCATCATCACACACAGGAAGATAAACTAACCAGTAGGAAAGCCTCCCATCACTGTTCCAGAACATCGCTCTTTTGCCTCTCCGCACCCCGAGCACCCGAAATCAGCTACTTAACTAAGACCTAGTTAGTAGTGATCCATCTTCGTGGCTCAGCCTTACGACGTAACGGACCAGCTCTAACCACATAACGCACTATTATTCGATGGCCTTACTTACTTACTACTAGCCTAGCTTGTTTCCATTACCAGATCGTTTTCTTCTTTCGCATCGACGGTCACAGCACGCGATGGGTAAATTATTACGTATTTTATGCTATACATAGTTTTGGAATTTGAGTTAGGTAACTAGTCCACTCGCTGGCGTAAGCGGATGAGAACGGGTTTCAAATGTCGTGGCGGGATCTAAGGAGGGGTTTAATTAGATCGGCATCTAGATAGACACCGAGGAAATGGAACTGGGGAACGACGACGAACTGCGCGGCAACGTTCACAGGGTGAATAAACAGGCCTGGTGATGCGGGAACTGTTGCCGGAGGGTATGTGTGCCACGCAATTTACGTAGTAACGATCATATGAACACATATTCTTAGAGCATTGGATACACATAGAACTACCAGGCAGGACGTAACAGAAGATAAAAGAAGAGAGGAATTATGTCCTTAAGACTTCAGCAAGAGGTATGGATATAAACATGGTTATCATAACTTGAGAATAGAAGAGAAGACAAAGAAGAAAGGCGACTCAGACATTCTTAATCATATCAAGTTCCTAGAAACATATATCCTAATATCTCATCCTGTTCTGTACCTGGTCATTTGTGCGCGTGAATAGTACGTACGTCATTGGCTAAGAGACACACAAAAGAAAAACATACGCAAATAAAAGAAAAGAAAGAAATGCCATTGAGATAATATGGCAGCGTCCGAAGTCAAGTCATGCGAAAGGCGTCTATGTCAAGCTATGCGCAGACTGGGGAATCTCGAGTATTTCGCTAGTGCACAGCAAAATGAAAAGAGAATGAAAACATGCCGATTTCGTTGGTCGTTAGAAAAATGTTGGATGCGCTTCCCTCGATTGACCGCCTTGAAAATAAACGCCAGATTCGAAAAAAGGTCGCGTTGAATGCATGTACTCGTATCTGATGGTTCGTGAAAACATACTCTAGTGTCGTTTGTATTTCTGTAATAAGGACAGCCGTCAGCATGAGCCAGAAACGCAAGAGCCAGGCACAGGATCGTGCTGGATTTACGACTTACATCGTCCATTCTCCTCCTATTAGTCGGATCCAAGGTATTGCCTGCGCCCAACAACGTCTGTCCGACTGCCTTAGTTGCTCCAATAGCAGGTCTGAGGATGACCGTTGGAGCTCGTTTGAATACAGCCTTGGCAGCACCAGCGGCGCTGCCACTCTCCATGATTTCTCCAGGCACCGCAACAATTGCATCTCTAGTAAGGAGAAGGTCACGCTCAAGGCTGCTGTAGGCACCTCGAAGGCCCTGGACAACACCAACAGGCTGGTCTGCGTACAATGAGATTCGCTTCTTCTCTTCCTCTTCAAGGTCGTCGTCGAGCACAGTCTGGGGTGCACCGGGTGCGTTGAGGAAGTCTTCAGCTCCTTGCAGTACCGTCTGTGTGCCGATGGCAAGTTTAGCACCTAACTTAACCAGTTCGTTCGTAGTCGTCTTTGCGAATGCCATCGCCCCCTTTTGGATGCTGCGGACGATACGCCCGTCCTTCTTATACTCGCGCATGGGAACGACAACAAGATCCTTGACACCGCTACCGACATTGACGATCGACCTAATCGGAGCTAGACCGGCAAGGACACCTGGGAGCTGGTTCCGCTTCACGTCTGGCATCCATATATCGTTCAGGGTGAGTCCAAGCTTTTCGAACCCTGAAACCCCGTAGATGATAACATGTCGCAAAACCATGTCTGCATTGTCGAGGACAAAGAAGTTCATGAACTCCGTTGTACGTCCAGATCTGAGACCTCCATAATCGACTCTCTTCGGCTTGAAATCAAGTCTGACCCTCACAGCATTGACCTCTACTCTCTGGAGGAACGGTTGTTCTCCGGGAGAGCTTGGAGCGGGTGCATTCTCGTCTTTGAACTCGAAGAACCGACTCATGAAGTCCAGAGCATCCTGGTCGACATGGAGGCGTAAGGGAAGGACAGTCGCCTGTGATCGTGTTAGACAGCGCGCAATTCTATCAAATTCGGCAGAGCTTACCTTAAGGACAATCTCAGACGCAGCAAGATCAGGGACAGGCTTTACGTTCAGAAGCTCTATGTGTATCATGCTTGTGCCACTCTCCCTTTCTCCAGCGTCATGCATATAGGTAGCAAACTTCTTCCAAGTGGAGGTTGGGATATGATCGAATATCTCCAGATCTTTGACCCGGACATCCAAAGAGCTTACTGTTTCACCGGAGCCAGGTGGGAAGACGACAAAATCTGCCGATATACCTTTCAGCTCAAAAGTCATCTTGTGGTGCTTGCTCCTGGAGAGGCGCAGTTTCCTGCCTCTAATAGACGAGGACCGATCATGGCGTACTGTTGCTCCCGTCACAGTCGTGGATGTAGCATAGCTTCCCGTCTCACTAACGAGGTCGTCTATGTCACGGTTGACTTCCTGCGCGAGAGTACGTGGGTCCTTGTTTGCCGGGATGCCTATGTATATAGAATTGAAGAGGAAGTCGCCGATGACTGACTCCTCTTCATCTTCAACTCCTGGAGATGCACGGCTGGCTGCCCTGGCTCGTCGCTCGGTAGCCTTCAGTTCTACGTCTTTCACAGCCTTGGATATTGTGTCCCTCGTCCGCTGCCAGTCATAGCCATCAAAGAGATTCCAGATGACATGCACATCACGAACCCTTACTCTCAGAGGGCTTCCCTTCAATTTGACATCGTTCGACAGCCCGTAGGTGTTATGGGATGAATCCCATCTATGCGCTGTGCCCCCGACAGCAGACTGCTTGGCAAAATGATCCTCTTGGAAGTCGAGCTCAGAAATACTTGACGTGACCTGGTGTTGAGTATGGAAACTGTCGAGCAGGTCTTTTGATTGTGATGACGCCATCGCAGAGCCGCTCATGCTTTCCCTGAGCATATCGCCGTCAAAATCAGGCTTTGACGGATAGAACTCGCTGACGTATTCCAACTCATCCTCCCCGTGCTCCACATTTGTATAATCTTGGGGAACGTCAGTAGCTTCAAACAGGTCTTCGGGTTCAGACATTGTTTCCGTAGCGAACGCGTCGCCAGAGAATGATGCAAGCATATCCTGAATTGGCATAACCTCGGTGCGGTATTTAAGAGCAGTACTTGGCGGTGTAGGCGGATTCAAGCCATTGAGGATGCTAATCAGCGTCTGCGTGGAATCGGCGCACGTCTCAAGAATAAGCAGGTCGTCCCTTAACTCAACATCCAATGATTTGCTCCCGTCAGGTTCGAGCTCGATGAGCTTCACCAACGCCATGGCTGAGGAGATGTACGACACTGGAACATAACCCATATTGATGAACTCCTGAACTTGGTCGCTTTGCCCAGCTGCTGAGCCGAGTCTGCGTAAATTTTCCGTTAAGCCCACATTCTGAACATCATCAATAATCATGATGCAGGCCTTCCTGATATCCAATGAAGCCTCTAATGGTTTATCGTCATAGAACCCTCCCGTAAACTTGGCAAAAGTGAAGACAACAAGACCTTTAGAGGGCAGATCCCGAGGGTTAAGTCCAATGACACAATTTCGCAAGGCGACTGCAAGCTTGAGAGGCTTGGTCTTCTCTTTAGAGGCGCCTAGACTTGTGGGAGAATGCATCGAGGAAGGGGCACTACTTTGCCGGCGATCTTGTAAATCGGCTAAGCTTGCAACAGACTGTGCCATATTGGTAGCAATGTCTTCCGTTGAAGTATTCTCGTCCATTCCTAGAAAAGCCATGATAGCAGGAACGGTATACTCCACACGGAGATTGTTCAACTTGATTTTAACCGTTGGGTCCATCTCTTCAGCGATGAATCTGGCCATTATCATGGGAAGGGGGGCCTCCAGTTGCGTTCGGCCCATCGTCGGGGACGACGCCTCTCCCACAAGCTCTTCGTTTCCATTTCTGGAGAGAGAAACACCCCCTACCTGAGCGGCAACGAGAGAAGGAATGCTTATGTGGGCGGCTTCAAAATTGGTGGCAAGCAAGCCGATGTCTCCTATCTTGCCCCCGATCTTTACTTGAGCTTGAAGTTCCTTGACTAGAACCAGCGTTAGGATCCCAGGTCGGTCGTCCTCGGGCAGATATTTGGCGACACTGGACAGTTTAGCCATCTCATTTCCGAGCTGAGACAAAGCATCTAGGGCGTCGACACGGGAGACGACCGTTTTAACAGTATCGACTGTCACTCGAATTACGGCCCCTTGCTTACGTTGCCGGAATAGAGTATCGAGCATGATGTCGTCGTCATCCTCGTACTTGTCTTTTGAAGGGGTAAGTAACGACAAAAGTCGATCCAAATCGACTTCCTTCGGACAGAAGAGATACAGGATTCGGATGTTGCCAAGACTGACTTTTGCTGGCGCATTACCGCCGTCATCAAGTCGTACCGGTCCTTTAAGCTTGGCTTTGTCGATTTGCAAGCCGACTGTATCAGATCTGCTGACAAGTTTAACCGCAGTCGTTTCAAGCTTGATACCATGACTCTCCCCAACAACATCAACAGCGAGACCACCAAGTCGAACATTAACTTTCCACGGAACAGAGGCATCAGCGGAAACGCTTGTGGGCGTGGAAGGAGTTGCTTCAAAATGTACACCGCGCGGTCGCTTATTCGGTTCCGGCTTTGCACCTCTTACTGTTGACACTGACGCGATCGAGCTACCGAGCTCCAGAATGGTACTCAAGCCACCGAACCAGCTCATTACTTCCTCCAATCGCTGAAGATTGAGATTCAAGTGTAATGGCAAAGTCGTAAGATTGACAGAAGCAAAGTCAGCCGTCCTTGTCAAGGAGAGGGATATATCTCCGTGTACAGGTGCTAAGATATCTCTTGTCGATTCTCGCATTTTGAGACCCTCGTTGAATGAGAGAAGATCCTCAGAAGCGAAACCCAAGGTAAACTTCGAAAGCTCCAGACGGAGTTTCGTCGTGGCTGTATCCATCGCGAAATCCGCTCTTAGGCCGGATATCGTCGCTTGTAAGATGGTATCTGCAAGATAAGAGAAACCAGGCTGCGATGGCCGGAAGTCCACTTTCTGCACAGGGTAGGTGGAACCTGGCAAGTGCTCAAGGAATTTGATAGAACAATTCTTCAAAGAGAAGTCCAAGATTGTTGAATTCCGTGCCGGAGCTCCTCGAGGACTATTCTGCTGGACATTTTCTTCCTTATCGTTACCTTTATGAGCATTGAGTAATCTCTGGCCCATCTTTGTCAATAGCCATCCGGTGGCAATGTCGAACTGAATGGCGAGGGAGGCTACCTCAACAGAGAAAGCGTCACGTTGCTTTGTGTTTAGGGGCTGACCTGACGTCCGCTGTGCATGGTCCGCCGGGATAGATGAAATAGAATCCTGGCGTAGCCTCCTGGAGAAAGCCATTCTTGAGCTGGCAAGTTCACCGGCTGTAGACTCTGACAGGCTAACAGTAGACTCTCTCATATGATCACCAGATTGTCTGTCTTGCCATGTAGAAGATTCATCCTCAGGTTCTGTTTCCGCCGTACCGTCCTCTGAAGGGAGCCAAATCTTTATTTCACTGATATCCAGGATTTTCTTCGCGACATCGGTGTCTTTATTAAGAGAAGGAGAGAAGAAGTCGGATCTTGCTTCGGTATCTGGTTGAGCGTTCAGATCATGTCCATGGCTTCGTAAAGACTCCTGAGAACGTTGCAATTCGGTCTCTGGTTCGTGCTTCGCCGTGAGTTTCGGAGTGGAGACTATCGTATCATCCTGATCGTCCTGCTTGAGGTCGTCGAGCGGCGCGAACGAAGGAGCATCTGCATCCCATCTAGAGGTGTGTACGTCCCTAATACTGGCCTTAGGTGATTCCCAGGCTCCAGGTATATCTGGGAAATAGCTCTTTGATGTGGAAGCATGACTGATCGCACTCATATACATGCTTTCTGCCTCCTCGTGGGAGAAGATCTTCGACTCGGAGAGAGCCCCATTGGATGAACCTGATTGAGAATGAGCACTGCCCGCATCAGAAGCCGGAGAGGCGAGAGGCGGATGGTTATCTTCGCTTATGCTCCCTTGCAATGAAGACACATGCTGTTCAGATGATGTGGACGGCTCAGTAGGTAGCAGGGCCAAGTGTTCATTTGAAGCATTCCTGGACTCACTCACGTGGAGCGAGCCTCTACTGCTTTGTATCTCCCCATGACCTGCGCCTGAGCCTGAGGATTTCTCCATACCAAGTGGTTCATCGGCAGATCCAAGGCCTTCCGAATGTGAACTCTGGTGCATAACCGTCTCTTCTGTGTTCCTAGGCTGCTGCTCTCCAGAATCTAATACAGTTGACCCTTCGACATCATCTCCGAGATGAGAATTGAATACCTCCTCTAGATACGCTGGGTTGTCTAAGAACCGGTCGTCGTACTGGCTAGCTGATAGATCTGGATAATCTTCCGGATAGCCGTCACTTCCGAATTCTTCATCGGTTCCAGCATCTGAGAATCGGCCGTCAGCCGTATATGTTGATTGCTCCATACCATGGGTATGGGAAGTTCCAATGTCGGGTGCAGGCTCTGGATAAGGCTCCAGGTCGCGAGGGGGCGGCAGAATAGTCGAGTGTGTCATGGCAAGCGGGGAGTCATAATGAACGGATGCGGGCGCAGGTGATGATGTCCTACTAATTGTCTGACTCTCCTTAGGGTGCGTGGTGGGCGGCGAAGGAGGAGCCGCGAAACATGCATAGTTGGAGAATACAACCGGATCCGACAATAGCATTGCTTGTATATCAGACAGGGTGATCAGCCGCTTTCCCAGATTGACGGTATGACCCTTGTCCTCGCTGGAGGCATAGGAACCCACGCCATCGATGCACAGTTCTCTGATCGTCAACAGCCCTGTTATCGGATCCGGCTTGTCCTGCGGGTGCCTCTTCGTTGGCGCATCCTGTTCGAGCTCCATATCCACACGCAAAGCGACATCCTTGATCTTTACCTGCAGTCTATCCACAACGCCCTTTAAGAAGCCTGCAATGAAGCTAGGCAAGGAGACACCCTGCTGACCGAGTCCCAGCTCCTCATCATCACTAAGTGATCCAGATGACGGATGCAAGTATCCTGACTGCGATGAAATAGCCGCCTGCAGTTCTTCCTTTTCCTCCCGCGGTTCTGACTGTAGAAATGACTGCGCAAGGTCGGTCGTAGTTGGAAGCACTTGGTCACCGCCGGGATCATGGATATCCGACCGGAAGCCTTGAGAGCGACCGGATGTATCATGTCTTAAGGATGTAGAACTCTGATCCCTCCGCTTCTTGCCATCCGTACCTGTGTTGGGGTCGTTCGGTAGCAGTCTTAGATGTACACTGACACCTTCAACCTCCGCAACGATACCACTGCTGTAAATGTCGGCGGGTATGGTCACTCTGAGCAGGAGGATTCGAGCTTGAAGCAGTTCGGACGCTGGCGGGAGATGGAGAAGGGAGGAAAGTTTCTAGAGAGACGATATGATCAGTATGTTGCTTTGATAGACATGCTCCGTAGCTATCGGAAATAGCTCCGATACAAGAGGTTCTTTTATCATTCGAGTACCTACCTCCAGCTTCAGACCAATATCCCGCAGTTCGAAAGTACTTCTCTGCCCCCAGCGGATGCCTAAACGGTCGAGATCCAAGGCATCGGTATCGATGAGCTCGAGCCGCGATAGGGCATACCGCAGCAGCCGCTTCTGGAAGAACGACGGCAGGAAGTAGGCCATGATGGATAAGAAACCAAAAGGAGCCGACAAAGGCTCAAACTAAGATGCCAGCTATCATCGAAGCGCGATCATGGTAAGGACAAGATGCTGTTCGCACGTCATCCGCTGGCCGATGCGGAGGCGGAAAGTTGGAGTAAGTGTAAGGTCGTTGTTAGTTTTGAGGGTCCGGGATGGACGCCGTTGCTCACCGATGGCGGTGATGTAGGACGCAGCGCTTCAGGTGGCGGAACACCGCCCCTTCTGAAACCACGAGGATTTTGTTCAAGAGGAGGTTGGTCGGGCCCAGTTCAGAGGATGGGGGATGCTGTGCTGGCTAGTTTCCATCTCATCGTCCCGGCGATGGATGCAAGCAGGCACCAAGTGTCACCACTCGGAGGCCGCAAGGTCAGTGGCGGGGTTTGAGAGCTGTGGTGGTGATGCTTCCGCAGGAGAAGAGACGGCGCAGACCAGTAGCACCACAGCCAAACGACAGCAAGCAAGGGAAGATGATCTATCACTCACGCTTATCTATGAAGATAAATGTGCATAGTATTCTCCTTACTCCGGGCACCTACCACTAGGTATCTATCTAGATCATTATGTCTCAGTCACACATCCGGATGCGGTCAAGCTGTTTCGTCCGATCATCGATCATCTATACATTGGACATCAGATGACCGTCTCATGTCAGTCTGATGAGAGCTTTTCTAAATTGGAGACAAATTAGGTGTTATTATGAATTGATTCCAAAGTTCTAGTAACCTATATCATTATTGTCTTCTTCTTTCTTGGTTGTACCTCAGTTATCGTCACCATCCAGCCCTTCGTCTGCAAACTCCATCACGATCCACTGGCAGAACTCTTCAAAGTCGGCATACCACTCTCGCAAGCGTTGTGCTTTCACACCATTCCCAGTGACACCGTCACGGATATCCTTCTGCCACTCAGCTGTGGTTTGGTCTTCAAAGCAGCTCCAGCGGATCGAGTTCTCCGCCATCACAGCGAGGCCTTCGAGGCCCATATTCTCCAGTCCCTGAAGCGCTTGCCAGAAGTCATGCGTCAGTCCATTCCTGCCGTGTCCCAGTACAGCCGGGTCATCGTTACAAAGAGAGACCGGGACTCCCCGTGACAGCAGTGCTGGGAGGGGATGCGATTTGATCGAGCTGGTCAGCCGTAGGATCTCATTCGAGATGGGACAGCATTCAATCAGTATCTTCTTTTCTTTCACTAGATCGATGAGTAGAGGATGCTTATATAGCGAGAAGCCATGGCCGATCCGCCGGGTTCCCAAGAGGATAGCATCGAACAGATTGTTGTCTGTCGCATCTCCGTCACCCAGACACTCGCCCGCGTGGAAGAAAAAGGGGATTTCCACGCCCTCCTCCGCGCAGGCTTTACGAAACCAGAACAGAATGGGTGTCATATCCACGAGTGGTCTGCCTTGGTCTTCCTGCCCGACAACGTCAAAACCGCAGATTATCTCTGGGAATTCTTTCTTGGATTCGATGCATTCCTTCATACTCTCGACAATATCTCGGTTTGGCAACCGGCGCAGAGTTGTCCAGATAATTCTTGCGCCGTGGAATCTCGCTCCCTTTTCTGTTGCTTTAAAGGCCTCGACTTCCTCCTCGAAAACGTTAAGGAACTCCATGTAGTCGTCCTCTGGGGTCTCGCTGTTTTCCCGGCGATATTCAAAGAGGAACGCGACTCGAAAGTCGACATACTTTATCCCATCGACTGCAAGCTCGTCGAGCATTCGACGCAGACACTTTCTTAGTATTGGCTCGTAGAACAGGATCGAATTGATAACGGGGAAAGTCCGCTGAAAGATGGCCCAGATTGCATCCACTCCGTGATGGTGATTATACGAATGATCCGGAGCGATCATACAACGGCTCTTCAACCACTCGCGAAATCCACTCTCTCCACCGCGCGGGAAGGTAGAAGCAGCTTTCTGAATGTGAAGCAGGGTCGAAGGCTCGTAGTCATCTGTCCATATCGAGGGCTTATTGTCCGATTTGGACAAAGGGCGTTTGGAAAACTGGAAAGATACCGGGGCCACATCTAGAGCCTTATCCGATGATAATGGCTGGGGTGCGGAAATGTGTATTCCGGGCGTTGTAAATGCCAGATCGATTAGATAGTCGAGGTCAAACATGGCATCCATGTGGGCATGGAGCAGTGCGCCTTTGGGCATCCGGTGCACAATCTTCCAGAGATCCGTCTTCTCCATGCGATCCTTGGCCAGATTGAACATGATACCTGGATAGAGCACTTCATCAGACTGGTGGGCGATTTTTTCCTCTAAATGATCAGTCCACACATCTCGCTGCTCCCTGGCACGGATGCGGGACACGATCCTGGATGCCTCCGCAGCCACGCGGGACATGGATTTACGAAATGTATAATCTGGACGACGTTAGATCATGTTCACTTCTATTTTCCCCAGTGATGAGAGATAAGGATCAAAACTACCATGACGCTGTTTGCGCTCTTCCTGGATAAGTGCTTCTCTGCCGTTGATATATTTTTGGATGAACGGATCTCCAAACTGAGGGATCCCCTCATCCAACTCCCACTCGTCGTCACCGGAGCCCATGATCAACGAGAACACCTGAGGAGAGAGGCTAGAAAGGTCTCTAGAGACAAGATAGGCGCGCTAGTGATAAGTGTTTAGATGAAAGTAAAGCAGGAAATCCCTGATCGCAAATGGCTGCGCGAAGAGTTGGATGTATTATTTGTCTGCCTTGTAAGTTGTTCCTGACAATGAGATCCCGTCGGCTGTCCGAACCGCCAAGTAAGCACTTAAGTAGAGAGGGTCACGCAAACGGCAACCAAACCAGGACAGTTCCACCACGTAAGGTTTGCGCTACGATGATATTCGAGGTACAGGGAGGTACAAGTCATAATAACGATTATTATTGTCACCTGTCTAAGTACTCGAGCCATCTAATTATTCTCTCGCGTGCGATACGGCGATGCTACTGTGTTATTGCGCTTTTATAGAGTCACCATATATATATGGTTCGCTGCGCAGTGGTCTGGTTGTCCGGCCACATCAAGAGCTTAGCTTGTCCATCACAAAGGATCCTGTAGACTAAATAAGACAGATATCTCCATTTTTCAGGTGGAAGAAAATGGATAAGCAGAGCGGTACACCCTTTTTTTTTCATGGTTCCCCGCAGAGTTCGACCTAGGCAAACCTTTTTCTTACAGGATCAGACTTTAAACCTACGTACCTAGGTACCTAGTTACTATTCATATTATTCCCATCCTTCCATCCAACAACAAAGTTACGAGGGTGGTACCAATCTAGCACTTTCTTCATATTCTATATGTCCTATATATTCTATATATACCAGATTCTACTTGCAGTCGTGCACAAATAACTCGCCTGGTACTCAAACCCAGATTGGAACCAGCACATCCGGGCTCTCCGAAAGCTACTACTACTTAAGCTCCTGAGCTGAGAGATTATTATTAACCTGACAAACTTCTAACCCCGCATATTATTTTATTCCTATCATCTATGTAACTGTCTAGCGCTCCCCGGTTTGTTCTTTTTCGAGCCTAGACTGTTCATGGAAAGTCTGCTGCTGATCCGCAATAATATGAGAGGAGCTTTCCCTTTTCCATTATTATTATACTGACAGACGCTCCAATAGTCTTTTCTAGAGGCTAGAAGGATGCTTGTTCCGTATCCCTTTTATCGCACAGAGGACGGCAGATATCGGGCATGGCATGCACGATTCCAGGGATCACGTCGAGCCAAGTTGCCAAGCTGAAGCTTTCGTGAGACGACCATCGACGGCGTTCTCCGCACAACAGAAGCCCAGAAGCCTGAGCTAGTTAGTTAGGTATCGGCCGCTATCAGTTTCCCACTAACGCAGACTGTTTCCAGAGAAGCAGTTGAGACTGTGCATATAATAATGTTCTTTGTGCGTCGATCGCAGATCTGGGGAAGACTTGAGGTTGACACATTATTATTATTATATGCCAATTCGCTTCTACGAGTCCTCTATTTTTCCTGCTCGAGACATGCACATGCTCATCTGTCCCGTGGTACATGGATCGGCAAGCCGCCATGGCCTGTTTGCCGCCGCCACGCTGCGAAAGACAAGCAAAAACGCCTTCCAGAAGGTCACTGCTCGAACTAGACGCAAATTCGACCGGCGCGATCTCGTTAGCCCAGCACGATAGGGTTCCCCAAGTGTAACATCCTTATCTTTCGGCCCACATTACCGAGTTGACTGGCCCGTCACCCAAACTGTGCGCGGAGCGGCTACCTTCGCACCTAAACCAGGGCACGCGAGCTCGATGGCACGCTTCCTGATAAAAGTAAGCTCGATGGCCATCTGTGGGCGGGAAAAAAATGGCCGAGCAAAACGGGGTCTATACTCAGTCGGTTCTCCCCACTAGTGGCCTTGGGTGCTCGTGCCGGTCGACTGGTTGAAAAAAATTGAGCTTGTCTCGCGTCTTTTATAGACCGTGGGATTCCCATCGCCAAAGCGCCAACTCGTGTCATCCACGAGGAAGACCGGAAATCACCTCATAATCACCTCATCCCCTTTTAAGAGGGCCAGTCAAGTCCAGCGTGGACGGTGTGTGCAGTGGCCAAGAGCTTGTCTGGTGGTACTACTCTATATCCAGCGGGGTTAGGAAACAGAGAGCAAGATGGCCGATGCAGTGCCGGAGCGCACTGCTTCTCCAATTTCTCCAGTGTCTCCTGAGATCACGCGCCATTCAGATCCAGCTTTGGATCCGGCAAACGAGCATCATCATGCTCATCAGCATCATACGGCCTTTGCGGAGCATGGCCGCGAAGACGAGGTGGTCTATTCAAAGGACACCACCTTTGACAAATCGGTCATCCCAGACGCCGCCGTAGAGCACAATTCGTTGAACGGGAAAGGCGATAGCAATGGCGATATTGAGGAACTCGGTGAGGGCTCTGCGAAACGGCCCTGGCACCGGCGTATGGTGAAGCATTGGAGACATGTGTTCCATGCTGCGGTGTGGATTCTCTTCACCGGGTGAGTCCAGCATTTTTGAACATTCCACATGTACATCTTCCTGGGAATTGTCTGCCATTGTTCTTTGGTGATGGAGGAATATGAGCTCTGGATGAGACAATTCAACCCCAGGTCAAATGCTTATCTTTTTCTCTACAGCTGGTGGATTACCGGCTTGATCAAGCATCGATACGACCTCGGATGGTTGATCCCGTTCCTGCTCTACCTCGCCATTACGCTGCGCATCATTTTCTTCTACGTTCCGATCACGGTCGTCACGATCCCGATGCACTTTGTGTGGAATCACACCTCGCGGCCCTTTGTCCGCTTGATTCCCCAGAAGCTCAGAACGCCCGCTGCTGCATTGTTGGTCATTGCAGTGATTCTCGTTGGATCCTTTGCCTCCGAGGAGTCGGCTGATAACACTCGGGCAAACCGTGCCGTCAGTCTGTTCGGACTAGTCGTCCTGATTTTCGTACTATGGCTTACTTCCAGGAACCGCAAGAAGATCAACTGGCACACGGTCATAGTCGGTATGCTGACGCAGTTCATCATTGCGCTGTTCGTCCTGCGCACCAAAGCCGGCTATGATATCTTCAACTTTATCTCCTTGCTTGCCAGAGACTTGCTGGGTTTCGCTGAGCAGGGTGTCGCTTTCTTGACGGACGACACAACAGCTACTTTGACCTGGTTTCTGGTCAGCGTCATTCCAGCCATTATCTTCTTCGTGTCGCTCGTCCAGCTGTTCTACTACGTCGGTATCATCCAGTGGTTTATCGGCAAATTCGCCACTTTCTTCTTCTGGAGCATGCGCGTCTCCGGTGCTGAAGCCGTTGTCGCCGCTGCGTCCCCCTTCATCGGTCAGGGTGAATCCGCCATGTTGATCAAGCCGTTCATCTCTCACCTCACCATGGCGGAAATCCACCAGATTATGTGCTGCGGTTTCGCAACCATCTCCGGTAGTGTGCTTATCGCCTACATCGGTATGGGCGTCAACTCGCAGGCGCTCGTGTCGTCCTGCGTGATGAGCATTCCTGCATCACTTGCCGTCTCCAAGATGCGCTGGCCAGAGGAAGAAGAGACCTTGACTGCCGGCCGTGTCGTCATTCCTGACGACGACGAGCACCGCGCGGCTAACGCTCTGCACGCCTTTGCCAACGGTGCCTGGCTGGGTATCAAGATTGCAGGCATGATGTGCGCGACGTTGCTCTGTATCATCTCCCTCATCGGTCTTTGCAACGGATTGCTGACCTGGTGGGGTCATTATCTGGATATCAACGATCCGCCATTGACCATCCAGCTGATCATTGGGTATATCTGTTACCCGATCGCCTTCCTGCTTGGAGTTCCCCGTGACGGGGATCTGCTCAAGGTCGCGCAGTTGATCGGGCTGAAGATCGTTTCTGTAAGTTCTCCTTTTTTTTCCCCTCCTTCTTCTTCTTCCCCCTCCCCTACTCTGCCAAAGAAGACCTCACTAACAAAACACCCAGAATGAATTCGTCGCCTACAACGCCCTCCAAACCGACCCTGCCTACACCGAAATGTCCGACCGCTCCAAACTCATCGTCACCTACGCTCTCTGCGGCTTCGCCAACATCGGCTCCCTGGGCAACCAGATCGGTGTCCTGAACCAAATTGCCCCTTCTCGCGGCGGCGACGTCTCTCGCGTTGCGGTCAGTGCCATGTTGACCGGTGCTCTGAGCACGTTCACTAGCGCGAGTATTGCTGGGTTGTTGATCACCAACGAGAAGGAGTATTTTTCTTCTTCAAAATCATCATAATCATAGCGTTTGGAGTTGTGTCTTGGTTTTTGTGTTTGTGTTTGTGTTTGTTATTTTTTTCGTGACCCTACTATAGGATAACGAACAGACGATCACTTCTTGATGATCTGTCGGAGATTTCAAGGTATTATGTATGTATGTACGATGTAAATTATAACTATCGAGGATAAATCAGAGAGAGATAATATCAGATTATCTATAATGATGATCCTTCTAAGAGAAAACATGCAGAGCTCGGAAAGACTTGCGGGTCCGCTTTCAGGGAGTCTATATACCCTTAGTTAGAGTAGACTCTCGAATTGTATGAAGACTGCAGTCTACAGGCATCAATGAAGACGATGGAAGATAAAGTATATAGACTATATGCTCCACGTTCCAGATAGATGAATGCATGATGCAAGTAATGCAAAAAGAAACTCAACGCTTTGACTGCAAAGAACTACGCCCCATGTATGTAAGTCCCTTGCAAGGTTGCATGGACATAAAAGGAGACGTTCGACAGAACGCGAGAAGAAAGAAATGAAACTAATGATAGGGATTTCCAGGAATGCATGCTCGTGTAACTGATTCCAGGACCCAAAAAAAGAATCGGGTATAGCCCATTACGCAAAAACTCCAGACCCACGAACCACTTGGATGAGCCACGCCTGTTCCAAAAGCCGACTCGCCGGACCAGCTTAGCCAATATTATCTCCTGAGAGAATGCAAATTCCCATGAACCTGTTATCTCCAGGCACATGGTATGAAGGTGTCGTTTGCCAGACATATAGTTGTAAGTTTTATCCAGCCACTTGTTCACTCGTCATCCTCAATATCCCGGTGTCGCGCGAGGACATGGCGCTTGAACTCCTCTGGGTTGCTGTCCCAGAGCTCAGCCGCCTGGCCGTTCAGTGGGCTTGCACTGGTGATTGAGTTAGCATACTGCACTCGAGAAAACGCCTAATGCATGTCAACCTACTTGTTAGGCTCCCCCAGCAAGCTCTGTAGACTGAGCAGCACGCTCTGGACGTTGTACACGGCACTCCACTTGTCCTTCAGGATATCAAGACAGATCCGACCGGAGAAATCCACATTCGGGTGGTAGATGGGCGTCTTGAAGAGCACCGTCGGAGGCGCATAGGGGTAGTTTGTGGGGAAGGAGAAGGACAGCTTCAGGGTGAGGTTCTCGTACGGCGTCTCGGTCGGACCAACGATGGTCGCCGTCCACGCGAGGAGGTTGCCATCTGCGTTGGGGAAGGCGGAGATGCCCGGGGACGGAGAGAGCATGAGCTGCATCAGTTCCGTCTGAAGACTGTATGAAAAGAAAAAGAGATCTCAGTATCTTGCATCATATTGCATGCCACCACTGCTCAGTCGAGCATTGACGTACCGTTTCGTCACACTCTGGGTGTCAGTCCGCTGCGCGGAGGGAGCCAGCTTGGAAGCCTCATGGGCCTCGGGGGCAGCGTTTTGAGTGTCTTCCATCGTGAAGTCCATGGTGTTCGGAGATTTTGGGGAGTGGTGTAGATCTTAAAAGCGACCTCTTAAGGTTTGGCTGGAATGTGAGCAACAAGAGCGAGAGTCCCCAGTTGTCTGGAATGACGACGGATCCGAACAATGAAGGATGCCGGATGGAATGACGGGAAAAAGGCCCAGCGAGAAAACGGAGCCGACGTAGAAGAGTTGAAGCACAGGGAGTTGAAGAAGACTGAAGAAGCAGGAAATAGATAGTTAGTCAACGTGTGAATATTAGTTATGCGTGAACGAATCCAGGAGGAAGAAAAGAAAAGAAACTGGCGAATTCTTTTGTTTATCTAAGTACTGCCCCAGCCAGGGCGACCGGGCAACGCTTGGCCGCCGTTTCTCGGCCCGTTCAAGACAGATTATTTTATTTCTTTTTATCTATTTAATAGTTCGTTTTGCTCATGAGCACTGCAACACGACCAGCGATCTATCTCGACTGCAGAATCATGGGGGAATCATCCTCTTGTCTGTTTAATTAATTACTCCGTACAACTGTCCGAAAGTGGCTCTCCTATCTCAGCCCTATCTAAGTATCTTGACTGACCCATCGAAAGCCCAGAACCTGCGATCGTCACGAACATACTTTAGATAACTAGAGTAGGCAACGATCGGATAGTGATAGTAGTGGCGTGTGGTAATAGTACTGAGTATTATTATTATTATTAGTATTATTCTTCTAGTAACCATGGTGTAACTATACTATACTCTTACCTATCATCAACACATTACTCGAAAAGGATAAAGTGGCTCGCGTCCCGTCCGGAGCGCGTCCAACAACATCGCCCTCCAGCCTTTCTTTGGCGCTTTTTGACATCGACAGCAACAGTACAACAGAGAGCACCGTTTCTCTGGTGTGATCCAGTATCTCTTCCAGGTAAATAATAATACCTGGCGTCGAATGCGCGACAACTGACTGGTTGCTTCGCAGCCCACCGCCAGAAATGCATCACTCTCAACTCGCCCCGCTGCCAACGGACTTGCCCTTCCGGATAGTCTCCAGAACTATCGGTCAAGGCGCCTATGCTTGGTTAGTCTATCCCTCCACCCCATTGGGATACTTAACTATGGCTTGCAGACCGCCTGTTGCAAGACTCCGCTGACAGAAGCGTCGCGACGGCCAGCATCAAGAAAGCCTGTCCCATCCGCGAAGACAACCCTGTTTTCGCCGTCAAGTTCATCCACAAGGAATATGCCGCTCGCCATGGCCGAATTAGCGCTCGTCAGCTCCAGATGGAGGTGACGGTCCATAAGCATATTGGCGACCACAACAACATCATATCCTTCTTTCACACGGGCGAAGATGCCACCTGGAGATGGATCGCCATGGAACTGGCCGAGGGAGGAGATCTCTTCGACAAGATCGAAGCAGACGAGGGCGTGGGTGAGGACATTGCGCACGTCTACTTTTCACAGCTTATCAGCGCGGTAAGCTATATGCACTCTCGCGGGGTTGGACATCGAGACATCAAGCCGGAAAATATATTGCTGTCCGATGACGGCAACCTGAAGATTGCCGATTTTGGGCTGGCCACCGTGTTCGAATACAACGGCAAGACGAAGCTGTGCACCACCCTCTGTGGAAGCCCTCCCTATATTGCGCCAGAGGTGATCACGTGTAGCAACAAGGGCCAGGCCAAGGGTAAAGGATATCGTGCGGATCTGGCCGATATCTGGTCTTGTGGAGTAGTCCTCTTTGTCCTGCTGGCCGGTAATACGCCATGGGACAGTCCGACGGAGAACAGCTACGAGTTCAGTGAGTACGTTGAGAAAAATGCGCGGACGACGGACGAACTCTGGAGAAAGCTACCGCCGGCTACCCTGTCGCTGCTGCGAGGGATGCTCAAAATCGATACGGACAGCCGATTCTCGATGGAGGACGTTCGGAGACACCCGTGGTTTACCCGTCCTAACAAGTACCTATCCTCAGACGGTAGACTGAGAGACCCGATCAACCTGGCCACCACCATGTTTGAGTCGCTCCATATCGACTTTACGCAAGATCCTCTCGCTGGTTCGCGAAGCGGTACCCAATCATCCAGCCAGATGGATATCGAGTCAGCAAACGATATCGAAGCCAGGCTTTCGTCCACTCAACCGGAGATGCCAGCAGGGGATATGCTGATGGAGTGGGATGCTCCCTCGAACTTCGCCGCTAATGGCATGTCTTCAACCCAGCCGATGACCATGTCCTCTACGCAGAGTTTCCTCATGGCTGATCGTCTCGAAGATGAGCCGTCGATGTCCCAGTTCAGCCAGCACCCATCAGTGCCGCTGAGTCGCACCCAGAAGGCCCAGAAGTTCCGAGACATCGTTCCATCACGTCCTATGACGCGCTTCTTCTCCGCCTGGGCGCTGAAGCTGCTCATCCCTCTCATTTGCGAAGCTCTCCACCGGCTTGGGGTTCCCGTGCCTTCCATCCCCAGCGTGTCTGCCGAAGACAGCTCTGCCGCAATCCGGGTGGCCACCAAAGACCAGCGGATGTGTGTGCTGCAGGGCAAGATCGTCATCGAGTATGTCTCGGAGGGATTGTTCGAGGTCGAATTCCTGAAAGTCAAAGGTGATCCGCTGGAATGGAGAAGATTTTTCAAGAAAGTGGCTATTTGCTGCCAGGATGCGATCTATAAACCCGATAGTTGAGACTGGTGTTCTGGTTCTATTTGTCAGTCATTTACTAAATTGGAGGGCTTATGTACGATATATGATGGAGAGACGGCTGTACGACCTGTATTTACGAGATTCAATGTGGACCGCTTGTACCGCTCTACAATATAGCTATAATAATTGGTTCTAGAACAATTAACTAACAACTGGTTCGTTGACAGAATTGGTAGGCCTTGTAGTGCCTATCATAGCCTTATATAGCGAGAGCAGTTCTTGGGTGTAGCCAAAGAATACTATGTACATAGTCTTTTGCTTCCTGGCGCAGCGGTTTAGCTCCTAGATTGCTCCCTAGGAGTTAGGTCGTGACAGGTCTAGGCATAGTAGAAAGATATGGCCGGCTGACCAGATATTTTTCAGCCCAATGAACTGAATATATCGCATACTATGAGTATTATTATTATTTTCGACTCTCTATCAGGTGACACTAGAGAAGATGTGCAAAATGAAAAAAAACCGTAAATAAAAAATAAAACAAAAAAGAAACGTCAGAGACAGGATTCGAACCCTTAACACTTGTTAGTTTTATGAAGTCACTCTTGAAGAGAGCAAGATATACATACTGCGCACCCTAAGGTATTTGATGTCTCAAACATGGGGTTCAAGTCAAACGCGTTAACCACTCCGCCACTCTGACAGGTTATGTGTAATGCGCTATTCTTCGTTACATAAACTCAACTTTCCATGTTTAGCATGTTCTACAATCATCGAGAACGCCACGTGACGACGGCCCAGTCCAAGCGAGCGGCCCAGCAGCGCCTGCGGGGGAAGTTCTGGACTAAGGGATCGCCTCCAGTGTTAGCGATAAACCCCCCTCGGGATGTTTATCGTCAGAACTCTGGTGTTTTTGAGTACTTCTCTCTTCTTTTTTCGTAATATGCTTTATGTCATGTTGTTCTTGGAGGCAGCCGTCAACGTCTCCTTCTTTTACCCATGGACAGACTCCCCGTAGAAATCGTCTCTAAAATCATCGATTGTAAGTATGAGATAAACACTCCATATCGGCGTTATCGACCCCCGCTTGGACTTCTTTTCCCACTCACCTCCCTCCCCACGTCTATTGCGAATTGCAGAGGCTCATACATGTACTGTCACTTTCAGATCTTACTCCGCGAGAGCAGGTTCAGCTCCAGCTGGTCTCGAGGCGCTTCCTTGCTCTTGCCCGAGACAATCACCTGTGGAGGCTGCACTGCTACGAGGCATCATGGGCCTCGAAGACGGATGCAGTTTCAGCCCGACCGGCGTCTGAAAGCCTTCATACATCCTCCGTTGCGCCGCTTAGTTCGCTAGGGCCAGGCTCGCTCCGATTCTTGATCCAACCCCGGACACGATCGAACGGTGGTGGAGTGACAGGACACACGGCCCAGCGTTCCTCCTTGGGCAGGAGGTCGAGAGCTGCAGCAGAGTGGGATCCTTCGTATGAGACGGAAGATGTGGACTGGTATTCGGAGTATATCGACCGGCATGGGCCCATCTCATTTAGTTGGTTGCAGCAGCCCTATACGGTCAACGAGTCACGACGGAAGAAAGAATTCTGCGATGTGAAGGGCATGGGACTGTTTCGGGACTGGAGCTCTGCGAGGGAAGATAAGGTCGTCGCGCCCGTGGATAACGGGGGCGTGGTCATTTGGGATCTGAACTATTCGCACGCCAACAATACGCAGACGCGGAAAGGGAGGATTGTGGGTTCCAGTGCTCCTGGGGTTCTTTTAACAGACACGTCAGGAAGGAGTAGAACGACAACCTTGGAGTTCACCAATATTGGTGAGTGCATGAGCGTCGATTCGATCAGTCGGAGGGCCTACATAGCGGTGGGGAACGTCCTCAACGAGATCGATTTGGAGACTCTGAGGTTGGTGTCTCAGAAGAGATATGCGTGGTCGATCTTTGCCATGTCGCAGGAGACGGATTATTCAGTGCCTTTGACACTAGCGACTACTCTTAGTCTACACATATACGATTCTAGGCTTCCGGCACGCGAGGAAGAGGCAGAGATCAGTCTCCGGTGCGAAAGAGAGCCATCTCCTTTCCTGTCTGCATCGAGCGTCTACCCACGACCCGATTCCCCCTATTTCCAGCTCCAAGCGGATGGCCAACCTCCTCATCGCATACGCAGTCCGGATCCGTCAGATGTGGGCACCAACTATGCTCCTCTCTTCCAACCCGGGCCTCTCTCGATATTGCACCCTCCCGCGCCACATGTAAATACGATTCTGCTGGCCGGGCGCTTCCCCAGTATTCTCTCCTATGACCGCCGTTTCTTCCCACAACTGCAGAGCACGGTGCATTCAGGAGGCCGGCTGTGCGGGCTAGCTTCGATACCAGCACCCAAGTTCCCCGTCTCATCAGATGCCACATGGCCACCATCACATAAAATAGTTGCGTGCGGCGAATACAACGGAAAGGGCTCTCTCGCGCTATACGATCTCACTTGTTCTGCGGCAGAAACGAACAATGAGCTGTCCAATGAATCCTCCACACTGTCACCGCCAAGATACCAGAATCGCCAGAGTGCCGCCAGTTCCAAGCTGCTTTCTGTGGCCTCCCATGGGACACGGATTGCATATTCTGACTCTGAGGGGAACATCAAGTGGGTAGAGAGGGATGGACGTGGGGAGGTTCGTCGATTCAATATCAATTCGTACCATGCTAGGACTCCGAATCGACAAGACTCTACCGAGCAGAGAGGTTCCGACGAGACGAGTGGGTCACGACTATTTCCCAATCATCCCAGCGATGAAGGTGATGTGGCACGTAAGATTCTCCCTACGGGTGCAAATCTGACGGGTGACGAGCTTCTTGTGTGGACGGGGGACCGGATCGGACGTATCAGATTCGCAGCGAATCCCGACGACTCCATGGACGAAGAGGACGACGAAGTGTTCTCCGACGATGGCCTTGATCCTGTTTCTCGTCAAGAACGACGACACACTAGACAAGAGGAAAAGATGCGAGAGCAAGAATACTCGGAAATGATGCGTCGGGCACTCGAAATGCAAGGAGACGAAGTGATATGGATGGGAAGGCTAGGTATGGCGTGATCACCGCTCGCGTTCATAACCTGAAGCTTGTGGCTGGACAGGGGAGGTTCAGATGGACGGTCCATCTGCGGGCATCCTCTTTTTTGTCTCGAGCCAAGCGTATAGAGAAGGACTTGTCTTCTTGGATGCATTGATGCGTTCATCATACTAACCATACACAGGCCGATTCGGAGTTTTTGGATAATTCCTAGCAATAGTTAGGCATTAGATGGCGCGATCGATTCTTGCAGTCGACAGTCAACCGTGATGCGTCTGGCGAGGGTGAAAGCAGAATTAGTTTCGGGAATCTGTTGCATAGATGAAAGATATATAAATAATCGTCTATATCATGCGTCTGGGAGCAAGAGACTTCTGTCCGGTCTTTATCTACTCTTATACTTACTTATATATATCTACGGGTCCCACAATTAATTTCCTTCTTATTATTTACAATCACTAGTTAAGTAGCTTCTCCTGTCTACCTCTACTGGCATAAATAAAAATGGACGCTTCTTGACCAAGTAATAATACATAATTCCGTTGAGTCAGCTCCTCTGTCTGAGGCCGTAACCAAGTAGAGTAACTAAGTACTAGTTACTAAGTCGAGTAATACTAAATAATAATAATCGATGCCGGAAAGCCCCGCGCCAAGTGGGCTGGCCAGAAGTGGGCTGTTGCTGATTAAGTACTTAACTGAGATTGCCTCATCTCTGCCAAACGCTGCTGGACTGTAACTATACATACATTCCTTGAGAAGGCATTTTTCTATCCCGTCTCTATTGAATTAGATCAAGAACTCTTTACAGACGCGGTTTCGCAAGAAAGCGGGATTTCCCTCACCACCGACGCTGCAATTTTCTTCTCCGCACTCCATCGCCTCCGCACGGGTTGACGGATTAATACAGACTCGCGCGGCAAAGACTCATTCTCGTCTTCTGTGACTGTGATTTGTGACTGTGACTCTGCTCCAGAAAAGCGCTCAATTACTCTGCAGATCACTGTTTATTACGCCGGACTCTCAGCCCGTCTTATTCCCTTCCTGTCACGAATTCTTACCCACGACTCCTCGGTTCCCCGCTTGCGTGAGGGAAAGCCGATCTCCTAACTACACCATGCCTGCTGCTCCGGATCTGCCTCTCCAATTCGACTCCATTGAGGATACGATACAATCTTTCAGTATGTTTGTTCTGCAATCTGTCCCTCCTGAGGATTTGGGAGACCGGATCGTGCCGGATTCGGCCTGCAAATGGCCCCATGATGTGACTCCTCGGCTTGGATACTAACGAGACGCCATTTGAACAGAAAACGGAGAATTCATCGTGGTGCTCGATTCCCAGGATCGCGAAAATGAAGGCGATCTCATCATAGCTGCGGACTCCGTGACGGATGCGAAGATGGCTTTCTTAGTCCGCTATACGAGGTAAATTCTCCATCTATAGCGCGGAGCGCATGGAACTCAAATCATTATTTTTATTTCTTTAAACACGAGCTGACTCTATGTTCTATGTAGTGGACTTATCTGCGCGCCGATCAGCCCTGAGCTCACAACCAAGCTATCCTTGCCCCAGATGGTTGTCGAGAACGCAGACCCGAAAGGAACCGCCTATACCGTGTCCATTGACTCGAGCGACCCCTCCATCACGACCGGTATCTCTGCGCATGACCGCGCTCTTACCTGCCGCACACTTGCCTCTCCCGACGCTCGCCCCGACAGCTTCCGACGACCAGGCCACATTATCCCTCTCCGAGCACGACCAGGCGGCGTCCGGGAACGAACGGGTCACACCGAAGCTGCGGTCGAATTCTGTCGATTGGCAAACAAGCCCCTGGCGGCCGTCATTGCGGAACTGGTCGAGGACGGCGAGGAAGTTGCCGGCGTGGCCGAACTCCGCGGCAACAACGGCATGATGCGCCGAGACAGCTGTTTAAAATTCGGCAAGAAATGGGGCTTGAAAGTCTGCACGATCGAGGATTTAGTGGAATATGTTGAGAAGATCGAGGGATCTGGCTCAAATCCGGTCTTGAATGGAAAGCATTAAGTTTCTGTTTTCTATGAAGGAAATGGCGCGCTCTTATATATTGATATATAGAATACTGAGATGATCTCTGGTAGATCAAATCAAATGTGTATTTGGTGTATACTGTTCTAGGGGGGGCGGGTTAAAATCATCATATACAAGAAAAAAAAATAAGAAGAAAGAGAAGACCAAAGAGTTGGCGAGATGAGATTTTTTTTTTCGCATATACGTTATTACTTCATCGTTTTATATATATTTTTCTTTTACATATACAGTACATATTCTCATCTATGTTCGCGTTGTCGACTTCATGCATCTTTCGACTACTCTTTTTCTCTCTCATAAATAGCCCTTGGACTGTGGCTTTTATGTTTCTCCGTGAAGAATTAGCTCTGCTACTTATTCTACTGTAATATATATATAAAGATTATAACTAGTTCTACGGTAAGAACTGGGAAAAGTGGCATTCGAGATGATATTCAATTTTTATTTCTCTTTTCCTTTAAGGGGTATCTGATTTTTGATTTTTTATGATTTATGTTCCAATAAATCCGCGCTTCAAGTGCAGTGTAGTGGAAAGAATAGACATGTCCTGTTTTGTTGGTGTTAGTAGAATTGTTTCTTTGGTGGTACTGAGTTGATGTCAAGTTAAAAGTCGTAAACGAACACATAAGACAATATGGTCAGCCTCGTTTTTCTTCGAGGGCATGTTCTAGATGAAGCAGGAGTGCAGGAAAAAAAAAAGAAAAATGAAAAAGGAATAGAAGAAGGGATAGAGGTCCCCGATAACTTGACCAGACCAAGCCGAACTAAACCAGAGCGCCGGGAAATGCAAATTGATCATTCATAAGTCAGATGCAGGATTGTTTGAGCCCGGAAATAAGAGGCTTCCAGACGTAGGCTCTGCTCGTCTACCGCTTCAGATGAGAGTAGTCTCTCAGGATACCCATCATGTGGGTATTGGTGGTTTTACCACTTCGTCGAGGTTTCTTGGTCTTCTTCATTTCAAACTTTGGCCGCGCCTTGACGACCTTGTTCTTGTTCGTGGGAGTGATACCGGCCTTTTCCAGCTCCTCCGTCACAGTCTGCTGGTCAGGAACCTTGATCTTCTCCCAGATCTGCTTGAATTCATCGTCAAAGCGTTGCATAAGGGACGGATCATTGGCCCACACCATCTTGGCGTGGTCGTCCTTCTTGTTCCGCGTAACGAGCAGTTTTCCTTCCTTCTCCAGCTGGTTGATCGTGTCTTCCACGTTGGGCCAACCCTCTCGAAGCTCTCGTACGTTCATACCAGCGGCCGTGGGCTGCGACTGTAACTTCTTCAACAGCTGTTCCGCGTTGCGGATATTGTGCGGCGGACGGAAGCTGAACGTGCCTTCGCCGTTGGCGCCCTTCGGGTCATATTGAACCTTCTCGTGAACCTGGAGAATGCTACGGAGAGCATGGATATATCCCTGATCATTCGCGCGGTGCTGGAGGGAGAGGTATGAGACGATATCGGAGAACTTGAGAGGTACGCCCTTCGCTTTCATGTGCTCAATCGCAAAGAGGACCTGCGTCATGATATCCTTGCCCGTGCCTGTGTTCGCGGGCTGCGAGTACACAATATCCGCATCATGCCGCCGTCGTTTTGGATCGCCAGTAGGTGTAGAAGTTCCTGAAGATGGAGGCTGGGAACTGCTGGCAGAGACCCCAGATCCCGCGACGACGCCGTTGCTGCCAGCGGTGCGCTTCTGCTGGGGGAGGCGCCCCGCGGCGTCAACGACATTTGCGTTGAAGCTTTTGATCTGTTGTTGTAGATACGACATGGTGGGAACCGCGACGTATTACTTGGGATCAGCCTCGCTGGGCACTGGTGAATATCAGATAGGGTCCAAGGCCCTGCCTCGACGGAACTAGGCCGGCGAGGAAAAGGCTTAGGCAGACACGCTCGAGAGAGTCAATAAATTCGTCTGACAGGTAAGCAAAGAGGCTGCTGAAAGTGTCTCCAGCGGTAACAGTGAGGCAGTAGCCGCGGAGAAGCGAGTCGAGGTCTGATATCAAGTGAAGCCACTCTGAGGAGTTCATGAACGCGGCGACGTCACGTGGCCACCAACCACCGGCGCTAACCCGACCGGGACGACAAGCAGCAGCTGGGAAACCGCCCGCAAGTTCCAAGTCGAGTGAAGCTCTCTTCCTTTAGTTAGTTATCCAGGCCACTGCATTCACCCTTCAGGGTTGCTGGTCATCTCAACATTCCCTTTGTCTGTCTTTTCTTCATCCATCTTTTGTTAGCTGCGATATGTCCTAGACTTGTCGTTGGAGCGTTGAGTGCACCAATACTAACAGTGCACATCGCGCGCGACGTGGACCCGTCACTACGCATCGAGCTTTTCCACTCTCAACAGCTCCCTGCTACATACGGTGGCACAGAGTGCTGAAGCGTGGTAGCCATGGCGGCAGCTACGGTAGACGTACCATTCTTATCTACACATTATTCGATCCCAGAGACGACTCTCACTACTCTCACCCAAGCTCCTACCGTCGATCTTGTCAATCAACTGCTGGAAAGCATCACCACCAAGGCGCGTGAATATGACGAATTGAAGTCGGATAAGCTGCGTTTGGAGGTGGAGCTTGAAAATGCTGTGCGCACGAGCGAGTCGAAAATCAAGGTTCTGAAGGGATCAGTTGAGAAGGGACTTGCAGAGAGAGCAGACTTGCGGACAAAGCTGCAGGAAGCAGGTAAAGTGGCCATCTGGCATTGTCGACGCTGAAATGCATTCTAATTTTTCTTTTTCCAGAAAATGCGCGAGCTAGCTTGGAGTCTGAGATCGCGACTCTCAAATCTTCCTCGACTTCGAATGAGTCCGAGGTCAGCACCTTGAAGTCACGAATCAGCTCGCTCGAAGCATCTAATCGGGATACGCTTGCTCTTCTTGAGTCGAAGACTGCAGCCTACGACAAGCTCGCGGAGGAACTTTCAGCCCAACATAAGAAGACAATCGACCTGCGACGTGAACTTTCGACGGCCGAACAGAACCTCCAGGCCGCCAACTCCGCTTCCGCCAGTGCTAGATTCCGTGAGCAGAACTTGCAGCAGGAACTAGACCTGACGAAGAGGAACAATGAATGGTTCGAGACGGAGCTGAAGACCAAGTCAGCCGAGTATCTCAAATTCCGCAAGGAGAAGAGCGCCCGTCTCTCGGAGCTTCAGCGTGAAAATGAAGAAGCCAACGCGACTATCGACTCTCTCAGGCGCAATGAAAACTCCCTGAAGAGTCGTCTCGACGAAGTAGAACAGAAGTACGAGGAGTCGCTCGCGACCATTCAGCAACTCAAGGAAGAGGCTATTCAGGCCGCAGAATCGTTCAGAATCGAACTCGATAGTTCGAACCGTCTTGCTGAACTCCAGGGTGCCGCTGCGGAGACAGCCAAACAACGAGTGCAGGAATGCCAGCTGGCTCTGGAGAAAGCAAAGGATGATGCGGCGGGTGAAATATCTAGACTGCGTGTGGAGATCGAAAGCGAGCATTCCGACAAGGAGGCAGCGGAACGACGTATCGCTGAGCTTGAATTGACTGTGAGCCAGCTCGAGACAGAGGGCCGAACCCGGTCTTTGAGCCCAACTCGAAGCTTGAACGGAGGTCCAGCTACACCACTTCGTGCGGGCACTCCTGTTGGAACGTTCTCTCCCCGGACCTCAAGGACCAAGGGCAGCCTCACTCTCACGCAGATGTACACAGAGTATGACAAGATGCGGACAATGTTGGCAGCAGAGCAGAAGAACAACCAGGAGCTTAAGGCAACTCTGGATGAAATGGTTCAGGATCTTGAGTCCAGCAAGCCTGAAATCGACGAATTGCGCGCAGACCACGCAAGGCTCGAAAACGCCGTTGTCGACATGTCTAACATTTTGGAGTCGGCTGGAAAGGAGAGAGATGAAGCTGTTCGCGAAGCAAGGAAGTGGCAAGGACAGGTTGAAGGACTTACCCGTGAAGGAGAGATCCTTCGACAGCAGCTCAGAGACCTCAGTGCGCAGGTCAAGGTTCTGGTGCTCGAGGTTACCCTTCTTAGAGAAGGCGAGCAGGAGTATGACAGGGAAGAACTTGAGAAGATTGCCCGCAATGAAATCGACGAATCCATGGCCGATCTCACCGCCACTGGCCGTTTCATCAGCCGCAATCTCACAACCTTCAAGGATCTCAACGAGCTTCAGCAGCAGAACGTTACTCTGAGAAGGATGCTTCGCGAGATAGGTGACAAGATGGAGAGTGCCGAGGCGCGCGAAAAGGACGCTGCCTATATACAAGAACAGGAAGAGCTCAAGGAACTTCGTATTCGGGTTCAGACATATAGGGATGAGATTGCCAACCTGGTTGCGCAGACAAAGAGCTACGTGAAGGAGCGTGATACATTCCGCAGCATGCTGACACGCAGACGCCAGACTGTGGGTGATGCTTCTGCATTCTCCCAGTCGCTTCCTTTCGGTGCAACGCCCCCTACCGGAGATGAACAAGCCAGGGACATGACTGATTATGGAGAGCTGCTTCGTAAGGTGCAGGCTCACTTCGATACTTTCCGACAGGAGACGGCAACAGATCATGCGTCTTTGAAGCAGCAGGTCAATGAGCTGTCAAGGAAGAATTCTGAGCTCCTGAGCGAGATTAGCCGGTCGAACAGCCAGCTTACTGCGGCAACCCAGAGGGCCGAACTTCTTCAGAGCAACTTCAATATGCTGAAGAATGAGAACTCTGAACTACAGAAGCGTTATGCCACCCTTATGGAGAACGCCAACAGGCAGGACATCAAGACCCAACAGGCCGCCGAAGACCTGGTGGAGGCCAAGGGACTCATTGACAGCCTGCAAAGGGAAACCGCAAACTTGAAGGCGGAGAAGGACTTGTGGAAGAGCATTGAGAGGAGGTTGATCGAGGATAACGAATCCTTGCGCAACGAGCGCAGTCGTCTGGATTCTCTGAACGCCAATCTACAGAATATCCTGAACGAACGCGAACACACCGACGCCGACAGCAGGCGTCGCTTGCAGCTCAGTGTCGAGTCCCTCGAATCGGAACTGCAGTCTACAAAGAGGAAGCTCAACGAGGAGTCTGAAGAATCGAAGAAGGCAGCACTTCGCCGAGAGTACGAGCACGAACAGAGCCAGAAGAGAATTGACGACCTCGTCACCACTCTAGGCTCGGCCCGCGAGGAGCTGGTGGCCGTCAAGACCACCAGAGATCACCTACAGTCGAGGGTCGACGAGCTCACCGTGGAACTGAAAAGCGCAGAGGAACGACTGCAAGTTTTGCAGTCGAAGCCGAGCGCTGCCCCCTCAGCTGCACCAGCCCAGATTGCCGAGGCAACCGAGGAGAGAGAAGAAGGTATGGGTCTCACTCGTGAGCAGGAACTGGCGCTTGAAGTCTCTGAGTTGAAGCGCGACCTCGAGCTGGCCAGGTCTGAATTGGAGCACGCCAAGGAGCAGGTTGAAGACTACAAGGCTATCAGTGAGGCAACGGAAGAACGGCTACAGTCCGTCACTGAGACTCAGGAGCAATACAGGGAGGAGACTGAACGCCTTGTCGAGGAGAAGGAAAAGAGGATCCAGGATCTCGAAAAGCGTATCGAGGAGATCACGTCTGAGCTATCTACATCCAACAATGAGCTATCTAGACTTCGCGACGAACAAGCAGACGCTGGTCGTCGTCTAGAGGAACAGAAAGCGATGTATGAAGCGGAGGTTGCCAGACTCAAGGACGAGGCTGAGCGCCAGCGTACTGCTGCTCAGTTCCACCAGGAGGACCTCAAGGCTCAAGCAGAGATCGCCCAACACGCACAGCAGAACTACGAAAGCGAGCTGCTGAAGCATGCTGAGGCGGCCAAAAATCTCCAGACAGTCCGGGCTGAAGCCAACACCTTGAAGCTTGAAGTTGTTGAGTTGAGAACACAAGCGGAGACGGCAAAGAAGAATCTGTCTCAGAAGGAAGAGAGCTGGACCGAACTGAAAGCAAGATACGAGAGTGAGCTCACTGAGTTGCAGAAACGCCGCGAGGAGGTCCTTCACCAGAACTCCTTGCTGCATAACCAACTCGAGAGCATTACCAACCAGATATCGACGTTGCAACGGGATCGCGCCAACATACAGGAGGGCGAGGAGGAAAGCGAAACGACAAGCTCCAACTTGGAGGGCCTGCAGGAGGTTATTAAATACCTGCGGAGAGAGAAGGAAATCGTTGACGTACAATATCATCTGTCGACACAAGAGAGCAAGCGCCTTCGACAGCAGCTTGATTACACTCAGTCGCAACTCGATGAGACCCGTCTCAAGCTGGAGCAGCAGCGCCGTGCGGCCGCTGACAGCGATCACAACGCACTGAGCCACAACAAGCTCATGGAGACATTGAACGAGCTCAACCTGTTCCGTGAGAGCAGCGTTACTCTTCGAAACCAGGTGAAACAGGCCGAGGCTGCTCTTGCAGAGAAGTCTGCTCGCGTCGATGAGCTGGTCCAGCAGATGGAACCTCTGGAGACTCGGATCCGCGAACTTGAGAATGTCGTAGAGATCAAAGACGGAGAAATAAAACTTCTCCAGGAAGATAGGGATCGCTGGCAGCAACGAACCCAAAATATCTTACAGAAATACGACCGGGTGGACCCTGCCGAGATGGAAGCTCTGAAGGAGAAACTCGCCACGCTGGAAAAGGAACGAGACGAGGCAGTCTCAGCCCGCGACAATCTCCAGGCACAGGCGGCAACGTTCCCAGAGCAGCTCAAACACGCCGAAGAGCGAATTCAGGATCTACGTGCTAAACTCACGGAACAGTTCAAGGCTAGGTCCAAGGAGTTGACGGGACGTATCAATTCTAAGCAGCAGGAACTCAATGCTGTGTTGCAAGAGAAGGAGGTTATCCAGGAAGAACTGAAGACGACACGGGAGGAGCTTGATGAACTGAAGAAGAAGCTGGCAGAACAACCAGCGTCGGTGTCGGCTCCTGTGAGCGCCGAGAATGGAACGAACATCAACTCTACTCCTGCATCTCAGTTCCCTACGCAGACGGTGCAAGTGACATCCGGGGCTGATGAGGAGAAGGTCAAGGCTCTGGAAGAGAAGATCCAGAGACTGGAGGCGGCTCTCGCGGAGAAGGACGCGCAGGCCGAGGCCAAGATTAAGGAAAGGGTAGATAGGATGAAGGAGACGTTCAATCAGAAGTTGAACGAATTCAGGAACAATCACCGACAGGAGATCGAGAAGCTCAGGGCCAGTCAACAGCAGCAAGGGCAGCCTCAGGAGCAGGGTACACCAGCTCAAAAAGCAGCAGAGGCTCCTGCAACTCCCGCTACCCCAGTCAAGGAAGCGGACGATAGCCTGCCCCAGCTTACTGACATCCAAGCAAGGAATCTGGTTGCCAAGAATGAAACCATTCGAAACATTGTTCGCGCGAATATCAGGACAGGGATTGCCAAGGAGAGGGAACGACAGGAAGCTCAGCAGGCTGCTCCTGCACAGAGCCAAGAAGCTTTGGCGGAGCTGGAGAAGAAGTTCAACGAGGAGAAAGAAGCTTTGAAGAAGGCCCACGAGCAGGGAGTGGAGGAAAAGATCAAGTCTGCTGTCGAGCTATCTGACAAGAAGACTGCCGTGAAGATGAGCATGCTTGATACACGATATAGAACCGCACAAGCAAAGATTGACGTGGTCCAGAAGGCCGCCGTTGAGACACCACAGAAACCCGTGGTCGAAGTCTGGGAGGTTGCGAAGAATGCCAAAGCAGCCCCTGCTGCGCCGGCTCAAACACCTAAGCGGCCTCCTCCCTCGCCAGCACAAGGCCAACCTCAAGCAGCCGCTAGTGCTGCGCCGTCTCCCGCTCCCACTCCTACGCCTGCTCCTACGCCTGCTCAGGCTCCTGCTCCTGCTGCTGAGGCCCCGTCTCAGGAGCCATCTGCAGCTCAGGAGCCTCAACAAGTAGCTCCTGCGCAGGCTCAGCCAGCTGCCACTGCACAAGAGGCGGTGCAACCACAAGAGCAGCATCAAGCGCAGTCAACTCAACAAGCACAACCGGCACAGCAGCAGGCCCAGGAACAGCAGCAACAGGCTGAATCCCAACCTCAGAACCCCTTTGGACAGTCCCAACAGAACCAGCAACCTTCTGGCCTACCGAACAAGCCCCCAGCCGGGACTGGCATTGGTAACCACCCTATGGCCGGTGCAAACGCGCTGAGGGCACTGCAGTCCGGCCTCCCCATTGCTAGGGCGGGAAGAGGAGGTGGACGTGGTGGCATGCAACCGCAGAACCAACAGCTGCAGCAACAGCAGCAGCAGAATCCGTTCGGCCCCCAGGCAACGCAGCAGCAGCAGGCACAGGGCCAGGGCCAGCGTGGCTCTGGACTGCCTCGTGGCCGGGGTGGACGCGGCGGTGGCCAAGGTCGGGGAGGACAACAAAATGTCCAAGGTCAAGGCCAGTCGAACAGAGGCGCATTGAATGCTCAGGCTCGTCAGTTCATTCCTCAAGGCAACAAGCGTGCAAGGGAAGATGGTGCTGAGGGCAGCGTCGATGCCGGAGCAAATGCAGGCAAGAGAATGCGAGGCGGTGGCAATGCTAGAGGCTCTTAGAGCTTGCCATCCCTGCGTCGGTCTTCTAATCATGTTTCTTTCTCCCTTCTCTGCTTGTTTTCAGTCGGCGGCAAAATATGATATAATTTCCTTTGTTAATGTTGTGCATTTCTCGGGTTGAGATCTCACCCATATCCATCTTGTCATTTCTGCAGTTACATCAATCATGGCGCACTGACTGATCGTTCTATCTGGTATACAATTTACGGTGTGGAAGTTACGAGGTTGAGAAGGGCGCCGACATCTTCTACAGTGTATAGTAGTTTAGCAGGCTTAGAAAAGCATGTTTTTGTATCATTATCTGTCCACAGCAGCAAATCGGTAGCCCTGGTTATAGCTATGCACATACAAATCAAATCTCTCTCTATGGGTATATTGAACACTGTACAAAACAATATAAGGCCAAATGTCATAGCATCGTAATCTCCTTCGTCCTCTCCGAAGAGCCGCCCTGCTTGCTGCAATAGAATCAAATCCCCCCCGACTTCTCAATGATAGCCTTTTTCCCCTCCAATCTCCAAGCTGCAGAACAATTCACCTTTTCCTCGAGCCACCCGCAGACATCCCGATCAACTTGACTAAGCCCTCCTTCTCCTTATGCAGGACGAGTAACCTCGCATCCTCTACCACCCTGCCATCTGGCACATCACCCTTTGATATCGAACTCGTCGTCACTGTCCCAACCACCCTCTTCCTGCGTCTCTGCCCAAAGCCAACCCCCGATCCCCAAACCACCGTCCAATCATCAATCCGCCCATTCTCAGCAACCTCACACCCAGAACACACCTTCGAATGAGCCCCCACGACAGCATTCCGATTCACAGTGGCTAGAGAATCGATCACGGCGCTAGACCGAACGTACGCGCCAGGAAGGATAGTTGCGAGCGGAGCAATCGTCACTGAGGAAGAGAGACGTGTTGCGATTCCGCCTCCTTCAGAAGAAGGCGAGGTAGGAGATGTAGGGGATCCTGCGGACGGCGGCGGGGAGCCGATCACGCTCTTTTCGCCAATGATGCACCCGTCGCCGATGACGAGGGGGCCTTCGAAAGAGTAGAGACGCGCGCGAGGGTGGATGACGCTTCCGGCCCCGATGGCGATCTGGTACGTGCCTTGTAGGACGGCGGTGTCTGCGACGACGGAGCTGGGATGGATGGAGAGAGGTGCTCGTGGTGTGGAGGATGCTGATGAAGATGCGGCGTGCGAGTTGGATGAGCGATGGGGGTGGGATGAGGATGAGGAGCGGTGTTGTGATGAGGAGGGACGCGCCGCTGAAGGTGGTTTGAGATGTTGGTCTGACATTGTTCTCTCTTGCTCTTGCTGGTGAGTATGTAGATTGGTATAAGACGCGTGAGTTGAACGTTGAATGTTGGGTGTTTGTAGTTGTAATAAGCAAGCTTAAGCTCGGCGAGAGTGGAAATGGAGCCGGGGAAGCTTGGGCTTTTGATATGCCATACTTATTGTACTGTAGCTACTTACTCGTAATAAGAGTATAAGAACTGGCCCTCGCTGCTCCAACTACCCGTATTTCTTTCTTACTTTTTATATTTTCTCTAAAGATCTCTATTATTAGGATAGCTGGGCCGTTTCTTCCCAGCTGATCCCTTATGCTTGTATGTACATACATACATAGCATCATTGAACCCCCGAGCCGATCACTTCTTCTCCCTCCCCAGGGAAAATACTAAGCTAATTAATTCATATATGAAAGAACTGCATAGTTCAATACCAACTGCTATCTATACCGACTAGAATATCTGATGGCTTGTACTGTATGTATAACCCCACATATCATAATTGTATACCTAGTATCTTGTGTGTGAAGGAGAATAATCGCGACACCTGAAAGTCAGTTCCAACATCTAGTAAGTGTGCTGCCGACGGAATACATGCATACATACATAGATTTCATTCCCTGATGGATTTCCATAACTAGTTCCTATCTTGATCTGTTGCAGCCCAGATTTCGCCATATGATCACCTACGAAGCAACACTGCAACCGTAACGGCCCCCAAACCCACCAACGCTACGTCGCCCCAATACTCTTTCCCCGCCTGTAGTTGTATAAGCAGGCCCATGGTGAAAAATGAGAGACTGATTGCTGCAGCAGACAGCTTGACTGCCCGGTTCCCGAAAACCAGCATCAATCCCATCACCGTGTCGATGATGGGTGTGATAGTTGCAATGGTCGAGCCGTCGTCTGGCGAATGATACTCCTGAAATGCGTACCATCCTGGCGTATACTTGCCGTGCGTGAAGCGAGAGAAGCCGCCCAGAAGGACGACGCACGAGAGCATATAAACTGGGAGGCTGACGTGTAGGGGAAACATGACTGGAAGTAGAGAGTCCTGGGCTCGATCGATACAAGGTCGTAAGGGATGATGGGACGTAGGTTCAAGTGCAGTTGCAAGATGTGGCAACTCGTCTGGTGGAATGAAGAACAATGCGAATGGAAACTATTAATAAGAAACTGGTTGAATGGTTCGGGAATAATAAATAATAATACTTAAGGCGCGCAACGAGGGGTATTTATGCCTAAATGGGACAGAGAGGAGTGTACCTAGTTAACAACTACTAGCTAACTAGTTGATGGCTAAATGGCGTCTGTGCAATTCTATCCCAGTGTCAATGCCACATTCATGAGGGAAAATGTGTTACAATAATCATGTACAGGATTATATTCCGATTAATCGTATATTTATTAATCAGGGACGACAACTTCCAGGCACCTGTAAGCTCTCAAATCCATGACCGGAACCAAAACCTCATCTCATCATCTCATTATAAATGGAGGGTATCGATCTATCGCGAATAGTCTAAGCAAAATGCATATTCATAACATAACATAACCAAGTCTCATAACGCTCCAAAAAGCCCAGATGTAAAGCATAAGTATGTGTGTGTGTATATATGTATGTCCTCGAGACCACAAAAAAAAGATCACGGAGGAAAAATTAATCCTCCGCTTCCTGCTTCTCTTTCACCTCCCCAGGCTTTATCCCCCTTCTTCTTCGCCACTCCCAGACTCCCCGATCAACTTCTTCTCTGGTCATTCCATCCCGCACGAGACAGAATGCGACACCTAGTTCTGTCTGCACATTGCGATTCCGCGCCTCGTCGTCGAAAAACAGCATGTCTTCATACGGGATTCCGCTCGCTTGCTGTATTCGGGAAAAATGGGTTGTCTTGGTCCCGGGGAAAATCTGGATGTAATCGAAGTAATCCAATGCACGAACGGAACGCGTGTTTGCATTAGGGTTATCAGTGAAGGTCGGGATAATATGGAGGGCCTTGAGCATGTCGCGTGCAAGGTCGGGGGCGTGTGTGCGCGATGCAAGACCAAGGGGAATATTGCGGATCTTGCACGCATGTACGATGGAGGATACAGCAGGATAGAAGGCAAACGATTCACCCCATCTACAAGTGAAAAGCAGGTCAGCGCTGTAGGCGTGGAAATCCAATGGCGCAGAAGTGGAAGTGACTTACTTATCAACAGCACGAGAATTGTTGTCCTTGGGCTTGACAGGGGCGCTCACATGCGTATCGACCCAGAAGGGCCATAGTGTGTAATCGAGGTCGAATACAAAAAGCTTTGGTAGTGGTAGGCCGTCATTGAAGGTAGATGGCGCGCTGGATGTATCATCGAGGGGCGGAGCAACCTGCTTCTTGGTCCAGACCATTATTTTCGGCACTCTGGAGTGTTTCGATGAACAGTGAAATGTCCCAATATACAAATTTTGTGTCTCTGAATGAGAATCGCACTGTGGCAACTGTGGCGCAATTCCCGCGTAAGTATTATTAATATTGTATACAGCCTCGAAGACTAAAGGCAATGAGCGTGAGGTGAGACGGATCAGAGGTATCTACAGTAGATAGTGGTGTACTTACGGAGGTGGCATAGCGTGGTCGTTACCGCCCACCGTAGAGCAGAGTAGGTAAGTATGGTACAGTACGGTCTTGTGTTGATAGCAACACCAAGACTTACTAAGCTATATAGTCCTACCCGTGGAATCGTGAACATACAAACTGTTTCCAGATCGCATAATACAATACAATACAAAGCGATGCTTTAGTTTATGAATTATAGTGCATTTTAGATTTGACTTGAAATATCCCGATAAGGAATAGAGGACTATGATTCACAACTTCAACACACCGAAGGATGTTGAGGTACATTGGGAGCAGATCAGGCCTAAGCTAGGGGCAGAATAGTTAGAAGAAATCTACTCAGAAGAAGAATACGAAGCTAGCACTATAGAATACAAGTTCTACCAGAACCAAGATTGGATAAAGGAATATTCAGTGTCGGATGAGCTCATGCATTGTCAGACATGCATAAACAATAATCAAGGTCTTTAATAATCTATTAATGGTGAAATATGAAAGTTGCTTGTTCAGATGAATAGAAAAGCAACGAGCAGGCGCAGGAAGGACATGTACCTGGCGCAATCAAAGAATCTAGACACAAAATTCTTGAGAATTAAGGAATAACGGATGTGCAATAAAAGGCCACGGGACTCCGGTGTAAATCCATGTAAATGCAGCAAGGTGTATCGAGTGATTTAGAGGGTGGAAGAGACATATCTCCGAGGAGCGAGTGGAGAAATCAGAAAGGACAGTGCGTTTGATTTCGTATTGTTTTCTTTCTTTCTTCGTGCTCCGTTCGGCGAAATCAGGTCGTACCCTTGGTTCTCTTTCCCTTGGGCACACGAGCCAGCCAGTAGATGCCCACGGCCGCAACGACGTTGAAAAATATGTAGATCCACATAAAGCCAAAATTACGCCATGCATCCTTGTAGTAACTCGACACGGTAGCCAAGAAGGTGTCGGTGTCGGACATCTGACAGAATCCGCAGTTGGTCGTAGCGTCTGGGTTTGCAACGTATCCACCGGCCTTGCTGATGTAGGGGTTCATATAATCGCCGCAGGTCATGTTGCTTGGGGGATCGAAACGAAGGAGTTCAACGTCCTCACATACCACATTCGTGCCTGAAACACCCGTCGAGAGCATTGCCGATACAAGATATGTGAAAGGTGAAACGCGATACATGAAGATCCAGAATCCAGGAAGCGCTTCGGGTGTCGCAAGAACACCGCAAAAGATCAGGCACAGAGAGAAAAGCAAGTTGGCAAGGTTACCACCGGTCTCTGCCAACTCCACACCTGCAATGATCATATGAGCAAAGGTGGAGGTGAACAGCAAGAAAGTCCAAATGAGCAGAAACATGAGGGCTCCGCGCTCGTGCACGGCGTCGGTGGGTTCGGCGTTCCGGTACAGTCCAATCGGGTAGTACCAACAGACGAAGATAAAGACAGCCATCAATGTGTTCCAGGGAAGTTCAACCAAGATGTTAGCAGTCATAAAAGACTGCCAGGAGTACGTCTTCGAAGGCCGTTCGCGAACCTCGTAGAGAGATCGCTGGGTACAGAAATTGGGCATGATCTGTTGAACAAGGTTACCGAAGATAGTCATCAGCATGAAAATACTGAACATTTGGTTCTGCAGTCCCTGCAAACTGTTCTGGGCATGGAAGAAAGAGAACCCGATGTAGAGAGCAGTGAGGATGGATAGGGCCGACTTGGAGTAGATGTACGAGGGAGTCCGCCAGTACTGGGCGAAAACACGGACAAGACACTCGTAGAGTTGGACCGAAAATGGCGCAGCGAACTCCTTGTATGAAGAAGGATCAGTCACCGAAGAGTCGACCGGTTTCTGGGACAGAGTCGACTTCAATTCAGCCAGGTGCTCATGGACCGCCTTGCGCTCAGGACTCTCGCGCCAAACAGCGGGCCAGTCAATGTCAGTGTGAGATCCAGGAGCGGCACCGATAACGTCAAGCATCCATTCGGCGGGGTTCGCGTCTGGCGGTAGCTTCGGCGCACCGTTTCTCTCGAAGTAGCTGGAGAGGGTAGACGACTTCTCTCCAATCTCACCGAAATAGACGGTCTTACCACCCCTCGCCAGGAACAGGAGACGATCGAATCGCTGGAACAGCATGGCTGACGGCTGGTGGATAGTACACAGGATAGCCTGGCCGTGTGCGGTCAGAGTGTCGATGAGATCCAAGATAGACCACGAAGTTTGACTGTCAAGACCAGAGGTAGGTTCGTCCAAGAAGAGGAGCAGTTGTGGCTTGGCAGCCAGCTCGACTCCAATGGTAAGACGCTTGCGCTGTTCGACATTGAGACCTTCACCGGGGACACCTACAACGGCATCGGCGTAGGATTCCATGCCAAGCAGTTTGATAACTTCTTCAACATAATCGAGCTTCTCCTGGCGACTCACGTGGGCAGGCTGGCGAAGAATTGCACTGAAGCGCAGCGCCTCGCGGACTGTGGATGTCGAAAGATGGAGATCCTGTTGCTGGACATAACCGGTCTTGCGCTGGAATGATTGATCTCGAGGGCGACCATCAACTAGCATCTCTCCCGTCACGACACCCATGGTGACACGAGTGGCGAGAACATCAAGTAGAGTTGTCTTACCAGCGCCAGAAACGCCCATCAACGCAGTGGCAGTACCCGGTTTGACCCAACCGTCAACGTGGTCAAGGATGCGCCGTGGCTCTCCTTTAATCTTGATATCGTAGCAGACATCTTGCCACTGGAAGATAGCCGTCTGTCTCTGGATGGCCGCGGTGGTGTGTCCGTTGTTCACCTCAGTCTTCTCGGCAGGAACTGGCTCGGGCTGCGTCTCGACATCGTCGGACGCTTTGCGAGCCGCCACGGGCTGGTGGCCACGGCGGAAGAGAAGAACCTCACCCTTGGACTTGGCCTCGGTGATGTATTCTGAAGCCACAAGATAGGTGAACATGAAGAAGACCATAAAGCCGAACATGATACCGAGATTCCTCCAAAGATGACTCTTTGCGTACTCGAAACTCTTGCTGAGATACAGGTTACCTTGGACCGTTGATTGACCTGCAACAGCACCGACTGTGGAACAGATCTTGTTGGCCATGGGCACGTTTTCGTATCCCGGACCCGTGGGGACGATCTGATTGGCCGCACATTCAAAGGTTCTGTCGTGGAATTCGTTGACCATGAAGCTCTCGAAAGCATACGAAATGGGGTCAAGGTAGTTCATCCAACGAGACCAGCCCAACATGTTGCGAGTGGGGATGGTAAAACCGGTATAGATGACCAGACCGAGAATGAGGATAGCCGCGGGCGCCAGAGCCTGTGCTAGCGTCCGAGAGGATGCCGCGATCGTACGGAAAATCATCGACATGGCAAACGTGGTGACGATCGAGAAAAGGTAGAAGATGAAGAATGCGCCGGGCTCTCGACGCAGATCGGTCAGGAAATAAAGCGTGAGATTGAACGTTGTCGCATTGAGCAGTTTGTAGGGCACGTCACACAGCATCGATGCAATCGCCTCCGTGAACGGGTGATACAGGGCGTAACGAGCGTGCTTTTCGACAATCGGACGTTGAGCATATAGAGTGAGGATTTCGAGAGCACTAGAGAATGCATTAAGCAAGACGGCGAAGAACAGCAGGGCACCACGAGCATAGAAGCTGCCGGTGTCCTTTCGGAGATTGTAGAAGACGCTTCCAATGATGAGGGCCATGATAGTGTTTCCGATTAACTGAGTCAGGGTCAGACTTGCGTCGCCCTTGAGACGCAAAAAGCCACGCCAGACGCAAAGCTTGACCTGCTCATAGACGGAGATCGTGTATGGGGACTTGATACGCTGACTCTTGGCCTGCTGAGCTCGGCGGGCTTCGACGAACTTCTGGTAGCTTTCGCCGCCGATGGGATATGTTCGCTCGTACTCGTCAATTTCCTTCATCAGCTTGGCATAAGCGTCACTCTTCTTCCAGGCAGCGGCAAACTCGTCAGGTGTCCTTGGGACAAGGTTCTCGTATCCTGGCTTCACAATTCGCTCAGCGGGACTGGTCAGCGAGGTCAGGAAATCGGCTGTCGTCTGACGCTCTGGGCACTCATATCCCATGGTGGTGAAGAATTCCTTGGCCTCCTCCGTGCGACCGAAATAGATCTGTCGACCTTCATAGAGGACGGCCACTTTATCAAAGACCTACAACGACCAGTGTTAGCACGTTGGGGGGGGGGGGGGGGGGGGGGGGGGGGGGGGGGTCCTCATATCTACGGACGAGAGAAACTCACATCGTAAGCGCTCTGGGAGGCCTGGTAGATGGCGACACAAGCCGTCGTACCAGCGTATTCAGTGCTCAAGCGCAGTGTTTTACAGAACTCCAACGCGTTGGCACTATCCAGACCTCTGGTACTGTTGTCCCAGCACTGGATGGGACTTTGGCTGAGGGTAGCCTCCGCGATACTGACACGTTTGCGCTCTCCACCACTGACACCACGGACGAAGTCGTTACCAACTCTGGTATTGATCGTATGCGACAATCCAAGCATCGCCATCATAACGTCTCGCATGTGTTCTGCATACTGCCTGCGGGTGACCCCAGGGAGACGATTTCGCGGGGCGCGAGCCAATGCGGCAAAGGTGAGCGTGTCCCCCACGCTGAGCTGGGGGAAGTGGACATCTGTTTCGGCGGTATAGATAGCTTCACCACGGAACTGGCCGCGCATCTGCTTTGCCGAAATACCTGTAGATATGTCAGTTTGCTGCGTTTTTCTCTTCTCCCCCCGACCCATGTAGTTGGCAAACTTTACCTTGATAGTTCATATACGACGAATCATCCATGTAAATTCCGTTCATCTCTCCAGCAATCGTCTTCAGGAAGGTCGAACATCCACTAGAAAAAAAAAAAAAAGAGTCAATAAATTGCGGTTCTTCTAAACCAAAGAAGAGTAACGTACCTTCCCGGTCTTCCCAGAACGACGAGCATCTCCCCGCTTTTGATCAAGCCGTCAAAGTTGCGCAAGATCTGGATCTTCTGCTTGCCCGACCCGGCGATGTTCCGGACGAGCGAGCCCAGCGCAAGAACTGAATTGGCCACATCCTTCTGATAATCGGTCGGACTGCCGTATCCGTGCACGCTGAGGTTCTTGAAGGCCAGACCGGCCGTGCGTTGCGGATAGCGTTCTGGGTCGCGGGACTGGATCGCAAACAGGGCCTTCATCCAATTCTTCGGTTTGAAGTTGGGGCTGTGCGGATTCAAGGTCGAATCCTCGGGGACATCCAGAAACGGATTTGGCAGGTCCTCTTTGGTCGAGTACCGGGTCGACTCACGGGTCAATCGCCGTGCCAACTGACTGATGTGCTGCTCCAACTGCTCCTCCTTGTCTTCCTTCTCTTCCAATGCGGTATCGTCAGTCGACACGCTGTTCGCGACTCCACGAACCGCGTCCTCATTGTTCTCTTGATCCCACGGACCAGCGCGCCCCCCGCGCTCCGGGTTGAGATTGGGGTTGATGGTCCCAAGTAGAGACATGGTCAAGTCGAACGAAGGGGGGACACCCCTTGGTAGCTAGAAACGAACACCAAACGTCTCTCACCACTGTACAACGGACGACAGAGGGATGGGGAGAGAAATAAGGAGACGGGAATTATTGGCGCAGGTGGTAATCAAGTTGCTCGACGGCATAGGACGGCCGTCGTAGGGTATATATCCAGGCAGGGCGAGTTATCAATCACCATGCGACAGTACAGTGTTTCCGGCTCAGCGAATCGGGATGGCCGTAGCAGTAAACCCGGTCGATTGTCAGCAGCGGCGACATTTAGCTGCTTTAGGTCGTCTAGTTGCAGACAGACGGAACGCCAACGAACCGAGCCAGTGGGTTGTCTGGAACAAAAGTCATAGAGAGAGTACAAAGGGCAAACGGGCTAACTAGTTCGACGATGCGATGCTTAATCGGGCAGTTGCACCAGGAGGCGCCAACGATGCTTCGCGTCGCCCGCTGGCAACCTTGATTGGCTGGCAGGCCGCGCGGAATGCCCCCGCCCGGGGAAAAGTATCCTTTTCGTTCTGGCGGGCACCGGATGCTGCATTCTCCGTTCGCGGGGGGTTTCTTACCGTATCGGATTCAGGGCCCTCGCGCGTTCCGGGTGGGCCACGCTCTCTGCGACCGCGATCCCGAGCGCCTCACAGGTGCATTGGGCCCCGTTGAACTACTGACTCAGCCAGACTAAGCCTGATGCGTGATAATTCACTGTCAGTGGTATCGGACAGTACCGACAATATTACAATAATACACGGACCGCACTGACCCATGGAAATATTAATATCAAAAAGTCATATTCTTAAGTGAGTTAATTTCCCGAAACGAGCAATACGAGCCAAACGAGCGGTCTTCTTGGCGCTGGCGGGCTTCTAGATGTTCGATAGCAGACCGTAGATAGTCTAGATACATGGCGTTTTTCTTGTCGTCGCAGATCATGAGCCACAACGGAGATACTCGACTCGGCTCCGTACTTGACTCGTGCTTGTCGGCTTCCCAGGCCTCCGTGTAGATAACTTCGATGCTATCTAGTTAACCAGAGAATTAACCTAGCGGTTCGGTTCTACTGATCCCCGCGGTCGAAACTCGTCCGCCCCTCTCCTCCGCTCTCGATCATCCCGATAGACCAAGACAGGCAACTACAATTATTATTATTTTCATTATTATTATGCAGCAGCCTAACAGCAATCACTAATACTCGCTCACTAGTATCTCGCAATAATCCATGCAGCCATGTCTCAAGGCTCGTAGCATCTAATCATCACTAACTAGTAAGATGACTATTGTCAGCAGTGTCAGCAGCTTTTCGTCATCTGGGCCCAACCATAAGAGCAACAGCAGCACCGTGAGATTGTCAGGCACCATAATACATGTTTTGGAGAAACTCTACATCCTCAACCGGTCAAGTTAGCAACTGTAATCCCTACCTAAATAACCTAATATACTTAATTTCCCTATACTCCATCGTCGTTTGCCAACAAGGCTCCTCTCGCCCGCTGATAATCATCCAGGGAAACAATCTTTCCGGCTCCCGAGGCCGCCACCCACCCATTAAAGTTGGCAGAGCTTGTTTTGTCCGGTGATTCAACAACTTAATTGTAGTAGTTAGTACTTTGTAGGAGCCGCTTGCTCATTATGACTATGTACTTCCCGGTTCCGATGGCTTTAATCTTTGTTCTTTTCGAAAGAATCCAGAGTCCGGATGGATGGAGATGGAGTTGCTGCTGAGTCGGCTCCGCGGGGTGAGCGAGGATCGGTTCCGCTCAGCTGCGCTGCACAACACCGACGATGAGTCGCTCTAGTGCTGATCTTGCCTTCCAAGGTTATGGGACTCAGTTACTAACTTACAAGTCACGGATATGATATATCCTCGTCCTCCCAAGCTTTATCGGCCACGGTTTCCGCCGCTTATCAGCAGTCACGAGGATGCAACGGACCTCCAGATGATTTCTGAGCTTTTCCAGACTCCCGCCAAGGTCCCCTGTTTGCCCGTTTGGCTTAGGTATTCACCGACATTTCGAGAACCTCGTCATTGCCAGCAGCGGTGATGGCTCCTTGCATTGAATGCAATTATGGTACATGCTATCAATGAAGACGGTAGGATTTCTCCCGTCTCGACTATTGTAGATGTAGAAATGCACTCGACATACATTCACAGCTATCCGTCATCCTGCTCGACCCCGCCTTTCCACATCTTCTATATATCTCTTCTCTTGTTATTCCTTCCTCCTTTCTCTCTTCCACCATGCACTACACCCTCTATATCAATGCAGCTTTGAACTGGAGGTTTGTACATATAAACTCCTTATACATCCTGATGCACCTTCTGCGGAGCATCTATACAGATTTACTTAATCCCTTCATGAATTTCATGGCAGGCGGCTAGGATTTACCTTGCAAGCATGAAACTCATGATGGCTACTCTTCGTCTGTTCTGCCATTATTTCACTTTATCATGCCTCAGATTGCACGTTGTGTGCTCAATAGAGCCAAAGCAATTCTCGTTTACCTTAAAGCCATGGACTGTCACTATATCTCTTGATAACCTACATGGAAGATGGCACCATCAAGCCTCCATGTCTCCTACCCACAGGTGGTATATGATTCATCTCCAAAAAAAAATCACGTAACTATTATTATATCCGATAATCCCAACCAGACTTATGCCCTATCTGGGCCTAGATGGCAAGATTTATAGTTCTTCAACTTCAACATTGTTGGTGGACAATATTATCTCGTTCGCAGCTGCTGCTGTGCCTTTCCCGCTCCCTTTGCTCTCTACAAGTCTCTCGGTGTCTTCTGCATATCGCCTTCGGCCATTGTCGATGTTCTTTCTACTAATTCTTGCTTGATCATCGAGACCAAAGCCTCTATTGGTCTTGACCGTTTTCTTCACTATCTTCAAAATGTGTGGAACTAGTCGATGATCGGAACTCAGATCTGTTATGCATATAATCAAGTTAAAATATTGTCTCGGGACACAACGAGAAAAAGTCATGCCGTGGCATATGTTGCAGGCAATATTTCAATATCTCCATTCGTAATCGTTATATGTTGCGTATTCAAAGAATTTGCTTCTTCGTCAGAGTTATGAAGATTTAGTAACTCTTCGTTGCAACCCCAATCGGACTGTCAAGAGGGATGATTCTGTTCATGCTCTCATTGATAGGTTTAATGCAGAATTTCGCATACTCCAGACGCATTCCGCGGAACTCCAAAAGTTCCAAAAGCCTCTCCTCTGTGCAACTGCCACAGACTGGGAAGATGAAGTCCGCAAAAAGAACATCCGGGGCAAAGTCATTGAAGTCATGCCCTAATAATCTGGAATCCGGCTCACGGATTACAGAAGAGCAATTCCTGCTATTCAGGACGTTATTCCCCTTGAGAAGATAGCAACAATGATCATGTTAATGTTCGTCCCTGTTGGAAGATATGGATCCAAAGGACCCCCATTGGCTACGGGGGTACTAATGCTCCTCACTCCCACGGAAGTTCACAATGTCCAAATGCTGCATTTTATTATTCTGATATCAAGCTGTACTTGAGCGCGCGAAGCCATACAAAGATGACATCCATCTCTTTCCAGTTATCCTACGAATCGCGTCCCAACTCAGGTCAGACTGAATATTCCTGGCCGGAAATAAATATCTTCTCCGTATCATTTTTCTAAGATGGCAGAACTATTTTTGACTGTTGCTCTGCAACGTCGTCTCTCTTGCAACTTATTCTTCCATCTTCATTGCGACTTCAGTAGGGACGAACAAAGGCTTTGCGGGGTGTTTTCGACCTGAGTGACGCGATTGCAAGGTCAAACACCTCGTCTGCTGCCTGCTCAGCGGCATCTTCTATTACCAGCTCATCCCTCATGGGACACCTTCTAACTCTTTTTCTCCAGTTCACGCGGTCCAGAGACACTTGCAGCAGTAGGCTGGGAACAAGTCATCAGTGGTAATGTTGCCTTCTTACTCGCAAATAATAATCGACAATCTCCGCGATTTAAAAACATCTTACCTTGGATAATAAGCAATATATCCTCCTTTGTTACTCATAGGACCGCCTGATCTGGCTGGCATTATATGGCAACGGAGAACATCGGTTACAGATACGGTACAGAAGGGTATGCATCCCAAAGGGATCAAATGCCAACACTCCGATTTCTCTCTTCCTCGTCCAGATCTCTTACTTTACAGATTCTTGATGGCTTTTTTTTTGCCAGTCGACCAAAATTAAGACTAACAACAATTGCTGCTAAAGTAGAATCACCAATTAAAGGTAAGTTTATTCTGACCACCTAATACTTAATTGAGAATAGTCTTGCTGATCCCCCAGTAGTACCACACTGTATGGATATCTTCCCTCTTATAGATCAGTTGTTCTTTACTCACATAATTTTGTTACCGGCCAGAAATCAAACCATCATGGGTAAGCTTGCTGCTGATGGTTCTTGAAGTCGCGTGTTTTCCACGGCTAGCTTCTATCTAAGGGACGTGGCTAATCAATGATGTCTGCCTGTTTTTTTTTTTTTTTCGAAAAGAATTCAAATACGGAAGTGAGTGAATCTCTAGTTATAATTACAATTATTGCTAATCTTGGACTTTTTTTCAATTCAGACCCAAGCGTATGCAACGATTTTACCAGGCGGGCCTATTGCTTCGATACTGAAATAGATATACATAGTGCAAATTGTGTAGCCGGAAGGGCCACCACAACCCCTGACTGCCCCCGCCGGACCAAAGAGCAGGTATGGCAGGAGAGTTCTGTCCAGTGACTTTGTAATTTACATCGCTAACTGTATAACAGGGGAAAAGAGGTATGTTGACAGATATGACGCTGTTGCTACGACGGTAAAAAATCTGACAATTGTGTGTGGTCTTACTTTGTCCAGATGTTGCGAACTTGTAAGTGAGTGAGATCTTATATCTTACTTTAGCAAGGACTGAAAACTCCTACTTATCAATTACAGGGTTCTCTAGAAGTATAAACTGTCCGGACAAATACCAAAATACTAGCTAACTGATATGACAATGGTTCAGCGTAAGCAGAACCTTCTTGCGGTATGCATATTCCAGATAACATGATAATGTGTGGGCTAATATGCGTGTCAGAACGGCAGATGATCATCGCTGGGGGAGTTTGATAAGATCGATCGCGAAACAGCTGATTACTCCGCTTGAAGATATCACTGTAAGCCAGGGTATACCTGATAAGATACCGCCAAAGGGGACACCTCTACAATTGTGCCTCTAGGAAGTTTAGACAACAGTATCTAGTGGATCTGAGTGACTTGAACTTTCACGTCATCCAGCAGTAGAAGCCTACGAGAGAGCATGTTTTCGAGATAGAGTGGAAACCAGTTGCGGATATCTATTGCTATCAGATTCATGAATACCCGACGCCAACGCTATGCAAGTATTATATATACATGTACATATTTTTCTCCAGCAACAATCATGAAAAGAAAAGATTCACCGATGCCACATTGCTCAAGACGCATCAGAAGTATCAAAGTTTAGACGCATGGCTTGCCCGCTTCTTTTGACTGATGTTCTGCCTAGCCGGACGGGTGCCTTTCTTCCTTTTATCTGAGACTTTCTTTTGGGCGATGAACTCGTAAGCCTCCATCGGAGATCGAGTCCCGACGTGTTTTCCGCGTGGGCTGAAGATCTCGACTCTCGGAAATCCTTTAGACACCCCCGGTGTCGTTCTGGCTCGGATTTGTGAGGTGAGTTCAAGCCAGCCACATCCTTCAATAAGAATATCTGCTGACAAGACCTTATACGGAAGTGGAGGAGGCGGGATACCCTGATCCTCCAGGAGTTTCTTGGCTGACCGGGGAAGATGGCTATCGGTCACATCCCACTTGAGTTCGAAGATCCCAGCGGACGATATGGTGGCTTTGGCCTCTTCTTTGATGATGTTCGTGCCAGCGTACGCCCGCGCACCGGCCTGGACCTCGATAGCTTTCTCTGTTCTGGTAACATGAGCTTCGATAGGCAAGAAGCAAGCGGCCATCACGACATCATCAACATCAACAGGTGTGATTCGGATGAGCCCTCCACCAAGAAGAAGTGATTGGCCAGGTTTTATGGTGATCCGCTCAGGCTTCACACGCTTGGTCATGATGAGATCCGATTTATATTCTTCACGGACATACTCCTGCAAGCTTTCACGCTCAAGGCCTGGCAAGTCGATCATCTCTCCCCTGCCGTGTCCGAATGGGATCCGAATTGGTGACACTGTCGTTCCAGGCAGCGACGAAACAACTGGAAGTGTAGGATATAGATCTTCACGAGGTGCTGGAGGCAACAAACTGTCTTCGTCTGGTAGGGGAAGCTCGTTATTTTGTGCGGAATTGAGGAATTGCTGCGGATCGCGCTCCAAGAGGTCTGCCAGTTTTTCTAGGTTCTTTGAGTCCTTCGGGAAGCAGACTTCGATGAAGCTGCTCTTCCCTACATTAGCTTTACCCACCACCCAGATACCGCCCCCATGTTCTCTGATCTCGTCTTTAACTGACTTTGTCCACCAGCCCCGATGGGCACTGATCATATGGACGTTGCCGAAACGGATATCCTCTTTATCTTGATTAAGAGCATTGAGCAGCACATCCCGTATGTAGTTCATCTTCGAGTCCACTTGCTCCTTGGTAGCAGCCAGCAAATCTGACCGTGTAATAATGAAGCTTATCGTGGTTTGTAGTTTTCCGGAGACATACTTCGTGGTTTTCGCCCTACGATTCTTCGAGCGCTGACCCTGCAGGGAAAGCGCATCGTATATGTTCGGTATCAGGGACATCGGGAAGTCAGCCGCATCGATGACATGGTAAACGCGATTGCGTCTATGTGGAGATTCGTCGAGCAGCTCGCGGATGGAGTATATTGTGGGCGCCGGTGCTGCGACACCTTGGTTATGATGAACGAGGTTATGGCATCTGTCGCAAACCGGCGAGGGTATCGAGGTTTCTTCAGCGTAGCGGCTGGCATTTGCAACAACCACATCTTCTTTCACTAGAGCACCGTCTATAGTTTCTAGTTAGAGAAAAGACCAATCCAAATAATCAAGGGAAAAGTATGTACTTACGGGCAGGTTTAGGTACATTATTCTCGACCGCTTTTGCTCCAGGCTCGGAAGCAGCATCCTGATTCCCGGTTGAAGTTTCTATCGCAGGCGACAGCAGCAGTTTATCCTTCTCCTCAGCGAGACGTTTCGTTTTATTCAAAAGCTTGCGAGTCTCCTTCCTTGTCATGCTATAGTACCCAGGTTCGTTCGGGTCTATCGTCTGAGAATATGCGCCACAGCCTGGGCAACATATCGGGAGCAGCTCTTTATCCAAATCTAGCGGCTTGTTTGGTGGCGGTTGAGTTTCTATCGACGCATCTGACTGTCTCGCAGTAGCTTGGAAATTGCGACGGCTTGCGATTAAAGGTTGACGGGTTAAACGGGGCGTCCTAGTCGACAATGTCGACAGCGGCCGCTGAAAGGAAGTAGGTAATAAAAGACCGCGAATGTTTGGTCTTATGGACTTTGAAACAATGCATCTGGGGCACAGAAACATGATGTGAAAATGTTGCAGCTCAAACAAACCTCCGCGGAGAGCTTGCGGTACTAGAAATCGATAGCTCTCATGGCATGTATCGGCCGCCGTAAGAATTTGGTGCGAGTGGCGAATCAGAACATTGCCTCGAACTACAGACTATGGGGACTAGTCAACTACTTACTGTACTGGTCTTGAGAGCGTTCAGGACATGCAACAACTGTCCGGAAATGTATTCAAGTCTTAAGCAGTTCAATTTGTCAATTAAATAACGATTCTCTCATTGCACACATTACACAATGCAATCTAAAGCTTGCTGTACAGTAGAGCCCAAATCCCCCAGAAAAACGCCGTTGCCAACCATAGTCATGAAATTTCCCACCATTGTAGAATCAAGCTCGTCCCTTTCCCTTACCAGCAGATTCGTCTTCTTCCTTCCCACTCTCTTCGTCGCTGTCGCTCATGAACTCTTCATCTTCGTCGTCAAAACCGAAGAATTTCCTGGCGACAGGCTTTGGTTGAGGTTCAGACGGGCCTGCTGCGTCCGCTGCCGGCTCTTCCATATCCTCATCCTCGCTCTCTTCACTCGAACTAGCAGGCGAACCGCTTCCGCTGCCTTCACTAGCACTGGTGCTTGATCCTCCCAGGAGCGCATCACGGAGATTGTCTTTCCACATTCCATCCTTCATCGCCTGCAGGACGGCCTCTCGCGCCTTTTCGCTCATCTCGTCCTTATCCTCCATCCACTGACCATCGATCTTGGCCCTTCCCCCACCATTCTTCAACTCTTCCTCCCGCTTTTCAGCTGCTTCCACGATCGCCTGCCATCGGCGCCTGCGCTCTTCCTTCTCTTTCTTCTCCATCTCAGGTTTCACTGCAAGGTACTCAGCGAGTGCTTTTGCTTCATTGACGGTGCGCAAGCGTCGTCCATCAAGATTGCGGTTGGATCCATTGTTGTCGCCTTGGTTGCGCTTTCGCTTGCTAGACATACGGCCACCAGCGGCACGCAGCTGAGAACCGAAACCTCCCTTACCTCCGCACAAAGGGACGGTAAGTCGTAGTGGCAGAAAGTTCGATACTTTAGTAGAGTCATCGTGTCTGGGGAGGAGCGAGAGTAATGATTCTGAGGATGGAGACAACTGTTTGTTGCTCGTAGTCGTGAGGATCAAGGACTGAGCGCTCAGAGACGCGGGTAGGTAAGAAGCGATTTTCTCGGTCACATCGGAAATGGTCGATGTCGAAGGCAGAGAGATCGAGAGTGTCGGTGGTAAGGACAGTCCTGGGAAAGAGGAGAGCAGAACGTTGATTGTTTGCGCCATCATAGCGGTTGATCCTGCCTTGGCAGGTAGCGTGTGTTTAGCAGAGGTATTCTTGTGTATGTATACACGGACGTGACCGCGAGTGATTATGCCACCAACGCTGTCTTCGTCGTGGTGATGCGGAGTTGATAAGATCACCTGGAGGCGAGAGTGACGGAGATCTGAGTCTTGGCGCGGCTGGAACCATATCACGTGATCGTATCCATATCAGGACTAGCCTGCAGATTAGGGTCCTTACCCTAGCAGAGCGATCGATCAATATCGCACTTTTACTTGATAGCTTCGCTCCGTCTACAACCAAACCCGTCAACCAAATCATCCCCTAGCGTTGTCTGAGCGATTCCCCGAATAACGCCAGGAACTCGCGACAATGTACGTGTGAAATATATTTGGAGTGTTGCTTCGTTCTGAATGTGGCCGAGACTGACACTATCGCCAGGCTTATTCCCAAGGCCGACCGCAAGGCGATCCACGAGTACCTCTTCCGCGGTATGTGAACACTTAGACGGCGCGTCTTTTCTGATTGAACTATCTGAATACCCTTATTGTCAACATTGCTGACATTCGTTCAATAGAGGGTGTGCTCGTCGCCAAGAAGGACTTCAACCTTCCCAAGCATGGCGACATTGACACCAAGAACCTCTACGTAAGGCTACCCGATGCAGCGTTTGCGCGCCCTCAACTCATCGAACTATTCGATCTAACATACATGGAAATCAATAGGTGATCAAGGCCTGCCAGTCTCTCACCTCCCGCGGTTACCTCAAGACCCGCTTCTCGTGGCAGTACTACTACTACACCCTCACCCCCGAGGGTCTCGACTACCTCCGCGAATGGCTTCACCTGCCCGCTGAGATCGTCCCTGCCACCCACATCAAGCAGCAGCGTTCTCACGCTCCCCCTCGTGGTATGCTCGGTGGTGAGGAGCGCGAGCGCCGCCCTGGTGGCCGTGGTGGTCCCCGTGAGGGAGGCTACCGCCGCCGTGAGGAGGGCAAGGAGGGTGGTGCCCCTGGCGAGTTCGCTCCTTCTTTCCGTGGCGGATTCGGCCGTGGCCGTCCCGCTCCTCCTTCGTAAGCGGTTCTTGTTTGATCGTCTTGCGATGGCCTTAAATGATGTCGGTACGTGTGTTGGGACATTTCGGATGTAGTTGCATCTGGTCCCTTGACCTCACCGTGCGCATCAAAGAGGAATAAAAAAGAAAAAATAATATGGGGAATGAAATTTTATGATAGCCATTTATCATGTTACGAGGTAGCTAGATCAATGGCAGGATATTCATCACTCAATTGTGCTTCCTCAAAAGTAGACTAGGCTCCCCATCTTTCAACTAACCTCAATGAAGCTTTTATGGATATGGACGGTCAGAACTATGTACAGAATTCCTCCGTGTTGGCTCGGAAATCTTCCCTTTTATGACTGGAATCTCTTGCGGTCATATCTCACCACAGCCTGTAGAATAACTGAAGCGCCAGTGGCGCAGTCATCCGCGGAGCAAAACTCCTCTGGGTGATGGCTCAGGCCGTCCTTGCAAGGAACAAAGACCATGCTAGTTGGGACTCTCTTCGAGGTGAAGACACTATCATGACCAGCACCGCTCATAATTGTGCGAACAAGTGACTTGGAGTCAGCCACGCCAGCATCAGCGACGACAGCCTCTGCCGACTCTTGGACACATGCGATACAGTCGTCGTGGAACTTGACTGCTGGAGAGTCGAAGTCAAGCGTCCACTCCACGCGGCACGGCTTTCCGATCCCTTTGCCTTCCTCTGCCGCAATACCATCAAACTCCTTCTTCAGCTCAGCTTCCACAGTCGCGACGAGCTCTGTCTCCGGCCCTCGCACATCCAGTGAGAAGTTTACTAGCCCGGGAACAGTATTTACACTGCCCGGCTTCACGTCTATGATACCAACACTGGCCAGACAACCATGACTATCGGCGATTTCCCTGGCACGCACCATCATACGGGAAAAGGCGTAAAGTGCGTCCGCGCGGTGTTGGAATGCCGTCGTTCCTGTGTGTGTATCCCGTCCGATGACTTTGAGACGATACCAGCGGTAGGCCTGTACCGCCGTCACGACACCAACGCGCTGACCGGCAGACACGAGGTGTGGACCCTGCTCAATGTGCAGTTCAAAGTGCGCGGCCATAGGGGTTTCTTTATATGAGCACGGTACCGTTCCCAGATAATTGATCTTTTCCAGGGCAGACTTCATAGTCTCGGGAGCTGAAGCTGCCGTAGGTAGAGAAGCAACTGTTGGAACTTCCTTGAGTGCATGCGCCTGGTCAAGAGGTATAAAGCCAGCCCATACACCTGAACATATCATACTAACGGGGAATCGAGCACCTTCTTCGCTATGAGCTAGTTAGCGAGCTGTGCGTTAGAATCACGCGGACAGAACAATGCTCTTACTTCGTCCAATTCACAACTCCAACGCCCCCTTCAGTTTCCAGTCCCATCTCCTCCATGACCTTCAACGTTTCAATGCCTGCTAACACCCCGAGGATACCATCGTATCTACCACCAGTGGGCTGCGTGTCGAGATGGCTTCCGATGAATGTAGCGGGCACATCCTTTCTCTTTCCTGGTCGAACAGCGAAGATGTTGCCCATCTCGTCGATGGTGATGTTACAACCAAGTGCCTTGGTCGTCTCGATGAACCAATCGCGGACTTTCTTGTCATCCTCAGATAAGGCAAGACGTTGCATTCCAGTGTCCGTTGGACCGCTGCGTTAGAGTTAGCGATATTAGACCTTGCTTCACTCAGATCCAGTCTCCGAAAACCATTAGAATGGCTAGTTACATGAATCGGACAACCAATACTTGTATATACTCTCAGATAATATTCTGTTAATAGGAAATTGTAACTTACTCTCCCCATCGTATACCTGAGCCCCATTGGCAGCTATGGTGCAGGTCCTTCGCCAATCGCTCTTTATTGGCCCTCAACGCCGACACTTGGGCTTCCGACAATTCAGTAGTCAACATAGCGAGCCGCAAAGACGAAGAGAACTGTCTAATTCGAGGAAACGGAACCTGTTGCTGGGATTGAAGGGCAGATCTTCTAGTTGACAAGCTGCAACTTGAAAGCAGCGTAGAGCGTCCGAACGCAAAGGGCACCATATCGCTCACGAGGGGGGAGTTAAATGAGCTGTATCTCTCCCTTCTTATATACCGGTAGTGAACATCAAATCAACTTTGCGGGGGCCTCCGTTGCCCAGCGCACGAAGATGATAAGATATGCATCGCCAGGACAGGAACGGACGTTCTGCTTATCGAAACCCCTCATCCGTTCCCCTCATCTTGTTGGCCGATACATACAAGCTCGTAACATTGGACGGCCGTCTCGATAAGTAGGTTAGCCGATACTGGCGATAACGGCCAGTATAGTACTTGACATTTATCTCCACGTGATTGCATATCAGGGTTCGGATAATTTGCCGCCTAGATGAGGCTTCAAAGCGGTTAATGATGGTGTGGAACTTAGAATACAGTTCCAGGTAATAAAAATACCTACTTATGGAGACCTTCACCTTGGCAACGTTCTTCTCTGATTGCCATCCGACTTTAATCATCTCTCAGTAGAAAGACTCTATTAGGAATATAGAGCACTGGAGATGGAGCCGGTGGCTTATTTTGATAATAAGCCTCTTCTGCTGAGTGTCCCACCCTATGGCATTATATTAATACCTATGGCTTAGAGAAGCGAGCGATAAAATCACCCTCTTAGAAGCTAGGATCTTGCTTATAGATTCTGGCGAGGCATTTTGGCCTTTAAAGGAGCCGAAGTATAAATCTCGTGCCCCGTCCCCTAGAGGCGCGATTTGAACCAACAAAGCCTCTGTCTTTCTCTTCAGATATTTGGACGCTCGCCTATATTATCTGGGCTATTATTGCTTAAAGACTACTATTTAGAGGATTTATGGCAACAGAAGACAATATAACCTGCGAGTATATTAATGCTTTTAGTATTTTACCACTGAAATAGTGGCTAAAGTAGGAGCCGCAATAAGAGAGGTTTATAGAGGATAGTATTCTAATAAACTATAATCCTTATCAGTTATAGGCGGATTATTTTAAGGACTATATATAGTAACTATGGCGAGGAAGCAGGCTGTCATCCTTTAATCCGGCGGAAAGAGATGCTGTCTCTGCTATATTAAGGTCTATGCTCTTATTCTAGCCCGAGAACCAACCCCCTGCCCAGCAGGTTCTTAAAACGGAATGGATGGTGAAATGGGCTTTGCCCGAATATAGCAGGATTTGAAACTATCCTTAACCGTTTAGGGCGTCAAGAACTGAGCCAGTACTCGAAGGCTTGATGTTTTAGGGCACATATCGATTTATGGGAAATAAAATACTTAGCTGTAATTCAGTCCCCTACGAAACCTTTGCGAAGTATTTCGAGAAAATCAACATATAGCAACTGCAAAATAACCGTAAAAGTCACAGACTGGGCGCTATATCTCTACTGTAGAAAGGCAGACAATTTAAATGTATATAGAAGATAGTGATGTTCTTAGTAAATACGGAACGTCATGGTATCATCCAGCTCCCCAGGCAAGATACTTCTACTAGGACCCTCTATTATTGATCTCACGCGTATGGAGGAAAGGCAGGAGAACAATATCCATCCTGTGGACGATTGTACTTTATGCAATACCTAGACTAGTTATCGATTAGTGCTTTCGAGAGAAATAGTTGGATTTGCGATGTTTAGATATACGAGAATCCAGATGCGGTCTGTGGACGTATTGGAACGGAAAAAAAAATTCATTTTGGAACATAGCCTAAAGTACAGTGACAGGAGGGCTACCAGCCATCAGGCAACGGCAGTAGTTAGATATAGTGTTTAATAATCCAGACTCGGCTTGCGTCCTTGCAGCTGAAGCTTTTGAGAAGCCAAAGAACCTCTTTTTATCTATGTCCCGGTACTAGAGGAGGAAGAAAACACGTAAATTGGAACACTAGGTTTTAGAAAATGGATTCATATTGGCACAGTGTCCAGTCATATGGTCTATTGTCGTCTCTGTTCTGTGTTGGACTGTATGTAGTATAGAGTCATAATCACACGGAGTTTTTTCAATTATCGGCACGCACCCGAGAACACAAAATGTTGCATATCTTTCCAAATACGCCTAATTGAAAATCAAGAAAAAAGAAAGCATATCTCCAGACACTAGACTACAAGAATAAAAAACAAAAACAATAAAATTATCGACTGCTGTGTCGACAGTAGGATTCCAAAGATTGCTGAAGAGGAGTTTTGTGGGCGACCCACGGCCATCTCTGGTAAAAGGCAAGAAATGGATTCTGAGCTAGGTCGTCCCACTCCTCACACAGGAAACCCCTAAAGTGACTTAAGTACCCTTCCCGAGCAGCCAGTGGCACCAGTTCGATTCCGCCCTCTGCCTCGGTCGGATTCTTTTTTTCGATCACCCATCTCACATTATTGCCCTTTCTCCGACGCGCATTCCCCTCATCGGCCTTTTAAGTCCACCCCGCATCACCGCCATCCGGTTGATTCCTTTCCTTCAAGTGAGATCCCAAAACATCCTATACTGTAAATTCATCATGTCGGCTGCTGCGTGCATTTTCTGCAAGATTATCAAGGGTAATTGATATCCCTGTTACATATCTCTTATTGTTTCTACCCTTTTGTTTTGAACATCCCCGACAATGCAATGTCACCATCAGTTCGAGCTCACGGGTCTTCTTGTTGTGAGACATCATAGTAGTTACGCCATGAGACTGATATATGGAGAATTGCAGGCGACATCCCGTCCTTTAAACTCTTCGAGAATGACAAGGTCTTTGCATTCTTGGATATCCAACCTCTGAGTCGCGGTCACGCGGTAAGTTTCTCTTCTCATTGAAGCCTCCCCTTATAGCCCATTGCTTTGTTCGGAACCCTGTCTTCTATCGTCCAATGTCCAAATACAAGACGCCTGGCCCGATATGCTTCTCTTTCGTTAAAACCACAATTGTTCCCTGAGACGGGATCAATAATCTCGAATATCCTGGTCAATAAATGTCCAAAGAAGAAGAGACTAACAAAAGAACTTCTTAGCTCGTCATCCCCAAGTTCCACGGCGCCAAGTTGACTGATATCCCTGACGACGACCTGCGAGAGATTCTGGTACGTTCTGAGTCGATCGATTAAGCCCCGGACCATCCGATCCCTAAATACCCCATCTCCGCATATGGCGCGTACCTTGAGGACGGCACACAAGACCACCCGGACCTTTGGGAATGGCTCGGGCTAACGCATAACCTACCCTGTTTTGGAATGTAGCCGATCGCGAAGAAGATCGCCGTTGCCAGCGGTGCAGAGAACTACAACGTCCTGCAGAACAACGGTCGCCCGGCGCACCAGGTCGTTGACCATGTGAGTCTTTCCCCTTTTTTATCCAACTCTCGATCTTTTAGGAAGAATGGTGGTTCTAATTTGAAAATCTACAGGTTCACTTCCATGTGGTACGTTGATTCCTTTCCAATCTCACTGACCTAAACGTGACACCCCTTTCGCAAACTGCCCGACCTCAGCTACAGCATCCCCGTCAGACCAAGGCCCCCTATATGGGCGCACATGAAGCAAGAAGATACTAATCGCTGATTCTTGTTTCCACAGATCCCCAAGCCCAACGAAACCGAAGGTCTTGGAATTGGCTGGCCCGCCCAGGCCACTGATATGGACAAGCTTAAGGCTCTCTACGAGGAGCTCAAGGCGAAGATTTAGATTATTTATTTTGTAAATGAAGGCGTGTGAATTTACTTCTGTTCAGGAGGATATAGCAGTGGCAAGTCAGATGGTAAGAAGCTGGTTTATATTTGTAGACCCGTCCTCAGCCAAGCAGGTGAGATCTTTAAAATCTTGGATATGACGATCGATCTCTTCGTCTATTCTACTGGCATGGAATATCTCCGCAAGCCTGTAGTATGTGTCCAGAAAGTTGGGATCGGGAAGCTTGATATCCTCGTTTCCTGGACTGATACTGAGCCGTAGTAATCTATCCTTCGGCAACAGAGGTGAGAAGACATCATCGAAGCCATCATAGACATTCACTTCATATTCATTTGAAAATCCCTGGAATAACGGAATCTTATTAGTATCTATATATGTAGGCGAATAAATATGGATCTCTAATATTTATACGTACCGTAGGCCTCAGCGCGATGTTGAATTCTCCGAACTCCTTATGAATGTAGCTTGCCAAGGTGATAGTGTTCAACGGGTCGTTTATTTTCTCGGCATAAATCTTCCCGTGGAGTACTGGGAAGTAATGATATAGGCAGGTCCATCGCCGTGTGGCATACTTATCCGAAGGCTATAAGATATATCAGCACAGTAAACTGATCCAAAACCCCAAAATAGATACATACATTTTGATTTTTGTGGGGCCCGTAAATAAAAGGAATGATATGGGCCACTTCTAGATTCGAGGGCGTTTCCCCGCTAGGTTTACCAGCATCTTTCCAGTCCTTCCTTAGCATTCTCTTGGTGATCACACATTGTCTACCGTCTCTCTTTAGTGTATTCTTGCGTGTCTCCTATTCTCGCTTGGCAGGAGAAGATAGATCGGAGGCGATTTTCTCAGCCTGTTCTTAATACAGCTGGACGGGGGACTCGGGAATAAATAACTTTCTAAGAATAGTCCTCACTGTATATGACTATCAGGAGATACCCCATCGATAAAAGAGGTCAAACTAACTTGGGAGGAATAGTGACTGGTAAATATACTCAAAATGTTCGTACAGCTTTGTATCATCATCGATGCTTGAGATATCCCTGATCCAAGGAATTCCAGGGAGGCCAGTAGCGCAGGCACCAGCAGTTTGTCCAGACTGCGGCCTGCAGGGACATATCTCTGCACGCGGTCTATAGCGTGGCGCTTCAAATCTGCCCTATCTTCGGCTGATATAACGGGAAATTCAGACAAATTCGACATCGTTGAAGCTTCTACCTGCTCGCGTAGTGGTATTAGTTGATGTCCGGCGGGACACAGGCATTCGCCTGTATCCCTGGTCGAGCTCCCATGGGGTATAGGGAGGTAAGCTATGGTATTACGTATATAGACTGCATGCAACCTTGGAAAGCAAGTCTGGGTTAAGCTCTGCTCCGATATATAGGTAAAGCTTAGTGCTGGCGGGAGCCCGGAGGCTAGATAAGAGAAGGAAAGGTCCGTAAGGGGGGCTATGTGAATAAAAGTCAAATTGGTATACAATCTCGAGTCGGTGAATGGATTCGAATCCCGGTCTCCTAGTATTTTCTATATTCATCGAGACCTTCTTGGCATCACCGTACATCATAGTGAAGCTTGGATCAGGCAACGTGGAATTGGGTAGAGGATCCACTACTTAACTTTCCTTTTCTGAGCTTGAATTCTCCAGCAACTAGCTCAGCCTATTTATCTCTGTGGGTGGAGCTCGAAGGCGTGGGAGAAACCCGACAGGAGGTCTGCCTGTAGGCAGGCTCCAACAGGATCCCATGCCTAGGTACCTACCTACCTACCTACCCAAGGTACCTAGGTAGGTATTTAACACTTTACCGCCTCAGTAATCAGTGTGTTTAATTACTCCTCTGACCAGAGGATAGGAATTCAGCTTCTTAGGACCATTGGAAGTTCACGGACTATCCAAGTTGATTAAGGCATTGCTTCCTTTATCAGAATTCTGCTTCCTTTATCAAGACTCTGTGTACTTTATCAAGGTCGTCATCATGCCCACATCCCCTTGCCTTAAACGGGTCAGGACCATCCTGCACTTGTTAAAAGAGATCCTCGTTGAGAAATCACAAGCAGCTGAAAAGGTGGAAGAGGCATTACAGCAGATGAACCAGGTGCCGCCATCGCTTGGAGCCAGCAGTCTGAAAGAGCACGAGGTTAGGGATTTGCTAGGGCTGTCCCAGGATGACCGTGCTCGAGAAATTTGGTCTCTTAATGAAGAGGACATCATTCCCGTTCCTACAATCGTTCGTAGGTTTATACCTTTTATGTTGTCATGCCGTATGATGTGCTGATGTTCCAAGGTGATCGTCTTCGTGATATCAGAGAAGTACTAGGCGGAGATCCGACCAATGAGGCAACATGCCGTTGGATTTTGGATGTTATCCTCCAGACGTGCATCCGGATGGAACAACAGCAGAAGAAAGAAAGATGTGTTACCCTTATTGCGGAATCTCACCTAGAGCTTAGGGTGAAGTACAATGGCGACGACCGTATTTTGAGCGGCCAATCCGACTATTCCATTTGGTACGACAACAGGGGCATGTCGATAAACACTGTTATTTGCGAGGCCAAGGACGAGGCCGGTGTGTCCGGTGGAGTTCCTCAGTGTCTTGCCTATATGGGTAAGTCAGGACCTTCCTCCTTTGGCCTTTTTCGCCTTTTGCTTTCTATTTTTTTTTTTTTTTTTTTTTTTTTTTCTCTTAATTCTTGTTTCTACAAGTTGGACGAGTGTCCTAATTATACTACACAGGCATGGTGCATCACATTCGGAAGCAAGAAGGCAGGATAAACGCAGTAGTCTATGGCTGTGTCTCTGATGGTGATGATTTTACCTTTCTGCGCATTGACAACGAAGCTAGGGTAAGAATCTCTACTGATCTAGTTATCTATACTGACATTTCATAGTACTCAAAGTGGTCAAGCCCCCATGGATGGAACTGGGGTAGCAAGGCAAGCAATATAATCTGGACGCACTTGGTACTAATCACACAGAGTGCAAGCGCACTTTCATCACCTATATATTCAGCAAAGAAGATCAAGAGAACTGTCGATAACGCATCGACTGGACGACAGTACTGGAGACTGCGTATTGGCAGCAGTAATGAAGATAAGATAATGAGTGGATAAGGATTCTAACTAATATCATCATCAGTGGATCATTAAACCTTCGGGTTTTTCTCTATATATGATCTGATGATCAAATCCAGAAAGGAAGTGTCACGTTTTTTTCGCTTTGACGGGCTCAAACGCCCCTTCCCCTCTCAAGCTGAGGTCAAGCGTTAAGTTGTTTATTATCAAGTATAAGTCCAATTTCCTAGCGAAACTCTCGCCCATATATTCTTCTCTCCCTGTCACTCCTATTACTTCTTTTCAGATTCAGTTTAACAGTTTCCTGAACTCTTGACGAAAGGCCACGTCCGTTACTGGAGGTGGTTCGAGCATGGAACTCGAATAGATGCAAACCTAAACAATTGTCTTTGCAAAGACAAGTATTCGAAGAAATAGTCCTGGATCAGTGAGCTGGGAATGACAGAGAAAGAGGTCCAGGAAGTTTTGCACTGGCTAGAGCCAAAGAAGGTCAGAACGATATGTGAGCCTCACATACGCTTGCTATCGAAAGCCATCGGGGTAAGATGAGGCGATGGCAATGAGCGGGTACACGATGAACGATCTCCTCGAGATGAGGCTCACCGGGAACCGTGTTGCGTTCGGAAATTGTGCAGAGATATACCCTCTTCTTCATATACTGAAGTAAGAGACGGAACAGGAGTCAATAAAGCGAGAGGAGTCTTAAAAGCTGTCAACCGAAAGACACTAGCGATGGTTAGGCAGGAGATGAAGCATCTCTTCAGTTTATTGAAGACCATGGGTCTGTACTTACCACATTAACAATGTAAACGGAATTTTGAAATCCATGCCAATCAACATAGGAAATGAGAAGGATAACAGAAGTAAATTCGTTTTTTCTCCATATATTCATTGAGCCGTTTCTTAAGCTAGGAATGAAGAATCTGCCTTAAGTCATATCCCTAGTGACCTATAGATATTGTACAAGTTGGATCCGTTCATTTTTCAATTGTGTATATCCCGTCTTATCTTACTATTTCCGAATATAGTTAGCCGATGTAGTACATACATCTCTTCCTCGCGGATCTTTATCTGGCATTACATTCAACAATTCATCTAAATAGAAAAGTGAGATAAATAGTAACGAGGCAAGAAAGCGTGGAAAAAAACTGGAAAAATAGAAGACGGATATATATGACGTCTAATAATGCGAGACAATAGTACAAATAAAACAAGCACAAATATGGCACCCTCAGCACCATACCAAAAAAAGTTCAGAAACCGTGTACCGTACACAATTCATTCAAGCGGCCAAGGAAGCGCGTATACAAACCAGACCCAAAAAGACGCATGTCATAGTCCAGTGATAATATGTTTGAACTCCAGAGAAACAGAAACCGCCGATATCAGACCTAGCTGATGCTCTGATCAATTCCAACAGTCTAGGCTGTAATGGCGGTACCGTTTGGTGACGCAACTCCGTCTGCGGATACTGCGGCCACTTTCTCTTCAGCGATCGTAGTCTCTCCGTCGGTGGACACGCCGTTCGTGCTTGCGGCATTCCGTTCGGGATAAAACTGGATCTTTCCTCCTTCCAAAAGACAACCGGTGCGGTCCATGATCGTTCGTGCTCGGATATAGGGGTCAAGCTCCCAGTATTCTTCCCTCAGGCGCTTGATAAGCTCGGCTCTCTTGGCCTGTTCGGCGGCTTCTAGGTCCTTATTTCCTGCTTTGGCGGCCGTGACCCATGATAGGGTGGCAGCCTGCAGCTCATCGGAGAGCTGTTGTCTCTTGGCGAGCAACTTCTCACGAGTGGCTGTATCCTCCATCCTGGCGTTCTCTTCGGCTGTCGGCTCGACATATTTGTATTCCCAGTCTTCGTCTCCACCGAGTTCTTTGATGATACGGTCACGGGGAATAAATTGTTCCAAATCCTCGACGGAGTTCGTGAAGTTGACCTTCGCGGCGACGACGGGATCCAGCCAGCCTCTAATGATCTTCCAAATTCCTGCACGACGTGTTAGAGGACAGTCTAAGTGAAAATTGAATAATTGACCAACCTGAGAAAATCCAAGGAGCCTTGTGGATCAGGATAGCGCCCAAGCTTTCAGGGTAGTTGGCCTCAAAACACTTAATGATGAACTTAACGGGATGGTAGTCCTGGGAATAGTGTTAGAATCGTGGTGACTTCCTGTCAGATAGCAATAAACATACCATGTTCGCCAGGGTAAAATCGGTCATATCAAAGACGATAGCCTGCGGATGTCAGAATTCTGTCCATAAAAATCACACTTTCTGTACTTACCGCTGTTTCGACAGGAGGCGCTAGCATCATTCTTGTTGACTCGATCAGCAGAACCGTGAAGCGCTCCATCGTTTCAGCGCTCTGCTCAGATCCTTTATGCAAGCGTACTCGGACATAGCATATCGGTCTTCCGTTCCTGTCAATACCATGGGCAAAACTCTTGCCCATCCGAAGCTGTGTCATGAACTCCTCTCCTGCCTTCTTTTCCGCCGGATCAGAGCTCTGTGACTGCAGGGCGGCATTGCCCTCACCCTTCCTAACAATTTCGTCATCCACGTGCATCTCCTTCAATCTCCATCGCAGCGTGGAAATGAGCATAACCAGGGCCTTGGAGACGTCCCATTTTCTGGCACGAAGGAACCGAAGAAGGAGAGCATCAGGGTTGTCTTGTTTGGTCATGCTCCAAAGTGCGACCCGTAGTTCCTCGGGCTTTATCTCAGCAAGGGCCTGCTGGAACTCCTTATTTTGACCATGTTTGTCGTCTCCATCAAGCTTGATACCGGAGATGCCGGAGGTGACGCTGGCAGTGTCTTCATTGGTGTCTTCCTCATTACCTCGACCCCAGAAGAAAGATTTGCGCTTTGTCTTCTTCTTATCTTGGGTAGGACTGGAAGGTGTAGCACTGGCGACTGAAGCTCTTCGGTCGATGTCCTCGGGCACCTTAACACCGCAGACCTTCAACACCATCACCCAGAGCTCCTGGAGCTTCTTCTCCTGCTCCGGGGTGAGGTTCCCGACACAGCCGGGGGGGATTTCATCGCTCGACATTTTGAGTGTATCAATAACTCCAAGAAAGTCCTGACGTCGAGGTGGTAGCGATTGAGCAGGTTGTCGTGTAGTCTCAGAAGTCGTAAAAGATTTCGAATATATATCCTTGACGACCAGTCCGCCACACACAGCAAGTAGAGCGAATGTGATCGTCCAGAACGAAGACGCTTGCCTCGGTTGGTTGAAACCGGACGATCGAGGGCGCGACTGTGTGGAGATAGCCCGGGGCAGATTGCGGGGAAAGTTCGCGCCTTGGTCGCTTGGTCTGTAGACTCTGTACAATGGCAGACGAGAGACCCGTGCACTGGTTCGAAGAGAGTGAACTTGGAATTTCTCAGAAAAAGGGACTCCCAGGCGGCCGAGGAAGCAAGCACGCATGTGCTACCGAGAGAAGCAGCCCGACTGCTGCTCCAGGATGGATGAACGCGGTCACGTCGTTTAGTTTTACCCTGATATTGTCCGCTATCAGAACGATCTGCACGAGGACCCTGCCGCTCACCAGATTGCGGGGGAGGGATATTGCGGGGAGGAATAATAAGGAATGAAGATAAAGATGTCTGGGTTTATATCGAGAAAGTTGGCGGTTGCAAGTAGTAGAGGAAGCCGGCCTCTTCCGTCACACCCACTTGGGCCCGGATCATCAACAGCCCGTGTGGCGGGTCAACAAACGATCGTCTACTCTACCATAAGTATCTATCTACACTTCTACAGTATCAACTTCTTCCTCTCTATCTCTTCCTCTTTTCCTCTCCCACCTCTCCTCCTCCCCGCGCCACTGAGCGCACACGACCATGGAAGACTCCGCCCCCAGATCTGCGTCGCGCTCGAGGCCTCCCTCCCGCCCGGTAACGCCTTTGCGCCCGAGCTCGCGATCATCCTTTCGGGACGCCCATGGTTATGGCGCAAGTATAAATAGTGCGGGGTATTCGCAGCCTGCAATCAACGCCCTGGAGCCACAATTCGCGGAATTGGCAGACTCGATGGCCGATCTGGAGGCGAACTTTATGCATCTGCAGCTAATGCACGAGAGTCTGACCCGGTTCAGTGAGAGTTTCGCCAGCTTCCTATACGGCTTGAACATGAATGCTTTCTGTGTCGACTTTCCCGAGGTATGGCTGCCATCGCAGGGCTACGAGAGGAGACAGCCATGAGCACGGTATTGATATGAGATAGGCTCCTATTTCAGAGTCCTTCCGCAGGGCCAAACAGGCGGAAACCCAGGAGGGTGTGTTGTGTGGTTCCGTAGTTTCTCTGTTCCCAGCTAATCTGGTTCGTGTCAGACCTTGCAGCAGATCAATATCGCTCTACGAATGAAGAGACCACCTTCCTGTGAGTGGCCAACTTGATTTTCGTCGAACTACATTGTTCCTGGCGTTCCCATTGACTGATCTCGATTCCCTCCAGGACCACCGACACGACCTTCATTGAGAATCCACCGCCCACAATATCTTCGAAAGCCACTCCCAAACCTTCGCGGACCTCCTCCCGGGGTTCCTCCACTCGAGGCTCAATTGGCGACCGCTATTCGACAAGAGGCACAACGAGGGGTAGTGGAAGAGCAGCTCGCCCAAGCGCGTTGCCTAGGGGCAGAGGAGTGCGTTGAGACTTAGTCTACACGTGAACCCGGCATTGATGGACTTCCACTGGTGATGCGATGCCGACGATGATTACATCCAATCTTCCCCGGGAATCTGCCGCCAGATCTCAAAATAGCGTGATGGATGACCTCACTTGGGATTTTAGAGTAAACCCCAGTCCACGAGACACGCAAGTTGTTGGACGCAAAGGCGCAATGTTCCAATGATGGCCCAATACCCGTTGCTAGTACCCGGAACATTACGATCACCGCTAACTACCGGACGCGGCGTCAACTGGCTAGTGGCCCACAACAGACCTGATAAGAACCTGTTCACCAAGCAAACTTTTTGAGTCAGGACTCTGTAGTGATTCCCCATACTACACATCCCATGAATTTAATGGTGGACTGGGACCCCGTTTCGCAGGGAGTCCTCACGCGCAGATGGCTAGTTAACTAGATACCCCATATCCATCCTTGGTCTCTCAAACTGGAGTGTCAATTCCACGCCTGCTAGGTTAGATTTTGCAAGCGCTAGATATGCACTAGAAACCAGTAAAACGCAGCCAAGCGTACTTTAACTACTAGATCTTAAAATGTGTCGAGCATCTCTGGCGCGAAGATCAGAGTTGTCGCGATTCGTCGACTTGCCACGCCGCCTCCGGGATTCTGACAGGCTGCCTTTACCGCCTCAGCCGACACACGCGCCAGACCCTGAGCCGAACAGAGATTCTTCCTTCGTCTTTGCCTCCAACGCATCGCCCGCGAGCACACCCAGGTCCATTCACTTCAAGACCAATCCCATGGCATTGTCTTGATTCTGCATTGTCTCATGTCACCGTGTCTTCTCCTAGTCCTGTGTTGGTCCTTCAGCTGTGCCTATTGTCCGCTATTGATAGTGAAAGCCGCTAGCGCTTGATTGTCCGTCCGGTGGAGAACTGCCAATATCAAAGCCCGTTGGTATCTGGTTCTTCAGCATCTCCGTGTTTCTCGTTCTTGATCTCCATGTCCTGAAGTCCTGAGTCTGCTGTGCGGAATCCGTGGCTCTAATATCCTCATCCATCCTATCTTTTTTGCCCAAGCCCATTCTCTTACCGGATTCAGAAGAACTCGGTTAGCGGTGATTGAGGTCTACCTACCCAGTACTATTGCGTGCGAGAACATCTCGATCGGATCATCTAATATCCTGTTTCGTCTCTGAGCCATCGCTCTCCTCTGTCGGTGTTGCGGACAATTTTTTCTGTTCTCGTGTACACGCAATTGCATCCTATACACGCATACGAAATGGCGACTACCACTAGAGTGTTTGTCAAGTCTGAGGCGGAATATGGCTGTGGTAAGTGCAATTCATCTTTGGCTGGAGACTAGACTAGTTTTATTGACTCCGTAACAGAACATCTAGCGGCTGTCCTTGGGAAGGATGAAAGCACTGCTGCGCAGTTCCGAGAATCATTCGCCAAGTCTCACGCTGCTATTGAAGCGCGAAAGAAGAGTGCTTCTGTCCACAAGGCATCTACTCCCAAGACTATTTTTTCTCTCAGACCGACATATCATTGTCTGACCTGTTCGGAAACCTGTGACAACGGCGGCAGGCACGCCCACTCTGAGAAGACAGGTCATAAATTCTGTAAGTCGAATCGTGTCTCGTTGCACGATAACTGCTGACAGTTGGTAGATTTGGAATCGAGAAACTGCAATCTCTTCTGTCAGGGATGCGATGATCTCGTCTATGACGGAGGCCTGGAACGCTTGCTCGCGATGGGTTGCCCTCTCAAAGGTACGTGTTGTGTTGAGCGCTATTTTATTTACACATCTAACTTCGTACAGCTTCGAAAAAGCGGAAATTCAGCGACAGTTCCGCCGATCAAGTCTACGTTAGAGCTAACGCGAACAAACGACCCTGTGGCAGGGAAGGCGCCAGGGGTATATATAACCTTGGTCAATCTTGTTATATGAACGTCATCTTGCAGGCCCTTCTTCATGACCCAATACTAAACACGTATTTCCTTGGCAATGGCCATCAAGGGCATGAATGCCTGTGGCCTCGTTGCATGGCATGTCCGCTGGCTGACGCTTTTGCCGATGCTAACAATACCGAGAAGAACGAGGCATTCACGGCAGTCCAGCTGATGTACGCCTTATGGAACACTAGTGTGGTAAGTCACGTTGTTTCAATTGGTATATCTGAGCGAGTGAGTTGACGATGTCCATGGGCAGTCTTTACAAGGCTACCGGCAACAAGATGCCCACGAGTTCTATCAGTTTCTCGTCGACAGGCTGCATGCTACTGCTGAGGGACACGCCGACGGCATGAATGAAGATTGTCCATGCTTCTTCCACAAAGCTTTCTATGGGAAACTTCGGAGCACCGTCACCTGTGACAACTGCGGCAATGTTACTCGCACTGAAGACCCCATCATGGACCTCAGTCTTGATGTGCAGACGCGGGCGAAGAAGCACGCACTGGGTGGGCAGGATACTCCGTCTACGCCAACATTGCACGGCTGTCTGGAAAGATTTACTTCTCCAGAGAGGCTATCGGCAGGAATGTACAACTGCAGTGAATGTGGTGGGGCAGGTCAAAAAGCGACTAAGCAGCTGAGGATCAAGAAGCTGCCAGCGATTCTGTGTATGCAGCTGAAGGTTCGTCGACTTCTGTTATAGTGGTGATTTGGGTGGCTTTAACTGACATACAAAACCAGCGCTTTGGACATTCAGAGGCTGTTTCGGAGAAACTTGAGGGCAGGGTGAACTTCCCGCTATCCATCAACATGCTTCCTTACACGACCAAGCCAAACTCGCAAAAGGTGCCCAAGTCAAAATACATGTATGACCTGTCCACCGCTGTTATCCACAAGGGCCAACTCGACACGGGACATTACTACGCATATTGTCGACAAGGCGAACAGGTAGGATATCACCCGTAGCCTATATGTACCTCGTTTCAGTTACCTAACTAGTCTCAGTGGATGCTTTTCAACGACGATCAGGTAACTCCCGCAGGGGAAGCAGACGTGCTGAATGCAGATGCGTATCTTCTTTTCTACAACTTGCGCTCTCTCACGGCCAAGGTGGATGACCATAACCAGAGCAAGAGCCAGGGCCACTGAGGTCTCTATTCTATTTCCTGTGAATCCTGATGCAGTCATTTTCTTTTCTTGCTCGCGCCGGGTACATGGTTAGGCGTTGAGATTCTATGTAAATCATGGAGCATCTCGGTTCGGTGCTGGTTGGCGTTGTCCGGTACAATACCCAGTGAACGAACCCATTTTATTTCGGGGCAGTAGCTTTGAAATTCTTATTGTTACATTACTTCTTTGTATGACATGATATGCGAGTGGATCGAGTTCCCAAGTGGTTTTACATATTGTCAATGAAAAACTACTTGAAAATCAGAGATGTGACAATTTATCCGTCACGATAGAACTTGCTGGATTGGTCCTTCCCGGTGCTACATAGAACCTACACGCAGCAGTACAACGTGCGTCTGCACCTGGAGAGATAATGAGCAGTACGAACAACCGCCTGGGACTTTCCATACAGGTTCGCGTAGTTGCATTCGGGTCTCTCGAAGAAGTATGACAGACTCGAACCAAAATACATGGCCAAGGTCAAGTCCGACTGCGAAAGACATTATTTTATCAGCAGTAATTAAATACTGTAGGTTGGATCCACACCGTACTGAGACATCGTCATTCGCCTCGACCGTTTCTCTGGTTAAGTACGACAAAGTATAGCGTTTTCATGGGCGCTTTTGTTCGCCATCCCTCCTCCTCCTTCTTTTTGAAGTGCCCAACGTCCACAAACCTCAATTCTTGCTCCTCCATCAAGACAGGAAAGTGAAAGAACCCCGCACTGCAATTACTGCTCATGCAACACAGGTTATTCCTCAGAAGGAAAGTTTATATCTCCTTTTTTTTTTTCTTGATCCCGAAGTTAACTCCCCACGGAATAATCGCGCAGTATCCCCGTCCTAACTAGGTAGAGTCAATTTAATATAGGTAATTTCCGTGATCGGATTTTGAATAATAGCTCCCGCTAGTTAAGTATTACCTATATAATTTGCAATATATAGCTAACTATTATAATAAACATCATTATGTCAATTATATTATCATGAGACTCAGCATAGAGTCCGTCCTAGAGCATGCAGATATCGAGAAGTAACTTACCGTTCGGTTTCGGAGCTCAAGGTCGAGGTCGAGGAAAGGGCTTTGCCTGCAACGTGGCATATTTGACATGTACTACTGATCAATAGCTGAAGGACGTGGATTTCGTTAACTACTCCATACTAGAACTGAATAAATTGAACTGAACTGAACTGAATGAGTGAGTGAGTGGGTGAGTGTGCCTTAACTTCATCAAAGCAAATGTTTCTCAGTCTCCTTTAAATAACTATAGTCTTTACCCCTTCTTTCTCACGTGCGTTGTGGTAAATAGATGCTTGTTCTGGTATACTATTACTCTGAGGTCCTGGGAAGAGGAGTAGTTTAATAAACTCACTACGTAAGTTGATAATTACCTCAGACGATGAAATAATAGCGTTGAGGAAGGCTATATATTGGAATTTCCGAACAGTTAGTGTTGTATATAAGCTGAATAGCAGCAGGAATTGTTTATCTTTAAGTTTTAATCGATTTATCCTACTTTATTATTTATCCGGTAATGATCTTTTATTCTATAATACTTGCTCACTCGAGAGTCTAGTAATTCAGTTACGGTAGTATTTCTACTTCCCTGAATCTCTATTAACGGGATCTTAGGGCGCTAGCAATGTAGTTAACGGGGAAAAAAGCGACATTGAATTAATCAACCTTCTTAGTTAAACGAAAGAAAAAGAAAAAACGGACAATACTACTTAGTAGTAGTAGTGTTATATATTATTATTCTCCCAATTTTAGCAGAGACGACAAATGTTTAAAAAGGTGCCGAATCCCGAGATCTTCAGTTTAGATCTGCGAAGAGTATATCCGTGCGGTCGGCAAGGTATAAGAGGGAGATGATAAGAAGATCAGAAAGAGAAGAAACAGCAAAGAATAAGAGAGATTAAGCCTCGAAAAAAAAACACGACTATAAATTAAAACAAGCGAAATAGAAGGAGTAAATCTTTCAAAGCGCAGAAGAAGCACTGTTGTAATTAAGTGCTAGTAGTGTAGTCTAACTATGTCCACGGGTAGGTATGTACTGCACTTACTCTATGCGGAAAGCATCGTGTCTTTTAGCCCGCCAAAGTTAAGTATGCGCGGGAAACTTTCGGCTTAGGTATATAACTTGCTTATCCGGACAGGGTTAAGTACGTAGTTATCCCAAATCCCAGAAAAAAAAAAAAATCAGGAATGTCAGCGACGGGATTCGACTGGGTCTCGAAGAATATGGTATGAATTATTATTCGAACCCCGTCGCTGGCGCATGATCCTGACTTTTCCCCTGCGTGGTTGAATTACACTATATCTAGGTAGAGTAGGATAGGATATGCGGTCATTTGCCCGTATCTACTGTAGGTAACTAACTAGCGCATATTGTTTACCCGTGGCAGATCGACACAACAGTGTAGGCGACCTTGTAGGATAGTTATTTAAGCATATTTACAATTGCTTATCGCGCTCATGCCACTGCAATAATAACAGATGCAGACGCTGAGTCTTCAAAAGAGTATGCGTCAGTGGTCACAGAAGAGACAGAGAGAGAGAGAGAGAGAGAGAAAAGTGCAATACATCATATCCGCGTCGCCCCGGCTGGAGCGCCCCGAGCCATGGTTGACCCAGGACGGCGGATTCTAGTTTCAACTCCTACAGCGGGAGGAATGTGGGCACGGTGTCCTGTCAGATCCCGTTATAACGGGAACGAAGATCGTCTTCTGGAAGTTGGCGGGTTGGATTTGATTATTATTATTACTATTATCTACCGAAGAAAGAAAGAAAAGAAAGAAAAAAATTTTGCGCTGCTCGGAGACGGCACTCGGGATCTGGCGGGCTTCTTGTCCAAAGTAAGACAGATGTGACGGATGCTAGATGGTAAACGGGAACATTCTCCTCAAGTGGTCAATATCGTCTAAAGGTTAGTTAGTAGTCTGGTGGCAGAAAATCAATATACTTATGGTATACTTGCACACGACGAGCAGATTCGAGCGATATACTCGTAGATACCTACTCTTGGTTAAGTCATGGATGGACAGGGGCGAAGTCCTCAGTGGTGGATCGCATTCAGGGACGTTTTTGATCCTGCGGATAGGATATGAAACTTGTCTCTTGTGATTGGAAAGCTCATCTGTAGGTTATGATGCTGTGGCAGTCAGCCTTGTTGTCCGAACGGTCGTTCCGCAATAATAATACCTGCCGGGGAAGTCCACGCCCGAACCATTCCAAGTCTGGATTCCATGAGTCATACGAACGTCTGTGTAAGTTAAGAGTATCTATCTAACTTGGTTAGCAAGAAGAAAAAGGGCATGGTGGAGAAAGGTTGGTGTTATTATTATTTGCTGGTCCCTGGACGGCGATAGAACGAGGCCGTGGCGATATGAGAAGGTGCGTGGTTACTGAAGCTCCGAGCTCTTTTTCTTCTCTCAATAGACTAATAATAATACCAAGACGGAATGACCTGGTCTTGGGACTGGACTAGATATGAGGTAAATAACTTAGTTGGTCATCCACCATACTCTACTCGTAAGCAAAGCAAGCAAAGCACAACGGGATCAGCAATCGGCCTGGCGGCTGACCAGAGTCCGGATCCCGCTTCAAGGAAAGGAAAAAAGTCAGCAGGCTGCCCCGTTCGCAAGCACTAAGCGAGGATGAGTGTTATCCTACGGTCAAATAACAGCAACTCCAGCCGTCGTCGTCCAGACGCTGCAACGGTGAAAGTGGGCCTTGGGTATCGAAGTCGCGAGCTGCAGACTCAAGACTTGCTCTTTTCGTATTAAGCTGCTGCGCGAGCGAGGTATACATACCATACCATAGGTACACCCTGGACTCCTGGAGGCGTCGTCTGGGGTCTGGCGCATAATTATTACAGTATGGTACTCCCCGAGACGTGACAACGAAGACGATCGCACGTCCTGACTGCAACACCCTTGCGCAGGCAGGCAATCGAAGTATTATTGCGATATTCCCCGCCGGTCGACGGAAGCTCCTATTCTGGATCGAAGCCCGGTCGATAGTCTCATAGAGTCTGATATCCCTGGATAGTTCACTTCACACCACACACGGGAGGAGATGGTATCTTCAGCTGGACAGAGTAGACTCGGTAGAGTAAACAAGCATCGGCTTGCTTGACTGGGCGCGAGAAGGCAGACATCCAGCTGGTGCCAGCAAGGGCCCTTGGCTGGTCCGATGATCCGCGGCCACTATCGCGCTAGCACTGGAGCGCAGCTGCATGAAATGGCGGAGAGTGAACCGAGGCGAAACTCATAGATTGATTGACTGTATAATTATCATGAGATACACATCGCGAGCGGTTGTTTGACAGATGACATGGCGGTCGGGTTTACAATGCGACAACTGTAGAGTATGGTAGGTACTTAGTCGGGCATAACGAGATATCTCCTATAGAGCCTGCCATCTCTCAACGTTGGTAAGTATACAATCAGTCCGCGGATCAAGACGACCGCTTACCACATGCGACTCACTCCGTACAACAACACGGTCCCCCTGCGATATGCCCGATTTGGCGTAGAAGCGGTGATAGGACGCTGCGGGGTGCATATGATCAATAAGAAGAGATGGAGAATTTCTCCATATCGCCGTATGCGCAAGATGGGCACACTGTTCAATCCCGTTACGCTGCAGAGGCCGCGGGATTTGTGTTCAGGATGCGTCGGGTCGCTGACAGTCTGAGGTTATTATTATTATTATAGTATAGAAACCCCGTCTAGCTGTTCCCCGAGTTGGTAGTTATTACAGTAAAACCTGGCTATAACGAACCCGGGTATAACGAATACCTCGACATAACGAATTCAAAACCGTGTCAAAATTAAAATCCCATACAAAATTCGTTATTCCTCCCTACTACGAAATTCGTTAATTTTTTCAGGCCTTTTCCATACAATTCGTTATACAAAGGTACAAACTTACCTTATTAATCAGTGATTACCTCATTAAAAATTTCCTATTAGGGTAATCTTTTCGAAAAATTTACTGCCCATACCAATATTACTAATACAGACCCACTTTTTATATAACGAATCCTCTATACAACGAATTACACTACCTGGCTAAAATGATTCGTTATATCCAGGTTTTACTGTATTATGTATTACTTATTAATCAGGATCCAGAGAAAGAAAGAAACTGTTCGATTCCGGTTTGCTGATGCTCCGTACTTCCGCACTTGAAGACTTAGTGCATGGAATGAATTATTTTATGCACGAGGTCCCAACGCCCAATGTGACCGCCTGGTTCGTGCTTGTTAGAGAGCAGTAGATAATTTACAGTTTAGTTAGGGCTGGGCGTTTTTCTGACCAGCCCCATTAGTGTCTTAGTGTCAAGTTAGGAAATTAAAGCCAAGAGAGTCGACCCCGTCACAGGATTATTCACCCTTCCAACAGCAAGCTAAGTAGTAGTACTTATATGCAATGTCTTGTCTGGATTGATGGTGTGTTGCACGAATATCCACAGCAAGTCAACACCTTCAGAGTACGTCAGAGACAAGGACGAGTACCGGTACTTCAGGTGAAGTCACTAGACACACAGACCGCTGGAGCAAGTGACTTCGATCGAGGTTCCGGGACTGCCGGTCGTCGGTACTTCGGCCAGCACCGTAGGGCCGGCGCCAAGTGTGCCGAATGCGCCCAAGGCTGTAAGTAACTAACAGTAACTAACTAAATAATAATACATAGTTAGCTAGGTAATTTCATGGATTCTATGGACAGCATAATCGAATGGGCCATAACTATCCTGATGCCTGACTCGGATAGTTGCTAGCCATGACTTTCGCAGTTCGGTTTGGTCCTTGGCTTTCGTATCATAATAATAACTATTTAATTAACTATCCAGCGTAGAGTAAGTAACTAAGTAGTAAGTACAGAGTAAGCTGATCCCAAGTACTCGGGAGCCGGCACAGTCTTTCCCCTTCTTCTCCAGATGGCACCACCCGTTACGCCAGAGTTACGCATCCAGGCAGACACCAAAAAGAGAGCAGGAGTACCAGTAACTCTGCAGAAATTAATGGGCAAAAAAAAAACGAATGAAAAAAAAATGAAAAAGTAGTTAGTCGCGCGCGTTCAGCCGGAGTGTTAGACCGACCAAGAAGTCCCAAGGAACAAGCCGCTCTCGGCCACGGAGCTGGGAGCTTGGGCGCTGCTTGTTGCCACGCCCTCCGGCGCTGCAGCTTATCCCCGCGCTGTCCGAAAAGTCCCAAAATGACATGATCGATCCCGGTCCGGCTCTTCCACTGGCCTCGATGCTTTTCTATCTTCAAAAAGCCTTGTCCCGTTTTCTATTTTTTATTTTTCTTTCCCACGTTCCCCGGTCCTGGCCTCGTTGTGAGCTTGCTGCGTCGCCTCTCCTACACCCCTGACTGCTTTATTACTTCACTCCTCGCTGTCTTGCGCCGTTCCGGAGCTTCCTAGCTTGGTTCGCGATCGCATCTACGCTACTTCACTGTCACTCTATCTGCTACCTTCACAGCTACCGGACTTGGTTCCAGAACAATCCACTGTCTCCTCCAGCGTAAAAGTTGGTGGGCAGCTCCAGGCGCATAAAACAAACCTGTCTCCGCGGTTTCCGGCCGCGTAAAAACTACATCTGGGGAATTATACTAGCTGCGGCGCCCCATGAGGCAGGTTTCCGTTCAACCAGTGCTGGCGGCAGCTTTGCTGCTGGCCGCACTGGCTAGCGCTCTTCCTCACGAAGATCACGAGTCTATGGACATGTCAATGGATATGAAGATGGACGACAGCATGGGCCATAATCAGACAGCAGCGGCGCCAACCACTGACCCCGCAATGATGAGCTACTTCGCATACGGGAAACATACGGGCACAATTCTGGCCCACATAATCCTGATGGTGCTGGCATGGTGCTTTGTTCTCCCCGTTGGTAAGATCTCCGGTTTTCCCCAGAAAAGTAGCATCACAGACAGATCTGACCGTTACTACAGGAGTCATGTTCAGCGTTGCGAAGTCTAGATATGCGCTGCCCACTCAATTCCTGTTTCTGCTGGTCAATGGTTTTGGTATCCTTGTAGGAATCATCTACAACAGTCAGACCCCAGATCTCTATGAGAACAATGTTCACCATAAGATCGGCTGGATCGTGACCTGGGTGGTGAGCGCGCAAGTCATCATGGGCTTGATTTTCGCATACTCTGGTCGCGGAAAGAGCGCCCAGGGTATTTCATATGAACGTGCCTCTTTCCTGCCTGTGTCTTCTCAGACGATGGCGCAACACCAGAATACCTACCCTACCGGTGCTGTGCACGAATACCGGTGGTCGGGTGACAGCGGTCAGGGTACCGAGAGGAACTCGTCCTCTCTCAATAGCAGACCTTCGTCCCCATCGAGCAGCTGCCCCTCCCCGGAAATGTACGAGATCTATGGAAAGCCGGAAGATGACCTGGAGGAGGATGAACCTACCGCGCCCCGTGGCTGGATCAAGAGCACCGTGCTGGACCGCTTCCTGGCCAATCGTGTGCCTAACTTCGTCTCCGATCGCTTGCTCAAGATCCTGGGTGTCACGTACATTGTAATTGACCGGATTATCCTGCCGTTTGGTTTCGTTGCGTTGGTGACCGGCGGTGTGGTCTATGGTGGTATCTTTGTAAGGATGTCCCGCACCACCAGTGCTGCCATTACGCTAACATTAGCCTTCAGAGAGGTAACAACATCTTCAACGGCCTTGCTCACTTCATCAAGGGCGGAATTTTCTTCTGGTACGGTCTTCTGACACTGGGTCGATGGATGGGCTGTTGGGCGGACTTTGGATGGGCCTGGAACGTCAAGCCCCCAAGCTCTGTCGTTGGCAAGTGGAAGTCTCGCATTCCCACTGGCGAGTTCACTGAATCTCTCGTGATCTTCTTGTACGGTGCAAGCAACGTCTTCCTTGAGCATCTGGCCGGTTGGGGAGGCGCGTGGAGTGCTATGGACTTGGAGCACGTGTCGATCTCTGTCATGTTCTTTGGCGGTGGACTGGTAAGCTTCCTCGGATCTGCGACCGAAATGAAAGAGCCTCGCTGACAATGGAACCTGGACAGGCTGGTATGCTTTTCGAGTCCAAGCGCATTCGGGGATGGCTCAACAACACTGTCTTGCGCCCGTCTACGCATCTCGACGCCTACGGACAACCCGATCCTGCATGGCAGGTTCCCAACACCCAAGGAGTCTCGCTCAATCCGATGCCTAGTCTGGTCATTCTCCTGCTGGGAATGATGATGGGCTCGCATCACCAGGCGTCCATGGTTTCTACCATGGTCCACAAGCAGTGGGGAACTCTGCTGGTTGGATTTGCGCTCGCGCGCTCTGTCACCTATGTTCTCTTATTCATCAAACCTCCGACGTCATACTTGCCATCCCGCCCGCCGTCCGAAGTGATTAGCGCATTCTGCCTCATGGCAGGCGGTCTCATCTTCATGCTGAGTGTATGTCTCGAATTCCGTCGGGAGAAGTTCTCCGTAACTGTGATAACGGTTTGCTAACTTAATGATCCCAGACCAAGGACGTTATCGACGTAATGGTCTACTATGACCTTAATGCGATGTTCACGTTCACTGTTGGTATGGGCTTCACCGCCTTCATCATGGCGATGGAGATCTGCGCTATTGCCATCAAAGCGTGGGCGGTCAACCGAGAGGCTCCGCCCAAATTGGCGCCCGGCTTCCGCTTCCCCGCATGAGCTTGACCAGCGCTCTGGATATCCCGCGAGCACGGTTGCTTGCTCCCGCGCCGGTGGGCCAACCCTGGATTTAACTTAATATTTTTCTTTTCTTATCTTCTAGGACGGTTGATGTCGATTTCAATCCCGCTTTATACCCCGATTAAACTGGTTGTCTTTTTTTTTTGTCGTCGGATCAATACCCCCGGTTCGTCTCTTCGGATTGCCGGTGATGTGCTTGATGTGACCTCGAATATTTTTACGGATTTTATGCCCTTATTTCCCCCTGCTTTTTGTTTTCGATCTGATCTAATGTTTGAACGCTTCATGGCCACGATCTATAACGGATGATGAAGCGTCATTAATACGGTGGTGGTCGAATGGTCGGGAACTGGTCATCTGGTGGGGAAAGTCTTACCACGGGATCTATACGGACGAGCATTCATTTCAAAGACATGAAAATAAAAATGCGAGAAAAGTATTTTAAAAAAAAAATAAAATGAGAACTCGACTCTTTTAGAAGTTTCTTTTCCTGTCTAACACGTACTTGAGAAGTTAGGGTACGATTAAAGCTCAATCTTGGCAGAGTATTAAAGTAAAGATCAGATCTGGTGCACTAGTTTTTAAGATCAAGATCTTTTCCATATTATATCCTTGTAGATCTCAAGTTTGTTAGTATTCTAGTGCTTACCCGATAATATTACCACCTATCGCTCATGACGTCAGATTATAGTATAACTAGTATGGTAGTACTATCTATCTATATTAACTCTAACCTATGTAGTATATATCCCTGTTTTAGGTTAAGGTAGAGGTATTTTGATCCGCAGTCTATTATATCTATAGTAAGTTCTTTAATTCATTTATTAAAGTACAGTTAGTATCTTCTCGCTTCGTTATTAGGATAATACCCTCTCCCGGAACTTTAACGTGTGCAGTGTATGTACCCAGTATGTATGCTATCATCTATCGAGGGAAGCAGTCGCGGAATCTAGGTAGGTAGATAGATAGTTTAGGTTAACTGACGGTGAATAATAAGAACGATTAGCTTATGTACATAATCTCCTCTCCTCTCTAGTATAGTTAGTCTGTTTATTGTTGTTCAGTTTACATTTCCTTTCTCCCGTGGCCTCCTGCAAAAGGTAGTCTATATAGAATTCTGCGCTTTATATATAAGTACACTATTTTCATCGTTGCGTTGGAGAGATATATGTATATGTAGTAGTACACAGTTACTGTATTTGGCGGTCTAGTACCTATTCTACTTGATGCTTATCGGAGTCTCGGCTGTTCGGGTCGTCTAACTACTACTGACTAGATGGGCTCGGCATTTAACTAGTAATATAGATACCGAGCGCTTAGTTACGGAGTAGATCCGTTGAGATGGTTGCGCTTTATTTATCATCATATAGATAGAAGCTATGCAGATAGCCCTTAAGAAGGTCAACTTCAGCTCAAAGTAAACTAACTGTGCAAAGATATGCATTGAGTGGCCAAGTCTATTATAAAATCCCATGAGTTCCTAATCGACCGCCCACGTTGTTGAAGTCTTGGTAGATAACAATGTTTTTTTTAAAAAAAAATGAATTGCCGAAATCGGCCCCGTTCCATGGTTAGCGCGGGGAAGTTTCCCACGACACGTCAGTTATTGGCCTTGACCATCAATGGAGGGAGATTAATAAGCAACAGAAAATATCCATTTCGGAGGTCCGTTGTATCGAGAAAAGAACGGAAACGTATGGATTTCATTGGAGATCTTCAAGGTGGAGGCGCTTCAGAAGGAGGGGCTGTAACAAAGGGGGCCTTGCCTTCTGTTTTGCCGCAATTCTGCTTTAGCTAGCTACCCCTCAGTGGAATCACTTTAGTGTAGAGGAGAAGGACATCGGTATATTAACCCGCTTAGAGCTCCGATATTCTTCTTCCATCCGTTCTGGGAGTTTTCTTTTCCTTATTATACGTTTCCTCAATACTTAGTAACCTGCAAGATGGCTTCCAACCCACCTGGCGCTTGCTGCGCTACCGGCTTCAAGCATGAGGGCAACCCTACCGGCGAGATCAAGGACATCGGAGGTGGTAAGTCTCAGGCGTTTTTTGTTCGTTTGATGTCCTGTTCTTCAGGATCATGGCTCGTTGCCAATGTTTGCAACAAATAATTTCTTGACTTGGTTGGTCGTTTACTTACCGTTTCTTCTGCGTTGCAGTCAAGACCTACTTCGCCCAGCCCAAGGAGAAGACCGACAAGGCCATCCTGATCCTGACCGACATCTTCGGCATCTACACCAACAGCCAGCTCATTGCTGACCAGTTTGCCGAGAATGGCTACCTCGCTGTCATCCCTGACCTCTTCGCCGGTGACGCCATCGACGTCGCTGCTATGGAGGGCGGAAAGGTTGACTTGCCCAGCTGGCTCCCCAACCACCAGACCAACCACGTCGACCCTATTGTCGAGGCGGCCATCAAGAACCTTCGCGAGCAGGGCATCAAGAAGATCGGAGGTGTCGGATACTGCTTCGGTGCCAAGGTGCGTAATTTCATTGCCCGTTTAGGAAGATTTGTGTCCGTTGTCGAGCTAACGCGCGTTGAATCTTTGCAGTATGTGACCCGTTTCCTGAAGAACGGCCAGATCGACGTTGGATTCAATGCCCACCCGTCTTTCGTCACCCACGAGGAGCTTGGCGCCATCCAGGGACCCCTCTCCATCGCTGCTGCCGGTACGTTTATTCCTCCCCCGCGAGACTTACATCGAACAATGGCGTGTGCGTAGACATTTACTGACAGCCTCGATCCCACAGAAACTGACCAGATCTTCACCACGGAGCTGCGCCACGAGTCCGAGGGCACCCTTATCAAGACCGGCCAGCCTTGGCAAATCAACCTGTTCAGCGGTGTCGTTCACGGTTTCGCCGTCCGCGCCGATCTGAGCAAGCCCCAGAACAAGTTCGCCAAGGAGCAGGCCTTCGTTCAGGCTATCGCTTGGTTCGCTTACCACCTGTAAAGCCTCAGCGTCTATTCAAATAGGCATATGATTGGACGATTTACCTTCGATTATATATTCCACTAGGTTAGAATCTAATATTCCATCATACGTGCGACCTTGGAACGATTAGGCAATGATGTAGCGTAGCGAACGGCGTTTTGGCTCTGTGAACGAAGAGGGTATTCGTACTATATCTCGACTATTACGCTGTTATTGTCACGAATGCTCATTGAAGGGCAGTGGCCATGTATATCACAGTGCCAGGCCTGGTAACTAGTAGTCGATTGTAGGATCAATGCTGCATATGATGCAGTTGCAGTGTAGTAGTGGTCATATTACTTGACTAGCCATTGGAAATCTGTATCTTATTATTGTTCAGTCCAGGTTGAAACGTGGAGGACAAACAAAGGCATCAAATCATGTGATGCCAACGCTGCCAGGGACGGAAGTCGGGCATTTGCAGCTCCGCATTCATCGCAGTAAAACAACGGCTCCACCGCTGGAGACCAGGTAAGCCGAAACTCCTCGCGCGGCTACCTTCAACGGCCTGTCTGATCCTAATTAATTTTTTTTTTCGTGTCCATCTGCCAACACTTTACATTATTCTCGCTCATCCTCACAGCACTGTTCGGGATACCCAGCAGTGGCTCTGGAGGATTGAGGATATCGCTGACTCGTCCATTTACCCTCCTTTCGCATCCTACAGCCGTGGATGCGGAGAACATTGTCCGAAATTCGTTGTTACCCGCGTGTTCCGTTTTGAGATCGAGGATTCACGGCATCAGGACATCTGTCTCGACGGGTTGTCATCGTTTATGAACGTCGCAATCTTCTAAACAGACCAAGGGGCGTATCTCTCGTCCCCCTGCTACTGTCGAAGCGTCCGCGGATACCGGTCTCATCAACTCCATCGATCATTGCCCGCCAGCGCGCCCACGCCTTGGATAAATCGCTTTCCTGGGCTCTCTGCAGTGCCATAGTCAAGCGGCTGTCAAATCTATCCTTGCTCGTCAGCCAACGTATTGCAGCCGAGGCACAACGGAACCATGGCTCCCCCGGCGACCCTACCTCCTTTGCCATTCAATCCAGCCAGACTACGCTCGTACATTCTGCGACTTCCGCTCTTCACGCGATTGATATTGTTGGTTATCATTGCGCTATGGATACTAGAGCTGCAGACTGTCTGGAGCGTGATACAATGGGGATCTCTCAAGCCCGACGAGATCAGTATTACAAGTGGAAGTAAGGCACCTCAGACCCCCAAAGTCGCGGGACAATGCTATACAGAATAGTTATTGACTTTCATAGTGTATCGACTGAATACGTATCCTTTGATACACGCGGGCTTTGTGCATATGCTCCTGAACGTCTTGGCGCTGACGCCGCTACTGGAACGGTTCGAGGCTGAGCATGGAACCTTGACTTCTGTCGCTTTGTTCCTTGGACGTATGTCTAGACCCACGTTCCATTGCTATCTTGCTTGCTGAAATGCATTCGTACTGACTTCTATCGCTAGCACTTTCAACCTTCCCTGCAGGCCTCTACATACTTTTCGAGAGAGGTATTCTGCATAAGGCTACCCCAGTTGTTGGTGCAAGGTCAGTGCCTCTTCCCTTTGTCAAAGGTGACAAAAATAATCTAATTTGAGGATCTAGTGTCTGGGTTTTCTTGCTTCTAGCATCAGAGGCCATAAGGACATTCAAGTCGAATCCGTATTTCACGTTCGTATATAAAAATACCAAATTCGTCACACGTTGTTGCTAACAGCTGTCAGCATTGGAACTTACAAAATCCCTACTTGGACGTCGCCTCTGTTCGCCTGTATATTCGTTGCTATTCTAGTTCGCAACACCAGTTTCCTCGGTCACCTTTGCGCCATCCTTATGGGTTATCTGCGTAAGTGACTTGTACACCCCGGCTTGTTTGACAAGTGCTAATGGTTATAACGCGTCAGTTGGCCTTGGATATCTTAAGATTTTTGTGCCGCCTGAGAAGATCCTCAGGTGGATTGAAATGAAACTGAATCTCCTCGGAAGACTGCCCCATTACGTCTCCGTCGACCAGAAAACATATGGCCGATATGGCGTTCTACCAACTACTGCGGCCACTACCGAGCACTCGGTGGCTATGGGCTATTACGGGACTACCCAGAGACTTGGTCCGTAAAAAGATACGATTTAATGTATAGTCACGTTCTTGTATATATTATGATGATATAAAATATTGTAGTCACCGTTCCCGCGAATACAAAGAAAGGATAAACACTTAAGATAGATGACTCGATAGCATCGAGTGCGTAGATGGGCCGTACGGTTAGCCGTAAATTTCATGGTGTAACTAAGTATGCATTTGAGCGGACCTGGGGTTCTAGCTCCGAACATCACGGTCCTGTTCCAAGGCCGCCTGGGAAATCTTCAAGGCCTTTCCCTGCAATGGCGCTCATATGTAAGTGTGAATTCCTTGTTCATCATGCCAATGTTGTGGATTTACGGCATAAGTGCTGTTGTTTCGTTTCAACGACCACTTGTCGTCCCCTCCGCAATCAACCCCCATAACGGTTCTGTTCTGGATAGAAAGAAGCTGACAATATTACAGCGCCAGCGGCTCTCCGCAATTTGCGGGGCAATCCTCAGTTCATTTTCACGCGCCTAACTCCATTCGTGTCTCTGATCTGTATCGTCGTCGGAATCATTTGGCTCCTTCTCCTCCCGCTCGACGAGTATTCGCGACAGACCTACATATCCGAGAACGCGCTGCTCCCGGGACAGGTACATACATACTTTGCTGGGAGCGAGCAGCATATATTTCGTGGATATAAGAAGGAGCTCGAGGGATTGTTGGTTGATAGTGGACCAGAAGGAGGAAAAGGAGGGGAGACGTCGCCCGTGTACGTTCAACCCATGCTCAGACTGGTAGGGTGACAACTCCAGAAGGGCTTTGGCTAATGGTTGTGATGATCGAATACAGGGTATCGGAGAAGTTACAGTCCATCTTTCGCGCCTCTGGCCTGAAGGTTGCGACTCAGAACTACGAATACAAGTCCGCCGGTATCGTGCATAAGGGGCAGAACATCTATTCGATTATCCATGCTCCACGCGGAGATGCTACCGAAGCCATCGTGCTCGTAGCTCCTTGGAGGACCGTGGATGGTGAATTGAATCTAAACGGAGTTACTCTCGCTTTGACATTGGCGAGATACTTTAAGAGTGAGGTGTCTTGCGGGTCTTCTATGAGCTAGGCTTTGCTGACAGAACGTGACTAGGGTGGTCTCTGTGGTCGAAGGATATCATATTCGTGATCCCCCCGGATAGTGAATCAGGTACCAAGGCCTGGGTTGATGCATACCATGATACGCATCCGTCGTCTGTCCAGCCTTTGCCGTTGAAGAGTGGTGCGCTGCAAGGTGCACTGGTCATTGAATATCCATTCGATTGGACCTTCGAAACGCTTCATATTGTTTATGACGGTGTTAATGGACAACTACCAAACCTGGATCTCTTCAACACCGCCGTTTCAATCGCCAGCGGACAGATGGGCATCGGTGCCAACCTGCAGGAGATGTGGGATCATGACGACAGCTATAAGATGCGCCTGCAGACGATTCTCAGAGGAATGGTCAAACAGGGTCTTGGCTATGCTACGGGAGCTCATAGTAGCTTCATGCCATACCACATCGATGCCATCACTCTCCAGACGAAAGGCCATGGTTGGCAGGATGAGATGGCATTGGGCAGGACGGTCGAGAGTCTCTGTCGGAGTCTGAACAACCTGCTGGAGCACTTGCATCAGAGTTTCTTCTTCTACCTGCTCATGCAGGCAAATCGCTTCGTCAGTATTGGAACGTATCTTCCCAGTGCGATGCTGATCGCGGTCAATTTCACTGTCATGGCCATTGCTCTGTGGAACCTCAGTGGATATCGGACAGATATACCTGCATCACCTGCCACTCCTGCAGACAAGACGTCCGACTCGAAAGAGTCGAAAGAGTCGAAAGAGTCGAAAGAGTCGAAAGAGTCGCCAGAGTCCGCGAAAGGAGCTACTGGAGGGGAAAGAGAAGTAGAAGGAATCCTGGAACGACAGCTAGCGCTACCTTTGACTTCAGTCATCGGCCTCCATTTCCTCGGCGTCATCCCTCTCTACATATTCAACAATCTTTCCCACCAAGTAAGTGTCTAATCTAATAAACGTCTTATAAAACAACCCTTTGGGACCATCTAAACTAATTCCTCCACGTATAGCACTTCACCACAGCAACCTACGCATTCGCCGGACTCAACTCAGTCCTGCCCATTCTCATATCAACCCTTCTCAAATACGCCCCCAGCTCCGTCCCTACATCTCAGCAATACCTCCTGATCAAATCATTCTCCCTCCTCCTCTTGGGCCTTTTCCTCTCCGCCCTCGCCACCATCAACTTCTCCCTATCATTCATGATCGGCCTCCTCTGCACCCCGCTGAGCTTCATCGGCCGTATCAACCCGGAATCTACGCCCCCAGCAATCAGATACGCACTCACCACGATAGGCTTTCTCGTCATGAACCTGCTTTCTCCCCCAGCAGTCTTCATAGCTACGTGCTGGTATACGGGCGTTCCTGTATCTGTTGTTCTCACGCAAGCAGCTTTCGGTTGGGATGTGTGGGGAATGTGGACGCAGGTCGTTGTCTGGTGTGTTTGGTGGCCTGCTTGGTTGACAGGGTGTGTGTTGTTGGGATCTTCGGTGATTTAGGTCCAACCTACCTGCTTGGTCCTGCTTTCTCCTTTGAGGGAATTGTATTGAACTTCAAACATGTGATGTGTTCTTCCAGACATGTATTGTATTTGTACTATTATAACTACGAGCGGGAATAAATGACGGGAAGTTAAGACATTGTCTTCCTTATTTGTTTTGTTACTAATGGATATCATCAATATCATATCGTACCGGGCCTTTCTACTTCGAGAGACTCGGTTTCCGCAGAACCTATCTTACCCTAGGTCTTGTTCTTTCGTATTTTGGTTCCTGAAATCCGCAAACATTGGGATCATATATTTGACCCGAATAAAATTAAGCTCGGATTTGGTAAAAGATACAACGCGGCCGGGAGAAGGTCGCGGGGTTCTTTCATTTTGTCTAAGCAGCCCAGACATCCTTTCCAACACCTTCGATCCAGTGTCCGAGCTGGTTGACGCCAGCGTCCCATTCCTTCAGTCTCCTCCGCATGCCGTCGATCTGCTTCATGTCCAGTACCTTGGGTTGGACCCAGTTGATGCGCGCGATCTGAGCGACCTGGTCGATGCTACCCTTCAGCAGACCGAGGGATAGCGCCTTCATAACGAGATGTTCGATTTCATCAGGCTTGACCTTCGTCTCGGCGGAGATGGCGGCAAAGGTCATGGTGCGGTCGTGCGGGGGACGACGGAAGACAGTCTCTGTTAGGGCCGACAGAGAGATCTTCTGGTACAGGAAGATACGGTGTTGCTCGAGGAGCTGGTTCTTGGTGATGTTACCGGCGAGGACGTCGTAGGCGGTGAGATCGCCACGGTTGAAGGCGAAGAGAAGGTCCCGCAGCCAGGCGTGGGGTGTCTCGGTGAGGGAGTCCAGGATAGGGTGCAGGAGCAGTTCACCAAAGTTATAGATTGAGTCCGAAACAAGGGCTGCAACACTGAGGTCATATGCGCGCGACACACGCTCTTCTTCAGTCAAGTCTTCAATGTTGATGCATGCGAGGTACAGCAGGGCGTTCTTGTAATAAGCGGCGAATTCTTGCTTGGCCTGGAGATCGTACATTAGAACCATGGCAGTATCTAAAAAGCATCAACTGTCTTCCACATACCTGGTAGTAAGCAGCGTTTACTTTGTAGAACGAAGCATGGACAACCGTCTCAACGGAGTCGAATCTGTCCAGGATCTTCTCAGAAGTATCCAAGTCCTTGCGCGCTCCCTCAAAATCCTTTAGTCGTAGCTTCACGCTGGCCACATCTGCCAAAGCGTAGACATATGCATCCTGCGAGTCTGGCTTGTTGACCTTGTCTGCAAGGGAAGTAAGGAAAGCAAATCGTTCATTGTCATCTAAGGACCACCAGTGATGTCAGCCTCTGTTCAGATCGGACGAGCTTCAACGTAGCACCCAATGGAGCAAGGGATTGTATATATCAAAACCACTGACCTGCGCATTGCGTAGATGCCATCAAACCCAGCGACACGAACTTCAGCTGATTGATCCTATCGGCGAAGCTGAGGATGAACGACTTGAAGAGAGGTAGCCGTTGCGGTGCGCTCTCTGGTAGAGAGAAGAAATCTATGAGGGAATTCGTGAGTTGATGCCATAGCTTCCTCTCCCAGAAATCTTCGAAGCTCAAGAAAAAGGCCTGCGCCTCCGCAGGAGCTTGATCGCGCTGGTCTGCGAGGAAGTCGGCGATCTTGTCACCCTCCATGGTAGGGAAGGAGGCGGGTGTCAACAGGGACGGGCTGCGGAGAGAATAATTCAAGGCCCCAGGAGGAGGTAAGGAGGGCAAGATGATGATTTCAGGGTCTAAAGAGCTGGACGATGGCAGCAAGTCGAGGTATAAAGGTGTGTATGCTGACGAAGCTGTCCCTCCGCCGTGATCACTGAAGGAAGGCCGACGTGGAGCTAAACGGGTGTCTCTGCGGCGCCGTACTCAGGCTACAAGCTCCGCGCGGAGGGATCGCCTCGATCTTGATAAGGCACGCGGAGTAGTATTATTAGACTACCGCTGGCAAAAATTTCCGCCAGTTATGTCAGTGTGGCCGAGTGGTTAAGGCGTTCGACTCGAATACTATCTATGATAGGAGTAGACATCGAATGGGTTCGCCCGCACAGTAAGTCTACTTCGAACTGAATTACAGAAAAAAACAAGATAAACTAACATGTACCAATCAGGGTTCGAATCCTGTCGCTGACGGTTGCTTTCTTTTTTTTTTTCTTGTTTTTTTGTGTCTCAAACACCGGAGTAGTCGAGTAGTAGACTGCTGTTGCCCATAGGTAGGTTGACATGGTTGATGTTGTCGAGCCGCAACAGACTCAAAACGGAGTAACTTACTTCCCCATTTCTGAGCCAACGAATTCGTGATTGATACCAAATACGTGAATAAACAGGGTAGTCGAAGACGTCCTTTACTTGCTCAGAAAGGGAGCTATGCCACCTTGCTACCTTGGTGGAACTACATATGGTACATCCTCGAACTAAAAGTTAAAAGCCCCTCCTTATTGCTTTTTTCTGCCATCGCAGCAGACATTTTGAGCCCAAACTAGGCTACACGGATAATTTACCAGGGCCATCTGCATCTGGAGAGCAGATACTACTGCAGCTGGAGTGGGGCCCATCGTGGACGATATCAGAAGTATCCGATATGTCTCCGAGCCAGGACCTGGTATAAAAGCCCAGATTCACATACAACCAATTCGGTCTTACGGTTATTCTTTTAATATCGACTGCGCAGGCTTCTACTTATTCAAATTGCATTAAACAAGCACCCTGCAGTTCTCACTTGACGTCGATTCCAAAGAAACCCACATATTCTTGTGTTTCTTGTGTTGAAGAAAGGATACTTGCAACCTCGTCGCCTATCAAGATGTCTCATTTTACTGAAGCAAATCGGCACTATTTCGAGTAAGCCAGGCAGAAAGTTGTGTGGTCATGACTTGATTATCTGACAATCAGCCACAGCGAAAAGGCAACTCATTACAAAACTGACTTCGCCGAGGCAACACAGCTCTTGATCAGCGAGATAGAGTCTCGCCGTCATTGGATTAGTCCCAAATGGACAGACACTGAGGGTGGAAGAGACCAAGAAATCACGCTCTTGGACTATGCCTGTGGCCCGGGTACTGTCTCAAGCGTATGCATTGGATATTGTCAGATAGACACCTACACAAGAAGCTAACGCACATAGACTTTGGCTCCATTCGTTACAAAGGCAGTAGGCATCGATGTTTCCGACAACATGATTGCTGAGTTCAACAAGAATGCCAGGGAGGCCGGAGTCGCAGAAAAGATGGTTGGGCTTAAGGGCGACCTGCTCTGTGAAACCATTGCAGATGAGCTTTGTGAACCAAATCTCTTTAATTTCGACATAGTTGTCGTCAGTTTGGCACTTCACCACTTCCCTGATCCGGAGTTCGCTCTCAAACGCCTCGCGGACAGGTTGAAGAAAGGTGGCACATTACTCATCGTAGACTTCGTTCCCGACAAGCACACTCACGAGTTCCACAAAGATCATCCAGAAGCTGCAGCGACAATAGGGAAGCATGGCTTTACACGCGATGAGGTGAGGAAGCTATGCGAAGATGCTGGAGTAGAGGCGGCGTTCGACTACCAGGTCGTGGAGAAGCCAATGAAATTCGTCATGAAGGGCAAGGACCAACAAAGGACGCTGTTCTTTGCGAGGGCAGATTGTGCATGATGGCACGTTTGTCCTCTATGATCTAGCTGTACCGCTTCCAAGTCATTCTTGGAGAGAGGGTCGAAGTCCAAAGCACTGGGCACGTGCATTTCCTATGATAGTTTGTTAGCTCTTTAAATACTAATTGTTGAAACTATATAAAAGTAGGAATACATCCCTCGTAAATATCTCCGGTAGAACAGCAATTGCTGAAGGTTGGAAATATCTCCAAAGGCATTGGTACATGCTTGATGCGGCTCAACGATTAAGGTGCGATTTGTGTCCAGATTTGGGTTAGCGCATCGTGCTGCAAGTCCCGTGCTCTGCTCAACTTCTGGAGACGAGGGACCAGCAACCACCAAGCACAGGAACGCTTCAAGCTCTGCAGTGAGTCTCGTCCACCAAGATCACTGCTGCCGGACCGTCAATTGGTCCTTAACTTGGTGGGCTCTTCTTTTCTAACAGTCATTCATCCGCAGAGCGACCATGCAGAAGTCCCGGGCCATCAGCAGCGCCTCGAGGGCGTTCGCCCCCGCACCCATCAATGCTCGCGCGCAGTTCCAATTGCAGCAGCGTAGATCTATTCAAGATGTGTCGATCACCAGGACTGGAAAGCCCATCATCAAGGTTCAGGGTGGACGGTGAGTGAAGGCTGGGTTGTCGTTGTGTGCCGAGGTCTAACTGACAGTCTTCTTCCCGCAGGTCGTCCCTTGGAGGTACACATCCCTACTAATTCTTCCTTCCGTCGAATTTTGGCTCAATGAAGTCGCAGGTCATACTGCCACCGTCTTCGGTGCTACTGGATTCCTGGGCCGCTACATTGTGAACAGACTGGGTATGTCTGCCATGACTTGAACACCAGGGATGCTTTGTGACTGATATCGCAACAGCCCGCCAAGGATGCACCGTTGTCGTTCCTTACCGTGAGGAAATGGCCAAGCGTCACCTCAAAGTTACTGGTGATCTGGGAAGAGTCGTCTTCATGGTACGATTTGGCAATTCGACGAAGGACTGAGCGCCATACTGATCCTTTGCGCGTCCAGGAATACGACCTCCGCAACACCCAGTCGATTGAGGAGAGTGTTCGTCACTCAGATGTCGTCTACAACCTTGTTGGTCGCCAGTATCCTACAAAGTTGGTTTTAATTTACCTCAAATCTTGTTGGAAGTCATGCTGAAGAGTTAATAGGAACTTCTCCTACGAGGATGTTCATGTTGATGGTACCGAGCGTATTGCGGAAGCAGTCGCCAAGTACGACGTTGACCGTTTCATCCACGTCTCCTCCTTCAACGCAGACATGGACTCGCCATCCGACTATTTCCGTACCAAGGTTCGTCCATCCTGCGGTTAATGAGACGTCAGGCGCATACTGAATTATATCGATAGGGATGGGGTGAGAAGGTCGCCCGTGACATCTTCCCTGAGACTACCATCGTCCGTCCTGCGCCCATGTTTGGTTTCGAAGACAACCTGCTCCACAAGCTCGCTGGTGTCACCAACCTCCTCACGGCCAACCACATGCAGGAGCGCTACTGGCCTGTTCACGTAAGTGGATGGACATCTAAGGCAACCAGTGCAACGGCTAACCATTATAGGTTATCGATGTTGGCACCGCTCTTGAACGCATGCTGCACGATGACACCACCGCTTCGGAGACTTTCGAGCTTTACGGTCCTAAAAACTACTCCACCGCTGAAATCGCTGAGCTCGTTGACCGTGAGATCATCAAGCACCGCCGTCACATCAACCTCCCCAAGGCCATCCTGAAGCCGGCTGCTTACTGGCTCAACAAGCTCATCTGGTGGCCCACTCTCTCTGCCGATGAGGTCGAGAGGGAATTCATCGACCAGAAGATTGACCCCACAGCCAAGACCTTTAAGGATCTAGGAATTGAGCCCGCTGAACTCAGCAACCTCACCTTCCACTACCTGGTAAGCCTTTTCTCCTCTCAGTCAGCTATATATGAGATATCTAACCAGGCTACAGCTGGGCTACCGGAGTTCTCAGTACGCCGACCTGCCCCCGGCCACTGAGCGGGAGAAGCAGGAAGAGAAGAAGTACCTGCATGTGTTGGACGACCAGTAGTTGCGTGCGTTTTCTTTCTGAAACTTGTGTATATAAGCTCGACTAGACCTAGTTGATTTCATTTGTGTTCTATCTGGGTGGCTTTCGTGGAGAGTAGTTAGTTTCCACCGGTTCTGTAGATCATAATGCCTGGATTGACAGAGCAAATATTGGGATATTGGCCAATCTGTATTGGTGCTGAAAATGCCCTTGTAACATATAATAAACGGTATTTGCGTGGCGTAGAGCGGTTACGAAGCCATCCGATCCTCATATATACCCCACACGTCTCCGCGAGCTCCGCAACTTAGCTGGGCGTCAGCAGTCTTAGCTAAGTGCATATCTGACGGCTGAGATCAGTCCAAAGGACCAAGTCCACTGTCTTCCTATACCGTACTGAGCATGAAACAATGGCCACATCTACCCAACCTCCTTCCTTTTCCAAGCCACCCATCTTCCTCCTGAAAACGAAATCTACCCCGCACGACGGCTACGAAGAATACTTCTCATCACGCGGCTACAACCCCACCTTCGTCCCTGTGCTGGAGCACCGATTCCACGATGAAAACTTGAGGATAGTGAAGGATCTTTTTCTCTCGGGGCAATTGGATGAAGGATCCGGGCGGAAGTATGGCGGATTGATATTCACGAGTCAGAGGGCGGTAGAGGCATTCGCGCGGATTATGGAAGAAATTGGAGGTACGTGCCAGGCATTTCCTTGACGTTTTCTCTTTCAATCTGAACCTTTGCTTGAAGCTCTATGCCATGAATTTTTCTGACTCAGACGAAAACCAGTCCTAAAAGCAACAAGTGCATCCAAATCCCTAATTCTCTACACTGTCGGACCCGCTACCTCTCGCTCTCTCTCTTCGATCCAATCCACACATTTGCCTCATGCGCAGCTCTACGGCTCCGAAGCTGGGAACGGCGAGAACCTCGCGCGGATGATCCTAGAGCACTACAATGGTCTCTACCCGGAAAACGAGAACGAAACTACAAATCCGAAGCCGTCCCTCCTTTTCCTCGTCGGCGAACAGCGCAGAGACATCATCCCACGTACACTAATGGATGAGTCTTTACCATCGCGAGAGCGGATCCAAGTTGACGAGCTCGTGGTCTATGAGACGGGAGTGATGGATTCATTCGAGAATGATTTTGCGCGAGCGGTCAAGAGTGGAAGACAGTATATATCAAGTGGAGAGGAAAAGAGGGCGCTGTGGACGGTGGTATTTTCCCCAACGGGGTGTGATGCCATGTTGAAAGTACTGGATCTCTTGCCTGGTTCGTCGACTTCAACATCCGAGGATAAGGGAAGGAGGGAGTTCATCACAACGATCGGGCCGACGACGAGGGATCATCTTCGTTCGAAATATGGCTTCGATCCGGATGTGTGTGCTGAGAAGCCTAGTCCAGAAGGAGTCGGAGGGGGTATTGAGGCATTTATGGAGCAGTGGAAGGGATCGGATTGAAATAGGTTATGACGACGCTTATTCTTGGAGATTTTTCGCTTTTTGTATATGTAAGATAATTCCTTCTTATGTACATACTTCAGACCAAATATTCGACTCCTTAACTTTACTTTGCAGCCTGTCACTTAGTACTTGTGGGCTACCTTATTACGTACCATGTCATGATGAGTGGGAATAGACCAGTGTAGCTCGAGATGATACCATTGACAGACCTTCCACTGGGTGCTAGCTCAATCAAGACGCAATGCAATGTAAACGTTAGCCTGCCGTGTGTCTGTGTTACACAGTACTATTTAACTTTACTCTTATACCTAAAAAGGATATTGTAGGTTAACGATAACTGTCGATAATCGGCCTTGGAATGCCCCTTGCCCTATTACGACAATCCTCTGTTTTGAGTCCTTCCTTATTAAATAGGCTGCAAGATGAAACCTTTGGACAGTTTGTGATTACATGCCCATTCACCGTGCAAAAGATGCATGGCAATTGATGGCATTCTCGCTTTATATGGGCGGTACACCCACGCCAGTGGCATATCTAGGCTACATTTATTCTACTCTAATTCCCTCAAGGTAAAAATACCCCATTACGGAACCATGATAGGGTGAATCGCAGTATAGATTGAGAACTCTTCCTCGACGGAAGCAAAGCCAGTCGGCTAAGCAGAGGTTCTGAGCGAGTCAACGAAATTAGATATTTTCCAGGAGACTGCGTGAGTAACTGGAACTTCTCCTTTATATCCCTCCTCGTCAAAGCAGATTTATTACTTATTAAGGTGCACAGCTCGTTGTTCCATGTAGCAGAGGTGTATTACAGTACGCGCTAGCGCAGACAACTGTTGATTGTCGGATAGAAATGCAGATATAGCGAGAATCTGGATATTTCGACTGTTTCTGGGTGTTGATGCATTGATAGCTCGAGGTCAATAATGATTCGTACGCGCAAATCGATCAAAAAGAATCTCACGAAGATGTTAGGATGTCCAAACAAGTACCATAGGTCTGCGAAGCGCCGCTCGTGGGGTCCATTCTATCTGTCGTGAAGAACAGATTGATCTAACACATAAACTGAAAAGAGTAATTAAGCAGTCAGTGTGGCCGAGTGGTTAAGGCGTTCGACTCGAATCCCTATCTTTGATAGGCAGTAGACATCGAATGGGTTCGCCCGCACAGTAAGTCTAATACGAATCGTATTATAAAATACAATAACATGCTAACATACTCATCAGGGTTCGAATCCTGTCGCTGACGTTTCATCTTTTTTTTTGTAATTTTTTTTGGCCCCCTTGGATTTTGCAACTTGATGTACGGAAATATTTGATTTCGCAGCTAATTACGTCGAGTCGATATTTATTAGTGGCCGCAAAGAGGTAAAAAGGAATATCTTGAGCGACAGGATGTGATCCTGAGTAGTACTGTTAGTTTGAGTTTCCCGAGCCTTTAGGGAACAATCTACTTACTAGAGTATGCGGGAATGCAATCTCTCAGAGCTATGGTTCCAATTATACACCTTACCCACTGAAAAAGTCGATCGAGTAAATCATAGATAGCCCGGTAGTTAACTACAAGATGCAACGTCTCATTATCGTAGTACAAAATTAACACTAACTAGTTACTGCACAGAAGAGAATCTAAAGAGGCAAAGAGTATTTCTTCTCAATAGCAGTTTCTACGATTTCAAATAATCAAAGAGAAACCAATATATCTACTAGTAGCAAAAGTCCCCCCAACTGTGTTATCACATGGAAGGGTGATCACCACATATATATTAGGCACAGAAGCGCCCGTTCGGCGACAAGCATAAAAATCTTCCCAACTAACCAACCACTCATGGATGAGATACAGATCCAACTCCTATCAGATCTCCATCTGGAGACGCCTTCCGCTTATGATATTTTTACCATAACCCCTAAAGCGCCATTCCTGGCACTGCTGGGCGACATTGGCTATGTCAAGGACGATGGATTCTTCGATTTCATTCGCACGCAGTTGCAAAGATTTCGTGTCGTTTTCCTTGTCCTTGGCAACCATGAACCGTATCATAGTAACTGGACCGAGACGAAGTCGAAAGTGCTCCGTTTCAAGCACGATGCAGATCATATGTTTCAGGAGGGAGAGATAACTGGCAAGTTCATTCTTCTCGACCAGACACGATTCGATATCTCGGCGACTGTCACCATTCTCGGCTGCACTTTATTCTCCCATATTACCGCGGACCAAGTCGAGAGCGTTAATTTTGGTCTCAACGATTTCTATCACACTGATGACTGGTCCGTCGAGAAGCATCAGGAAGCACACGTCGCCGATCTTACGTGGCTGAATACAGAAATCGACTCGATCTCCCGCTTTGAACCTCAGAGGAAGATCGTTGTCTTCACCCATTATTGTCCTTCCACACATGAGAATGCGATTGACCCGCGGCATCGAAACAGCCGTATTTCCTCCGGATTCATGACCGATCTAAAGATGGAACAATGCTGGCAACGCAACAATGTCAAACTGTGGGCCTTTGGACACACGCATTTTAACTGTGACTTTCAAGACGCTGAAACCGGCAAAAGGGTGGTGTCGAACCAAAGAGGGTATTACTTCGCACAAGCTGCAGGATTTAACAGTGAAATGGTCGTCCGAATCTAGCCGATCTGCTGAGTGGCTTCCATTTTCGAGAAGGGGTTCATTGCATGATCCACTAGCATCTCCTATTGTTCTGGGTAGATCTATTTCTCTGCAGCAGGATCATTCGTTAATCCCATCAACTCATAGCGAATTTCATCCAATATTAGATACATTTTCAGATCACCATGTTTTATGGCATGGTATAAGCGCTGGTAAGGCTGCGCAAGAGCCTCTTCATTGAAGATGCTCGTTCCATCAACATATTCCATTATATATGTCAGTAACACGATCCAATAACTTTCATGAGCACTTCCACGGTCGCGACAGAGTAAATGAATCACAGCCTCACAATATTTGATAGCTGTTGGGATTCGGACAGGATAGAGCGAAGAAGGAAAGCGCCCAGCACCACGACCTGGACACGCGGATGGAAGTTGAGAGTCTGACGCATGCATTATATATGGATTTCCGGCATCGTGGAGAATTTCATCGAAATCTGGGAATATCAATAGAGTCTGAGACTTTTGATATAGCGATACAACTCGTTCTTCAGTGATATGTAGGTGACTTGACGGAGTAGGGCGATACCGCATAGACGAGTATATGCAACCCGTTCCCAAAGCGCATGGAAGAAAGCCAGTGTTAAGAAGAGCAGAGTAGGCGACAGTTAAAAGTTTATCGGGAATAACAAAAGCAATACTCTGTAAGAGATCGTTAGTAAGCCATTGTTTATTTACCATATATTGTGAAATGTGCTCACATCGACAATAGTAGGAACGCCGTAAACGGTGAGTAGGTAGTTGTCCCAGAGAATATTAGGAACACCAACGGAGTCAAGGCGACTCGAAATTGCTGCTACAAGCTCATGGTCAAATTTCTGGCCATTGAAATAAAAATCAGCCATTGTGTGCTCGAAGTTGGCCTTGTTGGAGATGTCCACGAACGGGTGCCCGTCTCGTTCGGCGGCGATTGGAGTGAGGGAGAGTCCAGCTCTTATCCACGTGATTCCTGCGGTGAGCAGCTGTTCGAATTCGCAGGCTGGAGAGCTCTGCCCGTTTTCGACGAGCAGTCAGTCCAGGCACAGAAATCCCGAAACGAAAGGCGCCCGGGATTCTACTTTTGCACGGCGTTTGAAAAGGCTATGGATGGGACGAACAGACGTTGTAGGTTTCGTAAATCACCAGATTCGAGGGCGGTTTTCTTGAGAGTGATCACCCGCTAAGTAGGTAACGCCACGCCTTGACTTTCGTTGGGGTTTTCCAACAAGACCCTCTGATTCTTCTTGTGTTTCAAGAGTGCTAGATGACTTGCTAATAATACCTCTCCGTGTAAAGTCACCTCCCACAACTTGATGGCGGTAACTTCACCAATAGTGGGTGCGGAAACTTACGATTTGTTAGCCGTTACTGTTCTAGAAATCATCATGAACCACCCATCGGCGATCGCTATTCTTGGAAACGAATACAAAGAACTAAAGATAGGCTCTGGTATTCTTGCAATAGCAATTGGGCTCCTGAGATTAGCGACGTTGGTTTCGGGAATAATAGCGACGCCTACTGTGCCAGCTCCAGATTCTCCAAGATACCAAAAATTTTCTAGTCTCCGTGGCCAGCGCTCATTTACGCTCCGAGAATATGCCTACTTTCGATGGTTTCCTAGCGCGGAAGGGACTTGGGGTCTTGGGCTCAATGTCCTCCTGTAGTACGTGATGCGGACTGCTAATTGTTAACCAGGATATAGTGGTGAACACCAAGACGAGGGAGCTCTTTAGTATGGTGGCAGACAAGACCCCACTCCACCATTTGCTTACTGCTGCGATGCTCATGAGATAACTAGATACTCTAGTGAGCAAAGGGCCGGCCCGGATCGTTTGTTAGTTGTCTGTGTGTCTGTCGGAAGCCGACGCTGGGAGGAAGACTTGTGACTTCTGACAGGATAAATTATATCAGGCTCTACTAAAATCCCGGTTTGGTCTTCCCTAGGTCTGACATATATTCTTTCCGGCTCGTCTGTAGTCTCTTGCGACCGTAGCTGAAAATGATCCAAGATTTGTCTCGTATTAGCCCGTTGCGAAGAATTGCAAGGCATGGCCGCTCCCTTTTTTTTTTTTCTTTTTTCTTTTTTTTATTCCTTCCCACCCGCCGTCTAGAGTAAATAATGATCCTAAACAAAGCACCGGCGTAGATGGTGGAGGTAGCCTTGCTACTAGTCCTCTATCTACTCTAGTAGCATTCTCCACAGGACTGCGGAATGTTATGTTGTTACAGCCTGCGTTCCAATAAAGATTTTAACATCCTTCGACCCGGTATGAAATACCATAATACCATATAGGGGGAGAATGCAAGCAGTCAGTGGTAGCCCAATTAAAACAATCGCGCAGAGAGAGATCGCGTCGAACAGCATCCGTTGCATTACTCACCCTTCGTGCTTTTCGAACTGCGAACTTGAAGGCACCACTCCATCCCGTCGCGTTGCGGCTACACCCGAGATCGGTGGAATTGCCGACTAACCCGATCGTTCCACGCGGAAATCCCCGTTTATTGGGCGAGCAACTGCAACATGACATGCTAACTGTGAGTTAGCACCGGACAGCGTCACACGGAACTTCGCTCGTTCATGCTGTGTTCCTCTAGTCGATCTTATCTAGAGAATCAAATCATCAGCATTATTATCTGATCGCATCTCATCCGCCTGCCCGCATCGTTTTTTTCTTTTTTTTCTTTCTGGAGCGGGAATGAACAAAAAAGGTCCATGAGACGGACCAACGCCAGAGCATCCAACGAACGAATCGCGCAGTCATCAACTAGCCCTTGTCTTCCCTTCCCTTTCAGCAATCATCCATCCTGGGACTGATCATCTGCGGCGCTTTCACCCGGTAGTCTACACGCACTTGGCGATCGAAAATCAAATCAAATCAAATACCGACCGCAAGGAAAAAGGGCAGTGCCAGCCCGAACCCACTTGCGCTGCCACGCCGGCCTTATATGGCGTTGCAGGGTTCGTTCCAGCTGCATCCCACGTTGACCTGCGTCGACTGGACTGCAGCCACGCCCGATCGCGACGATACGATACGATAACACTACGACTACTGGCCTTGTCCGGTTTTCCTTCCGCCCCCCTTGCGAGGCTGATCCTGGCCTTCGACGCCAAACTGCCACCCCCCCGCTAGTGTCCCGTCCGCTGCTCTCTATACACTACTACGACTCTCGATACTGTGTAATTACTTATTGTTTGCTTTTTCCTCAGCTGCGCGTCCCACTCATTGCTTCTTCTGCCCCTCTGCCGTTACAAGAGATACCAATACGTGCGCCGATACATACCGTGGTCTATGCTTACGCTGCCCGTTTCATGGTGACCTGACTGGCTCGGCTCATCCTTAAGAGGATCATCATACCCTGTTGCAGGACTCCGGGGCATATTATTATTACTACCTGGCTTTCTCTTTGCTGCCCACAACCGATCGATGCCTAGTCGAACGACCGGACCTTCTCGGAACCTATCTAGGATCTCCCACTACAGACAGACGTGGATACATGGACCAGCTTCAATAACGGCACTTTCTACGTCGAAACGTCTTGACGGCAGGTGGACGAGGCGCTTTCGCAATCTACGACGTTCACCACGATGAGCTACCTGAACGTCAATTCCGGTCCATCTTACGGCGCACTTGATACAGACGAGCAGATCATGGATCGCGAAGATCAGAGGCTGCTCTATGGTGCCTTTGCGGACGGGGAGCAGGAAGACCGTCACTATGACACGGATGATGACTTGACGTCCGAGAGTGAGGTGCAGGAAGGTGTTCGAAAGATAGAGGCGATCAGCCGAACGTGGACGCAGCGGGCCTTGGTTGTAGCATATCTCAGGTTGGTGACTTGACGGACAAGTACCCGCGGATCTACTCTGCTAACTGTGTTCTCCAAGTATATTCCTCATGGCATTCTGTACTTCCCTGGAAGGACAGACCGTCTCCTCACTGTCCGCTTACGCCACCAGTTCGTTCAGCAAACATTCTTTGATCTCAACCGTACTCGTCGTTCAGAACGTGGTGAATGGTAAGCGGGTCATTTCCATTTCTGATGTGGTCGGTTCCTAACAATAGTCAGCTGTCATCAAGCCCCCCATGGCCAAGGTGGCGGACGTCTTCGGCCGTTTCGAAGCGTTCTGTGTCAGTATCATCATCTATATACTTGGCTACATCCAGATGGCCGCCTCCACGAACGTGCAGACCTACGCGTCTGCTCAGATCTTCTACTCAGCCGGTTCGACCGGTCTGCAGATCCTCCAGCAGGTCTTCATCGCTGATAGCAGTGACCTGCTCAATCGAGCCATGTTCGCCCTTCTCCCGGAGCTGCCGTTCCTGGGAACCGTCTGGATAGGCCCCATGATTGCCGATGCTGTGCTCAGACATAGTTCCTGGCGATGGGGTTACGGGATGTGGGCGATCATACTTCCTGCTGCTTTCCTGCCACTGGGCCTGACCTTGTTGCTCAACCAGAGAAAGGCAAGGAGGCTCAATCTGATCAAACCAAGGGCATGGAAAGGAACGGGGTGGGTTGACGCCTTGCGGAATACCTGGTACGACTTGGACATGTTCGGGTTGATACTACTGTCTTCTGCAGTCGCTCTGATTCTGATCCCCCTCACTTTGGCGGCTAACGCGAAAGACGGGTGGAAGAACAACAACATCATCGCGATGATTGTTGTGGGCCTTTTCTGTCTCATCCTCCTGCCCGGATGGGAGACTTCCAAGAAATTGGCCCCTAAGCCCCTTCTGTCGCTACACCTTCTCAAGCAGCGGACCGTACTTGCAGGATGTGCGCTCGCCTTCTTCTACTTCATGGCCTTCTACTTCTCCGTCCAGCCTTATCTCTACTCATACCTGCAAGTCGTGCAGAATTTCGATGTGTCTAGCGCAGGGCGCGTGACGCAGACTTTCGCCTTTACATCAACCATTGCAGCATTCTGCGCCTCCATCCTTATCAAGTATACCCGGCGCTACCGCCCCTATGTCACGGCAGGCTGTGTCATATACATTGGCGGCCTGCTGTCGATGCTGCTCTACCGCACAGAGGGCAGCTCCCCGGCACAGATTCTCGCAACGCAGATCATCGTGGGAACCGGTGGTGGATTGCTGAATGTTCCTGTCCAGCTTGGAGTGCAAGCATCTGCTAACCATCAAGAAGTAGCGGCGGCTACCGCCATGTTCTTGACATCTCTAGAGATGGGCGGTGCTGTAGGCGCGGCCATTTCTGGGGCCGTCTGGACACACTCCATCCCTAAAAAACTGCGGCTGTATCTGCCACCCGAAAGTCAGAAGGATGCTGCAGAGATCTATGGCAAATTAACTAAAGCGCTTTCCTATCCAATGGGATCCCCGACCCGGCTTGCCATCAACAGAGCCTACCAGGAGACGATGAATAGTCTGCTTGGGTTGGCGATCCTTGCTGTCATCCCATTGATACCGCTGAGTCTCCTGATGAAGAACTACAACCTGGACAAGGTGAGCAACAGTACGGCAGCCTTTACTCGTCATAACCCGCTAATTGAAGAAGCTGAGTCAAGGGATGAAGGGAAAAGTAATCGGTCATCTTCACGAACACGAACGCGAACGCGAATCGACTCTGATCGACGACACTTCCACGCTGAATGAAGATTCGAAATATACGAATAATCATTCAGGAGGAGGAGGAGGAGGAGAAGACGAAGGAGAAGCGTCTTGATTGATACAGGCTTTCCCCCCAACGATACGTTGGCACGTGTATAGCGACCTTATCACAAGGCGTTTCGTCGCCGTCGCCATCCCTATCTCCTCGGTTCGAATGTTCATTGACATGCTGCGGGGTGCCGCGCTTAGGGCCTCAACCTTTCGTCGGCCTTCCCTGTTTGTATTGGTCTTTGGATATTTGCCCTTCAGGTTGGCAGAGTGGGCGGCGCTCGGACGGCAACCACAGAAATCTCGGCCGGTCTAATTAACCGGGCGCTTGGCTGCGGGTTAACTGCCAAGGTTGTCTCAGGCGGACAGACGCGCAGATAATCAGATGCATATATATGTTTATATTATATATTGGCGTCAATCTAAAGAAGAGGCATACAAGACAACAGAGCTCGAGCCGATTCAGAGGCCGACTTGTCATTGCGCTGTCGCCTGCTGGGTCAGGCAGTCAGACACACCATTGAATGGTGGACAGGAAGGCCGGAAAACAAACAGTTACGACTAGTCTACGAAAGAATTATAGATAGTATTTGTTCAAACGTCCAGTCTACCAAGGGAAAGGACTGAGAGGTCGGCGTTCTTCGCACTTATTTGAGCAGGCAACAGTGTTTTTATTTCTCATTTCTCATTTCCCTTTTATCTTTTCTATCTTTTTTCCTTTACTGCTGAATCAGAGAACTAGGAAACAAATTGTGGATAGATCATGATGTGTCACGAATAATGCTACGCCCAGAACGTTTAGCTGTTTCTGATATTGTTGGCGTTGTCTCAACATGCCATTGACAGTGGAGGTGAGGGGGCCAATGATCCCGACGGTCCCGTCTCGGGGAGACACGCAAAAGGACGCAGCGGAGACGCTGGGAAAGCGCGCACACTGTTATTGCCCATTATCTTCTTACCGCGACCGTTTCTTTGCTTTTGTCTTCGTGGGCGTATCATTGCTTATTATTGTTTTTTTTTTTATGGATGGCATGAGTTGAAAAGGCATCCAGCCTCGAGGCGGCAGATGTTATAATGCCTGCCCCCTGTTGGGTCTGGCTCTCCCGCTTACCAATTCAACTATTATGTTTCTGAGAGAAGCCAGCGTGAAGACTATCTATCACCGTCCAGCGTGACGGATTATGAGGTGCAGTAGTGCAATCGTAGCTAACCGCGACTGGGATTGGAGCCAGTAGATCGGGCAAGAGAGCCGGGGAGCGAACATGGAAGAAATGAGAATCCGAATCTGATACACGTTTCACGTTTGGACTGACCCCCTGTTTATGGTACTTTGCTCTTCCCCGGTGTATCATCTAGTCGTGGTTTCGAGAGCACGGTTGACCAGGAAGGATATTCACTGTCTGCCCACTAGTAGTAGCAGTAGGATTATCATCAACTAGAGGGATTTACGGGGAGGGAAACGCCGTGCGAAACGTGGCGATCCCGCTTCATATGTGTTATCTGAAACACTGATAGTTAGGTAGAGTTGAGAGACAGCATCCAGTCTCGATATGGTATCTATTGGGATCTCTCATCCTACCGTTTTCTCAGTTCCAGTGCGAAGGAGATCCCTCGGCCCGCGAAGCTTGACCGACAAAAGAAACCCCTTTTTGGTGGTGACGAGGTGCTAACAACAAGCGGGTTTGCTCACAGACCCCGACAAGCACAGTGCAAAGACAAGCTAGGCTAGACTTGATGGCAGCGTGAGAGGAAAGTGGTCTAACTATTACTAGAGACTCAGAGTCGCATGGAGTGGTCGTAGATAGTCCAACCTGAGGCGGAGGACAAGCAGGAAGTCGGTGGTTTTGGCGCTGTCCACTGTCCACCGCCCACCGCCCGCCATCGGGCGCTCTTCTTCCCCCCAAAGAAAGAGCCATCCATCCTCTGGAGCGAAACCAACGGCTGATCTATCTAATTGAAGTATTACTTCGTTGATTAAATAAATTACCTTTGTTTCTCCTCAGGACGCTTTCTGTTGTTCGCTGTGTTACTTGTCCTCCTGCAGCAGGAGTCAAGAATCATCTCCAGCAGGATCCTTCATTGACATTCCGTCTTGTGGCCAAACGGTCGTCCTTGCAGTCATCTCCAACCCGTCCCACACCGCGCCCCCTTCGAGGACCCGGAGTCCATCTCTTCCTTTCTTCGTCTTCAACAAGCCTTCATCTCGAGAGAAGCACGCGCGGGGTTGAAGCATCAGAGAACGGCTTGTTTTTCTCCATCTTCTCGTATATCTTGATACGGTCCGTCTCTCTTGGAACAGCTTGTTCTGGTATGGAGACATCCCCAGTTCTGGATCGCTTGTGGTCTCGAAGGTCCAGACAACTGAGTAGACCAAAATGAGCTAACGTGCGGGTTGCCCCATTTGCAGCTACTACTACTGACTATCTCCTGCCGCCCTCTTCCCTCCCTCGTTAAACCTCAACCTTCACAGCAGACGATCACCTGCAGTTAGGGGAGCTTCTTGCTGGTGTGACTTTCCTCGCTATCACCACGCATCCTCATTCCTCGTCGTCAAGGCTATTGTGGTGGTCGTTGTTCACCTACGCACTACCTCCCGTCAGGCTCTCCTGCCTCCTCAAACCCCCATCGACTGGCGGCACCGCCTTTTCGCGACTGGGTCTCCTTTTTCACCGCATATCCTATCTGACGCGTGCTGTCGCATCTGATATCACAATCACTCCTTTTCTGATATACCCCGGGTTTTTCTCCGCTGTAGAATATTTCCTGTAACACAAAATGGTTGTTGCCACGATTAAGTACGTTGCTCCCCCTCCCCTCCCGACCTGTTGATGGCCTTCCACGTCTCTCTCTCACATCTGTTGTGGTTGCTTCGTGGCCCCCATATGATGTCGGAATGGTCAATGTCCTCTGACGTTCTTGGCTGACTTATATTGTCAATCAGATGCGTAGTTGTCGGGGACGGTGCTGTCGGCAAGACATGTCTCTTGATTTCCTACACGACGAACAAGTTCCCCTCGGAATATGTGCCCACTGTCTTCGATAATTATGCAGTGACTGTTATGTAAGTTCTGTGTATCTGTTTTGAGTCTCGACATACTATCGTGATGGATTTGGGGTCTGGCTATGCGCACTGCCACATATCAATCCCGCGGTCGGACTCCAGTGGCTATCAATCGCTACCCGAATTCATCATCGCTATAAAAATAAGCCAGGACAGTGGACATGGGCTGACTCATCGATTTGCTGTTTACTAGGATCGGTGACGAGCCTTACACATTGGGACTCTTCGATACCGCTGGTCAGGAAGATTATGATCGTCTTCGTCCTCTTTCATACCCCCAGACAGACGTTTTTCTGGTCTGCTTCTCCGTCACATCACCTGCGTCGTTTGAGAACGTGAGAGAAAAGTGGTTCCCCGAGGTTCACCACCACTGTCCCGGTGTGCCATGCTTGATTGTCGGCACTCAGACCGATTTGCGAGATGACGCCGCTGTCCGAGAGAAGCTGGCAAAGCAGAAGATGCAGCCCGTTCGCAAGGAAGACGGTGATCGGATGGCCAAGGAATTGGGTGCTGTGAAATATGTCGAGTGCTCTGCTCTGACGCAGTATAAGCTGAAGGACGTCTTCGATGAGGTAGGAGAAGCTTTCTTTGATCGCCAATTATCCCACCCCTCCCTTGGATGATCGATGTCCGGACAGAAGCTTACATACTGCATCTTTAGGCCATTGTCGCCGCGCTAGAACCGGCCCCTAAGAAGAAGACCAAGTGTGTCTTGCTGTGAGGTTGACGAATTATTATTATTGGACGCCGTTTCCTGAGACGAAGGGCCAAGGCCGCTCATGATTGAAGTTCTGTCTGGTTTCTGAACTCAGACATGCCAGGATGGTTCATTTGGTGGGCCTAAAAGAAGTACCTTGGTCTATTTTTTTTTCCGATTCACGACTGGGAGGAGTTTTTTTCTTGTTTGAACCGCTAGCTCGCTTGGTCCCTATTTTTACAGGCTCATGTCGCCCATGTGTTTGTCATTTCGTGCCCTATCGGTAGGACGTGATGCATATGTTCTGTATTGCCAGCTTCCCGGAATTTCCTCCATATACCACCCTTTCCCCTTCCCCGATACGCGCAGGATCCTCCTTTCTCCACATCTCTACACCCTTATCCCCGAGACAATATGGTATTGCTCCTGGTGCCAGCCTGTGCCTATTGTCCGTCTTTTCCTTGCTTGTTCGCCGTGTAGTCTTGCTCTGTTTTGCGATGCGGACTATCACCTGAATTCCCTGCTTCTTTCATCCTCTTTTCCCCCGGCGTTGGAAATTGTGGCGCATGTTTTTGGCCGGCTGATAACCGTGTTCTTCGTCCCAAGTCTTCTCGAAATCCGCCCAGACAAGTTTACTTGGTCCCTTCCCTCGTCTCGCCTCGGTTGAATCTACAGGCCAACTAGCCAGTTTGCCGCAAGAGTCACAGATGACTGCTTCGCGGCAAAGCAAACGAGCGGTACGAGCAGGGGCCAGCAAAAAGAAGGATACACAAATTTTTCTCTTTTCTCCTTTGTCTCCCTTTCTCTTTCCTCTTGGGGTTTTGTGAACGGACCAGAACCCTGCAATGTCAACAGAGCGTTTCAGTACAGCTGATTGAATTGAATGAAGAATATTCCCGAAACCTGTGGCCGTCTTTTACATTAGACCAACTAGGCATGCTTGCCGATAATTCGTTTCATGTTGCTCGTTGCCATGAAGTGGATAGCAACTGCAAGCTGGTGGAGTATGATATGATATTCGCGTATTACGGATATTCCGAAGTTTATAGAAAAGAACCAAGTCCTGAGCAGTCCTAACCTAGTCCTATGACGGATACGACCAGATGGTGGGAAGTTTCAGTGAGATATGATCGTTTCATTCATTCGCTAGAGGGGGTCATGCACTCATGCTATGCTATCCTGTACTATGCTATGGTACACACTTCTCACTCATTCCGAGCACCGAAAAAAGGAAATCAAAACAAGATGCAAAAGATGGAAAGGAGAAGAAAGAAAAGAAAAAGACGAAACCATGCAGACACAGAGAGGTCTGCAAATGGCTCATTTAGAGCTCATCCTTGGAGGAAGATTCCGTCTTCTGCTGCTTCTTCGATTCCGTTTCGACCTCGACATCGCTGTCCTTGTTGCCGTACCATCCACCGAGATCTTCACCCACACCAGCCTTGACCATGGTGGTGATGATCTCGAAGGCAACCTGGGCCGCAGCGAGAGCGGTGGTCTCGCCCATGTTATCGTAGCTAGGGCTGACTTCGACGATATCGGCGCCGACGATGTTGAGCTTCTCGATGCCGCGCAGGATGCGGATGAATTCACGCGTGGTCCAGCCGCCGGGTTCGGGAGTGCCTGTGCCAGGGGCGGTGCCGGGGTCGAGCACGTCGATGTCCACGGAGAGGTAGACAGGCTGCTCGGGGTCGAGACCGATACGGTCAACGAGCTTCTTAGCCACACCGGCCGGGCCCAGGTCATCGATATCGTCGGCGTGGACGCGCATGAAGCCCTGCTCAGGCCCAGGGTTGGTGTAGTCGCTATCATCGGCGCCGGTGAGACGCGTCCGGATGCCGCCGTGAGCGGAGGTAGTGTTGGAAATCAAACCCTCGGTGCTGGCGATGTGGAAGAAACTACCATGGTTGAAGCGCGATTGGTCCGAGAGCCAGTACGAAGCGTAGCGGACGGGGTTCCATGTATCGAGATGGGCGTCGAAATGCAGCACCGTGATGGGTTTCTGGTAGATCTGGTACAGGGCGCGCAGGGCCGGTAGAGCAATGCTGTGGTCTCCGCCCAGCGTCAGAAGCTTGGGCTTACCGGCCGAGATGCCCTTGGTGCCGTACTTGGAGTCGGCTGGCGTGAGGGCGGGACGACTGCCCAGTTCGAGGAAGGCTTCGTACATCTGACGCTCAGCGAGGCCGTTGTCGAATGGCGTCACGGGAATATCGCCGCAGTCCTTCAGCGTAGCCCAGGAGAGATAGGGATTGATACCAGCGCGAGCATTGTAGCTCGTTCCGGGCATTTGACGAGCGCTGGCTGCGCGGATGGCGCGGGGACCGAAGCGGGCGCCTGAATTGGGGAGGGGAAAGTTCAAGTCAGTATGACATCTTGAAGAATAATGATTTTCTGGTTGATGGGTTTTTTTTTAAATAAATAAATCCCCCTCCTCCCGTCCGTCGTCACATACCAGGTCTGTAGCTGACGGCCGTATCAAACGGAGCTCCGATAATAGCGATATCGTAGCGTTCATCCGGCTCTATCAAGCACTTGACGGGCTTCATGTGAGCGAAGCTGGCAACACCGGAGAAGGGCCACTGCGTGATTTATTATCATGAGTTGACTGTCTGATTGAGATGAGAGAATGGATGAATTGAGAGAGAGAGAGAGAAGCTTACCTCCTGCTCCCATTTGTGAAGCAGCTCGGCGCGTCGATCTTCGGGAACAGTCTCAGTCTCGTCGTTATCGTGGTGGGAGTGAGAGAAGGCGGGGCCAGCCAGAGCCAGAAAGCCCACGAGGGCGGTCTTCCAGCCAGGCATATTGGATATATGTCTGATGTGTTGAGTTCAATTATTCCAAGAGTTAACAATAAATCACGGCGGACGAGAGACGCCTATATAACGGCGGGTGGAGCGCATGGTAGTAGTAGTTTTAGCTATGAGCAGCTGGAAATAAAATAATAATAACTTCTTGCTTTCTCTGCTTGGAACTTCCTAAAGCGACACAAGCCTCCAGCCCCGCTGGAATCTGGCCTCGGGGAGGACAGTAGTTGGATTTGATTGATTGATTGATTTGATTAGAGCTTGGAGAGCTCCGAGGAGAGGGGGAGGAGAATCAGAAAAAGCTACCTTGGGTTAGATAAAGTCGAGAAAGCTGCCGAATCGCTGGGGAGGGAATGGAAAACCGTCAAGCTAGTCTTAGCGTGTCCAGTCGTGTGGAAAAGAGGCCCTTTTTTTTTCTGTACCCTTCCGTTTCTTTTTGATCCATATTATTCGTCTAGAAGCACGCATAAGTACGTTGAGAGAGGGCTTCGGGACGAACGCCGAGAAGGCCGAAGTTGGAACATCGTGCAGACTTTCCCTTCTGGTCAAGCTGTCTATTCATCTATTCTATCTATTCTATCTATCTACCTGTTCCTCGATTCTTCACTATTCTTCATATTATTATTCTTGTTCTCATTATTAACTATTCTTATTAGTTATTCTTCTCCTCTAGTCAGTAGCTAACTATCCAACTGACTTAATGGACATTCTCGCATAAAGCAGGATGCCATGCGTCGAGTCGTCGTGACGGGTCTCGGTGCGGTGACGCCTCTGGGCGTGGGTAAGTCATTTGCCATCGTCTTCTCCTTCTTTTTCGAGCGTTCTTCGTCCTGTTCTGGTGTGATTTCCTGTATATGAGTCCCCATCCCGAGGCTTTTCATCCTGTCTCCACACGGCTTTTACGCCAGGATGGGCCCGGCTGACCTAACAGCTTTTTTTCTTTCTTTTTGTTTCTCCAATGGACTGCCTATTTGGGAAGCTATACCAGAGCTGAGCAGGAGGTAGACGGGAAAATGAAAATAAAGAAAAGAATTACAAAAAAAAAAAAATATTAGGAACATGCAACTAGCCTTTTTTGTGACGAATATCTGACTTGGTCAATCAATCCATTCTAGGAATCCGTCGCACGTGGAAACGCCTACTCGACGGCCATTGTGGCATCGTCAACGTCAAAGACAGACATCCGCGCTTCGCGGAGATACCATGTCAGATCGCCGCCGCTGTGCCGCAGGGCTCCAGGAAGGATGGAGGATGGACCGCTTCCGAGTGGTTGAGCAGAGAGGTGAGTAATGGATAGACCATGAACACAAGACACCCTAACGCTCGGACTGATCACCGCTATTAACTCTAGGAGGAGCGGAAAATGGCCCGGTTCGCGCAATATGCCATGGCCGCTACCGAGGAAGCCCTCGAAGATGCCGCCTGGATGCCAACCTCGCTGCAGCAGAAGGAAGATACGGTAGATCGATCGACCTTCACCGACTCTGTTCGCTCAGATGCTAATTGAGACTAGGGTGTCTGTCTTGGTTCAGGTATAGGAAACTTTGACGAGATTTATGATACGATACTATCATATGACAAGGGTGTAAGTGTGAAAGAAAAAAGTACTCCCCGATGCAGAAAGCCAGTAATGGCTGATAACTTGATACGCAGGGATACAAGAAAGTGTCTCCCTTATTTGTCCCAAAGTTGCTGATCAACCTGGGTGCTGGTCACATATCGATGAGATATGGCTTCATGGTCCGTCTTCCCTTTTCCGTCCACGCAATCGAGGCCATCGCGACTGACATGGATAGGGCCCTAACCATTCCGTGACCACTGCTTGTACGACTGGAGCGCATTCTGTGGGCGATGCGTCCCGTTTCATTGCTTGCGGCGATGCTGATGTCATGATTGCCGGTGGTGCTGAATCGTGCATTCATCCACTGGCACTGGGAGGCTTTGCCAGAGCCAGGAGTCTGACGACGGGGTTTAATGATTCACCTGAAAAGGCTTCAAGACCTTTTGACGCGGATCGTCAGGGATTCGTCGTAGGTGAAGGAGCAGCTGTTATGGTCTTGGAGGTATGTCCTCTTCTTCCTCTTGGTTGCGGTACTTCCAAGCTAAAAAGGTGATCAAGGAACTGGAACATGCTAAAGCTCGAGGAGCCCATATCTACGCTGAATTAACTGGGTATGGCTGCTCCGGAGATGCACACCACATAACGGCCCCGAAGGAAGACGGCGAGGGCGCTTTCACGGCCATGAAAAAGGCCCTGAGGAGTGCGAAACTATCGCCTTCCGATGTGGACTATGTCAACGCGCACGCTACCTCTACGAAGATCGGAGATGCCGCCGAGAACGCAGCTATCAAGAGACTCCTACTTGGTCCAGGAGGAAAACGAAAACCTTCCGAGATCAACGTCAGCAGCACAAAAGGTGCTATCGGACATTTACTCGGAGGTGCAGGGGCTATCGAGGCCGTATTTTCTGTTCTCGCCATTCACGAGGTTCGTACTTACTCCCCAGCCTGAAAACTATGCGCATTGAACAATTAATTTTTAATTACTAACTTCATTTTTCAACCCTTTCTCAGAACGTAATGCCCCCAACAATCAACCTGGAAAACCGAACGGAGGAGTTTGACTGCAACTATGCGCCGGGAGCTGCCCAGGAGCGAACTATCGATGTTGCGCTTACCAACAGTTTTGGATTCGGAGGAACGAATAGCACGCTCTGCTTTGCCAGGTATCGAATGTAACATTAATGTACTCTACAATAACTACAAGATCGATAGTTAAGTTATGCATTAGCTTAAGTAATCCATATTCATTCAATTCATCGAACGTCAGGATTTGGTAATAATTATACCTGATAGTCAGTCTATGAAACGAGTCCTACAATATAATCATGTATGTATACAAGCACAATCCTCCTTCGATATCAAAAACAACTCCTCAATATAACCCATCGATCATTCCATCCTCGTTGACCAGTTCGCGCCTGATCACGTGACGCGGTCGCCCCCACACGGGCTGATAGGGAAACGGACGACATCGAACGTCAACCCCAGACGGAAGGGAGATATAGCGCCATCGCCAGGTCTCCCGGGTTTTGTCTTTCTTTTTTTTTTGTTGTTATTGCTCAAGGCCTCTGGAATATAATTTACAGTCATTTCTGCAGTTATGACTACAAACGGAACGACAGGGAGAGGTACGTCGTGGCGAAACAGGCACATTGAGAGAGACTGATTACGAGTCTACCACGTCCCCTCACTCCAAAAAAATAATATACTGGCTTGCGGACGAGGAAAACTGATGTGGTTTTGATTAGCTTCTTCCGTCGCGTCGAGCTCTGGAAGCTTGGTGGATGCGTCCGGGTATAAGTTCTCCGAAAAGGATATGAAGCCGGGAAAGATCAAGTTGAAGAAGTCGTCGTCGGCGAAGACTGCGAAGGGGAAGAAGCCGGAGAAGGGTATGAGTTTGATCTCTTACTGCCTTCCCTTTTTTGGGAGTCGGGAGTGGTGGATGGATGATGTTTCGTGGTGTGCTGATGCAGTAGTTGATTCCAGATGGTAAAGATATCCCCGACTCTCCTGGTTCATCGCCCATTCTACCTGAAATGGATGAAAAGACCATGGCTGCCTTCCCGACGGGGAAGCCGAGAGATGACCAACTCGAGACGGTGATATGCAAACATTGCAAGAGACCCGTTCTGAAACACACTGCTGCGGAACATATCCGGAGTTGTCTGAAAGCGAAGCAGGAGAAGGCACGCAAGAAGAAAGAGGCGCGCGATGCAGCGAATCGCGCCAAAGCCGCTGATAATAAGGATGGGGATGAGAAAGATGATGAGAAAGAAGGGGAGGATGCGATGAAGGGCCAGAAGAGCGCTAAGAAGAGCGCTGTTAAGGGTATGGCGGATGACGGAACGAAGAAGGGCAAGAAGCGCAAGGCGGATGCCGAGGATGAGAAGGATAAAGAGCCGAAGAAAAAGAAGAAGAAGGATGAGCCGAAGCCCAAGATGCCGAAGCCTAAGGGGCCGGTGGATGTTGAGAAGCAGTGTGGTGTTACGCTGCCTAATGGCGCTCAATGTGCTAGGTCGTTGACGTGTAAGAGTCATTCGATGGGTGCGAAGCGTGCTGTTCCGGGACGCTCTCTGCCGTATGATATGTTGTTGCAGGCGTATCAGAAGAAGAATCAGGCTCGTCAGCAGAGTAAGTATTATCCTCCGTTGGTGGTTTTGTCTGTGTTGTGTTGGTGCTGGTGCTGATTATGTTGACAGAGGCTGCAATCGATGCGAATGCGCCGTTGCAAGATGACCTGGATAATAATGGACCTGTAGACTCTGATGAGGAGAAGGAGTCAGTCATGGCTGCAATTGCTCGATCACATCCACAGCCCCTCGTCACCCATCCTCTGATCCCTACGAAGAAGAAATACCAGTACGTCCGGATCAAGGAGATGCTTTCGCATGTCCTAGGTGGTTCCACAGGCGGTGGCCTCTTTGGTACCGGAGACACCGGTGGCCAGACGGGTCTTGGTCTTTTCCAGACTACAGATGAGCCAGATCTGACATCTCCCGTTGCGACGAGTACATCTGAGCTCCCTGCGGATTCCAGGAAGACTCTTCCGCAGGGGAACCAAAACCGTTCCGTACAAAATCATCCTAAGAAGACGGCGGTCGCTGTGGCCTGATCGCCTCGTTTGCCATGTTTTCTCCCTGGTTTCTGCTTTCTGGCTCGGGTTTACGTGATACTATAGCCTTTTTTTGCTATGTGGGAGTTACGGTTCGGCGGCGTGTATACGGAGCATGTAAGGGCAGAGCAGACTGTAACGATATGATACCCGATTTAGTGTTGCAAATTGATTTAGTTTAGTTTGAAGGATATATTAGCTTGGAAAATCATATACTATCTCTTTGATATACATTAATTATACTGAGACTTGTGTGACTTGTGTATATATACTCGCAACTCGGCTATTTCAAGCATGCCGGCTGAACCTCGGCGCACGGGCCATATAATAATGCCTGCGTTTGCCTCAGGCGGCGACATTGAAGCTCCCGACTTCGTTGAGCGCGGATATTCAATTGCATGACGATTGTTTGCCTCAGCGCGTCTTTGAACCAGCATCTTCTCTGACCAGGGGCATCTTGGTCGCCTTGCCCTTGCCGTTCATTTTCACCACCGTGTCGCGATCCGAGCCTGGCGTCATCGTCGCGAAGTTGCGCCTGGAGACAGTGATTCCATACCCTCGTGCACTTCGATGAGTTCCGCCATCAGCGGTTTGACCAGCTGAACAGAACTTCCTCCTACGGGATCCTCCTTCTAACAGGTCGCGGAACGGTTTCCAAAATGCCCGACTCTCTCCCGGATATCGATTCCATCGGCATCAAAGCAGATCCGCACCTCGCGGACCAGTTCAGACGAGAGGTTGCGCAACTCTTGGGACGCAACAATCTCAGCTTCCCCGGTGCGCAACCGGTCAGTTTCTCATCCAAGCATATCCTGGAACTTCAGAAGGAGGATTACTACGTGTGCGAAAAGACGGATGGCATCCGTTGTCTCATGTACTTTGCGCGCGGGGACCCGGACTCGGACGCGCCGGAAATTCATTATCTGATCGATCGCAAGAATGACTACCGATATGTGCCTGGTCTTCATTTCCCATTGCCTGACGACGACACGTTTCGATCGTTCCATGTGGATACGCTGGTGGATGGGGAGTTGGTGAAAGATACGTACGAGGATGGCACGACGCAGTTGAAGTATCTCGTCTTCGACTGCATGGTCTTGGACGGACAGAGCTTGATGCATCGGACGCTGGATAAACGACTGGCGTATTTCAAGGAGAAAGTGTTGAAGCCGTATAATGCGATGTTCAAGAAATACCCGGAGGAGAAGCAGCATCGGGTTTTTGCCGTGGAGGACAAATCAACCCAGTTCAGCTACGGGATCGAGATGATGTTCCGAGAGATTATCCCCAAGGTGAAGAGGATCCATGGCAATGATGGTCTTATTTTCACCTGTCGTTCGACGCCGTACAAGATTGGTACGGACGAGCACATTCTCAAATGGAAGCCGCCGAATGAGAACAGTATCGATTTCCGCATGCGCCTCGAGTTTCCCCTCCTTGAACCCGATACGGACGATGAAGCGGAGGGTATCCATGAACCCTATCCGGATTACGATGCCATGCCTATCTTCCACCTCTTTGTTCTCTACAACCAAGGCGATTATCGCCTCTTCGGCGAGATGTACCTCACGTCGGAAGAATGGGAGAATCTCAAGTCCCTTCAGAAACCGCTAGACGACACAATCGTCGAGTGTTACCAAGACGAGCAAGGACGCTGGAGATTCCTCCGCTTCCGCGACGATAAGAAAGATGCGAATCACATCTCTACTGTTGAGAAGGTGCTCGAGAGTATCCGAGACCGGGTCACGGAAGACGACCTCATCCGTGCTGCGCCGGCTATCAAAGCTGCATGGAAACGAAGACAGGCACAAGCTGCAGCAGAGGAAGAAGAACGGAGACGAAGAGTACACGTGAATGGGAACGGAGTGAAGAGGAAATTCGAGGAATGAGAGAAGAGAAGATCAGAAGACAGTTTCTTTTTTTTTTTTTTTTTGGTCTCACAGATCCCTTCCCTCTCTCTCGACTCCTATACCGAGCCCCCCAATTTTTCCCCCAAACAACTCAATACCATGTGTAAACTCATTTCTCGAATTGCCAATTCGCAAATGCAAGGTGCCCGGCGTTCATGGATAGGATCCTCATTATATTCATCATTTTTTTTTTATATCATTGACTTCGTCCTCTTTTCTCCATTTATGGTACTCAAGGAATCCAGAACCGCATATATCCATCCCTTCCTCCCTTTTCTTTTTATCATTTTGATTTTTCTATGGTGCACGAGGATAACAGGGTAGGCGGGCAATAAAAACATCGGATCGGTGGCGGAATACTGCGTTGAAATTCAATTCAGTTCTAATATTTTTTTTTTTTTTTTTTTTTTTTTTTTTTTTTTTTTTTACAGAATTGGAATCTAATTTGAATGTCCTTTTTGGTATCTGTAGATTATCTGTTCGCATACCTCTGTGTGGAATTCCTTTTTTTTTTCCCAAAATAAACCATCTGGTTCTACATATAATCAGGAAGATATTCTGATTGTATATCCTGTCTAACCTAGTAGTAATTATAGTAATAGTAATAGCACACAATACGAGCACTGTTAATAATGTGGATGAGCTCTCGCTGATTGTCTACAATTTGATCATGGTAATACCATAAACTGCGAGAGAGATATTATCATGAATAACTAGTTCACTCGTTAATCGAATCTCATTCTTCTTAAAAAAGGCATACATACACTACACAATCATCATTCGATGATATGTTATCAGTGATAGAATACATGGAATCAAGCATGAAACCGCGAGGAAAAAAAAAAAAAAGGCATGACAATGGAGACCTTGGATATCATGAACAACTAGATGAGGACAAATACGGACGTGCTGACTGCATGTTAGGCTAGTACTCGAAATCATCATCAACACCGCCCTTTCCAGCGTTCTCTTTCGCCACGCTCTCCTGCTTTTGGTACATCTCTGCGACGGCCCTCGTGGTAGTTGCCTGCTCGGGTTTCTTGTCGTCACGGGCCTTGATATATCGCGGGAACCGGAGTGAGATACCCTTGCCGCCGCCGGTTGTTCCCATGACTTCGTCTGCTGCGGCCTTGTACCTTGGACTAAGAGTTAGGTCGGCGGCCTTGACCTCCCACACGAGTCGAGGTTCGAACCACACGTCTGGCTGGTCCTTGGGGACGTTAGAGTGGGAGTAGAATGGCTTTGGTCGGTCGATGACGAGTGGGGAGAGTTCCTTATGGAGCTCTTCGAGGAGAGCTTCCGAAAAGCCCGTACCGATGTTGCAGATTGTTTCGTAATTTTGTGTATTTGGGTTGTAGGCTGCGAGAAGGAAGGCACCGTATACAGAGGTTCGTTTACCACGGCCAAAGTAGGCGCCCAGAACCACCAGGTCCAGGGAATCACCGATTCCAGCAAGGTAGTCTTTCTTGACCTGTTGGAAGATGTTAGTGAGCTTACTAGAGTCTGTGTGTTGGTTTTGAATGGAATAAAGTACCTTTAGCCAGTTTCGACTCCGCTTGCTAGGCTCGTAGCCACTCTCATCAGTATCCAGCATCTTCACCATCAGTCCTTCGCACGAGGCCTTTACGCTTTCGTCCAGAAGGCTTTGGATCTCCTCGAGTTCATTTGTGTTCCCATACTGAGCGAAAGCAAACTCGCCTTCGACAGGCTGGAAGGTATCGTGCAAAAGGGCACGACGCTCGCGCAGCGTTTTCTTGACCGTTGGCTGTAATCAATCAGCGACAGTCATTTCTCTCAATCACTCTAGGTAGACTAACCTCTCCATTCAAAAACAGCAGATCGAACGCAAACACGCAGACCTTGACCTTCACATCCTCCGCCTTGACGTCTTTCCGCTTCCTTGTCATCAGCTGTTGGAAGGGCAGGACCTTTTTGTTGACCATATCCCAAGCAACAGTCTCGCAGTCAACGACAAAACTTTTCGTCCCCGGCTTGATCCAGGACTCCAACTTCTCCAGGATGTCTGGATATTTCTTTGATAGATCCTCTGAGTTTCGAGAGAAGATTGCACACAGCCCTTTCCCATCCTTCTTCAAAGAAGTCGTTGCGCCGGGATACTCATGAATACTATCGCCGGAGACATAGTGGATCTGTGCTCTCTCTCCATCGTACTTGTACTCGCAAGTAAAGTCCTTGCCTTCGAAACGATCCAGAACTTCAGTGATAGACTTCGTCGGCTTAGCAAGCATAGGCTTGAGGGGAACGCCTGGCTGCAGTTTGCAAACTTCGGGAAGCTTGAAGATCCCGTGCTCGAGCATGGCAGGGATAATGACCTCGTAGGAAGGAAGCTCACTGTAAACAGTCTTCAGAACAGCTTCTCCTTCGGCCAGTTTCTCGGCACTCGGGGGCTTCTCTCCTTTGAGAGCCGCTTCGTGGGCGACCACCGCCTGGGCAAGAGCCACGAGAACGGTCCTCTCAGCCAAGCCCAATCGTAGCTTTCCTTCGAGGAATCTAACAATATACTTTGCCTCGCTGGGTCCGCCCTTGTTCTTCGTGATGTCAATACCAGCACTGCCCTTTCCAGCGGTAGCAGCATCAGCTGCCGACAAGAGCTTCTTGATACCAGATATCTTCTTGTCCTGGGCACCATGGCCTTGTACCTTGGCAATAGCAAGGAGGCCTTCGTGTACGCCTCTCACAGTGAGCGGCTTCGGTTTGAACATGGTAGGCTGGTTCGATCTGCTTTTTGCAGCTACCAGTCCAAGATCTCCGATCTCATGTTGATCTGCCTTGATAACTTTTAGACTTCTTCCGGTACTTTCGCCGATGGCTTTCATGATCAACGATTCTCCGATTCCCAGCTCAATACCGGCGTAGTCCGCTGCGAGCTTATTGATCATAAGCTGCACAGTGGGAAGCAGGTCATTGGGGGTAAGTCGCAGCACTTGTCGCAAGAACAGCGAACAGTGCGCTAAAATAATCAGACGCTTCGTAGTCATTTCAATGAGAGAGAAAGTTGTACAAAGAGCGGCGTAAGGAACGGGTTCACCTGGCTTCCAATCGGGATAGGGGTCATTTCCAGTGCTCTTCAAGGTAGCCTGGACCTTTTCGATCTCTTTCTTTTTCAGCTCTGGCTTCTCTTCCTCCTCTTCTTCACTTACGGATTGTTCTTCGCCCTGCTCTACCTCTGATATCTCTTCTCTTTCTTCCACTGGGGTCACCTCGCCTGAGGCCTTTTCAACAGCCTTCTCAGTGGTAGTGGCTTTGACAGTCCTCTTTGGAGACGTGGCGGCCTTTTCAGCAGCTGGTGAAGACTTCCGTCCATTTCTTCGGCGACCTTCTGGGCTCTTTCTCCGGCGCTTAGTCGCAGGTTGAATATCTGATTCTTCGCTCTCTTCGTCGGCGCTCTTTTCTCTCTTGACGCCCTTCTCTGGGGATGAAGAAACAGCATCCACGGGCGCAATCTCATCTTCCATTTTCACATCATTGGTTCCATTCGTCGCATTCTCATCGACCTTAGTCTCCGTAGCGACTGCCTCTTCAGCATCTTGGGGAGCTCCGTCCTTTTCTTTCTTTCTATTATTTGAAAATGACAGCGTAGTCTGTCTCTTAGGCGCATCCTTCGAAGCTGCACTGGAGCCAAAGAACTTCCTGTGCAGATAACACAATTGAATTAGCAAAACTATCGCCCGACGTAGAGACAATGTCGCATCGTTTCAATGACTGTGCTTTTGCAGCCAACCGGAACGCACCCGATCGTCGATTGTGAATCTCTGACATACCCCAGTGTTGCTTGCTTTCCACCTTTCCTATCCGCCATTTTTAAGACGGGAGATCTAAATGACGGCAGAAGCGCGTCTCCTGTTGCTTTGATAGTAAAGTGTCGGCGAGCTTCAATTGCACTGGTGCTGGTATGCGGAGCGCAGTTCTCGATAGCGACAAGAGAACAGATTCTCGGAATTCTCGATGATAAAGCTCCAATAGAAGTAGAGATTGGTTTTCCCCGAAATTGATACGCAATTCCTGGTCTGAATCGAGGCGTGCTCAGCGGAGTGATACGGAGACCGCGCATAGAGCTTAGCCTCGAACAAGCAAGATCGACTAGCACATAGAGAAGGATCAATAAACATCAAAGGAGTCAAAGAAGATATTATAACCCCCAGAAAAAATAGGCTCCTATCTCAGAAAGGCACTATAGCTGAGGCAGCAATCCTGTCTGATCGGAGCTATCCAGACGCGACGTGACGCGCGCGCCGCTTAATTGACCACGTGACCGTGATTTCAGGCATCTCCCCGCGTTCGTCAAAACCTAGGAAATCGGGAGAATAAATCTTGATCGCTTGACTACTAGGAGCTACCGAAATCTATCGCCTATTTATGTCCTAAGACGTATAAAGAGCCTGAGCACTGCCCGAGAGCTGCCTCCGCCACTATCAGCGCATTCCCCCAATGCGGACTGTCTTCTTTGACCTATGGGATTCAATGAGATGGTTAATTTTCATTGTCCTATATTCTTTACGTCGAATACCGAACTCACGTACGGTGAGTAAACTAAAAATTTAGTTAATGGGAAGAATATCTTGATTACTTAAACCCTAAGGTGGGAGGACATCGAGATCTAGCACCTATTTTACGATCCAGGATATGCAGGTGCTTTCCGCCCCTTTACTACTTAACAGGGAATAATATGGAGCGGCCGAATGCCAACCACTATCGAATAATCGTGGCGTACTGCAGCTCATATCGCAATGGGTCAGCTAAATGCTGACACTTTACTCCGTATGCAGGGTGTAGTGGCTTCCTGCAGCTCGTGTTGAGATAAAGCAGTTAGGGGCAGACGTAATGCTACCTACTGTGGATGACTTATAAGACTGAATACATATACATGTAGCAAGTTGGCCAGTAGAGGGCATAACTATACCATAAATTAAGTAAGAAGCCAGCACGCACATGCTTTATGTGTTTCGGTTATCGTTATATCTAGTGTTCTATCATCGCAAATATTCGCTCGACAGTCTCAGCGGAGAACTGCATCAGTAGCCATACATGATATCTCACCGTAGCCTCTTATTCGATCTTCACACATAGTATTGACATGTATGATAAAATGTAGTTTGGAGTCCCCGAACAACCTCGCCTTTCAGATACAGCAGTAATATATATAAGTACTTTCCTCCGCAGATTCCGAACGAGAACGTCACAGTATCGAGGTTTAAACTCTCGGCTATCAGTATATGCCGTGAGGACAGCTTCACGAGTTAGCAGGTCGTCTAAAGGACAGCGGTCATAACACGACCAAGAACCTACCTACCAGTGACTTATTTTTCGCTCAGCAGTCTGTTCTTCGATGCACGAGAGGGGGTCTTTGCTCCATTAAGTGCCGTAATGACGGTAGTACCCTGAAAAGGCAAAGGTAGGAGAGAAGGTGTAGGTGTTGGGACCAGGCCTTCTTCTTGTTAGGACTCACTCTAGGCTGGCCATGAGGAAAATGCATACCGACTAAGTCACACCACCCATTTTCGTAATTAATCAGCTGAGTGACTTCGGCGGAAGAACACAGCGTAGTGGCACAGCTCAAGAGACTCATGTTATAGCCGGTGCTCTTGCAGAGACAAACCGGGTCGACGCTGAGACAGCCAAAAGAAGGAGCTGAGGGTAAGATACTGAGAATGCAGTTCCTCTATAAGAACAATAAGATGGTTAGCATACCCGGTCAAGCTATTCTCTTATCATAATCACATACCGGGCAATCGGGAAGAGTCAATGGGGGGACCAGGTTCTGTGCAGCCACAGCTGCAATGATGGAAAAGGCAGCAATGATCATAGAGGCAATCATTTTTGAAGATTTGGAGAGTGGACGAAATGACCAAATGGAACTTGGGAGGGCACCAAAGGGAGAAGAGTTGAATGAAAAGACGAGAAGATGAGAATGAGGAGAGATGCTGCAGAAGAACAGAGGGACAAGTGAAGCCTGATAAAGCCAGGAAGGCGTTAACTGCATTGTAGGAAGGAACGGGCACGGCAAGTACACTCCACTCTTTCCATTGTGAAGAGGAAAAATACCTCCATTCGACGCACAGAAGTCAGCCTCCCAGAGAGTTGTCGGAAACGTGCTATGGATAATATGTTTACTTATCCCATCTTCCAATTGGCTTTAGAAGTTTGAAGGTAGACCGTATAATTCTGCTCTCCCATCACCATCTTGATAGAACTAGGAGAATGCAATGTAGTAACTTAAAGATTTATCGAATTATGTAAGAGGTATATCCCAGCAAGCCAACGAAGGGATATAACCGCCCGTATTAACATAAGTACTCAACAAATATTCGAGGAAATCGAAGTAGCGCTAAGATGCGTCCTGAGACAACCACAAGCTATGGCAATCTAACCTGTAAGATGACTCAGATAACGTAAATGAACTCGTTGTCTTGATTTGATTCTAGAGCTTCGAATTGTAAGGAACTCTATAATCCTGCGGCTTCATGACCCTCTCTTACTCTAAGACTTACCCGCGCACGGGCTTCCTAGCATAGATACGATGCGCAGATCGTTTCTCGTTTGACGCCAGCTCATGCAGCGTAGGTATATAGTCTACTTGAGGATCAACTCTTCAATGAACCACTAAGTATTTAGCCTGAACATCGCTACTTATGCACAATTTTGGCTTCTTTTTTTATTGAGTAACTTTCTCTCTTTCTTCTCTTATCCGATAATATGCAATGTACAGTATATATCGAGAGAAAATTCTGCATCTTATTATCGTTACCAATTTTCAAATCTTGTGAAAGCTGACTGCATCATCTACTAGTACCACCGGGTTGATTCCGCTGAATCCAAACCAGATGTTGGTAAAATCAGTCAGGTGACCTTAAACGTCCAAGCGCGAGGGCGTGTTGTTTCTTGTGTCTTTCATGCTTCTTTCGTGTATGTGTATTGACCTCTCGGTAGAGACACAAGTCTGCAACAATGCCGGGGCCTAATGCCGGGTTAAAAGTTCAGGATCTCTCCCCCGAGATATTTGGACTAGTGATATCATTCCTGCCAAACCGAGACATCAAGAATCTTCGTCTGTCAAGCAAGATATTGAATGAGAGGGCCCATCTTCGCCTGAGAAGAGTTTTCTTATCTGCCAATCCGCGTAATATCGAAGTTTTCCGCGCAATTGCTGATGATGAAGAATTCCGCCATCATATCGTCGAGGTCATCTGGGACGATGTACAATTAGTGGACCATATTCCTGAACGGGGAGAGGGTATGTGGAATTTGGATCGACCTCTACCTCCAGAAGGTGTCCCCGCCTGGTTCGACCAAGTTTGCTGGTGGAACACCGAGCAGTTTTTAGGAAATCAACGCAGACACCCTGATTTACCAATCGAAGAATCGTGGGCTTACCATCAGCAACTGCTACAGCAACAACAAGATGTGCTGGCCTCTGAGGCGGATGTTGAGGCGTTCAGATATGGCCTACAGCGCTTTCCAGCATTGCGAAGGATTGTTATTACACCTGCAGCCCACGGAATTCTAGATCACCCGCTCTACGAGACTCCAATGATTCGTGCATTCCCACCTGGTTTGAACTACCCAATTCTCCATGCTTACCCACGTTTGGATGATTTTGATTATTCAAATCTTCACATTTGGCCACTTCCGGAAAAGGGCCTTATACCCTATATTGTGCCGCCGTGGAATCAAGAGGGAGAAAGACTTAAATGGCGGGCCTTCTGCCTTCTAACTCGCGAACTCGCAGAAATACGCGATCACGAAATCTTAGAGCTGGTGATCGACCCTCATATACTCGAGACTGGGTTAAATTGCCGTATCTTTGACGGACCTTGCGAAGAATATAATAACCTTGTGACATTACTCCGACGACCAGGATTTGAACGTATTGATCTGGCACTGACTTGCAATGGGCAATATTACAACGATCAAAGGTGGTCATCCTTTCGCAACGGCCACCTCCTATATGCCCTCAGCCAGGCATTAGACCTCAAACATGTCAGCCTGCAGACTCAGATTGATTATAGTCAGGTCGAGGGTGATGGCTTTCCTCAAAGTATGCAGTTTGCTCAGCATTTTGTCCCATTACAAACAATTATGCCTATCAAAAAATGGCAGAAACTGCGCCATTTTGGTCTTTCTGGGTTTCTTGTTCAATCAGATGATTTGATATCTGCTCTTTCTGCGCTGCCAACAACATTACGATCTATCGAACTCAGTTTCTTGTCCTTCACGGGTGAAAGAGGCAACTGGCACGACTTATTTACAGACATGCGCAGCATGCTAGACTGGCGTGAGCGTCCTACAGGCGAAAGACCACTCCTAAAAGTTCATGTCCCAACTGTTGGGATAATGCGGTATTGCTGTTTAGACAGGGCTGCCAACGACTTTTTCTACGGTGAAGGGGCGAATCCATTTGCTGATTACGGCCATCGGCTTGACCCATTTCCCGGGAAAGGCATTGATAGAGACCCATACCCGTTCATATCAACCGATATGGTGGTAGAAACGCTCGACTGAAAATTATCTTCCCTATCCGATAACTGTTACCTGGAGCAGAAACTGTGGCTCTAGCGGCTGTTGCGACTAAGGGCCTACCTACTGCAGCGACGGCCGCCAGTCCAATTGCAATGCTACAGCGGAGTGTGGACAGTATGCAAGCGAGCGTCGCTGGAAAGACCTGCCCCTTAAATGTCTGTTGCTCACAGTACGGCTTTTGCGGTACTACTAGTGAGTTCTGCGGTACTGGTTGCCAGTCAGATTGTACGCAGCCATCGCCTGATGTGCCAGCTAGCAGTGTCCAAAATCGAGTCGTGGGGTATTGGGAGGCTTGGAATAGCAATAGTCCATGTGTACGGATATATTATCTGCTGCTTCTCTTGATCCTCATACTGACACTAAGACTTTGTAGGGTACTATGTCCCCAGGACAGATCCCTGCCACTATACTCACGCATCTGAACGTGGCATTCGGCTCCATCTCAGCCGACTTTGACTTAACCACTATGCCTGATGTATCAGCGGCTATATATCAGAACGTTGGCAATTTGAAGTCCAAGAACCCGGATCTCAATTCGATTATATCGGTCTGCGGTTGGGACTTGACGGATGCTGGACCAACCCAGGAGATTTTTACAAGCATGGTCTCGAGCATAGAAAACCGGGCTACCTTCATTCAAAATGGGATAGCCTGGCTGGGCCAGTATGGGTATGATGGTATCGACTTCGACTGGGAGTACCCGGGCGCAGGCGACCGCGGCAGCCGCCAGGAAGATGGAGTCAACTACGCACTTCTCCTGCAAGAATTGTGTACGGCGATAGATACCTGCGGCAAGGACTACATTGTTACCTTCACAGCGCCGACTTCATACTGGTATCTCCAGAACTTTGACATGACTGGTATGGTTCCCTATGTTGACTGGGTAAATATGATGTCGTACGATCTCCATGTGGTGTGGGATGCCACCGACGTTTACATCGATTCTGAGGTTTTTGCTCATAAAAACCTGACCGAAATCAGTCTCGTACTAGACTTGGGGTGTAATACTCCATTAGAAAAGCTTATCAATATGTTATAACTGATGAATACCACTCACTCTATCAGTTCTGGCGTGCTAATGTCCCTCCTTCTGACATCGTCTTGAGACTGGGTTTCTATGGACGCACGTACGAGCTCACTGATGGCTCGTGCTGGAAGCCAGGGTGCGCATTCATTCACAGGTACGCCTGGAACCTTCTCTTATCGTGGAAAGTAAATCATCAAAGACCGAAACCAGTGATCCTCGTTCTCACAAGGGGCTTCACTTTCTAGAGATTATGTAGATCATAACAAGCACCGGCCCGACGCCGTATGTAAATACGACGGCCGCTGTGAGTTATATGGTATACAACGGCAAAAACTGGGTCTCGCAAGTGCCCTTTCTTTTATAAAGATATCAAACCTAACACTGTCTTAGGTTCGACGACGCTACTACTTTCGCGGCCAAGATCGAGTACGCAAACAAGATAGGCCTTAATGGTTTAATGGTATGGGCCATTGATCTGGACGATACGAACCTCAACGCGCTGGGGGCTATCACGGATAGCTCTGCATTCAACATCTCCAGCGCTGACTTTTCACTCGTACCACTAACCACTTGACTACTTGGTCCCATCGGAATACCCCCCTGGAAACCGACACAACAACAATGGGGTATGACGACGTTTGGGGGTGCTGCAACTCAAGGTTCCATGAATCCCAGCCAGACCGGGCTTGGTTTTGTGCTTATCGCCAAGGACTCCTGTGCCGTATTGACACTAAGGAAGCGAGATGGAGGGCCTGAACCTTTTGTCTTCGTGGATTGCCCTACAGATACTTTAGACGATCCCCAGGACAAGGTTCATACAGTCAGAGTTGTCTGCTCAGTGATAACATTCAATGATGTTTCCGAGTAATGGAGCGAGGCGTCCAAGGAACAATCGTGGAAATTCCGGATATCGTAAGCCAGGAAGAGCTTTGAAGTCTCCTGTTGATTTTTCAGGGGACGGTAACTAACCTGAGACCTTCCACAGTGCGCCAGGAACAGGTTTGTGAGGGCAATATCTCTTGAAGTATCCAGAGGTGAGTCAGAACGTTCAGCGCGTCGCGGTTTTCTTCTAACGAAATATCTTCCATTGCTGTAGATCAACATGTGCCAGAGGACAAAATGGGCAAACGAACTGCTACCTCACGAGTGTATGATTTCTTTATTTGATTTCGATCTTACTCTCGCTAGAAGGGACATAGAAATTACGATAATGCGCATGGACGTCTCGAATGCACCCGGGTAAGTATTGGGACGGCCTGGTTGATTACCCTGATATCCAGAGCCGCGATTTCAGTGACATTAAAAGCCGCTTTTGTGTTTCTGAGACAACCACAAACCATGGCAATCCGACACATTTCTGCGGCTACCTGTAAGATGACTCAGATGACGCAGATGACTCGTTATCTTGATTTGATTCTCGAGCCTCGTGTTGTCAGAAACCTTATAATCCTTTCTCTTAGTCTACTGTCTAAGACTCACCCGCGCACGGGCTTCCTAACACTGATACGATGCGCAGATCTTTTCTCGTTTGACGCCAGCTTATGCAGCTTATTTGAGGATTAACTTCTTAGTTATTCACTGACTAGCCTGAACATCACTAGTTATGCCTAATTTTGGCTTCACAACTACCACTCGATGTGCTCGACATGCCGGTTGAAACGGAAGATGCCTAGTAGTTTGGACCAACCGCCGGAGGATGGGTTGCCTTACCATAACTATATAACTCATGAGAATGACCCCTTCAAGAGAGGCGATTCCGAGTCACACACACTGGTTCATTTACGATTTCTCCACCATTTGCATAATAAACAGCATTTATTTCTGAAAGCAATTAATTTGTTAAAGCCCACAGACAGCATGGAGACTAAAAGGAAAAGACTCCTCGCAACAACCCTCGACCGTCTTGCTGAGAAGACTCCTGACAAACTGTTCGCGGTGATTCCGCAAGGATCAGAGCTGACCAGTGGCTTCCGTGATCTATCGATGAAGGATCTGGCACAAGCAGTGAACCTCATGAGTTGGTGGATTGAGAACACTATTGGGCCGGCACAATCCCGGGAGACGCTGGCTTATATGGGAAGCAACGATGTGCGCTATTTCATTTTCATGCTAGCATGCCAGAAAACTGGGTATCAGGTAAGGCAATTAACAGTTCATCAAGATTGGAGAAAAGCCAACCGTTTGATCGTCTTCTTGTGAAGGCTCTCTTCACTTCTACCAGAAATTCGGATGAAGCCCATCTTCATCTCTTACAAGCAACAAGTTGCAACAAGTTCTTCTTCAGCGAGGAACGAGAAACACGAACATTGGAAATAAAAGGACTTTTGCCTTCCTTGGAAGTCTTCCGGGTTCCGACTTTGAAGGAAATTCTCAGCAATGAGGGTGGACAACGCTCGTATGCGTACACCAAATCTTATGCTGATGCAGAAAACGAGACATTGTGCATCATCCATAGTTCCGGAACCACAGGTAGGTGTATGACGGACATAATGCAATAATGTGCTAATTCTCTTCATGCAGGCATGCCGAAACCAGTTAATCTTACAAACGGTTTCTGGATGTGCATCGATAATCTTGCTCAGCTTGCATGGCCGGCTGGTCGCCAGCCAGCTGCATTCATCACTCTGAGCTCACAAGACCTGCTACTATCCACGACACCTTTCTTCCATGGGATGGGACTACTCTCCTTTGTCTTGTCAATTTGGTTCGGGATCCCTGTCCTGTATGGCCCTGACAAGCCCCTATCGGTGGAACACTTGGTAGGACTTCTACAGACAACCCGTCCCACAGCTGCGGTCTTTCCACCCTCGATCCTGGAAGACCTGAGTCATTCCAGTGATGCATTGAACTGTCTCAAAGGACTTAGGACAGTGAATTTTGGAGGTGCGCCTCTCGCACCAGAGACGGGAGAGCGGCTGCGCCAATATACTCAGATCGTACCTCTTCTTGGTGCTAGTGAGATTGGCGTGGTGCCATCTTTAGTGCCGGAGGACGAAGCCAACTGGGGTTATTTTGAATGGAATGAAGCATACGGGCTGGATATGCAGGATTTTGGCGACGGTCTGTACGAGATGGTCATTCCTCGACAGCAGAATTCCCGCGAGTTTCAAGGTGTCTTCCATATTTACCCCGAAATCAAAGTGTACCGAACCAACGATCTGTATATTCAACATCCGACAAACCCGCGTTTATGGAAATTCTACGGGCGAAAGGATGATGTTATTGTCCTCAGCAACGGCGAGAAATTCAATCCTGTCGGAATGGAGACAATCATCGCAGGACATCCCCTGGTTCGAGGGGCACTGGTAGTCGGCGAGTCCCGATTTCAAGCTGGGCTGCTCGTGGAACCAAAGCAGGGCGTCCCAGAAATGGACGACAATATCTTCATTGAGGAAATCTGGCCGACTGTCCAAGAGGCAAATCAGTCTATTGCTGCCCATGGTCGGATCGTGAAGAGCAATATCAGACTCGCCTCAAAGACCAAACCATTCAAACGAACTCCGAAAGGCACTATTCAGCGTAGAGCTGTTCTTCGAGATTATGAGAAAGAGATTGATGCACTCTATGCTACAGAACTGGAAGATGACTTGGACCATCATGTTCCCGAGACCTTGGACCCAGAAACCATTACAGAGTATATACGCCAGACCGTAATCCGTGTCTTGGGAAAGTCTGAAGTTCTGATCAATCAAGACCTCTATAGTACTGGCCTTGATTCTTTAATGACTATTCAGATCTCTCGAACGCTGCAAAAGGGCATACAGCTTCGTCGGCCGGAAATAAAACCGGGGGCGATCACTGCTCAGACAATTTACGCTAACCCGACAATAGAGCAGTTGGCTTGGGTTCTCGTTAATATCTTAGAGGGAAAAGTTCAGGATGGTATACCGCGGGAAGACAAGATCAAGATGTTAGTCGAAAAGTATACGTCCGATATCCCGGTCAAGGAGGAAGCCCTCCCTGATAATGGATTAGATTTACCCTCAACTGTGATTTTGACTGGTTCGACTGGTTCGCTGGGAACCTATCTGCTCTATACCCTGTTGAACAGCGATTCAGTTTCCAAAATTTACTGTCTCAATCGTTCAGACGCCGAGCTTCGACAGAAGAAAGGCTTTGAAGGAAAGGGCCTGTACGCGGATGCGAGTAACTTGAAGGGTAAAGTAGAGTTCCTTCAAGCCTCATTCGGAGAACCACGATTTGGTCTCAGCGAGGAAAAATACAGGGAGCTCCTTGACTCCGTCGATACTATTATTCACAATGCATGGAAAGTCGACTTCAATCATTCCGTTGATTCCTTCGAAGACACTCACATTCGTGGTGTGCGCCACTTTGTTGATTTTAGTTTGAGCAGTCGCCAGAGAACCCATATTCACTTTGTTTCTTCTATCAGTACAGTGGGCGGTTGGACCCCAGATCTTGGACCGTTGGTTCCAGAACAACCGATGGGCAGCTCGGTGGTTCTCCCACAAGGCTATGCTGAGTCAAAATATATTGCGGAGTGCATCTGTCTGGAGGCATCGCGAAGATCTCGCGTCCCTACGACTATCTACCGCGTAGGACAAATCGCGGGCCCGACTACTGCCAGCGGACAATGGAATCCGCACGAATGGCTGCCAACAATTATTGTGACCTCGAAAGCAATGGGGAAAATCCCTAATCAACTGGGCTCGATGGAGGTTGATTGGGTGCCTGTGGTAAGATTTGTCGTTCATAAGGTATTGTTTGTCAGCTGCAGTCCGTGCTGACCTTGCGACTTACAGGACACGCTCTCCTCAATTATGATGGATATAATCTCCATGCGCCACGTAAATCAGTCAGATACTCCCTGGGCCGTGTTTCATCTGGTGAATCCGGAACGAACACCATGGTCAACACTGATCCCGGCCATCCAGGACAAGTATACTGTCCAGCCGGTCGAGTCTTCAGCGTGGCTTACTGAACTTGAAAGTATCAAAAGCCCAAGCAACATGGATATCGCTGAAAAACCTGCTCTCAAACTGCTGAGTTTCTATCAAGGGCTGCTGGACGAGGGAAGCAAGCTCTCAGTGCCGCTGGATGTCCAGCGAGCCAAAGAAGCAAGTGAAACCATGAGATCGCTGGGGCCAGTCTCCGCGTCATTGATGCGAAACTGGTTGCAGCAGTGGCAGTTTTGACTGGTATATCGAAATGGGATTTGCAGCAGTCAATTTATCTCGTAACAACTTCGGTTAGATACTTGTAGAAACCACTGGTATTTTCGAAATTATTGTCGTCTCATTGCTTATAAGAAAAATCAGCCATACCACGCGTTGATTATCAAGTTTGATAAACGGTAGTTATGTATGCTAGGCAGTTTCAGATACTTACGCAAGCAGTAAGGAACAATATGGAACTTCTCGATCGCTAGTAACAAATAATGTAAAAAGTTCTAGAAATCACTCTTGGGTCTAAATAGACTCCTATAGCTACTAGAGCCAGCAAAGAAAAAAGCAACATATTAATGTATCGATCCAGAGTTATGAAGTGTTTAGTTGATTGGTTAAATGAAAGGTGGCAAACAGATCAAACATAATTACAGCCCAGTATTCACCGCCTTTAACTGTTGGCAGAAAAGGCGGGCGGCGAGGCTGGCTAGACCTGCTTTGGAGCTGGATGTATTCAAGATTCTATCTTATCGAAAAGAAAGAATGGATAAGCAGATTACCTTTCAGTAGGTCTTTTCTGATTTATATCCAATATAAGTGCGGCAGTTTGGCGAGTGGAAACTTCGTCTGACTATTCTCCATTCATATCAGGCACAAAAATCGCCGAATGTCTGATCCGACAACTGCAAGATGGAGGACCTACGGCAGGAGACATTCAAGAAGGCAAGCACCTCCAGTTATAGTAGATATATTAAGATCGCGTCTATGGCTAACTAAGTCTGCAGTTACGGCCGCCGTGCGTTGAACTGAGTTCCGTCGGTCTCAAATTTCGAGCTCACCAAACAACTACGAATGACGTCCTCCACGCCCTTGAAGCCGTGCACAACGTGCTGAACGAACCTCGAACTAAGGACGCCCTTGACGAGAAGTTGGCAGAATATGTATTCTTTCCTCTATCCCACGTCTTTAACGAGACAAAAAGGGTGTCTGCCCGTTGCCTTGAAATTGCTGTGGATTGTTTGCGAATATTGGTCGAGAAGGGGTGGAGGCATCGCCTATCGCCGCAGATGGGCAAACAACTTATTATTCTGATGACTATACTTGTTGGTGGACCTCCAAATCGAAATCAGAATGGTGGGGTCGAGAAGCCTGATTCCGAGGAGCTGGCCGTCGCGGCATTCAGGTGCTTAGGCGCTCTTTTTACAGCGCTGGAGGGGCCCGTGGCGGAGCGGACTATCTTTAATGAAGTCGGAACCGCTACGGTAATTGATCAGACCGCATATATCCTTCTCGAAGGGCTTACGGACGGCGGTTCCAATGATGTTCAGGAAGCGGCTGTAGCAGCCCTTCGAGCGCTCTGTTCTCGCATAACAGATCGAGTGGTGCTAGCCAGCATTATGCCACGGACGATATCTGCACTAACAAAGATAATAAAACCGACGACACAAGCACGCCGCTCATTTCGTTTACTTCAGAGCTCTCTGCACTTATTGACTGAGATCATGAAAGCGGTGCTTCGTGACGATGTTGCAATATCCGACGCAGGAGAGCAGGCCGAGAAGCCCAAATCTGACGACAGAATTGCACTAGATGAGTCATGGCTGAAGGCTACAGCTGGCCAAATAAAAATCGCTCTAGCAAACGTTATACAAATAAGACGCCACGAAAAACCGGAAGTTAAAAGTGCGCTACTAGAGCTCTGTCTCATGATTATTGAGAGATGCCCTCGTTCTCTTCAAGAATCCTTACCTTTGATGGTGGAAACCATTGTCGTTCTGGCTGGAGATGAGACGGACCGTATGGCGAATGATGGGTATGCTGCTCTAAAGCATGTTGCGATCACTTACACATATGTCGTGGATATTCTTAAAGAATCGCTGCATACCTGGATTACAGCATTCCCTAGGACCATGCAAGGGAATGATGAGACAGCCAAGCAAAGAGCTATAAAACAGATCTCCACAACTTTCAACGTTCTCTCTGAGATCAGCTCCAGTTCTAGTATTTTGGATGACAGCATAGCCTCAGGCCTGTGCGACAGTGTTGCCGCAGTTATCAAGGCCAAGGACAGTGGCCCACAGCAATTGAGCTCCACGGGTGATTCCATGGTCAAACTCGAGGTTCTCCGTCAGAAGGCCAAGTCGATATCTTTTCCACCGGTGCTCCTCGAACATCGCAGTCAGCAAAACACCCTAAAAGAATTACGATCCCTAATTGCAGGTCTCAATATCACAGATTCTGCGGGTGCAATTACACGATCAATAATGAACCGAATACATCATGCCTCCGGTGACTCTGTCATAGCCCCTTTTTGGCTCGCTCTGAATTTCCTGAAAAATACGTCCCAAAGCACCATGGGCTTCGAAGATCTCCTATCACTAGATGCCTTCGGATCTACAGCATTATCGTATACTCGTTCTGGTCTTATTGAGGAGTTGTACTATGAAGCTTTACCCATACTTAACGAGGCCCCAATTACGACTTCTAGGGATTGGCGCGTCTCAGCTCTCGCCCTGGAAGCAGTCGCTCTGCAAGCGCAAGAAGTTGGAGAGGCCTTCCGCCCTGAACTTATCGATGCCTTGTACCCGGTTCTTAGGTTCTTGGCTTCGAACAACACGAGTCTTCAGGACCATGCGATGGCATGCCTTAACATCCTTACTACGGCTTGCAATTACCCCGATACAAGCACTATGCTAATTGAAAATGCTGACTACCTTGTCAACTCGATTGCATTGAAACTCAACACATTCGACGTATCGCCTTATCCCCCACAAGTGCTGCTGATGATGGTAAGGCTATCTGGCGCCAATTTGATTCCTTACTTGGATGACCTGGTTGATTCGATCTTTGGAATCCTGGATATGTATCATGGTTATCCAAGACTAGTCGAATTGCTCTTCTCGACTCTGACAGCTATTGTGGAGGAGGGAGTAAAGAAACCAGCTTTGCTGTCCATCACAGCCGGTAAGGAAGGAGAGGCCATTTCTCATAAGAAGCGCCAATACGAGCCTATTACTATCTCTAAGCTAGCGGAGGACTTGGCGACTCGCAGGTCCAAGAGAGCTCGCTATTCAGAGATGGACCTGGATGAAGGCGGACAAAAGGTGTCTCATCCAGCGCGGCCATGGACGGCAGCACTTGATGGTCCTGAGCAACCACGGGAGGATCCGGACTCCTTTCTGGGCTCATCAGAGCCAGACGAATCAGAAGGACCACTACCGCCACCTCGAGAGCCAGAAGACGCTGAGAAGCCATTAAGCAAATCTCACACACTTCTGTTGCATATCGTCAAATCCATACCGCCACATCTTTCTTCCCCATCTCCATCTCTTCGCCGCTCACTTCTTTCCATTCTCACTCAAGCTCTTCCGGTCCTTTCCCTGAATGAAACCAGTTTCTTGCCGCTTATCAACGACCTTTGGCCTTCAGTCTCCGCGAGGATTGCCGCCCCTGCTTCATTGACAGAGACATTGTCTAGGTCTGGAAGAGCAGCTTCTGCCTCTTCAGAAATCGCAAAAGCATCAGACAATGTTAATGGTGATAATGATATCAAAGAGGAGGCATTTGTAATCACCTCTGCATGTGCCGTTGTCGAAACGATGTGTAAGACCGCAGGAGACTTTATGGCAACCCGCGTGGAGAATGAATTTCCGCGCTGGAAGCGACTTTATCATCGCGTGTGGGAAAAGGTACTTCTCGACGCAGAGCGAGCCAAAGAGCGCCGCATTCAGCGTATGCAGCACCTATCCGCTGCTGCACCCAAGTCATCAGATGTCTCTAAAGACTCCCAAGGACAGCTCGACATGGCTCTTAGCCTTGGTTCCTCCTCGAGTGGACCCGATGCCGGAGGGACTCATTCATTTACTCCTTACCATAGTATCTGGAAAGCCCTTGGATCATTATTTATTGCCCTTCTTACACACGTTCGTCTTCCGCTGGCTATCGGCGATGAAATATGTGATTTATTGGGCTGGTGGATTTCGGCTTTTGCAGGGCCAGACTACTATACCAAGTCACGATTACGCAAACAAGCCGAAACAAAGAGTATGGAGCTGGGAAGTGTGGAAAGCGCAATCAAAGCTATGGAAAGCTGGAACGGCGACCTTACCTGGTTTATCTTCCAGCAAGCTAGGGAGCGCAATGCCACAGACACGGAAAGGAACCAGCCAAATCCAACCGTATCGATATCGAGTTCCCCACGTCTACCTGCAACTCTGATGAAATTTGTGCAGAGTGAAAACTTGAGATTCGCAGAGCTAGTCTTCTAGGGGATTTAACAATGCATGATCTACCTAGATTTCGTCATCAACAATGTAAATATAAATGGCAATACGTACAGAAGCATGGAAGTCCATAAATTTGTTATCCCTTCTGTAGCAAGAACAGTACGTGCCTACGCTCACTGTGGATTTCTAATTAATCATGATCTTGTAAGAACTCGGATTGGCTAATCAACGATGGCTCAGGTTGTATGTACAGTCGCTGTAACCAGCATGAAGAATAACAGCCGAAAACACCATGTACCCTTGGACAATATACCTTATGAAACAAGAAAATCAGGCGGAAATAACAGAAGTACTAAACTGACAACCAAGAAACCTTTCCTTCCCAGGGAAACCCATCTCGTTAAAGTGGTATCATAGAATGACTTGTGCAAATAAAAGTTTCTATACATGATCAAAAGACTGATGAAGGCCTCTTTTGACACGAATCTCAAGAGGCGGAGATACTGTTCGTGCGACACCTTCTTCTTCAGGCGACACAACTACCGTGAAATTCACCCCACTATCATTATCCGACGATCCTCCTCTCTCTTTTGCTTCCTCGAGAGATGATGGATTGGCATGCACCGTGCTGGAGAAGTCCTGTTGTCCATCCTGGGATGACGGCCAGCCATGCAATTTCCAGCTCGCTTTGTCGTCTATCGAAGCGCTTGCTCGATTCTGAGATGCTGACATACGCCATGTCCGTAGAGAAGGGGTCAGGAATTTAAGTGAGAGGCTTCTCCCCGTGCTTCCTGACTGTCCGCTTCTGACAAGAGGGCCTAAAGTAGGTAGGCAAGCGGCGACCACACCGACACACATTTCGGTGTATGACCAGATTCCTTCATAGACCGCGCTGTCTGTGGAGCATTATGAATCAGTATTGGGAGTTTTGGAAGACCACAGCATAGCGTGACTTACAGGTCGGATCCGTTGATTTGGACGTGCCGACTGCAACGGCTCGAATGATACCAAAGATTGTAACGCTGAAATGCAAAATTGATCAGTCCGCGATTGACACTATGCGTAAGTAAATTTGGTATCTGAGGGAGACTTACAGTCCTCCCAACATGAAAATAGCGAGCACCTGGACCTTGCGCGTCGTCCGCATGCGCAATTTACACACATAGCGAACAGGAAGAGTCAATATAGCGATATCCGTCAATGTGTTCATGACCCTGAAAAAATAAATGACATCAAAACTTGAGATCTCTCCAGATATTCAGTTGGAGCCAGTGGTTACTCACGCCAGTATCGTAAAAGGAACTTTCGTAGCTATACACTTCCCAGGTTGTCCTGTCCACATACTAGACAGTGGGATACATTCGAAGGCGGCGACGAATATCACGGCCAGATTGTAGGCGACCACAACTGCCCCTATGACCCATGATAGGGTCACCGATTGGAAGAGACGATGATAGTAGAGCAGGATCGAAATCTTGGTCAGCATGACGCCGACGGAATAGCAGACAATGGCCGCGACATATTCCTGTGCACCGTATTAGCTAGATAGGTCTAGCAGACTACTCATGACAGTGTGAACGTACCTGGATGAAGGCTTTGGGGTTTTTGAGGAAGATGATATGTCGTCCTTCGCCATTGGCTATCGATAAAGCCAGCAAGATTGTGTACCCCGTCAGTGGGAACTATATCGAGTGCATTAGCAAAAATACTCTTGTACTAAATGATAATGATAATTATCATCTTGATTCTCTCACCATAGCAGCCACGATCATCCAGTCATCTGCGCCAAATCCCCACTGCTTCCTAGATCGCCGACGAGCAATTACTCTGAGGATGACTGCCGTAAAGGCGACAATAAACCCGATCACATCTGTAGCGATTTCATTTGGCGACAAGTTGTCACTGGCATGCGCCTTGTAATAGGCAATTTCCTCTGGCGTCAGGGACGAGGCCATGGTTGACAGATACAGTGGTTAATTCTGAATGACAGCGGAGAGGGGCAGTCATGGATAGTTTAAAAAAGCGAACATCTTACTTTGCGATCTGCATTGTGGCTGTCTACGACACTTCACCACTTCATCTGATGGACTAGTTGCATATAGATTTGGGGGCCATTTCTCCGGTGCAAGGACTGGGGCAGGGCTGATGGACGGGGAGGAGCAGCTCTAGCTTATTGTCCAAAAAAAGTGGTATTGCGACTTGATGATCTGCATTGTATGTATCTATGTATAGTGCTTACATGTCTCCTTCTGAGAACGTGTGTTAGTGATCTCATTAGCCGGATGGGGTCCAAAAAGAACGACCTGGACGATTGTCTGCTAAGTAAGTACGTACTTACTTTGCCCCGGTTCCCTCACAAAAACACTTCCCCACCCCGGATATCATATCACATCTTCCCTTCAAAGAGCATAACCCCCCCAAAGGTTCATAAGGCCATTGGTCTCTCCTCGTGGCACTTGCCAACCTTGGGAGAAAACTGAGATAGACAATATTATTAGCCTACTTTTCGATTTCTTTTTAAAGACAACACTCCACCGCTTCGAAATATGACAGCTGCTCCGTCCGAAGTCTTGCTAGTGGGGAGTATTCCGCTGTCGTCAGCGGAGGAAGTCTTCACTACAGTTGCCAACAGTCTCCCTGGGCGAGTTCGTTGCATCCCCGATGGCGAAACGGGCGATCGAGGCAACTATATCGGATGGCAGCTCGCTCGTTTTCCAAAGGAGACCATCCAGTATTTCTTGGGCGGCACCGAACCGCCGGCCGACCATCCAGGCTTTACTCTAGAGTCGATTCCACCAACAGAATATGATACGGTAGCATTGAAGTCCTACGAGACTTTTGTCGAACTACGCAAGAAAAATATCATCCCGCCAGGTGTGCGGTTCCTGGTCGCGCTGCCTCCACCGCTGGCCTGCATTCAAGGCCATACCAGAAGTGAATTCCACGCACAGTTAGAGCCTCTCTACGAAAAGCGAATGCTCGATTCGCTGGCGAACATCATCGATAAGATTCCCGCGGAAGACCTGGCGCTGCAGTGGGACGTGTGTTTCGAGGTCACAGCGCTCGAATTCGACCGCGGTAATATCAAGGAGCCCTTCCTCAAAGCCTGGTTCTCCCCTGTCAAGGAAGGCATCCTCGACCGGTTGGAGCGCATCAGCGCTAATATTCCGGCAAATGTTCCATTGGGCTTCCATCTCTGCTACGGAGACCTTAACCATCAGCACTTTGTCGAACCACAGGACACAGGGCTAATCGTTGATCTGGCCAACTCGATCGCTGGCCGTCTTAAGCATCCTGTCGATTGGGTGCACCTCCCAGTCCCCAAGAGTCGGGACGACGAGGCCTATTTCGAACCGCTGAAGGAGCTCAACATCGGCCCCAATGGACGGCTCTACCTGGGCCTCGTGCATCCTCATGACCTGGAGGGAACAAAGCGACGTATCGAAGTCGCCCGTTCCGTGGTCCCACGCGATTTTGGAGTAGCTACAGAGTGTGGCATGGGTCGGACTCCGAAGGAAGACGTCGATAGTATTCTCCAGATTTTGAAAGATGTTACGGTGCCTGTATGATTGGTAGCAAGAAAGGAACAAATAGATCTATCTCATGTACTAAAAGAGGTAACGCATAGCACGGCTCTACTTCTCAGAGTAAATTAAATTATAGAAACAATCCAACCAGCTTTTCATTTCATAATTAGGTGGTAACGATAGGGTAATAAAAAATGATGCGATGGTTACCGGAATCAGTCAATTGTTATCACGCCCAATTATCATCAACATGTCTCACACATGCATGCAGCTGACAAAGGACTAAAAGATGACTTAGTATGATATCACTAAGGCGGAACTTTTCACCCTGTGTCGGATAGTTAACTGAATTATAAATGGATTTAATACTCCGTAGGAAATTCTTCAGTGAGTGCCAACGATCAACATGTTGCACAATTCTTCCAGCCACTCGATGTACTTAGATCATACGATCGCGTGGTTGGGACGGCAATTCAAAATCCTCCATTCCGCGGCGGGATCATTAAGGTGTAGAAGAACCTACCTAGACTCGATGCAAGGTCATACTAGAAACTTTACGCTAAGTAAAGAACAATATCTTCCCAATGTGGACAAATCCGAAGTCTATCTAGGTACTGCGTGGCCCGGTTCGAAGCGGGTCAGACGGAGTCTACCTATATTGCGCACAAACATTGGCACGCGCAGAGGGCGGCAGTAAGTATCTCGGCGTCAGGCCTTCCTGCAGAACTCATGTATTATCATTGGACTGTTTCGGGGTCCTAGGACGACGTTGTGTTACTATCAGGGCAGTGCCCCTACTGGAGGACAGATATGAATGAATAGGGTTCCAAAACTGATATCTGAGGGGCTGGTCTAATATCTGAGGGGCTGATCAAATTTTCAGGTCGATGTAACAGTTCTATTCGACTGTTTGGCGTGATAGGAATAAGCAGATCGACCGCGTGGGGGCGGGAATTGCACATTGTACTCAAGAGTCAAGAGCCAAAGATCAAACTAGAGCGCACTAAGATGACTTATGGCTCGTGGCGTTCAGGGATCTGCGGTTCCAGCCGAGAAATGTTGTATGTTGGCACACTAACATATAAGGTTATATACTCTAATTACTTTGATTCACGGACCCTATCTTCCAGCCACCGTCTTGACGGTCTGTCGTAATTAGTTACTTGAACCAAGTAATTAGATACATGTTACCGTCTCCACTGGAAAAAGCCAACCGGTATTTCTCAGCTAGATCGACGGATTAGATACAATGGCTTCTTTACCCCTCCCAGACTACTTCCATAATGGCCAATGCTGATCCCTCCGGTGTCCAGCACTTCAATTGTCCATACCTGGGGTCCGCTTCGCGAAACAGCTGTTGCCACTCTTCCTCGTCCCGTAATCGTGATTTGTTAATGGCCAACATCATCAAGTCCATGTATCTGGAGATCAACCGTCGTCAGCTTCCTCTTTTTTATAAGATCTATTATCAGTATGACCCTACCGGATGTATCGCTCCGTTGCCAGCGGCAATGACCCTGATTCAGGACACAAGCTTTCGTTAATAATAACACGTGCTCCTTTTCGGAGACTAGGCACCAGCTGGCGCAAAATCTTGAGGACGTAGTGATCTGGCCAGTCGTGCAGCACCCAGCGGAGCAGGTATGCATCGGCGACAACTGTTTGCGGCGTGAAGAAATCATGTGCTTTGAACAGGACTGGACGATGTTGTCGCAGCTCTTGGTTGTCCATGGCTCTTGCTGATTCTGCTTCTGTGACAACATGTGGGAGATCCTCGACGATAACCTGAATGTCAGGCACTGCCTGCGCAATTAACTGTGCGACATGGCCAGTTGAACCCCCCATGTCAACTACGACGGCATCTTTCCCAAGTTGATGCCACGGATAGCCCTGCACTAGGAGATTCGGTGAATATGCCGGAATCGGACCTGTATAGAATTTCATCGCCTCGGAGAATTGCTTCGCTGCGGCTGGCCGCGAGCGAAGATAGCTAAATAGATCCTCGTTGGTATTGTGGGAGAGGCAGAAACCCTGTCAATTAATCAGAAAACGAAGAAGATAAAAGAGTGAGGATAGTTTCCCTGACGCACCGTTTCGTTTGGCTCATGCCCCTGGAATTGGGTCATGGCGTCCACCGTCTGAGATTGACTGTCAGCAACAGCATGATCTAAATTTCACGACGAACTCACTCTGGCAAACGAGCCATAAAATTCATCGAACTGCCCAACACCAGCCTGCACAATTGGGTCTTCTGCGATCTTGCGCGACCCGGCAGAATGGGTGACATATCCTTTCCGGGGCTCCTGAAACAGTCGATGAAAAACGATAGCGAAGCGGATGACCTGCTTCAGATCATCGACATGTATACCGGCTGCGCTGGCGAGATCGGGATAGGAAATCTCGCTTCCGTCAATGGGGACATGGGTGGCAATATTGTAGCGTGAAATCGCCTGCAGGGCGCTGCCATTGTACTAACCAGGCATTAGCAAGTTATTAAATTGACATTCATTTCAATCACTAAGAACCTACCAAAGGAAGCATACATGTCAGTGGCCCTTGCAGTCGATCGAGCAGCTCCAGGCATGCATTGATAGCTGAGTTTTTGGCTTGGAATGCTTCAGCAGACTTGAGGGCCAGTTGAGGAGGAGCATTGGCATCAAACGACGGCTCTGCTATCCCGTTATCCTTCAGATATCGATCTAGAGTAGCTGTGGAGGAGGATATCGCTGAAGCCAGTTTCAAGAGTTCGGAATTGGACTCCATGATGTGACTGACTGAGGATGACGCTTCGGTTCTCTTCGGTGGTATGTTATTAAGATTCGAATTTAATTAACCATTAATAGATAACGAAGGGGAATATTTCGAAATACTTTTAGCTGCAGATAGTTGAAGAAACCCCATCAAGTAGCTTACGACGCTGATCACTGTTAATGGTTCTCGCGAATCTCGCACGCGTGCAACTGTCACAGATCGTCTCGTGCGTACCTAGCATCAAGACCAATGTGCTATTTTTACCGGTAAATAAAAAGATCTAGTATACTCAAACCCCATGCTTGTTTCTGCAGCATTAGTGTCTAACTTTCTGTTTGGCCCCCAACTTCCGGTGCTGCAGGCGCTTCATCCCGTCCTAAGTCTGCCTCCAGGGATCTGCAGCGGTCCGTCGAATACTTGGACCTTTCAACGGCATTATTATTAGTTAGGTCATACAACGGCTCTTAAAACAATGCATATCAGCTTAAGAACTAGCAGAACCCCAATACCCCCATGAATCCATGTCATCACGCTGGGAAAGTCGATATGCTCTCCACACTCCCGTCCCGCTGCGGAACATTTCTGGCCCCCATGACCTTCCTATTGTGTGTCAATGCATGACTCTATCTAATTATTAACTTGTATTCAGCTGTATACTTAAATCTCTCTCACCGTAGTCGTTGGCCTCCCATCCTCGATAGCAAAGACCTAGCAATCCTTCTCCTCCTCCAAAGCAGACACCAGAAAGCGTGCTCAATATCAGATCTATCCATTCGAACACTACCAGCTCTCTCTGTGCATCCATATTCCACAATGCAGTCCGTCAAGGTTATCACTTTCTTCCTCCTTGGCCTCGTTGGCTTTTCCATGGCCAGCCCAATTGCTGCCCCCAACGACGAACACTCCGGTAGGTGGTCTCCAATTGAATAGATTGCCAGAAACATCGAACAATAAACTCTTCTAACGTTGCTTAATCTGCAGTTCCTCGCGTCAACTCAGCTGACGAGGTCGATCTCAAGAACATTGGCGACACTTACTGAACGAGTCATCGGGGAAGCAAGACTATAAGGGATGGGTGCGAATCTGCTAGACGAATAAGTGATATGCATGGAGATTTGGTCTTTTTGACCCAAGGGCGTTTTAAGAGGATACCATAATTGATCTTATATCTAAATAAAATACAAATACAAATACAACTAGACTTTATTTCAGTGCAATTTTCTCAAAAGGAAGACTCAGTAAAGCCGTGTTATCTGCTTGCTTGACTTGTTTGGCCAATATAGTGGCGGTTTTCATCCTGACCTAGATGGGGGTGTGAGTACTAAGTTAAAGTACTTAGTCCCTCCGCTGTCCAGCTCATACTTAGTTTCTCTCCACACCCCAACCACAACAATGATGGATTCGCTGTTCGGTCAACGTTACTCTAAGCTCTCAGTAGAGCCTAGTGAGGAGGGAAAAATTGATAATAATCGGAATGCTAAGAGCATACCATATACTGTCTTTTTCTATGCTTTAGCAGGTGCTGCTCTGTGGGTTTGCGGGCTGGTAATGGGCGTTGTCATCGCGAGGCATTTCCTACCCTCGACAAATTGTTCTAGCACATCTGATCTGCCAGGAACCATTCCAAAGAGTATGTATAGTCCATTTGTCTTTTTCCGCGACCCTTCTCCCTCCCTCTCTTTTTTTTTAAGAATGTGAATAACAGTGGCAGTCCCTCTCTCCGACTGGACAAAGCAGCATGTCCATCACGATACCGCCTTTGAAGCTGCTCCCCCGCCTAGCGAGCCTGACACTGTCTGGAATGCCATCATACCGAGTAAGTCTTTTTTCGTCCTTGTTTACTTGTAAAGCGTCACTCACTATCTGCAGATGGACTAGGATATATCAAGCACCCCGAATTGGCTCCGGAATTGTCTGTGATTGGTGTCATTCACCAGCTCCATTGCTTGGTACGTAACCTGCGGTTTCTACTGGTAGTATTCTTGATATTCTAATTTGTCTTCCTCTTCTACAGTATCTAGTCCGTCGAGCATATTACTCCACTGCGTCCGATAACGAGGACTTTGACTTCAACATCGACCGAGCTCCTCACGTGGCCCACTGCTTCGATTACTTGCGCCAGAGTCTCATGTGCGCTGCAGACGCCAACCTGGAGCCAGCTACTCAGATGATAAACAATAATCCGAACTGGGGTTTTGACCGACAGTGCCGCAGTTACGAGGAAGTCAAAGCATGGGCTGAACAATGGAGGGTCTTCGACGCGCATGGCTTTATTCCCCACGAACTACTACCTGCGCACAACCACAGCGATGCACGGTCGAGAATGTAAGCAGTGATATGAATATATCGGTAGAAGATCTTTTTTATGTCATTATCGTCAACTAAGAGAATATCTTTCAAAGTAAATAGCCATTTTAAGGTAAATCGATAACGCCGTCATTTCCATCGTCGCAGAATCCGAAATGCTCGCCCAGTGGAATTGCTTCCACGCTATCCCGGTAACATGCTGTATTCTGCGTCGCAAAGCTGCGCAGCTGATCCCAGTCCTTGCACTTATGGACTTGACCGTCGCCGGCAGTAAAGTCCCCGAATGTGTACAGCGGGGTATTATCGGCGTTGCATTGAACATACTAGAACACGATCAGTTACAAGTGGTCTCCCACATTGTGATACAACGGCATACCTGACGCAGCGCATCAAAGCAGTGGTTCATATGAGCGCCCGGTTTGTGCGTAAAAGGTCTCTGTTCGACCGCTTCCCAGAAAGTTCTGCGGACGATCCGCTAAATGATTCCATCAGTCAGTTTGTGTCTCCATTCACGCCACAAATGTCTCATAAGGATTCGCTTACAAGGCAATGGAGGTAATGATACGCCTCCAGCAAGTATACTCCCTTGCTCTTATCCGATGGAAGGTACATGCTTTCGGGCCACTGGTTCTCCTTTGCCCAGGTGCGATCCATGGCGACGAAGCCGTGAGAAGGAAGAATGGCGTCCCAGAGCTCATCTGCCTCGGAGGCATTCGTACTGCTGTATTCCGTGTTCCACCAGAAGGGCCTCCAAATGGTGTCTAATGTATCGACTTTTGCTGTTTCCCTTTCCAATTAGAGCTTTTGGACATTAAATGAGGGGAAACTAATGGACAACCCCCCCCCCTCCCCCCTCTCCTTCCTTTGTATCAATAACTCACCATAATTCGTGGGCACTGCTTCAGGGTGCGACTCTTCCTTTTCTGAAAAGCCTCTATTCGTATAAAAGGCGGCCAGCATGAGCAAATTCGATAAGAGCAGACCGCAGATGAGAAGTTTCCATTTCAGAGGGAGATTCTTTTGCTCTAGGGAGGTAGATTTCAGATTACCAGACTCGTCATCTGATTCACCTGTAGACAGGATTTTGTATTCTGGAGCCATCTTCAGAGATATTAAAATCGACATCTATCTGAAGCACAACACTGAGCTTAGAGGAAGATAGGAAAGAATAACAGAATCAGCAACCTAAGTTACGCTACTAGGAACCTTTAATCGGCTGATATTGTTACGGTAACTAGATTACAGCACACATGAGTCTAGCAATAATGACAGGAGACTAAGGTCTTGTGTCAACTGCTGACTCTCTGTGGCTGGGGATCTGCTCAATCCCACGACGCTACCGATGCATGGGGCCAAAAGCTTGCATGGGGGCCAGATGTTAACGTGCTGTCGGACTTAGGACCGTTTTGGCAGTAGGCCTACTTGGCTGCAGAATCTCCAAAATCCACAGATAATTGCTGATCTGACGTCGTATCTATTTTCCGCAAATGGTGGTCCAGGTTTCTGTTTCGTGGTCGTCGTTGGGTTTCTGTCCGAGTGGCGAGTTTCAGAAACGCTGCAGTCTCCAACTACAAAGTACATATTTGCAGGCAATCATTCAGGGATTGTACGATTGATATGTTCTTCCAATGGACGAGTCTGCGAAATGCGGCTTTCTTTCTGGCGACAGGCTTCCCACTATCTCAGCGTCCCCGGGTCTGACGGACGATCCTGAAGATGCGAATCCACCTTCGAAAGCAGCAGTGAGAAAACAGGATCGTTTATGGTGGATATTTCTCTCGATCACTGCCGGTGTCTTCTTCCTCTCTGTCGTTGCTTTTATTCTGTCTTTTTCCCCGTCGTCATCTGTGCCGTCGAGACTATGCAAGAATCCCACTGTCCGGCGGGAATGGAGGACGCTGGACCGAAGTGAAAAGTTGGCGTATATAGAAGCAGCCCGCTGTTTGACTGAATCGCCATCCACGAGGCGATCAGAGACTACAATCCATGACGACTTTGTGTTCCTCCATAGTCGTATCGGAAACTACTGTGTGTGAAGGTCCTGCCTTACTGCGCTCGTCGCAGTTTGATGAGAATTCGACGACTAACCGACTATATAGCTCACAATGCCGCGCCTTTTCTCCCGTGGCATCGATATTTCATTCATCTGTATGAGCAAGCGCTGCACAAGCACTGCAACTATAGTGGAGTTCTACCGTGCGTGTTCACCTGGCACCCCGTTTCTACTAATGACTGACAATCTGCGTTCCACACTTAACAGGTATTGGAACTGGTCTTTAGATTGGGAGGATCTAAGCAAGTCCCCGGTCTGGGACAATGAGACTGGATTTGGAGGAAGCGGATCTGGTGCTGAAAGCGTTGCTAACGGCCGCTGTGTTCTCGACGGACCCTTTGCAGGAGCTCAGGCCGCCTACTATGAGGGGAATTATCACCCTCACTGTCTTTCTAGAGGCTTCCTCGCCGATGAAGTGATCCGAAGGGTCGGAAGACTGACCGTCCAGCCGGCGATACTGAACCGAGTATTCGAAGAGCAGGATTATTATGACTTTCTACTCAAGGTGGAACAGGCCTCTCACCTAACGATCCCCTATATTGTCCAGGGTGATTTCTCCAAGGTCACCGCGCCAAATGGTATGTTATCTTATGGATCCCGTCCTCATTCTTTTCCATCTGTAATAGTCCATACTAATGGTCACCACAGACCCCGTCTTCTTCCTTCATCATGGCCAGGTTGATCGCGTATGGTGGATCTGGCAACAGCGTCACCATCGCGATGGAAACCCCTTAGGGGGTTACGATGGGATTTCACGAAATAACTCTACTGTTTCCGCGCACATAACAGATATGCTCGATTTCGACGGCTTCGCATCTGATGTCAGTGTCGATGATGTGATGGATACGCAGACAGGGATCTTGTGTTATCAATATGATGAATTACTATGACTAGCTTACATGAAGATAAAAAAAAAATAACTATATAATCCCAAGTCCCAAAGCTCTTTACTATCCAAATTATCTATCAGACATTCTATTATCTTATTATCAACATGTCTCACACACACATGCAGCTGATCAGCGGTTTTTGATGATTATGGTCCAGCAGAGCTTAACTGTATTCTAGATACCCTGTATTACTCAGTAATCTTGTCCTATTGAACCGCAGTTATCCTATCTGTGGGTGAGAAGATGTTTTTTGCTAGTGCTACCAATTTGGACTGTCCTATATAGTTGCGCGCTAACTAACTTACCATATTCGGTTCGACCGCATCGCTCAAAAAGCAGACAATCCACATAAACTCCGTGCCGACCAAACTCTAGTCTATCCCATACACTACGGAGAAGTGTCTCAAAAATAATTGCGGAGCACTAGTAAGATTGACTGTTTTTCTCATACACGCCCTATACTAATCCTTTCCTTCATAGGGATAGATAATAAGACTGGAAGAATATAGTGGAATAAGGCATTGGAGGATCTTCCCCAGGAAAGAAAATCCAGGCTTAGATAGAACGTATCTTAGATCATATTAAAGCTGTTATTCGCTGCGGAGGAAATGAATATATAGAAGGTCGGGAGGGTTCCAAATAGAGCTAGAAAGGCCATAGAATTAAAGGCCAGCTTAGCATGAAGGAAGCGGGAGAAAGCTTGCTTGATTGAATCTAGGTATAGGTATATGGGCTCGCCTAGGTCACGTGACACTAGTGAACAGGACGCCCAACAGGAGCCACCGGACTCCGGAGGGGGTGTCCAAGTTCCAACAAAAAACAGTTGTTAGATCCAGCTAGGACCAGACCTCTTAAGGAGTTCTCCAGGCTCCTTTTTGGTCTAGTCGTCTAGTCGACTTCCGTCAACAGTCAATCTTACTAGTGCTCCGCAATTATTATTTTTGAGACACTTCTCCGTAATTTGTCAAGGCTCGAGCCTCGAGTTAAGTACTCCAGCCAATAATCCACTTCTCCACATCGTTCTCTTATCTTATCCTCGCTGCGATGACGCTAAGAAGGTCTCGACGGGGCGAGGAGCCAGAGTATGGTCTCTATGAAAAGCCCAAAAGACGGAGACAGAGACAGAATATACAGTCTGAACAACAACCTCACCAGGAACCCGAACAGCAGTCCAAGAAGCAGCCCGAGAAGCAGCCTGAACAGGAGCGCAACCGGGAACACCTTCGGCGCGAGCAGGTGCAGTCTTACAGAGAACCTTCGACAATGTCGAACTTGTCTGGGTTCTCCGTTACCCTGGCTGAAGATTGGGAAACTTTGAAGCGCAATGCAATAGATCGTGTGCAAAGATATATTCTCGGAGACCGCAGTCGGGATAAGCTGCTAGTACCTGGATTATTGGCCTCCCTTGAGTTCCTTCCAGAGTTAGGAGCAATAAACCTTACGCGGGATATCTTAAGTATGGATAATGACGCGAGACTGCACGATTATTTCGATTATATATACCAATCACTATTCATCCCAAGTTAGTTTGACCTCTTCTATTAATTTAAATTTACTTTTAACCATTGTATATAGTGAGAACTAATCTAAAAAAATCAATTATTCCTCAATCCCCTATCCCGCTGCATCAAGAACAAGCGGAGAAAGTTACCTCGTATCTATCTTCTCCCGCTAGACGAGAACAAGAAATATATGAGAATACATTGAAGAGAGATGGTAGACGATGTATTATCACCAGGTATCTGCTTGCAAGTGATTTCAGGAATACCGGTGCCGAAGTACCTCCTGGAGAAGGCACGGTGGCGAAGCTAGAAGTGGCACATATCATCCCCTTCCTTTATGGGTCCTACAAAAATCAAGAGGTATGTATCTATTTTTATTTTTGCATTATTTTACTAATATCCTATAGCCTTCGGACAGGAACGCAATGCAGCGTTGGAACTGCTTGTATAACTGCTTCCCAGGACTTAACAAAAAGATTCATACGGACAATATAAATGACCCGTCGAATACTATAACGTTAGCAGCCTTCATTTATGACGAGTTCGGAGACTTCCGCATTGCACTAAGACCTACGGTATGCATAGACTGAAGTCTCATTTATTCACCTGCAAATATAGATCCTAATTTGTCTCCTCGTTCCAGGGCAACCAAGATGAATATGAAGTGAAGGTATATCCTCTCTTCACTGATCTTTTCTTGCCGGCATTGCCGCAGAATCGAATCTTACAGCTTCGCGCCAGTCCTGGGTATGAGCATATTAAGCTGCCAGATCCGGACTTCTTGGATGTGCACTACAGACTTGCAGAGATATTCCATGCCAGCGGTATAGGATATGAAATCGATAGATATATCCAGGATTTTGAAGATCTTGCTTGCTTCGCAGAGGATGGATCCACAAATGTGAACCAGCTCCTCACCGTCCGACTTGCTGCTACTGTCTCCTCCTGAGAATATCTCCTTGGTTTTCCCACCGACCTCACTGTCTGTAGGGCTTAGATCGGGGATGTAATTGGGGAAGAGGGATCGGATCATGTTATTTTGGCGGTGTGTGGGTTTTAGAGAGTATTTTCATGATACTGGGGAGGGCGTTCACGAGATCCGGAAGGAGAATAATAGGAGACTGGATTTGACTGAATGTTTATGGACTTGTATGAGCTTAATAATATCTATCTGGTAAATCATTTGCGCAAAGGTAATAGTAGCGACTCATTTCTTGACTGATAATGATGCGGAGTTTGTTTGATGTTTATTGCAATTTTATACTGTACACTTCGCCAAATGTACGCAATCGGCATGCGTGCTTCAGACCCAGTATTACGTTTGCTGTTGACCGGACATCCTCATACTCTTCCAGTCTGGCGTGACTAAACCATCGCATTTATCATCATCGCTATAACAGCGACTAGTGATAACTATTCACTCTCTGTTGATTTGTAATAAACCAGCTCTGTCCGACGCGGGGTTCAAGATGCTGCAATACAACCCCGCAATGATGACGATTCGTCCCTCACCTGGCTGTAAGCCAAGGATACATAAGTAGAGGTGCACGCATCTCCTGTAAGTTGCATTGGAGCTTTCATCTTATCCTTTAATTCTCTGTCAATTGTAACTTTGAAAATGGCTGACAAACTGTATATTTCTGAGACTCCCAAGGAGGTCAAGGAGGCCAAGGGACTGCACCTTATCACGCAGAGCACACCCAATGGCCAGGCGACACAGATTATCTTAGAAGAATTGGCAGATGTCTACGGAACTGAATGGACTACGACTCTGATCAATATCTCGACGAACGAGCAGAAGAAGGAGTGGTTTCTCCGTCTGAACCCAAACGGACGTATTCCCACTCTGGTGGACAACACGCGATCGCCGCCTTTCCCTGTGATCGAGACATCGGCTCAATTGTTGTATCTAATCGACACGTACGATAAGAGACACGAATTCGGTTTCAGCGACGAGCTGGAGCGCAACGAGGCGATCCAATGGCTGTTTTTCTGGCATGGAGGCGGTGCGCCGTATCAGGGCCAAGTAAACCATTTCACCAAGGTTGCACCCGAAAAGATCCCTTGTATGTGTCCAATCTAGATCTACTCTTCCCTTCATCGTGTGGGTATCAACCTAACTCTATGGTTTTCTAGATGCAATCACGAGATTCAGAAACGAAACCCTTCGCGTGTTCGGCGTCCTCGAGATCCAACTCTCCGGCAAATTTACCGGTCAGCCAAGAGAGTATCTGGCTGGAAAAGGAAAGGGCAAATACAGCGTGGCTGACATCAAGACGTGGCCGTGGGTTAAGAACTGGGAGCGTAGCGGCTTCACCAAGGAAGAAGTGTCGCAGTTCCCGCATCTCCTGCAGTGGATTGACCGGATTGCCGCGCGACCAGCAGTCCAGCGCGGTATTGGAAGTAAATATTGCCAGCAATGACTCATTTCCCGGATTTAGATATGATATGGGTCAGTCGATTGATGGGTGGCCTTGGCCTTTCTTCTTGCGATCATTGTCGCGGCAACTGTCAACGATTCACTGTGTGTTCTGTTCTAGGAGGCATTCTTTAGCCACATGGAGGGAAAAAAAAATCAAATATACCGTTGATCAGCATCGCAGCTCCTCAGTAACAGTGCGTCCGGGGGTGATCTTGGGGTCTGCAGTTGGAGGTGCATCGACATTTATCGGTATGGGACTTGTATACGAGATCATCACAAGGGAGCAACACATTCCAATCATAGGAAGCCATAGGTTGATCTCGGTGTTGTTTGAATAAACCCAAAATACTTCAGAAATATAATAGAATCTCCGCGGCATCCAGTCTCGACTCGGGATTATCAATGTCGCAGTGAACCCCGCATCAAGAAATCAAAAGTGGGGAGATCTGCCCAGATGTATTTAAGTATCGCAGATAATAAAATGAGCGAACATCGCTCTGGCCCAGCTTTGTGACCCCGTTAGCCGGTTATACACTTTTAGCTCTAGCGCGATGATTATAACCCCGTATTAACTATTAGCTCGAATTATTAGTCAATCCAAAGACTAAGAATTTAGAGTACGGCTTTCTCCCCGATAGAATGGGGTGATGGATCAGAGCGACAACTCCGACATTCAACAAGCAAGGACTCCTTTGTTCGATGGCGAGTAACTCTTCCCCGAATTGCATTCCTGGCAGTCCGCGTCCATATCGATCTAAACGACGTCGCCCATGTGATCGCTGTCGCCATCGCAAGCTGGGCTGCCGGATCGATCATGAACCCCCGTGCGAACGTTGCAAAGCAGCACGGGTGGACTGCACTTTCGTCCTGGCCGTTGAACCTCGATCCAATAAAGTGAAGAGGCAGGATCTCGACTTGGGGAGAGAGATGCTCAATTGGGATGCTATAGCGGCATCTGAAGGCTTCCCAGACAGCTCGCTGGATCGGTATGGCGACTTTACGCCGAAAACATCAGCAGGCGAAGATGCCATGGAAGATGTGCTATCGCCACAGGTCTACCATGAAGAAGATCCCACAACAGAGGATAAACCTATTAATGGCATTCATAGCGTAGATATCGGGGGTGCCCCGGATCTATCTCCTGCATCCTCGATCAATCAGAACTCGTCGCCGCAGGGTGTCGGTTCCGAGACTTATCAGAGAGAGGATCATGCATCAACAAATCATTCGCTTGATGAAATGCAAGACTTCACTGCGAAGTTGTTCGGAATATCTGCAGAGTCAGATCCATGGCTGCTACGACACTGTCGATTTGATGAGCACGGCCTTCGCAGATTCTACAAGGTGCATTTTCGGAATGTAGCTGATATCAGCGAACCAGAGCAGGTCCCTGTTCATTTCATGATTGCTTCAAATGACCTTGTAGAGGGATTTAAGAGTGACACCGCACCATCTTCTTCAGAAAACGATCTGAGGACTGAACTGGAAAATCTCATTCCTACGGAAGATGGTCGCAGATTGTTCAAACTGTATGTGAACCGATTGTTAATGCAGTTCCTGATCAGTTTTTCGTTTACTAAAACTTGTTAGGTTCTTAACACATGTATTTCCATTGTTTCCTGTCGTGTCACGCTCACAGCTACGAGTCATGGCGCCGTCTTTACTGCCAGATGTTTCAGAGCTTCAAAAGATCCCCACGCATTTGCTGGCAGCTGTTTATGCTTCTGCTATACCATTTGTGCCATACGACAGTTACTTGTGTGTTTCAAATGTCTACAGGAAGCCGCCAGCGGACCAGATATGGAGAATTGCCTATCGCGACATCCAGATACACATGCACAATCCGCGGCTTTCGGTACTTCAGGCAGCACTTCTCTATCAGCACAAACCTCGATCAGGATCCACAAGTGCTGTTGCAGATACCCCTTTCCATTCATCCTTCATGGGGAGTGTCGTTGGCCTTGCAACTTCTCTAGGATTACATCTAGACTGTCAGGCCTGGCGTATTCCATGGTGGGAGAAACGTTTGCGCAGGAGATTATGGTGGATAACGTTTTCGGAAGATAAATGGCGCAGCCTTTCCTCTGGCCGTCCCTCGTTTATCAATAGAGACGACTGGCAAGTGTCGGAGCTCACAGATGACGACTTCGAAATGGATACCGTGCCATCAAATCTCGACACCATTCTTAATGTATCTAGCAACGAGGTACAGCAAGCGCTTCCCTTCCGTCTTATTTGCAGTCTGGCACAGATCGCGGAAGATGTCTATAAAGCTTTCTAGTGAGTTCACTTCATTCGAAAGGATTTCCTACTTCCATTGCTACAATGTGACGCTAACTTGAATACAGTACTGTGCGCACTATTGGAGAATTATCTACGAATATCCGTGGCTCATTAGAGACAGTCCGCCCTCTCCGTGGACAACTGAGCCGCTGGTATGCGTCTCTTCCAGAGTCACTACGGTTACGCAAGATATTTGAGTCTGAGCCTTCAATTGAAGAGGTAGGACTAACAGCCCCCGTGCACTTCGCCTATTTGACCCTAGAGTTATATCTCTACCGTGCCGTGCTACGTCCGCTGGCGAGGAGCGGACCAACAGGCCCTCAATGCGTTGCGTTGGACAATTCAGCAACGCAAGACGATTTCGCTATAGACCCAGACATTCGTGCTGGTGCAGAGGCAGTCATTGATGCAGCCGAGAGGTGCGCTGAAGTAGTGATTGAATTCGTTACGAATCTTAACTCGTCTGATTTCTGCGGGTTCTGGTATTCGTGTAAGCATCCACTTGCATGCCTTTAATATATGTAAGACAGCAACTAACAATGTTCAGGGTCACGAGTTGGCTTTGCAGTCATGTCGAATTTCGTCGTGCTACTGCTCATCCAGGCTCCGACAGAAGCCCGCGCAGCCAAGGCTCGCAGGCTTGTGGACAGATGGAGAAAGGTCTTACGCCTACAGAGCCGGTATCATGAACAGATGAACTTGGGTATGCTGCGGCTGGACGCAATGCACTGGATCGGACTCGACGAGACTTTTAAACTCTCTTCTCGTGTTGATAACGCCATACACGCCAATCTCGTCGAATAGAAAGAGAGCAGACCATCTCGTCTTACACGGTCTTCCTTTTCACAACTTGCCAAACCAACAACCTCTGCGGCTTATGAACCAGAACTTCAGGCTCATGTCCAGTTCCATGGAGGCCGAAGAAAAGTTTCATGTGACACTTCACGCTGTACTGTTGCCAATGACTGGAACCATGCATTCCAGCATATTCCTATTTCCCCAGGAGTACTCCAAGAGTCTGCTGCAACGACATGTCGCCACAAAACCTCCATATTTGCAATATGAGATATGTCCTCAGCCAATTTTCAATCACCATCCTGACATTTGGCTAAATCACTAGACACTCATTTCCATATACCCCATCCGTTATTCCTCGCCACATCAAATCATAACGCCGATCACAACTGAAAGCTAAAGTATTCCAAAACATTTTGAACCGCTGTGAAGAAAAAGAAACTTGCACTTCTACAAGGAACAAGAACAACAAAACAAGAATGCCATCCTCAAAATACGATCCTCGACAATCCATATCTCCGGACTCAGATCCGTTCATCATATATCTATGTCCACGCTGACATGTTAGAAGATTTGCATCATGATGCGCTCGGGAGGCGTTCTTTTGACGTCAGGGGATGTTTCCAAAGTTTAATGCTGATATAAGAGGGTGAACCGGATCACTGGAACCCCTCTAGAGACAGTATAGAGATCTCTCTAGTTCTTAAACTATTTAATCTGTCTGCTTTTCGCACGAGAGATAAACAGACACGAGAGATAAACAGATAAACCGCACCGTCCTCAAAAAAGCAGGAGCGACAGCGAGGCCCGTGTAATTCTCCAACCACCACTTTTGTTCTTCTCCTTCGTTTACTCGAGATAAAGATCTACGATCCTGTTCCAACAAAGAAGCAAAAACCACCATGTCTGAATCCTCCAAGTCCCGCCTCGGTGACTACAACATTCCCCGCGAAGAAGTCTCCGATGTCCTACGCGAAGAAGACCCCGAAAAAAGCCGCGAGGATCCTCATGTTGGACACGACCGGAAAGGACGAAAGCGAGCTAAGAACCAGCCTCGTCGCGCGCCTACGGCGAACAAGCATACGGGAGGGGGTGGATCGGCAGCAAAAAGACTGAGTCGGTCGCGGTCTAAGAGTGCAACGAGGCCGAGTTCGGTAGGGAAGCCGGATTATAGATATGCTTATTATTAGAGTTAATGCGCTATGGTTGGATGACTGGGAGCAGACTATTATGTCAAGGTCTACGTATGAAGAATGTATGGATAAGTGGTTCATATATGGCCATTATTGCGGGAAGATAACATGTCGATCTCAATTTACCTCCTTATGCGGACGCAACAGAGTCCAGAGCACCTCGCCTTTCTGCTCTAGAACTTAGCACAGCTTGTAGCAGTGGCTACAATGCTCCTATCCCTCGCAGGCATATAGGAGGCGCATAACTACCTCTAGTCTGTCAGCCCCAGCGAATTTGTAAAGCTAAGTTACTTAACAGTACAGAATTCTATGCCAAAATCTGCAGCTACTAAAAACGACCTGAGTAGATACCCCATGGGAGGTTACCAGGAGCAGAAGCTTCCTCGCCGGATGTTAATTGATACTATTACTACTGTGCAATATAATCCATCCGGATAGCCCGAAAATTACGGTTCTATCGATGTTCCAGACTGTTACTACTTTTCTCACTACTTCTCTTATCTAGTATTCGCGTATCTTACATTCTTTGTATGCTAATATACACCGCTCATAAGTGAAAGATAGGTAGAATTGCTTAGCTGCCTAGATTGGTCTAGTAGAGATATTATTCCCTAGAGGAACCAATGAGGGTCAAAGGCTGCCTATATCATTACTACCTACCTAAGGTAGGCACCTAGGTGCCTTCTCCCTGATTCTGCTTCAAGTTAGACAGACAGCCTGGGCTAATTTTGAATCTTCCCTCTTTGTGTCGGCGCACAAAGAAGTGCTATCATCCGTTTGCAGCAGGTTCTTTGCTATCCTGGTTATAGGATAGAGCTTACTAGATCACTCGGATCTGGATTCTTTGTATGATATAGGAGACATATATGGGACCAAGTTCCCCGCCAGATCTAGAAGCAAGCAAGCTACTAGCTAGGAGCTTCAAATCACATCGTTGCTTCCGTGCCCTTTACGATTTGACAGTTTGCTATCCAGTCGCTTGCCATCTCTGGCCACAATGCCTCCCAAGTTTGCAATACCAGTGCGCACCTCATCCCTCATCCCGTCTGACCAGATCCCTCCTTCGACAGATCCTCCTCTGGTCGTTCCAGAGAGACACTCTTCTCTCATGTCCCCTGGTCACCAGAACGCCATTCTTCATAGGACAACTATCAGTTATTCTCGACGAGTTTCTGCAGCCTCTACCATTTCGGCGACGAGCTCTATCTCTCAGTTTGTGGATCAGAAGGCCAAGGTACTCGAGGCCGACCTTGAACTTCTTAAAGCGTACCGTGACGGATTGTCGGATTTGAAAACGACTAAAAAGATCGACATTGGCGAATACGACAAGACTTTCAGGGAGGTCGAAAATAGGAAAAGACAGCTCGACAAAGAAAATCTCGTGCTTAAACGACAACGCAAGATTCTGGAAGAAGACATCGACGATGAGATCTCGGCTAATATTGGCGCCAGTCATGGAGAATTGGACAAGATCATGGAGATCGCCTACAGCTCTCTAGTAACAGACAAGGTAATGGCGGCGAGCAATCTGTCAACACAAGGCCCGAAGCACAACCAATCGAAGTACAGACAAGCCGTCATCAAATACCTGTCCGCTAAACCACACGAGGGCCTCGTATGGTGTCACATCCTCGGACGCCATATTCCAAGCCGCCTTACCATAGCTGCCCATATTGTCCCCAAGTCTCTAGAGTCTGAACAGCTGTCCTATCTCTTCGGAGCAAGCGACCTGCGGGTGTCTATGGATAGGCGTAACGGTGAGCATGCTTTTTTATCCTGCATTATACGCTAGTGCTGATTCACGTTTCTATAAGGCCTAACCCTGGCTGCACAACTCGAGAAATCCCTCGATGCCGGTCAGTTGGTAATTGTACCAATGCGTCCTCAGCCACAGGATGGAGCAACTCGGTGGAAGTGCATCGTTATTGACCAAGAAATCATGGAGAAGCCAATCATAACCCTCGGCTTGGGGGATACAGTCTTATTTAAGGTATACTGAGGAATATAGCTTCCTTTCTTTTTGCTACTGCTGATAATACAAAAGGATGTGCATAACAAGCCCCTAGAATTCCTATCGAATAACCGCCCTGCCAAAAGATACCTCTATTTTCGCTTCATAGTCACGTACCTCTACCACAAGCGCCGCGCGTCGAACCTGGAGTGGGTGGCACAAGTTGAGGCCAAAGGCACTTTATGGGCCACACCAGGTCCATATCTTCGGAAATCCATGCTTATAGCATTGGCGCGTCGTGCATCTGACCATTATGCACCAGAGGCATTTTGGAACGGAGTATTTGAAGAGGTCAACGAGTCACCTTCACGGAGTGCCACGGAGGAAGAAACTCTTAGTTACGCGCTTTCGGTTCAGATCGACGCCAAAATGGATAGTGCCCATGAAGAGAATATGAAGGAGGGTTCTGACGAGGAGGAGGACATGGAGGAAGATGCGGAATACGATCCAGAAGAGTGATCTTTCACACACACTCTCTCTCTCTCGGTCTCTCTCTCTCGGTCTCTCTCTCTCGGTCTCTCTCTCTCGGTCTCTCTCTCTCGGTCTCTCTCTCTCGGTCTCTCCCTACTTCATTTACTTCTCTCTTCTTATTCTTTCTATTGTCATGGGGTACTGCTCAACACATCTTCATGTACAAGAGACGCACTTACGTTCAACACGTTCGTGACACGCTTCGGTTTAGCATACAGAATGGACACCTCTTGCTAGTTTTGTGACATTACTCCCCTACTACTCTCCCATCCTAGCATGCTGTAGCTAGTGCGCCCGTCTATCCTATTAGTCGTGCTTGTCCCATGTCACTATCAGTATATTTGAACAGTTTTCACACTTCATCGTGGGTACATTACCTAAAGTAGTAGTAGTATTCATCAACGTTCAGCGGCGCACAGGCTGGTGACCTCCTATGGGTATAGGAATTAGCTATAGAATTATATAAGTGCGACTTTAGAAAGCAATTCAAGGGCAATGCAGATCGAGCTCCAGGAGGGACTTGACCTCGTCCCAGCATTTATACTATCTGGAAAGCCTTGGCCCACCATTCCATGCGGGCGTCATTCCGCAGTCTTCGGTATATAGTCCGTATCCCACTATATCTTGCGCAGCACAGTAAGACGGTGGGAAAGACAGCTATGGTCTTGCTTCTATACAGGCATCCCGTAAATATAGTTATTGAAGCGGAAGTATTACTACGTGGTGAGAATCGTTAGATGAGAAGGGATTGCATTGATATTGTTTGCTGATCCTATTACTTCGAACTAAAGAACTCGAGTTTTGAAAATAAACAATAGTCAGGAATCAAGCACTAAGTCTCTCGGTAAAGACAGTTTAGTATTTTCTGAGCGGAAGTGATCCCATGGAATGACGCGCCCAAGAACAGTATCCGGAAAGCGGTAAAAGAGCCAGAGAAAATTTCTGAGTTTCACGTCAAATCTATTCCTCTTCCTCGCTCTCTTCATCACTCTCGGCATTCTCGAGCCATTCGAGGAAGGGCTCAGCAGCCTTGCGGACCTTCCTGCTGGTCGCACTGTCGACATACTTCTTGCTAGCCTTGGAACCCCAGGCCTTGAGCACGTCCTCAGAGACTAGGTCATGCTGGTAGTACTGGAGCAGGATAGCAGGAACCTGAGGGATAAGGTCAGGGTGATCCTTGCCGACGAAACGCTCGGTACCACCGAGGAAAGCCTTCTCGTGGCGCTCGGAGGTGATCATCTTCTTAAGCATGGAGGCGCGGTTGGGAATCTGCTTAACAATCTTCTCGTCGAAGATAGTCTGCGCCAACACTGTCAAGGTCTTGTGCTTGCTCTCGATGCCAAGTTCCTTCGCCTTCATGTAGATGTCGATGTCGCTGACGTCAGCAACACCACCTTCCTTGCCTTCGGCGGTGCTGATGATCCAGCTTCCAAGCTGGTCATAGGCGCTGGCACCATCGCCTTCTTCATCATCAGCATCCTCAATGACAAGCGCACGCTTGAGATCCGAAGGAAGCTCCTGGGCACGGGCTTTGACGGCCTCTTCCGAGACATCAACGGCCCAGTTGTCATCGTCAATATCATCGTCCTTATCAAGATTCTCGGCCTCCGCATTGATACGACGAGTAAGCTCATCGTCGCTGTTTGCCTCGATGGCCAGGTCTTCCGCTTCTCCGTCTTCTGAGTTGTTGCTGTCGCCTGGGCTGCCATATTTATCTCCGTTTTCTGTCGCATCACTCTTATCCTTGTTCCGGTCACGGCGGCTCTTCTTGGAGGATTTGTCCTTCTTGCCCTTAGTAGGTTGGTTCCTGATGATGAAAGTGCTCAGCTTCAGACGAGGGTCAACCTCGGAGCGCTGACCACAGGCCTTGCAGTCAAGCAGGATCCGACCGTCTTTGATGACCACATCAGTTTCCGGATTCTTGCACTTCTTGCAAAGTACAAACTTGGAAATGAATCCGTCCAGGTAGTCCTGGAGCTTTGGGGCGTCATGGGCACCGTTGATGATCCAGCGATCGTCAGTAGGCTTGGCGTTCGCCTGAGCACCCAGCTCGAATCCGAAATACTTGATAACGTAAGATGGGGGCCGGCTGAGAGACTGGGCGACCGAGTTCAGGTTGACGACAACAGTCTTGATACCGTTGCCTTTACCTTCGATCTTGGACTGGAGCTTCTCCATCTTGTAACGGTAGAAGGGATCGGTGATATCCCGACGGATATTGACGGTGGCCATGATTGCGGTGGTCTGATCGCGTGGTCTGATCGTTTTCAGTGTACTGAGGAAGCTGGCGTTGTGGCGGAGCGGGCAAAAGGAATCTGAACCAAGACGGCGTTATTGGAACAAGACATGCGTCACAGATTGCCTCGTTCTTCTAGGTTAAAGAATCGTCGTGAATAGAGACTAGTGTCGGTTGACACTGCGGAAATGGGCAGCCCAGGAGGTTTCAACCACAGGATCTCGAATGTATACTACAAGGTTTCCGCACGAAGCGAAAAGTTTGCAGCTTAGGCGGCAGATGGTGTTCGAAATCGTTCACGCAGGACGAATACATAGACAGGTTGCTCAACGTCGATCTGTGGCTTTCTCTGGCAAGGGAAGAGAAACCAACGGATGGTTCTTGATGTCCGTCACTCACGGACACGGTGGCGGCGTGGAAAGCTATGAAGGCCGGACTTGGCTGCAATGAACTGTGAGCGCGGCAGCTGAGGTGCCAGTGATAAATTCAGAAGCGCCAAGTGTTGAGATGATAGTGAAGTCGACGGTGAAGAACGTCGATGGCAAAAGACACGTTGTGTGGAAGAAGAAGAAATTTGCCGGTAGGGAAAGGAAGACGCCGGAGTTTATAGCGAGAGCCTGCCTCCGCCTGCCTCGAGACGCGATCCTGGTTGGCCCTCGGCGGCTGGCTGACTCAGCCCGGGCACGTGCCTCCGGTGGTGGCTTCGGGAATGGTGGCTTCGCTTGCCTATCCTATTTGGGCGAATTGTGGCACGTGCTCCCCGGAGCTCTCGCGGGGATGAAGAGGAAACTCTTGGCAGATGGCGATGCGGACGAAGAGTCCAGGAGAGTTGGCAGGGTTTTTGTTGTATATATTATATTATCTTGAGAGTTTTGCGTAATATATATACTTACAATCATTTTCCTTGTCTTTGCTGGTAAGATTCAATCCCCTTCCTTCCTTCGACCTCTTCCAACCATGTCTTGCCCCGCCATCGCACTCTCTTTCTGTGGAATATATCTCACCGATAACGGACCCTTTCTGATCCAGACGCTATCGTTATGCTTCGTTAGGTGCAGCTGTGCGATGCTCTGTTCTCACTGATGTACTTCGTCCTACTTCTCTTTGTCCCCTAACCATCAGCCCTTGTATAAAGCTTTTCCTCTCCGCATAGATCCCGGCAATTTCTACATAAGAACCTCTGGAGAGCCCTTCCCCTATCTCAATCTTTACAGTCCATTTCAGTAGTTGGCTCGGGCTATTAACTATTATTTCTTGATTCATATAGATATCCTGAGCTGTACTCCAGAACCGTACTGTCTTGTGTCCCGTCTCCTCTACTTCTGAGGAACTCCGTTCACGATGGCAGTCAACCTGTCTCTCTATCTAGTCACAGACTCAACGCCCGCTATCCTCAAGGGACGAGATCTCTGCAATGTCGTGGAGGAGTCTCTTAAAGGAGGTGAGTTCAACCCGTTGGAAGCCATGATCCGGTTGGATGCCGCTAACTGCAATCAGGAGTCACGGTTGTCCAGTACAGAGAGAAGCATAGCGACACAGGGGTGATGATTGAGACTGCGAAGAAACTCCACCAGATCACGAAGGCTTACAATGTGCCATTGATCATCAATGACCGGGTCGATGTTGCTGTGGCGGTCGGAGCAGAGGGTGTCCATCTAGGACAGGACGATATGAGTAGGACGCCAACCTACTAAGTCATGACCACTGACTGACGGACTGGCAAACGGTAGATGTTGATGATGCAAAGAAGCTGCTTCCAGAGGACGCCATTATTGGAGTCACTGTCGCATCAGTCGCAGAAGCGAAGCGAGCGGTCGAGCAGGGGGCTGATTACCTGGGTATTGGAACCATGTTTGCAACACCTACGTAAGTAATACGGCTTAGAATCCATGCCACAACGACTCCAAAATCTAATCTTATCGAACAGGAAGAAGGATACAAAATCCATAATCGGAACTGCAGGCACTAAAGAAATCCTCAATGCTCTCGCCGACATGGGCCGCCCGGTTGGAACTGTTTCTATCGGTGGAATCAATGAATCCAATGTACAACGCGTGATCTATCAATCGCAAGGTACCAAGAAGGGCCTAGACGGCGTGGCGGTGGTGAGTGCCATCATCGCCGCAGAAGACCCCCGAGCAGCAGCTTCGCAGTTGTCCAAGCGCATCAGCTCTCTTCCCCCATTCGCAAGCATTCCACCAACTCCACGCGAGAACGAGGCGGCATTATTGTTGAATGATGTGCCATCCATCGTCGCTAAAGTGGCTACTAGCCGTCCCCTTGTTCACAACATGATCAACTTCGTCGTCGCAAACTTTGCTGCCAATGTCGCTCTCTCCATGTAAGTTGGACAGTTGCCTATTGTCGTTATAGGATCAAAGTTGACAACACAACACCAGTGGTGCTTCGCCAATCATGTCCCCTTATGGAGACGAAGCCAACGATCTCTCTACTTTCGGGGGGGCTCTTCTTATCAACATGGGAACTCTTAACAGCGAGAGCGTATCGAACTACCTCAAAGCCATGCTAGCGTACAATAAGGGCGGAAACCCCGTTATTTACGATCCCGTCGGAGCAGGGGCTACTAAGATTCGAAAGGCTGCCGTCAAGCAGCTCATGGCTGGAGGCTATTTTGACCTGATCAAGGGCAACGAAGGGGAAATCAGGGAGGTCTTTGGCAACAGTGCGGGTATGCAGCGAGGAGTCGACAGCGGACCAAGCACCCTCAACAACCGCGAAAAGGCTACTCTTGCCAGAGACCTTGCCCGCCGTGAACGTGAGCCGTCTAAATCCTCAAAAACTTTCTATCCTCGACTGACACTCTCTTTAATATAGGTAACTGCGTCCTTTTGACCGGTGATATCGACTATCTCAGTGATGGAAACCGGGTCTTTGCCATTGGCAATGGCCACGAATTCTTGGGACAAATCACTGGCGTATGTCTCAAAACCTTTCTTACAGTTTATATCACAGTGGAGCAACCCAATATATGGACCATCCTCGCTGACGACGAACTTATTTACAGACTGGCTGTTCCCTGGGGACCGTCACCGGCGCCTTCCTGTCCGTCCACCGTACCGACAAACTCCACGCTGTTCTCTCTGGACTATTGATGTTTGAGATTGCAGCTGAAAACGCAGCTGCGAAGGAATACGTGCGCGGCCCCGGTAGTTTCACGCCTGCTTTCTTGGATGAGCTCTACGCTATCCGCCAGGCCGCCGTTCGAGGCGACAACAGCTGGTTTACGGGCCGTGCCAAGGTTCAGGAGATCCATCTATAGTTAGTATTCACATGGAACAACAACTGTGAATGCATCATGACGATCCCTTGAGTGCCACTTCGTGTCTTTCCTCACGTGGAAGCCGCCCTCTCCTAGTTTCTCACGAGATATGAAAATCTACCGAGCCCCTTTTCCTTTTGGATTTACGTCACCATCTGTCCCCGGAGAAGGGATAAAAAAGAGATAGCATAGATAAGGTTCAATCGCAAGATAGCTCTAACGATTTGTATATTTCCTGTCTTCCTATTAACTTCATTGTGTACTCGTTCAGATCTTACAGAAAACCTCCAAAGCCCCCTTCGTCTGCTCCTTCGTATCCTTCACCAGTCCACTAACAGCCTTGAACTCTCCCCTCTTTGCATCTCCTAGAATCTCAAAGAGAAGACTCTCACTGGTCGTAACGATCGCGCCTGCATCTCGCAACCGCGCCAATGCAATCCCCCTCTCTCCCTCATTGCAACTACTCACTCCATCGGCAACAACATATACTCTGTGTCCAAGAGCCAGCAGATCCAAGGTCGTCTGGGTGACGCAGATGTGCGTCTCGATGCCCACAATGATAACGTCAAGCGGCGTATTGTTTCCAGAAGCAGCCGCAGAGCTACCGTTGCTGGTAGTAGGGGATGTCTCCGGGAGCAGAGCGCGAATCTTAGGCGTGATCATCGAGAATAAAGTCTTGTCCACGTCGGCGCGCAGGTTTGGGCCGGTGAGGTATGGCTGTAGTTCGGAGACAGTTTCCCCTAGACGAGCGCGGTTTTGCGTCGTTACGAAGACAGGAATTTGAAGCGGGGCGGAGGCTTTAAGGAGTTTCTCAGATGTAGCGATCCTAAAGAGCGTTTTTTTCATGTCAGGTTGAGAAAAGAAAAGGAGGGGGGGTTGAAAGAAACTCACAACTTGGGGTATTCATAAATAGCAGTTCTGAACTTCTCTTGAACATCGCAGATGCTGTTTCATAGCCAGCTTGTCAGTTGAGATATAACAGTGTTTACTCCATCATAGAACCCTCCCCAAAAGCAATCGAAGAAAAGTGATGAAGTCGTGGGACTCGATCGTAGACATACAAGAGAGCCGGATTCCCTAAATATTCATCAAACGATGTTAGCATGTGGCCCCAATATATCCAGAAGTACACACGATGCGAAATACAGAACATAGTTCTATCTATCAAGAAGAAAACATACTGATCCGCATAGCCTTTGTAACTGCCACCATCGTGTCTAGTGACCGCCTCTCCTGTATTTCGGTTAATGTTGTTTGTCTAAGGACTTGCAATCCAATTCCTGCTTCCAATTCCTGCTTAGGGTCCAGAACCGATGTGTGCGAGCAACTCGCCGCAATTGATCAAGAAACAATGGCGATGATATGATGGGCGGAATATGATGAGCGGGGAAATGGAGCGCTTCGGATTGCGCTGCGGAGGAAGAGGAACTCGGCGGGGAGAAAAGACGCCGTGCGGGGAAAGCGGAAAGAGACAATGCGTATATTCCAGCATGCAGACAGGGAAGCGTAAATTACCCTCAAATGCATCCTTATTCCTCTCATATTTTTAAATATCTTAGCTCTAGCGAGCGCCCTCATGGCCTGCGGATGGGTGTGCTGGACCTCAGCCGATGGATACTTCATTCGACGAGACATCTCATCTGCGGAGCCGGCCTGGTTGACTGGAGTATTTGATTATTCGATGCGTGCCATCATGAGAATCGAGTTTACAGCTCCTAGCAGCAGACATAATGAGAGATCCGTCGTACGCCGCTAAATATGAATCATTTTGGGTCCCTAGGACCAGGCGGATATCGCCTGCCTCCTTCCGCTTTAGGCCAGATAGCTTAGATAGCCCAGAGCTTTAGAGCTCGATCTCAGAGAAATGAGCAGGCTGGAAGTGCCAGAGGATCCCTTTCAGTTGAGAGCATTTTATCTGTATTACTGAAAGAGGGTGGTTTACATTCCAGTTATTTTGTTGGAATCTCAAAAGTCAAGATATGTCGAATATCGTGAAATATTTACTGTTTTGGGAGTATCTAGGTAAATTAGCATGCTGAATCCTTAAGCTTAATCTCTCCTCTAATCTGTGCTATTGAATACTGTTGTTCCTGGTCCACTATAACGAGGGTTGGTGACAGAGTAATAGACATGCCCTGCCATACATTTCGCGATTCCTTTCGCCAACTTTTCCTGACAAGAGTTCAGCAAGCTATGATCCAGGAGTCTCTTAAATTCTTTGTAAAACTGGATTTCCAGGTCGAATATAATTTCTCGGGCTATTTTCTTCGCGGTGAAGGTCGAAACCCCATTCGTCTTCCGGATCACATCAATGGCATTCAGTATCAGCCAGCCAGATTTTGACTTTTCGTATTCTTTGTGAAAGGAGTATAGATCATTGACAAGAGAAATGTGGTCTTCCCAGAGCCGGATCAGGTTTTTCAATATAGCTTTGTCCTCTTCACAAAACCGGACGTCACAAGCAAAGGCCACTTGTCCTAGGAGGAGACTGATAATTCAATGTGGTTAGCGTTCACATTACTCAATGGGTATATCATTGTATAAAGAGTTAATCAGATGAACTGACTCATTCCCAATGTCAATATCGCGGTAATCTAGATAGCTCCGCAGGCTCTCAAAAGTGCTCGGCGGGATAGTCTTATATCCTCGAGTGAAGACCACCCATCGGTAAGCGCCTTTCAAGAGCTCCTTGCCGCTGATTGGGTCTTCTTCCAGAACACGCTTTGTGAAACTGTGAAGGAAATTCCCCCCCTGAAGTGTTGCTTCCGGAATCTGCAGCTCCCCATCGGTGCTTTCTCTCCAGAGATGCATAATTTCATCTGCGACTGTGTGGCCCTATGGATGCCTCATGATTAAATTGAGAGACTCTACTCCATTCATGGTGAAGACGTACTGCTTGCGAAGGATCTAGTTCAACCACATCTGCTAAGAAGTTAGTTATTAGAGTTATAGAAATATGTAACAAAATACCTAAAAGTATTACATACCATTGTGGAGGAAAATGATTAACATAGACTGTGCAATGATTCCTGACCTGACCGCGCTTGCATCGGGCATCATGTGTGTTATTGATCTTACTGCTGTTTCTATAAGATCTTGCTCCTTTTTTGCACGTTCAATATTATCGGATCTCTGCTGCAACTCCTCTGGTAATTTTGACACACTATTTTTCATACTTGTGTGAATTTCATCCAGAAACTGCATGGTCACCTTCTTTGTGCTTCCCCAATGCTTTGATTGACGACAGCCGGGTAATTGGCTCACCCATTGGAAACCCCTCTCCAAGGGAAGAAATTTGATCGCATCCTCATCTTCTGGGTACTCGGGAGGGGATTCAGGGTCCCAGATGAAAGACAACAAAGGGAATGTGGGGTGTTCATCTTCCTTTTCGCGGGCTAAGGGGTCATGAGCATGGGTAACAGGCATGAGGGACTGTGTCGAATATAGACTATCGAAAACAGATAATCCGCTGCAGCTCTGCTGATAAGTCTTTCGGTCTCTAGTGGCCGTATCAATGGGACCAGAGTGCCGTTTTTGAAGCTGGGGCTTCGATAGATAGAACCCCATTGTATCGGTACATTGGGATGGGACGGAAGCAATGATGAAAATAGCGTAAGGCAAGGGCGAACGATACGATATTTAAGACCCTACGCGAAGGGTCAAGTGACCTGTATACTCGGTTTTGTGTGAGTTCCTTGGAAATGATCTAAATGGCTATTCCATATGCACATACCAGCGCGAATATGGAATGATTTTATATCAGACTTAGGGGCCAGACCTCTAAGGAGCCGTCATTTTATTATTTCAGTTGACCTTTTCCGACATCGACCATGAATTTAGTCCAAGGCTTTGGAAACTAAGTGAACATGAAGTTTATTCTACTTCTCAATTCAATTTTCTCCCGTGTCTGCTGCAATAACCCGTTACATATTCAGTGGGCCAATTTTTCATCTGGAAATCCTGATTCAATCCTTGTTGATTGCAATGACGCTAAACCCTACCCCTCCTCTAGATAAGTAAATACTGATTATGCAGCTTGCCGGGCAGCAATTAACTTACTCACCTAGGACCCCTCACAAAAGCCAACAATAGTGCTCCAGCGGCTGGCCAAGCCATCGCTGCGGATCAGGTCGGAAGAAATCCGGAAAGAGGGTTTCGTCGTTGTGCCTTTTGGGATGGTATACTGATTACGTATCAGTACTCGCGGGTCCGTTCTTCCAACGGTTCCAGCGCCAACAACCCCATGGGTGGTTTGAATGCTGCCGCAGGTCTGATGCCCGATGCAAGAAGTACCGCAGGTGCTGGGAGCTTGGCAGAGAGGCTGGAAAGGGAAAGGGTGGACAATCCAATACTTCATCTGGGTATTCAGAGGCCTGGATTCAGGCTCCGGTATACATTAATGAAATGATCGTACTGTATTGTGTGCCTAAACCTTCGAATTCATCATATCTTAACCTTACAGGAACCTGTAAGTGATCGCCTATAGTCTCCCCTATTGGGTTAAATCGACGTATAATAGATAACTAGTAGAGCGAATGGGGTATATCGATTAGGAAATCCCATAAAGCTGGCAGATTAGTAGAGGTAGTAAAATAATAGGTTAGACAGGTAGAAAATAGTTGTTTGTTTTGATTATTAGGGAGGGAAGATCACCTGATCAGACGAAAAAGGAAGGCAGTAAAGAGCACGTGAGATCCAGATGACGACGTCCAATCAGATGAAGGCGCGAGTGAGTAGCGTAAAATGAACTGTTATCTTCATTTTATATCGTTTCGCCAACGACAACTACTAACTGTGGTAGAGTGATGATATTCAGGGTTACCACAATTTCTTGCTATGATTAGTTATCTCATTTCCGAGGTTTCAAATGCTCCTGTAGTATTTGCCTAATAACAAACCGGCCATGACTTCAGGCTCCTTTTCTCATAGTGGATTGAAGCGAAGAGATTGATTTGCGTTTCTCAAAACAACCGTCAATTTCAACCCGGCCAAGCTCATACCCTTTCCAAAAATCCTCATATGCCAGATCCTGCTCCTGAAGTCCCTTCATACACGTATCCAAACTCACTTGTTCCTGCAGTGCAATACGGTGGACGATAGCTCTCGTCCTCCGCGAAAGCAACGGTGACAGGGCAAGCCAGTGGTGCAGATGAACGAATGCTTGGGTGAGACCCAGCAGGGACCAGAAACACTGCTGGGGTCGCATTGCCAAAGCGAGCATCGTCTCTGCAAATGCCGACGGCCACCGCTCTAGGACATCCGCGACATCCTTGGGTTTGGAAGGCATGTCCTCGACATGAGAGATAATCTCCATGCCAATCTCAGTCAAATCGACCCATCCTGCCCGGCGTATCTCATCCATTCCGGCGATCCCAGTGGTTTCATCAAAGCCATACTGGGCGCGAAGAAGACGAACCACCGAACAGCCGATCGAGTTGGTGGTCCTAACTGGAACCCGTAGACACGACTCGAGCAGACATGGGTGGACGAACCAAAGTGGGATCAATTTATGGAGGATTGGGACAAAGCTGAGATCGATGCTCCGGACTGGGGGAGGAAGGTGACTAGGAGAAATCCTCGCGTCTCGGAAAACGGTTTCGAGATTGACTGGGCCACTGGCGCTGACTTGGGATTCATCAGAGCTGCAAGACCATCCGATGAAATGCCAATATGTCATTGGACTATCGGGTGCCAAACTATCGATCCAGTTCTTGATCGTGGCCACTTCAGAATCGGTGAACGCACCAAACATGGGTCCACCCCAGACACATTGCTGGACTAGTCGGCTGCTTGCACTGTCACCTTTTCGCACCCACAGCCTATCGTTGCTGAGACAGTCCAGAAAATCCGTCTGCCATCGCTCCCGCTGGAAATGGTCCGGGTTGAGCCAGGTGCTCAGTGACCGGCCGCCCAATCTCACTCGGCAGTTGTCATGCAGTCGATGGCATGCAACGGATTTAGCTTGAAAGATCCTCATAAGATCTATGGCAAGGGGACCTTGGTTGGGGAAACTGCGCTGGTGGGACGGGAGATGCTTGGAGAGCACAAATCCCGCCTGGACGCGCTTCCAGGCCTGCTGGGCGGCATCTGCTCCCTCGACCGCCTGCACGGTCGACAGGTATTTCATGACAATGTGACTCGCCATAGCCATATGTCCCGAATCGGCGTTGTCGATTGAAATGTGCAAATTGAAATAGGAGGGATCGAGGTGAACCTCGCGCAGCTCCGTAGCGGCCACCATGGTTTCCAGGGTCAACATCTCGAAATGCATATTGAATCCCAGAGTCTCCGGCAGGAATTCACTTGGAAACAAGGCTATGAGAAGTTGCGCAATTGCACCTTTCCAAATGCAAGGATCATTGTCCATGGCTTGTATAAACTCCGCCGAGTCGGCAGCCGGGAGATCCACGCCAATTTGACGCATTAGCTTCTGATACACGTGGACATGGTTCTTCTCCAGATAGCCGTCCCCAAGCTCCTCCGAGAGCACCTGCCAGGCGTCCTTGGTAATGGAACGGTATGCAAATGGAATCCCCACGGTGTGGACTTGACCAAGCCACGCGCCGTCCACCAGCTTGACTGGGGCCTTTTTTACGAGCCACCGTTTTGCGGCATCCGCATCTGAAAACAACTCCCGGGCGTGGCCCTCTTTTCGCCGCTGAAGATACTGTTGCCATTGATGCGTGATGTGATCCAGCTCGCGGCGCATAAATGCGGCGATCGCGCTGGGGGAAAATCGCTCAATGGCGAGGATTGCACTATGCTGCGCATGGGCGCAAAGAATTGCTTCAGACAGGAACGCAAGTAGAAGATGTTTGGCGCGCGGCATCACTTCCGGATGCCGTTCCACATTCTGGAGTTTGAAATACATCTCCTTATACTCATCATATTGCTGAGATATAGTCAGGCGGTCTGCATTCGATCCCTGTCCTGAGGGACCTGAACGACCATCCTGGATATCGATTGGGGATGTGAAGGATTCACTGTTCTTTATGGTCCGCATATGCAGTTGGAAGCCTAGGCCGTGGATAAGGAGAAGCGCGCACGCTCCATAGAGAAGAGCTAGGGGGATACAGATCGCGATATCCATCTAGAAGCAAATTCTTGCTGCACCCCAGTGTGGAGGGAATCACAAAAGAAACTGCTCAGATTGCGCCAGAATGTTGCAATCAGTCCTGTTATATATGTGGGCCAATGGCAAAAGACATGGGGCCATCTATCTATCTGTACATGTTCCAAACCAGAGACCTGATTTATTGAGCTTGAAGTGCTTGCAAGGGCTAAGAGCAAGACCACCATTGCCTGTCATCCATTGGTTATCAACCTTTCTTGTAAAGCTATTACAGTAGTCCACTAACTTCCCTTATGTGCTTTATCTCCAAACGGGTCCATGGCTAAACTAGACCAGAGCTGAGATACAAATATCTCAGCCTTCTTAATATACTCACGATTTTGCTCCGCCCCCTCCTCTCCCCCAGCCAAAGTTCTATGCTATGCTAACTTTTGATAATAACCATATGACCCTCCAAAGCCAGGGGCTGATGCACGTCAGATGGAGTCGACAACATCTTTCATGACAGTTGCATTTAGTATTAAGCTTTCAAGCAAGGTATCCCTCACAGCTAACAACAGTAGGATTCGTATTCTGCATCTGTCAGCCCTAGTGGCTGATTTCCAGCAGGTGACAGTCAGGTAACAGGCCGGGGTCTCCGGTGCGTTCTCTACCACTTGTTGAAAACACTGTCTGTCAGGGACCTCAAGACTATTTAAATGGCTGAATCTGATATACCTTACCACTCGACTAAAACACCTATTCTCTAGGTGTCTTTCTTGGCCTCTCTGAGGCATGCATACGCAATCACACTATGCAAGGTAAGCTCTAGGCGCCGACATAATTCCCAGCTTGAAACTTTGCCACTACAATTGGAATAGCAGCTCTCTGGAACCCAGCAGGTTCAATGTACGTACTAAGTAGTCTTCAATCCTTCTCGTTATTGTTAAAGTAGGTACCTACTATAACTATAGAAATTCCCTATTCGGCTTAGGTACTCGCCATGACCTCGACTCTAAGCTACTTCTGCCTAGTCAGCTATGACTGTATATATATATATATGATACAAGATGAGCCGCAAAGTAATTAGTCTTGTCAAGAACTTACCCAAAATTATCGCTTTTATGCCTCCCACTCAAATAGGAGGTACGGAAAGATTAACAGCTTGGCAGTGAAGCTGAAGACCATGTAAAAGGAAAATCTTGGAGCTGACGAAGATGCTTGATTGAGGAACTATCTAGGGGCTCAATCGAGCTGAACTGATCTATCTGGCCACTACTCTGCTGACTAAGCTGGCTGCTGGCGCGGGCGACCACTACTGGAGCCCCTAGGGGCACCGAAAGAAAACAAGGTCGTGAGATATGGTCGGATGTAAGCTATTTCGAGAAAGGGAAAAAAAAAAAAACAAAAAGAGAAACTCAGGAATAGGAAAGTAACATGTCTAAGAAACAACTTACAGGAGAAGAGCGGTGGAGAATAGTCCGAGATGACGCTTGTCACCTTAATCTCTCCGATTTTCTCTATTGTTGGCGCCCACCAAACCATTATTATTATTATTATTATTATCATCAACCTTTCCCAACAGGGGCTGCTTAAAATCACCATCTTCAGCATGATCGGGCATTGCTAGAAACGAGAAGTAAGTCGTTGGAGTAAGATCCGATCTTCCTAACCTCAATATCCGGTTAAACCACTTTGATAGATCAGCAAAGGCAACAAGAAAATATTTTGGCTGTAGTCTGAGGATGGAATATTTTGCTGTCTTATCTTTTCTGTGAACCAATTTGGTCTGGGCTAGGTTACAAATCAGCATGTCCATAGGAAGTAGTTACCTAGTTAACTAATTGCCACGCCCACAAGGATGAATCCACTGTATTTCCAAAATCAACTGAAATGGAATGTAAACTAGATAATGTTTTGAATATCATATGATGCCCTTGATACATCTATCATAGTTTTTTTTTTTTTTTTTTTTTTTTTTTTTATTCGGTTGTCTACCAGTATTATTAGGCGTTGTAGAGCTCTTTAATCATCTACGCACCATCTGCGCTGTTCGAGCCAGATACGTACATGGTTTATCAAGGGAGAAAGAAGAAGCAACCCGACAATTCTATCTAGATGGCATAGCTACTTATTTTCCGCAGTCGAACCCCAAATTTCCACAGCACCACGGGCACCAGCCCGCTAATTATCAGCGCCACAAACCCTAGTATGCTATCGCCCCAGCCATACCCCAGCCGTGCATACAGGCTGGGTGCAAATAAGGGAAACCCAAAAGCACAGAGCCCCCGGCATAAAAAGGACGCTGCGGAGGCACTCGCCGCATACAGTGGGTAGGCTTCGATACAGTAGGCCGTCGTACATTGAAAGACAATGGTACAGCCACACATGGTGAGGACAATCGCCAGATTTGGCACCACCCACTGGATGTGCTCTTGTGCCGTCCAGCCATACCAGAAGAGGCTCGTCGGGATGAGGATAGCACTCACAGACATCATCGGGATCCGGAACTCTGGTCGCCCGATATCATTGTTTTTCCCTTTCAGCCCACGGTAAATTCGATCCGCGAACAGGATGCAGGCGACAATCCCGATGAAATAACCGATCCCTGCGGCGATGTAGTGCAATGAAGCGATCGAGGCTGTTTCGTGGTATTGCTGTTCCCACAAGCTGGTAAAGGTGGAGAAGATGAGATACGTCAAGCCGTAAATATAGCCCGTGTAGAGCGAGAGGACCTGAATGATGGGCTGCGTGGTGAGGAAGTATACGGGTCGGATGATGGTCTTATAGTAGAGGTCTGCGATGGTCGGGTGCCGATCGTCATAGGGCGTTTTGCACACGAGATGGCCGTCGTGCTGGAATTGTCTTTTCTTGCGTGAGAGGATGACCGGTGGATAGGATTCGTGGTACACAAAGAGCCCAACGAGGACGAGCAATCCCGCCGCGATGGAGGGTGCGAAGAAAATGAATCGCCAGGACGTAGATTGGGCGGCCAATCCTCCCACGATGGCCCCCAGGGGAGCAGCCAGAATAAAAGCCATGTTCAAGACCCCCAAGGCGGTCCCTCGTTCATCATTGCGGAAGCAGTCGCTAATCATGGCGATGCCCACCTGCACCGAGTCTCTGAGCAGGAAAACATAGAATAATAGTGAGGAAGCGATCCAAGACTTACCACGGGGGCCGCTCCGCTCCCAATCCCCGCCAACACGCGGAAGGCGATGAGCTGGGCCTTGGTCGTTGCAAATCCGCATGCCAGATTGAACACCAGATATACTAGCAGGCCGCACTGTATCAGGACCACGCGCCCATATAGCTCCCCGAAGGGCGCCAGGAGCAAGGGCCCGAGTGCGAGGGTCAGCACATAGCTCGACATCACCAGCGGTCCTTCCACCTGGGGGTCCATGTGAAATTCTGCTGAGATAGTCTCCAGCAGGGGAGCTACAATCGTTGTGGACAGGTTCACCAGGAGGCTGATCAGAGTGTTGAGGATCAGGATGGACCATCGTTGGACATTCGGCCAATTGTGAGGGTGTTGGATGGACTCATCGAAGTCGATTATCACGACCGGTGTTGTTTCCACAACGCTGTCGAGAGGGTGTCCAGGTGTTGTCTTGTCATCTGGTTCCATTGGGATGATCCGATCAACAACTAACGGCTCGCCTTTGGACTCCATATACACTCTTCTCGTCACTGAATGAGGTGAAAGCGACATTGAGGTCGGTTGGCCGTCGATCTGTCGGGAGCAGATGAGATAAATCGTGCCACGCACCCTGGTCTCAATATGTATTCACCTCACTTCATGCAATCCTGACAAGACCAGGAGTACATTTCAGTTGTACTGTACCCGAACTGGTTTCCCCATACTGTTACTAGGGCGTCCCGAATGATGGGGAGGGATCCCCTAGAATTACAGAAAGATACTAGGACAGGAGTTGCTGATATGTTATTCCAATCAGAATTAGATGGGATGGGAACCCCAGAGAGCTAACGATCCTACGAGGTCCAGAATGTCTAGCACGACGACCCGAAGAAGCAGCCCACCTAATGAGGATAAGAACCCATGCTGCAATTAATACATGGGGGGCAGTGTGTTGGTCTGACAACTTGCATCCGCTGACCTTCCTGATGCAGGAGACGGTGCGCCACAATAAGTGAGAGAATGTCACAACAGTTGCAACTCGCCTTATTCATCAAGCTGTATCGCTTGGTAGACTCCTGGTGTTTCTTTGTAATAATAATAGGCCTTCGGTTCCAGCCGCGCCGATGAAATCAGAACCCTGGTCACCAGATAATTAGTATTAATGGGGTTGCACAATATACTTTTACCTCAAGCCTGACCAAGCTGAATATAGAACTGTCAATGAGTTATGGAAACTGAAGAGAGAGAGAGAGAAATCAAATAAGTCTAGTATTCACTCTAACAACACTTTGCCCCTGAATTCTTACATAAGAAATTGTTCATGGTAGATAACTATCGGATCAACTGAGTGCCTGATCCCACCCTATGATACCCCGCGCTTCTTCATCTGTTAAAGAAATGCCAAAGTAATCTTTGAGTGCCTGGCGTCGATCCTTTTCTGAGCTCAGCGTGTGCACGACGCGCGTCTTGCCGCCCAGGTTGACTTTGATGGCATTGTCCACCAACATGACTTTACCAGTAATAGTGATGTCCTGGTCTAGCGGTAAGTCAGAACGAGCTGAAAAAAGTACGTCTTCGGCCATCCGTAGAAATCGCACCACTAGCACGGTCCAGCGGTGTAAGCTCTTTGCACTGGTAAACCAATTCATCACCTCAAAATCATCCTGAAAAAATTCCATTTCGGCAAAGCTATAGAACGAGTTCCATTCCTGCTCAGGCCCGTTACGGTACTGGTAAATCCAGAGCTTCGGTTCCGGGAATCTCTGTCTGGGGATGTAGTCTTGGATGAGTCGAACTTCCTGCCGGCCGATATTTGGAATGGCTCGCCCTGGTTCGTCCAAGGGAAGTGGGCTGATAGGGCCATCTCCACCAAACCCAACATCAACGGAGAATCTCTTTCCGGAAGGCAGATGCACAATGTTGTTGATATGGGTACTATCATGCACATTAGCTGTCCGGGAATCTTTTGTCAGGTGGGTAGATAAGGAAGATCGTATAATAGAAGGACGTACAATCCTCCATATTCTCCCCCAGGCACCCCGTCAGTCCGGGGGCGGATTCGGACGGCGGTCATGTATACGTGGAATCCCAGGCCACGGAGCATGTGATGGAAAAAAATGCTGAGTTCCATACAGTAGCCGCCTCGTCCTTTGGCCCCATTGTGACCCATCAGTTTCTCATAGAGGACCTCGGGGCGAATATCAACGATATGGGTCGGTGAATAATGCACGGAGAGATTCTCATATGGAAATCGAGAAATCTGACATCTCATCACTGTCTGGAGCGATTCATAAGTCTTCGGGAAGCTCCCCGGGTCGTCAATATACGCTGTATATGAATTCGGGAGGCGGATATGTTTGAGCCAGGCAATGATTTGATCTGTCGAATAGGCCGATGCCTCGACCGCAGTATCTCGGGATGCATCCATTTCCACCGCTGACGATATGGATGGAAGAAAGCGGACGGGGGATAGGCCACAATAATACCTTAGTGGTCTTCTATAACAGTCTCAAGGTAGTTTATCGAAGTAGATAGGCCACTCTACGAGTACATTAAATTTAGAAGGAGGGAAGGGAAAGAGGGGTTTGTTTTGGGTAGGTACTTTGGGAGATCGGGGGCGGAACAATATGGGTCCGTGATAGTATGAATATATGTACAATATATTAAATTGGCAAACTTGAACAATAGATCATATTCAAATAGTATGGTAAGCAGGAGTATGGTATTAAGACTAATCGCTAGTCTCCTATACTGAGCGCTATTATGTCACATGCTAACTGGGGAACGTGATTATATATCTCACGCTCCTAGCTTTATGCTAGATTTTCTCCAGCTTAGGTAAGGTGTAAAGGGCCGAACGCAATTGATTCGATCAAGCGGACATATATGTATAGAAAGGAAGAACGGGGGAAGAGAAAAATAACAAAGGACACTGGCTAAATATCAGAGCCAGCTGGCAGGAACCACATACCAAGGGCCGCGTATGTATTATACAAAGAAACATAACTATATCTTGGTTTTATGTAATGTGCATTGTTCTCGCAGCATGATAGCTTGCGATTTGTCAAGCTAATCTTCTCAAAAAAGTTATTTGGATAACTAATACTTGGGAAAATGATGTTCTTGCCCAAGAAGCTTATCTGGAGCGAAGCTCGCTGAGCTTGGATTCTCTAGCAACTATCTCAGCCTATTTGTCTCTGTGAGTGGAGCTAGAAGGCGTGGGAGAAACCCGACAGGAGGTCTGCCTGTAGGCAGGATCCGACAGCTTATCTGGGAGATTCATTTGACCCTGTCAATTGGATCTCCTGCCCCCAGTAACAGCCAGCTCACCAGACCAATAAGGAGCATACTACAGAGTGGGAGAGCACGAATCAGCACCTTTTTCGCCACCCGTTTATCCCTTTTCCGACACCCTTGCCAGAAGATGTTCCGATCATTGTTTCGCGGAAAGGCACACATTGGTACTTCCTTTTCAAGGAAGTCACATAAGGGCTCCCAACCTTGCTCCACATTGTACTCAAGAAGATTTCCTGGCTTTACGTTGCGCCGAATATATTCATTGTGTTCGTAAAACGCCGTCTTCCCATAGTTCGGAAAGTCGCCCTTGTACAGGATCTGCTGGAGGCCCCGAAGGAGATTGGCATACACTCGCGAATTGGTATCGAACAGGGCCAGGAACTGTAAGATCGGGTCTCTAGAGCGCTGGTAGACAGTTGTAAGACAGGAGCTGTATTTGGTTCCCTGTAAGTCTTGACATATCGCGCCATGGTGCTTTAAAACTTGCGAGCGGTGCAGACATCACTCACATGTGCCAGCTGTCGACATCCCGAGTGGGAAGAATCACCTTGCTGGATGGATAGTGGGCAATCAGCTCAGCTGCGAAAGCTGCGAAGGGGATGTTCCGGACGCCCTGTGTATATTAGATCGCCCAATAAACCATCGTCATAAGAGCAAACCCATGGCTGAGAAGAATGATCAGGGATCCAGGGAATAGGGGACACGAGACCTACATCATATCCATGTAAGAGCTGGTCGAAATCATAGCTGAATTCCTCCTTTCCGGATAGTTTCTTTTGGACGGCTTGAAGCCAGAAGTCGGCGTGTTCTGGACCTCCGTGGGCGACATCATCAAGATCGTACAATCTTTGGTAGCCGAGCAGACCCAGCGCGGTTGCTAGAGCTATTGTCGACGCATGCTATCAGTAGGTCTGTCAAAGGCTTAAGGATGGAGACTCACACGTGCCGCCTGTACGACTCAGGCCAAGGACAAGTAGCGGAGGAGGGCGCGGTGAATCCTGAATTGTCCACATCATGGCGCAAACTACTAGGAGCTCAGGGTGCAAAAGCTGGATCAGGCTACAGATTCAGCTAACTTTTATAACCATTTAGGTACCAAGCAATAATGGGGATGAGTTGCCCTTGAAGCGCAGAAGATATTCAACTCCCCGCCTCGTAAGATCCAACTAGTCCATGCGAGGCAACAATTGAACAAAGCTGAGAAGGGCATGCACTTCCCCTCACAGCTCGCTGGGGTTATCTCTATGCGTGAAGTAACGGAGTAGTAACGGTTGTATTATGAAATGGCCCCGATCTAGCTACCTCTTCACAGGACGGTGTGATGCAAAGTAAGCGTGATAGGCTTTAGTGTTGTACGATAGATCTTCCAAGCATGTCGTTGCATGGTAGATTGGTGATTCCCCAGCCACCGCCTGTAGTAAACCTTGCCTAGACATCCCTACCCAGTCTAGCTAAGTCTTGTTACAGATAGCGTTATTGTTGCCAGCTAATGGGATTCAAACCCGTGATCTTCAATCCTCTTTCCCTCTAGATCTCAAGAGGCACCACGGAATGAAGCAGGAGGAAGAGGGCTAAAAGCCTGCCACCGTGACGCTTATACCGCTATGCCACCTGCCCCCAGATTCCGACACCTGACTATGTACAGGAAGCCGCGGATCAGGATGATTATTGTGGAAGACAACCTCACTCTCCTGTTAGATTGGAAGGACACTAAATAATTCCAACAGATCTCCCAACATAACATATTGCACGTAGATAGAGACCCCCCAAGCTTAATTAGTAGCTCATAAGATTAACTTGGAGGTGACCTCGTCTGCAATTCTTATGTAAGTTACATAATTTTAACTAGTTAAGTGTGCTCCAGCTTGCTCGCGTTAATTATCACTTAGGGCGATATTCTGTGGCACGTCTAGCGTGCAGACTGTACTCGAATGTGACATCTTTATGCATTCTGAGTTTTAAAACATCACGGTCAATGATCAATGGGAGGGTTCAACCAACAGTTCGGGGTACTGGTATATATAGAGACATGTCAGCGTGAAACTAATCCGGTTTTCGATCCCCAAACCACCAAATTACTTACCCAACGTCTTGTCACCTCGGGATAACTCTTAGCCAGCTTATGCAAGACCTTCATGCCCACGGTCTCGAATTCGTCATCCTCCTCCAGGCCCTCATTCAGACTCACCTCATGCCCAGGGTTATTGGCTACAATCTGGGTACGCATCGTGGACAGCACTTCACTGGTCTTCGGCGATTTCAGCGGGGTATCATATCCGATGCCTGTGGTGACCACAATACTGAGGCGACTCCCGCTGCCAGGGGCAGGAGGAATCACTCGGTGGAATGGGGCCCGGCAAAGACCATGTGTTGCCGCCTGGCAGCCTCGACCGACGACAAAGATGGGCTGGTCTGGGATCGGAGGACAGTCCACCCACTCGCCGTGGTTGTTGCGCGCTTGCAGGCAGTGCTGTGCCCCGATCTGAAAGATTAAGGTATTAAAGGACGTATCCTGATGGGCACCTAGCGACTGGGTTTCCTCGGCGGAGGCTGCTACCTCCGGATAGCGGATCAGTCGGATTCGGTACTGCTGGTGGTGAGCATCAAACAACGACTCCAGCTTGTCACTGTCCACCCCGATTGCCTCAGCAATCAACCGCCGGAGAGTCGTTACCAGTGCCGTTGACTCGGCCAAGAGTGTCTGCAAAACGGGAGTAAACCGGGGAAGCAACGAGGCGGACGGCCATTGACCAGACCCTAGAAGGCGCCGGTAGACAGGCCCGGAGATGGATTCAGGACCAGGCGATGCGAGCGTTAGATGCTCCCGCCAATCGACCTGATTGTTGGTTCGCTCTGCCCCTAGCTTCAGTTATCCAGGCCATCAGTGATAAATCCATGATCTTATCTAGTCCAATGCTGCTCTTACCATCGCGTATCCTAGAAAGCTAGGGCTATTGGCAATGTCCAGCTTCGTTTTCTCTGCAAAAGGGAGTGCAAAAAAGGCCTCGGATTGTGTTTTGGCCTCCGCAACTACCGTGGGACTCAATGGAGGGTTGGCCACATAAAACATGCCCACGTCTAGCAGTGCTTGACGAAGCTGCTGCACTAGCTGCGTCCTGGAGCTCGGGTTGTCTAACATCGCGAGATCGATGGTGGGCACGAACTTGAAGTCGGACATCTTCACATCAACCTCTGTGGCACTTTCTGGAATACTAATGACACTTGGAACACCCAAAGGGGGTGATCGAAACACGGTGGTTTCTTCTAGTAGGATAGATATATCATGTAATTAAGTACTGTACATATCACTATCGATACAGGAGCTTTCTTCAGACCTAGTTAGCCACCACGACAGTTTCATCCGCTTGAATCATGCATATGGAATACTACGGGCAATACTACTTCGGTGCACCTGCATTCGATAGGGTTTGATAAAGGACGCGTGGTTGAGAGCGACTAATTCTGCACGTCAGATTAACTTCTGCACGTTAGCCAAGATCCTAGAGTATGTGTAAGTGTCCAGGCCTAAGTAGTACATGTCCAATGGAGCGCCAACATTGGCCAGAGCTCAAATCAACTTGTGCGACTGGTGGATGGCCGCGGACGAGGCTTCGCCTTCGGAATAATAGACATCGACAAGGGATAGGGTTGGAGTTAGGAGGGGGATCAGCAAATGATCGTAAGCTTAGTGGTGCTGGAGCAGGACTGCTAGACATCAAGTCTATTGTTGACACTATTGGTCGAGTTTCTGAAGGTCCCAGTAACTACTTCATTACTCCGGGGAATTCTCACTGGATCATACTTAGATATCGTCAGTTTTATCAACCTCATCCTCAGAAATTCTATCGCTAGCTTATTTATCATTGGTGTTTATTTGCCTTGAAAATTTACAAAATTGGAATAGTTTACTCCGCGTTGCAGAATCACCGAGCATAACTTACTTCCTCGTCGGAGATCTCTCGTCGATTCTTCTTCTTCAGCTTTGAATTTTCATTGTACGCTAGATCCCTGAGAGCACATGAATCCGTCAAATTCATTCGATTATTATTCCGGACGTTACACAAGACTGACAACAACCATGAACAGTGCTGACTGTGCCGTGAGTCAGTGACCAACACAGGTGAGTCCGAGATCCATACACCAATTGTCTTTAGTTAACTGTTAAAGATCCAGGTAGAGTCTAGACTAAGTAGGAGTTCTCCTTTTTGATCGACTGGCAGAAAGCCATCATTAACTAACTACATAATCTAATCAGGCAAATCCCCGACGCCATGGCGCGCTACTGTCTTTGCTGGTCGCAAAAAGTATGAGAGAAAATACCTCTCCGCCGCTCCATCCTGAGGCTGAGTAACACGATGCAACGGAGACTGCAGTTGATAGTTCGATAGGCGCTGCAGCGAGTTGCCCCCGTGCACCAAAGCGCAGCCAGGTTGGGGAGGCGGGATAAACACCCATTCGTTCTCAGGCGTGGGGAGACAGATCTGTAGGCCCCATTTGTCATAGAACAGAATCGTCAAGGTGCCACTATCGGTGTGTTTGTTTTCTTGCACCTCACTGGCCCTTTCTAGTGATGGCTCCGCGACGAGTTTGAATCCAGTCTCACTCGGCTCCCCGTCCTGATGGTAGTCCTCCAGGGGAAGGGTAAGCATGTCTGCAAGACATGACAAAAGCGTATGCGCTGCGGAGTGGCATTCATTGTGAAATGTGTTCAGCAGGGATGCCTCTTCCCCCAGCAGCTCAGGCAGGTGGAGAGTTCCTTGCTTCATTTCATCGTATGATATCTAATTCTCATTCTCGTTAGCCCTTGGACTCCATCGCTCCGATCTGGAAGGAACAATATACCTCAAACGACTCGTCGCTCTCGCAGAATTTATACCTAATGATTTCATGTCGGTTAACCTATCATCCTACAAATCCGGTTGGCGAAACAGAAGATAGCAGGGCAATACCCTCGATCACAGGAGGCCGGCTGATCCTTTCGGACATCCTTCACCTTCATTTCCCTCGGTTGCGCGAAATAGCGGCGCGCCAGCTGATAGATGTCCTCAGTTTGCGCCGCCAGGTTATTCGTAGCTGCGTGATTGCGAAAATCGAGATAGAAGAATCCTGGAGATTGCGCGGCTTGCAGGAGCCTCTGCGCTTCAGCGTGGTCCTTCGTATTGAGCCGCTCCAGATCAATGGTCACAGGGGGGGTCGACCGGTCGTCGTCTGTTCGAGTCATCTTGGGGCCAAACGACCTGGTTCGAGGTGTGTATCTCGTCTATGTAGTAAGGTTTGAAACCTACAGATGAATGGAAAGGATTTCTGTGCAGGAGGATGAGACAGGCCCTCCGGCTTGATGGAGATATAAGTACGCGGTTTCACAGACTATACACTCCTCTAGGACCGTATTGGCTGGCATTTTCATTTGCACGCTACGAAGTAATACTTCCCCTCATCTGAAATGACAGACTAAAGAAGTACTAAGAAGCAAAATATAATACAATCATAGAGTAGGATGAGTAAAATAGAACAAAGGTGTGTATGGCGCAGTCTAGTCTTCGTCAGCTCCGTCATGCAGCTATTTTAGCGACTGGTATACGCAGATTGCGCGTTTGAACGGCCTGTCCAGAACACTCTTCATGGGTCTAGATAATGTATCCTCAGCCGTCAAATGGCTAGGGGTTATATTGGTCGACTAGCTATGGTCCAGTATCAGAGGATCCTTTCGAAACGTAAATCCATGAGAAAGTAGCGGGTCTGTCACAAAGAACACCATGTTACCACCAGTATATCAGACAGCATGTTGATCAGGCCTGTTCTACAGTGGCTGCTGGAACAGGCCAATCTTCAGGGTATCCGCGCAGGTCTGACTCGCGCCACTCCGGGCTGCTTTCATAGATCTGCCGCAAAGGCTCCAGCACCTCGATAAGGCCAGATGCCACGGCGGCCTTCAATGAGTCAGGAGGAATGCGGTGCGCCCTATAGTCCTGCTCGAGGTCTTCATACGACCGGTAGTGCTGATGCTCCTCACAGCCACCGTCTCCATCTCGTCGAACGGAGACACTGAAAAGGGTTCCGGGTTGAACGTCCAGACCATTGAAGGGGGCCTGTCCACCTTCACGGTGGCCGCTCACCTCATCAGCCGTGTCCAATTCACCGGAAAGAGCCTGAGGGAAATCCGCCAGATGTAGCTCCCTGAGCGGCATCAAAATATGTTGCACAATGGGTAGGATAGCGTTGCCCTCGACTACGCCGATGGGGCATGCAGCTCCAGCGATCTTTTCTTGGATCGTATTCGCATCATCGAGGAACATGATTTTCGTATGAGCCGCATAGGATGAGGACATTTTGTCCCCAGTCAGACCAGGTAACATTTCATTCAGGACATGGGCCCGTTTGGGATACCCAAGCCGAGGAAGAAACTCCTCGCCGAACTCAAAGATGCCGCGCTGTGGTTTTGGCATCAGTTAGCTAGCCATTGTCCAATTTCCAAGTCAGGCTACCTACCTGGTCCTTTCCGCCCAGCTGCACATCCACTGCTGAGTGCACCTCGGCCAATTCTTGAAGGATTGGCGTGAGGAGGGGGCTTAGCATGGTCGAAGATCCGACCTCCGCGCCTGTTCTCCGAACATCATGCAGGGAAGACAAGGCGCAAAGCTTCCAGAAGTCCACCGAAAATGAATAGGTTCCCTGATATGTGGACGCTTGCACAATTTGAACCTTCGACAGGGGAATCCCCACTACTTTCAAGGCAGCCGTGATCAAAGCCTGATAGTACGCAGTGCGGTGAAGGACTTGTTCCCAGGGAATTTTGTAGTTCACAAGGAACGCGTACGTGTCGGTGAGTTCCACGATGACCTGGAAAGGGTCAGCTCCTCGCGGCCTTGAGTTGGAGGAGGGGATTTACCTCGCCACCCGCTCGAATGAAATCAGCAAACTTGAGCAATGGGATCAAGTATCCAATGTGTGCTATCGTTCGTCAAGTCAACTCTCAGACTGGAATCCATATCGACACCCGCGGACACTCACGCTTTCCTGTTGGCGCCGTGACTGATTCATGTGGCACAGTGGTCAGTGACATAGATACCTAGGGAGAAGTCGGGCCTGGGGGCTCTCAATATACTCCATTGATATTTGACTACTTCTCGCCTGCTGAGGACAGCATGCAACTGCTGTACAGTCGTCTCAGTTTGAACCTCCAGCCGACGGGTCACCAGAGCATATTTCTGCTCAATCTCTAGAGATGTGGACATGATAGGTAGTGAAAGGGCAAATATAAAGAGGAAGGGAACTAAGCATCCAAATGGACCACATATCCAACTGCGTAAGCTTCATAGTTATATATATGTGATTAGAGTAGTACTCTCACCCTGACCTTATCAGATTACCTGCCAGACCAGGGGTGGTCTTCCAACACGCAGTTAATATGACCCCCAGGGCCCATATGGTCTCGAAACGATCTATCAACAACCAGCGCCCCTCCCCCCCTGCGTCTCTCTATACCATGCGTCTATCTGCCGACCTTTCCTCCCTCGACTTAGTACATAGAAATGCCAGCTCTTTCTGTGATACCTTCGACGTCTGAAGTTTTATACTGCATGTTAGATTTCAAGATAGGTCAAGTTGGCAGTTAATAATTTGTTGACTACCTAGATAACCAGGTACTTAGCTAGGATTAGTTAGTAGGCGGTGATGCAGATGGAAACCAACTTAACTAACTGATAGTTAGAAGCACTGCCGTTAATAAGCTGACAGAGGCGAGATAAGAAAATGCTGGCTTCAAAAGAAGGGCTTTTTTTACCTGCAGGTTGCTAGACTATTCTCAGCTCACTCCTTTGGAACACTGCGACACAGTATTGTAACCCTGGCTGCAGCTTATAAGTTAATAGTGCTTATAACTGACGCGCCAGTAAGTACACGCGGGGTATGGTTATTTAGAGACTTGGGAGAAACCGGAGAAGAAAGGCTCGTTATCAAGGCTCTTCCTCTAATCCAAATACTAGTCTTCTTGACACATCGCCATGGTGCTTGGGGCCCGCCCCGCAGAAGACAGGTGGCTATGGACATCGAGATGCGGAATTCTACCATAATCCTGCCTATTATTATGCACAGCTATCCTATTTCTGATTGGCCAAATTCGTTTTATGATTGCTCTGTCAGGGACAGGGGTTGAATCACGTGACCCTTTCCCAATTACTCTCAAAGCAACAGATCGCTAGATCCCCTGATGAGAACACATGCCCGTCGATATGCCCAAGACACGACGACTCCTTAGAGGCCAAGAGATAACTTACTCTGTTGCCAAGGAACTAGAATCAAATGTTCTTCATCGATTGACATACTATGAACAGCAGAACCGTTTCTTTACTCATCTTAGCGAACGGCGCGAATGGATAAGAACCATTGTTGCTCACCATCTGGGTCTAAAATCATCTGCCAAATGTCATGTAGGAGAAATGCAAGACTGGCGACATGGCAGCTTTAATGTCTGTATCCCCGTGATAGTGGATGATTGGAATGGAAGTCGTGTCCTCGTCCGGTTTCCTCTTCCATACCGCGTGGGTGAAGCTTTTAACCCTGGCAATAGCGATGAGAAAATTCGATGCGAGGCAGGGGCCTATGCGTGGCTTCAAGAGAACTGTTCAGATGTGCCAATTGCGAAATTGTATGGCTTCGCATTGTCTTCTGGCGAAACTGTGGGGAACCGAAAGCACCCCGTTGTCTCGTTATCTCGTGCTAACTGCGTCCAGTTCACTCGATTCGAATACTTACCAAGATTTGCTCGATATTTTCATATCTTACGTTGCCGGCTTCTGTCGTGGCTAGGATATCCGACACCTTCGAGCTACGTACGTCACCAGTACACTGATCAGCTTTCAAGTGATGTAGGAGGTACTGGCTATCTTCTGTTGGAGTATATTGAGGAGACCCAAGGGAAAATGCTCTCAGAAACATGGATAGATGGCTATCATAATGCCAAGCTGCGAGCAAACTTCTTCCGTGGCCTTTCTCGAATCCTTTTAAGCATTTCCCGGATTCCCTTGCCCAAAATCGGTTCTTTCATAATCGATAGCAATGGATTCTTATGTCTATCGAATCGACCACTTTCGGCTGAGATCCATCAGCTGGAGAATGAGAACATCCCGACAGAAATGCCTCGCAACTACACATATTCGACTGTTGATTCCTACGTTCTGGACGAGCTATCAATTCATGACAGTCGATTTCGAAATCAACCCAACGCCGTGAATGACCTGGGAGACTGCGCCTATCAACTTGCCGCACTAAGTGCAATGCGAACAGTCTTCCCACCATTTTTCAGGAGAGATTTTCGTCGCGGCCCGTTCACATTTCACCTGACGGACCTTCACCAGAGTAACATATTCGTGGATTCTGAATGGAATATAACTTGTCTCGTTGATTTGGAGTGGGCTTGCTCCAGACCAATCGAAATGCTGATGCCCCCTCACTGGCTGACAAACAAGGGTATAGATCAGCTGGAGACGTCAGAATACGATTCTATCCGGACAGAGTTTATGGACATACTCACCGAGGAAGAAAAGGAGCATAAACTCGAACTCGCTACATCGAGAGAATCTCATAATGCAGAACTATCTCTGTATCTTTCAGATATAATGAACCGAACTTGGGAGACAGGTACTTTTTGGTACACGCTTGCGCTTTCTAGCCCTTCTGGGCTTTTCAGAATTTTTGACGAGCATATTCGACCTCTGTTTTGCTCCAAATACGGCGAAGAATTCAATCTAGTCATGCCATTCCTTTGGGAGAAAGATATTGCTTATGTTGTTCGAAGCAAAATCTGTGACAAGAAACAGTATGATGACGAGCTCCGGGAAGCATTTGAAGACTAGTTTTGTCACAAGACCGGACGTCTCATGGATTCTAATTACTATATTTTCTCCTTCTGATCTTTTTTCCCTCTATCCCTTCAAATTGATCTTTCACGGATCCATTGACCAACGCTAATCTGGCAATATCTGTGACTAGGTCTCCTGCAGACAATCCGCGAAATCTCACAGCAATCGGCTCCAGACAAGTCGAACTCCTCCAACTGCTGATTGATTACATTGAAGAGGCTTCTACACCCGTCTAGCAACGTCTCGAGCCACTATTGCAAGACGGAAAGATTACCTGTAATCTTTTGCCCGCACTGTTTAAGCCCAGTATTTTGCTGTACACCAGATGCTTCAGTAGCGAGAAACCACAAGGTGTGATCTTTGATGCTGGCGAGGAAGCCACGCAGAAGGGTGCGACCTTTTTTAAGTGGCCAAACAGGAGAGGAGTTGTACTCACTTCCTATTTAAAAAGCCAATATCACTTCGTATATTCAACTATGGACCCAAGTCTAGTGGCAATGTTTATATAGAGAGAGATCTGAAATACACGGGCACCACGTTATTCAGCTTTCTGTACTCGTGCAATCGGCATCCATCATCACAAAAATGCAACTACTGTCTCGGGGGACTCGAGCTAGCCCGTCATTGAGATTGTCGGTAAGGACAAAGATCCAAACAATACGTAGTGGTATATAGCAAGCAAGTAGCGACCACCACCTTATAGTAAGGGTGCCTCTTAACTCGAAAATACCGCTTCTTAGGCCGGGAACAAATTATTCCGTGAGATATGAGGCCCCTCATTCATCGTGTTGTAGTTTGGAGACCCCAGTCCCCGCTTCGTACAGTCCAAAAAATTCTCCGGGATCAGATCTCGAATTTTCCCGAAGTACTTGACTAGAGTATATTTCTATTTATCCGGAAGAAAAGTGATAGATAACCACATGCATCGCAGCTCTAAGTAACGTGAGCCACTCATTTGGTATGTTAATCTGTTCCTGAGAAATGATCTCTGCAATTCTCACAATGCTCGCCGTCAGTGCCACTGCACTGGGGGCTAACAGCACTTACATCAATCCCATCCTACCGGGCTTCCATCCTGACCCCAGTTGTATCTTCGTGCCATCATGGGACAAGACTTACTTCTGCGCTTCGAGCAGTTTCAATGCCTTCCCAGGGATACCGATCCATGCCTCGCGGGACCTGCAAAATTGGAAACTCATCGGTAATGCCATCTCTCGCCCAGAAATGCTGCCTGCATTGGCCACAACAAATCGGAGTACAAGCGGAATCTGGGCGCCAACTCTACGGTATCGTGAAGAGAAGGGCCAAGGGAGATTTTGTATCAGTACGACTCTAGTATTTGATGATTTGCCAAAGGACAATGTTTCAAGATGGGATAACTTCGTGATCGCCACCGATAATCCTTATAACTCGACTAGCTGGACGGATCCAGTACATTTCGAATTTGGCGGGTACGACACATCCCTCTTCTGGGATGATGATGATGATGGGCAAGTATACGTCGTAGGAAGCCACGAGTACAGTGTCTGGCCGGGTATCCAACTCGCGACGATAGATCTACAGAACGGCAAAACAGGCCCATGGTCGAACCCATGGAATGGCACTGGTGCACTCGCGCCAGAAGGGCCACATATCTACAAGAAAGATGGCTTCTACTATCTCATGCTAGCAGAAGGCGGAACTGGACTTGGTCATATGGTTACTATGGCGCGTTCCCAGCATGGAATTCAAGGTCCATATGTACCCGCACCGCACAATCCTCTTTTGACCAACGCAAACACGAGATCTTTCTTCCAGACCGTTGGCCATGCGGACCTGTTTCAAGATGTTCGTGGAAACTGGTGGGCTGTTGCATTATCCACTCGTTCGGGACCCGAGTTTCTGAATTACCCGATGGGGAGAGAAACTGTCTTGACTCCTGTCACTTGGGATCGAGGTGAATGGCCAATATTCACCAATGTCAGTGGAATAGAGAATGGATGGGATCTTCCACCACGGGCACTGGTCCCACATGGTGAAGGCCCATATGTTGATTCTCCCGATCATCTCACTTTCCCTCCAGGCTCTTCGATCCCAGAACATCTGGTACACTGGCGCCTCCCAACACCAGATACTTATCTTGTCTCTCCACCCGGGTATGACAATTCACTCGTTCTACGCTCCTCTATCTTGAACCTAACAGCCTATGATGGGTACTATACCGGGGGACTAGGTCAAACTTTCATCGGACGACGTCAAACAGATAATCTATTCACGTACACATTAGACGTGAACGCATCTAGCCTCCGCGAAGAAGAAGACGAAGTAGGCGTATCTGTATTCCTAGTGCAGCGCTATCATTTCGAGTTGGGAATTGTCCTTCTCTCTTCTTCTTCTTCTTCTTCGTCGTCGTCGTCGTCGAAGAATTCAACAATCCCAACGCCTCACTTCCGCTTCCGTGGAATATCCAACACTTCTATTCCAGACACCATCGTCCCTTTCCCATCATACATGTCTCTCGACACGGCTATAACAATGGAAATCAAAGCTTTTAATTGGACGCACTATTCCTTCTCCGCGGGGCCTCGCGATCAGAGACATCTCATGCAGACGTATGGATACGCGAGAGGTTCGCAGATGAGTTGGGGGTTTACGGGGACGCTCGTGGGGCCGTATGCCACTACGAATGGGAGGAATGGGAGTGTTAATGGGGAGTTTAGTGTTGCTGTTAGTAATTGGACGTATACACCGCAGGGTCAGATTATTAATTAGCATTGCGATGGTATACTTTGTCTTCGGGATCCTTTTTTGGATAATGAGGATCGGTTAGTTTACTAAGTACTGGGCTGCAGAAGGATACCAAGTACGAAAAGGCTACAAGCATGCTTTCTTTTTTCACTCACTCAGTATACTGACTCCCTACATCGTATTATCGTCACCTTAGAGTGTGGACGGAATTTTGACGGGTCACGTTTTACTTGGAATAGTTCCATTGCTACACAGACATTGGCTAGGTCGTCGTGATCAACGTGGAAGTGACCGATCAACTGCATCACTACTACTAAGACACACATCACCGCTCCATCGATGTCGAGCTGAATAAAGTAGAAAGAATCTGTCAAACAAGGAATTCACGCAGGTACCCGGACATGGCCATTAGCTGTTTCCAGCATAGACAGGGCCATCGTCCGATTCCAAGAGCTTCACGCCCCTTTCGGAAATAGGATACAGTCGTAAAAAGCAAGAGACTACGCAGAGGCATCGCATACATAGATCCGCTGAGACGTGCAGGTTGGCATCTTAGTGCCTACTTGGGTTGCTGGGAATTAAGCCATCCGAACGCAGAAGCGCCTCCAACTGGGTTAAGAGATCGAGTTTTCGTCGGCCATGGTCCATCTCCGGACTTGGTACTGGCCGACCGACTCGGGGTCGGTTGGAAAATCTCGGGCGAGCCAGCAGATGCCGGCTGGCTTGGTCGACGATTTTCAGGAGGATTGGGATTCGTATTCTCAGAGCTAGAGCCCGCGGTAGGCGTGGATACAGCACGGTTCGAAGAAGAAGATTTAGAAGGCCGCAGAACTTTCATTGCGCGGCCACGCGTTGACTTGGACATTCCGATAGCATTAGCGTCTGTCTTTGAGTCACGTCTCCAAGAACTCCAGACGCTTGTATTCTCTGGTCTGCACTGCGCATCGAGCGAGGAGTCATTCCCTGCGGCAGACTTTGGATGCGTCTGTTGCAGGCTTGCGTCTTCTGGCGGCTCATGCGAATGTGAAGAACTAGATTTGGGGCCAACCTCATAGGTCTCTTTCGAAACCGGTGCTATTGCTGCTTCAGACAAGTTCTCCTGCAGTGTAGCCGAAGCAGGACGGCTAACCGCTCCCACTACACTCCCATTGGCATGGTAGTGCCCATTCGTGTCACGTCGTCCTGCGCCCTCATGCCAAGATTTGTCCGCGACAGTTGTCAAACAATTGAAAACTGAATCATTCTCAGGCCTAACAAGAGGGATAGATATCTTGTTCCTTTCGTCATCCACCATGAGGATCTTGTCCTGAGAGAACATGATATCAGCATTGTGGGAACGAAGGATGTCGCTTCCGAGAAAGATCTGGATTCCTTTGTCGGTGGGGTCGATCTCGCGGATAAGGAAGCGAATTGTCAAGGATGGAAGCTGCGGAGTAGGGCTACCAGCACGAGAGGATGTCTGATGAACACTGGCTTCCGGAAGATATACTGGCAGTTTTATGCAACGTAGGTCGCCATCTTGGATGATGAGATCCTCCAGGCCGAGCCTCTCGATCATGGGATAACAAAGAAAGGAAGTATATGATCCAGAGCAAACAGCGGCATAGAGCAGAGAATCATTGGAAAAGTTTGTTGTTAGCCAGCAGCGGATGATGCAAGGCACAGGGCCCAGTATGAAAAGCCCGGGGGGAGGTGTCATAGCAGTCGAAGGGGACCCGCTTGCGGAACCCATCAGCCTGCTGGTATCGAGGCCAAGACTGTTGGTTCTGGCTGAATGATGTGACTGACCAGATGAGCTCTGTCTGCCGTCTGACCTATGCGATAAGGATCGTTCGGTCAGAGGATGGCCGCTCATGCCACTGCTCGTCCTCAAGGGAAGCTCGCTACTCGATCGATTCACCTGCCCATAGTATCCATGTATGGCACTCTCATCGAATCGAACACTGTTCGCTCTTGAGGCTCCTCTTCTAGGTTCATCCTCCCCATCCAATGCCATAGCGCTGACGAGACCTGGCTGGTGTCCTTGATCGAAGCCGCGAAACGCTTCAGCAGCTGGGTTGAAAGGAGTTTCAACTTTTATTCCGTTAGCCAGAGTCCTGCGGCCTTGAAGTAAGTTGAAAGAAGTGCTTACCGGGAGGTATGACGCCCGCAACGCTGCTCGGGAAAGGAGACAAAGGACCCCAGACACTTTTCAATCTCGCATCGTCCTCCTTGCGGCGTTCCAATCTGGCAATCCGCTCCCCGTGTTCGATTTGCGTAGCGTAGAGATCCTTGACTTCCTCAAATACGCGCCAGATGTCTTCCCGCGACGCAAAAGGGTACTGAGCATCCATAGCGGGTAACAGCCAACAACAAATCTTCCCCTCACGGCAGACAGCTTTCTGCCAGGCACAGCCACGCAGTCAGGACTCAGAAGTTGCCGTGTTAGGAAGAAGTGATGAGCTTCAGACCTGTTCCCAACAGCCTGTAGTATACCTGGAATGGCCCCGCGGTCCTATCCTTGCAATCCCGTGCGTCCCTGATATCCTCCTCCCACCTTCTCTGCGAGACGGCCTCACGGCCGTCCACCCAATCCCGTACTGATTCTCAAGTATCCAAATCGATGTTTAACATAAAACGTGTCCTATGCACTTATTAAACACAAATAGGTGCCCGGTGGCAGCTAAGGTCGAAGAGGAGTGTAGCGAGTGAGCGGAAGGGGTGGAAGTCGCCCGGTGTGCAGTCCGATGTGTTTCGATTTGTAAACCAGTGATACCGTTGGCTGATTGTCGATATGGATGATACGGTAATCGTACGTAGCAGACACTAGAAGAACTCTGCTCAAAGGGATGGTACTAGATCGACGACTTTTGTGTACAGAACTGACTGATAGTACGAGCTGTTCCGGGGAGACGCGAAGTGGCGACCGATCCTAATTACCCGGGAGTTCGTTTGGTGACTCGCTGAGAGGTTTAAAAGCAGTGTGAAGGACGGATCCAAGTGTTCAAGTGTTTGCGGGAAAGGGCAGAGGTGGTGATTATAATTGCGAGACTTCAAGTTAGCCAAGCCGTCGAGAGACCTGGGGTTGCGGAGGGGAGAGTTTGAGCTTGGGGTCTTTGTCTCATTCGGATCTAGACCGCTTGCCACTGGTACCTGTTCAACCCACGACATAAGTTACAAGCAAAAGAAAGAGGCTTTAACAACTTTCCGGCCCCCTTATTTAGATACTTATATGGCTAATTTACACCTGCGGTGGCCTTTTTTTCAAAAAACCCAAAGGCTTTTCCCCAGCTTTTACTTACGCCCCTAAAGTCCCAGGTTACCGCCATCCGTCCCCGCCAAACGAAGAAAGCCTCCCAAAATGTCCCCATAAGGCTCCTCATTTTGGGGCCTGTTCCCATCCAGGGAAAACCATGGGGAGTTGCTCCGGATCCTGATCGGGGTATGCCGTCCGAATAACATTTAGCACCTCATTATACATGATTTTGTAACCTTCCGGTGTGAAATGCAAGCCTGTCAAGTAATATGAGTTAGCTGTGCAAGAGATAACCCGTCGGATCAGGACCAACCATCTGATAGCAAACTTGCGAGGATTTCGTTATTCGGGAGATCCCTGGATCCAACTAACGGTTGTCCTTCCTGCCAACCAGCAGCTTTCATGAATGCGGTCCAAATATCGACCACTGGTATACCAAGAGAGGAACCGACTTCACGACAAGCATCTGCGTAGAGTTTTGTATTTCCCGCAGTTCTGCTCGGGCTCGAGAATCCTTTCCGCGCATCGAAGCCTACCAGTTGGTGTTCATTAATAGGCGGTGCTGTGAGCAGCAAGATCTTTGGGGCCTGAGCTACGGTCGCAGGATGCTTTATGATCGCCTTCAGATTTTCCTTGTACTTTTCAAGTGGCACATGTTGAGCGAAGTTTGGCAAAACCGCATCATTGGCACCAAAGAAAATTGTCTGGGCCAGTCAGTGTACGCTCAGATTACACTACAAAGAGTGCAAGGATGGGGTTTACCATAAGTCGAACGCGCACTATCTGGGGTGCTGGGAAGAATTTAGGAAAGACTTTGATGGCATGCGCGGTAGTGTATCCTCTTGAGTAGAGTCAGTCTGATGATGGTAAAAACACGACGGGGATAGAGAAAGGTATACCTGAACCCTCGGTTGACGACATCGAGGCGTCTGCTATAGGCTTTTGTAGGTATTAGCCTCAGCGCACATATTCACATCTGGAAAGGGTAATCAAAAAGGGATAGTATATAGCTTTCTTTCAAGATCGCATGCATGTTCATACTCGGAGAAAAAGGGCATTGGGGGGGCTAAGACATGACGACGCAGATTCCCTGCATTCGTACTTACAATTTTGCAAGGCTGGGTGGAATCCAAACCCCTGCTCCTGATTACAAGAGAACTCAGTCAGGGAGTCCCCAAAGAGGATAAACTGGTCGTAAGGAAGACACGACACAGACTTCTCCAAATCACCTAGGACGGGCTCGTCGGTCGACATCCTCTCTGCAGAAGATGTGCTAGCGTCCCAAAAAATCTCTCTGAGAAAAAAAGGAAATGATAGCAAGAACAATCTATACAGAAAATTCGATTATACGATAGCCCGTCCCCCGCGCGGATTAATATATTGAATTTCCCCAGGGACGGGAGTCTTACATCAGATGCCTGAGCTCTCTCCAACTTCCCAATTGTTGGAGTGGGGGGCTCTTTCGTCCCAAGGTTTTTTTTTTCTTTTGTGGCTACGGTCGTTAGACTCATTACTGGTCAACAAGAGGCTCGTGCCGTTGCCCCGAATCTGTCACGCGTTCGGCCAGTTGCTGCTCCTTTGTTCGAAATACAATATGTTTTCTTGTCCAACATCAACCGAAGAAGCGGTCCTCTTTCAGGAGTTCTCCATGGCTTTTCTTCGGGGGTTCCCACTGGGCCTGTCATTAGTGTCCGTTGTGCCGGTCCGTTGTTTTCCAAACTGGTGCAGGTGGGAAGCGACTATAACAATTTTTGATCCACATCTAGCTTTTTTTCCCTTTTTCCTATGCTGAAAGCTGCCTATTACTATTATTGAAATGGGCTGCATTGACAATCATTACTCCTTATCAACTTGACATTGAAGTGCTATTGTCTGCAATGTAAAATTAGGCTAGTTCTGGGCTACCTGCATATTGCCCCTGTAGATTGCTACTCCAGGTAGAGGAACTATCGCATGGTAACTGCATGATCGCATGTCCTCGAGAATCCATTGCTCTCTTTTCTACTACGTTTGATCCGAGGTATACACTAGGCACAAAAGTAATACACATCAGACAATTTGGGGTAATTGATTCCAGCTGTTCATGAACTGGCTTTCGCATCAATGGCCCTTCGTGTCATGTCCCTGAGATGCTGTAATGTGTTGGGTTTCTGTTTTCTGGATACTATGTCACATATAGCAGCAATTCTGTACCGGGATTAGCACGCCAGTGCAGTCACTTCAGGAAGTTCAGATAATCGATGCCCCTATTATTCTCAATAGTATTGTTGGGGGGTTTCCCGGAGAAGAGGTTTTCGGAGAAATATGGCGATCCCTGGTGCGTCTATGCAATGTATTACTATGCATAGTCCGTAGAAGCACTATAACCAGATATCTAGACGAGGAACGGTCCAGGAAACTCCTGCATGCCCTTTATAGGAGATTTTCACACGGATCTATCGCGAGACAGCGTACGAATCGATATAGCTTTTTGCCCTTACACGTGTACTCCGTACTCCGTAGATCAAGCGACAAGCAGTGACCCACAGTTTAGCCGGATCAAAGACCACTTGATGGTCGCTGCCAAATAATAATAACTCCGCCAAGCGGTCTTTCAACGCCTGAGTGAGGCTCGAGATATTGTTAACGGCCACCAAGCGAACAGTGCTGCTGGTCTCAGCTAAGTTAGCTAACAGAGCAGCATGCTCAATTGATTGGCAGCTTCCTCTGTTCGGTGTCATTCCAAGATCTCGCGAATATTCTTTTTAGACTAGTCCTTGCATCAAGTTGTCTCTGCTGTTTTCAAGCCGCGCACTTATTAGCATAGAGTACTCCGTACCGAGGAATTTTATTTCTCTCTGTCATCTGGGTGTGCATGCAGTGGACCCTAAAAGTCGGCAACATCTGCAGAGGATCTCGCGATTCCGCTTTCGAAGCAAGCCATACATCTGAATGCGCGACGCGATAGGACTCGAAACGACTAGCATGACGCCTAAGAGACGGGCCGTCCGGTTGATCTGGGTCTCTGAGACGGCATGGACTGTAGATAACTTAGCTAGTTGGCCGATTGGTAATAATAATATGCTCCCACACACTCACGTCGACCCTGATGGCAGCCGTCCGCGCGCAATAGAAACCAACAGAAAGCCTCCATCCCTTCATCATCGTAGCCGTGGATGCGCAACGATGGCAGCCGTATGGTAGATGCAACGCGGGGTTGGACCAAGCGTGCAAGTCAGGGTTCAAACGATCGGATAGTAGTTCTAGTAGCTCGTTGCCTGTCCGAGTTTAAGGGCAATCGCGGGTCCGCCAAAAGGTCCAGCGACTTCGCCGTGTGGACAATCGCGGTCAGATGACGCCAACCCGCGCTGCTTGTCTTAGGTGCGTATGGTCATCGGGCAAGGTAAATAACTGCCTTTTCCATCCATCCGCTTAGAGATCATCCTCTTGGTTAACTGTGTCGTTATCTAGTCGCGCTGGTCTGGGATTGATCCTAGTAGGGTTGCCCCGTCTGGAGGTGTTTAGGCGGAGGATCCGGAAGAGCACCGCGTATCCCCATCCTTTTATTATTTGCAGCGGTCCGCAGACGCTCTCTTTTGTCGAGGTAATTAGATATTACTCCATCTCCTGCACTATTCTGGAGGGGCATGTCTGCCTGGAAGCACCTGCGTTGCCTCTTCAGCTTCTCCGGCGGTGGTCCATGACCACCTAGTTAACTATCTACTGTCGTTGCTAACTAACTCATGCTAGTGATCTAGAGTAGCTACGGGCTCACCGGAGCTTTGTTTGTGGTTGAATCCCTCTTACAAGATGCCGCGATCTACTACCTCTGTTCCCCAGACAGACGATGAAGAGAACGATTATAATGGAGAGCCGACACGAGGACCGATGACAGCCCCTCCGTCTCCTTCCTTGGAGCGGAGGTTGTACAGTCGATTTGCAGACTTCGATGATGCTGGCAGTCGTTCTACAGCCATACGGGAGGATGTGGATGAGACGACCAGTCTTCTTGGGAGCGGACGTCTAAATCCCCGGGGACACACGCAGCGATCGTATACCGGTCTCCCGCAAGCTCCTCGCCCGGGTTCCTTTTTCAGACATAACAGTGCTGTGGGCAGCGTTCGTCGATCGAGGAACCACAGCCGTACGAACTCTCAGGCGATACGGTTCAGTCGGAGTGGCAGTCCAGTGATGACGAGGCGGCAAAGTACCGCAGATAACTCGAAGGACCCCATGATGAGTTCCTCTTTCCTGGATGAACGGGCATGGTACGATCAGTTTACTTCGACGGACTGGGTCCACGACAGTATCTCCGACGGTATTCGTCTCCGAGAGCTCAGAAGCAGGAGAGATGTCCGTGGACGATTACTGGCCTTGTTCGATAGTGCGCAGGGTTGGATACTTGTCGCAGTGACGGGATGCATTACTGCCGCTATTGCATACTTTGTGGATGTGAATGAGAATTCCATTCATAGCCTCAAAGAAGGCTTCTGTACGTCAACATGGTTTCTTAGCAAGGCCAACTGTTGCAAGGGCGAGGAACAATGTCACGCATGGCGGTCTTGGTCCCAGATTCTAACGCCGTCGGGGGTAGAGGACCAACGAGTGGACTTCGTGATGTTCGTATTTTGGGCCACTGTACTTGCAACGGCATCATGCTGCTTGACGCTACTCACCAAGACCGTTGTTCCTTCTTCTGTCGCGCTGACGACGCTTGATGAGAATTTGGGAGCTGACTCCCGTCGGGCAAAGAACGGCGAAACAATCGACGACCCCAAGTCAAACAACAGTCCGACCAGAGCATTAACTGCCATACAAGGGCGTCCAGACATGGTCTACTATTCCGCGGCCGGCAGTGGGGTCGCGGAAGTGAAAGTCATATTGAGTGGCTTCGTTCTGCATGGCTATCTGGGATTAAAGACTTTGATCCTCAAGACGCTGGCCCTTATCCTGAGTGTCTCATCGGGTCTCAGCTTAGGAAAGGAAGGCCCTTACGTCCATATCGCCACGTGTGTGGGCAACATCTGCTGTCGCATGTTCTCGAAGTACCATCAGAATGACGGGAAGAGACGCGAGGTACTGAGTGCCAGCGCTGCCAGCGGTGTCGCTGTTGCCTTTGGTGCACCAATTGGGGGTGTCCTTTTCAGCTTGGAGGAAGTCAGGTATGCTTTTCTTGTCATCTGTTCCCCGGCTCTATACTCACAGGATGTTATAGCTATTACTTCCCCCCAAAGACATTGTTCAGAACATTCTTCTGCTGCATAGTATGTCGATGAATTCCGCGTTCCTCGTTCTGTTGACGCTAATGAAACTATAGGCCGCTGCTCTGTCTCTGAAGTTCCTTAACCCCTACGGCACGGGTAAGATCGTTCTGTTTCAAGTGCGGTATGTGTCAGACTGGGAGATGTTCGAGATGATACTCTTCATTGTTCTTGGTATCTTAGGCGGTGCCTTGGGGGCACTTTTTATCAAAGCTTCCAGTCTGTGGGCGCGTTCTTTCAGACGCATACCCATTATCAAGAAGTGGCCCGTCCTCGAGGTTGCCCTCGTTGCTCTGATCACGGGTATTACCAGCTTCTGGAATCGTTATACCAAATTAGCCGTGGCTGAGCTGCTCTTGGAACTCGCAAGTCCATGCGGCAAGAATGAAGAAGCGCGGACGGGGCTGTGCCCTGACGAGGACGGCATCATGGAGGTCGTACGATATCTACTGGTTGCATTTGTCATAAAGAGCCTGTTGACTACAGTCACATTTGGTATCAAAGTCCCAGCAGGTATCTATGTGCCGTCCATGGTTGTCGGTGGTCTTATGGGCCGTATCGTTGGCCATATTGCACAATACTTCGTTGTCAAATATCCAACCTTTTTCCTTTTTGGAGACTGTCCGAATGGTCCGGGGATGGAATCTTGTGTGACACCAGGCGTTTATGCTCTCATAGCTGCTGGTGCAACCATGTGTGGTGTAACACGGCTATCGGTCACCTTGGCTGTTATTCTGTTTGAATTGACAGGCAGCCTGGACCATGTGCTTCCTTTCTCGATTGCAGTCCTCTGCGCAAAATGGACTGCGGACGCTATTGAACCGATGAGCATCTATGTAAGATCCCCGATGTACTATTCTGGTTTCTCTGCTGACCTTGCTAGGATTTATTAACCGATATGAACGACTACCCTTTCCTGGACAACAAGATGCATCCCTTGTGTGATGCCGAACTGGGAGATATCGTGCCTCCAGTGCGACAGAGTCGTATCATCGACATCTCGAAATCTCCTCTGGTGCCCGCTCGGGAACTGAGAGAGAAGCTCGACCATCTGTTAGTGGTTGGCGAACTTGACAGCGGTCTGCCCATAGTCCGAAATGACGTGCTAGTCGGATTGATACCTGTCCCCGATCTTGAGTTTGCACTCGACAAGCTAAAGGACGAGGAAAGTGCCATGTGTATCATGTCGGCAGATACTTCGTGGGCGGCATTCGACAGTGACGATGACAACAGGCCCGGCCCTGCCGATTTCACGCCCTATATTGATCCGGTATGCTATCCTATTCCTTCTGTTTCTATGCGGAAATACATACTAAAACCTCCAGGCTCCTATTGCTCTCGATATACATTCCCCCGTCGACTTGGTTTACCAGTGCTTTGTCAAATTGGGCCTGCGCTACTTATGCGTCCTCCAGGATGGACAGTACGCCGGGCTCGTCCATAAGAAGACATTCGTCAAATTCATGAAGGAACACGAAGAGTCTTAACTGCATTTAACTCATTCGGTCTAGAAACGTGCAACATGTGAATCTTGCAACTGTTGCTTTTTGGGGGGCTAGTTTCTGTTACTGCTAGCGTGTCATTTTCTTGCTCATCGACATTATGAATGATGAATCATTTGCCATACATCGGGTCAACTTCCTCGTCTTTCTGTTATTGCATACCACTGTGGTCATTTCCTTTTCACAGGCACTTGCAGTGGCTTTTCTGTACAATTGAATTTTGTTTGATACGCCTGCGTTTCAGGATTGCGGATCCATCGTCCATCGTCCATCGATACACGACAAGCTTGATGGTAGAAGAGGGGTGTTCTTGTTTGGTTTAGCATCGTTGCATGGCGGCGGCGCGATGCGATTTTGTCATGGCATTTTCCATCTGATATCCTATCTGCTCAGCCAGTTACATGGTTTGGATTCCTGTATTAGTTTAGATGTAGCACAACCTGTTTATATACTCCCGAGTATGGTTATCAAACATCTAGTTCTAGAAGTCGCCGGAGTGTGATTCCGACTCGAGTGCGGATAGGACCAACTCTGAATTGGTGCCTTCTGTTCCTTCTGTTTCACGCTTTATGTAATGCTGGTATTCGACGAAGAGCGCCTATATCTGCGCTTTCGGGTCAAATAGCTACCCTCCTGCACAACCTGCAGGGAAGACTCTATATCCCTTCTCGTTTCCCCCGGACTATCCTATGACGTCTTCTCATAGCCGACAATCTGGATAGCAACATCTCCGTCCTCCTTCCAGTCCGGGGAGACCGTCTCGCCAACCCAGTCTGCGACCTCGTCAGTAGTGGCTTCTCTCCAGCCCTTCGCCGGCGTCATATCGTCGACAGGGAAGAATGTATCGCATTCAAACGCCTGTTCTTTGCCTTCTGGCGTGTTCCTCCTCTTCACCTTCGTCATGACCACTCTTACTTGTAGACCTTCACGGCTCAATTGCAATGAAGAAGCATAGATCTCTCCACCACCAATAACGAACACCTTTCCCAATTTTTCCTGCTGCTCGAAATCTCTATGTAGTGTCTCCAACGCAGTGTCCAGACCAGAGCAAACGATCGCATCCGTGACCGGCTCCCATTTTCTCTTCTCCTCTCCATCCTTCTGCGCTGACGCTACCGCAGCAGCCTTTTTCGCCCGCTGCGTCTCCAGATCCGCCAACACCATACTCTGCACCGGTCCCGTCGCATTTCGCGACACAACAACATTTATCCTCTTCGCTAGCGGTCGCAAATGACCCGGTAAAGAAAGATACGTCTTCCGACCCATCACGATGGCATTGGTCGTTCCCTCTCGTGGCGGACGCGCCGTGACGCGCGCGAAGAAACTCATGTCGGATTTAATCCGCGGCCAGGGAAGGGTGCCGTTGAGACCGATTCCGAGACGCGTGATTGTCTTTCCTGTCGAGGGGCATGTTGTGCGCACGGGTGTTGTTGCGACAACGAGGATGAGAGTTTGTGTTGGGGCGGCGCGCATTGTACTGGATTCTCGCGGGGATGGTATGGTGGGAGGGTTGATGGAGTTGGACATTGTGGATTAGAGAGGACTCGAGGCTCTCTTGGGATATGGATATGGAGAGGCGTCAATGGCCTCTTTAGATGTCGTTCTCGGGGAAGGAGAGAGTTGTGTGGTAAACGGACGAGAAGACAAGGGAGCGCGTCACTCGCGTTTGGTGGTTTGGCGGGGGAGGATAAAACGGGCGGACTAGATGCGTAAGGTTGAAATGCGTGTGAAGCACACATTCAGATCATTTCTTTGTATTGGACTGGGAGAGGTGGGAATTATTATCACAGGTGTCTTTCTAGGATTCAGGTTCATATTTATTTTGCGTTTTTGTGCCTTCAGTATTGTCAATAATCTACCTGGGAGCGACAAGTACAGTACATACATATATACAAACGCAGTATCCCAAATATATTTATTCAGCATACACCAGCATGAAGGGAAATAGCACAAAGCCATAGACAACCATGTAGGACGCGCACTAGCACCGTACCTAATTCCCAACCGAGTATGACAGTATTTCCCTCAAAATAGCAAAAACACAGCAAGTTGTGAGCAGTGTAATAATTTCATATATACAGCAATCAAGAAGAATCGTTTGATAGTACATTAACCCGATAGGTACTCCAACAAATTGGCAAGATGGCCGAGTTGGTCCAAGGCGTCAGGTTAAGGTCTACCTTAATACCAACTTCTCAGTTAAGTTCCTGATCAGCGTAAGCTGGCGTGGGTTCGAATCCCACTCTTGTCATGAGTTTCTTTTTGCAATTTATTTTTTTTTCTCTCCATATTGTCTTCCGTGCATTGTAGCCGATTAAAATATCAATCCGGCAAATAAACTAAACCATGCTATTATGAATGGTTCTGGAATTCTGTTTTTCTCTCACCTGCTCTAAGTGATTTACATACAATGCTGGACAATACATGCCCACAAGGAACAGAGGTATTCCTGTAAACTGTAAAACGGTTGGCACTTCCCAGAAAACGCCAAATGGGAAATACCCTCCTAATGAATGCAGAGAAAACTGCAAAATGTAAGAGGACAGTAAAACAAGAAAAAAAAAAGATGGACGGCAAATTATCAAAGGTACGATACATGGGTTCATTTGCAGCTGGAGCCTGGCGGTAAGATGCCCGTCTGGAAACCCTCGAGCCAATTAGAACTCTGAGGGTCTGCGAAACAGCTACGCGCTGGACACGCATTACCACAGCCATGTTCCAGCCTCGTGGGTAGACGAGAGAATCGGCATTTCTTTTCACTTGGGAAATTTTCAAAAAGACCAATCGCAAGCGCCAGAAAGAGACAAATAGTGAAGATATAGAAACGGTCTACGGCAGAACACTCCGTGGTTTACTTCGATGCTGGTAATGGTACCACTTCCTTATCATGTCCAGAAGAAATGGACATGTAACAACTGTGGCTGGGATCTCTCAACGAACAATCGAGGTGTTGAACATGTTCTTGATATCACGACTGCTGCGGGGAATGAATTACGACCCTTGTCGTTCCTTGATGATTAGCACATCTTTTCAATAACTGCTGCTATAAGTCTTAGAAATATCCCAGAAAGCTGTTCTGGGAGATAAACACAAAACGCCCTAGCTCCATTTTCAGCCCAGCTGAACCCAAGACGCCAGCAAGTCTAAACTCAGGAAATCACTCCGCGACCTTCAACAAACCACCTTCCTCGACAGCCTGCTTTACTGCTAGCGCATCCTTCTCTAACTGCTCTCTCCGCTTAATGTCGCGCTCGTCTTCTTCCAGCGTATCCAGCTTTCCGAATAGCCAGGTTTCTTTCATCGTACGCGTCAGTGAGAGGATATCTTCCGCAGCGCGGATCTAGCGAACGAGCGAGTTAGTAATCTATTTTCGAGACATGGAAGGAGTGTGTGGCGTGATGTGTATCAGACTTACTAGAGCCGTGGATTCGACGTCAAGCTGATATGTCTCGACGGAGGTGGCTGTGTAGCTAGTGTTCTCTACCTGTGAGGTGGGGTAAACATCAGTCAAGATTTCGACGTGCGATATGCAGTAGAGGTCATGGGAAACCTTAGGGACAGGGATGAGGAGGACAGTACGTACTGTGGCCGTGGCCATGATATTCTCAAACCGCTGCAGCAACTGCGAGATATCGGCATTGATACGATCTGTTCGTGGGTTACGTTTCGAGCATCAGCACCGTCGATCAATCACTTTCGCACCAAGATATACATATTATTTGGGAAGTTACTAACTATGTAATGACTTGACCGTTGGTTGAGACTCCATATTCTTTTGATCTGACGACGTAGCGCTTCATAGATCGATCGATAGATACTATGTAAAAGGATAGAAATTGTGGTACAGGAGGAAGCTATCTAAGGTTACTGCCGGATGGAAAGGGCGGAAAAAGCGGCGGTGAGAGCCTCGATCTTGATCGCAAATCGTATCAGTTGTCGGCCAATCACAACCACGAAGCCCAATCCAGATTCCCCACCGAGCAGATGACGCCGTCGAACCTTATATGAGATGTTGGGATCTCAGCTGGAGACCGTGCTTGGAGTAATGATGTGCCCCTCCATTCTGGCTGGAAGCGTGACTACGCAGTGAGAAGACAATATGGTAACTATTGTTGCGATTAAACGTTCAAATTAAATCAATTCAAGAAGCACTATTCTGAGGTGCTATCCATATATTCTAGCATAATCAATGCCATAGGTATCTTCAGATGTTGTTTGCGTCCAGGAAAGATCATTACCATCGGCTACCGCTAGAGCCGGAGCCAGAGCCGTACGAGTCATTGCCAGAAGAACCGTACGAATCATTACCTCCACGGCCAGAGCCGTAAGAGTCGTTGCCAGAGGAGCCATAGGAGTCATTGCCTCCACGGCCGGAGCTAGAGCCACCGTACGAGTCGTTCTTAGAAGAGCCGTATGAGTCGTTGTTAGAGGAACCGTACGAATCGTTGTTAGAGGAACCGTAGGAGTCGTTGTCATTGCCTCTACGGCTAGAGCCGTACGAGTCGTTGCTAGAGGAGCCATAGGAGTCATTGTCTCCACGGCCGGAGCCGTACGAGTCGTTCTTAGAGGAGCCGTACGAGTCGTTGTTGGAGGAACTGTACGAGTCGTTGTCATTGCCTCTACGGCCAGAGCCGTATGAGTCGTTGTTAGAGGAACCATAGGAGTCATTGTCTCCACGGCCGGAGCCGTACGAGTCGCTCTTAGAGGAGCCGTACGAGTCGTTGTTGGAGGAGCCGTACGAGTCGTTGTCGTTGCCTCTACGGCCAGAGCCGGAGCCGCCAAAGGAGTCGTTGTTAGAGGAGCCGTATGAGTCGTTGTTGGATGAACCGTACGAGTCATTGCCTCCGCGGCCAGATCCATACGAGTCGTTGTTAGAAGAACCGTACGAGTCGTTGCCTCCACGGCCGGAAGAGCCGCCGAAGGAGTTGTCATTCTTGGAGCCGTACGAATCTCCTCCAGATCCGTAGGAGTCGTTGCCAGAGGAGCCATAGGAGTCATTGCCTCCACGGCCGGAAGACTAAAGCAATCGATGTCAGCTCTGAATACACATGCAAAAGGGCAATCATTAGAGACTTACTCCGAAGCTGTCGTTACCACCGTAGCCACCGGAACCACCGGAGCTCTACTCAAGTTAGTATATGCATGTCGTTCATAGATAGGTGTTAGGGAAGCATACGTAGTCACTGTCACGGTTGAAAGACATTGTGATTGATCAGATAATGATTGTGAAAGGATTGTAGATAAGGGTTTGTAAGATTAGATTCGAGATACAGAGATGAAAAGAAAACAGAACAACAGGGACACTCGGCTGCTTTAAATACTCAGAACAGGGGAGGGGCTTCGTCGTTATTCAGCAGCCAGCTTGCATACGTAGATTCAGCTCGTGAGGGGCTTCTACACGCCACAATTGAACCATCCATGAACCGTTCCATTGACCATTGATTGTATTCAGGGGCTCTGCTCAAGCCGTCAAGCCTCAATGAGCACACCAGGAGTGGCGCAGTCCAAGCTATAGTGGTAGATTCAGAGCTATGTCTATAGAATTTGCTTTAGAAGCGTGCTCGCCCCAGCGCGGTTGCGTAAACGGATTAGCAGCATGAGCTTGCGGTGTTTTTCGGCATCTGATGATGACAATGATGGGGGTTCTAAACCCCACCGTTCCCTGTTCTCGGCCTAAACCTGCTATCGCACAAGCCACCGAATCCACAGCCACAACAACTAGACTAGATTGGTCCTCCTCAGCTCTAGTGTGTCATTGACTTTCGATACTATCGATTTTGCGACAGCACAATTTTAAGAATGGCCGAGAAGAAAGCGGAGGTTAACTTAACTTCTCCGATAGCTGATCGCACCCAATGAAGTGACCACCGAGAAAGCCGCTTCGCATGCATCAAGGTCTGGCATGGGGAGGCTCTCTATTAACCCACAGGACTTCAGTAAACAGAGGCGTGCACATCCAAAGCTCGGTAATTGCGTGATTTCATAGCACCCAACAGCGGTGAGCGGAGCCAGTATGCCCGGATGAGCAGCAAATGGCGTGCCGTATGGTATCATCGTACATATTTTGACTGTGATCGATGTCAGCCGCAAACACATTGGACAAGAAAGAATGTGTATCATACCATGAAGCGTTTGTGGAAATCAGATCGTAGCAAATCCTGCGGTACATCAGCGAGTGACATAATTAGCGTTCTGATTGACACCACTTACGTTGACGAATTCCTTGTCCCTCTTGTCTTCCGTCCCACGGGCCTGGTTCTTGAACACAACGTCGTCGTCCCATCTCCGCTTTATGTTGAAGTCTTGGGGATTGAGGAGCGGATTACCCCTAGCGATTTCGTATTCCCGCTTCTCCTCTTCTTGGGCGGCTTTTTCGCGTTCCTTTTGAGAAAGGTCAGTAGGTACTTTGAGTGTCCATGCCCGATAAGTCGTGTTTACCTCTTTTTCCTTCTGCTCGAGCCTCTCCCGCTTGATCTTTTCAAGCTCACGCATGAGTTCGGCGGCTTCATCTTCCTCATCACTGGGGCTATCAGTCTAGCTCACGTGAGACAGAGATAGATCCGAGGCTCACCTTTCCTCCTCACTACTATCGCTGTCAGATGCCTCTGAATCAGCGTCTATAGCTCGTGTTTCCTCTAATATTCGCCGCCGTTTCGCTTCAGGATCCTCTTCTTCGGTATCTCCTCCAGCAGCTGCACCTTCGAGCTGTCGCTTAACTGCGGGAGCTGTATCTGTAACATCATCTTCCGGCTTGATACCCTTCTTCTTCGCAAAATGGGCAGCCTCTGCCTTCAGCAGCTCCGCACGAAGGTCTCGAACTTCCGATTCGGTTTCTGTGCCTTGTCCAGGTTGCCTGTAGGGACATGTAAGATATGGTAACGATTCAAGGGACCTTCTCTCTACGTACCGAACTTTCAAGTGCATATACGCAGGCAGCAGGCGTTGGTGATATGCTGGCCCACGCAGGGCCTCCCGTCCTTGCGCCTATTGCTCCGTAAGCCATAATGTTCACTGTCGGGTTCGAGAATGCGTCTTACCGGATCAAACGTGGGTCTGTGTGCTGCAACAGATGAGCATATATTCGAGATAGCTGAAGACATGTAACATACCTGTAGTCATGTTGAGACACTGTAGAACGACTGTGCAAGATACCACTGAAAGTATTCTCTGGTAATAATCACGCTCAGGATCAGTCCAGGAACGCCGTGAAGTCACCTGCCGTCCTTACGGGAAGGGCTTACCGCCTACCCGATTAGTACATATATTCGACCTTTTTACGCGCCTCGCAAAAACATTTCACCGAACCAACCAGATCGCTCTCTCTACTAACCTGCGCGAGGCGATCTCTTTGCTCAGTCGGCGCTGGGGCCAAGCTCCCCTCCGCGCGAGTGCTTTTTCTCCAAGCATGTCCAAAGAAGCGCCGCTCTCTATTGCGGAGCGCGATTTTATCCTTGAGGCGCTGCAGGAAGATGTGCGCTTGGATGGACGTCGTTTTGACGAATTCCGTCCTCTGCACATCTCCTTTGGTCCTGAATATGGGCTGGTGACGGTGCGGCTAGGACGGACAACGTAAGTCTACTCCCGGACGCAAAACCGAATTTTTACTGACTTGTTCCTGGCAGCGTTGCTGTCCGCATTTCTGCAGAGGTGAGCAAACCTCGCGATGACCGTCCGACAGATGGCATCTTCCTCATCGCGCTCGAGTTGAGTGCTATGGGCTCTCCAGCATGGGAGAACGGACGGTGCGGGAATGGATTGTTCTCTACAGATATGAATTGTGCTAATATATCCATGCAGTCAGATCGATCTCGAGCCCTACGTGACGCGGATCCTTGACAGAGTTATCCGCCACTCCAATGCTCTGGACACAGAATCTCTCTGCATTGTGAAGGGAGTCAGCTGCTGGAGCATCCGTGCGGACGTACACGTTCTTGACTACGACGGCAATCTGATCGATGCATCCTGTATCGCTGTCATGGCAGGCCTCCAGCACTTCCGTCGACCTGACGCCGTAGTGAAAGATGGACAGGTTGTCGTTTACGACATTGATGAGCGTGTCCCGGTCCCGCTTAACATCACCCACAAGCCGCTTACAGTTACCTTCCATACATTCAATGAGGGAAAGTCGCTTCTCATGGATGCAACCCTCAAAGAGGAACAGGCAGCAGAGGGCGATATCGTGATTGCTTTGAACAACACTGGGGATATCTGCACCTTGACCAAGTCATCCGGCTTCCCCGTTAGTGCGATGAACATTGTGGTCAAGTCATCTCTTGCGCTGCAAAAGGTCAAAGAGATCAATGCAACTATTGAGAAGCTTCTGGCGGCTGATATGGCGCAGCGTGCCAAAAGGAATCGTGGAGCTGAATCGAGTGCGCAGAACGATCGGTGATAGTCGTATGATCGGTAGTGGGCGGTTTGTCTCGTTTCCAAAAAGAAAAACCATGTATCATAATCATTCAACGGACTTCAAAAAGGAAGGAATTCAGAAATAATGAAGTGATGACTTATCGAGATAGTCAGACCGTTGCAGCATCGTCAGCACGTGGGAGAAATTGCGGAGTGCCGTTATAAATAAATCTCGTATCAACTCTTGGCGGTAAAACGGCCGCGTGGAACTTATCCACAGTGCAAGACGGAGTAACTTGTACTCCTAGACCTAATTTATCACGGCCTAGGCAGAACAGATAGATCGTGGATGCCGTCGCTGTTCAGTAATTCATTCAATTCGTTTCTTATGCGTTTAGCGTAATCTAGTATATATTGTGTCCCCGGACGACTGTATGATTGTGACCAGCATTCCGGATAGATTGTCTGGTATTGGACTTTTCATACATGGCACGCTGGTCCTTTTGTCTGATGAGTCCAAGACGAGTCTTACCCAGACTGAGGATAGCGACCCCTCTTCTAAACATCATTTACCAGTGAGCAACTGCCGCCAGTGTTTGAGTGTGTCGCTGTGTCGAGGCTGCGACGTCTGTTGTCGAAGGGGCTGGTATCAGGCCATACGAGCCCCATACGCGGGCCGGTAACGATTGGTTTACGTTTATTACGCCAGCATCCCCCGTGTCAAAGCTGTCAACCGTCGAACAGCGCAGGGCTAAGCCACCAGTTCTCCTTCTTCTGGACGCAACCACGCAGGTAATTATTCCTCTGACGCGCTTCCTCTCGTTCCCCCGCGAGTTGTTATTTCACGTTCGTTTTCGATTTCAATGCCTCTCGGGCATCCCTTCGACTGCAAGTCTAGGCTAGTCAGGGTGTTTGTCCGCCCGAAACACCATGGCCAGCGGTAGGCCTCCGGGGAGCCATCCATCCGCTGGCCGCGATGAGGATCTGCTACTGGAGGAGACGACGCCCATATACAATAGCGGCCAGCGACCGCCGGTGAATGATGACCGTTTGCTACACCAGTTCAATATTGATGCCTCCGATCAAGGCCAGCCACGACCGTCCGTGTCCTACGATGATTTCGTCGGCGCAAGACAGCCACCTGGCTCAGCGGCTCACGCGGCCTCGGCGCAATATGCTTCCCAGAATGATTCGCATTTGCACGATTCGTACATGACTGGCTCAGCCACCAGGACCTACTCGCAGACATCGGACTTGGACAATTATCACCGGTATTCCGATGTTGAGGACTTTGAAGATGATCGCTCTGGGCGCGGATACTACAATCTAGAGGGAGATGACGATCATATCCCGTCTGCGGAACATGTCAGAAGGGCAAAGGAAAGGAACAGCATTCTTAGCCTGGGTGGTGGACTCATGGGGAGGGCGAAGCACATGCTTGGCATGGCCCCTGAATACTCCGAGATGGATTTGCCTCTGACGGAGGCTGGGGCAAGAAATGCGCGGGTTGATGCGACTGAAGAGGATGGGCCTCAAAGTAAAGAGAGAAAGAGATATAGCGCGGGCGATTTCAAATTCGGTTTTGGCCGGAGGAAAGCTGACCCTTCGACATTGGGGCCACGGGTTATCCTGCTCAATAACCCCCCTGCCAACGCTGCTAACAAATACGTCGACAACCATGTGTCAACTGCCAAATATAACATCATCACGTTTATACCGAAATTCCTCTTCGAACAGTTCTCGAAATATGCCAACCTGTTTTTCCTGTTTACCGCCGTCTTGCAACAGATTCCGAATATTTCACCAACAAATCGATATACTACTATTGGGCCGTTGGTGATTGTGCTTTTAGTGTCAGCAATCAAGGAGTTGGTTGAGGACTTCAAACGGAAAAGCTCGGATAAGTCCCTCAATTACTCCAAGACGAAAGTCCTCAAAGGGTCAACATTTCAAGAGGTGAAGTGGATCGATGTGGCCGTTGGAGACATTGTGCGTGTGGAATCAGAGGAGCCTTTCCCTGCGGACTTGGTCCTGCTGGCAAGTTCGGAGCCGGAGGGTCTGTGTTATATTGAAACTGCGAATCTGGACGGGGAGACAAATCTGAAAATCAAGCAGGCAATCCCCGAAACTGCACACCTGGTCAATCCCAGCGATCTAAGCAGGTTGAGTGGCCGTGTTAGGTCTGAGCAGCCAAACAGCAGTCTGTACACCTATGAGGCGACGTTGACGATGCAGGCCGGAGGCGGCGAAAAGGAGCTCTCTCTGGCGCCGGACCAGCTTCTGCTTCGAGGTGCTACCCTCCGGAATACTCCCTGGGTCCATGGCATCGTTGTCTTCACTGGTCACGAGACGAAGCTAATGAGAAATGCGACTGCCACCCCCATCAAGCGGACGGCCGTCGAGCGCATGGTTAACATGCAGATTCTGATGCTTGTCCTCATTTTGGTTGCGCTCAGTGTCATCAGTGCCGTCGGAGATTTGGTTATCCGTAAAACAGCCAAACCAGGACAACTCGCGTATCTCGATTATGGCTCTACCAGTGTGGTAAAGCAGTTCTTCTCCGATATTTTCACGTATTGGGTGCTGTACTCCAATCTCGTCCCAATTTCTCTCTTCGTGACAATAGAGATTGTCAAATACTTCCAGGCATTTCTGATAAACTCCGATCTCGATATTTACTACGACAAGACGGACACTCCGGCCACTTGCAGGACATCATCTCTGGTTGAGGAGCTAGGACAGATCGAGTACATATTCTCCGACAAGACAGGTACACTGACTTGCAACATGATGGAGTTCAAGCAGTGTAGCATCGGCGGTATCCAGTACGCGGACGAAGTCCCTGAAGACAGAAGAGCCACTGTGGAAGACGGAGTCGAGGCTGGCATTAATGACTTCAAAACGCTCCGGGAGAATCTCAAATCGCACCCGACCCGGAACGCCATCCATCATTTCTTGGCGCTTCTAGCAACATGCCACACTGTTATTCCTGAGAGAAACGACAAGAACCCCGGGAAAATCAAGTACCAAGCTGCCTCTCCCGATGAGGGTGCACTGGTTGAAGGTGCTGTCATGTTGGGGTACGAGTTCACGAATCGGAAACCGCGGTCAGTTATCATAACGGTGGACGGTCAAGATTACGAGTACGAACTGCTGGCAGTTTGTGAGTTCAATTCAACTAGGAAAAGGATGTCGACAATCTTCAGATGCCCGGATGGCAAAATTCGAGTTTATTGCAAAGGTGCAGATACCGTCATTCTCGAGCGTCTCGGCCCGGATAATCCAATCGTTGAAGCTACCTTGCAACATCTGGAGGAGTATGCTTCAGAGGGTCTTCGGACGCTTTGCTTGGCAATGCGAGAAGTTCCAGAGGACGAGTTCCAGCAATGGTACCAGATCTTCGACAAAGCTGCCACTACTGTCAGCGGAAACCGTGCGGAAGAACTTGATAAGGCGTCAGAGCTCATTGAGAAAGACTTTTATCTTCTGGGAGCGACTGCTATTGAGGATAGACTGCAGGACGGTGTTCCTGACACTATCCACACGTTGCAAACGGCTGGTATTAAGATCTGGGTCTTGACTGGCGACAGACAGGAGACTGCAATCAACATTGGAATGTCTTGCAAGCTTATCTCAGAGGACATGACGCTGTTGATCGTGAATGAAGAGTCAGCTCAGGCGACGCGAGAAAATTTGACGAAGAAGATACAAGCCGTTCAGAGCCAGGCCAGTAGTGGTGAAGTGGAACCACTTGCTCTTATCATCGACGGTAAATCCTTGACTTTCGCGCTCGAGAAAGACATGGAAAAGCTCTTCCTGGATCTGGCCATCGTGTGTAAGGCGGTTGTTTGTTGGTAAGTTATACTCTTCTCAAAAGAATGTTCTCAGATCCCCTTACTGACTGTGTCTCAAGCCGTGTGTCACCATTGCAGAAAGCTCTTGTCGTCAAGCTTGTCAAACGGAATCTAAAATCCCTGCTTCTTGCCATTGGTGATGGTGCAAACGATGTCTCTATGATCCAAGCCGCTCATGTGGGAGTCGGTATCAGCGGTGTCGAAGGTCTTCAAGCCGCCCGGTCTGCCGATGTCTCGATTGCTCAGTTCCGGTTCCTTCGAAAGCTACTTCTTGTTCATGGTGCTTGGAGTTATCAACGTATCAGCAAGGTTATTCTTTATTCATTCTATAAAAACATCGCTCTGTACATGACGCAGTTCTGGGTAAGCTATGCTCTCTGCTCTTACAAATTCTTCCAGTCCGCTAATTCCCTTTGTCTAGTATGCTTTTCAAAATGCCTTCTCCGGCGAAGTCATTTACGAATCATGGACCCTCTCCTTCTACAACGTCTTTTTCACGGTGCTTCCTCCATTCGCCATGGGTATTTTCGACCAGTTCATTTCAGCCAGACTATTGGATCGGTATCCTCAGCTTTACCAGTTGGGACAGAAAGGCGTTTTCTTTAAGATGCACAGTTTCTGGTCTTGGATTGCAAACGGGTTCTACCACTCCCTAATTGCCTACATTGCGTCGCAGCTCTTCTTCCTGTGGGACCTACCGCAATATGACGGCAAAGTTGCCGGCCATTGGGTGTGGGGTACGGCACTCTACACTGCTGTTCTGGCCACGGTACTTGGCAAAGCAGCGCTTGTGACAAACATCTGGACAAAATACACCTTCATCGCTATCCCTGGATCCATGGTCATCTGGATGATCTTCCTTCCAGCTTACGGTTACGCAGCTCCAGCTATCGGCTTCTCGAACGAATACCACGGTATCATTCCCCGTCTTTTCACCTCCCCTGTGTTTTGGGGAATGGCCCTGGTGCTCCCTCCTCTTTGCCTCCTTCGTGATTTCGCCTGGAAGTACGCCAAGCGGATGTACTATCCCCAAGCATACCATCACGTTCAAGAGATCCAGAAATATAACGTTCAAGATTACCGCCCGCGGATGGAGCAGTTCCAGAAGGCCATCAGGAAAGTCCGACAGGTACAGCGCATGCGCAAACAGCGTGGCTATGCTTTCAGTCAGGCCGACGAAGGTGGACAGATGAGGGTAGTTAATGCTTACGACACCACGAGAGCCCGAGGACGCTACGGCGAAATGGCCAGCTCAAGGCCGGGCATATGATTCCAGATCACTTTTTTACTTCTTTCTTTCTTTCTTACCGGGAAACTAACTCTTGAAGAGTGTGGAATCGGAGGAGGGATAGTGTATGCTTATTATTTGTCGAAAGCGCGCTTGGGGAAATTTATTTATGTGCAATAAAATCTTAGGCATTCATCACCATCTTTCTTTTCTTCTTCGTCTTCTTCTTCTTCTCCTTTTGTTGTTTTGGTTGTTGCCGATGATTCGAATCAGTTCGGATTCGAAAGCAGTTTTCTATGAGTTTTCAGTGTTCTTAATGAGTCTCCTAGTATGTATACAATGTACGGGATAGCGAGCGGTTGTTTCGATAAATGAACAGAATCCTTACTCTATGGAAAACTGAAGAATAGACTGAAAAAAATGGTGTAGATGATAAAAGGGGGTATAGATCTTGATAACAAACAAGCTTAATGCGTGTATATATATGTATGGTGGTTACGATATATCCCTAGCTTGTTTCAACACATCCGCTCCCAAATATCTATAGATTGCTAGTTACTAAAATCGATACTTAGTTAACTATATTTACCTTATGTTAACTAACTACCTCGTACACCTCTCCGTCGCCGGTCTCCATCCCACACCCAACCCTTCCATGACCAACTTCTCCCTCTCTTCCCACGTGGCGCCTCCACGCTCAAGATCTATGACCTGTCCACCAGACGTCCGTTCCCGAACACCGCTCGAATCAAACTTCCATCTGTGCGCTTTCCTCGCGTATCGTCGTAGGTCGCGCTCGAAGGTAGTATCGCCAGACCAGCCAAGTACGGCGCAGCCGACGGTCCGCCAGGGAGAGATGATGATGTCGACACGACGGTGGGGGTTCGGGTTTCGGCGTCGTTTTGCACGCGCTTGGTCTTCGGGTGGTAGGTCGGTTTCAGTTTCGGTGTTTGGGTTATGGTCGTTGTCGTTGTCGTTGTCGTTGTCGTCGTAATGGGGATCTTGCCATACGACGAGGGCTTTATCGAGAGTGTCGAATGTTTGGCCTGGAGGGTCGTCGCCGCGGAAAGGGAGGGTTTGTTGATCGCGATGGGAAGTCGTCATGTGCAGAGATAGGGTGTGTGTGATCCAGCCTTCTTCCTCGAGACTTCGGACGACATCGACGACCAGGTTCTTCGTTACGGTCTCGTTGCGATGGCTGAGGACAAGGTCGACGTCGCCGCTGACATCCTTGCCGCGACGATAGCCGCCGACGATGATACATTCGACTCCACGGCCGTCGTATTCGCATCCTGGACGGACGCGGTTCGCATGACGATGGATAATGCGGCCGATTTCTTCAACCTCAGCGCGCGGAATGCCTTGGCCGAACTCATCGTAGTATTTGACTCCGATCTGCTGCACGCGCGAGAGCGTGTCCCAGCCGTGCTCGATGACGTCGTCTAAATCGCGCCATTCGCGCAGATAGTAGAAATCGCGAGCTGTTTTGGCACCTACTCCCCAGATGTTGTAGAATGTGTGGAGAGTGCGTAGGACTGGATCTGTATCGAGTACCCGTGCCGCGGCTACAGTGCCGTCGGGACTCTCTTTGAACTCAGCGAAGAGACTGGCAATTTTAGTATCGCAGCCAGGGAGGGAGAGGACCTCCATTGGAGTTCGGAACTCGTAAGGATAGGCTGCTATGGCTGCGATTGAAGTACTGTATGCCCGGACGCCGATCTCATCCAGCGTCAACTCTCTCGCTTTGCGGATCTTGATGAGCTGTTCTATGAACCTCTCATTTGGCGGATGGAGCGGTGCAGACCGCATGCAAGCGTAGGTGATATTGTTTTTGACCCAGTCCGGAGCAGGTGGTAGAGGAACAGCCGCGTCATGTTCGGATGTAGTCTGTCGATATAGCTTCGGGGGCTGCCACTGACTTTGACGGCCGTCCTCTCGCTCCCTTGATCGGCGAGTCGCGACATGCGGTTTCATGAAAGATGGTGATGGCTTTGACGCTGCATCCTCCCTTGCGCGATCCAGGATACGTTTTGCATCTGTGTCTTTGCTTGTCCTGGTCGGACTCGGAGAGGCTGAGCTCACAGAACGGCTGTCAAACCTGGTGACTGCAGTGACCATCAAGTTCTCCGGACGAGGGATGACTCGAGCGCGATAGACGACATAAGGAGCTGGAGATAACGACTTCCTAGCTTCCATGCACTCATGGAACCATTCGAGCTTGACGACCTTGACCTCTCCCGCAGGAGCTAGGGCAAGAGAAGAAGAAGTCGTCGCGCATGAAGTCGTCGAAGCCGCTGCTGGAGATGGCGATTTCGCTTTTCTGAGATGCTTTGCCGGGACATGATGACTCGTTTCACCATCCACTTCGTTCTCTGATTCTGTATCCAGGTTGATCACCTCAGATTCCTCTGTGCGTGTCTTGAGCTGCTTTTCGACTCCCCTTTCCAACCGTCTTCGTTTAACAGGCGGTTCCGGACTGGGTGTACTGTTGCTTACTTCCTCCGTCCAGAGACCACGCGACCTCAACTCCAGCGCTGCACGTTTCTTCTGGCTCACCTTCCCTAAGACTAATTTAGCCTCAGAGACATCATATGTCAGAGGTGCGCGGCAGTCTGCCAGCGTCTCTTCGACTTGATGCAATTCATCCAGAGTGAGGTGAGTTGGGAGAACGAAGATGGGCGGGAAGCCTGCAAAAGACGGTCGTTTGCCAGGGAGCTCGTCGTCAGGATCCTCCGTGGAAGCTCGAGATATGGATGGTGAATGTTCCATTGTAGGAGGAAGAAGATACAAGCATGCGCATACATATAGGTTTGGAATAATACTGGATGGATGGATGTATTATGCAAGGGATTAAACGAGGTGGCAGTGAATCGACCATGCACGGGGGGTTTATAAAGGCAACTTTGCTCGAGACATAGATGCATCCCAGTATAAGAAACAAAAGCCCATTGGTGAATAAAACGATATACAGATTATTTCAGCAAGACCGGTGTATTATCTCATGAGGCCGAGTCTGCTTGGATTGCGCGCACAGAGAGCAACGAGCGGATAACTAGACAGGATTTCCATGCTGGAAATATTACACAACGGAGCAAGGATATATTAATATGGAAGCAGGAAAACAAGCAAGGGTGGAGTAATTTTGTGAATGGAGATTGTGCATTTGCATCTCCAGGGATATTAGTTAGAGTAAGTAATACAGTGTACACTTCTCGCAACCGCTCCGAAGTGGTTTTTTTTTGTTCGCTCGGGAAGCCAACGTCATCGTCGAGTGCTGGCTATTCCTCGTGTTCGGCTCGAAATACCGAGCCGCTTGCATCCTGATGGCGAATCTTGTAGACTAGTAGTAGTATTCAGCACTTGGCGAGTGAAACTTCCTCAAACGGTTGTACTGCATGCTGTTTTGAATGGAGCCGGTGCTGCCAGATGACCAATATGGTCTCGGCGGCTCTCTAGTCCATGTTACTACTTAAGTATGCAGCAGAAAGTACCTACTATCGATGTTCTGTGTATCACTAATAGATCTAAGAGTCTTCTTTTCATGTGTTGACGGATGTATATGGGTTGATCAGTCTCTGTTAGACTGGGGCCTGTTCGCAAAGCTCGGATGAAAGTGTTCCCTTCAGCGAGAGAAGAGACAGTACGAGCTGCTTTTCGATTAATAGATTCGAACTACTTACACTTCAGGTATCAACGGATCACTCTGGTCGCCCTTGGCAGCTTTCACAGAGACTTGCGTTGCAGATCCCTTCCCAACAGCATCTGCAGCTGCCGAACCTTCCTGCAGATTCCCCCCGGCTGTAGTTGTAGTAGAGATCTCTCCACCGACCCTACTGATACCACCCGCATCGCCATCCAATGACCCCTCTTCGTCCACAATGTCAGCTTGGCCATGTCGCTTGCCAAACCATCTTCTCCACGGTTTGTAGAGGGCCACGCTCAGTAGGCCACATATAAGGAACAATCCGCAGATAGAACCGCCAATCACATCGTAATAGTCTCCTGCCGTCTCGACACCGTCCCAAAACTTACCTTTCGGCTCCGCCACGTTTTGAATCATGGTGAGCAGCTGTATAACACCAATAACAATGGCGACGATAACGGTAAGGGTAGTGAGGACAATGGAGTAATATAGAAAAGCCACTGGATCGCGAGGATTGGCGGAATGATTTGGCCCCTCTGTATGAACGTCGATAACGTCGGACGATCCTACAGAGTCGGATCTCCGTGCTTTAGGAAGGAAGTTTGCGGCAGGCTGGACGTATAGAGACAGCATGAGAGCACCGTCCATGGTGTCGATGAGGCACATGCCCGCTATAAGATTTTCAGTATCGAAATGCAAGGAGCCTACAATGATCATAATTAACGAGCTTGAAGGGTTCCCTACCAGTGAAGAGAATAGGGAAGATCAAGATCACCCAGAAATCGGTACCCTTTGCTGCCTGAATGGAAGAGATTCCAAGCAGTGCAATTTCCGAAGATGTATCGAATCCGAGACCGAAGAGCACGCCCAACGGATACATTTTCCAGGGCCTAAACTCTATTCAGCACATGTAAACACTTCTCTTTGAAGGGACAGAGAAACTTACCGATCAATCAGCCGGAACATCTTCTTTAGCAAAGAAAAAAGGATCCCGCCTCCCTCAATCTTCCATGCCTCGTCTTCCTCTCCTTCTCCCAGATTCAGAACCTTTTGCATCTGTTTAAACAGCTTGTAGAGGATGTACGCATTCATGATACCCAGCAGGATGAGAAAGGCGGCGCTGACGGAGCTGCCGATGATACCGCCGATGGTGCTGAAACTGTCGAACCGCGAGGATACTGCAGCAGCAGTGGCTGCCACGACAATAGAGGTGATAATGACAATGCTGATATCGATTATCAATACGGGGAAGTGAGCAGCACGGCAAATGTCGATACTTACGTGGAATGGCCCAACGAAAAGAAAGTCCCAACGGTGACGGGCATCTGTCCAGTGGCGAGCAGCCTTCTCGTCATCAAATCAATCGCCTATCGATCAGATAGATGAAGTCAGGCATATATCACGGAATTAGTCATATCCTGGTGGTTCTTACCGAGATATGGTCCGCATCGAGGGCGTGTCTCAGACCAAGGGAGTATGAGATGGCAGCAGTAGAGACCAAGGAACTATAGACGAAGAAAGATTAACTTTGTTCACACCAACAAATAATTTTGGTCGCTTCTGATAGAGCCGTTCGGGCTTCAGCTTTTCCCGGCCAAAAATGCATACATGCATGTCTGTTGCGAAATTGTAGCACTTACGTGTAGTAATGCTAGTTATAATCTGTCAGTGATTAAGAAACAGTACTACAAAACATATCACAAATTAAATAATCAGAAATGGTGAATGGTGGATGACAGTGTAAGATAAGCCAAAAATAATCCCAAATAAAATATCTACATCGTCAAATCATAACACATAACGGGACAATGCACTTCATGAACTGAACAATAAACAAGAGAACTGACGTACCAAGACAATGGCTGCAGCAATCCACACGACAACATTGACTATCGCGATGAGAGCTATGATCCCAATGGCAGGAAGCGGGATCTTTCTGATCCCCGGCCAACTGCGATGCGATCGTTCCACCCGTCCCAGCAGGGACTTCTTCATAGATCTCTCCTCATATCCTGTCGCTCCATATGACGGAATTGGGTCATCTGGAGGAAGAGAGGCCGAGGGGGAAAGTGGACGGGACATTATAGGTCTCTCTCCACGGCCCTTATGCTATCTTCGATTATCGAATCAGTCAGGTAGAATCTTCCTTGCAAGTATCCGGTCTTTTCCTCCGCCCTCTGCACCAAAATGAAGATAGATGGTGATAATATGTGAAATATGGAGGTAAAAGATCTTGCGGGGAGAGGAGATCCCAAAAGAGCAATGAGTGTCGGTGACGAAAACGAATAATAGAATGCGGAGAGCGGGGGAGAGAGAGAAAGAGATAAGAAGAAATCAAGGAACAATCACTATTATTATTCAGCCGGCTTTGCCATGTTTAAATGCTCAAAGGGTGAATTGATTCTCTCGAAATTTATTATTATTATCTTATTATTATTATTCGATGCTATCGAGAAAGAGAAAAAAGATAAAAAGCCCTAACCAACAATCCTTTCCCCGCCGCTGGTGGTGCTATTTTCTTCCTCCCTCTTGGCTTCTCATAGCGGGGTGTTATTTCTCCTCCCATGCCCCCCCGATCTAGCCCGGCCATGGCGAGCTCCGATAGATCTGAGAGGAAGAAATGCGAAATATAATTTGGCCATTGGATCGCGATATTTTTAAGTTGTGCGGCGCCACGACCAACGGGTTCATTGTTGGGAATGCTTCATCTTCATTTGCGCGGTGATCCGTATACCAAGACCGCCGGCGCGTCCACTTGTGGGCATTGCGCTCTTATCTCCCGGGCTGATTATCGGGAACGGCCGAAAGAACTTGCTCAAAATGACTAACGTCCTGCAGGTCTTTTGTTGTTTACATGATCAACTGTCCATTCTCTCCGATTGAGCCCCGACGTGGTGTGCTTGCAAGCCATTATTGTATGAGACAGGCACTGATCAACCAGGTAGTGCTACAGAGCTGACTTGCAGATTCACAATCCTCCTGTATACACTCAAATCGGATCAACTCCTCTCCAAGACGCCTGTAACAGGCTGAGAATTCCGGGGCTGCAATACTTGATGACCTCGGACATAGGTCCTCAGCGGTAGCTAGTCCTGAGGGATCCTGCATTCCCCAATTCGTTAGCAGGCGACTTGACGACATGAATGGAACAAAGATAAAATACCAGCTGCTTACTGGTCCGGCTCCGTTGTATAAAGCCAACCTTGTCATCTCACGTCCCGAGTCACTCTACAGATGAGTCGGTTAGACAACTTCACGAACTGTAGATATTACAGTGAGTCACAATCCCCTCGATTTGCGAAGACGCCATGCGATGGAATAAAATTCTTTTCCCTGATATATAGATCGGAAATGGTGGTTCTAGCACTGGTTTCATCGAACAGCCATCTCCGGCGACGGAATCCACATAGTCACCGTCCGCTCGTTCTGATGAAACTCCGGCCCGATGAGGATATTCCATTCATTCCGCGTTATAGGCGTAACATCCGACGCAGACACTGGTGTCGTCGGGCCTCGTCGCAGGGGCGTACCACTGCGTGGTGGTATCGGCTGCTGTTGTCTTCGACCAACCCGAGGGCCTCGAAACGGGGAGCGTCGCTGACATTCTTGCTTCTGATGCACGCGCTGAAAGACGATGCCATCCTGGCGGTATTTAGTTCTGTAAGCATCCGCCACCTTCACCAGAACCTGGTCCGAAACATCCAAGTGGTCATAGACACGATGGAAAAAGGCCTTGCTGAACGGCCGGCCCTGTAAATGTTTGATCGTCTGCCTGAGCAGGTGGACACAGGAACTGATGTATGTTTCTTCTGGGATGCGAGTCGTTCCGTGAGACAGCATGCAGAGACGACGTTTGAGCATATAGACCCGATCGATACTGAGCAACGTAAGCCCTTCCTCACTGAACAGAATCTCATTCTGCCTGAGGGATTGCTCGATGATATACTCATTGCTATGCCGCTGCAGCTGGCCCGCTGCTAGAGCATCTACCCAGCTCTGCCCAAGCGAGAACTTCCTCGATGCTTTCTCGATAATCCGCTCTAGTGTCTTGCGCGACTCCCGATCCAACGCCGTGACGGGGATGACAGTCAGATCTGAACTCTGACCAGTGGGGAATGGCTTCTCCCATCCGACTAGCATAGTGAGGTGCATCGCTTTCTGCTGCAGTTTTCTGGAGATGTATTGGAGAGCCGACCGGGCTGATGGGACAAGGGTCTCGAAATCGAAGTCCGCATCGGGCGACATGGGCGGCGAGATCATATCTGTTGTCACTGTCCGTGTGGTACTGGGGATGTAGATACCGGCTGGACGAGGGAGACGTAGTATTCCCATGATGAGTAGCAATCCAATAAGGAGCGTTATCAATGTAGAAATAATGAAAGTAGAAATTCCAGATCCAAGATACGAGGATGACCCAAAAACAAATTCAGCAACAGAGGAAATGGGAGTAGTCCGTATCTTTCAAGCGTGGTATATCGAAACGTAGGACCTCACCCACGAACACAAATATCTCGAGTCAATAAAACGAAACCCAAATTTTCAACCAAACTGGTCTGAAGATATAAGTACCTGATCAACTCTATCGTAAAGGAGCAAGCAGAGCAGATCTAAATTAAATATCTCCCTCCCCACCGCATACTTAACCCAAGTAGCATCCCCGCAAAAAGACATTCCCATAACTCAATGATTCTAATGATAGCAACTGACCCAAAGATCAAACACATTAAACCAGTTTAAACTACCTCGACCCCTCACAAGTTAAGAATAGTACCAGGTACGACACAACGCAGCCACTCACGAGACGCCGACCCCTCTCGCATAAAAAAGACACTTATCTTCCCCTGTCGAAGGGCTCATTTGACTGGGTGACTTTGAAATCAACGAGGTCTATTTTTAAAAGAATCTCTAACCAGTCACACCGCGCGTGTGATTAGACCTGCATCATGCAGCGTTCTGAAGAGTCGATTCTGGTGTGTTGATTGGTTGGGGGTTGGATCTCGGCGCTTATTTTGGAATATGCAATCTTGGTCCTTTCTACTACTTTCTACCCTGAGTGAGCGCAGAAGCAAATAGTATATTGTTTCTAGAGAAGGGAACAGCTGCTGCTCGATAAACTCCAGATCCCTCCTATCTAAGAGAACCGACTGTTGATCAGCTCTGATGGTAACTAATGGTGATGGTGATTATCTGATAAAAAAGATCCGTAAGGCAACAAGGCACATAATCATAATCACGTGACAGTACCGCAGTGGTTCCGCTACGCCATTGCGGAGCTTCGAACTGAACAATTTATCTATACCATACTTAACTATACAACAACTACAATCACAATCATCTCTTCTACCAAGATTTTCACCACATTGAAAAGAGCCATATATGAGAACAAGCGATCAATTTACCAATTTGCATAATTATCCAATCCGCCATCCCACACCCATCTTTACTCAAACTCCGAGGTAGCTCTCGCGCGAGCTAACCTCTTTCTTGTCCGATAAATGAATCATGCCCCCTCCAACTCTCTCCTACGGACTCAACCTCCCGAACAAAAACAAGAACAAGGCGCCTTCACTGGGAAAGCCAAATCTGGCAGCCGGCCAAAAGCGCAAGAAGACGATTTTCGATGACGATTCAGAAGACGAAGCGAACGCGACAGGAGGTGGCGGCGAGGATATCTCCGGGGAAATCGAGATAACTACCCTTGGTGACGAGCCATCAGCTCTCAAAGCGCCAAGTCGGAGTGAAACGAAGAAATCTCTCTCCAGTGGACTTCCTCCTCCGTCGAAGCGCAAACCGGAGAGTGGGAAACCGACACTAAAACCCCTCAAGAACTCCCTTTTCGCTGACGACGACGACGATGATGACGAAGATGGAGAAGGTGTGGCTGGTAATGGAAATAATAAAAAATCGAAAGTACGCGCGACTGGCACAGCTAAGGATTACACCAATTTGGCCGCTTTGCACAGTACGCGCAAGCATGCGCAGACGGCGCAGGACCTGGATCCGTCCATCTACTCGTACGATGCCATCTACGATAGTATTCACAAGAAGCCAGAGAAGACTACCAGTGATGCTCAGAGTTCGGGACCAAAGTACATGACCTCCCTGATGCGGAGCGCGGAGGTCCGTAAACGGGACCAGATGCGAGCGCGGGACCGAATGCTGGCCAAGGAGCGCGAAGCCGAAGGCGACGAATTCGCCGACAAGGAGAAGTTCGTCACGGCAGCATACAAGGCGCAGCAAGAAGAGATCCGTCGACTGGAGGAGGAGGAAGCCCGGCGCGAGAAGGAGGAAGAGGAGCGGCGCAAGCGGGAAGGCGGTTCGGGCATGGTCAGTTTCTATCGCGACGTGTTGGCTCGCGGCGAGGAACGACACAGCGAAGCTGTGAAAGCAGCAGAAGAAGCGGCCCAGCGCGTCAAGGCTGGCGAAATAACGGAAGACGATATCACCACAGACGCCACGCAGGAGAAATCAGAAGCCCAACTGGCTGCCGAACTCAACGCGAAGGGCGCTCACATCATCGTCAACGACGAAGGCCAAGTCGTCGACAAGCGCCAACTCCTCACAGCCGGTCTCAACGTCGCTCCCAAACCGAAGCCGCCTCCTTCTTCCTCGACCGCTGCGCAGGCCGCCGCGGACGCCTCTCGTGCCCGTCCCGGCCAACGCCCCGTCTCCGAAGCCTACACTGCCCGCAACGCCCAGCGCGCACGCCAGACCGAAATGGTCGCCGCACAGCTGGAAGAGCGCGCGCGGAAAGAGGCAGAGGCCGAAGAGGCACGACAGCGCGAAATCGCAGAGCGCACCCGCAGTCGTAAGACGGAGAAGGACGTTTCAAGTGCGAAGGAGCGATACCTGGCACGGAAGCGGGAAAGAGAAGAAGCCGCAAAGAAGGAGAAGGAGAACCAAAGCTAGAATTGCTGATGTCCGTCCCTGGACGGATTATGATGATGTTCATTCATATGTTTGTATTATTGCATAAGCGCCTCCCTGGAGAGGGGCATTGGAGTTGGAAGGCGTAGGTTTTTCTAATCGGTCTAACGATTCTCTGACTATCTATCAGCGTATACGTATATAAGTTAGTGTCGAGGATGGTTTACAATTACATACATGTACAGAGCAAAATGAAAGATGTCTATTAGTCACGACGATGACAATTAGTTATACTTGTTCATGTTATGATGATTTTTCATTCCTGTGATACGAGACGACAAGTGTGTTCGAGAATCGAATGTCAATCTTGACGTCTCTCCCAATCTACAATCTGTACGCAATTTGATATTACCTGAACACTTGATGACCATGCAATTTAACTCAAGCAGAGAGCCAACGGGAGCTGTAAACGAACATGCAGACAAAAACAACGCCGGTAACCATATACTGCATCTAAACGATAAGAGGTGCAGAAAGGCAACAGAAAAAGTCGTAGAAAAAAAAAGGGACGCAAATCATAAGTTCATCCATGCCATTCCTCATGTAGAACGCCGGCCCAGACCGTCCCGTCCTGATTCCTGATATGTTTAAGTGGTAATTGTGCTTATGTCCGGATTCTTTACGCCGTCAAGGCAAAGCTGACACCCAAAACGCCCATGCCTGCGATTGCGAAGCCAATACACATATTTCGGTTATGGGTCAGTCCCAGACCCTCGCTGAAGAGCTGTAATCCGACTGAAGTCATGACACCAGCTGTCGCGGCAAACATGCCGCCGTAGACTCCCCAGGATGTACCGGACGCGGTTCCGTCGCCGCCTCCACCAGCTTTGCGGTAACCCCAGATCCACAGCGCGGCGAGCCCAGCGCCTGCGGGCTGACTGACGCCTCCTAGGAGGCAGGACCAGAGGATTGCTTTCCAGCGCGAATTCAAGGCTAGGTAGAGGGGCAGAGCCATGGCGAAACCCTCGGTGATGTTATGGATAAAGAGTGCGATGAACACGGTGAGACCTAACGTGGGACTGGCATGATTGGTTGCGTAGGTGATAAAGCCCTCGGGCAATTTATGCAAAGCAATAGCCAGTGACGTCTGCAGGCCGATCGACAGGAAGGCGTTCTGCGGGACATGATGGTGATGCTGACCCGCATGAAGATGATGCCCATGCTGGTCCAGAAGCGGTGTGACAAGATCAGGCTCCTCAGGCCCAGGCTTGCTATTTGATCTGGTTGAGATCGGTCGTGCACTTCTGACAGACGGGATCGTTGACCGAGTAGTGAAGCAGTCGCCATCACCGGCACCTGCGTCCATGTCCGAGGACGCGGTCAAGGACCCATCCGGGATATGACAGAGTGTCTGCGGCATGTGTGGTGTTCCCGGGGTGATTTCTGACTCCAGTTGTCCGGCCGGGACATGGACATGTCCCTGGAGAGACCCTGGCAAGTGACTCGCCTCCTGCGATGGCACTCTTCGAATGACCTTGGTACACTCGGACCCGCATTTCTGAGAGACTCCATAGCATGGACCATTTTCGTCACAATATCTCTTCGTTCCACCCAGCAGATGCGCTAGCTGTCGCTGCCAACGGCGGCGGAGAGATTGTTTCCCCAGCTCATTGTCCGCTACCGAATCCTCGCTGCCCCTCTCCATCATTGGTGGTGTCGAAATGGAGGACTGTGGCTTGGGTCTTTGGAGCAGAGGTGTGCGCTCTGTGCTGCCATCGAAGGTACTTATCGTCGGTACTGGGTCCGTTTTCACGTTGCGAACCTCCTCCGCTTGATGGTCCCCTGCTTCTGGATCTGGGTTGTGAGTATGTTCGCAATCCACTATGCTGGAGGGGATGTGGCGATGAAGGAAGGCAGAGACGATGCGGATGACGATCACGCCCGCCAGAAACAAGGCGATCAGTATGTATGCTGAGGCTGCAGGGGAGAATCCTGCGCGGGTAAGGTGGTTCTTGGATGTAGGAAGCATGCTGTAGAGCGACGACATGAGCTAGACAGGGAGTCAGCATGGAGCGCCAACAGATGGATACGATCCTGGGGAGCTCATACCAGCACACCAGCACTGAGGCTCATCGAGGCGGCCAGGAAGGCATTGTTGCTGGTGATATCAAAGTCCTTGCGACTCGAACACTTGCGTACGATCAGATCGACACAGATGATCGAGGAGCCCAGGATGCAAGCTGGATGGGGTTAGCTGACACTCTCGACCAGAGCAGGAGCAAGAAGGAAACCTACCAGCTCCTGAGACCGCGCTCATAATCCACCCCCGGGTGTCATTGCTGGCCGCCATGGCTGCTGGTGCTCACGCTGCGACTCGAGAGCAGGAAGCAGGGCGGTGATGTCAGAGCGCTGGGGAGCTTGATCGAGGGCGAAGAAGACAAAGGGAGGAAGATGGAGGATGGAAACAGAAAAAAAGGTCAGGACAGAGCTGACAGCATGCTGGAAGGAATGCTAAAGGATGGTCTGTATATGTATGAATAAAATATATGAATATAAACACATATATATATTGACCTCGAGTTCTCCCTGTTGGACGATCATCCGCCGCGCTAGACGAAGCTTTCCACCAAGGTCCGCGAGAAGCAGCGCAGCAGCAAATAATAATAAATAACCAGGCAGGATAAAGGATAGACTGATCACAAAGCACCGGAATAGCTTCAGGGCGCACGGCAGAGTGTCACCGCAGTTTCAGGTCTGCCAGAGACCTCAGCTTCGGGTTTCTGTATCGACTGAAAGCCTCTTCGTTGCTGGTCTTGTCTCTGTGGTCAGCGAGACTGTCCATGATCTCGTTGGTCCGGAGAGAGAGAGAGGGAGAGAGAGGCAATGATGATCAAGGCACAGAACAGCGGCGATCATGTTTTTATATAGAGTGTATCCGTAGTATCCTCTGTGCACTGATTCCAGTGTATTGGATCGTATTGATCGTGAATACCATAAATCGCCCATCTATTTCTTCCCCCGCCAGCTCTCTTTTAGACCATATCGACCACTACTCTCTCTCTACGGTTTCTGATTGGCTGCACGGCGCGTCGGGGATGTATTTTCCTCTTTGTGGAAAGAAAACTTCACGCGACTGCAACGCCTGACGAAGTCGAGGACGAACGAGAGTCTTCCGTCGCAGCACACGGCAAACGGAGGACGGAGCTGAGACCAGCAGGGCTAGGTGCTGTTTTATTCAATATATTGAATATATTAAATTGCCCTCCGTTCTCTCCTCGCATCTCTCTGCCACTCCGCTCAGTTGGCCGTCTTGTCTTCCATATCGCGGTAACCAACAGACAACAGCATCCGCCATGTCGAAGGCTACCTTTGCAATCATCGCCGCGGCTGGTGCAGCCACCGGTGCTGGTGCTACTGCTCTCCTCTATTCCTTCAGGTCCCCTTCGCAGCAGCAGCAGCTCCAGCAACAGCAGCAACAAGCACCCAAGCCTCCCGTGGCTGCTCCGCCAACTGCTGGCAAGCTCCCCTCGCCGCCGACAGCACCTCCTCTCGCACAGAAAATCTCGACGGCTGCTCCTGTTGATCCGACAGGCCTCTTTCAATATGGCTTTCCCGGACCCGTGAACGATCCTCTGAACTCGCTGCCCCTGACGGGTGCCTACGACCGTCGCACCCGCAATCCGTCCTGGGTGGCCGAACACATCACCCCCTACTCCCTCTCCATGAAGAACGCAGATCGCAAACACAGCGTCTTCGTCGAGGATACCACCATTCCAACCATCTTCCGCGCCAAGTTGGCCGACTACTTCCGCTCCGGTTACGACCGCGGCCACCAGGTGCCCGCCGCAGACGCCAAATGGTCGCAGGATGCCATGGATGCCACCTTCGCCCTGACCAACATGTGTCCGCAGGTGGGCGAAGGCTTCAACCGCGACTACTGGTCGCATTTCGAGGATTTCTGCCGCAACCTGACCCAGAAGTACCCATCCGTCCGCATCGTGACCGGCCCGTTGTACCTCCCGCACCGCGATCCAGACGGAAAATGGCGCGTCAGCTACGAGGTCATTGGAAACCCGCCCTCTGTCGCAGTCCCTACCCACTTCTACAAGGTCATCTACGCGGAGGACGGCACGAACAGCCCCTCAAGCAAGGTCTCTCTGGGCGCGTTCGTCCTACCCAACGCTCGCATCCCCAACGACAAGAGCCTCTCCGACTTCGAGGTGCCCCTTGAGGCCGTCGAGCGGGCCAGCGGTCTCGAGTTTGCCTCGAAGCTGGACGCCAGCCGCAGGAAACGTCTCTGCCAGGAAGTCAAGTGCGAGATCACCGTTCGGGAATTCAACAACTCCAAGAAATCGCTGCCCGGTCTGCGATAAATACCCTCCTCCCTGCTTGGCAGATGAATCCATAGCAACTACAACAGAGTGGTTGGACGCCTGTATCATACGTCCCCCAGCGGCATCTCATACATATTTCGTGGCGTTTATTCTTTAGGTTGGGAATCTATGCATGGGGCATGATGACTACATAGTTAAGAGTGTTTATAGTATTATACTCTGTTTCGGCCTCGTCGTTGAAGACTCTGGCGATGTGTGTGATTAGCGTACAATGTTGATATCAAATTACGTCTATAGATAGTTATTATCTATTTCTTAAGACTTGGTCTCGTCATGTCTTTGTAAGAATGGTCAAACAATTCCTCAAATTATCCCGAGGCCATCTGCAACATTCGATTCCACATATTCTATACATCGAGACACAGCAACAGGGCTGTCCTTGGGCGCGTATTTTATATGATACACCCCCCTTAATGTTCGTAACAAGAAAAAGCGAACATCAACAAATAAGAAAGTAAGACAAGTATATGCATGCTAATAATGCCGCCATTATCACCCCTAACATTGAAACGCCACACCCACCTTCTTCGCCATATTTACTCCTCCGCCGGCAAATCCCGTTCCCTCGGAAGTAATCTCAACGACGCCCCTGCCGATCTTGCCGTTCTCTTTATCTTTGCTTTTCTTTTTGTGTTTTCCGTTCCCATTCTCGTCCTCCTTCCCGTTGGCGCTGCTACGGGGTTCAGGCGTGACGTCCGCCTCGCAGACGTAGCAGAGCATCTTGCCGCGGCGAGCGGCGTCAGCGTCTTGCTGTTCCTTGGAGGCGTGCGGGTCAGGAGCCGTATTATGGAGTTGGGGCATCATGAACTTCTGGACGCAGGGAAAGCAGATGACGTGACCGCAGGGTTTTGTTACTAGATCTGGTTAGATTTTGCAATCCTGGGTGGATACTGGGAATAATAGATAGATGAAACATACGCATTGCCTTCAGGCCGTTAGTTAGGGCCTTCTTGCAGGATGGACACACGCGCTGAAGCTTATCGCTGCCATCGTCTGCTTTCTCTTCCGTGAAATGGACGTCGACTAGGAGCTTCAAGGAGTATGTATGGCGGTTGCTCTCTCCTGAGCCAGGACATATTGGGGCGAGTTTGACGGGTTTAGAGGCCGCGGCCTCGAAGGCGTTGGTGTCTGGAGTCTGTGATGGCACCCAGAATGAAGGGAGAGCAGATTTGTTTTCCAACTGACAACACGCTGTTAGCCCAAAGTATATATATATACCAGAGGGGGATCAACAGGACACAATCCAAAACGAACCTTCTCTTTCTTCAGCTCACTTTTCAGCCTCTCTTGCTCCAACCTCGCAGCCCGTTTCATCTCCTCCTCATTCAACTCAAAGACCTTTCTTCGTTTCCCGTCTATTTCCACTTCCCGTTGTCGAAACGCAGCTATCGCCTCTGATTCCTCCGCCTTGCGCTTCTTGCCTGCAGCTCCATTTGTTGCCTCCAATCCCATACTGACAAGCTCAAATTCCCGTAACTCCCGTGTCCGCGCCTCTTCCAGTGTGAGGGCCTCCTCTTCCTCCAGTCGTCGTCGCGCTTCCTCGCGCTCACGCTCTAGACGCTTGATCTCTTTCCGTTGCGCTAGGAGGTCGTTGATTGCGCATTCGCGACAGAATAGATCGCCATTTGTAGCACAGGCCACGACTGGAGGTCGCGCTGGTTCTAGACAGAGACGACATGATCCGAACGGCAGGAAAGAGTCGCGGGATAATCGAGTCCGTTGCGTACCCCAGGTTGTGCGTAGGAGGTCGCGCTCATAGGAGGTGAAGTGAGGGAGGGAGGTGTTGCGTTTAGAATGCGCCATATTTGTTCTCTATTCTGAACATATGAAGAAGAGAAAGAAGTTACCACCTAGCTGTAGGTGCTGGTTAGAGGGGGTGCGCGGAGCTCGGAGGAGACTTTCGCAAATGACGTCCGGGGTCGTTGAATGCGGCGATTGCTCAAAGAAAAGCTCGAATTCTGGAATTTATCTAATCACATCGTACGTCCATGTGGGAAATAAGTGCAAGATTGATTATCTCCAGAGATCAGAGCGTGAAGGCAAAAGACGAACAGTTCCTAGTCTAGACGAGACTGAGATGCGCTCGCAGCTCCGACGCCATGACATAATCACGTTTCCGCCGTCAAAACAACCTTCTTCTTCTTCTTCTCCGCCCTGATTCTCCGCTCCGCTCACATCTTGCCCCCTCGTATGCAAACACTGACTACCATAGGAAATGACAGCAGAACAGCACCCAGAACCGCCCAATAAATCATAGTTCCAAGCACAGGAATTCGAATTAAACATCCAAGGAGTATCCTGGCTAGATCCTTACCTAGGTAGCTAGTGCTTTGCCTTCTTTCCCTTGTTCTTTTTCTTGCCTTTAGATTTCTCCTTATCCTTCGCCAGTCTTCCCTGGTCGTATTCCTTTTTCTCGTCTTCCAAGTCTTTCAGAAGAGCTTCAAGTTCCTCTGCGGTCTGCTCTTCCTCCTTGTCGTCGTCATGCTCTCTGACGCTCCAGCCAAAAGTTTGATCTTCTCCTTGTCCGATGAGCCCGAAATAGTCGCTGAGCCTTATGTATTCATTCTTATTTGCACCAAGCATGAATAGCATCTGCGCCTGCTGTCTCGGGTTGAATATTAGGAGTTTTGCCTCCATTTCGCTTGACTTTCCTCTCTTAGAGGCCCCGTACCCAGGAAGTCCTTTGATATTACTCCTCCAGATCCAAAGTCTCCTGGTGTTGCGGCCGTCCGGACCTTCGATCAGCTCATAAGTAGCATGCGCTCTACCGGCAAAGAACATGGCGCGACCTTCATCGGAATGCCAGGCACAAATAACGGCACACTGTTCCCAGAGTGTGGCGTAACGATAGTCGAAGATACCCACAGAAGTCATGCCGATTCCGAGATCGTACGCTGCTTCGAGAGCCGCAGCAGGCTCATTGTCGATGACGTTGGGCTGGATGACTGTGCGTTCGATCTTTCCATACACGTCCAGGAACCCGTCTACTTCAGGATCTGGTGCCTCGCAATGCTTGCAGCAACAGGAAAAGCCGTAGAATCCCTTCAGTCTCGCCTTTCTTATGGCAGAGGGAACATTCAAATGGCTGTACGCGGCAGCTAGCTCCTCGCCCTCAGCGACACCAACGCAGGTGTATGCTCTGAGCCAGTATTCATCAGGGTGTTGCTTTGCATGCTCGCCATAGATGTCCTCAGGCGTCAAGAAACTCACAACGACATTCGGAATGCACGAATGGTTCAGATAAGCAGAATCAAGACCGACAACAGCAGCTGGATTGTCGTCAAGGTTCGCTGGGAAATGGCATGTCTCGATAACTCCTCCGAAGACGTTCTTGAAGCCTTGGTACGCGTCTCTATGCTTGTTGGGGAGCGTCATGAATTGACGAGCGAATTCGTTTCCGCCCATCGCCTTGACCTTACTGGCCACGAGCTGGTTATATTCGCGTGGGTTGGTCACAGACTTGACTCTCTCTTCCCCGAAGACGGCGATGACCTGCTCACTAATGAGCAGGGTCCCCGCCGCGAGGTCCGATGTGGCCTTCAGGCCCATGCCTCTGCCTTCGCTAATGAACGTCTTTATGAAAGTCTTCTCCCATTGTGCTGCCTCACCAGCCTCAGCCGGCCCTTCAGCGTCTATAAAGCCAAACACTCTGTTAGCAAACCCAGATCATGTTGTCTCATTTCTATCCCGTCATAATCTCCTCTTAACACATTCACTCATGGCAGGACAATATTATACTCACGTGACATCATGAAGACCTAACTAATAGATCTAGAGTTGTGACAAGTTAGCAACCTTCAACCATACAACAGAGTTCCTATACAGCTCAAACAAGCCCAGCAAAGTGCCTAGAGGAAAAAAGAGAACAAAACAAACTAACCTTTTCAGCGTCTCAGTGAAGCTATCACAAAAAGCTGCAGCGAATCTTCAGCTGCACGTACTTTTCCAAAAAGGCAAGAGACAACAGATCTACAGCGAAACCAGAAGACTTTCCTATCACAGAATCAGTTAACCTCTCTTCATATATTAATAAACCTCCTCAGGAGTCATTAACAGGTGCAACATACAGCCAGGAGGGAACAGAAATGAACTGAACCATCAGGAAAGAGAGTCTTGAAAGGAAAGGGGTTGAGCACAAGTTCTCCGCTGCAGACAGAGAAGAAAGAAAGGGGAATAAAGAGAGAATAGGTAAATATTGGACGTGTTTTTTTTTGCGTGTGATTCCTTTCTGTTGTCGTGTGCTACTACTACTACCCAGCCAGGCTCCGCTCCGCCTCCGCTCCGCTGTGCTGTAGTAGAAGCGGGTCCAAAAAATCATCTTTCACTTGTTTTGACAGGGGTTAACACCCTTAGTCTTCACTTCAGAGCCTGGAATATAGAGACTCCAGAGTAAGAGTATGTGTTCTTTGCTGATTTCATTATTATCTTGCATGTTCTTCAAGGTAGGGTTAACATTCTTAATGAGCGGATATTTTCTTGTAGTATTTATTAATTATTATAAGGATGAGCATTCCTGGTTCTGTAGAAGCCTGCAATAATGGCCGGAGATTACTGGAAAAGATGGATGGGTCTAGAAACTGTCTGTCCGCTTTTCTATGGACTTCATACCAGTTCTCTAGTAACTCTCCCAACACGGATCAGGAAGAGCAGGAGAATCAGTCCATAGCTCGTTGACGACCAAGACGGGGCTCTTGCGTCGCGGTCAGTACAGTACAGCACAAGAGAGAAAGTGATAATGGTAGTAGATATTACAAGGGGTATCATACGGTTCAAATTTGCTAGGTAAAAGCATTATCAATATGTGAACTACAGCAGAACGAGCGAAGATACATACCTAATCTATCCGTACTCCTGATTACTCATCGCTAGGAAGGCAGACTTTGAGAAGTAGTAGTTTGAATCGACTATTTACTATTGATCTAATGTCCTTGCGAACATGGCATTCTCTTTGCAGGATACCCTAGTAGATGCCGCAGGGTGAAAATGTTTTTCGCTTTTCGTTGAGTTCCTCTCTTCCCTTGTGGACGGAATCATGCACCACCCCCTCCCGGCCTTGGGAAAAACCAAATTCTGTACAACAAAAAGGGAAACAAGATTATAGGAGAAAAAGAGAGAGAGAGAGAAGATGGACACTCCAACAGAAACGTACGTGTCTGGTTTGATGTAATGTACACATTTTTGGTCTCAGCGTTAAGCTTCTGCAATAGAGTAAACCCGTGAGGCACGAAGCATGGAGAATTCGTGAAATGTGAAAAGAAAAAGCGATGAAGAGTCGGTGTTAGCAGCCCAATAGATGTGGTGGATGGTGTGCCCTAGCAGAAACTCGGGTATCCTCGTGAAAAATGTACAACGAAAAGCGAGAGATGAGCCATAGTCAAGAGTAAGTCGACGGGCTCGAGAAACATAAGAAAAATTAAACAGAGAATATTGGGTATCAGCGTAACGTATTGCGGGTTTCAGAGTGGATGACGTTGCGGAAGAGAGGAAAGCAAATAGTCGGTTGTAGAAGACGACGCCCAAAAGTACACTACGCACTCACAGCCTGATGATGCGGGCCAGGTGATAGCTTTTCCTGGGACATATTGTGATCGATTGGTGTTTCTTCTCCTGATAAAGCATTGCTTTCTATCTTTAACGGCGTGTTGCGCTCATTGCTCTCCGGGGCGGAAGAGAGGGGCGAAATGGCCTCCATAGAGGCAGCGGTGTCCTTTGTTTTCATTCCATCATCGAAAGCTGTGGATGTTCTTTTCTCAAGCTCTCCTAGCGGAGGGAGCGATGGTATATCCTTCGAAGATTCTTCATGGGCACGGAAACTTCGGGCAGTCGTAGTGCTTGCACTCCGCAGCGAGTTAGGTCGCCCGCCATTCATGGACCCAGCAAACATCGATTCTGTGCCATCAGCGAGTGGTATATCGCTAGCTCTCGACTCATCTGCAGCCGGTGGCTTTCGCAGTTTCAATCGCTCCTCCGGTGACATATTCTGCCACTCAGACCCAAATGTAATCACGGAGGCTTTCTTGCCATGCACAGTGAAACTGGGTTCTTTCCTGGATAGCCCCTCACTCTCTGCTTGAGAATGACTCTCGTCCGGGACCGGAACGGAGGAACTAGACTCGTGTCCTTTCTTGACCCTTTGGTGCTGCGAGCCATGGTGAGAGTCCCTGAGGGTACGATGCAGGCTCCGGTGGGTGCGACCACGATGCTCGCCAGAAGCTGTACCGATAGATCCATCTCTCTTGTCCGCTCCGGCATCACTGGCTAGAGTCTGGGTATCAGGGATGCCACTGGCGCTGTCAACCGGAAGAAGACCAGCTTCTCTGAGGATGCGCTCCTCCCCGTCGACACTAGCATCTGTCCTGCTTCCGCCGCTCTGAACAGAAGATTCACGCTTAAGCTTCCCAGTCATAGAATCTTGTAACGAGACTCGGTCTTTAGCACCAGGCAGAGAAGACTGTCTGTTGATGGGAGCCCGCTCCGCCGAAACAACCGATGTGCCGATACTCGCCCTACGTAGGTCTCTCGAGGGCACCAAAGATAGATTGTCAGGTGTCGGTGGTCTCTCAGGAGAGGACGGTGAGACGATACCGTGGGTATCGGTCTTTGGGGAATCAGGAGCGACAGTCGGACTTTTCGCTGCGGATGGCTGGCTTTCGGTTGCTGCTGTAGCATTAGCCACAGGCGTAAACTCCAACTTCCCCCAGGCTCCAAAATAGTCCTTCTCCTCACCCATGTCGAGGATGAGAAATTCTCTGTAGCACTTAGTGCGCCAAATGTCCAGCCTCATCCATTTTAGTTTTGCTGCCATACGTCCCGCAGCCAGGATGACATTCTCTCTTGCCCTGTTATGGACGGGTGTCAACACCTGCAAATGTCTAGCATTTCTCAGGAGATCGTCCAGCTGTCTCTGACAAGTGAATAATCTCTCATTGGCCTCCTGGATCCTTTGAGCCATCAGCTGCTTACGTGCCGCTGAAACTTCCTCTGCAAGATGCGCACTAGCAGTTGATTCGGGCGCCGCTGCAGCTTCAGCAGACTGAACTGAGGTGGCCGATGCGACTGATCCCATACGACTGACTCTACGACGTTGACCCTCGTAACTGGTGCCAGTCATTCCTTTCATCCGCACACCGGTCGTTCTCAAAGCTGCAGCGTAGTTAAGCTTTGCAACCCAATCATTCATGTCTGCTTCGCTATTTGCCAGGAACGTCTCCTCAAGTGCGTTATGCCGGATTAGAAGAAACGCATGCTTATGTTTCTTATAGCTCGAATCCAATAAAGCCAGAGCATCATCTGTGGACATGATTCCATCTGGCTTGAAATCAGCGAGAGGCGGCGTGAAGACAACAGGTCCTCGACGTCCCTCTGCTTTCTGCGCGTCATATTGCGAAATCAAGGATTTCGCCCAGTTGACGTCTTTGAAGAAGTAAAGCTGGGAGAAAGTCAGAAGGGCACCCCATTCTTGCCACGGCGATCTCGTCTTCTTCTTTTTCGGATCCTTCCGCCAAAGAAGGCCGACCTTTGCTACCTTGATGTCCACAAGGCCAGGATGAGAATCGGCTGGGTTGCCGATACTAGATGGGGTCATAAAGGCGTCTGGGCGTGATCGAGCCGAGACGATTTGCAGAATAGCAGATTTGGAGAATGCTTGATGTAGGCTATCCATATTTGGTGGGCCGCTAGACCCAGTACAACTGTAAGTATCTTCCAAATTCATCACGTCCTTAAGCGTTGGCCTCAGCGTATCGAGTTTTCCTTCAAGAATGAGGGCATATGGATCCACGGGCTGGCTGGAGACCCGCGACAGGTGATCCGTACTGGCGGTCTTCAGCAAACCCCTCCGAGGCTTATTTAGATGACGTCCGTTGAGATTGAGTTCATCCTCGACATGAATGAAAGGTGTATAGGCAATATTATCATAGAAACATTCCAAGATCTCATCCGCTACACCTTCACCACGAGTATTCTTGACGTAATCGTGCTTCTGCATTTTGCGTTTGTTATTTTTGTTGAACACATCTGTGTGCAGTATCAGAATCGAAAACGCAATGAAGTAGGCTTGATCTGCAAGCGATATGATTAGTCAATCTGGTCCCCATGATAAGAGGCTAATGGGCATACCTGTTGATGCGAATATGCCCGGGTTGCACTCATGATATCTATCGGCAAATCCCTGGAGCACTCTATCGATCTGTTGTGTTTCCTTCGGCAATTCCACCTCCATCAGAAGCTTACGCAAAGCCATGTCGATCGGATCACCGAAAAATGCAAAGCTTCGCATGTATCGGCGCAACGCGGTCTTGTAGAAGTCGTCACCGGACTGCGATAGAATACCAGCTATCGCACCTCTGCGCACTGCTTCCTCCAGCCGAGAGAGGTATGTAGCAGGTGTATCGCCTTCTTCCCGTTCTGGACAGTTGACGACATCGCGTGTAAAGCAGAATGATCCCGGTTTGGAATATGATATGGGAGTGGCGGGCGAGCTGTTGTTAGGAAGAGGAGGTTCTGAATTCTGCCTCAGACGCTGAGACAAGTTGAATAGATCCCCAAAGCTTTTCCGGCCACTTGTGGACGTCGAATTTCGACCTGATGAGGGGAGATTGGTCGGTGGCTGGCGTTGTTCGTCTACTACGGAGCCCAGCGTAGACGATCTACCCCGACGGGGGCGGCCATTCTGGCCTTTCAATGACGATGCAGATTGTGCAGAGCGTGCAGAGGTCGTAGAGTCGTTCCTTAATAGAGGCGGTGCCCCAGATCGCGGGGATGATAACCCTACAGTTGAGTGGCTGGGAGAAGGGAGGGGCGTAATTTGGTCCTCAGGGGGAGGAATTGAACCGACGCCTTTTTGAACAATCTCTGCAGAGTCTTTCTTTTTGGAAGTTGGCTTGCCGTTGTCCGATCCATTGCCGGGCCGCTGCTGGGGTGAATCTGTAGGGTTCATCTTCATCGGTAGAGGAAAGAGGGGACCACGAGACTTCTTCATGCGCGGCAGACGGAATAATTTGCTAGCAGCAGATGTATTCTGATCATCATTCCGTGAGCTAGAGCGATAGATCTTAGGCTCCCCAGAGCTTGCCTCTGACTGCGAGGACTCGGAGAACCTTGGATCCTGGATTGTCGAGGAACGATTAGAATCAGTGGTGTGACCACGACCTCCTCCACTCCGCAGAGACGTGATTGACAATCGACCGGGCTCTTCTCCGTTAGTGCTGGATGCCCCAAGACCTGAATTGCCTATCTGAGAGTCCGTCGATCCTCTCCCCGAATTGGCTGGCCTAGCATTGCGGTCAAGGTTCCCCTCGCTTGCCTTAAAAGTCAGGTCCTCCAAAGAAGCTTTCTTGGATCGAGGGAGCAGTTTGATCTTGTTTTTCCGCTTCGTCGGTTGTTCAATGGTATGGTTCGTAGGAGCTGTCGTAATAATCGTAGGAGCTATGTCGTTCGGCGGCAAATCGTCAGCAGTCAGTCTCCCAGAGCTGCGGGGAATTTCCTGGATAGTCGTTGATCTTCAAAAAAAAACTTACGTGGCATGGGAGGCACTGGAGGCACATCTTCGCCTGCCCGAGTATAAGAAGAGGACAGTTGTGGATCAGATGCATGACGGAACCTCATCAGGCTGAAGCGGTTCCTTCGCGGCGTCTGCGCCTGCGCCGCAGAGGGGGACAAAGGCACTTTTTCACCATCCACTGCATCTTGACCATTCTGAGGGGTCACTGGCCGCACTTCATTGTCCTCACTTTCCTGGGGGATGCGGGGAGTCGATTCTGAGCGCCTAGGTGGCAGCTCGGATGTGGATAGGTTGGGACGTGGTATATGTTCACTATGGCGAGACTGGGCGCTCTGGTTGAAGGTGCTTAGCCGTTTGGAGTCGTTGGCATCAGCACCTAACCGGAGGGCTTTCCAATACATGATTCACAGCGGGAGTCTGGCGGAATTATGCACTCCTCCTCCCCTGAATGGACGATAGTCCCATGGATTCCTCGCCTCAGTGCTTGTCCAAGCGTAGATTGTATTTGTTGCCAGATAGTCCTTTTGACCCAGATTGTAATGACTTGAACGCTGGTCGTATCACTCTCACCAAGATGGCATCGCGAACAGATTGTTTGGACTTGGGGACCCGCGATGAGCTGCGGTGCTATGCGGTTTCACTTCTTCTGGAGTTGAGACGCTCCACGGACACACGTAACGGCTCTTCTAGGGCTTCGCAGCAGGGCAGCACGATGAAAACAAATCACCGTGATGCAAAATGGGGTTTGTGCAGAGAAGCGAGCGACGCAGACAAAGCGACTCTTACATCGCAGACCGGTCACTGATGGATCATTGGAAGGAAACCCCGCGGGACCAGGCCGGACAAGGGGACCGCCAGACGCAGCGACAATTGACGGGCGGCGGTGATAGGGCTGAGGAGGAAACACAGCTGACGTCGAGAGGGAGAAACAAGCTGACAGGGAGAGCTGTCCACAGTGTTCTCTGGGGGGGGATTTGAGGGGGATGGTCGAGCCCAGCCAGCGTACGACGACGCCAAGCAAGCAGCAGCTTAACTGTGTTGAGCGCGAGCGGGACAGCAAAAGGCGAAGAGCGTCTAGAGTCACTTTAGTTCCCAACGGTGTTCCACCACGTGCCCGGGTTATTATTATTTATGGTGGTCTATTGAGCTCATCGATCATGGAGCAAATAATAATATAATAATAATAGCCAAATAATGCCCATCGCGAGCGTGGAAGAATCGAGTTAGTGTGGGTTACGCTGGCAGGTAACGATCCTTACTCGATGCCTTTCTTACGTCGGCACGGCTTTCGTCCATCCCTGAACCATGGACGCCGATCGCTGGCAGACCAAGCGGCAGAGCGTTTTTGCAAGCTATTAATTATCTATTAATTACTAGATGCTCCCTAAGTACTACGATTGATACGCAGCAATAATAGTGCTGATCGATTGTCCACAGACATGAAGAGCCAGACTGTATACAGACCCCATCTTCACAGTGAAACAGATCGCAACAAAGTGCTGCAGCGCAGAAAGAACCAGGAGGAAATCGAAAGTCTCCAATTGCGCTTGATGGTCCCTTCCAGGTAACCATTGGAGGAAGCGCCCCGGGTCCTTTGGGCTGCATAACAGTCGGAGAATTATTATGGCAGGACGACGCCTGGATAGAAACCATAATGACTGGCGGTCGAGATTTATCCGGAAAGCCCCCGTACGGTGGCGACTGAACGCAAGGGTTATTCTGCGATGAAACACTGTCGAGTCAATTGTCCCGTTATCCTTTGGATTTCACACAAATCGCAAGAAACACCCTCAAGCCCAGCCCAGCCACGCATGGTAATGGAGGTCAAGGGACGAACAGTCGTAGCATGGAGCCATGGACAGACTGCTGAGAAGCTGTTAGCTGCGACACAATAATACGGAGTAATTAGGTAGACTATCTAGACCTGATGAGCCCTAGAATCGAAAATAGTTCTGCCTGGTTGGAACCGTTGGACGCTGTCTGCTCGAGACCTCGCACTACCACAACGCCTAGAAGATCTCGAAGGCGCCACAGGCCCACGACAGGTCGCAGTGGATCGAACTGGCCGACTGAAAGCTGGAGATTTCATGGTCGAGCCGCGTCGCCAGAGCATTTAGGCTGGAACCCGTCGTGGTTCCAGGGCCCGCCGTGGGTTTTGTGCGCATCCCTTGGTCTTATCGTCATCGGATCCTCTTGGCTTCCGACGTGATGAATCTGTGAGTCGGTAACTAGGTATCAACCTCCCCCAGCTGCTGACAGACCCTCGTATCCGCATCCCGCGGGACGATGCCGTGAGAGCACAAGATGCATACGCTTCATTGTCTTCTCCTCTTCCTCTGCGCGCTGCTGCTTGCCGTTCTGGTGCCTGCCGTGCCCGCCGGCTCCAGCATCACGCCTCCCCCTCCTCTCGAACCGGTACAATTGCTTGCGCAGTCTCAGGATCGCCGGCGACCCTGGACTCGCGTGCGGGATGCAGTCATCGAGACGATATGGGGGATCCCGCGGAAACACTCGAGGATTGTATCCTCGAAAGACCTGACCTACGGCCATGCTCCGCCGGCCAAGACGCTCGCGCGGTATGGAAGCGATGTCGTTCTTCGTTTCCAGATCAGTAGTCCGCGAGAGGCAGAAGCACTGGCGGAAGCTACCAATATCCTCTTTCTGGATGTGTGGGTGGCCACGGATGAGTTTGTGGATATCCGACTCGCGCAAGAAATGGTTAGTGAGATGCGACTCTCAGAAGGGCCTTTGGACTGACAATTCCTCCCTGTTCAGATCCCTCCATTGCTGGGTCTTCTGCCGAAGTCATTGCAAAAGGCTCACACGTTGTTGATTGAAGACCTTGCGGAAATGATTTACAACTCCTATCCGTCCTCACGACGCACCAGTCTGGGTGACCAGCCAGTCTTTAGCCCCTCCATGCAACAATCACCCGAGATTTCAGATCTGTTCTTCCGCGATTACCAACCGCTGTCTGTCATCGTTCCATGGATGCGACTCATGGCGTCAATGTTTACCACACATGTCCGGATGATCAGTGTCGGAACGTCGTATGAAGGTCGCGATATTCCAGCCCTGCGGCTTGGTGTGCGTCCAAGCACACCAGAAGGTGACTCAGAGAGGCGAAAGATGATTGTGGTTACCGGTGGCACGCATGCCCGTGAATGGATCAGTACTTCGACCGTCACATATGTGGCCTACAGGCTAATCACTGGCTACGGCAAATCCAAACGCATTACGAAATTGCTCGAGGAGTTCGACTGGGTTTTCGTGCCAACATTGAATCCGGACGGATATGTCTACACGTGGGAGGCGGATCGACTCTGGCGGAAGAACAGGCAGCAAACCAGTCTGCACTTTTGTCGCGGAATTGACCTCGATCGTGCCTGGGACTTTGAATGGAACGGAGACGCGACACGTTCAAACCCCTGCTCCGAGCTCTATGCCGGCGATGGCCCATTCGAAGCCGTGGAGTCCCAAAGTTTTGCTGAATGGGCTAGAAATGAGACCGAGAACAACAATTTCGAGATGACCGGTTTCCTCGATCTGCATTCCTACTCACAGCAGATTCTTTATCCTTATGCCTATTCATGCTCGTCCGTCCCGCCGACTCTGGAGAACTTAGAGGAATTGGCTATGGGTATTGCAAAGGCGATCCGTCTTACCAACCGTGAGACGTACGAGGTCACGTCCGCCTGTGAGGGGAACGTTGTATCTGGCCAGTGGAAACACTCGGAAACAATGAACCCTTCCGTCGATACCGCTGGAGGAAGTGCGTTGGATTGGTTCTATCATCAGCTTCATGCGCGCTACTCGTATCAGATCAAGTTACGAGATAAGGGCAGTTATGGGTTCCTCCTACCGCCATCAAATATCGTTCCTACTGGCAAAGAGACCTTCCACGGAGTGCTCCTGTTCGGCAAGTTTCTTCTCTCTGGAGACGTCAGCATAGCCGATTGGGAAACGGAGTTTGAATTCTCAGAGGGAGCACGTGTTCCTTCCGAGCCCTCTGCTAACACGGTCGACAACGCTCCCCAAAACAACGGTCAGCAACCTGCGGAAATGCCCGATTCTGAAACCCAAGCTATTGTGGAGGATTCTGTTACGATTGAAGATATCCTGGACGAAGATTATGACTGGTCCCTCCGAAAGTGACCCAAGTTGTACGCTTTTGTTCTTCCGTCATGATACGAATGATCTGTACTCTTAGCCTGTCGTCCACGTTTACTTGTTGATAATCTTTCCCTGATGATGCTTCACGGCCCATGAATATCTCTCTGTTTCCTTGCTTTTCCCTCGAAGTGCAGGTGTGGAGTTGGCCCTTTCTGCTTTGGTGATACTTGAAGTTGAGATGCGGATTCGCTTTCTGAGTCTGACTCTCCTTGGATGAGTGTGTCTCACCTCAGTCATTTCTGTAGGATTCCGCATGTGAAAATAACGCGTGTAACATGAGGCTAGAACACCCGGAAGAAAGATTGAATTGTATATCATTTGAATCTCCTCGTATTTGGACAATAACTCATTATCTGTTGAACAGATCATCGAACTTGCCAGCAGTTGTGCACAACAGAAATCGATTAGCCCATCTATGAGATCAATCTGTCTTCCTAGAGTTTCTAGTCTCCGAAACAATCCCGCAGAGACTGTGAACGACAGATGATGCCAGCATCTTCAACATCAGGGACAACGCTCATATCCAGCTAATTTCCTCGATAGTCAGTCGATCGTCAACTATGAATTAAAGTATGACAAGGCTAGCGGATGATGAGCAGCGGTACCGAGGGGAATGTCCTTATCCAAATGCGGATATACTTTGCTGGTTCCAACCAGATCGGACCATAACCACGTTGCTTCCACATAAAGAGCTCCTCGTCGGCAAAAGATGCACCACGCATGTACTGTACCTCTTCCTGCATGTTTAATTACAGAAAGGTTTGTTGATCATCTAACAAAGGAATAACATATCTATTTTCACCTTCCATAACACCTTTTTCTTTCACAACCCAGCCGCAGTAATAAGAGCGGACCCAGGGTTCCGCTACTTACTGTTTCCGGCGGTTAGGTTGCGTTTCTAGGTGACGTCGAATATCGCGGCTGGTAAACGAAGCCTGCCACAGACTCTTAACACAATTGCACTGATTTGGATTTTAAAGAAGTTCACTAGAGAATGCTGTCTATTTCTTTTCTTCTCCTTTCCACTCTCTGAGTCAAGATACCGTTTCGCTTCGCGGTTCTGGTTCTCCGAGCCAGATATCTCTTCGGAAAGCAAGTCCGCAGGAGGTATCGGGAGAGGCAACATTCGTCAAGACCTCATGAGACCTGGTTACCATCCTGCGCGTTAGTCGAGTGCTCTTCTCTTTTCACACTGCTCGCGGAGATCCTGTCGTCTTTCTGTTTTCTCTCCAATCACTCAACTCTCTTTAAACATCGGCATCTAGACCTATATCAGCAGCCAGATCATCGGCTTCTATCTTAAACCAGAAGGTGAAATACATCTGACAGCCTTCCTGATCAATCGTCAGACAAACATGGACTCAGACTCGGATTGGTCGGACCCTGATAACCCCAGACCGAAAAAGCCTGCTCCGAGACGGACCTTTTATCAAGAGCCTAAGCTGCCCAAAGGAGCCACGTTGCATATGTCGTTCTGTTTTTATCATGGCTTGCTGGGTAAGCTTCTGGAAGATGGGAGCTATTCTGATTTCACTATCCGCTGCGGAGATCGTGAGTGGAAAGTTCACAAGGCCATCGTTTGTTCGCAATCCGATATTTTCGACACCGCTATCAATGGCAAATTCAGGGTATGTATATGTCCGCCTGATATCCAGCGGGTGTCCACAGATATCTATCTGGGAGGCTTCTTTCTAGGGTGAGAGTAGAACGGAGCTGATGAGTTGTACAGGAGGCGGAAACCGGAATCATTACATTGCACGATGACGAGCCGGAAATTGTGGACTACCTCATCACCTACTTTTATCACCATACCTTTGACGACAAGGATGCTGTTCTGCCCACTCCGCCTCATGAACAAAAAAGCGAGAGACTTCGCCTCTTCTCGGGTGAAAGCAAAGCTGATAATCCAGTCCGCATCCCGGATTCTCTCAAAGTCTACGCCATAGCCGACAAGTACATGGTCGGTACGCTCCGCGTCCTAGCTCACACACGCTTCGAGCACTGGTGTGCCACCAATTGGCACACTGAAAGCTTCCTCCTCTGCGTCAGAGAAATCTACGAGCGTAAGACGGGCAACTACGAGGACCTGCACGAAGCAGTCCTCATTCCCATGGCCAACCAGATCGAGGACTTGCTCCACCACAGGCAATTCGTGGAATTGATGGAAGACTGCGGAGAGCTCGGCGTTGAGTTGATTAAGAAAATCAATGAATGGAACCGTATCACCCGCCACGGTCTTGAAGTGGATATCGCTTTTCTCCGCTCTCACGACGAGGTAATCTGTCAGAAAAATAAAAAGCTGAAAGAGGACAATAAACGTCTATCGCGGTCTCTTCTTTCATTGCGCGCAGCCGATACCGGTACAGGAAGCCGTCGTGCGAGTTTGATTTCTTCTCCAGCTCATCAAACTTCAGCACCGTCACCACGTCAGTCGGCATCCCAGACATATCCTCATAACCACTCCTCGTCTGCTGCGCAGATTCAAATGAATCCTGCTTCTCGACCTCAGTCTCACATTCGAGCCTCACTTCCAATTCGGCTTTCCGCGCCTCGTCCTAGTATCCAGCCGCAGTCTCAGGTCCAGGCATCTTCTCCCCCTCCTCCTAACGACGAGAACTAGCCTTTGTGTGGCAATCACATTTCACACCATCCTCACCATCATCGTGAACGTTTCTCTATTCGAGAAACTTCTTTTCTCTGTAGCCGTGTCTAATATTGCTTTTCCAGAAAATAATGTCTCGAGTCTAGACTTTTCCTGATGTACCATAATGTGGGTGTTGAGATTCATTTTCCCTCTTCTTTCATGTACCTCATGTACGTAGTTAGCTACAGAATAGCCAATGAAATCAAAGACTGTATCATTAATGAAAAAAAAAAAATGAACATTTCAATTTAACGTAACTTCATCGAATCTGCTCGTGTAGTTGTGTTCTAAATACCAGGCTGAAAGCAATAATCAACGAACCACATCTATCTCTGTCGTAGGACTCTCAGATGTAAATTTATAATATGAAGACGGCATCGTATCTCCCGGTCTACTATTCTGGCTACTTGTCACGTTGAAATGTGAGGTAACCATGATCTCTCCCTTGTTGCACAACTCTTCCTCGGATTCATTATCGGCTTCCCGCGACTTGAGGGCAACACTGCCCTTTGCAGGTGTGCGACGAGACCGTGACCGTGACATGGTCCCAAGTTCGTAAGGAGATGGCTTCCCGTCACTGCTTTGGTCGTGGATCCGCATGACATGTTGCTTGTAGATTGAGACCATGGACGGCATGTTGCCGGTGATAATGGCGATGCTGAGCTCGATTGTTGTCACAATATCCACCGATCCGTAGACGTATGTTGTTCTTGAGCCGCTGGCGAGCTGCACGAGGACGATGAATCTGAGAACTGACACGATGATGGTGCCGCCGCCGATGGTGAAGCAGAAAATCAGACCGAGCCGACGTTTCTTCGACATTTGGAGAGTCCACACAGGGTAAATCGGTAGTAGGTAGATGATGAGATCCGTCAAGACGTTCTGATTATTGCCCCGATTTAGCATCAATGAGTCTGGGGGGGAGTATAGCCACATGGAGAATGGAGAGGGAGGTCACTTACAAGACTAGCGGGGATATACAATGTCAACGGAGTCGGGATACAGTGCCCTTCTGGATAAGCGCTGGGATTGAAGAACGTGCCCAAGGGAATACATTGCAACCCGTAAAATAGCCACACAGCAACAGTTTGAGCGAGGGTGAATCCCATGGCACAGAACACCATCAGCCGGTATGCGGGCGAACCGCTCAAGACTCGTAGATAGAACGTCAAGAATGACAGTTTGATCAGCAATTGCGTCAGGATGTAAACGAACTCGATGATGAAAAGTAGCTGTTGTTTGTTTTAGTTAAATTTGTTTCTTAATTCTTCAAGATGAAACGGCCTTCGGACCTTGGAGTGGGGAGAAGGAACGCACCATGGTGATCTTCGCAATGTTTTCTGCTGGGGCATCTACTCTACATCGGACGAGAAGGGTGACAATCAGTTCATCACCCTTTTTGCAGTCCAGTTCTTTCTTCGTCTTTTCAGGATTATCTCAACTCACCTGCCTCCTCCATCGGTGATCATCTGACATAGGATCCCTTCTGTGACGAGCCATGATACCTAGACAGGAGAAACTTCAGGGTCAGGTTTGAAGGTTGAAAAGGATTGTGAACACCCACTGATGCAGCAACCATAAACCAGTCGTCCGCCCCAAAGGACTTCGAGATATAGAGACGAGAATAGAACCGCAGCAGACAAGTGATTCCCGTGATCACGATAAAGGGTATGGAAATGGCCCATGTTGCGGGCTGCATATTATCTGAGAGACCCATTGTGCTATCACAACGCCAGTGGGTTCAGAGGCCAATGTCCCAAGATTTTCGTGGTTGGCCTTGATGGCGATGAGAAAGCACGAGCACCGCGGCGCGTGTCGCATAGCTGTCCCAAAAGGATTATATACTCTTCTCGCCAAGTGCATGGAGAAGGGAGTCAAGCAAAATATGAAACATGGAAGCACTAGGATCGCTCCTGGAACAAGGCGTTGAGGCATCACTAGATCTGTGAGTGCAATCTACCTATGATTATCTGAGCGCCTTCTGCGTCTAGGGAACCCGTAGGAGTATAGCATTAATTCCCATCGGAAGATTGATTCCATTATCCCTGAAAATTCGGCAGTAGCTACCCTTAACTGTTCAGATAGAGAGACTCTTCAGATTGCTCCGTACAGTAAGTGACAGATGCTAATCGGATGTAGTCGACGGAAACTCAACACATACTTATTCTATAAACCTACACCTCCCAAGCACCAAGCACCAAGCACAGGAAGGAAAACTTTATACTCTCTATTCTAGATTCTAAAGTAATTTGAGAATTAGTTACCAGGAGTCCTCGAAGACGCTTGGTTGCCACCATCACTATTGATCTGGCGTCGTCACGGTGCTCCCAACGAGCTAGGAAATATTACGTAGAAAAACTTCCGAGCTACAAAGGGTCTGTCTGTATTTCGGCGCTTAGCAGGGGAGAGCTTGGCAGGGAAACCCCCGCCTCTCATTGCGGTCCGCTATACCATAGACAGAGGACAGGACACTTGAATTGATTATTGCACAGACTATCTCCTTTTCTTTCCCCTTTGTAACTCCTCGATTATGATAAGTCGTCAACGCCCACTATGCTAGTTTACGGAACAGGTCGACATTACAGACGATATCTAAGGCCACTCCATCTCGTACAAATTCCGGGGGAGATGGTGAACCCAATCCAGTGAAAAACATCGTCCATGACTGAAAGTCAATGATATACGAAGTAACTGTAATCCAATGCCGTTACTCAAATAGGATGTTCTACGGAAAAATACTTAGAGACAAGGAGCGACTAATAGGCTGCTAGCTTCTCGATTTTCCTCGCGGCTCGCGGATGCCAAAGCCCAAGGATTTAGTTAATGACCATGTCAGAACTAGAGCGTTAGCAGCTTGCTTTAAGGCGAAGTTGGGCTGCCTAATTACTTAGCGGCTTGAAGATCTCCGGGAATTTCTTCACCCTAACAGCCGAACCGACCGTTCCAGCCATGTCCGCTTTATGACTTTTTGCTCTTCCCCAGGAACTAGTTATTTGATTGGGCAACTTGAAATGATCGACAGGATTGTCATCCCGACTTTGTGCCCTATCTAAATTGGATGAAGAAACGACGGCAGTGGTGGGACTATACTAGTATCTAGTAGACTAGTACAGACGAACGGAAACGGGCCGAGCAAACTTAGCTTTGACAGGTGTCAAAAGAAAGCTTGACATCTATCATAGGCCTGACGGTTGGAGACTTGGAGTACGGAGGGATAACTAGAAGTAATGATACTCCGTAATTAGTTGGGCCCTTTCAATCTCTAGATAGACGCCATTTAAGAACGACCAGGAAGGGTTGGGAGAGAAGCTGTATGTCTTTATCATTATTGTCAACTATGGAAATCCTGTTCCCCCTTGGACATTTTATCCTATCTCTCAACTATCATCCCGCCAACGCAGTTCCTTAATTTCGAGGAACATCCTTCCCTTCTTTAAAGACATCGTTCTCTCCCGTCACCACCCCAAGATTACCATCCCGGTTGACTCCCAGCCAGTCTCTCATCTGCGGGCTCAAAGTGGCCTTTACCTCGTCCGAGAGACCCACGGCCCAATTGACCTGACCGCGCAGGAAAGGTGCATTGTATGCCCCGAATAAAAGCGCTCGGTCGACGTCCTTGGTGACGTTGCTGCCGGAATTATGCCAGAGGCGGCCGTCCATGACCACGATGGAGCCAGCCTTGGCTTCGAACGGCTTGTATAATTTCTTTTCTTCTTCCCCACTGATCACGTCGTCTGGGGTTTTCCACTGGTGACTGCCGGGAATGTACATGGTTGCTCCGTTTTCCTCGTAGATGTCGGTGATGCACCAGATTACATTGGCCGCCCACGTCTTCTCCCAAGGCGCGGGGCATTGCAGAGAGAGGTCTGAATGCAGACCCATGGACTTGGACCCCGGTCGCGCGATGTTGGCGGTGAAGTTGGAAATGAGGAAATTATCCGATTCCAGAGCTGCCTTCACTATCTGGATGGCGGTCGGGTGCTGAATCAATTCCAGGAAGATCGGGTCCAGGTTCATCAGATAGAAAACACGGACGTTACTCTCGTTGGGGTCGAGCCATGCCAGATGGGTCGGATCGCCTCGACGTTCGCTCTCATCTCGGGCCTTCCAGAGGCGATCCAGCACCTCCTTGGCTTTCTCAGTCGAGATCACGTTGGGGATTATCACGAATCCATCCTTCTTGAAGTTGGCTTTCGCCTCTGCGAGTTTCTCCGGCGTGAGGGTCTCAGTGGTGGTAGTCATGATGCGTTAACGTTGTAGTGTCGGCGTTCTGGATTTCGTATCGAAAGGAAGAGGACTAGGAGTGCGCCCCCCGCTGTAGAAATAAATACTCACTCCGTTTCTCTATCTATTAGATATCGAGATATCTGAAACAAGCCGTCGACAGTTTACGCATGTCCTGCTCGGTGGATAATCGATCCGATCTACAACTACAGCTTATCAGACGAGTTTTGATAGGCTTGTGGCCAGGAGAGAAATAACGACCTGCAAGAATAATCTTTTTTGGTATAACCTGTGGCTAGCTAAGTTGGCCACGAAAATCGCGTACGAGTCAGGCTCCGCAGCTGGCCCTGGAGGTCTGAGGACCTCATCGTGGTCCATGATGCACCATTATTCTCCCGCAGGCCCGTTGGCCTGGTCTTTGGTAATCCCTGTATCTAGTCGGTTATGGATCACTTGAATCATTCTTGATAGCATCACTTTTGATTGTCTAACATACCGCAATCCATGACTGTTAAATACCATGGACTTTGCAATGGGACCTGCAAACTGCCTTACCCAAGTTTACATCCACAGTATTGCCGCCAGAACGCTAATAAGCATCGGGAATCTTGGCCCTCCTTCCAGTGGTGGCGGTACACTATCTACTGCAAGTTTGCAATAATAGTTTAAACCTTTACGTCCTTAGGACAAGCTATGTTGTCCAGACACACTAACGCCTCGGTCCTCTCGTGTATTAGCTAGGCAGCGCCAAAGATATCTAAGGTGACCTTCTTGTTCTTACTCTTTGATTACAGTTATATCCAAATAATTGACCATCGAGGGGCATGTCTTTCTGCTTGGGGCCTGGTTACGCACATGAGAGATTGTGAGAGTTTACCGGAGTACTACTGTCCACTGAGATACCACAGAAATGGATGCAAATTCCAGTTCCCACGGCCACTGTTTCCGGATGGCGTAGATTCTACTCCCGGTACCCAGCCACGGCAGGCCTTAGCTAGCATCCTTGTTGACGAGGTGTTTGGCTGGTGATCACCTCGTCAAGGAGTATATTGGTGGAATGGTATTTTTCTTTATCCATAGCACTGCCAGTGGCCTGCATGCTAAAAGTCTCCGTTCCATCACCTTTAATTTACATGTGGCTCAGAGAGACCGCTGGGGGTACATAAAAGTTACTGGTTTACAGTACTGTGTACTTGAAAGGTCACGGAGATATTTCGTGCCACAACATGGTTACAAATACCAAAACAGACCATTAGATAATGATTGTGTACAGCCTATGAAAGAAATTAGTAGATTAAGAAAGTTGGCTGGCACGGAACTGTTTAAGATTATTGCAGCAGTACATTCCAGTACGTCAACTTAGTGAGTTATGTTCAATTCCCTGGTCCTTACCATTGATCCCAATGTGCAATTTATTTTACTTTCTCCCTTCAGACTCCCTCTCATTTCAAATTAAAGATCAGTACCAGGATTTTCTAATCCTAATGAATAGGTTGTTATCCCGTCGTATAACTATCTTCATTAACTATTAACTTCACAGTAAAGGGCCCTGGAAAATTTCATATCTCGAAGGCTCCAAACACCAAGTTACCAGTCTCTGTGGATCATGGCATTGGCTTCCTTTTCGGTACAACAGTCATACCTTCGCCTTCAGGCCTCAAATGAACATTCCCCAAAATATTCACACATGAGTATCCTACTCGGTGGAAACTTCCGCAAGTGAAAGTGATGATATGTGGCTACTGTCTTTGGGTCAGATAGATATCAAAATAGATGGAAAGAGGCGTTCTATATTCACGCTACTAGCAATACTATTCATAATACATTATCATCTCGTCTATCACCCATTACTAGACGTCTAGTAAAATCCCCGGTGAATCCTTTATCTCCAAATCATTCACCACTTTTATTCTCACCTACTCTATCTCTCTGGTTAAGTCTTCCTCCTGATACCTTCCCTCGGCAACTCCCTACCTAGGCGCCAGGAGCTTTCCCGCATCTTTTCCTTAGCGAGCTCCACCCATGAGGATAAATATCCTGAGCTTGCTAGAGAATCCAAGCACCGGGCAGCTTAAGCCTGTCAATGCTATATATATATCATTGCTAGCTTCTTATATAATTATACCTTTGCGTGGCAGTTCATGGAGATCTGGTCTTTATAGAGATAACCCAGATGGGGAAGAATGCCAAAGCTTTCGTGATCTTATGCGAAAGATCTCCGATAAGCTGATCCAGCAAGGAGCAGAGGGTTATTGCTCCATCCACTACTACCTGGTACATATGGGACGCAAAGCTAGTATGCCTTCGTGATCGACTACATCCGAAAGTATATAGTCTTCCTGAGATTGGAAATATCTGATACCGAGTGCATACTATTTTTAGCATCGAGTCCTGTGAATTCTTCAATTTGTCTGCCCGTCAGAATACGGGGTTTCGAACCTGATGTCGTCCAAACCTTCGACATCCCGATGGAGGAAGAGAGCGTCGAAGTCCTTGAAATACGTCGGATTCGTGCCAGGGAGAGTATCACACATCCATCTAGTGCACCGCGTGGATACTTGGCGGAAGAGAAAAGCTGATGCCATGGGAAAATCTCCATCAAAGATTCCCAAGCTAGTCACCGGACCAAGCCCCCAGAAGGCGACCACTTCTTTGGCCAAGCCCAGCATAACATCAAGCAAAACTAGTACCGCTCGCAAGAAGTCTGCCAGAAAGCTAGTAATTTTAAACTATTATAACATGTCCGAACTATCTACTAATCTACCTTAATGCGAAAAATGAGACGATTCTACTTGCCTTATCACTGGTTTCACAGAGCCGATAGAGATAGCACATATCTACCCTGTTTCTCTGGGTCAGAAGAGCAAGATAGAACAGGAGCAGTTTTGGGAAACTCTGTCTAACTTCTGGACACTAGAAAAGATTAACTCCTGGAAGGCCAAAGTACTGGGACCTCAAGCAACCGAGCATTGCGCCAATCTCATGTGCTTCAGTAATATCGCCCATCAATTGTGGGAAAAGGCTCGTTTTGCTCTATACCCACTTCAGCTGAGCGATGACGAAACAACCCTGACCGTGAAATTCTTTTGGCTGCATACAATGGATTATCGTAAAAGCCAGTCAATCACCCGACTTCCGTCGCCTATTGCCCCCGATCTTATCTCCAGCACCAGGGACGGCATACCTTCTGCCAAGCTATTCAGGCTCGCAACTGAGGAGAAGATTAGGTCTGGCGATGTCCTCACTTTCCGTACGACGGATCCAGTCAAACTTCCTCTGCCATCGGTTAAATTACTCCAGCTCCAGTGGACTTTACATCGTGTTCTTGCTATGAGTGGGGCGGCCGACGCTTCAGATGAGGATCTTGACCCAGATTTCCATAGGCCGGCGGGTGCTGGCTTGTCTTGGAGAAACGAAGTCGAAGAAGAGGAAGAGGAAGAAGAGGAAGAGGAAGAAGAGGAAGAGGAGTCTGAGCCGAGTGTCCAGTTTGGACTCCGTCGCCTGAACATAGGCTGACAACGGATAGAACGACCCTGATAAGCCTAGATACTGCTGTGGTAATAATGATACGTATTATACGCCATTATCCGATGACGAACTGAGCAATTGGGGTTAGAATAATAGCTAGGCGCGATAGCTTTTGTCACACTCATAGTAGTAACTAGGGCAGGTAGAACACAGCCCTAAGGACAGTGTTGCTACCACACAGAGTCTGTGTCCTTTAGCTAGAATAATTCAATTAAGGGCTTATCACATCATAGATCTCACTATTTACCTGCTGTCCTCTGTTGACATATACTCAAAATACCAGAGTCACATTGTCGATATGAGCAGAGCTGATAGTTAACGCCAGTCTTATCTCCGTATCACGTGATCCATCTACTCCAGACTAAACGACAACTTAGTCCGAGCTTCTCAGTACCCGAACGTCAATAGTTAACTATCGTCTATTTGAGGGTACAAGAGCCTCGTTAAAAGAACAGCTCCTATTACGACTTGATCTCTTTCCCAAGAAAACCCTCCAGTGCAGACTATCAGGTTTCAACTCCCCTTCCCAAAAGGGGAAGTCGCAACAATGTCCTACTACTTCACCATTCTCTCCCCGACCGATGTCCCGCTCTTCACCCTCACATTCGGCACGTCCAAAGCTGGCGGGGATGGCATTGCTCGATTCCGCTTCCCGGATACGGCGCGATATATGAATCAATTCATTATCCATTCCAGTTTGGATGTCGTTGAGGAAGTACAATGGATGAATGGTGCTATGTACGTTGTCCCCTGAACTGTGTCTTGCATGACCTACCATCCACCCCCTCCCCTCACCCTCAACCTCTCTCTCTCTCTCGAATATCAAACTGATCATATATCGAACCACAAACAGGTACCTCAAACACATCGACACCTACCCACCCACCGCGGCACACATTTCCGCATTCCTCACCCCCTCCGGCGCCCGCTTCCTCCTCCTTCACCAACCGCCCCAACTCCCCTCCTCATCCTCCTCCCTAGCCGCTTCCATGTCTTCCTCCGCCCTCGGCGGCGGGAGCAGCTCGCGCGCCTCGTCGACTTCTATCGCTGCGAACCCGACGTCTCCGCAGACTGAGGAGGCGATCCGGCAATTCCTGAATGAAGTGTATGAGAATTACGTCAAGACGGTCATGAGTCCGTTTTATAAGCAGGGGACAGAGATTCGGAGTCCGGTGTTTCGGTCGAGAGTTGCTGCGGCGGGGAGGAAGTGGTTGTGAGTGGGGATATTGCGTATCAAAGCTGGCCTTCTCTCCTTTTTTTTTTTTTTTTTTTCTTTTTCTAAGTTGGTGAGATGCGGGGTTGGTTTTCTGTGCATGGCGTTTTATGGGAGTTGTCGTGATCATGTGTTTTGATTTGAGGAAGCTAGATTAGCGCCTAGAGAGCAGATGTTTCTGCGAATGATACCCACCACCATATACGGTTGAAATACTCGAAAGTCAATAATAGAAAAAGAAAAAATGGACGACCTATAGAAACGGCAAGGAGGTAGAATTCCACCAGGGAAAGGACTGGATTAGATAAACAAAAATATAAGATACCGTGTACGTATCATGTGTCTAAATAAACTCTAGAAGGTGAATCGAAAGTGGCTCAAATCGTGATCGTGATCGGTAGAAGTAGAAGTCGAAGAAGATATGAAAAAGAAAAAAATGTACGCTTCCGCAGCCGCGATTACTGACGGCCGCCAGAAGAGTCAAAGACCAGATATCCCGCTTGTTTCGATGGATCCGGAACGCCAAACAGAAAATAACACCGAAGAGACCTCGTTACCCATGCCTCTCGATGAGGAAATCAAATCATTATTGTTGAAAACAACACCTTTTCTTCTTCGGTTAAGAAGTCATCTGTGGAGCCAACTTCTTCACAGTGACAGCTTTGAAGTTTTCGACGGCTTGTACGACGTCGTCGAGCCTCGCAACCGCACCCAAGATGCCGCCCTCCATCTTTATCGACTGGATCGTGCTGTGATGCAGTGATGGGTCGCTTGCCGCAGTACCGTCCTCGAGGACGCAGCAGTCGAATCCCCGATCGTTGGCTTCTCTCATAGTGGTTGAAACGCAGACGTCCGTCGTCACTCCTGCTAGAATAAGGTTTTTGACGCCTTTGTTCCGCAGAAGTAGTTCAAAATCTGTGTATTGAAACGCTCCGCGGCCGGGCTTATCGATGACTGGTTCCCCGGGGAGCGGATACAGCTCATCAACAGTGTCATGGCCAACCTCCCCGCGAATCAACAGGCGACCCAAGGGCCCTTGAGCACCGATCCCCAGGCCGGAGGCATTATTCCGGGAGCGAAAGTTTTCTCGACTTGGTAGCGTCGAGAGATCGGGGCGATGGCCTAGTATGATCATCAGCAATCATTTGCTCTCATTGGGGCATGTCGATGAGATGCTACCTTCGCGAGTGTGGTAGATAGGAAAGCCAGAAGCGCGGAATGCATGGAGCACCCGCTGCAGCTTTGGGATCAGAGCTTGGTTGGCAGAGATGTCGTAGCCTTGATACTCCATGTAACCGCCGGGACTGCAGACTAACAGCCGGTCAGCAAAGAGCCGTATAGAGCAACCACCCCACGTCCGATCTAGACTTACAGTCCTTCTGCATATCAATTATAACCAGTGCGGTCGTGAATGGTGTCATCGTAGCATCGTGCGGCCAATCATAGGGAACTGCCGTGATCTGGCCCTTCTTGACTTTGTGATGTGGCACATGGCGCGGCCTATCGAGGACGGGGCCATGGTTGTGAGTCGGATTCAGCACCGTTAATGTCCAGATCCCAGGCGTCCCAGCTGCCACTAGCATGAACGGGCAGTCCATGAGACGGGAGGTCCTCTTGCGCTTTCGAGTCTCTTCGGTGAGACCGTTCCGCGGCCGGTACTGTCCACCACGATCGCAGCGCAGCCATATCTTTGCGGTCCGTCCCGGCTTCTTCTCCGTTGGCGTGCTCGACGATTTCACGACGATGTTGTATCCGTGGGCTTTTCCGTGGGCCTGGACTGAGGCGAGCAGGGAAGCTCTATCAAAGACAAAACACAACCCGATCAGTCTACGCATTGAACCTTGAAGGAACCGTGCGGGACCATGTACGGCGAACCGGAGGGAGGCGAGTGAGGGGACTCACTTATCGGGGAATGTTCCTTCGGGCGGTGGAATCAGCTCCATGGCCATATCAGGAATATCCTGAAGATCGCTTGGCGCGTCGAGGTTGAGATCCGCGGAGTCAGCCATGACGGCCGGTTAACTAGGAAACGGGGACAGAGCAAGCTCTGGACGGAGCAGCGCGTCAGCATCACCATTCTCATCAAGCTCCGTTCTGCACTGCACAGCGCAATCTGTGAGGGGTATAGGACGGGCATCGTGATAGAAGATATCGAGTGCGTGGAAGGAATCGCATCAGATCGGTGCCTGATGGATGGGGGAGATCGTGCGTGGACATAGAGAGCAGCCAGCAGAAGAGAGAACAGTGGAGCAGAGCACCGACGGAGCTGCGGAATGACACGGGGGGCCAAAGGGACACGACGGCGCGAGGGCGTAGCAGTGACAGAGAAACACAGCAGAGACAGACAGCTTACCAGAAAGCCAGATCCCCCCAGAGAATCGCCTGTTGTATCTAGACCTCTTGTCTTCGGTGTACGCACGTCGAGAAGCGCAGGCGTGGAGGAGAGAGATGGAGCAGCTGTCCCGCGCTAGGCGGTTTCAGGCCAAGGCGCCCCTGACGACGGAAACATCAACACTCCAGCTGGTCGACGAACTTCTTGGACATGGGATGCACCGCAGCCCATCGAACACCCCTCTCTCCCCGCCATCGACACCGCGAGAGCAACCCCCAGCGAGGGGGTTCAGCGTCTAAGGTAGGTTTTCTGGAACGTCTTGCTTGACCGCCAGCGTTCCTGCACGCCCTCAGAGCTGCCGTTTGCGACACCGCATTGTGTCCAGGGACCGCTCGAACCGGTCATTATTGGGACCAGTTCCACGTGCATCGCCGTCACCACGGCCATCCCCTTCGTCCACGACGGGACTTCTGGCGGTGTTCTTATGTCGCCTGCGTCGATCGCATCTCGCTCTTGAGCCTGTCTGTGCTGTTCAACCGCCTTCCTCTCCCCTGGCTCCCGTTGCGTGCGCATTCATCTGACGTAGCCAACGATGCCGGCTACCGATGGAACCCCTTCACCACGCCATGTGGCGGGTTCTGCGGAAGAGGAGCTGTCATATTACAAGTCGCAATATGAGCAGCTCGAGGTCGAGCTGGCTGACTTTCAAGCCTCCAGTCGCGAACTGGAGGCGGAGTTGGAAAAGGATATCGAGGCCTCGGAGAAGCGGGAGCGACAGTTGAAGGAGAAGGTAGAGAGCTTGCGCTACGAGGTCGAGGAATGGAAGGTGGGTATCATCGAAACTTCCCCAGAGCTTGATGCGGTCCCTCTGGATCGCTTGCCTCGCTTTGCGGTGGATGGATGCTAATCTCGCTGCAGACCAAGTACAAACAGGCCAAGACAGAAGCGAGCTCGGTGCAGAACACCCTGCAGAAGGAGATCACCAATCTACGGGAAACGAACAGGGCACTGCAGTTGAGGCTGCGGGATATGGAAGTGGCCAACGATGATTTCGAACGCCAGGCGCGACACACCACGTCGTCGCTAGAGGATCTGGAATCCAAATACAACATGGCGATCGAACGCGGAGTCCTGCTGGAGGAAGAGATCAAGAACGGAGAGCAAGAACGAGAGTCTCTGCGGATAGAGACTCAGCGTCTTCGTGATGAACTGTCTGATCTCAAGATCGAAGCTGACATCGTCCAAGACAAGCTTCGCAAGGCTGAGTCGAACACTCAGAGACGTCGCAGGCCAGCGCCTCTGGACTCGAGCCATGGAGCCCCCAAGACTCCCGATGTGTCCGAACACTCTCCCGTCACGACAGCCTCTTCCCCTACGATGGCAACGCCTCCAGCCAAGTCAGCGTCGTCCGTCACATCGGATGCCGTCACTCCGCCTTCCCCCACGATATCGGAGTCATCCACCAGCCTGCGCAAGCCCGGCGCACCGACCAGTCTCAGAAAGCCCAGTATATCTGTGACGGAATCGAACAGGGGTGGCCGTCCGGTCAGGAGCCGGCACACACGAGCCCCTTCGATTCCGCTCAGCAATGGCCGGTCGACGCCGTCAGTCACGTCGCGCTCCAGCGTCTCTCGATTCAGTGCTTCCCAGTCGGCGGGACTTCCCCGATCGGGTTCTCTATACCAGATTCGTGGCCTCATCGGGAAGATGCAGAAGTTGGAGGAACGAGTGCAATCTGCCCGATCGAGACTCCCCGCCCCTGTGGATACGCCTAGCAGGACCTCTCCCCGTGGCTCCGTGTCAGGACAGAGTCCTATTCCTTCTAACATCACGGTGCGCAAGTCTTCGAGGAAGCGCACAAGTGGCAGCAGCTTCAGTTCTTCTGTCCACGGCGACGGCACCCCGTATATCCCACCGAGCCGACAGTCGGTCGGCACACGCACCCAAGGAGACAGTCGGCCCAGCAGTCGGACCAGCTTCTCCAGCCGCAGCTCGATCGGCCATACGTACTCGAGCGGCATCCCAGCGCCACGACCCGATAGCCGGCAGAGTTTCAATGGTGCAGCCAGCTTCAATGGCGCCGCCACTGCCAGGACGCCGATCGGGCACTACTCCACTAACCCAACGACCGAGAGCCGTCGGCCCCGGTCTTCTCTCAGCAACTACACAGGTACTACGGCGCACAGCCACAATATTAGCATGACGAACATCGATGAAGATGGAGATACCAGCATCAGCGACATCACCACCCCTACCTTCCGCAGAAGCACCTTTACGGAGGATACCAGGGGCAGGACATCCATCCCCATGTCGGGGCTGAAGAAACGACCCAGCGGGGGGATCTCAGCCATACCGACACCGCGGAAGATCAGCTCAGGCATGGTTCGCCGAGGGAGCGATATGGCACCCCGAGAGCACCACAAACAGAGCCTGGGTGATCTGGGTGAGACGTATTAGATCGTTGATTATCCTTTCATTCTTCTTGACAATGAATTTTACGGTCCTTTTTATACTTTTTTTTTTTTTTTCATGAACGTTTACGGCGCGCATATCATCGGTTTCCGACCAGTTTCACAGTTGCAGCTTGGTTGTGTCATTCTTGTTCCTTTCCCCTTTGTTTTTTTCATCATCATCATCATCAACCCATTGATCTCCCAACCCTAGTGGGCAAAGGTGCAGTTGGAGCATCGGCGTGATTTTTTCGCCCCAGGCGCGGTTTCTTCTTTTTTCCGCAGAGGGTTTTGATCTCGTGAGGGTTTCTTTGTCTGGTCTTTACCCCATTGCTATCGGACTCGGTGGATGCTTCGCTTTCGATTTCTTGCAGATAATACCAGTTCTATATCCGTTGTACTCGAATGGGGGAAAGCTAGAGGTTTTCCATCTGTTGGCGTGCAGTATGTTTGTTTCTTTGATCTGCCTGAACTCCTGTGGAGCAGGGGATCGCTGCACCCGTCCTAAGCTGTGTCATCCAGCAACCACTCTCGCTTGTTAGCACCTAGCGATCCAGATTGTTAGATAATACCCATATTCTTTTCTTCTGATTATGTTTACGTGTTGCCAAGGAGGTCATCGATAGATGTGATGACTGCGGTGGTAATCCCAGTCAAGCGATTGTCGACGCCTAGCTGCTTTATCGCACTACGCTACATAAAGAATGGAGAGGATACGGAACATCAGACACTTGATTATAGAATCCGGTAATGTAGATCCAAGGAGACGGTCCCCGTGGGGGATAACTTACAGGCTATATATATATATATATATTCAGCGGCGGGAGAGCTCAGTACTCAACTCTATAACTTAGTTATATATCTTGGAACGTATTAATAAACACGCGATAGATAGAGTCCTCGAATAAATAGTTCAGCTTTTCCTATATATATTTACGTGGTATTCTGTAGTCCCATAGAAAAGCTCCTCTTAACAAGATCATCATAATGAGTAGAGTAAGCAGGTAGTATACTGTCGAATAGTTATTAAACGGCACAAAAAGCAAGATCTAACCTGAACACCTTGAATTCCTTGCTTGCTTGCTTATCTCCTTCTAGTTCCATTAATCTCTCGAGGTAACTATACAAAGGATCTAATAACCAAGTAATTATCTAGTTAGTAAGTTTCTATCTATCCTATGATAATCAGAATTCAAAGAACGTGCCGCAAACGGATAATTAATAGATTACTTGGCGTTCGCTTTATACGCTGACATATAGTAGTAGTAGACTCTAACTATTATTATTACATAGGTAACTGGTAATCCGTTTGAGTTTCAGTTACATTGTTGAGCGTCCCACGTGGCATGGTTACCGCAACCGGGTGGAAACACACTGCATAACAACTGCCTGTGTGAACTGCCGGAATCGTATGGACAATGTCCTTTTTTTTGGGTTCGAATTCTTTCAGTGGTAGGTTAGGTAGGGATCTCGCTGTCGGGTGTGTCGATTTCTTTACCTTTTTTTTTTTTCTTGAGACCAAGGAATATACTATATTGCGTCTTCCTTGGTACTGAGTACCTCAGTACTGTAACGTTACAATGAGGTCTTTTTTTTAAGGTAACTAAGATCCAGAATAGGGTAAGTACGTAGTTACCATAAAGTGAAGTACTACTGTATATATAAACTTCGCGGTGCCTTGTAAATAGAGCGTGTGATATTGTATTTAGAATTTAGTAGTGCTTATATGCTTATTATTGAGGCCGATATTATTCTTGCAGGATATGCTGAACCAATGATTCGTGTTCCTGACAAGCCGGTCCCTGGTATATTCCCAGATAGTAGGGTATAACTAGGTTAAGTTATGCTTTTTTTTTTCTTATAGTTGCTGTTGGGATAAGGCGGAAGAGTAGCGCGGGAATGAAATTCTTGGATGAGATTTCTGTTGTGAAGTATCTAAAGTAAGTGAGTGAGTGAGTGGAAACAAGTGAAATCAGCTAAGCTTTGTTGTTGGGCCCCATACTCAGTCATAGGGTACTTAGCTTGTCGGGAAAATCGACCGAAGAGAGGGTTAGACTGGCCCCCCTCGGGGACTAAAACTAAGCTACGTTAATTTCTCACAGTGGGTGATAATAATAATGGAGCAGATTGGAAGGGTCCAGCACAATAATCCGCCCGCGTGTCGGAGTTGGATCGGGTTCCTAATTTCTCAGTAGGGCCAGTAGTGGCTTGTTGTTGGCTGCGGTCAGGCTGCAGATCGTCACGTCCAACACTTCTCTGCATTGGTGAGGATGTTGCGTTGTTCGCATCCATTATGATTAACTATGTATTATTAGTTGTTAGTTATTTTTATTATTGTTCTCCCAACAGAAGTCGGGGACTTCTTTTTTTTTCCTTTCCCGTTTTGGTTGACGCGAGGGAGATGATCCTGTGGCTGGAATAATATTGGATGTGTTTTGTTCTGGATCCTTCGGTATCGGTAAGAACATCCGAGACGTGGAGATACCATATGGTACTGTACGGAGTAGTTATGTATCTACTACTCTATCTAGGATTCTAGGTAGACCCGAGTATGGTATGCTATGCCTTGTTATGTTATTATTGCTACCATACCATATGCTAACTATGCCATGATTCGATGGGATGATTCGATGGGATGATAGAAGGTTGTTGCCAAAGTTTCCTTCTGTAGTTCAACGTGGATGATCTGCAGCGCGAGAAATATAATCCATCATATCAGCGACTAGACTAGAGATGATTATACTCTGGAGTCCTGGACGAGCTGACAGACATCCGGGATAGCTCCGGATTATCTCGTAACTTCTTAGGTGAGATGGCACATCCGTCCCCGAGCGGTATGGATTCCGCTCCCGACCCCCTGGTCCAGGGTGGTATCCGAGTAGTAGTACGTAGGTATCGTATCGACTATCAGATCGTCCCCGTCAGCTCAGTGTCAGCCCTGCATATCTGTCCTTTTTTTTGGTTTTTTTTGCCTTTTACTGTACTCCGTATGTTGTCGAATGTCAGCAGTCGAATCATGTCAGCATGCGGTTCGTAATTAATTAATAATGAATGAATAATGTAGCGAACATAACGACAGTAAAAAAAAAAAAAAAACACCCCGACCGCACGGAGCATTGGGTGTCGCTGGCAGGCGATCGAATCATCGATCCTTCCGCCCGAACACGGCAGTCTTCAAGGTGGTTTTTGTGCCTGGCGGGCGATCTGGGCGATCGACCAATCCGGGTGTCCCAGCAAGGGGCTCAACGCCTGAGCTTGCCCGGTCTTGGCTGGTCAACGCCGTCCGTTTTCGGTTAGTTTCGCACATTACCTATGCTGGATGCTGCACAATCCCATAGACCATTATTCTTAGGTAGAACATAGACCATTATTAGGTATGCACTGAGATCACTGTCAGAATAATTAATATTATTAGAACGAGAGGATGACCATACGGGATGCCGTGATCGTCCAGTAAAGACCAGAGACATGGGGAGATGGGATATTCTCATCGAACTACGTATCAATCTATCTACGTTGTTGTGTATGTATTATTACTGTAGCTAGCCATGTTCAGATCCAGACATAATTAGTATTATTTCTTGGTCAATAATAATTTAATTATTATTATTATTGTTACTGTATTACCACCGGTACCTGGAAAGCCATAATCATCGGTAGCAAATCTGGTGGGAAGACAGCCAGCGGAGCCAGGCACGTCATGGGCCCAACAAGCTCTCCAGTTGGGGATCCAAAGGACCCGCGCCGAAATGGACCGTTTTCCCTGCTAGCTGGACGGCCCGACACCTCTCTTTTGGATGATTTTTTTTTTACCTGCAAGCCGTCTGGATGACAGATCCGACGGGCCAAGGAAAGTAAGTAAGTAACTGTATTTACTAGGTACTTCGTAGAGTCGATAGGAAAAAAAAAGGCTGGGAACGGATCGGTCCAGACGAACAGCCTAATAGTAATTAAAATACCACGTTGGAATTGGATCAAAGTCGCTGCTCCGCTTGTGGTCACCCCTATATACTTAAGTCCCGTGGTTGGTGGTCGTGGCATTTCTTCAGATAACTGACTAGTCCTCCTCCCACACCTTTCCTCTTCTCTTTCCCTCTTCCCTTCCCATTCACCACCACCATCGCCCAGACTCCCTGGCCGTCAATTCCTTCCTCCCCGTCGTCCTTTTCCTCCAGGGTGGTGCGCGACGTGCCCGATCCCGTTATATGTTTATAATACCTGCGTGTTGAACAGTTTCGAAAGCTTTGGTTCATCGGTGCCGTCAACGCCCTCATTCGAACGGCTTTTTCACCTAATCTCTTTTTCTTTTTCTCCTCACTCTCACTATTCCGGGCTGAATTTCTACATGGAAGTTGTCGATTAAGATAATCAGCATCATGGGTCTTAGTAACGGAACGGGTGCCACCAACGGGCACGGCAGCTCTCTCGCTGCCAAATACGATATCCCCTCACATTTCGTCGGTGGAAACGCCCTCGATGTTGCTCCTCCCAGCAACGTCAAGGACTTTGTGGCCGCTCACGGCGGTCACTCCGTCATTACTTCCGTACGTCCCATTTCAGTATTGGGGGGAGCGGTGAAAACAGCACCCCCCCACAGTGAAATTTCGTACACGACAGACGGGCTGACAGTGAGGATTTGATTTTGATTTTTCTAGGTGTTGATTGCCAACAACGGTATTGCTGCAGTCAAGGAGATCCGATCAGTACGAAAATGGGCCTACGAGACGTTTGGCAACGAGCGCGCCATCCAGTTCACCGTCATGGCCACGCCAGAGGATCTCAAGGCCAACGCAGATTACATTCGTATGGCCGATCAGTATGTGGAGGTACGGTTGGCTCATTTTCCCGCACAAAGAAATTTTCTACGTGGGATGTGCTGACGTTGGTTCTCCGTGGTATAGGTTCCCGGAGGTACTAATAATAATAACTACGCCAACGTCGAACTGATTGTCGACATTGCGGAGAGAATGGACGTGCACGCCGTCTGGGCAGGATGGTAAGCCGTAAAAATGAGACTGTCAGACAACAATTGCGCGAAACTGACTCAGCTCGCAGGGGCCATGCTTCAGAGAACCCAAGGCTGCCAGAATCACTAGCGGCCTCGCCCAAGAAGATCATTTTCATTGGTCCGCCCGCATCGGCCATGCGCTCGCTGGGTGACAAGATCTCCTCCACCATTGTCGCACAGCACGCCAATGTGCCCTGTATCCCGTGGTCGGGATCGGGTGTCGACCAAGTGACAATTGACGAGAACGGCATCGTCACGGTCGAGGATGAGGTCTATGACAAGGGATGCACACATTCGCCCGAGGAGGGTCTCCAGAAAGCCCGCGAGATTGGGTTCCCCGTCATGGTCAAGGCCTCCGAAGGAGGCGGTGGTAAGGGTATCCGAAAGGTCGAGAAGGAAGAAGACTTTATCACCCTGTACAATGCGGCCGCCAGTGAGATTCCCGGATCGCCAATCTTCATCATGAAGCTGGCCGGCGAGGCGAGACATTTGGAGGTGCAACTGCTGGCCGATCAGTACGGAAACAACATCTCCCTTTTCGGAAGAGATTGTTCCGTCCAGCGACGACACCAGAAGATTATCGAGGAAGCTCCCGTCACCATTGCCAAGCCATCTACCTTCCAGGCCATGGAGAAGGCTGCTGTTAGCCTGGGAAAACTGGTCGGCTACGTCTCCGCCGGTACCGTCGAATATCTGTATTCGCATGCGGATGACAAGTTCTACTTCCTCGAGTTGAACCCCCGTCTCCAGGTCGAGCATCCCACCACGGAGATGGTTTCCGGCGTCAATCTGCCTGCCGCTCAGCTGCAGATTGCCATGGGTATCCCCCTGCACCGCATCCGTGACATTCGTCTGCTCTACGGTGTCGACCCCAACACCTCGTCTGAGATCGACTTCGAGTTCAAGAGTGAGGAGAGCTTCAAGACCCAGCGTCGCCCGCAGCCCAAGGGACATACCACCGCTTGTCGTATCACCTCCGAAGATCCCGGTGAGGGATTCAAGCCCTCCAGCGGTACCATGCACGAGCTGAACTTCCGAAGTTCGTCTAACGTCTGGGGTTATTTCTCCGTCGGTAGCTCGGGTGGAATCCACAGTTTCTCGGACAGCCAGTTCGGTCACATCTTCGCCTACGGCGAGAACCGATCGGCGTCTCGAAAGCACATGGTTGTTGCCCTGAAGGAACTGAGCATCCGTGGTGATTTCCGCACCACCGTTGAGTACCTGATCAAGCTGCTCGAGACTCCCGCCTTCGAAGAGAACACCATTACCACGGGCTGGCTGGACCAGCTGATCAGCAACAAGCTGACCGCTGAGCGTCCCGACCCCATTCTCGCTGTCATCTGCGGAGCTGTTACGAAAGCCCACCAGGCCAGCGAGGAATGCATTGCGGAATACCGCAAGGGTCTAGAGAAGGGTCAGGTTCCCGCCAAGGACGTCCTGAAGACAGTCTTCCCCGTCGACTTCATCTACGAGGGTTCACGATACAAGTTCACCGCGACCCGCGCAAGCTTGGACAGCTACACTCTCTTCATCAACGGCTCCAAGTGCTCCGTCGGCGTCCGTGCTCTCGCGGACGGTGGTCTGCTTGTCCTGCTGAATGGTCGCAGCCACAACGTCTACTGGAAGGAGGAAGCTGCCGCCACCCGTCTGAGCGTGGACGGCAAGACTTGCTTGCTCGAGCAGGAGAATGACCCCACCCAGCTGCGAACCCCCAGTCCCGGTAAGCTGGTGAAGTTCACCGTGGAAAACGGCTCCCATGTCAAGACCGGTCAGCCCTTCGCGGAGGTTGAGGTGATGAAGATGTACATGCCTCTCATCGCTCAGGAGGATGGTATCGTCCAGTTCATCAAGCAACCTGGCGCCACTCTGGAGGCTGGCGATATTATGGGAATCCTGACTTTGGATGACCCTTCACGCGTGAAGCACGCCCAGCCGTTCACTGGGCAGCTCCCCGATCTGGGCCCGCCTCAGGTGGTTGGAAACAAGCCGCCTCAGCGCTACGTCCTTTTGTACAGCATCCTCGAGAACATCCTCAGGGGTTTTGACAACCAGATTATCATGGGTTCGACCCTCAAAGAACTCGTCGAAGTCCTCCGCGATCCTGAGCTTCCGTACGGAGAATGGAACGCTCAATTTTCCGCACTGCACTCTCGCATTCCTCAGAAGCTTGACGCTCAGCTCGTCCAGGTGGTGGATCGTGCAAAGACTCGCAAGGCTGAATTCCCTGCCAAGCAGCTGCAGAAGACCATCTCGCGCTTCATTGAGGAAAATGTCAACCCGGGTGATGCTGAGACACTCCGAACGACTCTGCTCCCTCTTTTGACCGTTATCGACCGATACATGGATGGTCTGAAGACCCACGAGTTCGACGTCTTCATTGGTCTCCTGGAGCAGTACTGGGAGGTCGAGCATCTATTTACCGGACGTAACGTTCGCGACGAGGATGCCATTCTCAAGCTCAGAGATGAGAACAAGGATGACATCCTCAAGGTTGTTTACACCGTCTTGTCGCACAGCAAGGTCAGCTCCAAGAACAACCTCATCCTGGCCATCCTCGACATGTACCGTCCGAACCGACCTAACGTCGGAAACGTCGGCAAGCACTTTAAGCCTATTCTCAGAAAGTTGACCGAGCTCGAATCCCGAGCTTCGTCCAAGGTGGCCCTCAAGGCTCGTGAGCTACTCATTCAAAGCGCCCTGCCGTCCTTGGAGGAGAGAGCCTCTCAGATGGAGCTTATCTTGCGTTCGTCAGTCGTGGAGTCCAGGTATGGTGAAACCGGCTGGGACCACCGGGAACCCGATATCAACGTGCTCAAGGAGGTCGTTGATTCCAAGTACACCGTTTTCGATGTACTCCCGCACTTCTTCTGTCACCAGGACCCGTGGGTCTCTTTAGCCGCCCTGGAAGTGTACGTCCGCAGAGCTTACCGGGCGTATCAGTTGAAGGGCATTCAGTATCACCACGACAATGAACCTCCATTCGTCTCGTGGGACTTCATTCTGGGCAAAGTTGGCCAGAGTGAATACGGCCTGCCTATCACATCTTCTCACCCGTCCGCTCCTGGCACCCCAACCAGCGACACTTTCAACAGGAGAATCAACTCCATCAGTGATATGTCCTATTTCATCAACGAGAACGGAGGTGAACCCACTAGACAGGGTGTTATTATCCCTGTCCAGTACCTGGAAGAGGCTGAAGAATACCTGCCCAAGGCCCTCGAAGTCTTCCCGCGCGCTGGCTCTCCGGTCAAGAAGGCCAACGAAGGTCTGCTGGCTGATCTGTCTGGCAAGCGCAAGCCCTCTCAGAAGCCGGAGAGCGACGAGCTCAGCAATGTTCTCAATGTGGCTATTCGTGACGTGGAGGCTCTGGATGACACGGAGCTTGTCTCGCAGATCAACGACCTGGTGGCCGGTTTCAAGGAAGAGTTCCTCGCCCGCCGTATTCGTCGGGTGACCTTCATCTGCGGTCACAAGGATGGTGCCTACCCCGGTTATTTCACCTTCAGGGGACCGTCTTACCAGGAGGATGAGAGTATTCGTCACAGTGAGCCTGCTCTGGCCTTCCAGCTTGAACTGGGCCGTCTTTCCAAGTTCCGCATCAAGCCGGTCTTCACGGAGAACCGGAACATCCACGTCTACGAAGCCATCGGCAAGGGCCCCGAGAACGACAAGGCTGTGGACAAGCGCTACTTCACTCGTGCTGTGGTGCGTCCTGGACGCCTGCGGGACGACATCCCTACTGCGGAATACCTGATCTCAGAGGCAGACCGGTTGATGAACGATATCCTGGATGCTTTGGAGATCATTGGCAACAACAACTCCGACCTCAACCACATCTTCATTAACTTCTCTCCGGTCTTCAACCTGGAGCCCAACGATGTGGAGGAGGCCCTGGCCGGCTTCTTGGATCGTTTCGGACGCCGTCTGTGGCGCCTGCGCGTCACTGGTGCAGAGATCCGTATTCTCTGCACTGACCCTGCAACTGGAATGGCCTACCCTCTCCGTGTCATCATCACAAACACCTATGGATATATCATTCAGGTGGAACTCTACGTTGAGAGGAAGTCGGAGAAGGGCGAATGGGTCTTCCACAGCATTGGTGGCACCAACAAGATTGGCTCCATGCACCTGCGCCCCGTGTCAACCCCGTACCCGACCAAGGAGTGGCTTCAGCCGAAGCGGTACAAGGCTCATTTGATGGGTACCCAGTACGTCTACGATTTCCCGGAGCTGTTCAGACAGGCTGTCCAGAACAGCTGGACCCGGGCCATCTCGAAGATTCCCTCCTTGTCCGACAAGCGTCCGCCTGTGGGTGAGTGCATCGACTACTCTGAACTGGTGCTCGATGACAGGGACAACCTGGTGGAGGTCTCGAGAGAGGCGGGTACCAACACTCACGGTATGGTCGGCTGGATCGTCACCGCTCGTACCCCCGAATACCCCCAAGGTAGACGGTTCATCATTGTTGCCAACGATATCACCTACCAGATCGGTTCCTTCGGCCCGCTGGAGGACAAGTTCTTCCACAAATGCACCGAGCTGGCCCGTAAGCTGGGTATTCCTCGCATTTACCTGTCCGCTAACTCCGGCGCTCGTATTGGAATGGCGGATGAATTGATCCCCCACTTCTCCGTCGCCTGGAACGACCCCGAGCATCCAGAGGCCGGATTCAAGTACCTCTACCTGACGCCAGAGGTCAAGCAGAGATTCGACGCCAGCAAGAACAAGGAAGTCATTACCGAATTGGTCCACGAGGATGGCGAGGACAGGTACAAGATCACCACCGTTATCGGTGCCAAGGATGGCCTGGGTGTTGAGTGTCTGAGGGGATCCGGTCTCATTGCCGGTGCCACCTCCAGAGCCTACGAAGACATCTTCACCATCACCCTGGTGACGTGCCGTTCCGTCGGTATTGGTGCCTACCTGGTTCGTCTCGGACAGAGAGCCATTCAGGTCGAAGGCCAGCCCATCATCCTGACTGGTGCACCTGCCATCAACAAGCTCCTTGGCCGTGAAGTCTACACCTCCAACCTCCAACTGGGTGGCACGCAGATCATGTACAAGAATGGTGTGTCCCACATGACTGCCAATGACGACTTCGAGGGTGTTCAGAAGATTGTCGAGTGGCTGTCCTACGTTCCGGACAAGAAGGATGCCCCTGTTCCTATCCGTCCCTGGTCTGACCCCTGGGATCGTGACATCCTCTACTATCCCCCCTCCACCAAGCAGCCCTACGATGTGCGATGGCTCATTGCTGGTAAGCAGGAGGAGGATGCCTTCCTGCCCGGTCTGTTCGACAAGGACTCTTTCGAGGAGGCTCTCGGTGGATGGGCTAGAACCGTTGTTGTTGGGCGCGCCAGACTCGGTGGTATCCCCATGGGTGTCATTGCAGTTGAGACTCGCTCTGTTGACAATGTGACTCCTGCCGACCCTGCCAACCCCGATTCGACTGAGATGGTGAGCACTGAGGCTGGTGGAGTCTGGTACCCCAACTCCGCCTTCAAGACCGCCCAGGCTCTTAAGGACTTCAACCACGGAGAGCAACTGCCAGTCATGATCTTGGCTAACTGGAGAGGTTTCTCTGGAGGTCAGCGTGACATGTACAACGAGGTTCTAAAGTACGGTTCCTACATTGTCGATGCCCTCGTCAAGTACGAACAGCCTATCTTCGTCTACATCCCGCCGTTTGGTGAACTCCGAGGTGGTTCGTGGGTCGTCATCGATCCCACCATCAACCCTGACCTGATGGAGATGTATGCGGATGAGGAGTCTCGTGGTGGTGTTCTCGAGCCCGAAGGTATCGTCGGAATCAAGTACCGTCGCGAGAAGCAGCTCGACACCATGGCCCGCCTGGACCCGACTTATGGCGAGCTTCGCAGGTCTCTCCAAGACACGTCGCTCAGCAAGGAGCAGCTGTCGGAGATTAAGGCCAAGATGGCAGAGCGTGAGGAGCAGCTCCTACCAGTCTACCAGCAGATTGCCCTGCAATTCGCCGATCTCCACGACCGTGCCGGCCGTATGGAGGCCAAGGGCACTATCCGACAGGCTCTGCGCTGGAAGGAGGCTAGACGCTTCTTCTACTGGCGTCTTCGCCGCCGTCTCAGTGAGGAGTTGATTCTCAAGCGCATGATCGCTGCCGCACCCTCTGCTGTCCCCCAGACCAGCGGCGCGCTCCCCGCCGATGCTTCTGTTGCTCCTACCCAGAACAACAGTGGCTCCGCTCGCGAAACCCACCTTCGTACTCTGAAGTCTTGGACCGGCCTTCTCGACAGTGAGTTCGACCGCAACGATCGCCAGGTTGCGCAGTGGTATGAAGACAACAAGAAGTTGGTCCAGGCCAAGATCGAATCTCTCAAGTCTGAGAATGTCGCGTATGACGTTGCCCAGCTGCTCATGGGCAACAAGGACGGCGGTCTGCGTGGTGTCCAGCAAGTGCTGAGCATGCTTCCCGTGGAGGAGAGGGAATCTGTGCTCAAGTACCTGGGCTCCGCATAGAGGCTTTGACAGACAGTACACGATGCGTCTCTTGATACCCGCATAGTTGGGCGATCGCTTTTTTATCCCTTGTGTTGAAATGTCTTTTTGCATGGGAGATTCGTGCTCCCTATATTACGCGTGGTTCCCTGTTTTCTCTGGCGTTTTCCTTTACATTTTGACGACGCTTCTGATTTATGCACGAGTTTCATTCGCCTCTGATGTATATGACTAGGACGTTCGAAGTAGGATGTAATGTCATGAGTCTCTTCGCAGTTCATCTTCTGTGCAATCCATCGTACGTATCTTAGTTGAAGTATACACATTTACAAAATATGATGCCTCCTTGAGTATAAACTTAGGATAAAAAAAGGATGTTCCTAATCTACTAATATATCATTATATTAATACTAGAATTATATTATATACTAGTAGGAGTCAAAATTTAAATTCTAAAACTTTTATATTCAGCAAAGTAATAAATATAATTTTATCCTATAGAGGAGATAATCAAAGAAACCTGCAATTCTATTTCTCCGTCTTCTTGTTATGGGTACCAAGCACAACGGTGCCAAGGCACTTTATTTGCAGCATTGTGCGTACGGACTAAGCACTATAAGTAACCAATGCCCTCTGAAGACATTGCGCAGACTCTACCCCAGTCTTCCAAAGTTAATTTGATATTTGCACTCCGGTCCACAGGTCTGCATAACTGAATTGCATCTGTATCTATCTATCTACTCGGGAAGCAGTCTGCTTACATTATTACCTAATAGTGGCTGCCTTGGGCTTAAACAAGATCCATTGTCTGTTCCTTTGAGCGCATTAACAGAAGTGGTGGTTATAGGGATCGTTTCTGTCTGTTCAGAATCTTCTGAGAACTATATGTAAAATCCATGAAATCCATGGAGAGTTTCAAATAGAATAGAATATTACAATCCCTGAAGAAGGAAATCTAGTCGTGAAATGAGCTGGAGTACAGTATCCCTGCGTTTACATCACATATCCCAGCGGTCAACTCCTTGGTCCTGTGCAGCAAGCATTCCGAGGTACCATAATGCCAATAGGACAGTCATCCGTGGTTGCGCAACGGTTCCCCCCGCAGTGAATGGAATTGGAGGTGCAAGCTCCAGATTACCATGGTTATCCAACCGTCGTATAACAACCAATTCCTGGTTGGTAAGAATGAATCCATATCGTGAATGATGTTGTCTCATATACCAATTGACTTGACTGAGTGCCTGACGAAATTCTGCGCGATAAGTATCCATCGGATGGTTGGCTAAAGCTGTACTCCATTTCCATGAGGGTTTTATATCACCAGGGGCGCGGTTCCAACTCGTGCCAGCAGGGAGTGCTAATGCAAAATAGGCAGTATCAGGCTTATAATTTTCAATAATCTTTGCAGCCTCTCCGACATCAATTGACACGCTTGTCAGCCCATTCATCTGATTGGTTGCAGTCAAGGTATTGAAAGCAGCTCGCAGACCCCGCCGTACTCTGGGAAAGACATATTCGTAGATCTTGCTTCTGAGGGCATTCCCTGCTGTAATAGCACGAGGAGGTGAAGTCGGCATAGGATCTGGCGGTAGGTGTGTTTGTCCAAGAATGTTTCCGTATCGATGAATGATAGTCTGCAGGTTGAATCCATGCCAGACTGCAATTCCACTGATGTCATCTGCTTCATCTGCAGTGTTTGTGGTATTGCGTCCCGGGTGTGGTGGCGGGTTTATTGGGATTGCTGGTAGGGCATGTTGTAAATAGACCATGAGAGAAACGGTATTGTTTGCCATATCGATGTGAAGTGTCGCGGTCCAAAACCTTCGAGTTTGCAGTCGAAAAGAAAGAAGAAGATGGTTTCTCAAAAGAGAATCTCGTTCCTTGGACAGCTGGTAACTATAAACGGCATCTTTATATAGAGATGGGAAGCCCATCTATCGAGAAAGGTCTCAAGGCACGATCGCGAGCTTTGACTTCGCGACGGCGCATAATATTGTGTGATTGATTGGTTCGCAACAAAGGCGAAACGCTGGAAACTCAGCTCTGCTTCAGCCTTGTGCTTGTAAATATAGCATGTTAATCTCATTGGTACATGCACGGTCCTAATTTAGTCTTCGGCGCCCGTATAGTCAGAGACGACGATATGTGGTTGAATGATTGGCGATATAATGTCATTGCCTTATGTGGGGATATATACGCCGGTATTTGTGATATGGTACGACTAGGAGGAGGTAAGAAGCTTGGATTCTCCCTCTTAGGTAGAAGGGGTGCTAATACTAAATAGTCCTAAGGCGGTATACTTAGTACTGCCCCGCCGACCTCGTACCTTGCTCCCCCACCATGGTATGGCCATGGCGAGTTCCGTATCAATTTGATAGCGCTTAATCAAGACCTTTAACTGGGCACGTTCTACCACCCTTGCAGGTGTGAAACGAGCAAAAAAAAAGAAAAAACAATACAATGACTGGAACATATGCTCTGAATCTGCAGGAAAGCTAACAATGAGCAAGGATCCTTACAATACAAGGCGGCACTCTGCGTCTTAGGTTCGTTGATGCTTCAGCAACCACTCTCTGAATATTGGCTAGTCGATGTGCATCTTAGGCAGCTTACGGTACCAGGTATGGTATCATCCCGGAGCTCCTATTGGAAGAGAATGGTAGCGCCGGAGACAATTCTTATAAGATAACGCATGATACTAAGCGCCGCGTCTCGCCTAGGATGATGGATAGCTCTGATCCAGTCACATATAGACGAGTTACAATATCTGTGACAGGGAGGTATCATATATCCTTCTGGTGCTATTACTGGAGTTAGAGCACTGGTCGCAACTCTAGAGCTTTGTTGATAGGCGCTTGTGTAGGCTCAGCTATTGGTCACTCCTCCTCTGCTGATGCCACTATCTCTGCCGTCTCTCCGGGGATAACAGCGTATCGCTACACCACGTTGATTGCCTATCTATTTGGCGACACTAACACAAGGTTACCGCTGGAATTGGCAGCCAACAATCATCCCTGCAAGAGAAAAGCGCTTTTCGTACCCAGAATATCTCTGGTCGTAACGAACAGCTCCAGAACTCTCAAGTTAATATGAGTTAGGGGGCCAAAAGTGAGCGTCAGTCCCTCCTACATCATCCCGTATGATACCTATAGCTATACGATGGCCAACGGAATAGGTAAAAAAGACATATTTTTGAAGTTGTATTCCTCTTCTGAGATCAAAAACTCCCCTTCATCGCCGGAAAAAGAATAGGGAAAGAAAAGCAAAGGAAAAAGAATAAGACACGACATTGGGGTTTCTAAGCCTCGAAAATCGAGAGCATCAAGTGCAGTAAAAGAGATACGCTTCGTTGAGCTTGCCGTTCTGATAGTCGGCCTCCTGAGAATGGAATTAGAAAGCTAAGCATTTTCTAGGTACTAAGTGAACTCACTATGCATTTCTTGAATTCGACAACCATCACTTCCTCCCTTTCCAGAAGGTATTTTTGTTTGTCGGTTATTTGATCCTCGTTATATGTCTCCGCTCGATCGAAATCTATCCAGACCACTCTTTCTGGGTCATCCTTAATAATCATCATATTCCTAGGTTTTGGATCTTTATGTCGCACTAATGCGGAATGGATTTCCCGGATGCTATTTAGAAGATTATTCATCCGCTGCGGCGTATAGTTGTGCAGCTGGATCATCTCTAAGTTGGGTATGTACTCCAAGAAGATGGCACTAGGAAGGTACTCATCGTGTAAAAACATCTTCAAGTGAGGCTGACAGAACGACGGATCAAACTTTTCCATGGAACCAAGAAATCGAGGCACAATTCCCCGATCGCATAGCCCATGATCTTTCAAACGGGTATAGGCGGTAGTCTCAAGGATATGAATATCCAATTCACGGTCCTCCGGCTCATAATACCGTCGCGGTCCTCGTCCATGATGCTTACTAGATTAGTTATATGATAACAAATGCATCATCGTCGCCTGACTTGCCACTTTCATAACACATTTTGTTTTGCGAACAGTGACGAGAAATATGGCAGAAAATTTGGAGACAAAGAGCTTTTTTCCAAAGCTGACCTCAGAGGGAGTGACATTATGAAGCTCCATCGCAGTATGAATTCTGTGGTGACACTCAGCAGAGTTCTATACAGGAGCACGATTTAAAGGGGGCGTTCGTGGATGTGAGATGGTGAGAAATGGGGGATGGCTCCTAATATGAGGCATGCGGAATGCCACACCATATTTGACTTGTTTGTCCTCCCAATCACATGTCCAAAGTTATGGCCCTTTAGTTAGTTTAGATTCATCAACCAATCACCTGCTTATACTGGCTTGGCCCAGTATCTATCTGGATTCTAGCGTCTTGTAGGAGTATCTTCCTTTTCTTTCCTTCCCGAGTCTCACCACGATTGCTTTTTCAATTGCTTTTTCCATCTTCTTAAACTACACACCAGACCAAATATGCTAACGCAGACTGCATCTGCCAATAATGTAAAAGCGCGCAAAATCCGTCGCAACCATACGGGTTGCAAGCCATGTCGCAGAAGAGGCAAGCGAGTTAGTACTGATTTTCTTACATCGGCGTGAGGGTATATTCTTATATATAACTCCATCTAGTGCGATGAGACAAGACCCTGCTGTCAGGCTTGTGCGCGACTATCGCTGGAATGCAGTTATGGCGTCGATTTTACTTTTCGGAATTGCAACGGAACATTGTTGCAGAAATATAGAATGACTCAGACGACACCATCGCGATCTGCTACTGCTAATTCAAAGCCTAATGTGTTGGACAACATTGCAGGTGAAAACTGTAATGTTCATATGCTCAAGTGTCTGAGTGAACTTGGAAATTCAGAATTACCGCCTACTCTTGTTAGTTTTGCGGACAGTCTCGAGGCTAGCTACTTTGACCATTTCCAGAGACATGTACGCCATCTCCTTCCGGCAGCGTCTCTTCGATTTACGGATGCATCTTTTATCATGTTTCCTTGTCTGCGGTTCGCAGTACTCTGTATCGCGGCGTCGAATCTGTCAATGTTAGATGCGCGCGTTCAGAGCCGCGTTCTAGCTAACGACCGTCGACGATCTGTCTTTAGCCCATTAGTGAATAACTTGCATCATGGCAATGCGCGAGTATATCACGATCTGGCGCTGCAGTATTGCAGTGCTGCAAATGTTGACGAGATTGAACACGAAGCGCCTGCATTTGTTGCTGCGCGCGTTCTCCTAGCTTATTACCACCATGCATCGACAGATCATCTGAGATTTCGACTGGCAGTGTGGGATTCTGTCCAGTTTGTGCTGCACAATAGAACGAAGATAATGGCTTCGCCAGATGGAGCCGATGCGTTGCAGTTGTGGTACCGTTTATGCATGTCCCATCGACCAGCAAAGCCACCTGCGTTGCTTCTTGAAGGAGAAGGAGCCAGCTCTTTTGGGCCGAATCTCCTCCCGGATGCAAATGGTCATCTATATATGAAGTGCATCCTGGAAATGAATGTGGATGATCTTATCTACGACATTCTTATCAAGACCATGGAGATTCGAACAAAGATGGTGGTCTACCGTTGCGTGGCGGGCAGCTGTCGGATATCTGAGCTGTCAAGCGAGATTAGCAACGTCGCATATGAGATGTTGAACAAATTACTAGGAAGAGATAGTGTTCCGGACGAGACTGCAGAAGCACGAGAGGGATTTGTACGAGGCTCTCACCTACGCGGCTTGTTAGACGTGCAGAAAGAAAGACTGAAGGTGTGGAAATCCAGACTTAATGCGGATCAGCTGCCGACGTTACGTATCACACCAAGTCAAATGAATCAGGATGCTTCGTCCATGTGTCATGGATTTCCGACTCATAGAGACGCCATGAATGCTGTATATTGCATGCTCTGTGAGATTGCCTTCGAAGAAGCAAATGGAGCCCCCCCTGGAGGATCCGGACACTCCACTACTCTGCTTGACAATCTGGCAGATAGTATATGCCAAATTGCCGGCACGCTCGATTTCACCATGTCAAACACATGGGATGTGTACACGCTCAGTCTGACAGAGGTGCTCCTGCAACTTGTGCTACTGTGGCGTTCCGACAAGATATTTCACTACATATTGGATGTCCTCTGGCCACGACTCGAGTCCAGAGGGAGAGGCTACGAGCACTCGCACTATCCCACGCATCTCGTCAAGCGGATCATAACTCAGATTGCTGCATATTGGGAGCAAGATCGGGTCATCACGTTTGCTTTGCCAGCTGTTGCGGAAGATACGTCGAAATTAAAGCTATTAGATATCGATCAGCCGGTAGATCTGGTGGTGTGCGGGTATTATAACACGGATGGGAAGGATTTTATTGGGAAAATATCACTCCCGTAACGATTGCTCTTTCTTGACACTGTCGTTATGTTCCAGATATTCTAAGAGACTTCTGTTGTATATATCTAGCGATGTAAAATATTCATGAGTTAATGTTATGTCAATATCAATCCTGGCACCATATGTGTTTAAGAAGCCACCAATTCCCTGGACGAGACCTCCAGAACCGGTCCAACAGAATTCATATCACAGATCCAGCCGCCAGACATCGCCTAGACGTTCATTCGACTCTGCAAGACCCCCATGGACAACGATACTGGGCCGTGCCGGGTCTTCAATAACCACATCCGCATCAAACCAGCCGCGCGCCTCAGGCGCATCGCTGCCCTTACTCTTGATTTCCATCCACGTCCTCGACTCAATATCAAACATCCACGCATCCGCCAGCATTTTCCCCGCCCCCTGATGACCCAAACTACTCGGATCCCTCTCCCCAAACAGAGTAACCAGCTTCGACTTCCCATCAACCTTAACCGCCAACAAACAACTCACACTCCGCGGTCCTGGCCCCTCCACCCCATCCGGCTGATAAGTAATTGTCTCCCAGACATTCTTCTCCAGATCCAACACATCCACCGCGCCTCCTTGCTCCGTATTTCCATCGAATCCATTCATACGAAACACCTTCCCGTCCGCATACGTAATCGACGTCCCACCCCTCTCCGGCTTCGGCGCCGGAGCCAACTCTCTCCACTGCCTCGTGAAGATATTAAACGCCCAGAAATCACTCAGTCTCCCCTTCTCGGGACATCCGGCATGGAGGAAAATCGTCTCTTTCCCATCACTCGCGAGAGCGTGGTAGCTCCGTCCGACGGGATAGGGGAGTTGATCACTACTAGGTGCGACTTGAGCCCAGGTGCTGTTTTCAGGGTTGAACACCCAGAATGAGCCTTTTTCTTCTATCGGCGCCATGGCGGTTCCGCCACGGCCTGAGAAGATATACACCTTGCCGTTCAAGGCGGTTGATGCGGATCCCACCCGAGGTGAGGGGATGTTGTTGTTGGTTGTGGTTGATATCGTGGAGAGTCTGGTGGATTCTTTGGTGGTGTTGATATCTAAGTATTTTTATCCAGTTAGTTAGTTAGTTGTAAATATTAACCCCGTTTGGATTATTTCTTTTTTCTTTTTTTTTCCTTCCCTCTTCGCTATAGTTGATGATAACCAAGGATAATAGGATATGTAACCAATGCATGAATGAATGAATGAATGCCATACATACCACGATCAAGAGCTACACGATACACCATCGAGTCCACTGGCTCGCGAGGCCGGAGTTCTCCGCCGTAAATGTATGCATTGCCTGCAAGGACCGCGAGGGTCTGTGATGATCTCCGGATAGATGTGTCGGAAATAAGCTTTGTCCATACTCCAAGCACCGCCATGTTGATGTATGTAACTTGAGTAGGCTTCTGAAAGACGGAGAGTGAGAGCTAAGTTGAAAAGGAGACTTGATTGATTTGGTTGCTGGAAAGAATCAGTGAGGAGGAGGAGGGGATTGTGAGTTAAATAATAATAATTATTGACAGATTTCCACAATTTAATTCCTGGAAAAAGGAAACGCAAAGGATAAGAACACGCCACTAGGATATTATTATTTATTATTGTCATGTTTCTTCTTTCCGAAGCCAAAACCCGTGAAATATTAATACCGCACGATACGGGCGTAAGTTTTGCCCAAGATGGGTTTAGTGCAAATGTAAAAATTATTATTAGTGACTTACTTTGACGCTAGTTACCGTTAGTTCAAGAGAAAAACTGTGGTTACAATATTATTATTAAGTTGGAAATGAGTTATTGAATTAGCATATCAGTCTATTCTGTTATGTATTATAGTTGATCTTTGCTGTAGTAAGCCCACTGATTAACTGAGTATATTCGCGCAAGTATTCCAAACTAAACTGTAGGAGCATTATGATTCTACTATTTCCTGTCGGCGTGCAAAGCAAACGCCAGGTGATCTGCAATCATCTGTTACACAACGTTCCCGTATGGAATTGGATTGAACCTACTAGATTCTCTGTATGCTAGAGATAAATAAGGGGTCAAACCCCCCCCCTAGACCTAGATTCAAGCAAGCAATTCAAACCCTGCTTCCGTGCTGTTTAGGATTCGACATTTCCTTACCTGATGACAGAGATCACTACGCCCGATTTCTTTCCATGTAGGAGATGCAAGTATTGATAGAAAGCAAAGATACTTTTTCAAAAGATGATGCCTTGGAAGGATAAATACATCAAACAGGGGTATCTGCGTGGCTGAATCATAAAAATGCAGGTTCATCAGAAGACATCATCGTGAGGCAGTGTAATAAAAAGAGAAGTAAAGCAAACTACATGGTAGTGTTTTGTAACAGTGCCAAGGGAAGTGGTAGATGTTCGTCTTCAAAGCAGCCTGGGATATGGCCACGATAGACCACATGACCAGTTAGATTGGGATCCACCCATCAGGACCAAGCTCCTTAAACAAGGAAATAATGGAGGCTGTAATTTAGAAATCAAGCAAGTTGTCTTCCTAGACCGCGCGTCTGCGTCACGAGGGGCTGGACGGTACGATACGTGGACGAGACATCCCTGAGACCACGTCCCGTACCTACTCGGCTGAGAGCAGGCTCATCAAAACCACCGAGGCTCAGTCTTCCCAGTTCGGCAGGAAGCCGATCAGCCATAAGTTGCACGTGTGGCTGGCGGCGTCTGGAGTACGACTCAATGGCAGCTGGTTGCGGGACAGCAGGCGCAACGGGCTCTTCTGGACCACCAGGAAGAGTAACCTTGGTCGCGCCAAGGGTACGAGCGATATCCTCCAGGAGCACCTCCATGGGCGCAATGTAAGCCACACGATTCTTCTCAGACCAGGCGAGTACATGTCCACAAACTCGGCCAGTCGCCTTGTCGAACACCCAAGCGCCAGAGTCACCAGGAACTAAATATTCAAATCTGCGTTAGCGTGCTGCGCATCCTGACGGCGTTCACAAGGACTTACCTCCAAAGTTCCCGTCGACGCAGAAGCTAGTAGAGAAGGAATGCCGTCCATGCATCTTGACCAATGTCATTGCCTTCGAGATCTGTCCACTCTGCAGACCACTGGTCCGGCCACAGCAATGGACCTTCAAACCACCGAGCTCCTCCAACCGTGCCACCCTATTCAGATGGACGTCCTGTCCCGGGCCATGCCTCTGTGGCAATCCCTGAGGAGCCGCTCCAGTAGGACGACCCGAAACGACATTACGGGTATCCATGCGGTTGTCGTGCATCTTGATAAGGGCCCAGTCGATTTCATGTTTCATTCCCTTTCGAGTCCAGCGCTTCACTCCTGATGAGGCATGGACGTATCCGAGCGAATGCGACGCTAGGTGTTCATCATCCCGGTCCTCAGGACAGGGAAAGAAATCCTCGTGGATGTCATCAATTGCAGGTTGAGTAACAATCAACTGTGGCTCCTCGCCAGGCTCAACGCCGGCTGTATCTCCGATTGAAGCAGTGTCATCATCGTCACCGCTGTCATAACCATCAAATCCTTCTTCATCGGAAGAATAGTCATCGGAGAGCCAGTGGTCATCGAAAGTCTCATCCATACCGTGGGAGAGACGATCATCATCCTCATCATCGGTGATCTCAAATTCGTAATTGGTTTCTGGCAAGTCCTCCTCACACCACGTAAATGCGAAATCCGCGCTCGAAGGTTCTATGCCTCTCTGACCGTTCGCAGCAGAACGCGGTGGGCAGTCGGCATCCTCATCCTGGTATTCTTCGTCATCACTGGGCGCATCGAGCATGTGGTGCACAGTCATCCCAAATGGCATGCCATCCACCAGAATCGCTCCACCGTATGAAACCGGTGGCAGATGCTCCTCGTTCCGAAAAGCGCCAATAGAGGCACCACATACTGGTTTCTGCTGGTAGTAAGGGTTAAGGTCCATTGGATGATTCTCATGCACGTCATCTACAGCCCCAGCCTTGCGGCGTCTTCGATGAGGCACCTTGGATCGTTTTATATCACCGCGGAGTACAATCAGGTCCCAACCGTCCTTGTCAATCACGAAATATTTCTTGAGAGCCGCCCTGACCTTCTTGACATTGGAGCATGTCACGCATATTGTGGTCTTTGCACTCTCAACTCCGTCGCCGGTTACCATGAGGTTAGCGCTGCACGATTCTGACGAGTCCTTCAACACTTTCTGCAGGAGCTTGCTCAGTCGAGGCATAATGTTGAAGTTCCATTCATCCAAATGTTGCTGGGGTATTTCGATATTTGTTAGCTTTTTGAGGCTTCTTTTCTTCGACTTCTTGTCACCGTCGTCGATCTTGGATATTTTCACATCGCCCAAGGGCATTCTGCTGTTTTGTTCGACGGGTGGATGGGTCTGAAACGGTTCCATCTGATCCGTTGACCGGACGGTTGTAGCCTCTCTCGTCAAGCTAGGGGGTAAGGCAATGGGGAGCTTCTCGTCCAGGTCACCCGCAGGAGGCGCATCGAAGATGTCTACGAGACAACAGCGCCAGATGATTTTGCTGATAGTGTAGAGGAAGTCGAGAGAGAATGCAAACGCGCCATCGGATTCTGACAAGGCTTGCGCTGGGTAGTGACAGATCTCAGGTACGCGGAGATTCAGGTCACCCATAGGCTCAGGCGAGAGATGGAAGTTTGGAGCATCAAGACACAGCTGAACCATGTGGAGATATGCCGTTCCACATTTCGCTCCCAGCTTCTTGATATAAACGTTTTCAATCCTTTGCTTGAACATGGCGTTATTGTACTTCATCTTCCACAGTCTGCTGATGGGGGTCCAGAGTCCGATCTCCAGCAAGACCAGTCCTAAAGAGTAAAGGTCGTAAGCCCAGGCCGCATTGTCGTCGATAAGTCTTTTGTCATCTGGATGACGGTACATCCCTGAGGAAAGCGGCTCTTGCGCCAGACCATCACCGGAGAATTGTGCAAAAGAAGTGAGGTAAGGATGTCGGAGATCCTCTGTCAAGTTCCCGATCTCGTTCTGCTCAGATTCGTTCAGACCGGGAAAGACAAGGATGTTGCTGCTATTGATATTCCCATGTACGATGTTCTGGCTGCGCAGATGAAGCATTGACAGAATCAGATTATACCCGAGGCGGAAGCGGTTTTCCAGATTCGGCACCGGAATATCCTGATGGTCGTCACCTGAATGAAACAAAGAAACCAGCGGTTTTGGCTTAAGCTCTTTCATCAGATCACTTGGGTTGCGCAAGAACGGGAAATAGTCCATCGGCATCTGATATATGAACGCATATCGCGAGTTTGGCATGTCAATATAATATCCTAGAAATCTCAGGAGTCCAAGATGCGACACTCTTGCGTTCTCAACCAGTTGATCCAGTGATCTATGCAGTTCTTCGAGCCGCTGGCTTGCAGGCACTGTGATCGCATTTTGAGTCTCCAGCATCATCGGAGTAAATTCCGCCAAAATAGGAACTGTCGATTCAGAGGTCAGACTGGATAGGAACGGCGATGCCTCTGTCTTCATACGCCCTATAACCCTGGAATTCGCAGACGCAGCGATCACCTCATATGGCGGCGGACTCTTGGCATGTGAGGCCCCAGAGAGCTGCAGCGCAGACCGGTCAATGAACAGATGTTTCGTCGAACTGAATGAACGATCAAAGGCGCTCTCTCTGCCAGGTTTCTCTGCAAAAGCCGTTGGGGCAACTTTGAAATTGGTAAATGGCGAGTGCTCAAAGACTTCCTGCTGCTGCTTAGGACTGCTGACTGTCTCCAGAGGCTCCGCGATGCTCCCCTGGAATTCCTTCTGCAATTTCCCATCCCCAGAGAAAGAGTAGGAATGGTCCTCTGATGACTTCGAACCCCGTGGAGTAGGAGTCGGTCGCAACTTGGGCTTGGCGCTAGTCTGCCCGGTCGAGGACATGCTCATGCTCATGTTCCGGCGAGACTGTGACAGATCGTACAGGGTGTCAATGCATGCAGTCAGATCTTTCAACAGTGCGTTGGATCGATTGATATCTTCATCAGTCCAACGTGTCTTGGCGGGAAGATTGCTCAGATTATCTTTCGCAGGCAAATCGCCCTGACTGCCCTTCGGTGGAAGATCCGTCCCACCTACATGTTGCAGACGCTCTGCTTCATTGAGCAGCTCCTGGATGGAGGACATGACGCTGGCGACGACGTCGCTGAAGCCAGCCTCTGTGAGCGACTCATCGATATCGTTCGGTTGCGCGGCGCTGGCGTCACTCCAATCCAGACCCCACGCAAGCAGTCTATCTTTCTGGATCCGGTAATTGCGATGGAGCGCCACTAGTTCCGGGTCGTCATTTGGCTTCGAGGCCGTCGTGACGCTCTCGCAGGATGTCTTAGTATCAGAGTACATCTTGGTGAGACGTCTCTGGAGGTATGAACCTCCATGTCGGAGGACAGACATTTTCGATGCTCCTCGCAAAGACTCAGCTTTAGCACGCGATCAAGCGATCTCTCATGTATTCATGCAATATCGAGATCCCCAAACGGGGGTAGAATGCAGCATGCAGAGGAAGCGAGATGGCTCAGCGCAGGCATATAAGCGATGACAGACGATGAGGGCGGGAATTCTGTTGCCTAACCAATCGGGAGTGGCGAACTGCGGTCGCTGAACGCTGGGATCTCTCCGTGATCGTCGCTGCAGGCAGCCACGTTTATTCGCGTGCAGTGTGGATGGTGCAGAAGAAGAAGAGCAAGAAAAAGAGTCCAGATAGATGCCTTCTGTGCTGGAAGGAGAACCAAGAAGGATGGGTCAGTTAACTGGACTGGCAGTCGCTTTGTTTTCGTATCCACGTGCAATGCAATTATCATTCTTCTGGAGTGTTAACCACGTGACAGCGGCCCACGGAGATAAGAGATGGTGATGATGATTGCTTATAGAATGGGCACTATAAAGCATGTGGACTATGTTTACGGAGTCACAATTGGGAATGCTGAACTATGAGAAGGCTCCTTACTCCATGCTACTCTATAGTTGTGGGAAGGTTGATATAATATTAAATCTTAACTATGATAGATACCTACTCAAAGGTTTACCCCATTTACTCTCAAGAAAATGATGAGCCATCTCACAATGAGTCTCACAGGGACATCATCTCCTTCATATCCTCAACAGGGCCCATCGAAGGGTCATACCTTGTTGGCCTGCCGTGCATGACCTTCTGCCACCCGGGACTGTTTGCCTTGATCTCGGCCCAGCGCTGCAGCTCCTGGGGAACGAACTCGCCATTGCCGGCCTCGATGCAGCGCAGCACAAGCGGAAGGAGATGGCTGTCGAGCACAGTGGGACCTACCCGGGTCCCAAAGGTCCAGTCTTCTTCGGAAGCACCGCTTTGCTTACGGTGCTCTATGATCTCCGCAAAAATGGCCTGCAGGTCTGCGCGGGCTTTGGCCACGACGGCTGGCTGGAAGGCTACAGCGTTGGTCTTGTTGTGGCTAAATAATCAAGAAAGTCAGTGGTCGCAGCAGAGGACAGATGACAAGAATAGATAATAGAGCGACTCCCACGAGTCTAATGAAACACGAGGGGTAATATACAATTCGAGCTTGGCCTCGAGAGCCTTGCGGTATCCCGGGCTGAGATCAGTTCTCTTAAGAAGATCCTCCACGGGTGAAGGGTTATACTGCATCATCTCCGGTGTCGGGTTCTTGTTGCTGAACGACAGGCCATAGATGGCATGGATCCTCTCGAGGAGGCCTCTGATGACGACGGCATGTTCTGCCGGCAGCATGGCCGGGTAGTGCTTCACAGCCAGATAGAGCGAGATGGAGATACTGTCGGTAAGTGGCTGCTCAAGAATGTTGCCGGTCATGGCAGGGACCTGGCCTTTGGGGTTCACCCTGACGAGGTAGTCCTCCTTCAGATTCTCGTTCTTGCGGTGGTTGACGAAGCTAAGTGTGATCTTTTTGGGCGGCCTGGCGTCATGCGTCGTAGGGCCAAGCTGGATGGTGTGGCGGGACATCATAGAGTAGAGGGAGAAAGGGGAGGAATAGAGCGTGTACTCTGCATTTCCCAATTCAGCCATTTAGTCGCTGGTTGAGGATTGTTAAGAGTAGTATGAGGTGCAAATAGGATAACCAAGTCAGCAGCGTATACGGGGTAGAATCTCGACAATATGGTACTGAGCTGAGGGATTCCGGCGAGCAAGGTTCCTACTCGAAATTGTTTGAGAGTCCAGTCATGTTCAGTCGGCCAGGGTGATTGTCGTTCAGTTCGTCCAATTGCTCCAAGTCTGCCGCTGCAGAGACCCCGCAGTTGGAGAGATGACAAAACTTCTGCCGCTCTCAGCTGGCTCTGGAGCTGACGAAGGTGGACTACAATTTTTATCGACTCTCTGATGTGTCAGGACAGAGTGTATCTCCAGGAACCGCTGGATAATAACACCGTGTTGGCGTTCCCACGCCTAAGTGTAGTTATTATTGCAGTCTTCTTGGCCTATCGACACCGAGATCCCGGGTAAGTGTTTGGTTTGTGGCAGTCTCTTATGTATTATGCTAGTAAAAGGAATCAAGACAGCAAATCAAATAATAAAGTTTCATGAATCATTCTAATCTACAAATGAATACAAGAGAGCAAGCCAGCTGACACAGTATACTGTGTATCATGTGATCATGCGACGAGGTACACCGACGTCGCGAGCACGTTTCTCCCCAAAATTGTGCAGTCGCTCACCGATCAGGTAGACATCGTCCCGGATGTTGACGCGCCAGGCTTCGATCTGCCGGCGAAGCAGGTAGAAGGACCATACTAGCAACCCGACCAAGAGGGTCGTAGGATACGCGTACCGGTATACCTTGGCCTGAAGTTCGCTCGCCGCCGAGTAAAAGAAGATACGGTTCACGATGAAGCCCAACACAAGTGGCACAGTCACAGCCAGGAAGGTAAGAACAGAGATGGGAAGGATTAGGGCCCGCGTGGCCAAACCGACCTGGGGTTGCCGCCAACCGCCACGGCTGACCGCGTTCAGTGCAATGGCTGGGCGCGAGCTGGAGTGCCACAAAGTGAACCGGAGGGCCATCTGAACGTAGAGGACGCCGAGGGTCCAGTCTTGGATAAAATGGATCACATGCGCCTGGTCATCTTCAAGATAGGTGTGGAGGGGTACCAGAATATACAGCTCCGTCACAAGAGCGAAAAGAGACGGCAGCAGCAGAGCGAATGCGGATGCAAGGTATATGAGCTTCGTAGCATACAGCAGTGTCTCATAGACAGCACGAGTGGCCTGTTGGGGGGAGTTGAGATACGGGTGTAAGCGCTCCTTTAGCAGGGAAACTCCGGACCGGCAGTAGACCAGACCATATACAGCACCACCGACCACGTACAGACCCACAGAGAAAGCGTAGATATCGTTGACGCGGACAGGGCTTGGGAAGAAAGTCGATATGAGCTTTCGACCAGTGACTAAAGGCACAATGGTGATGCTTACGCCTGTAACGGCGGCAAACACCCAGATCAGGAAGAGAAAGAATGCCACTCGGAGTCTAAAGAAGGGAGGGATGTAGACTTGCGTAAACATGTCGCTCGTGCGGCCGTGTAGCCCGTCGTCCGGATCAGCGGCCCCGTCCTTGCGTTTGTTGTCTTCGGTCACTTCTAAGAATACCTGCGCGCCCTTTGGGATTCGAACCTGATCCGAACCTGGAGCGCGCACAAACCTTCCGTTGCGCAAGAAGTAGGCATCTACGCCCTTCTCCTCAACCAAAGCCTTTTGATCTTCGCCGATAACCGGGTTTTTTGGATCGCCCTTCTTCCCCAGCAGCACAGCACGCCAGCTCCGTCTCACATGTCGGCCTTCCTCATCTGGTCGTCTCTCGCCCCCAAAGAGGAAGTTGGTCAACCGCAACATCCGCGCACATTGATGGAACCACCAATTATACATCGTGTGCAAGCCATCGGAGGGCTTCACTGAACGGATAGCAAATGGCATGACGAAGTTGTAGAAAAGTAAATCCACAGGGAATTCGAGGAACGGGACATTTGAGGACCAGTGGATGGGGAGTACACCGGCACAGGAGTAGGAAAGACCCCATACAACTCCTCCCAAACAGACAATAACAAGGGCACCGTAGACCAAGGCACTGAACGCAATCTTACGAAGCTGTGTTGAGATATTGCGCTCGAGGACATCTCGCACCGGATGGAAAGTAGGATCATCAGGGTCACGGATGAAGTAGAGAACACCGCTCCTCATGATTTTGCGACACATCGAGACAAAGAGAGCGAAATGAAACATGTAGCAGGTCCCTATGAACCAATGGACAAAGAGCGACGTTACAGGAGAGGCGGATGTGAATTCCAAGCGGGACTTCAGGGAGGCATTCTCAAACAATGGCATTAAGGCGACATCAAGTAGTGTGCCGCAATACAACGGGAACACAATCATTTCAATGCCAATGATCAGAATGACCTTCATCACCCCTCCCGCTTGATGAAGGATGTCCGCGATAACTCCTTCAATCCTCTGGCCTCTGTTGACTCCAGAAAAGAGTCCAGTGAGCCGAAGATACAGAAGACCCAGGGCAGTAGCAAAGCCATAGCCAACGATGATTGCAACAGTACGGTCTTTGGTGTCCCAGCGAGCCAAATCGTAGTCAACTGGACCTTGAACGGGCCCGCTACCAGGTACCCTGAGATTGACCCATTTCAGACCTGACAAAGAGAAGAGATCAAAAGTTCCAAGCGTCTTCGGGATCTGTTGGATGTTGGCAAGCATAGATGATAAATCCACCGTAGGAAATTCGGATACTAATGCTTGGTGCAGCCCCTGCGACATGACGCGCAGAGGGAAATCGTACATTATGAACTTTCCAGCAAGAAAGATTGTCTCGAAGAAACCAACAATCCGCGCTTCATGGATCCGCAAGGCCTGATGGGACAGAACGGAAAACATGGGAAGGTCAGATTCGTGGAAAGTGAAGAAACCATCCACCACTCTTTTGAGACGCTGACTGCTCCCATCAATGAGCGATAGAGAGGCACTCGTGACAGACGTATTGCGGGGAACCCATTCAACTAGAGGCACCATATTTCCCACGGGGCCTAGGAGACCTCTCAGGACGATACTGATCCAGTAGACGAGGTACCCAAAGCTGCCGATGAGAGTATCAACCGTGACATCTGCGATGATAGAGAGAAGAGCCAAGGGAACGCCAATGAACAGTTGAATCGGATTGGTCAAGAAAACCAGTGCAATCTTACCCCATAGGTACGGAAGCCAAATGCCGATGGCGACAGTCAGTGAGATAAGAACCGCACTGAAGACGCCATTCTGCAGAAGCCCGAAGATGGGACCCTGCATGCCGATCAGTTCCATGATTCCTTCTAACTCATCGCCATCCTCGACGGCATCGACGTCGTTCTGCTCCAAACCAGCATCGACCACTTGATCCTGCCACTGGTTTTGACCTTGCAGATCTTGTTGGGCAGCATTGTCTCGGTTGGCTGCATGAACGAACGGCCCTTCTCCAGCAATGTCCTCAACATGGACATCATTCCGGTCATGTTCTTGAGCTTGATCGGAGGGAGCAACGTCACCCCACAGCCAATCTGTGATCTTCTCAGAGAGATTTCGCGGTGGATGAGCGGGAGTATCAGCAGTTGTCGGCTGAGAAACAGCGTCACCTGAGACTCTGTTGGCTGGGATTTCTGTCTCTCTGTTATTGGTTGCATTATTAGCAGCACCATCGTTAGAAGTTTCACGTTGTTGCTGGGCGAGCTCTCCGGGTGCTCCAGGAGAACGTCCCTCGCCCATATCTTCTATCTCGAAAGGTATCTCCCCGCCTAGAACGCCAGAAGTGTCTCTGTTCATGATGCTAGATGAGACGCTAGAGTTTCTGGAAGAAAACCGAAAGTTGGACTCCGGGGCCAGAACGTCTGCCTCTCGAGCTAGCAAGGATGAAGAAGGTACTGCATCTTGTCTGCTGCTCCAGAATGGCACGTCATTAGTTGGTCCGGGTATATCGGCGTCAACAGTATCTGAGCCACCTTGATGGACTCGGTCCTGTAGCGAACTGCCGAAAGCGTCGGCCCTTCCCAGATTTGGCCCTAGAGTCTCTGTACCTTCATCGAAGGGACTGTGCTCTGTGTTGCTCCTCTGTAATCTTGTCATCGCTGAGACAATCCACCCGAGCTCGTCCTGGCGATTCTCCTCTTCGATAATCCTTAAGACTTCATCTGGATTTCCTCCACCACGAGTCCATAGGTCCTTGAATATTTCAAGTCCGGGCCACACTTGATTACCCGGAGTAGCAGCTGTCTCCTCAAGAGTACGATGAATACTGGAAGCATCATCCATGGCGTTACGTGATTGTATAATAGGTCGAGACGTATATGTTTCAAGTGGTAAGTTTCCGAAGCGCATAGTTCCCTCATCGAAAGACGAAGATGCCTCTCCATGAGCCCCATTGTCGTTCTGAAACGAATTTGGCCCCGAGGAGCCGGTTTCCGTCGCATCAGGAACGTGAGGCTCTTCATCAGACTCGTCATGATCGTGTTGCTCGATATTATTCTCGTCTTCCACTTGCAATAGTGGCTCCTGTTGTGGTGGAAAACGAGCTCCCTGGTTCAGGCGATTTTCAGCAATCAATTGGACAGCTGCTTCCCGTTCTCCTTCGGCGATATTAACAGCTGGCTGTTGCTGGACAACCCATTCCCGTATCAGGAACACCAGAATAAAAGAAATAACCACCAGAAGCGTAATAAGTTGCCCTTCCAGGGTATCTATCAAGATATTATTGAATGTCGGCGACGGTGTCAGAGAATTCAAGAACGTAACATCAGAGAGCCAGGAAGGTTGTCTTTGACGGTGGGAAGACACAGTCACATTTACATCACTGGAATTGAAAGAGCTTCCGGAAGACGAAATTGCTGGCGGAAATAAGCCGATAAAGGCTCTTTTGGCGAGACTAAGAATAAAAGGTTCACCGGCAGAAAAGTTGAGCATAGAAGAAACAGGGGAAAGCAGAGACGGCGAGGCACTTGAAGTACCTTGCACAGCTGTAGAGACCCCAGATGCACTGGAAATCAGTGTCTGCTCCGCTCGAATAGTGCTGTTCGCTGCTAATTGACTCAAAGTATTCCCTTCATTCTGAAGTGCCTGCCGCTGCAGCGTTTCACTGTTTGGCCAATGTCCGTCTGCAAGCCAAAAAAGGGCACGCCAAATCGCTCGCATCGACCAAGGCAGCCATCCAAGCCAAACGAAGGCGACTAGAAGAAACCGTAGCCAAGTGACAAGTGTCCGACCTCCGTGTAGCACCAGCTCCTTCAAGAAAACCGGGGCAGGTAGTTCTTGTGGCATATTGGGGTCATATAGCTTGGTGAAGCGGAAAGGCGTCTTGCATAGCTCACAGTATTTCTTCTGTGAGTGCGACAGCCATTCCATCAAACAGGCCTGGTGGACAAACTTGATACTCCCACTGCATTTGCAAGGGTAGAACAGCGGTTCTTCCTCTGACCCCTCCCCACGACATATCCGACAAGTATCAGGTTCTTCTAATCCTCTGAATTTCGCGTCGCTATTCGTCGCATAGGCAGGGTCGTTCATGATATCTGGGAAAGGCTCAGTGCCTCCCCGTTCGTGGGGCTGATTATCTTCCTCCATCATGGTCCATCTGGGATCAGTTTCTGTAGATCTGATCTTTTCAGTCAACAGGAGATCATCGTATTTTGGCGACCTTGAGGTGTCAACGACGGCTCAGGAAGCGCTCTGCTGTCTGTCAAATTATATAAGTAATAGTTGGGCAATGTCAGATCTCATTGATGAGACCGTTTGCGGAGCTCACTCGGAGCAGAGAACCCACAAAGCAGCCCAGTCCACAGCGGTAGTGAAGATCTCAAAGACAATCTCAAACGTGGTTTGGTTTATATCCCGGCTGTGAGATGAAACTTAGACGAACTTGCTGGCCAAACGTATATGAAGAGGTCGATGTGGCAAGTCGTGTATGGGGGCAGTAAAGCTCCCGAAAGAGAAGCCCCAGCACCTTCCTTCTCTGGATACGATGACTAATCATAACGACAGACGCACGGCCCCTCCAGTTTATCGCGCCAGACACGTGATATTACGGTATATTACATGGCACATGGTTCCAGAGCACGCGAACTTGGCGGCAGATCGAGTCTGGATACGTAAGGTATCGTAACAAAACAGGCCCGCCACGCTGAAGCTATGATCTCACCGCCGAGGCCGCAAACAAGTGTATCAATTCAGGATGGTGTGATACAGATCTTGTCGCAGAGAAAGGGTTAACGAACACAGTAGATAGGTCCCTTCTAAGGCAACTTGACATCTCTCCCTTTTCTGCCCCTCCCCTTGTTCTTAAAAGCCTGCATTATAGGATATCTGACTGCCGCCTACTTTTCTATTCTGTGAAGCCATCAAGAAACGCGGGATACCAGCCGCGCCAGCAACTTCAGCTCCCTCGAGAACCCCATTGCGCCAAGTTTGCCAGGGTTATTGCGAGCGTCCCACCCAACAGTGCCATCTTGCAACCTTCGCAACTCTAGGTACAATAACAATCGTGATATTGGACATTCTCAATTTCGACACTTGGCATCGGTCTGTTTTGCTGTTCCGCGACCTCAGTTCGGGGCAGCTCCCCCACGATCCGCTTGACGCTGTGCGTCGGATTGTTCGAGGAACGGATCTAAAATCTGAACAACTATATTCACAGCACCTCAGACGCCTGAATTGAGAGCGAGTGTCAGATTCTTGGGTTAATTCACGATGGCGGGTGTCCAAAATGGACACGTTCCCGAGTCAAACAACAGGCTCGGTGGACGCGTCCAGAGCTCCAAGGAGTCAAAACGCAAACAAGGCTTTGTAAAATGGACATTTGGGCTCGTCGCAAGGTGAGTTGTGAGCAGGAAAATTCTTATTTATATATTCTATTTTATTCATTTTCTTTTCACACGCGAAGACTTGCTGACTTTGTGTGAATCCTTTGCAGATTATGTATCTGGTACGCGTTGCTCACGCCGTTTTTCCGCTGCCCTTCAAATCCTTCAGAATTGGACCAGTCATCGCCAGCGGTTTGCAAACCGTACTCGTTAGCCAAATCGCATATTGAGCCTCATGTTCTTCCGTATTACGACATCTATGGTGCACCGTATGTGGACTTGGTTCGCCCATATGCCAACAGCTTGCATGAGCAAGTTTACTCTCCTGTCGCAAAGGTCGCAAAGAGCGGTTATGACACATATGGAGCCCCCACTATCGCGCGAGCTCAGGCACACGGCAAGAAGCGATGGGAGACTGAAGCCGTTCCGCGATTGAGGTCTGCCCAGGCAAGCGTGAGCGAAATCTATGAAGCTAATGTTGGCCCGCATGTCAAACGCGCAGCAGCGGTCATAAAACCGCATTACGATGATGTTAGTGGCAGAGTTAGACAGCTATACAGTGTATATGTCTTGCCTTCATACAACCGGACGAGACCTTTCATTGGCAAGACATATTCTTCGGGTCAGGTCATTCTTGTGGATAATGTCTTGCCCTTCACGCACAGGGTATGGTCTTCCATTGTGTACTTTATCAACACTACGCTCTGGCCCAGTGTGACCGGTCTCTACTCAGAAAATGTCGAGCCGCAGCTGGTCAAAATCGGCGAGAGACTAGCCAGCTACCGGGAGGGGAAGAAGTTGAGAACGGTTGTGGACGAGGTTGAAGTTGACAGGTAGGAACACAGGCCTCCTTCTTTACTCTATTTTCTGACTCCATGACAGTTCCTCGGTCAATAAATCGCCCAAGTCTACTAGCAGCATCACGTCCTCCAAGATCGAGACAACCACGGCAACAGCTACCACTAGCTCCAACGACCTTGCGGCGACTGAAAAATCGACCAAATTAACCCCTTCGCAGCAGATTGAAGAAGCGCGTCCGATAGTGGCTAGTGATCTTCATAAATGGCAGGAAAAGTTCACCGTTGCAGCTGACAAAGGAGTCGACGACTTAGAGGAGCGCATTAAAGAAATTGTCGACCGCCAGATTGAAGGAGCCTCTAGGAGACATGGAGATAGCTTGGTCGAGGCTCTACTGGCCGTATCAGAGCAGCAGCTGTCTGATATTAAGGAGCGTATTAATGCTATTGTGAAAAGCTTACCAGATGAAGCTACTCCCAAGATCGAGGACGATGCCCAGGGAGAGCTGCTCAAGGAAATCAGGTCAGCTGGAGTTGCAATAAGGGACCGTGCTCATGCTCTTAGAGAGTGGCAATCTTCATTCGATGATGAATTGACACGCCGTGTATCTGCGGCTGTCGAGTCAACTCTTGATATCTTGGACGGTATCCGCGACCTCGGGCTGCAGGAGATTGGTATGAGATGGGCTTGGATGGACGGTGTCACCTACAAGGACTGGGCCAAATACCATGCCCTCAAGGCCCAGTTCGAGGACTGGCGCAGCGAGGTTAGGGACATTGGCATGCAAAATGAGAGGCTCGGAGAAGCCAGAGACCTGGCAAATGAAATTTTATCTCGTGGGATGACGATTGCAGAAAATGCAGCAAAGGAATTAACCCGCCTGAAGGAGGTTGGCAAATGGAAGATTGAGGCTCGAGAAGTCAGCGACAACTTCGATACAAGACAGGAGCCTCCCACTCGCCCGAAGCCAATCTCTGCTACTGAAGATCATATTGAAGAGCAAGTCGTGTCTCAATCCACGGTTTCTGATGAAACTGCTACAGACGAGTCTTCCTTCGAACAACGACAAAACAGCGAAAACCAGAGACCACTTCAAGCTGCCGAAGAAGCGGACGCCGAAGAAGCTGATTCTGAACTGCCTAATTTGGACGGCTCCAATGAATCGCTCGCCGAGGAAACATCCCAGAGCTCTTCTACTGAAGAAGATACTCCTGCACAGGACCAACCTTCGGCTCCGAGGGTTTGGGGAGGGGCTGCAGCTGAGTCTATTCCCGGGAGGAAGGGAATCGTCAACGATGTTGTTGATGATGACTCCGAACAGCACAGATTCTCTGAAGAACTACAGAACCTAGCTAGCAAGGCAGGCGACCGGTATGCCGAGGCCACCAAGGTTGTTAGCGAGGCGTTGCTTGGTGAGCCCTCTAGCCGCGGGGTCAAGGAGAATGCTGGGTCTGTAGTCAGCGATCAGTACTCAAGTGCTCTGTCCGCTGCTTCAAGCGTGCTCTATGGGACTACACCCAGTCCAGGGGAAAGCATCGTTAGTGCCGCATCTGAGAAATATAGCCAGGCTGTTTCTGCGTAGGTGACCTCTCGACTTGTCTTTCCCTAATGTGTCTTGCTAATAGAACTCTAGGGCTTCTTCCGCTTACTATGGCACTTCATCTGCCGCAGGACCGTTGGAGTCTATTTCGTCTGTCGCATCCTCCAAGCTGCAAGAGGGTCTTAGTCTTGCTTCGGCCCAGTATGCGAGCGTCAAGGCGACTATTTCTCCCACTCCAACCTCTAATCAGAATCCCGTCCTGCTTGATGCTCAACGCCGCTACTATGAAGCAGTCGGGCTCGCACATGACCACTACTCGGCATTTGTGACCTCTGCTTCTGAAGCAGTTTTCGGTACTCTCACTCCTTCGGCAGCCCCGAGCGGCTTCCTGGATGCGTTGGAAAATGCCAAGTCGCATTACAGCCAGGCTTCTTCTCTCGCCTCATCTAGCCTTGCGGCAGTTGTAGCATCAGCAAGCTCCGCCGCGAGTTCCAAGGGACAGGATGTTCAGAGCATAATTGCAGACGCCTCCTCGCGATACAGTGCTGCGCTGTCGGCGGCATCCGCTTCTCTGTCGTCTGTCTCAGTTTCTGCAAGCGCTTCCATCTACGGAACGCCCACTGGTCGTATTGAGTCCGTCGCCAGCCGAGCGTCAGAGAACTGGGATACCCTTATTTCAAGAGCAAGTGAACAGATCTACGGAACCCCCACACCTTATGTCCAGCAGATATTGGATCAAAAAGCAGCCCAGTATGAATCTCTCAAGGGTCTGGTTTCGGAGCTTGTTGTCGGAAAAGAACCCGACTTCACCGAGAGCGTCATGAGAAAGCTACAGGCAGTGTATGAGACCCCATATCCAGCTTCTGCATTGTCCTCCGCCTCAAGCTATGCGAGCGATGCTTATGAGTCTGCTTCGTCTGTTGCGGCCGCTTACGTGACGCCATTGCCAGCCGTCGAGGACATAATTAATTCTGCAAATGAGCAGTTTAACTCCGCTGTTGACGCTGCCAGTGTCTATGTTTATGGCACAAGCAAAGGCCCTTATGAGCAAGCAACATCCGCTGCGGCTAGTATCTACAATTCCGCATCCTCGGGGGCGAGCGAAGCCATATACGGCACTCAGACAGGGTATCTTGAGGCTGCTAGCGTGGCTATTGAAGGTGCATTTGTCTCTGCTCAAGGCGCCCTTAGCACTGCCGTGTATGGTACTCCGACTGGCCCAGTTGAGTCAGTCTTCAATGCTGCCAGCGATGCGTATGCATCTGCAACATCTGCCGCGGCAGACAAAGCGTCTGACGCAAGCTCCGCGGTTGGTAGCGCTTATTCCAGCATCCAATCCAAAGCAAGTGCCCAGATATACGGTGAACCGCAAGGTGCTCTCGAGAGCGCAACCAACCGATTGGCAGTTGCAGTCGAAAGCGCACAGGCACGTCTCTCCAGCCTAGCCTCCAAAGCCACCGATGGAGCATCCGAAGTTTTCTCCTCGGCTGCATCTGTCGTGGAGGACTCTGGAAGCAGTGTCAGCAGCGCAGCTAGCAAGTTGAAGGACGAGCTCTAAACACTGAGCAATTCGCCGTTGCATACCAAATAGCTTACTCTAATACGGAATATACATACCACGCAATATCGCGAATTGTGGACGTGACTATATGCTATCTTTATATCATGACGAATATCTGGCAGTCCATTTTCGAGTCGTTGCAAGACTGATGTTTTCAGTTCTTTTTGTTACTAAGCTCTACCTGTGACATTTGTGGTGCTATTCATGCACTCCACAACTTGCCACGATGAAACGTCTCCCTTCGACATAGCACATCTCTTTCTATTTCCTTATTTTTTTCATTTGTCTTGCCCATTTTGCATCGCAAAGTATCCGACGCTTTCATTTCGCGGCTTGGTTTCGAACCTTTTTCACATAACCCCTGCCTTACATCACACCCGATGTATGTATATTGTACATGTATTTTTGCACTTTTCCACCAATTGAAAGTGCTCGATTTAGTTGGAATATATTATTTTCCAGATCCTTTCAGAAGAGTATTTATATCGTATTTCGTATAGCTAACAATCTTAGATTGCGAGGTTATTCACAGCCTTGGATACGTAAAGTATATTATACATCACCTATACTGTACACGCTGGCCACCTCTCTTCTCCATCTTCTTCTGCCTTTTACTTTCAGGAGCAGCAACTCCCGTATCCCCGCCTCCCGCCATACCAGCCAGTCCGCTTTTCATGCCGGTGAATGTGGTCCATGCCAGCCAGACAGAGTACAGCGGCACAACCACCCACAACCACCATGCCTTATCTCCAAAAATACACACAGCACCCATACAACCCCAGGTCCAGTACAGGACATCCCACATGTACTCCGTCAGCCCAGAAGCGCCGAGATCCTCACCAGCAGAGCGCAAGGAACCATCGACGGGGTTATATCGCGGACGTCCGAGGCGCTCGAGGTAGAATTCAATGGCGAGAACAGGGAACGTGAAGATAAAGTAAGGCAAGAGCGATCGTGGACGGTTGAATAGCCAATGGAGGAGGAGGAATATGGCATGGAGAGACAGAGTAGTGATATGTGTGCGCAACAAGAGCGAGGTATTGCGTGCAGCGAGGGACTTGGCTGCTTTCTGTGGTGATGAATGAGTCAATGGACTGATTTTATATAATGTCATTATCATGGAGATCTTACCTGGGCCATTTTGTTTTGCCCCGTAGACGCGGGGAATTCCAATCAGAAGTAAGATGGTGTAGCTAAGTGTATCGTGTCCGGAGATAAGTTGACTGAGGTAGCGTAGATTATTAAAGTGTCGGTTCAGGAGCCAGGACAGAACAGTAAACACTGTAAGTAAAGATCGTAAAGGGAAGATCGACAGCAACTGGTCTCCCCTGGGGTTTGAGATCTGCGACCACTTTAGCAAAAGGCTGGCGAGAAATGGAGTAGAGTAGCTGCGAGCGGAATATCACACCGAAGCTTTAACATGCAAAGGGAATGGCGTTGCCCACTACGACAGGCGCCGCAGCCACCGCCTCCACCAGCCACTCCCGTGAACTGCTGCTCCAAAACATCACGGCCGCTCTCAGGTCAATTCCACTGTCACACCTAACAACTCGCCCACTACATCGGTGCCTCCGCTCGTCGCTCGTTCCCCTGGACGCCATTCTTATCCCACGGTCGACATGCGATTCGGCTGTGTCTAGATTTAGCTGGTTTAAGGACGTCACGGGTGGTCCGGACGTTGTTGACTGACAGCAATCCCCCCGAGCGCCGGATCCACCACTAAAGGATTCACTGGTCAGGAGAGGGGTATTGAAGTGAATGAAACTGGACAAAGATTACCTGCAACACTTTTTCCCGATATATAAAATCACCACCATCATCATCCTGGCTGTTGCGCAAAGGGCACTGAACGCTGCATCGTCCCTTCCTCTGTTTACGAACAACAGCCAGAACTGGGTCCTTGATTCTCTGATTGCGCGAACCGCCCGATGCTTTCCTCCTCCCTCTGAATCGGATTCTGGACCCCCCTGTATTCAGTTATCTGCGCAGACTTAATCAGGCTGCAGCAACCATGTCGCCCTCGACAGCTCATATATCCAGCCAGTTACGGCAACTCATATATTACCACCTTGACAACAACTTGATTCGAAACGCACTCTTCCTTGCTGGTCGATTACATGCCTACGAGCCCCGATCTTCGGAAGCGTCATACTTATTGGCCCTCTGCCATCTTCAGAGCGGGCAGTCCAAAGCTGCGTACGAATACAGTCGAAATTCAGGTTCGAGAGGGACACATGTGGGCTGCTCATACGTCTACGCGCAGGCGTGTCTGGATCTGGGGAAATATATCGAGGGTGTCACGGCGCTAGAACGAAGTAGAGGACTCTGGGCTTCAAAGAACCACTGGAGTAAGCAGCCATAGGGCGGGAGGCGTGTCATAGGCATCTATGCTAACGGGCGTTTTTGGAAATAGATAAGCATAGCGAAACGCGAAGACAGCATCTTCCAGATGCGGCGGCGGTTCTCTGCCTACAGGGTAAGCTCTGGCAGGCGCACAGAGATCTCAATAAAGCTGTCGAGTGCTATGTGGAAGCCCTGAAGCTGAATCCTTTCATGTGGGATGCGTTCCTGGGACTTTGCGAAACTGGTGAGATGCTGACGTCTGCTACATTGCTGCAATCGAGTTGCTGATCGATGTTCCCTAGGCGTCAACGTGCGGGTCCCGAACATTTACAAATTGAGTCCGGATTTACTAGCTATGCTCTCGTCACCGGGGAACAATGATGCCACGCCGCTCGAGAGGTCAGCCACAAATGGAGCATTACAACCGCAAGCCAATGCCAACCCTAATATCGATCCTTTTACCACAACATCTACATATGGCAGCTCGGCCCTATGGGAAAAGCTAAATGGCAGCACGGTAAGTGTTGCATCTGCCGGAGTGCAGTCTATACCCGAAGGATCGGAGACCCCAGTAGCTCAAAGTGATTCGGACGATCGTTTCGCGCACGCTGCCGGCGGGACGGAATCTTCATGGGAGCCTCCTCTGGCACCCGCGAGGAGAAATAGAGCGATGCATACTGTGGGAGTCGACTATACCGCCGATCCTCCACCAAAAATGAGAACGACTGTCAAATCTCGACTTCGAACAAGGGCGGAACCGGAGGAACAGAGCTCGGTTCATATTGAAAGAGAGCAGCCTCCTGCGCTAGCTGTGGGAGAACGAAAACGGACGATTTCAGGGCAAGTAGCCCACCCGCCATCCCAGCCAACTGAACCTGGGGCGCCTCAAAGACGGAGTGTTCGCCTTTTCAACCAGATCAGGCCAACTAGCAAGTTATCGAGCACCGCGTTGGGGGCTAAAGACAGCAGGGAACTCAAAAAGGTTAAGGCTACAGGGACAAAAGGTCGTACAGCTACCACGTCTGCTGTTGGTCGCGTGGTGAGTGGTAATCGAAAACCAGCCAGCGATGGAATAGAAACGAATGGCAGAGACCATACGTCAGGTGCGGCAGCACACGGGACTGCCAGCAGCGGAACCTCTAGAGCAGCTTCGATCGAGAGGTCGAGAGAAATCGAGGCCCTGGGCTGGCTCTTGGACCTCTTTTCAAAACTGGGAACGGGATATTTCGCTCTGAATCGCTATAAATGCCAGGAGGCCATTCAGATTTTCAATACACTTCCTCAGAGCCAGAGAGAAACTCCATGGGTACTCTCCCAGCTGGGACGTGCATACTACGAGCAAGCGTTGTATCCCGAGGCTGAAAAGTACTTCATCCGGGTGAAGACGATTGCACCATCACGATTGGAGGATATGGAAATCTACTCGACTGTCCTATGGCATTTGAAAAACGACGTGGAATTGGCGTACTTGGCCCACGAACTCATGGAGATTGATCGGTTGTCACCGCAAGCATGGTGCGCCGTGGGTAATTCTTTCTCTCACCAGCGTGATCACGACCAAGCTTTGAAGTGTTTCAAGCGCGCAACCCAATTAGACCCCAAGTTCGCATATGGGTTCACTTTGCAAGGCCACGAATACGTTGCCAACGAGGAATATGACAAGGCGCTAGACGCATATCGGCACGGTATCAGCGCGGATAATCGACATTACAATGCATGGTACGGTCTCGGTACGGTGTACGAGAAAATGGGCAAACTGGAGTTCGCGGAACAACACTTCCGCAACGCAGCGAGCATCAACCCCACGAATGCAGTCCTGGTCTGCTGCATTGGTCTGGTGTTGGAGAAGATGAACAACCCGAAAGCGGCGTTGATCCAGTACGGACGTGCTTCATCACTGGCCCCTCAGTCGGTGTTGGCCCGATTCAGGAAAGCTCGGGCCTTGATGAAACTTCAGGAGCTCAAGCTTGCCCTGGTGGAGCTGAAGGTCCTCAAAGACATTGCTCCCGATGAGGCTAATGTGCATTATCTTCTGGGCAAGCTCTACAAGATGTTGCACGATAAGGGTAATGCGATCAAGCATTTCACAACGGCCTTGAATTTGGATCCCAAGGTGAGTAGTTAAACATGCCTTGTGGGCGAAATATATACTAATGTTTCTTGGCAGGCGGCGCAATACATCAAGGACGCTATGGAAACCTTGGACGAAGATGAAGAGGACGATGAGGACATGGCATAGGCGACTGGATAGTTTAAGGTCATCCTTGCTACAGGCAGACCTTTTCTACTTTCTTCTTCGCCCTCCGGGTTGAGGGGGTGGATTCCACTTTACATCTGCATTGGGCGGTTGGCGTTTGTGGAAGCGAGGAGCATTAGCATGGGCGGGAGTTACGGGCAGTTGGTTATCCTGATTATATTTTGACTTGGAGAGGCACATCGGACATGGAGACAGTCCGCTCGCAGATTCTTTGTTGTACACTACCTTAGCGGGATTGGCTTTCTCGTGGTCAGCTTGGAACCACGCAGGAGACGGTGATACCCGGGCCATGGCTTCGATCATGAATATAATGCTGATCATGCGGCGCGACTCTGGCATCAATAGATATTGTTATTTGTACTGACGCGTTGATTCTCAGGTTATGTGCAATCATCCCTGTTTGGCGCAGGAGTTAAGTGAGGTCGTATGACCGGATGGTTGCAAGACATGAGATTCAATTCCCCGGCATTGAGTTGAAATGATCGATCCAGCTGACAGTATAATAATCAACCTGTGATCGAGTAGTTATTACATTAGCTCTTGTAACTGCAAGACGGCACCAAACTCATCCTGAGAATCCACGGCCGTCCATCTTGTTCTAGAGCAAGTGCTTGCGGGGAGTTGGAGCAAGCCAAGGCGGTGAGCGGTGCCCAACAGAAGACCGAAGCCCCAGCAGAAAAAAAGAGCCGCGGCGCGCAGGAACGAAGTATTCGTGTACGTCAGTTGCCGTCGGGCCCGTACTCTTCTTCTCTTCCTTGATCGCGCTGTTTATCTCTGGCCGTGGTTGGTTTGCCGCGCGAAGACTGGTCTCTATTGTCTCTCCTTCTGTCTATCACTATCGAGCACATCCATTGGACATGGCCGCTGGCTCAGTGATCGTCTTCTGAGTTGATTCCACATTCCCGTATTGATATTGTGAACAGCGTCCTTTCTGAGAGGCTCATTTGCATCGGATCATCCTGCACCAGATAGAGTGAGATCCCGATACCATAGTCTCTACAAATATCTTCTATTAACATCATAGAGCGCTGTGCCATCGAGGCTGCCTCCATCCGTCGATATATCTAGGACACCCCCCCGCTTGTGTGCCGCTACTTTCTCCACAACCATGTCCGTCTTAAGCTACGTCGTCTCAGGCATTGCCTCGTATGTCGTCGTGACGCTGTCCTTTTTCGCTGCTTCCGTGAAGATTCCCCATGCCGGGTTCGCAGCTCGCTGTTTGGCCTCTTACGGCTCTCTGCTCGTATGCGCTAGTTACGGTGTCGTTGCTTCCATTGTTCTCCGTGTTGCTGGATATGGACGGATATCGCAATGGGCTACCGCGCGTAGCTTTAAGTGGGTGATGCGCTATACCACTGGAGTGCAATTCGACATCATTGAAGGAAAAGAATATCTGTCAACTCGGCCCGCGGTGTTCATCGGAAACCACCAGACTGAGCTGGACGTCCTCATGCTGGGAGCCATTTTCCCACCGTACTGCAGTGTGACAGCGAAGAAGTCGCTCAAAAACATACCTTTCCTGGGATGGTTCATGGCTCTGTCGGGAACGGTCTTCATTGACCGCGCCAACCGCGAGACGGCAGTGAAGGCGTTCGATGGTGCGGCCAAGGAGATGCAGGTGCATAAGCAGAGCGTCTTTATCTTCCCGGAGGGAACCCGCAGCTATTCGGACAAGCCAGAACTCCTGCCATTTAAGAAGGGTGCTTTCCACCTGGCTGTCAAGGCTCAGGTTGATATTGTGCCTGTGGTGGTGGAGAACTACTCGCATGTTCTGAGCCCTCGAAACCTGAGATTCAACTCCGGTACTATCAAAGTTAAAGGTAGGGTGTCTACGTTAACATCGCGCGCTTTTCAACACTTGCTAACGTACGCAGTTCTGCCTCCGATCAGCACAAAGGGATTGACCCCGGCAGACGTCGACAGTCTCGCCAACAACACACGCCAGACGATGCTGAAGACGCTGGCTGAAATGTCGCACAAGGATGAACAGGAGGTCGACTCCAGGCCACACAACGCTAGTTCTACCGCTGTTGAAATCTAATTTGTGATACTAGCCAGTGTTCAACAGCTTCCCTACCACGTAAAAATGGTAGTATATACCTACAATGGGCTTCCTGTGGTGTTCACTTGGACAAAGCCGTGATTGTCCATCCGGGTGTCGATAGTAGCAAGATACGCTCAGTTTCCCGCCCGAGCACACGTTCATCATTGTGCTCGACTAGCAGACAGGATTAAGGATTTTGGAAGAGAAAGGATCGAGCGAACTACGAGTCGAGTTAACTGGACTCAAATTATACGCCAGCCACTAGATGGATACCGAGCGGGATGTGTGGATTCACTATTACTTAATTTGTCGAGAGGCTGCTTTCGTCTTGTTGCACAGTAGCCAGCTATGACTTCACGTTATTATACCAACCTAGATCTCCCTTTTCCTTTTTCGCTCCCATCGAAAGCACAACGCATGAATCAGAAGAGCAGATCGAGCACGGCTTTTGCCGTCTTAGGATAGATGCCAATGATAGAATGAAGAAATGTAAAAAGTTCGCTGGACTGCACTCAGAACTTTCGCTCTTGGTAATTATCCATCTGTAATCGTATAAATCCTGAATAGGATAAAAAATATATCACATATCATGTAAACATGCACAAATCGGAAATTCAAATTCAACACGACAACCAATCAATCAAAACCAATCATCGATCCAAACACCGACACTGGCCCTTCGCACAAGGTGCAACATCCTTCTCAATATCAATCCTCTCCAGATTCCCCCACGCATCATTCATACTCCCTGCTCCAATCTGCCCACCTCTTGCCGCCGTCGCGATCAGGTAGTCCCTCTCGAACGCCACAACCTCGACCCGCACATCCTCCACCTTCTTCCCATATAACCAAGTCTTCACACCCGTATACGGCTCACTAAACCCAGACCCTTCTCCAGCACCAGCATTACTAACAACAGACTCCGGTGCAACCACATCCGTGAATTCCAACTGTCTCAGCCACGGCGCCAGAAGTGCTTCCCCGGTCATTTTAATATACGCTTCCTTCAGAGCCCAGTAGGCGTAAAAGAGTCGTAAACCCTTATTGACAGCTTGCGTGGGTCTTTCACTTGCAGACGCAGAATCAGAATTGGAATTGTCGCTGATCTCGCTAGAGATCGCGATGTTTTTGATCGTTTCCAGCTCCTGTGGCGAGAAGACTTCGGCGAATATATCGACGAATTCAGCTAGTGCTTGAGGTGTTGCGGGGATAGAATCTTTACGTCGGCGGGATCGTTCGTCCACGCACGTGATGTCTATCCCGACTTGGGGGATTGAGTGGTTTGGTGCGGAGGCTGGAGTTGGGGGTTTAGAGAATAGATCCGCTTGTGATGGTGTAACTTTTGCCGTCCCAGACGAAGTTGATGAAGATGAAGAAGAAGAAGACGATGGCACAACACACCCCGCCAACGCAACCAACGACGCCTGATGACTAACATTAAACTCAACATTCGGAATAGGAACATCGCTGCAAGATCCATCCTTCTGTTTCTGCGAAGGTATAAAACATGGTCTCCGATGAGGCGCCGGCGTGCGACTGATGCTGATTTCAGCCCAGGGAATCCGACACGTTCGATGAATAAATAGGTACTTGAGCAGGTTTGAAGCCAGGGACATGTGACGATCGGGCAGTTGGTAGAATCTCTGGACTGATTCTTGGTCTGCTGGTTGGAGGGTTTCGAGGAGGGGTAGAGTTGAAGATGTTAGAGGGCGGGTGTCGATGTACCATCTTGTTAGGGATGGGGAGTTTGAGGCGGACATGGTTTGAAGTATGTATGTATGTATGTACTGTAGATTGAGGTTCTGAATTGAAGCGTATTTTATCTCGAAATGTGCATTGCTTATGCGATTTGGGGGTGGGTTTTATAGATGGGTAGTAGTACTAGCAGTAGTATATTATTACAGCCCGAAAATCTATCTACGAGCTGGGGTCGGTAAGATCAATGGAGTTTAAGTATCTATCCGCCCCATCGAAGGAAATTCGCCCCACCTGAAGCTTTTATAATATCATATCTAGCCATTATTCAAAGATGTGTGCTCGGGCGCATAATTAGTAAATACGAGGACCTCTCCGTGAGTGATTCCAATTCCAGTTTCTGGTCTCTCCTGAGTCATGAAACCAATGGACATGGTATGGACTACTTGAAAGAGTAACTGAGACTGAGTTCACGGCCCGACGTTGATCCCGGCGGTGGCAGAAACATCCATCCCGATAGCGACTCAAAGTGGCGCGAAAGTGGGATGCCATGACTCGTTGTATATTGGAGCTTACAGATCAATGAGCGGCATCACAGTGGGAGTTCTTGCCCTCCAGGGCGCTTTCTACGAGCATCTGCAGCTGCTCAAGAAGGCTGCCACCAGTCTGGAGCAGTCCCAGAGTATTCCGGCCTCACAATGGGAATTTATCGAAGTGCGGACTAAGGAGCAGCTTGACCGATGCGAGGCTCTGATCTTGCCGGGAGGTGAGAGCACCACGATCTCTCTGGTGGCTGCAAGCTCCAATTTGTTGGAACCCCTGCGGGACTTCGTCAAGTAAGTAGGCGGTGATTTAGGTGTGGCTTCGAGCTGTACGCTGACATTTTCCTGCACTTAGGCTCGATCGCAAGCCAGTATGGGGCACCTGCGCTGGGCTGATCCTCCTTGCGGAATCTGCGAACCGGACCAAGAAAGGTGGCCAGGAACTCATCGGCGGCCTCGATGTCAGAGTCAACAGAAACCACTTCGGTCGCCAGACCGAGAGTTTCCAGGCGCCGCTGGAACTTCCCTTCCTTGAAGCGCTAGAGTCCAATCCCCAGCAAACGTCTCCTTTCACTGGAGTTTTCATTCGCGCTCCAGTGGTCGAAAAGATTCTGCCCCATCAAGATGGCATCCAGATGGAAGAGGAGAAGAGAGAGGAAACCGTCATCGCTCCTTCGCGAGAGGCCAAGGACCAGGCCGCTAAGGACGCGATGGAAGACCATGTGGAAGTGTTGGCAAAACTGCCTGGACGAGCGGCGAGACTAGCCACCGCTGGAGTGGATATACCTGCTGAGCAGGAAACCGGTGATATCATCGCCGTCAGACAGGGCAATGTCTTTGGAACGAGCTTTCACCCAGAGCTCACGGACGATGCGAGAATCCACGCCTGGTGGTTGCTGCAGGTACAGGAAGCTGTGAACAAGAGACGGAACGCAGAAGGCTTGCCTTTGAGATGATTGCTCTCGATGATCTTTTACATTGTATATGCTGGGTATGATATCAGGTAGACTTTTTCTTTTCTTGCACCATACCATAGAACAAGGATTCCCATCCAACGCCGTGTATACGCCTAGATCAACAAACCAAATTACCTACCTTTCCCGTACTCTTCTTCCTCTTTTCTGCGCTGCTCCGCCATTGCGCGGCCATAGCCTCCACGTCCCGGGTCATATTCATCTCTATATTCGTCGCGAACCTGTCCGCCAGATTTGCCTCGGCTGGTTCACGTTAGCAAGCTCTCGTCAGCCACAAGGGGCACATGTGGCCACGTACCCGTACTGCCTTCCTTCTTGGAAGCCGGGGTCAAGGTCTGTTCTGATAATTCTCTCATCCAGCTTGGTTCCACCAATGTATTTTAAGCAATCAAGGGCATCTTCGTGGGTGTAGTATTCGACAAAGCAGAAACCGCAAGGAGTCTTCGAAAACCGGTCCAGGCCCATGACGAGACGCTTAATCTCACCACACCTGTTGAACCGATCAGTTATCTGGCAATGTCTGCGTCCTCATGTAGTACATACTTTGCAAAGAGCTCGTGGATCTGCTCCTCTGTGGTGTAGAAAGACCTGAACAATCGTCAGTGTCAGGAACGCAGGGACCGGTAGAATTTGGCGCGCCTACAGGTTTCCAACATAAAGAGTGGTGGCGTTCCTCAAAGGGTCAAGAGGATCCTCAGCAGGCTGGTTCTCGTTCTCATCTCGGTCATGGCTGAACTTGCGCTTCCTGTTCTGTAGAAGACGGTCGTCAGCAGGTATTCGCACCACCCTAAGGAGGGAAATGCCATACCTTTCCTAGATAATACGCGCTAGGCTTGTCCAGCCTGTCCACAGTATTCCGTACATTCATCATGGTCGCAGACAATTGTTGTGTTGCGTTCGACGTGTTGTAGCGACAGTAGAAGAGTAGGTTGCCGAGTTCATCAACAGAGCCATCCAAGCTAACTAGCTCTTGGCGCGCTTTTCCAGACAGCTTCCGCTCCGCCAAAACTTCCCCAAAAAAGCACAAGGGCGCCGCCGCATCTGTTGTCTCCGACCACGACAGAGCTGCCAATTCTCTGCGCAAACATATAGGCGCAGTGAAGGCATGGGTATTGTCTCCTAATCGAAATTTATTCTCCAATTGTTACTTCACAATTTCCTCTTGCGCCCGCCTTTTCACTGCCGCGAAACCTCACCCATCACCATGCCGAAAGTGATCAGCTTCACTCCTCCCTGGCTTTGTAGGCCTTCACCAGGAGCTAGCTTTTTCACGAGCGCCGCACCTCAAAGCCCCGGTGCGCAAGCGGGAAATGGCCAGGCGCTTGCTAGACATGAGGGACCGACGAGGATTCTGGCGAAAAGAGGCTCGGAAGTGTTCGCCGTCGTGGACAATCAGATTCGCTGGTCGAACTTGACGACCTTGAAAGACGAATGGCAGCTTGAAGCAAGATCAAAAAGAAAGAGCGCTAGGCAGGGCGACGACACTCAGAACAGAACCACAGAAGGCACAGAAACAGGTGGTGATAGCTCGCAAGCATACTATAGGGTAGGGTGACGGCTTCCGCAAGGCGCTATTCCCGTGATGTAACTGACAGTTCCAGGTACTGACTGTCCCGGTGTATGGGCAAATCAGACAATTGATTCCTTCTCCAAATGGTGCCTTCATGGCTATTGTGACGGCCCATACTGTCCACATCTCCGTCCTTCCGGACTCTTCACATCTGTCCAACAATGACCCTACGCCTATCCGTCTGAAGACCTATCAACTGGGTCCGACTACTCACGTCATCCCCGAGTCGCCCGTGATATCTGCTCTCTGGCATCCACTAGGAATATATGATAATCTGTGTGGATGTATAGTGACTGTCACCGCTGACGCTGCGGTTCGCGTATGGGAACTTGATCGGAACAACCACTGGTCCTTTGACCGGCCGACATTGGCGATTGACCTGAAGAAACTAGTCGATGGCACATCATGCGACGAAGATTTCTCTCCTTCTGGGTTCGGAAAGAATAAGGGTTTCTCCGCTGATGCCTTTGACATGGAGGTCGCATCCGCTTCTTTCGGCGGCAGTGGTCATGAGGGCGAAGCAGGTTGGGCTCCAATGACTCTATGGGTTGCTATGAGACCAGGCGACCTTTATGCGCTCTGTCCTCTGCTGCCTTCCAAGTGGCAAGCCCCGTCAACTACGATTCCGTCCTTGTCTGCAGCCATTATCCCGAAACTTGCTGCCCTTGAAGAGGACGCTACTGATGTTGGAGACGAGCTGACGGCCTGCCGGCAACAGTTTGATTGGCTCAGGGAAATCGACAACCAGGACACTTTGTCAGTTTCGGAGGCTTTCCCAGAACACCAAATTCTGACACGGCCCGCAGTCCCCAGCGCCATTCCAAGACTACAGGGTCCTTTCCGTTACGACTTCGGCGAAGAGGTCGACGATTTGGATCTTACAGACATTCACGTCATTGCAGCAAAAGTCAACATGGATGATCTGATGACTGGTGAGGAGGAAGAACAGTTCCTGGAAGAGAATTCCCAGGACGGATTGTCGGCCACTGTCATATGTGTCTCCACTGCTAGTGGCAGGGTCGATATATGTCTCGAACTTGACGGTGTCGAAGGTCAGTGGCTGCCGAAAGCCAAGAAGAACGCTTTTACGACGCCCATTTCTGAGCCCTCCGATCTTGTTCTACTGGAGTCGTTGGAGACTGTCAGGGAGAAGTCTCAGCAGGATTATTCGTGGCCTACATTCACCCCTGATGTTCACTCGCGGTATAGCTTCTTCCTGACCACTGCTAACAATGTGACTTCCATCTCTCTATCCTCCTGGGTCCAGAGACTAGAAGCCGAGCTGCAGTCAGAAGATACTTCGGGGTCAGCCTTCCGTCTCCAAGTTCTCTGCGAGGGCTCGTTGTCCCTAAGAGAGCAGATTATCCAAGCTGGCGAAGATGTCGGGACAACAGAGCCCGGTCACCTGTCAACTTCCTTGGTTTTCTATGATTATGACCTTGGCTACTTACTTCTGACTTATCGCGACTCCCATCCTTATGCAGCACTTCTCGACGCTCCGGCCCGTGCGGCCTTTCCGTCCATGGCGGATTCTGTGCCCTCAGTGTCCGAAGCCCTCGCTCATGGACCACCAGTTATTGCTCCCCGGCGGGCACCTTACCAGGTCCCATCGATTCTCTATGCAGAATCGCCTCTGCAGTCGTTCGTCGAAAAGAATGTTCCTCATCGTCATAGGCATTCTCTCAAAGAACAGGTTCGCCTTTCGCCGTCAACCTTGGATCTTGTTGCTGCTGCACACAGACTTCTGTCTTCGCACACGAACGCACTAGAGAGAGCAGCATCTGATCTTTTCCGCCGCTGTGAGCGGTTGAGGGGTGAGATGCACGATCAATTAAAGCAGCTTGCGGATGTGGCAGAGCGGATCAAGGGTGTCTCGAGCGAGATTGGCCCTGATGACCAGAGGAAGGAAGGTTCTCGTAGTGAAGCAGCCCTGGACAAGAGACTGCAAGCAGCAAAGGACCGACAGGAACATCTAGTGCAGCGATATGAGAGTATCAGAAATAAGGTTTTGAACTCGGGCGGTCGACCATTGAGCGAAAAGGAAAAGGCTTGGATACGAGAAGTGGAAACCGTATCTCAATCCATTGAAACTAAAGAGGGGGGAGATGAGAGGTCCCGCGCACTCGGCCAGAGGCTCGAAACAGTAATTAATCCACTATTCCATGAAACTGTTTGGTTGCAAACTCAGACTGATAATTTCTCTAGGCTAAAAACCTTGCTGCGGACCTTCTGGCAGAAGTCAAGCGAATCACCACAGAGACTCCTGCAGGAAAAGAACCAGGGACTCCAGAGAGTCCAAGCGCCTATCCCCGAGTCCCAGGAGTTCCCGCGAGGTTGCAGAGAGCAAGACTTGCGGACGCTATGCGGATGGTCGAGCGGGAGTATGTGCCCTGTAAAATGATGTTCATATTGCGTTACTGACTCTTTCTAGATCTGCTGTTATTGATGCCATTACCTCGAGGCTAGAGCGACTCAATACCAGTGTCTCGTAGTTTTGGCTGCCTGGACGACCATTATGGTATCACATTGTTGGCGTACTATGCTTTCTCCATAGTATATGCATGCACGGTAATCGCTGTGGCTTGTTTGAGTGCTTTATTATTAGGTCTATGGCATTCTTTCGCCAGTATCAAAAGTTGGCATCCAGCGGGAAAATAGAATAATCAAAACCAAACAAGCATTATGAATGTTGCAGCTCATATGTAGACGGCTCCTTCCATGCCTCAAGTCCCGCCATATACGTGACTAGCTCTCCATCCTTCGTCAGCGAAAGTATCGTCGGAGTGGGTAGTTCGTGTGGGTCAGAATAAGGTGTATCATGGTCTCCACAACGTTGTTTGGACTACAAGTCCACAAGTCGTCGGACTCGACGTCGATTGTCATCAATGATTGAGATATCAAAATAGACGTTGGAACATTGAGTTCAACCCTATATTCTGAGTCTGCTTTTAGCCTTTGAAGAATTCCTAAATACAGGATTGGAGGTCAAGCAAACCGGGTGTCCTCTCCCGCCAAGGCGGATCGGGTCGTACCCGCTGGGTATTTTGATATAGATCTTCAGAGCTTCAGAAACCACGTTCTTCCTCTCTTTGAAGCGGAAAGTATGTAGGAGAAAGAATTCCGTTTCTTTTTTTGGGACTACTCATGATTCCCCGGTGACGACAGGCAGGGGCTGTGCGCTGCTCAGGCCTGGCCTGCGGCTCACCGTCCCAGGCACCTGACTTCAATAACATTGAACTGCCTACTCCTTCCGCTTTCAAAGGCATAAAAACAGCTCTATCAACTGCAATGGATCGAGGGTTCGATTCAGGGCGTAATCGCCAAACAGCATAATCACCACGGCCCCATACGCGCTCAGATCCGCCTTCAAAGAGGCTCTAAAAAAACTTCTTAACCAGTATATCCTATAATCTTTTTCTGAAGCCGAAAAGACCAGCAAAAAAATCCAGGCACTATGGCGCTGTTATCTCCCGCCCTCCCGGAGTTTGTCCTGACCATAGTACCTGGCGAGCCTTTCTTTGGAGGGGAATTTGGGGACCGGGGGGGCCCGCAGTCCTTAACCACTAGTCCACTGACTCGTTAAATCGAATATTCTTACTTTGATATATATACTCTCTGGAGGAAGGAGGGTCATGTGCTGGTCTGGGAGCTGAGGCCGTTCTAGGTTGGCGGTGGGTTGGGCTCGATTGGCAATAACATGGAGCCCTGCGTGGCCCTCGAGGCAGCATTCAGGCAGCTGACGTAACTTGAAGCTCTAACATCCACTTGATCACAGCAAATCTGAAAATAACATGGTGTTGTATCTCCATCTGCGCGTTTGTAATTTCCAGTTTAGTGCATTGTGAAGTTATACCACGTCCCTGGTATGAAACCTCCAGCTCCCTCATATTACTACCACAATTAAATGGCTATATCTTTATCGTAATTTTGTATATTTCATGGAAATCATCCTGTTTTATATGTGCTTTAGAGATTATATCCTACGCGACATGATCTTCTAACTAGGAGTATCAGGATAAGCAGTCCCAAACAGCCGGGAGGCCAGCAGCGGGTCAGGCAGCAGATCGACGTCTTTTTCCCAAGAACAGAACTGATGAACGTCGATTAAGCTTTCTGGCGTTTCACTAGTAGCTTTTCCCCCTGATAGAGTAGTTCGTGACAGTTGCGCGCGTAGTTCCTGTTCGGATGTGGTGCCATACGAGGATTACACTGACCCATACCACTTGTGCTTCAGCAACGCAACTAGAAGCATTTAGACTATTACATGAGGAAAAGATATCCCAAGGCGGTTACAAGAAAAGGCGCAAATGAGTTGGAGTAGATAGATCCTTGTAGTAATAGGACATATTAATTTTCCGTGCGACGTAAGTCTTTAAATACCTGTTTGCAGATCATGGAGATCAATGCGGCTAGGGTCCCTTGAATAGTAGTAACATATGACTCTAAATCAACGTCGCATAGACTCATGCCTGTTTGGGCTTTGCATGTACAGAACTAGGTATCTATTAGGTAGGTCTCTGATCTATTCGTATTTTCGTATTTCACAATGGACGTCTGCTGTTGGAGTTGAGACCTTCGTGAAATTGTATTAGGGACGCCCAGGCCATTTCCGACAGCACCGCCTTGTAAAATTGACATTCCGACAGAATCCTGGAATAAATTGTGCGCGATTTATCCGAGCAGAATCGTTATGCGTCATACATTTGTCGTCTCGTCTATCGGTGCACCATTGTTGCGGCATGTTGATCCGTATCAGGAGGTTAGAACAATCAGGGGCAAGCTCGGCACGTGACTTGCCACCTACTGCGGCGGTGCGACGCCGTCTCCGCTAGCTCAGCCACTCTGGAGTGTTATCTGCGTCATATACCAAGGCTGAATTGATAACTAGTAATAATAAGATCCAAGAAGTGACTCATGGACGAGTGGATAGACGGCGTGTGGCGTAGAGAAGGTGTGCTGGTCGAGTATGGATACTCTAAATAATAATGATAACAAGAATATGGTAGTGTATGGACGTCGTAGGATCTGAGCTGGCTCCATACCAAATACAGTAAAATAGTAGGATCTACGTTGTTGGCCCGCTCCGTTGAAACAGGGCTGCTAGTTACTCTACTAATTGCGCAAGGCGCTAAGCCGTTTCTTACGAGTAACTTAGCACCTTGGCATTTGAATCAAGACTCATATTTCAGCACGAAGCAAACTTCTCTCTTTTTTCTCTTGCCTCGATTTATTGCTGTCTCGTTCCCCTTGTGGAAGCCTTTTGGGATCCTCTTAGGCGTATCTTCTGATTTATGCGTAAGTTCGAACACCTGTCCTGAACCCCTTTCTACCATGCTGCACGCGTATACTTTCCCGATAAGGTATCAAGAACAGCAGCGCGTCGATCATCGCGAACGCCACGAACACTGACCCTTTTACCTGACCTAGACCGTATTAAATCGTGGGCGAAAGCTCACGCGTCCGGTAGTCCTCTCCCGACTCAGAATCCGGCAAGGAGATCGAACTTGCGACAGAAGGAAACTGAGGAACCTGCGGCCAATTCCCGCGATGTCGAACCTCCGGTGTCAGCCAACAGTACAGGCACGGTTGTTGCTACAAAGGAAGGGAATGGTGAAGACGATAAACTCAAGCAGGGCATATTTACCCGGATGAAAAATGGATCGATTCGCTTCTGCAGTCATACCAAGAGTGCTCTATGCCACTCCTGGGTCAATGTGCTGTTGGTCTTTGTCCCGGTCGGTATAGCTGTTGAGGCCGTTGGGATGAATCCTTCTATCATCTTTGCTATGAACGCCGTCGCTATCGTTCCCCTGGCGGGATTGTTGGCCCACGCTACTGAACATGTAGCAAGTCGTCTTGGTGACACCGTGGGTGCTCTGATCAACGTCACATTTGGCAATGCGGTCGAATTGATTATTTTGTGAGTCTGCACACCACCCGTGATTGACAACCGAACTTTGCTAACTTAATCTGACTAGCATGTAAGTCTCTGTAGCTGCTCTGGAGATGGCCTGACCCCAAGCTAATGTTGAGCTCTTGTCATAGTATTGCTCTAGTCAAGGTATGTGATTACTGTTCTCCCGACGATTGACTAGGTCTGACAGCCGTCCAGAATGAAATTCGAGTCGTACAAGCCTCACTACTTGGCTCAATTCTCGCCAACCTACTCCTAATTCTAGGAATGGCCTTCCTGCTGGGAGGTCTTCGATTCCAGGAACAGATATACAACAGCACTGTCACGCAGATGAGTGCTTGTTTGCTGAGTCTGAGCGTCACAAGTTTACTTCTACCGACAGCTTTCCACGCATCGTGGGCAAGCAATGCGAATGCGGATAAATATTCCCTGAAAGTCAGCCGTGGGACTAGTATTGTGAGCGTCTAATTGAGTTCGAATCTGGATCATAGTCTAATTGTTTTTAGGTCCTTCTCTTGGTCTACATTCTATACATCGTTTTCCAATTGAAGTCCCACGCATACCTCTACGCCAGTATTCCCCAGCAGATCATCGATGAGGAATCACATCCAGGTGTACTGGCGGATTTCATGAACTCCTCGGATTCGTCTGACAGCTCTACTGATGATTCTGACGATTCGAATACATCCTGGACCACGGCGAAACGCATCAGACGAGCCATGAAACATCGCAAGCGCAGAAAGTCCAATAGCTCCAAGGGGACATCATCGGATCACAAGAGTGCTCTTCGCAGTCAGACGGCAGAGGCAACCAGTGCAAGCCATTTGGATGGAGCATCCTCTCGCACAGCTGCAGACATCACTGAGGACACTCGATATGACGCGGATGATGATGCCCAGCGGTTTGCGGGCCCTCTCTCTCGAGACTTTGGGTTAGAACAAGGCAGTATCAAAAGCAAGAAGTCGCGGCGAAAGGGCAAGAAACATTCAAAGAGACATAGCAACCCCGTGAACGTTACGGATACTGCAAACGATCTGAAGATCGCGCCGCTCGATGATATATCTCAGCTTCCTCCTTTGACAACCTACCATTCGGAACCATCTGTTGAACGCAAAGTCCCGGCTCAGACAGCCGGTGCGACCGCTGACGATATTCGCAAGCGCAGAATACCATTCCCCTCAATTCCGCCTATTTTGACAAACACTGTGTTTTCTCCTCGATACCCGCCAACTGCATCTTCAGCATACCCCAGTGCTGGTCCCAGTGGCATTAAACGCACCAATTCGCTTCCTGTCCGCGCTGCCAGAATGTCTGGTGTTGGTAACGCCATGCAATTCGCCAGAACAGCTGCTCGCACGCCCAATGCCCCTCCAACGGAGACTGAACATCCTGCCGAGAGCCCAATTCCAGAAATGTCCCGTACCTCTGCCGTAGTCATGTTGTTAGTGTCAACTGCCCTGGTGGCTGTGTGCGCCGAATTTCTCGTCGATGCTATTCCTGGAATGATTGCCAGTTCCAATGTCAGCCAGGCCTTTATTGGTCTAATTATTTTGCCCATTGTTGGAAACGCAGCAGAGCACGTTACGGCTGTCAGTGTTGCAACGAAGAACAAGATGGATCTCGCCATCGGTGTCTCTGTTGGCAGTAGTATTCAAATCGGTAAGCACCTAGGCAATCTCTTGGCCCTAACAAAACAGATTATACTGACTACTTGATGCAGCTATCTTTGTCACGCCTCTCGTCGTCATTCTTGGGTGGTGCATGGACCGCGATATGTCTCTGTACTTCACCCTGTTCGAGACCGTCTGTCTTTTCGTGACGGCCTTCGTGGTCAATTTCCTCGTTCTCGATGGCAGGAGTAACTACCTCGAAGGATCTCTTTTGATCGCCGCCTACGTTATCATAGCGTGAGTTTTTTCGTATTTCCTTCGAATCGTCCAAACCAAATACCAATCTAACTTTTCTCTAGGGTCGCGGCATTTTACTATCCAAGCGACAATGATGCTAGTTCTCTTGCCTCATAGTCAAGCAAATGAATACCCGTCTCTACAGCGAAACGGGAGGCAAATAACTGTTAATGTAATTAGAGCACACCATATCTGCCTATGGCACCCTTTGCAGCGAACATATTGTGTCTTCTTTGGGGGGTTGGAGTGGTGGAAAGGACAGGACATAGAATAGAATGCAATGGTGACGGTGGTTCTGATACCTCAGCTGTCCCTTTCGAGGACGACATTGGCCTTTCCTTTCTGCTAGTAAATCAAATACATAAGTATATACGTAGAGATGCCACTGATCTAGGAAAGCTGTAATGTGGCATAGTTACCATTCAAGATCAGATTGACGATTATCGGGGTGAGTGGACGGCAGTTTAAGAGCCGGAGTTTAACGTATCAGCATGTGCATTACCAAAATTAATAATATTCTTTTTAAAAGCTTTCTCTTTAACTTAAGTTAAAGTAAATCGTAATGCCTGGAGATCAGGCAACCACATGCACAGTGCAATGATCAGGCGTCCTGTCAATACAGCTTCCTTCATCTAAAGTGGCACTATGAAGAACTTGATATACTACTTGCGGAATGGATAACTAATGGCTGACTATTTATGAAAGGGTCCCCACAGTCGACAATTGGATCAAGGGTGCTATCAATGCTTCACAGCACGATCGTTCAAATCGACAACTTGCTGGATGAGAGAGAACATATGCATGTCGTGAGGACTCGACTGCAGACCTACATTGGCTCATTCATAATCTCAACCATAGTCAACGTGGCGTGCTTCATTCCCGTGGACTAGTCTCACATCTCCACTTAAGTACAAAGAACGATTATGCTGCCAAGTAGAGTAGAGGTCTGTCACCACTATCAGGGGAATTCTCTCGCTTTTTGTCGGCAGGTAGAAGCTCCCTGACCCCTGAGATCTCAACCACTCAACATCTCAGGTGACACAGCTATTACAGCCCTCTCATACAGGTCCAGAAAACATCTCTACCATCTTCTACTCTAACCTTTCCTTCAGCTCTCAGATAGCCGGCTTGGGCCTGTCAAGAATTACATCGATGACTTTATGATCGTCGTAAGTAGCAACGGTGCGCTCGCACAAGACAGCAACGCGCTCCTTAGTTTGGAGGCCATCAGGGCAGATGAGCCAGATGACGTTGGTCATGAAGGACCGTCGGTACTCGATCATGACTTCGGGATCGTTGTGGCGATCGAATTTTGGCCCGCCAAGCCTGTGCAACGTCTCCAGGTAGTGATCCAGGATCTCCATCTCGTGGGCGCGACGGTCCTCGACACTAAGCATAGCCGTCATGTGGTACACAATGTCGTGGAAGCACGACCCGAAGTGGAAGGCCGACCAATCCAGGAACCCGATATGCCCGTCGCGTGTGAAGTAGACGTTGCCGATGTGCGTGTCGCCATGCAGCAGTGTGCGGAATCGCGGGTTACGCTCAGCATAGTAGCGATCTAGGGCCTCGAGGCATCGCTTGCCGTCCATTAGATACTCGGGCAGCTGGATTCGGCCGGGAGTTCGAACTATTTCGTCCCAGGGCGTACACATGAATCTCATGGCCGGGTCATAATTGTTCCAGATCCCTGTGGCTGTGTTAGGTGACTGGCAAGCACAAAATGAAACCCTTGGGATAGAGGAAAGTGCGCTTACATGGATGATCTTCCTGACTTTGACCCCAGTATTGCGCATGCAGACCGGCCAGCTGCCCGACGCCATCCATGACTTTCTCAACCGGATAGGAGGCAACCTCGGGGGGAAAGGTACAGCCTTCCTTGGTCAGGTCGTTCATGATGGAGATGCCCTGCTTGTCACTCGTGCTGCTCCACCAGCCCTTGGGGAAGATCATGTTGTTCACCGTAGGCGCCAGCTTAGCAAAGAATTCGGCCTCGCGCTGCGCCAGGCTGACTGTCCACGGTTGCTCCTCTATCATCTTGGGGTCGAAGACGCCCTTGATGCAGATATGCGTCGGCCTCTCATCGCTGCTTTCATGTTCGTACGCGATGGTGTAAAACAGCTTGCTGCCCGTGCCCCAAATGCTTCGCGTATTCTCAACCGACTTGATCTTGTGGCCGAGTTTGGCTCCCAGCCATTCAGGAGTCAGATCCTCAGGAATGGCTGGAAGCTGCTCACCAGCGGTTTCAGACATCTCTTTCTGCCTTTCTTTTCCCTTCTCTTCCAACTCTATCCTAGTCTGCTCAGCTGGCACGCGAAAGGGCATGGGATGAATAACGTGGGAATGACCGGGATACTTAATGAGCAGCTACAGACCCTTCCTATTTAAACACTTCTCTCGTTCATTGGATAATCAATTGCATACTAGTCTGGACTAACAGTAGTCCAGTAGCGTGGGACTATCGCGGGACGTTTAACGATTCCGTATACAGGGTTATTGACTAGTGTACTCTACTCTGCCGTCTTGTGACAAGTTCCCAAGATCTTGAAACTCATATAGACCAATCATACGTGTGAATAACGGCGGTGTAGACATCTGGAAAGTGACAAGGATACAAGACCAACACTTGGGATGGCCGGCCAGCTATTAAACCATGGATAGCTTGACTCGCTAAGACGCCTATTACTTGGGCAGATAAGGTGTAAGCTCCCTTACGGACGTATTAGTGGACTGCAAGAACCGTAGTAGAATTGCAAAACGGGAGAAACCAACCAGCGAGCCAACCAACGAGGTGGTAGTCGATGTAACTCTCCCCGGACTAGATAGACCAGGAAGTTCCGAAGAGAACAGAGTCCTGACCATCTGACCACACCTAGATATGGGTAGCAAAGACCCTAGTTCATCAACCATTTTTATATCTTCATTTTCTTTTCACCGTTTTACCACCCTACTCCGTAGTTGGCTGGGTATACGCCAAAATTAGGGCTAGGGCAATTAAGCATGGTTAGAATACAGATTATTCAAAATTGAGAATGCCTAGCGGGTGTACGTTTGGAAAATAGATTTATTTAGATCTTAAGCTTAGATCCGTGCAGAATGCGCCAATTGAATGAGTTGTACTCTATACTAGACCCTCGGAATCTGCCCGCGGACGGTCCGGCCCGTCTGGGTCTTAAAAGCCCCTGCCCCATGCTACTTACTAGTGACAGTTAGCAGTATTCGGATTACGCCCTTGATCCTAGATTTCATGACCGCTATGGGCTGGTTGTGGTGGGTTCTTTTACGAAAAAATGAAGTTATCGACAATAGATGTCAGGCACTCGACTAGAAGGACTCAGGAGAAATCTCCTCTTAGTGTCTCTGGATACTGACAATACAGTCTATCTTCTAGATCCTTCTTGGCTATGTTAGCCACAATACTACAATTCTTTCAGCAGTCTTACTATGTAGCGATTACGCTATCGATGATATTAGCTAATAACATTATACTCTGCCGTCTCTATGCCGTCTCTACGCCGTCTCTATCGACAAGGTTTCTGGATTAGAGCGGGAAAATAAAATTACTGTAGAATCGTCTGCTTGGCTCAGACGCTAGGAGTTTCCAAACGAATGTTCGGTGGTCCCATAAGGTAGATGGCCTTTCCGATTTGGTTTTTACCCTGGATACACATCAACAATAAGTATAACGTGCACCTTGAGGTTGGGAGAGAGCGAGAGAGAGAGAGATAATTTTCGCGAAGAAGGAGGGAGCTTTTCTATAGGAAGTTCCATCAAAAGGGCGGTTCTACAACCATGGCTAAAGATCTAACTACAACTAAGTATACCCTCGGGCTGCTGGTGCTAACCATCGTCTTTACCATCCTATCAAGCATCGTGGCGGGCCTGCGATTCTATGTTCGCATCTCAATGCGATCGTTTGCTGTCGAGGATTGGATGATGCTTGCCGGATGGGTGAGTCTTGCATTGCTCTGATCGCCGGACACATCTGGATTGCGAACGGCTACCTGACTCTCTTTCTAGATCCTCAACCTGGCACACAATGCCTCTGTCATGGTTCTGTCGTTCAGCGGAATCGGGTCGCACGATGACATTATCACGGTCGGTATGCAGTACAAGATAGGGTTGTGGACGATTATCTGGCAGTTCATATACGTCTTGGACGGGCCCCTTATCAAATCGAGCATTATCTGGACGCTGCTCCGGATTGCCAACAACTTGACGAGCAAGATATATCGAAATATCCTGTGGGCACTGTTCGCGCTGGGCTGGATCGTCTGGCAGATATCATGGCCCGTGGCGATTTTCCAGTGCAAACCTGTATCAGCAGCATGGGGTCACCCAGGAGACTGCACCTCGGGCCAGACAGTCATTCTGAATGTGTCGTACTTTGTTTCGGCGGTCAACATCTTTACCGATATATGCACCGCACTGGTGCCCTGCTTTTTGCTCCGCCACCTCCAGATGCGCTGGAAGATTAAGGTCATCACGATGGGAATCCTGTCGCTCGGTGCCTTTGCGTCGGTGGCTACTACTATCCGCATAACCTACACCTGGGCTTATACTGCGCCTTCTGAGAGATTCTGTATATCCCCCCTCCCTCTCTCCCTTCTTTAGAGGGAAAAGAAGACTCCATGAAGAGACAGAAAGCTGATGACTGGCGCTACAGACACAATCGGCAAAATTGTCATGTTGACAGTGCTCGAGTGCGACTTGGGCATCATCGCGGGCTCCATGCCCATGCTGCGCCCTCTCTTCCGCAATCTTTCACCCTCATATGGCGCGAGCTCAATGACGCCCGGCAAGTCCCGAGACATCAACTTGAGGACCATTGGCGGCACCGGCGGGCGTAGTCATATCAAGCTGTCCAACAACGATACTAGAATGGGGGATGAGCAGGACTACCATTTTCAGGACAAGGAAAGCAGTGGTGACGACGAGTCGACGCGCCATATCATTCGCGTCACCCGCGAAATCAAACAAGATAGTGTCTCAGATCGAGGCGTGCCTCATCAGTTTCAGGTTGCCATCTCGGGGTGCGATGGCCCAGGCCACAAATCCGACGTGCAAGGCCCTCGATATTATTGACACTGTGGCGACGAGGTCATCAGCGCTGACATGAACTTGTGCTTCACCACTTTTTTTTTGTTTCTTTTCTATGTAATTTAGCACCGCCTGTTTGCATCACTGTCCTTATCGATCCGCCTCTGTAATGAACAGAGGTGTGTCCAGAAGAGAAGTGTTTCGGGGATAAGAGTTTGATCGATTTGTAAAATCACTAACCAGCTAATTTTTGGGATTCATACTACACCACCACTATTTATATAGACCAAAAAAAAAAAATTCAGATCGAACTCAAGGACCCTTGGTTTGAAGCTTGCGGAGTATATACTAAAGTTAATCTTTGGCCGGACGAAAGTCTCTGCCAAATGCCCTAAAGTAAATGGATATTTCAACTTGCGCAACTCACCGGCTTCTTCAGGACATGAACCTCATCAATGAATGAACAGTTTCTGATAAGCACATACGACCATAGGGTGTGGAAAACAGGGCTTCCCGTCCGCTCAGCCGTACTTAAGCCACACGCCGGCAGGTTAGTAGTTGGGTGGGTGACCACCAGCGAATCCCTGCTGTTGTATGTTTTTATTTTTTTTACTCACGAAGCGTATGAACAGATGTATGCATAGTCTGGTATAGAATGTCATATGAGAAATTCAGGTGGTGGTGGTGGATGGATACCAGATCACGGAACGACTAGTAGCGTTATGTATTTGAGTCCAACTTTCTGTACATTCCAGTTAGATATAAGCAAAGTGACTGTGACGGAGTATTGGTAAATCCGAATCCATATTTTAGGCAGCATCAGCTTGCATCAGCTTATCTACCAAGTTCGGTGCGGTCATTTAAGTAGTAAGTAATCAGTCTAGAAGCCACAAAAATATACGTTCTACTATCGTGCCGTTATGAGAATGAAGGACATTGCCGCAGCACCTACGATGTCCGAGCAAAAAGCTCTCGACCAACAGTCAGGTGCGATACACTCCGAACCAGCTCAAATCTATGGAGATGAAGGGGTTCCTCACGACTCGGACGACGAGCCCATGGTCTATGAGACACCCCAAGACTATGCCACCTCAGCGCGCCAGGAGCGTGACCGCCTCATCGCTGAGGGCGCTGATCCTAATTCTGTTATTCTCCAAAGCGAACTACGCAATCATATCTTACGACAAGAAGGCGAATCCTCTGCCGACTTTGCGAAGCGTTATGCTGAGACTATGAAAGACATGATTGATCGCGGTGTTTCTATTCTAAATGATCAGTGTATTGCTGATGTGGTGGCATCCGGATTTAGAACTGCAGATGGAAGGTTTTTTGATCTAGGCCCAGGATCGGGCGCAACAAAGAGGGAATTTCGAGAATTTAGTCAGTGGTTTCCAGAGATGTCGGAAGAAGGACGGATTCACGAGGTGCCGGAGAAGTGGTTGAAGTTTGAGAAGCCAGCCAAAGGGTGATTTGATTGTAACAGCGGGGACAGGCCGTGATCATGAATTGGTGATGATAAGTCTCAGGTCTTCTAATAATACCGTGGTCTCCTTGCCGGTACTCACAAGTACTTACCTTTGTTTCATTGCAAAGACATCTATAGAGAACTGTGAGCCTAATAACTGAACCTTAGTAAGCACCCAGTCCCGTGCTTGGCCCCATGGGGAAGTAACGTGGGGGGCCAATCGGGCTCTCGGAGACTCGATCTAGCTTCTCCGGTTGCTTGGAGAACTAGATAATTGAACCGAAACCTATCAGCTATTTATGCTCCACGATGGAAGAGACGGGTAGGGATTCGTCGTCTTTGGGCAGAAGTGAGATAAGTACACACTTGTGCCGAGGAACAGGCCCTGTGGCTCGGAAGATTGTCGGACAGCACCGAGCTAGGTTCTCAAGCTCTACTAGTACGACTGAATCAACCGATGTGTGACTGAACCTGCAGTATGATGGGCAAGGCAGACTTCTGACTATCAAAATGTCGTCACAAGCGGCACAGGTGGTGATATGACCTTGGCCCCCACGGTTGCGCGACCGCGTCGCGTTTTCCTACTCTCCTTGCTCTCGCACTCACCCTAACTCACCCTGGGCGCTTAATTTCGACTCATGTTTACCAACCAAGCACCCTGTAATCCAGCACTTGACGGTTATATATATAGAATTACCAGGGGCCAGGGATACCCTAATGCAGACAAAGCGAGACGCTGTCCGGTAGAAAAAGAAAAGAAAGCGGAATATACCCCCCCACCCCCAGTCCCTTTGCTTCGAGCGTTAGCCTATGCCTTGAGGGTTGCTACCATAATTATCTATCTGAATATACATCACCTGCCACTTGATAGACCACTGTTAGCTATTGGTGATAGCGCCGCTTATAGCTCGTTTTACTTGGATAACCAATAGGCAAGTAACTGTGATGAGAGGGATACGCCAACTCTTGCGCCTCAAGTCTAGTCCTGGCAAATGATCGATTGTAAATAAGCGCCTACTTATCAAGTGTTCGCAAGTTGCTACTACACTGGGTTACAGGGTTATGAGAAGAATGCGACCTGTCGCAGATACTATACTTGCCTTTCGAATATAGAGATAATTATGCATATTCATGTTCCATATAACCCATGTTGCATTTCTCATACACAATTAGATAGGTTAACTTGCCGCTGTTCTAAAGATTAGAGGATGTTTAGGATGTTTCAGCTATACCCGGATAAAATACTATCTATCCAGTGTTGCTATTGCAGTACACTAATGCAATATTAGCTGTAGAGGTATTTCTTTCGTGACTATTCTAAGTAGCTACGCGCTAAGTTGATTTACAGTCAAACCACTAAGCTTCCTCGGAATGGTTTTAACTAGGATCGATAAAACAACTTCTAATGCAAGACTTTCACGCTTTTATCCTATTAGGTATCCCAGCGCTAATGAACAGAAATAGGAACGAGATTGGCCGTATTTTGTTGATCACTCATACCCATTTTCATCCATACTAATTGGCTCCAAGCTGTTATAAGTTGTTTCCTTATTAATGATATATATAGTAAAGGAGAGGATATATAAAGGAAGTCTTTCTCCCCAAATATTATTACAGCTTTAGATCACTTTTACCTAATATCCTCTGATCTATTTACTTGATCTATTTGCTTGACCAAAAATCTTTTCTTCTTTCTATTCAAAAATGAACAAGTCACAATCATCTTCCCCTGCTCAGCCACCAATGGGTCCTAAAGAACGAGCTCTTGCGATCAAGAAAGCCCAGGAGGAAGCCTTGGCCCAACTGCCAGTGGATACACTCTACGTTATCCTTTATATACGATCAGATCCTCCTCAACCAAACGATTTCCACTGGGGTTACTACTTCCACACAAGTCCCCAGGGAGGCGTGAAACATCATATAACAAACATAGGTGGCGGATGGATATCGGATCACGGACGGACTCGTGGCGTATTTAAGTCCAACTTTCTGTGCACTCTGGTTAGGATCGCAACCGTTCCAAAAGCAAACCACAGTCGACTGGATCAAATCATGAAATCTCGTGATGGAGATCTCAATGCAATTCCCGGTGTGACTTGCCGGGTCTGGTTGATGACTATCTTGCAAACACTGATTCAGCATGGGATCGTCCGTTGCAGTGACGTCGATGCACTGCAGCAGGAGTGCATGGAGTTTGGAAACAGATACAGCCTTGGGGCTGCAAACAATGACCAGCCGCGGCCGGTCGTTGAATCAAGGCTCTGTGTTTAAATATGGAACATAGCTAAAGCTCACTGTGGGGAAGAGAGGAATTGTTTAGATCTCTTGTGCTTGTTGTTCATTATCTTTGGTTATAACCGGACATGTCTTATTCCCCCGAACTCCTTGAACTGTACTTACTCTGTCCTTGAAGGTCAATGTAGTATGCAAGATTATATCTATCTGTGACTGTTACTCGGGATTTCTTCTGCTACGTTATGAATAAAATCTAACTTGTATATCCCGTATAATGATAGTCCTCATCTACCTTTTTCTAGTCTGAGTTATTATACTTTAGCTTGGACCTGGAGACAGTTACTGTCTATACTCCTATATGAACTATGAAAAGGGTAGATATTAATAGCATCACAAATATCTTATTATAAAGCTATATAAGAATCAACGGTCAATAGGTTTAAAGCGATGTCGCTTTGTAACTCATCGAGGTACTGATTTCCACCCATCCAAGAGGCCACTTGGAACCACCAGCTATTTCTTCCAAACCGCATCGCCGTTGTGAATTCCCAATATTCAGGATACCAGCCTGCCGATTCCCAATCAAGGAATCCAGACAGGTGTCCATCATCGCCAACAAGAATGTTGTGAGCTTTGAAATCTCCATGAGTAAACACTATCCGATAGTGGCGTTCTTGTAGCTTCTTTGCGCGTAAAAGGGCGTCTTCATATTCTGCGACGGATTTAAACCCATGTGCTGAAGCAGGAGATAAGAGATATCTGTGAAATTCCTCCTGGTCTGCAAAAGGACCCATAACGTGATGAGGAACGCGTGAGCTTCGAATTTTGGTTCCAATAGGAGAGCAAATGATCTCTTGGCTAGGAGGATGCCATAGACGCATGGATTGAACGCATATTTTCAATTCTTCCAGCCAGGGTTCTTCAGCATCAGGTTGCAACTCGTCCATTGAATTCTCGAGGGGAACACCCGGCAGTCTCGTCATTAGGATTGAAAAAAACGCATTGAATGGATCATTTGGGTGTTCGCCGCAGCTTATGAGTCTGGGAACAGGCATTCCAGCAGCTCTTGCCATTTGCATGGAGATAGCTTCCTCGAGGCTCGTCCGATCTGTCCATTTCATAACAAGTCCAAACGGTAGTTGCACAATACTGGCATCAAAATGAATGCCAAACCAAGAACAGTACCATCGAGAAAAATGATATAGGGCTTTATGGACGATACCCCATAGTATTCTGACGGTTTTGCTTGGTACATGTGGTACAGGCGGTGTGGTCTGAAGGATTCTGGGCGGCATCGGCCGTGGCCAAGTGTAATCCGGTTGTAAAATTGACGGGATGAATGATTTGATCATTTTTTTTGTATAGGTCAAGATGGAGTGCAAGTGACGACAAACATACCAGGTTGGATGCCAAAGATTGAGTCTTGCAAACGTGTGTTGTACTGATCCTGGCTACGTGGCAGGAGAAGCTAGTTAGAGCTGAAGGCGGTGTTCTCTTGTGGGGCAGCTGTACTTACCGATAGGACTATCCCCTATTGGTCCTGGAACAGACCTCTGTCAGCGAGATATAGAATAATACAATTGACTTAACATATAAGACGTGACAAAGTGGAAACGGGAGTAGGGGTAGATAAGAGCATTTACTTGGCTTGAGAGGGCTGTACATGAGACATTCGGCATTCAAGCGCGTAGTACTTCCTAACTATATAGTCTAGGTTTTGCAAGATATGAAGGCAGGCGTCACTAGGTTCATTTATTTTCGAACGCCATGCACTTGAAACTATTCATTATATAGCTTTAACTTCTAGGTTTCCCACATCAGAATATTCAAGCTCATCAGTGAATAAACAATTTCAACAAGCACATACGACCATAGGGTGTGGAAAATAGGGCTTCCCGTCCGCTCAGCCGTACTCAAGCCACACGCCGGCAGGTTAGTAGTTGGGTGGGTGACCACCAGCGAATCCCTGCTGTTGTATGTTTTTTTGTCTTTGCTTTTCATTCAACATCTGTTCCTATGTCAGTTTGACAAGTCGCGTAGAGTAGAAATCGAGCCGGCATGTTGATTGATGTAGGCTATTGTTTTGAAGTATTGCAGCGCAGTACACGTCGATGTTTCATTTATGGTTTCATTGGGTCTTGTTCGACTTTTGACTGAAACCGCAAGACATGCCTAATAGGCCCATATTTTCAATAGATAGTGTCTAGAGGAAGTGAAAGTGTCAAATGGGGCCGTGTCCCCGGTATATCAGGGTCAACCATGTAATGGCATACTGTCCTTCGAGATCAGATAGTATGTTTTCCCCAGCTCAGAATCCCGAGAATGCATGTGACATGAGGCACGAACGATGGAATATCATCACTGTATACTGCTATATACGAAGGCTGGTTCGTTCCCACTTGGAAGTTTATCATGGCCTAAAAAAAGGGCCATGGCGCTTCCACAGATGCTGCAGCTCAGGCAAGTTGAACTCTAAAGGTTAGCTCCAGCAGTAGCTGATATATTGCAAACATAGGATTGCCTGTTTTGAAGGCTTCTTCTCTTCTGTCGTCGTAGATTGATACGCCCCGACCTTTTGATGTTGATATCGAACTCGGAAAAGATCAGTCACTAATATGATTAACTGTTCTATTTTCATATGGGCCTTGTGCTGAAAGGCCATAAAAGAAACCATGTGGTACTAAAACCCCCAGAAGCTTCAATATAAAGAACGTTCTAGCCAGTTATATAAAAACCCTTTAGACTACAAGCACAGGGAAGCCAGTAATCCTAATTTAATCTATATCTTGGCTATAGAGCTAGCGGTGAACGGGCCCGTTTTATCATCTGAGGTATCCTATTTCTCGGACTAACTTGCTGATAAATAGAAGTTCAATTCTTTACTCTCTACCCGGGAGAAAGGAATTGAAATCTTTCACTCATTACTCTTTAAATCCGTCATTATGGTTCATGGCTTGTTCGCCGTATCTCCTGAATGATTTTTTGAATAGCATAGGCTGAAATTGATCTTTGACCGGACAAAGTCTCTGTCAAATGTTCTGCCACAAGGCCAGCTACATCTTGGTAACAGTAGATTATATTCGCATTACCGTAGCTTTAACATCTAGGTTCCCACATCAGTCAGAGGCCCCTTTATCAATGAATAAATAATTCTCGTTAAGAATATACGACCATAGGGTGTGGAAAATGGCTTCCCATCCGATCAGCCGTACTTAAGCCACATATTCCGCACAGTTAATTGTTGAGAAGCCCTATACAACTTTGAAGTCTCTAAAGTGATGGTAAGAGGACTCTCAAAGTGAGCATATCCGTCGTCGGAATTGACCTCATTGCGGTTTTATCCGAGCGCTGCCAGTCCATTGCATAATCGTATACTTTCACGATTTTCCTCTGCCCGAGCCGACGAACACGGCCTACGGCCTGTTGTACATACCGGTCTAAGGTAGGAATATCCCACAAGTGCATATTCCGGCAAAGACTTTGCAAGTTCGAACCAGCAGAGTTCACGTAAAACGAACAAATAAGAACATAATAGGAGTTACGCTGGGTGCAGAACTTCTGGACCAATATCTCCCTCTCAAAATGATCTAATTCGGCATGGAAGATGTGAGCATCAATCCCACAGAGGTGAAGTGCGGCTCCGATGAAAAACTGTTGCGCAGGATTAATGCACCACACAACACTCTTCATGTTGTTTTTGTCATATAGTCTCCGATTCCCTTGGTGATCCTTAATAGAATCGCTCCGTAAGATTAGACATATAGAAAATAAGCAAATTATCAACGCGGAAATTCCACATATCGGCGACATTCCTTCCAGCAAGAATGAGCTGGCCTCATCTGCGTGGTTGTGTTTGCTGCCTGCTGCTGCCCATTCTGACCAGGATTCTGGAACGTGCTTCCGCTTCTTATTGAGTGCTATTTGGACTGGTCCTGGTTTGCGTTCACGAAGACAAATATTGCGTGCAGCAGGTACCTTGGAATTTTTTTAATCGTTTGCACAGCAAAAAAAGGAGGCTGTTGTTGTGTGTTTTGATGTGCTGTAGGTAGGTGTGTTAATTGGCAAGGCGCTGTACCTTGGCCGCGAGCTCCTCTTTCTCCGAACTGCATAGCTCAATTGTTTCCAACGAAGACCCTTCGCCGCACATCATCTGTATATAAGGCATCGCCGATTATAGAAGATTGTAAGGCTGTCAACGACCGCCTTGACCCCAGAGGCCGGAAAAGGTTCTCATAAGATGACCAGAGGATCCATTCTCGCTACCAAGAAGATAGAACTCTCACTCGGGAGTTGCCAAGGTACCTGAGCTGTTGGGAACTTCCTGTTTGTCATGGCTCGGAGGGCCCCATGACCATAGTCGTTCAGCATAGATAGCTCGCACCTCCTCCAAACAACGACCAACCCGCTCAGCCTGGCGGCCGCAAGAACGACTCGCAGCGAATCTCCCCTCAAGGCGCGCAGTCGCACGCACAAGGCGCTCTGCGGCCGGAATAGCAGCGTCCGGAAGCTAGGCAAATTTATTAGTGACTACGACGCTTAGGAACGGAAGAGAAACTTACGTTAAAGCAGTCGTGGCGACTGCGCGAACTTCCTGCGGCGCAATCACAATTTATGGGCGATATTACGGAAGTACATAAGATTGGCGCAATGCTCCATTCATTGAGGTCCCAGTATTTCGGCCTTCTTATCTGATATGCAGTAGTTAGACAGAGTTTCCCAAAACTGCTCCTGTTATGTCTTGCTCTTCTGGCCTAGGGAAAGAAGGTAGATATGCGCTATCTCTATGCGCTCTGTGAAGCCGGTGATCAGGCAAGTAGAGTCGCCTCGTTTTCGCACTAAGATAGATTAGTAGATAGTTCGGACATGTTATGAATAGTTTAAACTCACTAGCTTTCTGGCAGATTTATTGAGAGCGGTACTAGTTTTAATTGATGTTATGCTGGGCTTGATTAAAGAAGTGGCCGCCTTCTGGGGGGTTGGGGAGTTGATAGACAGAAGCCAGTACGGCCTACGAGACTTTTCAACGTTTTTCCTGGATCCTCAAATCAGGAAATGCCGGCCAGTTGCAATTATGTATGCTTGATAAAGAGAGTCTTCAAAATATGTAGACAGAGTAGATAAAGATCCAAAGAGGCCATGTGTGTATGTCAGAATCCAGACCTCTGTATGAAGCCGAGCTGTACCTGCGATGGCAGCGCTATCCGAAACAACGGATATCGCAGGCTGAAGGTGCCTGATGCTTTAATTATTTAGCAAGTTCGGGCTATTTATCCCTACGGGTGGAGCTTGCTGAGGAAAAGGTGCGGGGGTACTCCATCAGGAACCACCTGGCTATTCAGGGAATGTCCGGGGTGAATGGTTCACGGTGATGGCTTGAAGTTGTGAAGTTGTGCGGTGGCTTCATCAAGTGTCTTATCTTCACAGTCCTGGGGAGACCGGAGAGGTGTATCATGAACCCAGGTGATAGGAGCTTTAATTACCAGATATTCAGGCCTATAGGAACTATATATCCTGCCTAAATGCACCCTACAGGGAACACTAGAAATACACGAATTCCTTAGTCTACTCACTTGGAATATCACCCACCCAGGCATATACGATGGAGCCCAGGAGCGTTTCCAGTATATAAGGTCTCCGCCTAATTACCGCATCATATGTGGTAAACTGTCTAGGCCGAAAGATGTAACATCAAAGAATGTTTCTGTAATAGTTTCATTTGGACTTGGAGGAATATATGTCGGTCCAATCAGCCAGTGGACTATATACCGGTTAACCGGAACCCTCAAGGAAGTTAAACAGGGTTATGCACGAGCAGGTGTGCGTACGCCTCTCATCTGCCTTCCATAATTTTCTAGATGCAGACCGGGCATGAAGTATCTTTTCTCTGATATTCGTCAGATTTTTTACTGGAAGTCGACTCGACTAAACATTAAGGATTTTGTTTATTCTGTTCTTTCTTATACAATTTTAAACATGACCTATTCTGTAATATAAATAAGTATAAACATATTTCTAAATACAACAATGTAGTATTATTGGAGGTTTATTGTTCGACATTGCAAATTATCCCATACACATTTACTATTCTAATATATGTCAGCGCATAAAGTCCGTGCAGGTGATCTGTCATATTATCTGTTCGCAGTAATTCCTTTGGGCGTCTAAATATAGAACTAAACAATCTAGATCTGCTAATCCCCCTTAGTGTGTGGTAAAGCGTTTAGACCGAATGATGTGACATCGAAAGATGTTGGCGTGATTGTCATATTTGACCTCGGCTGTGTAGGCCCGATACCAGAGAGCCCTACCAGGGATCTATATAGCAGTTCGCATCAATACTCGAAGGATTTACAAGAGCTTGTACTGACAGGTGCATGGTGCTGCGATCGAAGAACAGATCATCTTGATTGGGGCTGCTATAACGCCACCCTCGAACACGCATATGTCTATAGATTCAGAGTTAGCAGGTATAACTGGACTGGGTTATAAGAGCTACCTACTCGAGTGTAGCCGTAAGTTGGTGCTGCATAGCAATAATCTCGCTTTCAGTGAACTTCTTGTAGGAAGTCACCGCTTTTCCAGGGACCTTTGACATCGCAATAACGTGTAAGTATCCCCCAGGAAAGAAACCACTAGCCCCCTGAACAAGCTCCTCTTGACTATAGAAGTGTGGCGTCCTGTGTTCTATCGACTGGCACTCTCTAAGGAGCCGCGCTTCCTCCCTAAACCAGTTTGTAGCCATCCATAGCCTTCCAGCCCGATCTCTCTCCGGAATTGACTCTGGATCTAGTCTGAAAAGATGCAACTATTTAGCGCAAGATATGCCAAAGAGCGCAGCACTTCTCTAGGCTGCATAACTGAAGCCACATCTATTCTGAATGTGATGCTGTACATATTGAAAGTAGGCGGACTCCAGAGTAATTCTAGATACATAGACAAAGAAAGAAGTAACTTACTGGATTCGTAGCTTAAGAACGACAGTTTCATGATCAGTGAGTCTTGTACTTTCGAATACCGCTACCAGTTGTGCGAGGTCTTGGTCGTAGCCCTCAGAGATGGCTCTTCCAAGCAAGTAATCACTGCCTTGGACACGTATTGTCATGCCCTTGAACAGCCTTGCAATGACTCCAGGTGGAAACCCGGAATTCATGTTGGTGACACTGGATACTCGTAGCGATGGTAAGTGTGTAGGGTTGATGAGAGTAGCAATAGAAAGTAGAGAGAGGTAGAGATATGAGGAGCCGACAAAATTATTCGGACGGCCTCCCAAGAATGGGTACAATACCTACTTACATCACCACATCTATTCACCGCCAACCTTTTTACGGCGGACGCCTGATAATGCATATTGCATAATTATATATGTTTAACTGTACCTAATTGGGAGTTTATAGTCATCGAAAAAAAAAAAAAAAAGAAAAGAAAAGAAAAGAACATTAGTGTTCCATGCTCTAATAAGTAGTACATACTTGCTGCTGTCTAGCAACCTGTCATCTTAACCTCAACCGCGATAAGTCTTACTGTTACTATCTTCTAGAATAACATGCGAAAACATGCTCTAACTATGGCTCTCTTTCTGGGTATATCGCGAGAGATATAAATATGAGAACAGGATTCCAACGTGTATGTTTCGGTCTGCCAGACCTCTGTATGAATCACCTGATAAGCAGCTTCACCTACTGAACCAATCGAATATTGTGTTGAAGATCCAGGTAGACCAACTAAGAGTTCAACTTTTTGGTCGACTGGTAGAAAACCATCATATGATTATTGATGTGAGTTTCTTATCGTCAAAAGCAAGAGAGAGGTTGGTATATTTTGTTAGATCCATGATCACGTATGCGGGACATTATATGGCCACCCGTGCTTATAACAACATTTCTTCTTAGGGCGAAGGGGATGAATCCATCTGCAACCATGCTTGTCAACAACTCACTCGCAAACATGGTGGTTGCATCGTGGACTGGTCTCGCCATCCCACGTGTAGTAAGTTATTAGAGATCCAGGCAGACCAACTAGGAGTTCTCCTTTTTGGTCGACTGGCGAAAGCCATCATAAGTATATGTGATTCTCTGTCATAGAAAAGAACACGGTTCTGAGCGTTTGCGCCTCGAAGAAGATTTCGGACTGCCGGAGCATGGAGGACAATCTCAGGAATGTGAAATTTTAGATCAGGACTGATCTCGAGATTGAAGTACCTTCAACTCAACACCTTCAGAGCTTCTTCTAAACTATCGATGGACAATGAGGTATTCATTATTCCTGAGACGACAGGTGCCACAACAGAGGAAGAAAGTGAGGGAGAAGACATTTTGGGGAATATATGTGAAGCTATTATGGGAAGCTGCCACTGTCATCCAGGAAGAAGGTGAAGGCAACTTGATACGGAACCCACCGAGTACTTAAGTACGGAGTAACTAAGCAGTCCTCCAGAGCTAGTTACTTAGGGCGGTGTAGGAATGTCGTCCTCCAGGAGCGGAGTTTCGATCTTAGACATCACGCTATCTCTCTCTTTCCTCTATTTCCCCCTTTCTAAGCGTGATAGCTGCACCGCAAAACTATGAAATTCGATCATGTCGTGGAAAAGCAACAAGAACGAAAATTCACCGCTTGGTTGAAACTGCTCTTGAATAAGTCCCCTGAGATCCTATCCATACAGCATGCCACAAAGCATCGGCCTGGGGAACTAAAGTCTGCTTGTCTCTGGAGGAACAGTGCTTTCAATATCTGCTATCTGGTCAGATATGAAGATGGCTTACATACCATTGTCCGCTTTGCTGCTCTTAAAAAAGCTATACTTTATTGCAAAAAAGTTGAAAATAAAGTTGCAACCATGAAGTACCTTCGCTATATAATATTGATACCTATCCCCAAATATTTAGTTCTGGCATCTCTGTGGTTAATCCTTATATTATTATGTCGTTCCTTGAAGGAGAATTATTATCTCAGCTTCTAAAAGATTGTTCTGCAGAAGGACGGCCAGTCCTGAGCCTATAATTGAGCGATTGAAGTCTAAGGCGAGCTTATTGCGAAATGGCCGCAATTATGTTAAAACTGTTAAGGCTTGAATTTAATGCGATCGGCACCCTAACTGAGTATAAGGGGCGTTTTATCGTTGGAAGGCGACCACTTACCTTTAATATGAATGAGTTGATGGCATCGGCAAATATGCCCGAGGAAGCTTTCCCTTCGCATACCTTCAAGTCAGCCATGGACTATATCAAATCGCTTACTTTACAACAGTTAACTCATCTTCAGTTTTAACAAAATGATATTGTTCAGGACCAGGAGGATTGCAGGAGGAAATTTACAGCTCGCCTTTTATTTCTTAATATTGCGAGGAGGATTTTTAGCGAGAACTGCCAAGGGCCATTTCGGCTTTATTATGATGATTTCTGCCCTTCAAATATCCTTATTAATATTAAGAACCATAGTATCTCTGGAGTCATTAATTGGGAATTCACACATGTTGCACCTGCTGAATTTGTATACACAGCACCCTGGTGGCTCTTATTGCAAAGTCCCGAGGATTGAGAATTGGATCTCCATCAGTTATGGAAACTCCGTATATTTCTGGATGCACTACATGATTGCGAAGATGAATCAATAGAACGACAATACCTGTCCGAATCACAGCGCCTTTCTCCGCCAATGGAGCGTTCTATGGATACTGGATTGTTCTGGGTGTGCTTGGCCGTGAGGTATAGCTCCATGTTCAATGATATATTTGGACATTTATCGATCGGCGTTACTATGGGCCTTTTACCTCGCTTGAAGACCGTATCTGGGATTTGAACCAAACGCAGCAACATGAAATCGACGACTTTGTCAAGTTGAAGACGCTCAAATCAAACGAGGGTGGCGAAGAGAATTTCAGGGATTCATTTCCCATCGATAAATTGTATGATTTATGATTGTCTTTCTAACTAATCTGAACGGGGCTGCGGAGATTTCAGAGAAATGTTCCAAGATTGGACTAATAATGTATATTCGGGACATTTTATGGTTGATATATTTAGGATATGAAAATCTGCATGATTTGCATTAGTAAATCGTGATAAATAACCTATTAATTTAGGTACCATTAAACCAAGGATCATCTAAAATTTCCTTCGCTGACGCCCTGGTAGACGGCTCAAACCGCAGCAATTTTCCAATAATTTGCGCCAGCTTAGCTATATCTTCCTTCGTCAAATCTTCCTTCCGTTCACCGTCAAAATACATGTCTTCTAACCACTGTTGCAACGAGGGTCCTGATTCTTTGGTGGCAGCTTTATCATCCATTGTCTTCCATGCCTCTTGCCATCTCTCAGGTAGAGCATCGCTTGCCATTTCTCGCATTTGACCGACGAGTATCGTGGGTGTTATTAAGAAGCTATCAAAGGGCTGTTGGCCAACAAAAAGCTCAAAGAGCTGACATACCAATTAGTATCGTTCTAGATTACTTCTATCTTCTACCAATCGTACTCACCATACATCCCATGCTCCACAGATCCACACGATAATCCAAACGGTCTCCAAAAATAACCTCAGGTGCTCGGACCGGTAGTGGGGTGTGAAGAGTCTGAGGGATAGTCGTGTGCAAAAATGATTCACCGAAGTCAACAATCTTGATTGAACTCGACGACGGCCAAGGAAATGTCCGGTATGAGGCAGGCCTGACGATGTACTCTGGTATGTTAGGCTCTAGAGCTTTTCCATCGCCCCTTTCGACATAGCCGATCTCTGGAGTTCCTAGGAGTTCAATAAATTCCTCCTCAGATATGTCCATACAAGGCATGGCAAAAGCTAGATTGCGAGTATGAAAGTCTGCATTAGATAACAATTATCAGATATGGACGCCAAGAGATAAATATGCAAGCGTGATTTACCTCCGTGTCCAATATTCTGCTGGTGCAAAATGTCAAGTCCAAAAAGCGCTTGTTTTGCAATGGCCTTTGCAAGCTGCGCTGGAAGCCTGCCATCAGGAAAGCGCGCATCAATCATATCAGGGATATTTGGTCCTAGGAGCTCGAAAACGAGGCACTTATGGGTCCCGTTCGGACCCTCTAAGTTAAAATCATCAAGCATGCGTATGAAGTGTTGAGGGCTTGGGTGTATAGATGCCAACTTCTTCATGACGTCGAGTTCTCGATTTATCTCACTATCCGTTCTTTCAGAAATGGACACCTTGATAGCAACATACGTTTCTTCTCTGGAAACAAGTTAGTCCTGTCTAGCTCGAAGTGAAGTCAGCAACTGCAATTTGTACAACCTGAGATCTCTTGCAGCCCAAACTGTCGAGTAGCCTCCCCACCCTAATTTGTGCAGTATCTTGTATCTCTTGTTATCCAAAAAACTTCCTAACGTCATGGGATGGTAGCCGCCTTTTTGGTAGCGGTGAAGAGGCTCTGCGTCAATAGTTGAGGTATATGGGAAATCATCCATCCGACGCAACGTCGAATAGGTTGCGTTGGAAATGATGGACAGCCGCGGTATGCCCCAGGAGGCAATAACAGATCTTGAGATCATGCGGCGAGTTATGCTGCAAGCATGATATTTGTACTCAAATGTATACATAGACTGTAGTCTTTTCGAGCTTCGCAATGATCTCACACTTGGTTTGAATTAATGGTGATGAGCGGCAACATGTCACGACGTAGTCCAATTACGTGTTTGAGGATGAGCCCAACAGAAATTCCCCTGCAGTGACTCCTTGGAGTGGAACAATATAGTTACCTCATTCTTCTCAGGATACGTCCCACTTTCGTCTTCTACAAGAATAGCTTCTTGTTTTGAACGATAAAAGAGATCCGGTGCCCCCCATCACACTGTTTACTACATATGGATTGTGGGGCTCAGCCGGTCGTATGGGAAGCCAGAAATTACTTCTCGTTTGACGGCGGGGTCGAATAAGCGCGTAGGTGGAGGAAATTAAATATAATCACTCATTAAGGGTAGTCTAGCTTCACGTTTTAATTGCCATTTATTATTACTGCCGATTCATGTGCTTGTTCTGTCGTTGACAGCAAACTCGGAAATATTGTTTTTCCGTCAGGATAAAGCCGCCGTTTCTGGAGTGGTAAACACTTCTCCTGAATCCTGACACATTTCTTGGTTTGATCTATGTGACTCCCAGAAATTGAATTCTCGATAAGATGCGAATACGGAACTTCCATAGTGCTTTACAAACTCGGTTTCTATGTCTCCGCAGGAATGGGCCTCGATCGACGAGAGGTGTGGCTGGATCCGTCCATACGCCGATTAGATATCCCGCCGATGAACTGTTCGGATATACATCCGGGAGATGGATGTACGTATTTGATTCTATCAGGAGATTCTCTTCAACCTGATGGTCTATTAGTTACAATGAGCATTTACGATTATCAGAGCGCTACCTCAAGTTTGACGTAGTCGCCCTGAAGAAGGCTATTGCCGTTGCATGTGGCGGCATTTCATCCGACATCGCTACCTTCTCAAAGTTATCGGAAGGCGGATTCAACCGTTTGTTCCAGGCGACTTTCAAAGATGGCAGGTGTGTCATTGCGAGGTTGCCGTATCCGTCTACGGTACCTGAGCACTACACTGTGGCTAGCGAGGTAGCCACTCTGGACTATCTACGGTTACATGGGATTTGCACACCTGAGGTGTACGCATGGTGTTCGACAAAAACAAGCCCTGTTGGCTCTGAGTACATTATTATGGAGAAGTTGGGCGGTACCCCTCTCGGCGATACGTGGTATTCGATGACACCAAAAGAGCAGCACAAAATCATGAAACAAATTGTCGAGTGGGAGGCGCGATTGATGTCGTTAGAGTTTCCCGCGTATGGAAGTCTATACTATCGCAGAGACCTTCCGTCAGAGAGAAATGTTCCTCTACCAAGTCAGGAGGATGTTGAATTCTGTGTAGGACCAATAGCACACTATAGTTGGTGGCATGATGAAAGAAGCACACTGAATATTGGCCGAGGACCGTGTACGTGGATCTCTCATCTTTCATGAACGTCATTTGTTAATTATCAGCAGGGCTGTCATCTACTGATATATTTCAGGCTGTTGGTGAGCGGGAATTATGTTGGACGAAAAATTACGCGAAACCTCGACTTCCCTATGAACGCCTCTACAGGGAAATATATCACTTTTCCAAGGTCTCGCCTGATACCCACATGAGAAATCTGTCTGATTACCTAAAATTGGTACCTTTCCTTGGATTTGGGGCTGGAACGGCGCTGCATCGGCCGGTCATGCGACATCCTGATTTCCAGCCAAACAATATTCTTGTGTCAGATTCAAATGAAATACTTGGATTGATTGATTGGCAACATTCCTCTATTCTTCCTCTGGGTCTCGCAGCTGGGATACCAAAATACTTTCAGAACTACGGTGACCCTGAATCAGAAGAGCTTAGAAAACCCCAGCTAGATCTTCCGCCAAACTTTGAGTCACTATCCCACTCTGAGCAAGCATCGATACGTGAGACGCTCCGAAAAAGATTGGTTCATTTTCTTTATGCTGCTTTCACTGGACGGCTGAACGAAGAACATTATGATGCAATATTTGACAACTCCGTTATATTACGTCAACGGCTCTTTAAGAGCGCGGGCACCCCATGGGAAGGTGACTCAGTTACTCTGCGGGCTGATATAATTCGTGCCATACGAAGCTGGCAGAATTTGCTCTCAGCTGACTCTGCGGTGCATGGCGAAGGAGACCCTCCTCTGTCTCCTGTGCAGTACTCGGAAAGGACTATTCAAGACACTCTTTATCTTGACACGCAACAAAAAGAAGCTGACATTGCAATGGAGCAAATGCGGGATGCTTTAGGCGTCGACGAATTGGGATGGGTCCCGAATAGTGAGTACGAAGCTGCGAAAGAATTGGCGCAAGAAATCAAAAGCAAAATGCTCGAAGTATCCGAGACTGCTGACGATGTAACTGGGGTCCGCGAGCACTTTCCGTTTGATGATTTTGATGAGAAGAACTGAAAATCAATCTTGTACGATAACTGCAGTATTCTGCACATCATATATGACACTACTTGACCAAACTTTGTGACAGCTAGCCAGCATAGTCTTTCCCCCCGACAACCTATTTTCCACACCCGATGGTCATATGTGGCAATTCTTCATTCGAAAGAAACTACATAGTGAGAATAAAGATATGGAAGAGTATGATCCCGCGGATCGTCCAATTTCCAAGCTAATTTCGAATCTAGATCCCGCCGGCTAAACATAGCTTAGCCCGATGTAACTATATTATTATCTCTCACCAATGATATCTCCGTTCCATCACACATGCGACAGGGTGTACATATCTCGCAAAGAGATCCGACTTTTCTCCCCACAAGAGGCCCTTAACGATTCTTCGATTAATTCTTTTCGATGGACTAAACATAAATAGCACACCGGATGGCACTCCGTCGTCCTTAGCTCTGCTTGTCTCTATCGCAATTCGCTCGCGTGAGAGAAGCTCAGTGGAATTCGGTTCCATCCGACAATGACGCGGACTTCAGATTATTGCTGAAATCAATTTTGTGGTAGCAGCCACAGCTATATAGACATCTAGGAGTTCCCGGAGCGCGCTTATGTTGCAGGGTGTTCCTTCTCCTTCCAGGGCGCCTTGACTTCGGACTGAAGTTCTGCACCCGGATTGATTGACGACCACGCGTGCATTGCAGGGATCTCCGTCGGGCACGGCGAAAGGAATTGTACAGAGGGTATTACTATTTTTATTTTTATTCTTATTTTTCGCTGGGAATACTTAGTTGTTTTCCCGGCATGCAGCTCCCTCTTCTCAGCGGCCTCTTGGCTGTGGGATTCGTGCCTTCACCCACTGCAGCCGCTTCATCCATCCCCGGGCAGTCGTCCTTCGTGGCGCCTGAAGGCTTTCCAACTACCGCGTTCTCGTATGTATTTCCACCGGCTATGGTCTCATGTTTGTGTATTAACTTGTTAATACTGATGTGCCGGATAAATATAGCTCATACTATATTCTCCCCGCATCTCCAACTCAGGAACCGCAGCCGATAATATCGGACCCGGTATTGCACACGGTCTACCCATTCGAATTAACAGACCCCACCAACTTTCCCACCGTCAATTCGGATCCCGTGGCATATCCCCCAGCAAGGAAGACTCTATCCCATGCGCAAGCCAAGGACCTTATCAGGGAAACCATTGCTAATGTGACCGAAGTGATCAAGTCCAATAGCTCGCTGAGTAGTTGTCAAAGATGCCAGGCTGCTTTGGCTGCCGCCCAACCAGCGGCCTGGTATGCACCATCTTTCGTCCCCGGCGCCATGGTATCGCTGTGTGAAAGCTTCCACTTTGCCTCTAATTCATCGTGTCAGTCGTCGTATAATGCGACCAATTTTGGCGCAATCTGGACCCAGGTCCTGTATTACGCAAATGTCACTGGGCTCGATGGAGAGTACATCTGCCATGCGATCAACTCGAGCTACTGCAGTCGTCCATCGACGAGCCCTCTGAACACAGAGAATCTTTTCCCCAAACCAAAGCCGGCCAATGCTACGGCTCGCGTCCCCAAGGCCAGCGGGGAGCGCGTCAAAGTTTTGCATATGTCTGACCTACACCTGGATGCACGATATTCAGTGGGTGCTGAAGCCAACTGCTCATCCAGTCTATGCTGTCGGGCCAATAACCCGAACACTGCATCGCCTGACCAGGTCCTCCTGTCAGCATCCCCCTATGGCGAGTTTAAGTGCGATAGTCCTTACGATCTAGCGCTTGCGGTTCTGCAGGCCGTCGGTCCTCTAACTGGGACTGGAAAGGGAAGGGGGCAAGAGTCGCTGGGGTGGACCCTATATACGGGAGACCTGGTCTCTCATGACCCTGAGCCAGAGCTCTCGCAAGCATACGTCGAATACACCGAGACTAGCGTTTTTGAGATGTTCAAGCTGTACCTCACTGGGCCCGTCTTCGCAGCCTTGGGAAACCATGACACCAGCCCAGCCAATATGGACGCTCCGCATAAATTGGGAGGCACAGTTGGAGCGGAGCTCAGTTGGAATTATGATCACGTTGCTGGACTGTGGCAGCATGAGGGATGGATTGATGCGGAGACCGCCCGTACTGCTGCCACGCACTACGGTGCATACTCAATCAAGAACCACTATGGTCTTCGCATTATCACCCTTAACACTGGTAAGTTCACTAAAAACGCATATCTTGTGATAGGGCGGGAAAGTCAGAAGAGGACAAAGCTGACACACTGCTAGATTTCTGGTATTCGAGCAATTATCTCAATTTCATCAACGCTGAAAACCCCGACAACTCGGGGATCCTGGCGTTTCTAATCGAGGAACTCCAGAAAGCAGAGGATGCCGGTGAGCGCGTCTGGATCATGGGTCACGTCCTGAGTGGCTGGGACGGCACCAACCCGATCCCCAACCCGACAAACCTCTTCTATCAGATTGTCGACCGATACTCGCCGCACGTGATTGCTAATATCTTCTTCGGCCACACCCATGAGGACCAGTTTATGATCTACTTTGCTAATAACGGAACCGTGCAAAGTGCCGACACTGCTCTGACCACCGGCTGGATCGGACCCAGTGTGACACCGCTGACGAACTTGAACAGCGGATTCCGACTGTATGAAGTGGACACGGGCGACTTCAACATATACGAGGCCTACACCTTTGTCTCCAATGTGTCTTCATTCTCATCACTGAACGGGACAGGCCCGACTTACAGCCTGGAATATTCAACACGCGAAACATACGGACCTGCTGTCTCATGGGGTGCCGACGAGCCTCTCAACGCAACGTTCTGGTTCCAAGTGACAGAGGCTATGGCGAAGAATATCAGTCTGGTCACTCTACAGAATACCTACCAGGGAAAATCCAGCACACAGAGTCCCAACTGCACCAACACTGCCTGTCAAGAAGCACGAATCTGCTACATGCGCAGTGGAAGCGTTGCATTGGGAAGTCAATGCCCACAAGGGTGAGTCTGAGCTTTTCTTTCTTTCTGTCTTTCTTTTTATTTTATTCCAGCAGAATGTTGGAATTCTGACCTCATAAACAGATACGGATCGGTCCAAAGCGCATTCACTTAAAGTAGATATGCGAATCGTGCTTTGTCCCTTTCAGGGAGGTAGATAGATAGAAAGTCTCCTAAATAGAATTCTACTTAGCTTTCTTTTTTGGAGAGGAGAAACCTTCTCTTTTCAATCCCGATCTTGCTATCCGTTCCAAGTATATGCTGTTTTCGGAAGTGAATTTAGACTATATTTAAGCTCGAGATAATAAACGTTAGGTCCTTAATTAGGTACGGGGTCCCAGACCAGACCAGACTAACTAGGTAGGTAGATAAGTTTGTCTCCAAGGTCCTCTGTCGCGAGCTAAGCTAGGGGCCAGACGGGCAAAGACATCCATGGATATCTTGGATCCTTTACCTTCAGGTATTGAATAGGAAATATTCGTTAAGTGCATTTAATTTTATCAGTCCTAAGAAGGAGAAGAAAGCAAGCTCGCGATCGAACTAGCGGGAAGTAAGAATACCTCAGACCGTTACCTCGCGCGCGCCTTGGGGGTCATTTTTCGGATCCTTATTGGTTTCATGGATGTTTAGCTTCATGTCCAAAAGAATGAAAGGACCAATTGAATTGGTGTTAGGTGATTATTACAATACTCTTTGTTATTTGGAGTCTTGCGTTCCTCGAAAGTATCGCATAACTTGTTATTATTGGATATTGCACAGTACTGTGTTCATTTGAAGTCTTTAGAAGTCTTGCTTATTGCTTTTTCTTTTTATTTTATTTTATTTTATTTTTTTTGGATAAGGGTTAAGACAACGCTGACGATTTCGATTTATATTCCGCAGTATCAAGCAGAGACAACGAATTTACTACTTTATTTTTAGTCTCTATCATGATGCCCAATAATCAAAGGAAGTAGTCATGAAAACCAAGAGAAGAGCAGACATCATCATCATCATCATCGCCATTATTACGCCTTATGATGTGGAGAAAGAAAATAAAATAATCCGTTAGGGCAGGGGACGGGGGATCACAGATTCGCCAGAGTGATCCGGTTTCCTTTCTCATCAAAGTCGATCTTCTTTCCAGTAATCAGGGATTCCTGCAGAGCGCATCCAATTCGAACGGCAGCCACTGCGCCTTCGAGCTTCATGGGAGGCGGGGTGTTGTCCAGGCAGGAGGCGGTGAATTCGTTGGCTTCGGTGATGAAAGCGTCGCGGAAGCGGCCGTAGTAATGGGGTGGGATCTCACGACGGATACCGGTGGGTTCGTAGATATTGACCAGGTTGGCCGCCGGTTGAGTGTTGACGGCGAGTTTGCCAGCCGTGCCGGTGATTTCGGTGGCTATTGAAAATCATGTTAATATCTCTGTTTGAAATATGATTGAAAGTAGGGAGTATTCAATAGGAAAATGACTCACAGTCCTCCTGGCCAGCAGCCATCATGCGGCTGCAGAAAAGCTGGGCAATCTTTCCATCGTGAAACTCCACGATCCCAAGAGCATTGTCGCGATCATTGTACTTCCTCAGTTCAGGAGACACGGCAGTGATACCAACGGCAGTAACAGACTTGACGACTGAGTCCTCACCGAAGAACCAGAGCGCCAGATCGATATCGTGAATGGAGCAGTCGACGAAGATACCACCAGAGAACTGGGCGTATTCGACAAAGAATCCGGACGGGTCCAGCTTGTCGCAGGTCTGGGAGCGGAAGACGCTGGGACGGCCGATCAGCCCGGACTGGAGCTTCTCAAAGGCATCGCGGTAGGAGGCGTCGAAGCGACGGGAGAAACCGCAGATGACCTTCTGGTTGGGACGAGTCTTGAGCGATTCGTGGTAGGCGTCGACCACTTTCTGGGACTGTACGATTGAGTTTCTTCGTTAGCATAACTACCTCTCATCACCACTACCCATAGGACATTATCTTCAGTTAGATCAAATCCAAGTATACCTCTTCAATGTTCGTACTCAGGGGCTTCTCGCACAGAACATGGAGTCCCTTGTTGATCGCCTTGATGGCCTGCTCTGCGTGCACGGAAGTGGCCGACGCGATGACAATCGCCTGCAGATCCTTCTCCTTCTCCAGCAGCTCATCGAAGTCGAGGTATGTTCGGGGATTTCCGAGATTGGTCTTCGCCCAGTCCAATTCATTCTGCACGGGCGACGTGACCGCTACCACTTCCGCGCGGGGAGTGTAGGAGTAGAAGTGGTTCGCGTGGCGGGAGCCCATGCGGCCCAAACCAGCGATAGCGACTTTGAGCTTGGTAGACATGGCGACGTGGTGGTTAGTGTGGGAATTCCCTGAGATTTTCAAGCAGCAACGACGTCTTCAAAGAACCGTTTACTTGGGAGAGATCCGCCAACAATGCACTTCGATGACAATCCAGCCCTTTTCAGACCAGCGAGACCATTACCTAGATATAGCGTCCCCTACAATCTCCGCGTACCTCGTCCATCTCTCGTGCTACACCAAATGGCCCGATTTGTTGACATTCGGAAAAGGAAATTCGAAGCTCAATCGCCGTGCGGCCCAAAGAGGAAAACCGGGGCGGGCGATAGGCCCACTGTTACTCCGCGCGGAGTTGCCCCGTGGGGAATGTCGGGCGGCGGCACTTGCCTGTCTTGGCAGCAACCGGGAAACTGCCTCCGATGGCCTTGCGGGACATCAACACATAACATACTAACTTAAGCAACGAGAGGAAGAGGGGAAGATACAGCCTTACTGCTGCTGGTGGCTGACCATGTGATGGATCCTGGTAAACAATTTCCGATCACCTATGGACTCCTGCTACAGTTCCTCCTCGAGTCAGGCCATAGCGGCAGCAATGATTTCCGGACGGGTCTGGAGTGTCTAGTTATCGTGCTGTCATCAGGAAGATAGATAAAAAAGCCTAGCAACTGGAATTGACTTGCTGCGTGATTCAATAAAGAGAGTAGACTCGCTATAACTCGACATCTTTTCTTTTCTTTTCGATCTGCAAGCAAAGATTGTGCCTTTTCCTGCATGCTGAATAGTCATTGAATCTCAAACCCAACCCCACGCCTCTTTCAACGCCTGGACGATCTTTGCGGTGGGATAAGCATGCTCTTCGTGCATCACGTCCAGAACGCCAAGTAATGCTGCTTGTGCCCTTTGGTCCTCAAAATACTCCCCGTACGTGGAAATGCCCATGAATGCCTCGATGAACACGGACGGCAACTGGCGGTTACTGAGTGCAATCCCACAGAGCCGCAACACGGTCTTTTGAAGCTCGAAGGTGAGCTCCCGCATGCTGGCGGCGTATCCATGACCCAATCGAGGTCGGGTGGGATTGTATACTGCCAGTAACAGTCGTGCCAGTTCTGCGTGCATCATTCCCGTGACATGGCAATCTTGCAGGTACCAGATCTCTGGGAAGATCTCCTCCGTCTCTATGTTCGGGGGCCGATAGAAAATGGGCGCAAAGGACTCTGGCAGTGCCAGTCTTAATTCTTCACCGTAGCGCTTTAGCTCCTGCCACTGTATCTCAGAGTGATGAGGTGTCCCTGCGTCGTTGGCTCCATAACAATACTGCAACACATCGGCACAGAAAATCACAAGACGATGAGCCCACATGGTGTCGTCAGCTGGGGAGAAACCACGAAAAGGTTCATAATGGAAGGGAGGGAACTTCAACGGACGGTGCTTCATGTACGATGTGAAGAGCTCCTGGCGGAGGGCAATCCGGATGACAGCTTGCCGCAGGCCTTGGACGTGAAGATCCTGGGCAGGGTGAGCATGGCCCATCCCCTCAAAAGCCTGCATGCCACTCGCGGTGTTGTTGTTGATCTGCTGCTCAAGGTAACCAGGTCGCGGCTGAGAAGTCGCTGTCACAGCTGGAACTTGTGCGTTGATGAAAATGTTCAACATCTGCAGAAACACCTCCTGGTCACCGTCGCCATCCCGCACCGGAGAATCCATCTCTTCGTCCGTCCGGAGGATGGTCGCCGCAGCTAGAAGGTTCTCATCGTGAATCTGTTCCGGGTCAACACTCAATCTCAACAGATCTCGGATGCATTCATTATGATAATACACGGCTACTTCCTCAGTCAGATCAGGAAGAAGGCTGCCTCTCCACTCCACTGCCCCTGCTGCATGACGGTGCCTTGGGAGCCGTGTGAGATGGCGGGCTGATGTGGTAAAGATCGCGTTTAACAGAGGCGGACAGGAGCGCGCTCGCTGAGGGACCACCCGAGCAAAATGGCGTTCAGGATCGCAGAGGTCGAACCGGTCGGCAATCTCTTCTGCATAATAACGAAGAAGTACTGCCTGCAGGCGGCCGTGGCCATCGTGGAACGTTTCTCTGGCGGGTCGTTTCACTAGGTCGTCCCAGAAAGGGTCTGTAGTAGGATCTTGAAGGACAGCCTGCTGGAAAATCTGGTACGCAGACGCTGATCCTGGGCTGGAGAAATCAGACACAGAAGGATAATCAGAGGGTGTTCGAGGGGCCGAATATGACGGGACCCTGGGGCGGTAGCGCGGAAGAGGGAAGGCCTGCGACGACGACGATGATGATAATGGTGTGGAAGCTGGCTCTTGAGCATGACCACTCATGCCTCTGCCTGTCGGTTGCTCCCTATCGATCTCGTTCCTCCCATGCGATGGCTCGCAGGAGATGCTGCCAGAGAACGAACGTCTTGGCGTAGATGCACCTGGTACATTTCTCGCACAGGTTACCAACGCAGAGGACTCAGGCTGCTTCTTGGTGCCACCGCTTGCCGGTGTCTGTCCTGTCAATAACCGGACATTGTGATCACCCCATGGCTCGTCTTCCACCACGGCATCTGATTCTCTATCGGGGCCCTCTTGTTGCAAGTAACTTGCTACAACCCCAGCCGTCTCATTGACAAACTGGAATATCCCTATTCACTGATGCATTAAGCGCCTATACTTGCGGCCATCGGATACAAACAAACGGCATGGATTACAAGCATTACCTCCCGTGCCCACCCAGGGCTGGTCTTCGGCGAAGGTGGTATGGAAGCTGCCACGAGAACCATGACGGAATCGGATCCTGGTTCGTTCGCGCACACACTCTTCGCCTTCACGCTTACACCGTTGACATTGGCCATCTGAATCGTAGTGACCTGTTCCGCTGGTCAGGATTTCTCTGGTTGTCCATCAATGGTCCATGATCTTTCGTGGCATAATACCTACATTTCACATGCTTCTCTGTGTGGGCAGCCAGTCAATATTCACGGTCCTCCAGGCAATCGGATGGATCCAATAACTTATCTGCAATTATTGCAAGGCAGTAGAGAGTCGAATTGCCCTCGTCGCGGTCGTGGAGTTTCCGCCGACATCTTCCCCGGGCGAGACTCAGCCATCGATATTGACGCGGCGCAGCGACAGAAAGGGTATAAGCCCTATAGACTTATCGTGATCATCGTCCTCGATCGATCGAGCGAAAACACGGCGACAAGTTGCCTAAATGTGCCTCCAGTCCACTGTGGCGCTGGATGAGGTCGGCAATTGGGACTGCCCAGGGTATTTCTGCTCGGGCTGACAATTTCCATAGAAGAGGAGATAATTCGCTGCAGTTTGACTGGGATCGGGCGACACACCAATGATGTCCTCGGTTGAGGTGACCGGTTAGCCGACACTTTCTCCAGTTGACGCGGGTATTGGGAGAAACGGTATGGTTGGGGAAGATGTCTTGACTTTACTCCTCTTCGTTAGTTCCCCCCGCATTTTTTTCTCCTACAATAATGAATGCTCCACACCATCGCGGCTTTTTGCGGGGAAAAATACACTAGAAGAAAATTATGACGACATGGAATTCAAGAGGATTGGCATTGAGTCGACGTTGATACACATTCCTGCTCTACACAGACAGTATGAACGTACGACAGTCTGGAGTGTCTACAAGACAATCCATGGTGGATAGTAAGTACTACCGTACAGTACCTACAGCACAGGGTATGATTCGGGGAAAATGGCGCAGAGTCTCCGGGCCAGTTACTCTGGGGAATCCCATCCCAAGAAAGCCAGCCCAAGACAAAGAAAGGAAAGTTCCCAGCAAGCAAAAGTAGGCATTCCCAGTCGAATCATACTCCCAAGTCAGGAAGTCCGCTCCACAACCCCAGCTTTCTCTCCAGACACCGTTTATCCCCCGCAAAAAGCCACCATCTAGTCTCTCCGTGTCCAATGATCATGTCACGTCCATACTCGTCGTCGTCTGGTCTCCCTACCGAAGTATTATTTATACGGTGCTACGCACCATGTGTCCTGCCGTTCATGTCGGCGACACCAAGAGCTACCTGCCAGATCTGCCCACTGCTCATCTCATTAAACACTTATCTACCTGAATGATAGGATTGCTTTTTCCAATAATACATTTATGAGGGATCTTTGATTCTTACTGTTTCTATATCCATTATACGTCGTCACCGCCACGTGATATATTCCACCATGGCAATTCAAAATGAGCAGCAGACGCAGAGTAAAGATGACAAGCGCGAAGAGTACCGGCATATCGAACACGCTCGACCCATTACAGGCAAGATACATTCGTATCCAGCAGACAGAATGAGCCTCGACAAGCCCGACGTCGTCCATGCGGACAAGGTTGACGGCGATATCGAACACAGTGCATGGGAGTCCGACGATACTTCTATCGACTCCCTACCAACAAGCAAGTTCGTCTGGCTGGTGGCTCTAACAGCGTCTATTGCTGGGTCATTGTTTGGATATGATACTGGAATTATATCTGCCGTCCTCGTGTATCTGGGTAACGATCTCAACAACCGGCCTGTGTCTAGCAGCGAAAAGGAGTTGATCACCTCACTATGCTCAGGAGGTGCTTTTGTGGGAGCCATTATCGCCGGCCTCACGGCAGACAGGGTATGTTAAATCATATACAACCCGAATTATTGATCGCATGGCTAAGACAGTGTATAGTACGGCCGCAAGGTGGCAATCTATATCGGCTGTGGTCTGTTCACCATTGGTGCCGTTTTGCAAGCTGCATCGTTCACCATCGCGCAGATGTCCGTGGGACGTCTTGTGATCGGATTCGGTGTCGGTTCCGCAGCCATGGTCGTGCCCCTCTACATCGCAGAGATCGCTCCGACCAAGGTGCGAGGCCGTCTTATCGGACTGAACAATATGTCTATCACAGGAGGTCAGGTGGTCTCCTATGCCATTGGGGCAGCCTTTGCCAATGTGCCTAATGGCTGGAGATATATGGTGGGCCTAGCAGCTGTCCCTGCTATTACGCTTGCGGTTCTGCTGCCGTTCTGTCCGGAATCACCTCGTCATCTCATCTACCATGGCAAGGTAGACCAGGCCAGGGTGGTGCTCCAGAAGATCTACAAGGGCGCCACCGACGAGCAGGTTGCTAGCAAGGTGACCTCAATCATGATCGCCTGTGATGAAGCCAAGGAGGTGAATGAAGGTGAAAGCCGGTGGTCTAAGATCAAGCAGATGCACACCAACCCAGCCAACCTCCGCGCCCTGCTCAGTGCCACCGGCCTGATGGTCATCTCTCAGCTGTCCGGTTTCAACAGCTTGATGTACTACTCTGGAACATTGTTCGGGCTGGTCGGGTTCAATAACCCCGTCGCAGTGGGAATTGTAGTCGCTGGAGTCAACTTTATAATGACTTGGGTCAACATGGTGATCGTCGACCGTGTCGGACGCCGTCGTATCATGCTATGCACTGTCTGGGCTATGTCCGCCTCACTGATCGCAATTGCCATCGCATTCCTCTACATCCCAGTCAACCTCGATACACTGGCTGTCGAATCAACCAAGATCCCTCCAGCAGCTATTGCCGTCCTCGTCTTCATCATCTTCTTCGTCGTGTTTTACGGTGTGTCCGTCGGGAACATTGCCTGGATGAGCACCGACTTCTTCCCACTGGAAGTCCGCGCTATGGGAACAATGTGGATAGCTTGCTCTTCCTGGGGCAGCAACGTGATCATTTCCAGCACGTTCCTCTCGATGATGAAGGCCTGGACGCCGTCCGGTGCCTTTGGCTTCTACGCCGGTATCTGTGGTGTCGGTTGGATCTTGATCATCTTCTTCTACCCTGAAGTCTCGGGCTTGACTCTCGAGGAGATCAAGGAGGTCTTCAACCACGGATTCGGCGTTCCGTACGCTTTTAAGCTCCGCAAGGAGCGCAAGGACATTATCAAGGAGCGACTAAAGAACAACAAGACCGTTGCTGTGGCCCACTAGCCCATGCAACAGCAACTGCCCGGTTCCTGGGGCACAGATGATCCACTTGCTTCTATTTTATAGACGCGTGGAATGATCATGATACCTTGACTTATATAACTATGAACTTACTAGTTTCATTCTTCTTCACTGTATGTCCGCAGGGAGTCTAGCGCTGGGGTAGGAACTGTATGGGAACTTTGTGTATGAGATAGGAATACGACGACATTTATTATTTCAAATCGTGCGTACCTAATTTCGTGATACTATACTAAAATGTGTATTATTCTAGCTAGATACCTATCTGCCTCGCATGGGAGTTTTACCAACAACCAGCTCATGGAATAGGGCTTACTCATCACGTGATCTTTATGACCATGCCCTGTGAAGCGATATCTTCGAACAATGAGAGTGCAGTGTAATAAGTTCTGCTGCATTGTAATAGTGTGATAATAAAATACAAATTCATTAAGATTAACTGTATAGATGGGATGTTGATGTCACCCAAAGTAGAAACTTTTTGATCAGTGCCAGAAACATCAAGAACGAAAGGTAGATGTCAAACATCGTACATCGTACATAATATGGTCTCCGTCCTTTCGGTTTTTCCCTTCCTTTCCTTTTTGCTTCTTTTCATGTTCACCATACCCATGTTCATTGTGTCGAGTGTAGTTTTTCCAATAAAAGGATGAATGATTGCCAACTTCCTTTGTACTGCAACATCCAGTCCAATAATATGCTCCACGTCCTCAGCGACTCGTATCGATATCGAAAACCAACATCCATCCCAATACCATCATCCATCAAACCAACCAACCACAATTCACTCCTCCCAAAACCCCTCCAAATCAACCCTCTCCTGAATCAAACAATACAACTCCTTAACAATCTCATTCCACGCCGGCATCTTGATTTCCTGCGCTCTATGCTCCCACTTATCCATCTCCCTCAGAAAAATCCGATCCCACCACCTCCGCCAAGCGCGATAGTCCATATCGCCCATCTCACTCTCACATCCCCTTAGGACTTTTTCCATGCTCGCCTTCGCGTCGATCCAGCGCATGTACGGACCTCGAAGATACTCCATGCGGAGACGGGAATATTCGATCTGGAAGGCCGTGTATGTTTCCTCCTCGATGTGGAAGTGGAGGATGAATGGGGGGATTTTTGCTGTGGGGGCGACGACGGGGAGGATGCGATATCCGCGCGCTTCGGCTGAGGCTTGGAGGTAAGGGTGGATGGAGTCTGGTTCCCAGTTGAGGAGGTAGTCGATGGATTCGCGGTGGAGGTAGTATTGGGTGCGATCTGTTTTGGGACACATGTGGTAGAAACGCGTGTGGTAGATACGGTCGAGAGCTTTGAGGAAGTTGAATGTGGTCGTGGCGGTTTCGCGGACGTTGCGGAGCTCATCGTGGACTCGTTTGGGTGTCATGGGCTGGAGATGTGGTGGGATGGCGAGGTTGTTTCTATCGAAGACGAATTTGGTCACACGGGTCTCGAGCGGGATGTAGGCTTTCCCCAGGGGAAAGAAGGGGATATTAGTGGAGACACACATGGTGGAGAGGGGATATTGGATGAGATAGAGGAAGAGGGTGTTAAACGCGTATCAACTGTATGTACAGAGAGAAGAAGGGAAAACCATAGTCGAGGATGGTCTTGAAAGACGCGTCTTGTTTTGTCCTTTCTCGAAAAAAGAGGTAAGAAGTAGGAGTAACGCGGACATAGGTGCACCATTGTGGACTTGGACAAAACCAGAGAATGGCTTGGTAGACTTTGAGCCGGGAAGTGCCGTATAAAAATGAGAATAGCTCGTTGGCTTCTTGATAAGTATACATTGCAACGTCGAACCCTACAGAGAGAGAACATGAGAAAGTATGTATATTAATATTTCGATCGAAAGTCATAGGAAAAGATAGCTCTTCATGATTGCAGATGCGGATCAATTGCCAGCTGGACATATTGATTTTTTCATGTCACATCACTAAATACACCGAAAAGGACTTATATGCTGTCTCTACTGAACTCTGTGACGATTTTGCGTTAGCAGCTGCGAATCAGGACTCCGAAGAAGCTGCCTACCGCTCAATCAGGTGAAGACCAGATGCAGTCTCCACGATGCCGCTCACCTGGCCCGGCTGAAGAGCAAATGCGGCATCTTCAAACTCTTTCTGCATCTCACCTCGTCCGAAGAAACCGCTAGGTTCGAATTAGCTTTTGGCTCGTTGCAGTTTTCGCAAAAAGTATAAACATACAGGTCACCCTTCTTCCTAGCACTACTGCAGTCCGATTCGGAAACAGCGATGTCCCCCAGACTAGCCTCGCCCGACTGGATACGCTTCTCATGGGCACGCAGGATCTCATATGCCTCCTCCTTGGACCTTGTAATCTCTGCCTCCCGCCAGCTACTGGGCCGTCTGCTGTCTCTGTGCTTGATGAGCAGATGGCTTGCTCGTATCTTGCCCTCTCCGTGGCCAGCACTGTATGCGTTGGCAGCAGGGGCGCTGTGGTGCGTGGCCATGTAGATTTTTAGCTTCTCAGTGTCGGTGTCGGCCGGGGGTTCCCAGCGCGACTCTTTCGTCAAAGCATTGAAGTAGTACGGCAGGTTTTTGGAATTGGAGTGACGGACTTCCCAGCCCGCTGGAAGGCCTGCGTCAACCTATTGTTCCATAGTCAGGTATATGATGCCATAAGGGATCATAGCAGCTAATAGCTCGAATGAGGGGCAGTGCCTACCATTTTGAGCGAATACGCAACGAAGGATGGTATAAAGAAGAGGAATCTGGTATAAACCGAAGAAAGGATGATAGTAGCGACTATCTCAGGATGTCTATAGTCAAAGGAGGGTCATAGAAGTCTCGGCAAGGGAGGAAATCGTACTCGATCTCAACTTGATTCCAACTGCGGGGAGTGAGGGACAGCCGTTGCCGCGGTAGGGCTGATGGTCCGTGCGCTGTTCCGGCCCAGTTTGGTCTAGTGTCTGCGGCGTCTAGCTTGCCTCTTCAGACTTCTGCGCTGCTCGATCGATGACCACAACGTTAAAGAACATCCAGTATTCTTGATCTGCCAGCTCTCAAGAGAGATACAAAGCCCAAACAAAACACCCGAATAGGACATAACCTCGAAAACTATCTTTCAGACTCCTGTTCCCACCGATTAATACCACTACCACACAAGATGTCCGCCAGTCCTGCCTCGTCGACCGGTGGCGACTCTAAGCAGAACGTCGATCAGATTCATTTTCGATTCTGTCGCGAATGGTAAGTAACTGATCTGCGCACCTCAGTATACCCGTATCGATCAGCGAGTTTGCTAACGGATACATTTCAGCTCCAACTTGCTCTACCCGAAGGAAGACCGTGTCAACAACCGCCTGATGTTTACCTGCCGAACCTGCCATGTCGCCGAGCCTGCATCTTCGTACTGCGTTTACCAGAACAAGCTGAACAGTCAAGTGGGAGACACAGCTGGTGTGACTCAGGATGTCGCATCAGATCCTACGGTTGGTGTGCCTGAGCTCTGCCTCTACTGCGGTGAAGAACTCACCTGCTCCATTTGCGGAGACACGGAAAGCTCTGATTATGAGGAGTCGGATGCGTCTTCATAATGGCCACATGCACAAAAGTCCTAAGGGAAAACTTGTCATTCTTTCATGGCTAACACGCTGTTTCTCTCCACAGCTGCCCCGGTCGAACAAGCTTTGCCCGAGCTGCGGTGAAAACGAGGCGGTGTTCTTCCAGTCGCAACAGCGATCTGCGGAGACTGGAATGGTAAGACACCCCCAGCGTGGACTATACTTGTGACTGCTCTAATGTGTTGTTGGACAGAAACTCTACTATGTCTGCTGCACCTGCGGTAATGTGTTTACATGATACCAGACCTTTCCGGTTATCGATACCCCGGTTATAGTTTCAGGAGGTTGTTTGGAGTTTTAGGCGATTGTTGGGATATTGATAAATTGTTGATGGTTCGAGCTCGTTATGCATAGCTCGGGAGCGCCAAATAAAAATAAGGAAGCGTTGATTTGGAGATGGACTTCTTGATTGATTCTTATACTAGTTTACAAATGCATAGGTGCTAATGACAAAATCTTGGACCATTGTTTGCCTCGTAGCTCCGCTCCCACAATACCTGTATCGCAGATCAGTATCTTGTAGACCGACATCCTGTAAGGTGCCGGAAAAGAGCAAGGCGCAACGTACCGTTCAATCTCGTTCCGATCGGGTCTCCTGACTTGTTGATCAGAACGCAGGCGTTGTCATCGAACTTGATGAAGCTTCCATCGGGCCGTTGAACCTCCTTCTTAGCACGGACAACGACGGCGTGTCGGATGTCTCCTCTTCGGACCTTGTTGGCGATACCGCTGTTGGTTGAGCTCTCCGGGCCGAAGTTGCGCTGCTTCTGGACGACGACGATGATGCGGTCACCTGGGGCAGGAATTCATCAGTAAATTCCTTTCCGTATCTCATTCGATTTCATTTCAACGCACCGATAGTGGCAGGAGAGTGCTTCTTGAGGACGTTCACGCATTCGACAACTGCGGCACCGGAGTTGTCGATGCAATTGAGCATCGTCTGCAGGACCCGTGTTAGCCTCCCGTCAGCTTCACGCGCGATATTTCCGGGCGGAATAGCCCATTCTGACCTTTAGCTGGATCATCTTGCTCGCATATCACCGGGTAGAGAAGCCCTGGAGACGCTGGTTGCCCTTGCTGGCCTGTTGTTCTGGTCGTCCAAAAGATTTGATGCGCCGACGCAGCCGCCGGACAGGTTTTGCCGATCGCCGACCCCAGACCGAAGAGAGCGCGGATCGCAAAACACAGCGCGAATCCCCTTAAACTAACCGGGATGCCATGCGGCACGCCCGGTAGTTAAGGAACAAAGCTGAGCGAATCCCCCCAGCCACATCTCTACTCAGCGCTTCAGGCTGCATCACAGTCTGCGACCTCGTCGTCCGTCGCATTGGCTCAATTATGCGGCTGATCTGGTTTTCGACTCAGTTCTCTCTTGGTCGACGGCTTCATCCGTAACACTACATTCATTTGGATTCACTGCGTTTCGATTTCCCGTACTAGTTACTTGCATTCATTGGATCCTTTGGTTGATTTCACTCCCTGTCCCTATACGGTGCATCCTTCTCTGTGCACTTGGACTGTTTCATAACGACATATCATGCCTGCCCCCAAATCTTCGAGGGCGTCCCCGGCAGTCGACCGGCGCGAACGCCTTACACTCGCGAAATTGGCCAGTTACGACGATGTAGCGACGGACGCATTGGTTGATCGTGTTTGTCTCTCCGTTCGCATCCTACACCGTGTGTGTCGCGCCTCTTCTGACAGTGGTTTCTTGCGCAGGCGTACTTCTGGACGAACATTCGAAAGAATCGCACGAAATATAACGCGGCGAGAGGAATAAAAGACGACGACGTGGCCCGAATCCTTCTCCACGACGTGATCGTCGCAAAAGATGTAGCCAAGGCGGAGAAAGCACTACTTGCGCTTTCGGGTCTGAACAAGTACTTGGCGAAGCTGCCCAACGACAGGGAGAAGGAGTGGTTCCGTCGACACCTACGGAAGTATATCCTGATCTACCTCCCTGAATGTCCGTTTGAGGTTACCACGACGAATAGATACACCATCACGGAGCATGAGGCTGCCGTATGTGCGCGAAAGTTCATCAAGAAAGGAGAAGAGATCAAGTATCTCAGTGGCACACTCGTGGCCATGACCCGAGAAGAGGAGATGGATCTGGACCTGAATCGCAAAGATTTCAGCATTGTCATGTCCAGCCGCAAAAAGACACCCTCCCTATTTCTTGGTCCCGCACGCTTCGCAAACCATGACTGTAACGCGAACGGGCGATTGGTGACGCGTGGTTCGGAGGGCATGCAGGTTATTGCAGCTCGTGATATCCACATTGGGGAGGAAATAACCGTCTCCTACGGCGAAGATTACTTTGGAGAGGACAACTGTGAATGTCTCTGCCTAACATGTGAGCGAGCTGTAAGGAATGGCTGGGCTCCTCGATTCGATTCTCCCTCGCAGAGCGCCGCCTCTACTCCTGCGCCTGACGACGAAGCCAGCATTCCTGATAACGGGACTCCTCGTATGAAGAGGAAGTATGACCCTGATACTGATTCTGAGCCTTCAGCGTTTGTCTCGCCGCGCAAGAGGGGCAAGTTTCAGCGCCAAAGCTCCAAGTTACGCGAGGAGATTTCGCTACCAGAACTCGCATCATCGATTGAACAGTCATTTGTCTCCGCTCTAGACAACTCTCTTTCCGCTGTAGCGGCTGAAGATCGCACGAACGGGACTAGCGGTGAGTCTGAGAGTAGGCCCGAACGTCCGCAATCTAGAGAATCCGGGGGCGAGGCACCTCTACCACAACTCCCAAGTGACAGTGATTCGCCCAAATCAACCGGTATAGATGAATCTCAGCGGTCTTCGGCGTCAACTGCCGCTACGTCGGTCTCCGACGCGGGAATTAAAATCAAGGTCGAGTCAGTGGAGATGTCCGTACGTGAGTCTGCGGCTGTTGAGACTCTCCAGGCCGAACAATCAGGTACAGACCATCCAGATCCAAAGTCATGCCTAAGCGGCAGTGACGCCGGTGAGCTTTCAGACTTATCTGATTCGTATGAATTAGACGACCACCTCGAAACCGTCGTACCCAAGGGCAGAAGCGTGTCACGCCAGAAACGCAAGGTCATGGCATCGGTCGAAGATGACACCCCTGGTGTTCGTGTCCCCGGCGACTACACGAAGACGGCCAAACTACTCGCCCAGCGCTATGATCGATGGGTAGACTGCCAGACTTGCAATGCCTGGTTTGTCCAGGAGAATTCTTACCAGACTCGAAAGGAATGCCCTCGTTGCGAGCGTCATTCCAAGCTGTATGGCTTTCAATGGCCAAAGACCGATAAAGAAGGACCGCACGATGATGAAGAAAGAGTCATGGATCATAGGACGGTTCATCGTTTCATCGCTCCAGAAGACGAAGCCCGTGTCCGGCGGAAGAGTCGCGGAGTCAGCTTTGGCATTACGCCTACGCCTGAACTTTCTGATGCGAGAACTGAGACAGACAGCAGTGATGTTGGCAATGACAGACGCAACACCAGAGCTAGCCGGAGGAGAGACCGCCAGCTTAGGATGACGATGTGAGCTGATCTCTCATTTTTAATCTACTTGTAATGTATCATGGGGCACGATGGGGAGTTTGGGCCATTGCATTTGTGAGATGGGTTATTTGGAGTCTGGGATATTGCTGGGAATCCATCTTTCGACCTCTACGCATGCGTTTCCTATCGAAGCATACATATTGGTGGGGTTATGGGGTGCAAATCTTTGATATTTCAGGGAAAGTGACCATTTTAATATTCCCTGCAGTCTTGTATAGTGTACTACTAGGTTCCCTTAATGGGATAATGCAACGATCTATTTATTTTCACACATCTCCTCGTTCCACACCCTTCTCCTCCCCCATCAGGGCTCATCCAGACCCCACATCATTGGGAAAACCTGCCCTGTCCACGGATCCTGTACTCGATAATATCCATCCATCCCTTGATAAACCGCGTAACCCTCCTCCCACAGATTAAGCAAATCATCATCCAACACCCTCATCTTGATCGCATCAACTTTCCACTGCGGATTATACCTCGGAGTCTGCGGCCAGAATGGTCCTTCGGGATAGTTCCGCGTGGCCATCCCGAGCCTTCTTCCCTGTCGAGCTGCTCTCCAGATCGATTGGCCGCGCTTGGCGCGCAGACGGCGCGATTCCATCCAGTCTTTTCGGCTCCAGAATTCAGGAGGAGTTGTGGATATGCGAGAGAGTCGTTCGGTGGTGGATTCATCGGGGATGTGCAGGTTGTAGCGGAACATATCCCAAGGAGAGTCTGGGTTTGTTGGTTTGGTATTGTAGGATTTCAGATTCGCTAGGTATCTGAGCTTGGGGGATGATTCGGTTTTTGGTGGTCTTGAAATGATCTGTTGAGGCTTTCGTCAAACGATGCGCACGGGAAAGAAGCCTGTGATCGAGTATGTCTATCAAGGACGTGGGCGACGTTAATAACGGAGGTGGAAGACCAATCTTATTATATGTTCTCAGTCATTGTTGACTATGGACATGCGTTCTCGTATAAATAATACACTGGAAATGTTTGCTAGCGATCAACTTCATGTGATCAAAGGCAAAATAGAAGATCTTGTGTAACCAAAGTATAGAATATTCATGTCACGTTGTCATATGATTTCAGATTCTTCATGATTGGCGAGATATATTGATTTCCAGACGCGTTTACGCTCTATATTCATGTTTGAGATCCTATGACACGACGCAAGTTTCGGACTATTGAACTACCTCCATACAGAAAACCCCCTCTTATCTTCCTTCCTCTGCCAGAATCCTGCTTCAGATATATCGTGAACGTCTTGTAGTGGTTGTTCTGGTAGTAGACGAAGAGCAAGACGAAGACGATGAACAAGATGACGAGGAGCAATTGCAACCTGACCGGGGTGGTGGCTTAGGCTTACATTTCACCACCGTTTTAACAGACCGCTTATTTCCATTCTGACCAGATGATGGCTCTCGAGACGCTTGCACTGTAGTGCTTCGTTTCCTGCTTGTGTCCCCAGGCGAAACGACGTAAGTAGTCACCCGTGTCTGCCCTGGGGAATTTCCCTTATGCCGTGTCTTTATCCTCGTGCAGGTAGAATAGCCTGCTGGCGGAGGTGTCGGCGGTGTCTCTGACTGCGAGTCATCTATAGCTTTCATATATCTGTAAGCTCTTCAAATCGCGTAACGCAAATTAGGCATAGAACCAAGTAAAAAAAAACTCACCACAATCCTCACAATCACAGCAATCCGACTCAGACTCATACTCCGAACCCCCACAATCGCACCCTCCATCCCCATCCGCACTCTCTCCATCCTCCTCCTCCTCCAACTCACCACAGTCACAACCATGACTCTCCTCGATAATCACTTCCTCTTCCTCATCTTTCGCCTCGCGCTGCTTACGCATGTCCTTGATTTTCTCTTTCAGAAACACCCCTGCCGTCTTCATAAGATCGGTCATCACTTCACTTTCCTTGTCCACGAGTGCTGAGCTTCGCCCATGGTGGCTTTTGCTTCGGTGTGAGGAGCGATGGCGACTACTATGCCGGTGTCGATGGACGTGATGGTGTCCGTCGTCGCAGTCGTATTCGCAGCGGTGGCTGCAGCGATGGGATGAACTGTGAGATGTTCCTGAGCGACCCATATTGTTCAAGGGGGGAGGTTTTGCTGGATTTTTAACGAATAGGTAGGTATGTATATTTGTTCTTTTCTTCTTCTTAAATATCGATATCGTGTTTTCTGTCATACTGGGAGACTGGAGTGTGAACTTGATAAATATATATTTTTCCGTAGATAAAGAATTCCTAGAAGATGGCAGTATCCATAAATATATATAATAACAGATGGGATTCGGCTATAGGATCAACAAAGAGTTCGATGAATATTATAATGCCTCGACAAGGACGTAATGCATTTTATTATTATCCTTCTTGTTCTTCTTCTTCTTCTTCTTTTTCTTTTTTTCTTTCCCTTGATGTACCCGAGCGGTAGGTAGGCTGAGTCTTGAGCTATCACAGAAATGGCGGTTATTGTTAACAATATTGTTCTAACAAGAGAAATGGGTGCCGCCGTTGAAAGAAGTATTTCCGTCCTTTGAATTTCTACGTGGAGTTCTTTCTTTCCAAAATTGGATGGAGAGTTCGGGTGTGGTGGTTGTTAGTCGTGACTTCTGGGTACCTAGTTAGCAGGGTCTGGAGTGGGTTTAAAAGCCAAGTATAGTGGACAGGTGAGCGATCTGTACTGGCTGGAAGGCAAGGGTAGGGATTCTTCCTGCTTCAGTGCTGTTTGGTATTATTAAGTTCCAGAACTCTTGTCGCCGGGTTCCCCGTTCATCTTGTTTCGATGGCCAACTTCTACGGGTGATAGTGGGAGGGAATGTGGGTAGAAATGATTGAAACTGAATTTCCTTTCCTATGTTCATGTGACTATACAATATATTATACATGATTTGTCGTATGTATTCATTTGAGCTGGGTATTGATTTTTTTCAGCCGTACCGTCCCTGGTACGGATGGACATCCAAAAGAGTAAGGTCCACCAACGCCGATCTATATGCACGTCGTAGATTATACAGTTCCGAATCACATATGCAGCTCTATATCAGAGCTTGTCCTCTGTACATAGCTTCACGGACTTCCTTCACAACGTCTTTGCGGTCCTTCTTGCCGACAAGAACAATTCCACGGCCACGCTTGCCCATGCGGCCGACACGTCCCAAGCGGTGGATGAAGTCGATGGTGTTATGTGGGACATCGTACAGGATGACGGTCTTGACTGCAAGGGTGTCAATGCCACGAGATCCCAAGTCTGTCGTCACGAGAACTTTGGTGTTGGGCAGTGTACGCGAAGGTCCCTCTTGCTGACCCCGATCCGGGAGTTCGAAGGGGACGGCATCTTCAAGGCGACGCTTCTTCTGGGCGAGCATAATGTCCTCTGGCGATGGGGGAGGGGTCGTAGTAGTAAAATCCGAGAGGATCTCTGCCTGGCGGCGATCACTGGAATCACGAGAGAACGCAATTGCATCGATGCCCTTTGACGACAGGAATTTCGCCACTTCCTCGGCTTGTTCACGTTCATTCACAAACACAAGTATTTTCTTGTCCTTGCTACCGGCGTACGATGAATACTGTCCAAGAGAGTCGGATGGATCACCGGCTTTGCCAATCGACCATATGACGTCGGCACATGCAAGATTCCTGTTACCACGGTATGGATCCTTTTCGATATCGACAACACCCAGTTGCACACGACGGGGAATAGCGTGCAAGTTGGGAGTCGTCAGTCGACGGGCATCAGGGTAGCGTTTGCGTAGGAGGGAGTCAAAGCTGCGAGGAATAGTGGCGGAGCAGAAAACGAGCTGCTTGAGCGAAGGCGCAGTTCTGTCGATGATCTCGCTTGTTGTCGGAGCGAAAGATCGGTCCATGAGGGAATCCGCTTCATCGATGACAAGATGCGTCACTCGGCTGAGTACGTTGGGATCGGTCTTCGCGATGGACGCTAGCAGATGTGGTGTGGCAACGAGAATGTCAATTCCATTCGGATTGAAGAGAATATTTCGGATTCTTCGAGGGGTATATGTCGACGAAATCATGCCTGAGCGATATTTCACTGTATGGGAGAATGCCTTCACCATTGAGCCAACCTGTTCGACCAGCTCCGACGTTGGAAGCAGAATGATGGCCCTGGGTCTACCAGCATCAGAATCGGTCTCGACTTCAGGCGGCTCAAGTTCGAAGGCACTGTTTTTCATCCTCTGCGCCTTTTCTTCTGCCTTCTGCTTCTCTCGTCTCTCTGTTTCCTCCTTCTCAACAGCCTCTTGCCGTTTGACAGCATCGATAGTCGGGACCAGATATGCAAGAGTTTTACCAGATCCAGTTTCCGCTGCAAGAAGAAACTGCTCGAATCCAAGCTCCCCTTCATCCAGCTTCTTTGTTGGCTTCTTTTTGATATCCGTCCCAAGCAGAGCAGGAATCGCCAGACGCTGGATCGGCGTAGGCGTTACGTCCACAAGTCCCGGAAGAGCCTGAGAGAAGATCGCATCGCGCACAGCTGGTAAGAGCTGAAATTTGTCGAAGCTCGTAATCTCCGATATCCTCTCTTTGACTGTAGTCCTCTGGCGGTATGTCACCGGCGCCAGAGCGGTCTGCATCTTCAGCGCCTTGTACAATGGACTTTCTTTCTTCTCCGGCTGTTTCGCCTCCCGTCCGGCGTAGGAGCGCTTAATCTCTGCCTGCGACCTCGCTCGTGGTGTTCCCGGAATATTCGCATGCGTCTGGTTCATGCCACCCCATGGTCCAGGCTTTTCTCGACCGCGTGACGGCTTCAAAGTGTCCTTTGAGACACTGGGCGACAGCGCCATGCGTGCTGCTGGCTTGCGGCGCAGCCTGGCAGAAGCCATCGACCTCGAGCTCTGCCATCCTGGAGGAAGAACAGGGCCCCGCAGGATATTGACCCTGGTCTGACAGAGCAGACAGATGGGACTCGGAGCAGACATCTCGAAGACAGCGCAGATGTGCTATCTCGCAGCCTGGGGTGAAGTCCGAAAAAGTTTCGATAGCGCAGGGCGACTAGAGTAAATTAGCGACCAAGATCGTCCGGGTCGAGCCAAAGAAAGCCAGAGATCGCGGAGAAACAAGGCCGGCGCTAGACGGGCTTAGCGCGCCAATGCGGTTATCAGTTGGCGCGTTGCTATGGAGATGGCGATAGGTTGTCAACACCGTCATAACTCTTCTCCCTTGATGAACTGCACCTTCATTCACTCCTCCTTCATCCATCCCTTCGTCTTCTTTTCCTTCCCGTGTATTTACTCTTCGTCCTGCAGGCAACTTGTCTGTACCCTACTGGGGCATTTCTTTTATCTCGTACAGTGTCTTTTTGCAGCCTGCGGGATCTAACGCAGCAGCCTTCCGCTGTGTACAGCCGCACAACATTATCACCCCAAATTATTATCTTGTCACATTCCTGCTGTCATTGACGGATCTCAGTTGCCACCAGGGACTCCGGCAAACAGTAGGGCTGTCACAGCACTTTCAATCGTGACGTGCCAGTGGCAGATTCCATCCTTCTGATAGACACTAAAATTTGAAGGTATGAAGACATCTGAACATCCCGCGTGTTTTTCTTCCCCTCACATTACGTGTGCTGTCTTGAAATAAAGACGTGGACACACAGAGAGGTCGCTGACCCGTCCTGTTTGCAGTCTTCTTACGTACCAAGGCACTTCGTTTGGTCTTTCGCGTCCAAAAATGGGAGGTATCACAGGGCAGCGTCCGCTGTCGGAACTGAGTCCAGTGGCCCAGAGACGAAACTCTCCTAGCTGGAACCAAGCCACTAAGGTTGCTTAAAATCTGATCAATCTTCCGTGTTTCCATGCTAATTAGGCGTGCAGAAAATGATCCACGGGGACTCGTCGCCGTTCGGCTCTTCCCCTTTCAACTCGTCTCCTCGTCTCTTCTGGCAGGGACGTGATTCTGGATCCCCCTTCCGCACCAGCATGGAAAACACAGCTCCATATGACCCGGAAGCACCTATCGTCTCTCCAAAGCGCGCATCCATCGAGAACCTGAAGCGTGCTTCTCGTGTGAAGAACAGTAGCATGTTCGCCCGTGAACACAAACAAGAATACGACCCTGCCCATGTTCGCGTCCTGGAACGACCCCTCGCTACCGGAAGAGCCTTCAACCAAAGCACCAGTAGCCTGGACGGCGACCCATCGACAAGGCTGAGCAGTCAACAGAGCAATGGCGATCAGGGTCCCGCTGCAAATGGAAACAGTCTTCCACAGCAATCTCCCACCAAGGATCAAGCCTCGCCGGCTAAATCATCTCTTTCAAAGGCGACACGTTTTGGGGCCAAGGGGAATGACTTCGATCCCCAGGGCCAGATCTGGTCGGATGATCGCACTGCGTCACAGCACGCAGTCAATGGACAAAGCCACCACCGACATGCCAAGAGCGTTACATTCGACAACGCACCGCCGCAGGTGAATGAATATGAAATGACAACACCAGACCCGTCTTCTATCGCATCTGAGTCGCGCGACGGAAGCTATGATTCGGAAGAAGAATTTGCGGAGATCAGCTTTGATACAGGCTCGCCATATGACAGGGCGGACGACAGCTTTGACGCATCTTTGGAAGACACTGAGAAAACACCGGTTGTACTGCCTGACGACTGGCGATTCATGAGCCCTGCCAGTGCCAACGATGAGCTGGCTCAATCGGAAGAGGACCCTTTCACGGATGCGCGTGGAACTCCCGGCGCTGGAAGCCCTGGACCGGAGGTGCGACCTCATTCTAGCCACTCGAACGCAAGCGAATCTAGAGTCGAGTCTTTGGACTCGAATGGTGAGCGACGGCCGCTTCCTCCTCTGCCGTTTGCGAATAATCAACTGGGTCGTGCTGGGTCTCCACGGCTCTCCGCTGCGATTGAGCGTGTAAGCAGCGGGCAGCGAGTTCTTCCATCTCCTCCTAAGCCAGCTTCGTACTCCAAAGCTGACATTAATGAACTCGGCGGCGGCTCCATGACTCTAGAAGACAGACTACGTTTGATGATGCTCCGCGAAGACGGTCAGAATCATGAGCAGACTAAGGAAGATTCCCAGCGCGACGAGGTTTCCGACGGCACCGAGACTCCCCACAACGAAGTCGAAGGCAAGAAGTCAGAGACAAACAGAGCTACGGGAACTGAGGAAGTCCGGCGCCGAGCGTCATTCGACGATGTTTTACTCCCTCGTATCTCAAGAGAGTCCATCCTACGCAACATCAAGAACCACGATATCACTCTAGATGAGCCCTTTGAATACTTCAGCGCGTCTTCGCAGCGTGAATCCAGCCCGGACCACTATCTACACTTTGATCCCGATGTCCCTATCCCGTCGCTCGAGAACGACAGTGACGATGATATGGAGACTGGCAGCGTGATCAAGCAAGAAATGACCGACGATGACTACGATATCTACGACATCCCAGAATATGATGACCAGCAACCTCATGACTACACTGCCCCAGGCGAATCACAGCAGACAACGCCTGACAATGATGATGACAGCCACTATTCTCGCAACTCCGAGGATAAGGCCGAAAAGGAAAAGTTCAACTCTAGCACTTCATCAGACGGACAAAGCACTCCAGTGCCAGAAAACAAGCCTGAGATAACTGTTCAGGGCCCGTCTGAGGAAACCACAGAGATTTCTACTGCGGGCAATGAGACTGAATCTGCTCTTCACATGAACGACATTAGGGAATCCCTTCAGCGTCCGCAGACCCCAGAAGCAGGGGAGAAAGATGACTCTGACGAGGAGCCTTCGACTCCGGAATCTGTAATTCGGCATCCGATTGAAGAGACATATTCAGACGCAGAATCCGACCCGGAGTCGATACCAGATCCGATTGCGACCGTGAAAGCACCTGGAACAGGTTTCAAGATTAGACCGTCTCTCACCCCGGCAGATACTGCAACGATGGCGGCCACTCGCCGCAAGGTGAGCTACCAGGAACATCCAATGCCAGCCCTGACGAAGAAGATCTCGAACGGATCTAGCCACTCGACTGAAGATGGTAGCAACGCGCCTTCTCACCCCAAACTAGGAGACAATATTCCTAAACTTGAAATCGGACTTGGAGCCCCGCAGCGTCAGAGCAGTCTCGTGAAACTCGATATCCCAGTTACAGGCAATGATGATAGTCTCTTCGGACTTGATAAAGAATTCGACCGTGTTATCGAAGCCCAAAAGGTTGCGTTTGAACTCTCTCTTTCCCAGAGTTTACATTCTTTCCCGCCCCAAAGTACCCAGGATAGACATACAAGCGAAAACCCAGAACCCAAGGACACTGAATATGATAGTTCGATCCCATTACATGAGAATCTCGCTAACAGGAGTTCCCCGAGACAGAGAGGTTACCTCATGCGCCAGAACACCAAGGTCATCATTGCTAGCAGCCAGAACGACGAAGAAAGCGCACCACCAAATCCAGAGCAACGCGAAACGAAACCAGCGAGCTCATCCTCACGCAAGGCCAGTCAGCCAACATGGACCACAGAGCCTTGGCAGGGCCATCGCCGACAGAGCATCAAGCTAGCTGGTGCACCCGGTAAAAAGAAGCCCGCCAGTGGATCAGTGCCACCGCTCCCAGGTCAGGCGAGCAATGTCCAAGAAGCGGCTCTAGCTGTTGAGGAGCTTGAGAATAACGGCCTTAATGAGACCCTCGAGGAAGGAGAAGAACGAGGAAGGCTCTTTGTCAAAGTGGTCGGCATCAAAGATCTTGACCTGCCTCTACCACGTGGTGAGTACGACAGTGAGATGTTGAAACCGCCATTTGCTAACGTTCCGCAGGCGAGCGATCGTATTTCGCGCTTACTCTGGACAATGGCCTGCACTGCGTTACTACAGCATGGCTCGAGCTAGGAAAGTCTGCTCCGATTGGACAGGAATTTGAACTCATTGTCCAGAATGACCTTGAGTTCCAGTTGACTCTCCAGATGAAGGTCGACGAGGCAAAGCTTTATCCGCAGGAATCTGTTCCTGCCACGCCGACGAGGCAGAAGACTTCAACTTTCAGCCGAGTATTTGCATCCCCAAAGAAACGTAAGGAGATGGATCTGAAACAGCAGCTCGAGGCCCAACAACGACAAAAGGCTGAGAGTAAAGCTGGTTCTGGGGCTTGGGAGAAACTCCGGACACTGATCGCTCGTGATGGCAGCTTTGGCCGTGCATATGTCTGCTTGAGTGACCATGAGAAGCATGCTTTTGGCCGTCCATACGGTGTCGATGTGGCCTGTTTCAACGAATGGGCTGTTGAAGAATCGAGCAGCGTCAAGAGCAAGAAGAGTTCTTCCAGTTCCGGCTCTCAGAGGAAGCCGCCATATAAGATTGGCAATCTCGAACTGCAACTTCTCTTCGTGCCGAAGCCAAAGGGGGCCAAGGATGAAGACATGCCTAAGAGCATGAATGCCTGCATTCGGGAAATGCGAGAGGCGGAGAACACAGCAGCTCGTTCTTTTGAAGGTTTCTTATCACAGCAGGGTGGTGATTGTCCCGTGAGTCTCATCCCTCTTGATCCATATAGAGTGCGCATCCACTGATAAAACAAACCACAGTACTGGCGTCGCCGCTTTTTCCGTCTCCAGGGATCCAAGCTTACTGCGTACCATGAGACTACCCGTCAACCTCGCGCGACAATCAACCTGGCCAAAGCTGTGAAGCTAATCGACGATAAGTCCTCACTCACTCAGAAGGAAACTTCTACCAAAGGCGGCGGCCGACGCAAGTCTGCTTTCGCCGAAGAAGAAGAAGGATACATGTTCGTCGAGGAAGGTTTCCGTATCCGCTTCGGCAATGGCGAAGTCATCGATTTCTACGCTGATGGCGCTTCAGACAAGGAAGCCTGGATGAGGGTCCTCGCAGAGACGGTAGGCAAGGGCCAATCCGCCAGCAGTGGCCCGACGAAGGCATGGACAGAGCTTGTCCTCAAGCGCGAGAAGAGCCTGAGCATTCGCCGAGATGCAGAGCGCGTTCTTGGTAACGGTCCCGCACCACCGAAGAAAGATAATATCAAACCCGTCGCCTCGAAAGCCCCTGCTCCTCCTCCACCGCAGAGAAGACATCAGCACACTCTGTCATCGCCTGAAGCCCGTAATCCAGATGTCCGCAGACAAAAGACCCGATCTTTGATCTGGTGATCAATCTCTTTCTCGTGCGATTATACATATTTGATTCTTTTTGTCCACTATTTCGGCTCGATCATGCCAGCTTTCATATTTCTGTTGGAATCCTTTTTCCCCTATGCTTTCCTTTGGCCTTTCATTTCTCTATCCCTATGTTTGGTGTCTCTGCCAGTTTTTACCTGGGCCGTTGGTGTTCACGGTTGTCTATCGACGTTTCTTATGCTATGTTACAGTTGCTCAAGCGATGGACTTATGATAAATCGGAACAGACGATGCGGTTTTGAACTGTCCTCACAAACATTCATGCTTCATCCGTTCTTTCCTTTCCCTTCTATTGTATGCTAATGTTATGTTCTGTTCAATGAGTCAATGACGAAAATTCTAATATTTTATTTGTTTCAACATGCTGTTGCAGTCGACTATTGTAGACAGTAGCTACTTTTTACAGTTCGAATTTTCCTGCTGCTAGAGCGTTCAATTTTGCCTTTTAAGGAGAGATGTAAGACCTCGTCCACAAAAGGGCATGACATAAAATTTCGCGCGGGACCTGGGGAACCGCGTCGCGTCCAAAAATGCGTTCTTGATCCAAGAGCATTCCATCAACCACCTTCTTCACCATTACCGATGTTGCCCTCGGGTTCTGATTCACCCTCGACATCTGCTAGGGCTTGTCTGGCACTCTTCCCACGCTTCTGTTCTTTCGAGTCTCCGCTATCGTCTCCCTTTGGCTGATCAGCTGGCTTCGCTGCGGCGAGTCCACCAGAGGTGACGTAGAGGAAATTGTCCTCGGGGAAATGGTCGATGTGGTTGAAGAACGCCCCGAAGCTGGATGCCGTTGTCAGTTTCAAGTAATATTGATTTCTCTGCTGCGTGCATGTTGTATCTGATAAACAGATAGCTCGATAACTTACCTATTCTTCTCCTCTTCCTCGCGGAAGATGCGCTCGTAGATCTCTCTCTGCTTGAACTCGTTGATCTCCTTCTCGTACTTGCTGAAGTCGATCGGGTCTTTGCCAAAATCCGTGACTCTCTTATTGTATGAATCGAAGATGGGGCGTTCAAGTAATAGGCCGAGTCCAGGAGCCTTGGGGATGGCGATCTTCGTGGGGCCGTAAGTGTCGACAATACGCTCAGGGTCACAGCCGCATCGGACGACGAGTGCTGCCATCGCAACCATTTTCCGGATCTGGTGCATCATGAAGCTTTGGCCGTGGACCTTGAGACTGACCCATTCGGTGCCGTTGATGATTATAGGTTCCTGGTTCACGTTGAACGATTTGATGTGGCGCTTGGCGGAAGGGTCGCGGAAGGTCTTCTGGATGGTGTAGTTGTAGAAGTTTTTGGTACCGACATATCGATCTAGAGCCTCTTGGAGGCGCTCAAGACGTTTTTTAGGGATACGATAAGCGCGTTTTGCGGTGAGGTAGGCTGACTTGATGGATTTGATGGCGGAGTTGACGAGTTGTTTCTGTGCCATTTCCTCCTCGGAAAGTCCTCGGCCGGACTTTGAGGAAGTATCTTTTCCTTCGTCCGCGGGCTTGTTCTCTGTTGCCTGTTCCTCTGCTTTCGTCTCGGTGGGCTGAGCCTCTGGTCCCTTGCTCTCAGGCGCTGGTACATCGGCATCGGGAGATGCGTTCTCCTGTTCTTCTAGATAGAGCGATTTTCCTACCAGTTTCCGGATATCTTCCGGAAGGCTCACTAGAATAGGTTTGATATGCTTCTCGTCAACTTCGTCCCAGAAACCAGAAACTTCTTCTTGTCTTGTTCTCAATCCCTCGAGATCGCCTGTTTTCTCCGCAATCTCCGTGAGCTTCTTGCCAAGGTATGTGCTCGGATGAGGCGGTAGGAAGCAGTGTGTCGGGATCAGGTACTCGTATATACGGGAATCACACATCTGGTAGCAGCTGAAGCTCTTGTTGGTCGGCTGGATACCCCAAATACGAATCTGGGGGCTCAGTTTCTCATTGATTTTCTGAACGATGTCTGGGTCTTCGATGATCAACTTCAAAGAAACGATATTGCCAGCCGCATGCACACCCTTGTCTGTGCGGGCACAGCGGACGAGCGACGATTTCTTAGGGTCTGCCGCATTTGCCTTGGAGATTGCGCCGGCTGCGACAAATGCTGGGAAGAGCTCCCCCTCGATTGTCTTCTCCTTATCACTCCTGCGAATTGCTATTAATCATCTGGATCCATTGGGGGTCAAGAAGCAGATGCCATCGTACAATTGCATGCCATGGTATCCTGTGCCGGAATATCCCATCAAAACCGCAACCTTCTTCTTGGGGCGTCTATCCTCCGCGGCGATCTCCTCCTGCGAGAAATGAGTCGCGTAGATCGGAGTCTGGAGTTCTTCTCCAGCCTCAAGCTTTCGTCGTTTCGCTTCCTGCTGCTGTTCATTCCGTTCTCTTTTATCTAATGGTTGCCGACTTGCTTAGTTAGTCGGGAAACAGGAAAAAAAACTGGCTGTCACAAAGCAAACACACCTCCACTCTGCCCTTCCCAGATCTCTCTTCTTACCGCTTCCACCTCCTCCGTCTCCGCCTCCGGCCATATTGGTTTACGAACGAAGCGGAGTCCGGCTTGCGACGGGGTCAGGGTCAGGTTTCGTAGGTACCTGCGCTGATGAATCGAAGGGTGACAAAATGCAGAACGTGAAGGACGTCGGGAGAGAGCACGAATAGTAGAATGTAAGGGTTCCAGAGGTCGACCGACTCTTGTCAAATCCAGCAGGACAGAGGCGCGCATGGAGAATTCGATGTCGCGACAGTCGGCTGTAGTTATTATTTCTTTCTTGCGGATTTCCATTTTCTCCCCGCAAAGCCACCAATCAATGGTCGTCGTGATGACTAAGCCGCCGCAATGTCGTCGTTGTATGTACATAGTTACCTAAACTACATAAGTCACTGTGAAGCTGATATTATTGAGCTTGAATAAAGCAATAATGTGTTTAGAATAGTGTGATTACTTGCTTCTCTCGTGTTCAGCTTCCAATGTATTTGAGGACTCGACTCCGGAGGAAGAGCAGCTGCGGAGTAACTTCCGAACTATATATATACACTCTCACAATTACACAAGGTAGTATGAACAGCTTTCTATACTGGAACTTTGGTACCAATGATTATTTTAAAGTACAGCATGCATATTACCATCCGAATGAATAAAATATAAAGCACATTACTGTAACATCCTAGACAGAATCCAGACAGAATGCGAACAGACTGCTGACTCACCCTACGGCAGACGAAAACCACCACTGATGCTGCGCAGTTCGGCTTCGATCGCCCGCATCGGACTTGATCCTGCGCTTCCTCGACTGCGAGCAGCCTCTATTGTTCGATCGCCGTCAATAGCAGGCCGTCTTCCCAGTCCGCCGCTCCCACCGCTCGTTTTATCTCATCTTCTCACTCTCAGCTTAGCTGCTGCGGGACAGGAGAAGGATGTGTTTGTCCGTTGTCTGCCTTTGAACTTCGGTGTTAACGAAGCTTGCGCTCGAACTCGCCCCGAACTGAAAGTCGCAAACGAAGCCCGCTGGGCGCGCAGTTTCCGTATAGATCATTATCTCGTTTCCGGCTTACGATCCCCATTTCCCAACCATGGATCTCGCCAATACGCTCATCCGCAGCGTGGTGCGTGCTTTCTACGAGACGCGCCACATCCTGGTGGTCGATGCGCTCTTCATACACTCCGTGTATGATTCCTTTTGCCAAGGCTACATGAAGTCTTACTGAGATTTTTGTGGCTAATGTCTCCGAACAGACTTCATGCAGAAGACCTGGCCTATCTTCTGGGCATGCAGCAGAAAGATCTGCGAAAACTCTGCGGTCGACTGCGCGAGGATCGCCTTATCGCGGTGTATGGCATTTCCCTCTCCCTTTCGTTTTTTCTTTGTCTCGGATAATTCGCTTTTCTGGCAGTCTATGGCTGACATTTATTCTGTTTTGATCGTGTAGTCATACGCGGACTGAACTTCGCGATGGCTCTACTCGTCCCGTCAACCGTGAATACTACTATATCCCGCTTCATCCAGTAATCGATGCGATCAAGTACCGGGTCTCCAAGTTGACCTCGACAATCAAGGCTCAGTATACCCCCAGTCAGGAAAGGAAGGAATATATCTGTCTCAGGTGCAAGGCAGAATGGACGGAGCTTGATGTGCTTAGCTTGGTGGGAGAGGAGGGATTCGAATGTCAGAACTGCGGTGCGATTCTCGAGCGGACCGAAGATGTGAAAGGGGCTGAGGGTATCGATCGTACGGGGCACGAAAAGAACAGCAAGCTCATGGCCCAGTTGGACAAGATGTTGAAGTTGTTGAAGCAGATCGACTCCGTCGAGGTACCTCCGAACGACTTCGAGACGGCTTGGGATCACAAGATCGATGTCGTGCGCAACCAGCAGATCAACCCGACCAGGCAGGCAGTGGCTGTTCCGTCTAAGCAGCAACAGACCGTACGGGGAATAGCAAGGACTGACGCTGCGGCCCTTGAGGTCTCCCTTACATCATCTGCGGAGAAGAGCGCTGCGGAACAGGCGGAGGAAGCGGCACGGAAGGCTGCGTTGGAGAAGCAAAACGCTCTTCCAGTCTGGCACACACACTCCACTGTCAGTACTAGTGCTGGCAATCTTACCCAGATCAAGACGGAGACGGACGGCGTCGTCAAGTCAGAAATCAAGGAAGAGGAACAGAAGCCGGATATCGATGCGCTCGACGATAAAGTCGCCGCATACTACGCGGAAATGGCTCGAGAGAACGAGCTACAAGCCCAACGAGATGTCAGCAGTGCAGAAGACTCGGACGAAGAGGAAGACGAGTTCGAAGACGTCGGTCTATCTACCAGCGACTCTGCCACTCCTGCCGTCGCAGCTGCGACGAGCGTTCCAGCCGCACCCTCGCCCACGGCCGGGGTGAAGAGAGAATTAGACTCAGAATCCAGCAGCAGCGCACCCCAGACAGCCGTAGCCACCCCGTCTACGCCCGCGGACGAGGGTCCAGTGGCGAAGAAGGTCAAGGTGGAACCAGATGCACCCACGGTAAAGAGAGAAGAGGAATCAGACGAAGACGACGAAGAATTCGAAGACGTCTAAGTTTCCCTTCCATTCCAACCGTCCCTCAACTTTCAATCGAAACAAACAAAACAATCAATCAATCATCAATCATCAACTACAATAAACCTCCATCTGAATGAAGCACACTCACTTCCTCTTTCCACCCCCCGAGGAGCAGTATCAATTTGAGCTTCAATGTCCTATAAAAAAAGAGTTTACCACGAAGAAACCCTTGAAAGCGACATTCTGTAAAATCACAAAAAATGCTTTTAAAGCAATTCTTCCATATTCAGAGGCGATAGCGATCTTGCAAGACTTATTACTTTTTTTTTTTTTTTTTTCACCTAACCCCGGCGCAGGCGCTACAGTCCTTTTGATGCTTTTTTTTAATAGATCTTTCCATTATAATGGAAGAAGACCTTTCCATTCTTCCTTGTTCAAAAACGAAGCAAGCATCATGTGTATGTTCTGAGAAGAAAGGGAAGAAAAAAATAAAATAAATGCAAGTTTGAAATGTGCCTCCCTCTAGATGTGTACGCCCCTCATATGTAGCGATTCTAGCCTACGAGACAGCACAGTCGGCAACATTCGTTCTCTCGAGGAGATAGTTCTCTTGAAAGGAAACAAATGATTCGGTCGTACGAGAGTAGATTAGAAGAACAAAAGACGGGTCAATTGAAGGGCTTAACGATAAAAGTATCTGCTAAGAGACTGCCTTAGTTTTACATCTAATCTTGGAGCTTGCGATTGACTCTTAACCCTCTCAACAAGAGCAATACACGGCTACAAAAATCACACCACAGTCTTGATAACCCAGGATGGCACTCGGTGAATCTGCGTAGATGCCTAATCAATGTGATATTCGCCAACAAATCTCACTCTCCCATTCATTTTGCTGCAGTATTCCGAGCCCGTCGCCGTAATTGCCCCTTTCAATCCCGAAGCACAGATAAGAAAACAACAGTTGGTCAGGCCGATCATACAATGAGGAGCATCCAAACGCCAGCCGTGCCGATCAACATAACCGCGAATCGCTTGAACAATGTGCACTGAGTTCGTTCCCTTTCTAACAGGGTTATGCAGTCGTGAAACGCCGCTCTATGCAATAAGCAAGTAAACAAGGTTCAGGATGATCATCGCTCATGTGTCATGAATCCTCCTGTCTCCATAGACAATCAATCCTCCGCCCTGGTTATTGTATTCATTTATGGTGAGCCAGCGAGCCCCACCTCGGAGTCACTTGCCATCATAGAATTATCTTCCCAATCCTCTGGAGAAGGCAAATCAGATTCTGGAAGCCAAGAGTCAGAAGACGATGTGGACATACGAAAGGGCGACTTACCTGAAGTTGGGTCAGGCAAATCTACAGAGAGTTCCTCGATGGCCGTATTAACAGCTAGAGAGGTGTTAGTAGGAAATTTCAATATTCGGTAAGTATAGAGTGTGGAACTGACCAGTTGCCTGATGCACAAACTCAGCGTCCTCTTCGCTGTCATCATAGTATGTTTCCAGACAGTGAGAAATGACCCAGATGATAATCTCGACGACCCTCGCTTCAACGCTTTGTGAAGAGTTTACAAGGTATGTCTTTCTCAGCTTGTCAACGCACGCGTGAGCCAGCTCTTTACCGACCTTGGTATAGTACATTCGGGATTCGTCTGACATCTCTTCCTGCCCCTTCATAAATAGCATGTGTCGTAGGACTTCGAACGTCATATTTCGGACGGTCTTCTCGGCATACATCAGCAGTGTAGGCGCCCAGTCCGGTATTCTTTCCGTGACCAGGGCCGTAAACCATACTTCATCCTTGCCAATCTTGTCATTCCGGAGAGAGATGAGGTTCGTGAAGAAAGCAAGGTGCTCTCTACCCCCACTGTTGTTGATGGACTCGACGCCCTTCGCAACATAGTCGACCAGCGCTATTATTCGGTCTTCGTCCGGACTCCTCCGACAGAAGACTAAGGTCCCTTCTAGAAAGGGTGCACAAAGCGCTGCGGGAGCCACTCTCAAGCCGTCTTCTAAGAGCTTGCATATGGGCTCCAGCAAGCCAGCATCCGGTTCAGATTCCAGAAACAAGGCGACAAGGTTTCTGCATGCTGGGGGGTTACTATGCTGCTCAAGGATCCTCTTCAGCAATAGCAACTCATTATTCCTGCCCAGAGGCCGTATCATGGAGCTTTCGGTGGCAGTAAGAGAGTATTTTCCTTCATGGAAAGTTCGGCGCTCATCATCGGGAGTAGCAGGAAGGGTCAAGTCGATATGCTGCATAAGGACAAAGAAAAGATCCATGAGCTTTCTATGCGAGAACTTTCGCCCTCTCTCAACCAACTTGTAATAAGCAAGATATTGTCGCTTTAACTTGGTATTATCACGGTCAAGCCAGATTATCTCCAAGCACTTTAGCAAGAAACCATGGTCGAGAACAACACCAGCCTGGTACGGTCCGAAATTTGCTAGCAGGAGGAGGAAGTCGAAATAATCGTCCCATGACCGGCTGGCCGTGTGGAGGATAGGCCATAAACTCTCGAGCGTCACAACCACTTTTTCAAAAGAGTTTGCAAACCTGACCTGCCACTTTTCGCGTTCGACTTCACCCAGCGATGTATCGTCCTGCATATCCTGCAGTCTTGCAAGGGCAGAGGCAACCACCCGAGAGGTCTTACTGCGAACATCCGGATGAGGACTTTTTAAGACGAGGTTCCGAATTCCGGTTGGGCGTTCTGCCGTCCATTGAATCAACCGATAGGCACTTTTCGGGTTCTCAGCTATTGCTTTCGCAAGTTCAGATACGATCGTTTCAAGCTCGATCAGTTCCCTTGTTCGCGACACGAGTTGCTCCAAGGTATCTAGGGCAATGAAAATTGCCGACTTCTCCAGCTTCGAGGCTTCCGGTTTCCCGGATTTCACAAGGGCTCTGGAACGGCCAAGTAGACATCTGACGAAGAAAGCGTGATAGGGATCCAGAAGGCAGTACGTCCGTATGAATAGTTCATTCTCCATAGCGATGTGATTTCCAAGAGCCACTGGCACGGGAACCCGCACTGGAATATCGCTTTTCTCTGGCTCATAGATATCCCTTGCCGCTTCCATGCTTGAAACGCGTTGGTAGAATAACATATAGGCATTCCAGACTTTGTTAAATCGCACTTGCCCAACAGCCGGGCCATGAAGCGAATCGTTCAGACCACCAAAACACTGATCGGCGATTTTTGAGGGGTCAAAACGGCTAACGTCTGCATCGTTAAATTCGACCCAGGACCCAGCTGCATCTGCTGTTGGTCGCTCCCGAATATAAGAGTAGTAATGGCCTGATTCAGCTGTTCCGCTGTGCACTAGAACGCCGACCAGTTCAAACACGTCCTGCGGAACAGACGCATTTGGATCTGAGAGATACTCCACTTTGAACGGCGTCATGTCAATTCGCTCAGGAAATTGGAACTCGTCATTTATTTTGCTCCGCATCATAGTAAGCATGTCGAAATCGAAGCGCTTCAGATGGAAGATCAGATTGTCGGGAAGGTCTTTGAGACATGCTCTCTTCACAGCGTCGACATGGCGTCCGCATGACGTGCAAGAATATTTGTTATCTCCTTGCATTATCTCACCTTCCACATACGCCTTAAGGCTATCTTCCAAACTTGCCTTGCCCTTGATCTCACACTGGATGGCAGAAAATGGCTCCAGTCGCTCAGATATGTGAGGACACTCCTTCGACTTAATTTGCTGGACTAACTGTCCACCGTAGAAGGAGCGGAATTTCTTCTTCTGTTCTGCATCGATAATCTGGGCTTCCCATCTGTCGAAAAGCAGATTGTAGAATTCGTCCACATCCATCTGAATAGTGATATCAATGGGTTCATTGTCGTAAGTCCGAATGGAATCCACTGCGCCTTGTGTGTCGACGCTCTTGAACCAAGTCTCTTGCATATTAGCAAAAATTTTCTTGGTCTCATCAAGGAGCCTCTGTGAGCCGCTTGGCTCCTCCACCTGAAGCTGAAGCATGAAATCGCGGAACCCAACATTCATGAAAAGTTGCGTGAACAGGGAGTTGAGGTAGCAAGTATTGGACAAATTCTTAAGTCCTGCGTATCCCTCCGGGGACCGAATGGTCTTTTGTCGCTCGAAACACCAATTCGGAGCGTATGTATAGTCCTGAGGAATGAGGTCTTCCAGTAGTTCGATGATTTTCGGGTAATTCTCATCGTTCTTGGAAAGCAAGACAAGGATGTTGTAGAGCTCCTGACGTGTTTCAGTATGCATGACGGGCACTTGGGGGGCCATGGCTCCTTCGCTAGGAGCAGACAAATCTGGGAAGAGGTAATTGTTGAATACATTCTCCATGATGTCGGAGGGATTGACGGTCGTCTCTGTTATTTCTGCCAGTTCCAAACACAGCCTTATGAGACGCGCAAAGCCCAAGACCACATGGTCGACGGTCTCACGACCTACAAACTCTTCTGTCTTATGGCTCAGCATGATCGCGCTCCACTGAGCAAGATACTCTCCGAAGACAAGATCACGAGGAGACTTTTCGGCAACGGAGCGGAAAACCGAAAGAGCTACTTCGAAAAATTCCCGAGAATGATGCATATACTGAGGTGTTCGATCGAAGTTCTGTGCAAACGCGGCCCAAAGTGTTGCCAGGATGTCAACCACGGTAAAGTTTTGTGAGGGATCGAGTCTTTCAGTCTCGTTATTCACAGTCTTCGAGTTCTTCCGCGATTTCGTTGGACCGCAGATAATGGCAATATTATCTGCAATTTCTTTTCGAATGGGTTGACGAGATTCGTTCAAAAGTAATGCGAAGATGAGTTTCTCAAACTGCGCATTTTGCTTGACAATCTCCCAAAACACGTTGTCATGTAAAGACCCTTCGATAAGCACGGCAAACGAGTTGCAAATGAGTTTCTGAACAGCCGTCTCAGAGAGAACATTCGCTTTTAGACTCTGTGCCGTGCTTATAAATTTGAGCAACTGTCTAACCAAGTCCGTTGGATCAGATAGCCTAAGTGAGCTATCTCCAGGGACAGAGCGCACGGAGAGAGCGACCAGCAAACTTTCAACGAAATTGCAAGCGAACAAAAGTTTCAGAGAGCTCTCTTGCATATTTTCGGACAGTTCGGGGCGAGTCAGCGCCGCAACCAGACATTGTATGCTATGATGGAGGAAGGCTCGGTTCGGTTCTTCCTCGGTCGACTCCTCCCTTAGGCATGTCGTAAGGGCGTTGACAGAATAGAGCAGTTTGTATGGCTTATCCATAGGAAAGATTTCTTCCGCGGTGTTTGCCTCAGACCTTACCAAGTCACGTACACGTTTTTGCGGTGGGAAGACGACGAGGAAGTCATATATCTCTCGAGCTAGTTTATCCTCGAGACCTAGCAAGTCATAGAGGTCGTCAAAATGTTTCAGGACCTCCGAATCTACCAGAGTGAGGGAGTGTCGTCTGCCGGGAATAGAAGCTTCCTGAGCTTCTCCCACTCTCCTGACAATTAGCAGTCCTGACCGGAGTTTCAGCTCTCGGAGAGTGCGTTGTGGTGCGCTTAGCAGATCAATCTTCTGTCCCCCATAGATAGTGTCGAACTTGGTGAACCCGGTAAGCCGGACAAGTCTGTCTACCAGCTCGGAAGCGGTAGAGAGATCCCCAATGGCAAGAGTGCGCATCTTGGATGGGGCACCGCCACTGAAACACTGATACGTGATCTCAATGACCTCGCCTTTGCCTGTCCTCTCAGGGAGCTCAGGTGGAGATATCTGTGGAGGGCTGTATTGCGGTCTACTGCGTAAGCCTTGGAGAAACTGGCGTAGAAACAACAGAGACCGGCTAAATCTGAGTTCTTCTTGGCGTATCTCTCCTTCTGCAGCCACAATGACCATCGGCTCATCTTCGCCACTGGCAGAACCGTCACTGAAAGACTTCAACTTCGTAGCTGCAGATCTCAGTTGTTCTACGGAACGATCAACAAGAGAGATATGTGTTGCCTCCGATGCTGATCGTGGAGCTCTCCTGATCAGTACATGATCGAGGTAAACTTCAATAGCGTAGCTCGTGGCTTTCGCCTCAATTGTGCCCGGTGGAGCCGTCAGGATGAAGTGCCATATCCGATCCATTCCTGGTATCGAAATGATCTCGCCTTCACCGGCGATAGACGGAGGATTGAAGCGAATCTCATAGCCAATGGTATGCTCTGCAAAAGCTAGGACTTCTTGCGAGTAATCCACCGGCGAGAGACTGGGAATATATTCGTGAATGCAGCGTTCGATGAACGGGTTTCTCTTCCCACACCGGGCCGCCACTTTACACAACATGTCCCACAAAGCTTTCCTTCCCAGATCAACTACTTTATTTGACATCAAGATTTTGTGCCAAAGCGTATCACTGAGATCTGGCGTGAGCGTGTCTGGAACCTTGTCGATGAGGCGGTGGAGTAATTGAATGCGCGAGAAAAGTCCGTTTTTTGAGAAGGAGTCACTGAAATCTGACTGCACCGTATCCAGAGCATGAGCTAACTCACTGATCACTAGATAGGTCAGGTCAAAATCCAATGCGAGTTTTCGGATTTCCTGTGGATCGTAGGCAGGAAGAAGGGCATTCAGCGCTTGTATGCTTCCCACCGTATATTGATTCATTTCGGCGATGTCATGGATGCATCGTTCGTACATGTCCATCTTGTCCGATGCAGTCAAGCCGATACTGAGGAACAAGCTGAGTTGCGTGCTGGCAAACTTCTGCAAGAAAGCTTTGTGTTCATCAGAGGAACCCTCGAGCGCGGTAGTCTCGCGAATCAATCGCACGCAGAGCCGCAGTGGGATCGCATCTACATGCATCATCTCTAGCGGCTCATGTCGACTTCTCTCGCTGTGTTTTTCTCGCACGTTGTGGAGAAGTTGTTCGCAAAAGTCAACCATTCGTGCATCAAACCGCTCGAGTGGGAGCTCGAGCAATTTGGAACAAAGATAGAGGAGCGCATTAGAAGAAGCCTGGTGCATGGCAAAAGTGCGCGTGAGCATACCCAGAATCTCGCCCACGATTCTCGGGTCCTGGCTCTCGGTGACAGCATGCCAGATGGTGTCCGTATCTTTATCAGTGTAGGTTGAGGTCACGACCAGGAAACCGACAATATTCCCGCTTCGACTGATCAACTGAGGATGAGAGCCGACGCCGACGATATATTCGACGATCTTGTTCTCTCTCAGAAACCTCACCATGTACTGAGTGATGGGATAGTCGATCCCCGCGGGGTTATTCTGGATATGCTGCCTCCAAAGATTCACAAGATCGTTTTGCATGGTCTCCATCCCATGAACTCTGAGCTCCATCCGCCCTTCCATGACATTTTTCTTGAGTAGAGCAAACTTCCAAGCCCAATGTATTATCTGTGGGTAATCGGAGGCCGTTGCATTCTCCGGGAAACGTATTGACAAGTCCTGGGCGATTTGTAGGGCCATGTCGTCAACCTGGCTGGATAGGCTATAGTAGGTTAGAGAGATATAGCGGAGTACGGATTCGCTCGTATCACTCGTGATCCAGGGCGACTTCTTGGATATATGCTCTTGGTACTGATCGTCAATGGTCCTAATCAGAGTATAAGCTGCCTTTCTTGTTTGCACTAAAACGGGAGATTCCAGAAGGGTGTCATCAGCGGAGAGCTTCTTTCGTTCATTGCCTGATTCTACCATGCTATGAGTGATGGTAACGACGGCCACCAGAAAGGGTGCCAAGTGTGGCCATCGGGGAAGCGCCTCCATGAGACGCGAGTTGAACTCAGATAGACGCTGCATCGCATTGAATGGAGACGCGGCGACCTGATCGTTGAGGCGAGCTACGAGGGTTCCGAGCTCAGAGCTATACAGTCTGTCCATTGTTCGATAAAATGGAATGGAAGCCGTCTGCAAGATCCAGCCAAGCGACGGTAAATAGACCCTCGACATTAATTCTGGCGCTGGGGCATCTTTCTCCTCAAGGTACTTCTGTAGGGTTAAGGTATCTAGGCGGAGCAGGTGTAACGCCAACTGAGCGAAGGCAAGCAGAAAGTCCTCCAGACATCTCCATGTGCCGTTCCCATCATTGGGCTGAAAATCTAGTCTGCGTACCTGTCAGCATTGCTGTGACAATCGCAAGGAGTCTAGATGGCGTTTACCCTCTTCGTAAAAGCCCCTCCACTACTGTAGGAAGCTCTTCCCAAAACTCCCGTTCCTCAAGGAAGGTATCAAGAGTGATCAGTTCCAGATTGTTTAAACAATCGTCGATGAGCCAATTCTTGATGGCGACAAAGATCGCTGCATCGTGTGGATGGCCTAGACAGATGGGAGTTCAGTATGCATTTATCGTAGGTGACTCATGCTGTGGTACGTTACCTTTTTCAATCAACGCGCCCATCTCCTCTATGGCCTCCCGAAGTTCCAGATTTCCTCGCAGTTTAGGAAAGGCCTCTGGTAGCGATAGCTGTTCATGCAGCCGTACGACTTCAGTAGCAGCTTGACCCCGGAGTGCATCACCCAACGACCTCCAATTTGTTGTGGTGGGATCCTGGTCCATCTCCTCCACATCGGCGACCTCGATCTCGGGACTCTGTGTGGGAGAGGACGATATCGAGATGGCTGCTGACGACTGCGGATTGATCTCTGCGGACTGTCTCGGACGGGGGAGCGGGGAGGCGTCGGACTGCTCGGGCTGAGACTCCACGGTCGCGGAGTCGGATTTTACCGTCGCGGGGGACTTCATGTTGATTGTCACCCTGCTCGCTGGACGCTGTTGGGCAAGAGCTTCCTGGTCCGCGGTGGGAGAAGCCGCAGCCTGCTCGGGCACTGGATCGCTGGGAGAGCCGGGCGTCGACATCGACTCGCGAGCACCACTGCCACTGTCGAGACGGGGTCGTTTCCGCGTAGCCTGTGGATCAGTATCGTCCATGGAGATACTGTGCGAGCCTGTCTGGTGAGGTGGTGTTGATATGATATCAGGCGGGGTGCTAGAGCTCTCTAGCGGAGCACCTGCCATGGCATTTTTTTTACCCCACCTGAGAGTTGTCGGAGACAAGCAAGTGAGGGTTCGAGGGAAAGAGGAAAGAAGACGGAACTTCCCAGAGTTCACGGCGGAAGCCTGGTGAAGTGGTAGTGTGTTGTGGGAGAAGAGAAATCAGGCAGCGGCCTCAAAGTTGCGGAGAGCAGCTGGAGTGAGCAGTAAGTATCGCACTGACGTGCGGGCGGAGAGATACAGCCGCAGTGACGAATTGGACAGGCTCTGGCGTGGACAAACAGCGGGGACCACTACCTTAATCACCAAGCTCACTCTAGAGCAGTCCAGAAGGGAAAAAAGTGGCAGCCGGGGAGAAGCTAGAGCAGCCAGCGCGCTGTAGTGTTTGTTCACAGCAAGATGAATGCTAAAGGAATCAGAGTTGGAGGTGGCGGAACAGGGACACTCGGGCCATGGGTGCTCTGAGGGTAATACACAGAAACAGCGGTACCCTGATCAATGATATGTAAATAAGGCAATCTGAGAAGGATATCTGTCGTGGCTCATTCAGCTTGTTCTTTTTTTTTTACCTAGCCATAGCTCAAAAAAATCCCAGCTAGCCCTTTAGTGAGTCCGCAGCTGCTGGAGGATCTGTTTTTTTCCCACACGCTGGCGTACCCACCACTACTACTGCCAGAAGCTCCAGAGTCCAGGCAGCGGGCTTGCCCAGCCGCCAAGCCTAAGGTATCGCGGGCTGCCGATTGGTTTCCCTACACGCCCAGGGACTGATGTTGGCCAGCCTTGCCGCGCACCCAATTACGCCTGTACGTTTACTACGGCCATTCTCATGATTTACAACGGCAACCAGGATAAATGGTTACAAAAACACTCGTACTTGAGATACCACTTCTCTGGTGTCCGTACGGATTGACGCTGGGGGATCACATCACCACCCTCAAGACGCGTTTTGAGATCCCTCCACAAGACAAAGGACTGCCGGGTACTGTAAGTAAGTATTACGCTATGGGCGCTTATTGTCATAGCACCGCTCTCGATCCTGGCCTGCTGTCGTAAACCAGCGCATTGACCTTTCGGATGCAATATGCTGGCTTGTATGGACATCAGGGGCATAAGGCTTAAGAGTCCTTGATTAATGTGCCCTGGTACCGAACCGCTGTTCCAGAAGCCACATTGACCCCACATGTTCCTTAGTCTCCCCCGCGCAATAGCATATACACCTGATACAAATGAGAGCCATATGAGGTATGTAACACCACAAATTTAGCAGGATGATGGACTAGAAATTCTGAGACTTTTCATGTCTAGCCATTTATATACAAATAGCAACCTCTATCGAGATTCTTTTCCAGGCAATGCAATGCTAAACTCTTGTCGCTCAAGACGTACCCGCGGAAGCATACAGATAGAGCAGTCAACTAAACGGTTTCTCTAGAAGTGCTGCTGATTGCGATTCAGTTTATCCATCTCATACATCTAGAAAGAATATGATGACTCCTAGTGGCCACGTGCTGATCAGTCAGTCATAGAAGTCTCGATTTTCCTGATGACCCTTGCCGGGTTGCCAACGGCAAGATGGAAAGCAGGCACATTCTGTGAAGAGCATTTGTCAGCGATGTCACTGAAATCTTCGGTTGTCGTCTTATCCCACCTTCGTTACCACACTTCCTGCACCGATGGTGGCTCCTTTGCCTATAGTAACCCCCGGCAAGATGATAACATTGCCTCCAATCCAGCAATCTTCACCAATATGAATCTCTTTGCCTAACTCTGGACCCTCTGTACCATTTCTCAGTGCAGGATCGAGCGGATGCGTACCGCTGAAGAGACTGACATTGGGACCAAACATAGTCCGGGAGCCAATTGTGACTAGGCATGTGTCGATGATGACGCAGTTGAAATTGATAAAAACGCCCTGTCCCAGCTTCACATTGAATCCATAGTCGATACGGATCGGTGGTTCAACCCAAGGCTCATGTTGAAACTGTAGTTCGTCCTGGACCGGATCGGCTACTGGCTCAGGAAGAGGCGTCTTATCCTCCACGATGCTGTCCGTCGAGAATTAGCTTCATTGAAGAGAACGTGGCTAGCCAGTTCTAGTTTGGGGAATAGCACCAGATCATCTGGGGATTTCGGAGATAAGAATCAAAAAGAATAAAGAAAGAATGGACGAACTGTCGACCACTAGTACTGCTACTCACTCTCTCCAAAGCTCGACCAACCGTCGGCGTGGAACATCGCCTGCATTGTTGTACCTGGTACAGGCATGTTTGCAGCGTGCCCGTGCGGCTACTAGCTCCGGGGTAAAGGCATGGAACAGTTCTCCACGGAGCATCTTATCCTTTTCTGTGGAGTCGGACATCTTCCTAGATATCTTTCTAGCCGGAGAAGGAAATTCGACAGGACCCGCCGTAAGTAACAATGAGTATGTCTCGTAGATAGATAGTAGTCGATGCTGAAAGGAGACGGTAGTTGCCCCTGGGCCCAATGCAAGGTAATACCGCACGATCTAGTTATCGAGGCAACCAGCAGATGGTACAAGCTATCATGGAGCTTTCCATCGGACTCTTCACTCCTTGTAGCCACGTACACTAGATAGACTAGTTAGTCTGACCCTTCAGGGTTCAGGCGGCCTTAGCCGTTGACGGTTCCACATGAGCTCCGGTCCGCCAAGCACTGACAGCAACAAGTGACAACATTAAGCCCGTTGGGTCGCGTGTCGGCGCGATACGCTGAAAAGCCAGAAAAATACCTACGCTCCCCGGGCTGCTGGAGTCGGATAGGCAGAGAGTAGGTCGCACATAGACTCAATGGGCACTTCTTTGGCTTGGCCTTATGTTCATCTTTACAATTGCTTCTACTCAAGTCGTTGAGGTACCCTGACCGTCTACTTAAGATCATCGTTTCAGCGATAAGCTGCCCCACGATCTTCCCCCCACGCGATAATCATGTCGAACACAGCAACTTCTTCTGGCTCTGATCCGAATGCTGGCAACTCCAACATCTCATGGCCTATGGAACGTCCTGTCGAGAGAACAGAGTGGCCGCCTGTCCGACCTGCCGGCGACGGATCCGCAAACCCTTCTTCGACTCTTGACCCGTCCAACTATCCGGGAGGGAAGAAGTCTCTATCGGGGATATCCTTGAGGGCATTCTGCCTGGGAATCGGCTTTGGGGTGTCTACGTGCCTGACAGTGTTTCTGTTGTTGCTGTCGACCACGCTATGGCGCGTACCCTTCTTCATAGCTGCTCTGTGTCTCTTCCACTTCCTGGAATACTACGTTACGGCACGATACAATACCCGCCATGCATCGATCTCTGCGTTTCTCCTGAGCGCAAATGGATGGGCATATAACGTGGCGCACGGCTCTGCCGTGGCAGAATGCATACTCTCTCGTCTGTTTCTTCCCGAGAGCTACTTTGAACGGACGACCATAACATTCGCTGGAATCAACCTGCAGGTGTTAGTGGGGTTGGCTCTTATGATCGTCGGCCAGGTGTTCAGGACGCTGGCAATGGCCCAGGCTGGCAGCAACTTCAACCACACAGTCCAGGTGGTGCGCAAGGAGGGACACACATTGGTGAAGAGCGGTGTGTACAGCTTGTTTCGACACCCTAGCTACTTCGGGTTCTTCTGGTGGGGATTAGGATCACAGCTGGTCCTGGGGAACATGGTCTGCTTCTGGACCTACGCCATCATCCTGTGGAAGTTCTTCTCCGCTCGAATACAAAGTAAGCTAGCTATAACCCTCACCCCACACCAAATCAAGACAGGAAACGTTGACCTCGGTACAATCATAGGAGAGGAGGCGTACCTCATCCACTTCTTCGGTGAGGAATATCTAGAATACAAAAAGCACACAGGTGTTGGAATCCCCGGGATTCATTGATTGCCATGATTGCATGATCACATGGATCTCTAAGACTCAATACGAGAACCCTATCATTCCTTCAAATATCTTCCACTGCATATGTTCAAGACATTTTCCTGTTGATACGCCCACTCTTGTGATCGGTATTATACAAGCCTACATGCAAATAGACCGCTGTCTAATGTCTTGTTTCTAAATCTGCTCTAAGCGTTTGCCGGAAACATTTCCAGTGGTACATGGTCCAACTAAGTTAATTTCTAATTTGAATAAGTCAATACTCCTGCTGACAGTCATTCTGTCACTACTCCAGGGCAATCTTTGACAAACTTGCCCTTTCACCAAGCAATCAGTGCAATCATTTCATTACCTGCCAACTCATCTAGCGTTTCAGGCTAGATGGTTACACGGGATAGGAATTCCCTTTCTCAAACAAACTTGCCCTATTATCATTAGTTATTTAAACACCCTTATTTCTCTATATCACTGACAAGACATATCACTTGAGACTCCACTTATTCTTTATTATATCCCAACATCAACCCCCTCAGAATTATATAATACCACAAATCAAGACCCGGAACAACCATAGAGTTTGAAACCAACCTCCCGCACCAGCACCACCATCTGTAGATGTATACTACATCTACCTACCTTCTCAATATCGAAACCTAATTCCACCAACCAAACCACCAAAACAATCTATATCTAAAGAGAGAGAAAAAAAAAAAGACACAATGTGCCGCAGCCGCAGCCACATCCACAAACCCTGCGGCTGCACCACTTCCCACATCTACATCTGTCCATCCTTCCCCATCCAACCTCCACCACAGACCCTCAAAGCCACTCATCGCCGATACACGACCGACACCATCTCAAACCCCCTATACACACCGCGCCATCTATTCCTATGTCGAAAGTCCTTCTACGCTTTTCCCGACATTCAGGACCCGGCGCCCTGTCGATCTCATCGCGTCCTCGAGAGGGACGTTCGACTTGTGATGGGTCCGCCCCGAGCGCCAGATGGGGCATGGGATGAATTTGATGGATTTGGGTTCCGGAGAAGAGTTCGTGCTTTGCAGAGCAGGGATAAAGGGAGGGGTTTCTGTAATGATTCTGCTGCTGGTTCTGATCGAGGTTGTATTACACAGCAGATCATTGGTAGTAGTAGTATACCTTGTTCTGTGACGACACGAAAATTCACAAAGCAGATCTCTTCTACGGCGAAGAAGAGCAAGGATAACAATACCGTTAAATATCGACAGAAACAGCAACGCCAATTATCACGGGCTCGTCATCTTAGGGTCGTTCCAAAGGAAGGATACGAATCCTTTCCTATTATGGATATGTCTCGTGAGCGGGATATCGAGAAATGCGAGTTCATGTCGGAGGATGAAAGAGGGAATTACGACAAAAAGGGCATTTTGTCGCGGGTTTTGTCGCTGGCGATTAGTGGACGACGGGGTAGTAGTGTGGTATGAATGGGTGTGGTCTGATTGTGAGGATTTGTTTGCTTGCGCTTTTGCATGGTATGTGGTATAAGTGTTGGTTCTGGTGGACTTGAAGAAGGCCTTTTTCTTTTCTGTGTGTATGTGAAGGATGGTTCTTAATTTGATACCCTGAAGGCTTGGAGTTTGCTATCTGAAGGACATGTCAGAATGTCTCGTGCCTGCTTATGGGATGGATATATCTATTGAATTAGGTTACTATTGATGTGTCGAATCAGAACACGTTGGATTTGGATATCCGTATTTCCCAACTGGGATACCCGGTAGACGGTGATAGAAGTAAATAATATTTACATGTGTAATGAAAACGTTGAAGATAATGTATATAGCGCCAGACACCCTTGGCTAAATTGACAGTGGCAAGTTACCAGATCCTCCCCGGTCTTAGAGCTTGTTTTCGCGAGCAGCACCGCCAATAGCGCCGCTCATGTACGGCCCATCTTCGACGTTGGGGCTTGCATCTCCCTCTGCACCATAGAGGACAAGCTCCCTACCCCCTCTGGTGCTCCACCAAAGAACGCAGAAATGTGCACGCTCAACGTCCATCTCACCGTCGCTGAGGGCTTCCCAGAAGCGCTCAACACAGGGGACTCGCATATCGGGGTTTTGAATCTTATTAATCAGATGAGCCGTCAGAGGGAGCCACTCCTCCAAATCTTCCACCCGGAGGAAGCATAGACAGTCAATCAAAGCAAGGGTCAAAGCCGATTGTTCGGAGACCGGGGGTGGGGGATTGGTCAAGTCTTCTGCTGTCAAAGACTGCTTCGGTGGAGTCAGAGGATCTGAACTTGCTCGTTGTGCGCGATCGTGAAGGAGCTCTAGGAGGGTAGAAGGCAAAAGTGGCTGGCTGTTCGCCAGGGGTGAGGGGGGAGCGGTGATTCGAAGAATAGTCTTGTAAGCCAGACGGAACTGGCGGGTAGAGAGATTCTGTGGGAAGACCTAAATCGGTGTGAGCAATGGAAATATCACCAAGACCGCAGGAGGCTTACGGCAAAGAGGTTGTCAATGTAGAACGGTAGGTGGTTTGCTGCGATTTTGGCACTCTTAGGTGCTGCCAACACTGCGAGAACGACACTGTGGGCAGCCTCGAATATCTCCAAGAGATGGTTGTTTCCACCCTTGGCAAGGTACGGGAGAGAAGCAGGAATAAGGAGTTCTTCACTTGTTTCCGGTGACACAGTCAGAGTAAAGTGCTCTGCCGTATTTAGAAAGAAAAGATCCAGACTTCTCTCCAGAGGATGCGCGGGTATCTGACCCAGTTCAGCAGGCTTGATACTCCGCAGGAAATTCTCAGAGAGGTCTGTATACTGCGATAATATATCGATGGCGGTCAGGTACACGAACGAATACTGAGAAGATGCGTTTTGACCGATGCGTGACGACACGAAGTAAAGATTGCGAAGGATGTGCAGAACCTGCATCGATAAGAATGGAGCACCTAGCACAGTCAATCACATGAATCAGAAGGAGCATTTTCAAGGCGAACTTACTTCCATTGGCCGCCAACACGCGGTCATTCAGGACTCTCCCGAGAACAGCCCGCAAAACTATAGTTATTGAAAACATGCATGTGCGTAACAGTTTCCAGAGAGCAGGAACGGTCGTCTTCAAAGACTCTCCTTCCAAGAAATCAATTTCCTCGGATCTGTCAATCTCCGACAATTTGTTTTGCCGCCATTGGACTATCAAAGTTCGTACGAAGTCTGCCAAGTAATCGACGGTTCCCGATATGATGGAGCGATCATGGACATTCTCTACCGCATAAGCGATCAGTCGCGACAGAGGCCCAAGTGCGGATATTAGCGGTTTGGAAGAGATGGCCTCCATATGTCTATAACTGGCTGATCCTGCCGACCACAGGAACTTCTTGCCAGGGACTTCAACAACGTCACGATCGATTGCACCCAAAAAGTATCCCCCTTCAAGCCCCTCCTTTGAAAGGAAGGTAGCGCGGACCATGACCGGAAGCAGACGGTCGTAACTGAGCTGGCTCCTTTCGAAATCCGACAATAGTTCGAATGTGTGGTTCAAGACCATTGTTATAGCATATCCATCAATATCATCTACCGGTTTCAGTTCATTTAATGAAAGCTCTGTAGCTTTAACTAGTCCTGACTCAAGTTTCGTCCGAATATGTGAAGGCAGCCCCTGCCTGTTCTGACCTTCGAACCCGAGCAGGACCCCGCCAAGCAGTAACAGATGCCTCCATCGCGGAGACCTCTCATCTGCTCCAGCTACCACAGCCTTCACCCAAGCCTCGCGATCTAAACCTTTCCGTGTCGCATACGGTGCTCTGGGCGTATCTGTTTCTTCCTGCTGTAGGATGGTAATTGCGGCTGTGTTAAACACGCTGATGATCCGGCGGCATGTCTGCAGATCGACCCGGTTATCCCAGATCGCAGGAGAGCTCAACAGCTGAGACGCAAGAAGGGTCACATTAAGGGGGTTGGTAAGAATCGCCAGGAAACTGGTCGCAGTTGGAAGCAATCTGAGCACATGTCAGTAATAATTCATATACTCCGGCTCTCCCGGTTATCTTCCTTACGCGTAGGCGTCTTCAAGCTCGGACGCGGTCTGAAGCGATCGCAAGAGCCTTGCTAAAGAGCGCTCGGTCGCCATGCTTGCAAACAAAGGCCGATAAGAGCATCAATAAAACAGACAGATGCCTTGCTATCCCGCCCCAGATATCGGGATGCTAAATCCGCCGACGACCCCAGATGAGTCGCAGCCGAGGTATCGTTAGATGGCGGAAGCTAAGAACCAAACGGTGCAAACCGCGCCGCCGCTTTCCGCCGCGTCACTTGAAAGTTGAGCAGCCTCCGTAGCTCGTGCGGAGAAGTACTCAGACAGCTATCGTGTCCGTGTCCAAATACTTACGCGCCGGTTTGTTTCAAAGACATCCCTTCCCCAAGGACACGATGGTGCGTAATATTCCACATCCTGATCGCTTACCCGTTTGAAAAATCTCGCCACAGAGTACAAATGACCAGCAATCGGGTTCCGCTCGATTACGTTGTGCCATCCTTCCCATCGCTGTATGACCCCGTGTTTGCTGCCAGATCCGGAGACGCCAACTACCTTTACTACACCTCCGATATATGGCGCTTCACGCTTTTCTGGACGCTCCTACTGAGCGGTGGTGCACATCTGTTGGTCGCTGGCTGTGCGATCCTTATGCAATGGCGTAACTGGCGTGTTATCTGGATAACGCCCCTGGTCTATGGGGTGATTGGCGGCCTGGAAGCACTTTTGGCTGGCAGTATAGTTGGCCTACTGTGAGTTTCCCCCGGGTGATGCTACGATGTATATCATGGATGTTAATGTGTGTCGAGCAGCCTTGGGGCTGTTTATGAAGCAGGGAACTTTTCGATGTCGACTTGGATCCCCTTGGTTTGGGGTGGAATCAACGTTCTCGTATTGATATTATCAAGCTTTCCCACACAGGGCGGTCTATAAGATGGTATAACTAGACAGGGAGTGCGTATAAAGCCCACAGGAGCTACGTACTTCGATTACTCTTCCGGGCCTGAAGAGCCCCAAGGGATCGTTGCTACGACATACGATTACTCCCTGGAAACACACGACAGTCGGAAGCCGCTCGATGAGGGCGGATTCTACCATAGCTGCTGTCAAACTGTATGGCGCAATATGACACAGATAACAAAGCCGTCATACCGAGACGATCTAAAGCCCCCTTCCGGGGGCATAGATAAACGAGAACCCAACGCCGCATTTTGGACATAATACCTTCGACACAGTGCGCCCAACAACCCCCATTTATTACAAGCCCAGAAAGATTATCTCGCAGTACGCCAGTTTCCTCTCCTTTGTTCCTCCTTCAGACTATCATACTGGCTAGGGAGTGGACCCCTCTTGCGAATACCGAAAGCATCTTCGTTAGATCCGTTGTCGGCAAAGCCACTTTGCAAACCAGGAATGCCTCCTGCCATGGGAGGTCCCGCGGCACCGTTGTTGGGGGGAAGGTTTGGAGGCGGGAAATGCTGAGGTAATTGAATACCTTGAGAGAGAAGTTGTTTCTGCAATTCGGCAAGGTTGAGGTTCGCTGGCATGGGGGGAAATTGTGGTGGCATCGAAAAGCCGGGAATACCGAAATTCTGCGGGTTCTGACCTTTGTTCTGTGGTGGAACGCCGTTGGCCAGCATCGACGCCAGATGAGATGGGTCCATTTGAGGCATGGACATAGGCAGGCCCTGCGATGGCGGGGGTGGTGGCTGCGCTCCGCCAATGCCTGGGATTAAGCCCGGTACGCCAGAGCCGTCTGTGAAAGAAAGGCCGGGAGGGGCACCTTGTATACCAGGTAGCAGAGATGGTGCTGCAGGCTTCTGGTCGACAAGACCTTCCGCTTCGTCCTGCAACTCCTGCTCTTCTTCTTCACGCATTTGCCGTCTTCCAACCCCTCTGCTCCAGGTGCCTTGTGCCTCAGCCGCCTCCTCCCCGATGTGGAATCTATCCTTCATGTATGTTGTCTCTCCTGGTCTAGCTCGAGACCAGAATCGAGTGAAATTATCTTTTGAACCGGAGGCCAAGATATGACCCAGAGGGTGCCAATCTAATGACCAGATCGTAGAACCGTGCGCGTATTGGATACGATGAGCTGGATAGATAACCTGTGCTGGACAATTCTGCGGATCGGGGCTGTCCCATGGTGCAAGCGTAGGGACGTGTCCGGCTGGTACATTTGGTTCGTCCAGAAGATAGTGGTATAGCGAGCCATCTTCGCTCCCCGTCGATACCAAAGAGCTGTGGACGGGGTGCCATGTCAACGATGAAATGGGCTTTTCATGGCCTCTGAGGATACAGATGTCTCGCATCATCCTGAGATCGAATATCCTCGCGGTCTGATCTCTCGACGACGTAGCTAGGAGGTTGTTGTTCACTCTCGAAAACCTCGTTGTAGTCACGGTGTTTTTGTGACTGTGTAGTGTTGTTAAACATCGTCCAGTGCGAGGATCCCAGAATTTAACCTGGTGATCTTTGGATCCTGAGACGAGTAGACCTTTTGTCGGGTGCCAATCGCAAGATTTGACGTCCCAATTGTGACCGGTGAGCACAGTATCACACATGCGTGCCGTAAAGTCGAAGATCTTCAAAGTCGTGTCGTCGGAAGCCGAGAGGAACTTGGTATCGCTGGGACTCCATGACAGGTCACGAACGGCGTCATGGTGGGCGTCATCCACGGTCTCAACGTTGTTGAAATTGGGACGCCAATATTTCACATCACCCTTCTGCCCTCCGGAAATAAGCCAGTCATGACTATGAGACCATGCCGCTGAAGTAACACCTGCTTGGTACTGGTCATAGTGTGCCTAGATTGGTGTCAGCCAAAAAGAATTTCCAAGATCACGAACAATTATCCTTACATCCATGACGGTTTCGAAATTGAACGCGGTGCCGTTCCATAACATGAATTCTCCAGTATGTCCACCTGTCAATAACCGCCTACCCTCCGGTGTCCATCTCACAACAGTAATGGGCTTTTTTGACTTTCCAATTGATTGATGTAGATGTCGAACGGGGATCGTGTCCGCAGGCGAGTGGATTCGAGCCAAGGGGGGTACCATCTAGGGACAGATCAGTCGCTGAATCCATACGTCCAAGAGGTGAACATCTCACATCCACTACGTAGCTTGCGCTGGGCCTTTCGGCCTCCATCCTATGAGCTCCCTTGTATCGCGGGCGCCTCGTGCGCATCCATTGTAGCATTGATGAGCCATAATCGGTGACCGGTCCTAATCACACCGTCAGCATAGCCAGGTACATGATATATTGGAATCGCGACATACTTGGCCTCCGTGGCCCTACAATCCCGCCTTCATATGGCCTTGCAGGTCTCGTGGCGTATTGCGAGTCGCTGGCGGACTCGTCGTAGAGGGCCATCGCAACACCGTCACAAGAAATTGCCCAAACGCGAATGTTCGATCGGAGTAAGAGCTTGAAGGACAGCAAACATATCAAGAAAATATCACCACATTAGCACGTACTCCTGATCTGCGACTGAAAATCGGCAGAAACTCTGTAACCCGCGCGATCGGGCCTTGTAGGTTCGTCCGCGTGCAGCGGTTAGATAGTCGGCGTGCTGAGCAGAAACCGCGGAGTTGATGTTGCTGGCGTCGGCCGTCATTGGTCCAACAGCTGTCGGCGGTACCAGGAAGTCCGGAGGTCACAGCTCTCTCAACCTTGCCTTGTTTCGCCATTGCGGTACAACAACCCCGCCTGCCCTTGCTCTTCTCTACCAGGTCTTCATCGATGTCTCTCTGTGGCCATTGATTAACTGAACTGGCGGCGGAGTGCCTGCTCTGGCCTGCTAGTTGTCGTCTTAATTCTCCCAATTGAGTATCGTTATTATTGTGATTTGGCACGTTTACCATCTGTTGACAACTGTAATAACGCTATCTACGTCTAATCTTATTCTGTTCTTAACAGACCGGGAGACTATCTGGACGCTTAACATCATCTGGATAGCTTTGTTCATTATCTTCCAGAATGGCGGCCGTGGTAGATAGTGCTGTCACCTCCGGCCATGACGTGCAGCTATCAGATCCGAAGTCCATCCACCAAGAGACACAGAATGGATCAGGTGCTGCGCCCGGAAAATCTCCCGTTCCTCGAGCGCAAAAGGCCAGGTCAAAGTATCGCCATATTGCGGCTTATCACAGCAAGATACAGCATTCCTGTCTCAGCCGAGAGTCAGAGGTTACGCCGAGTTTTGTCGGGTTCCGGAATCTCATGGTTATTGTTTTAGGTACGGTTGAGATCCGTCTCATGGGATGGAGGCACGTGCTGACTGAGGGACAGTTGTAATGAACTTGCGCCTGGTCATTGAAAATTTCATGAAGGTAGTTATTGTTTCTATGTTCCTGCAGGTGGTGTTGATACTCACTTGCACTTAGTACGGTGTTCTCATCTGCATCCGATGTCACGACTACCGGAAACAGGACCTTATACTTGGTGCTATTCTCTTTGCCCTTGTTCCATGTCATCTGTTCGTTGCCTATATAATTGAATTGGCTGCCGCCCAACAGGTCAAGGGTGCCGTGGGACGCATGAAGAAAGATAGTTCTGCTGAAGAAAACGAGAGAGAGCAGAGAGCCTTCCAGTCGACCTGGCGCTTGGCGGCATTTGCTCATACTATCAATGCCACGCTATGTCTCGTTGTTACTAACTTTGTCGTATACTTTTATATCCATCATCCAGGTATAGGGACTCTGTGCGAGTTCCATGCGATCATTGTCTGGCTCAAGAATTGCTCTTATGCCTTCACCAATCGGGACCTGCGACATGCACTGCTAAATCCGTCTGCTAAGTCTATGCTCCCGGAGATCTATTCATCGTGTCCATATCCTCAGAACATCACCGTCGGAAACTTGACATATTTTTGGTTAGCTCCTACCCTGGTCTACCAGCCAGTTTATCCCAGGACATCGCACATCCGTTGGTCTTTTGTGGCAAAACGCGTAGCGGAGTTTCTCGGGTTGTCTGTATTCATCTGGCTTCTTTCAGCGCAGTACGCTGCTCCTGTTCTCCGGAATTCGCTCGACAAAATCGCGGTCCTTGACGTCGCCTCGATCTTGGAACGGGTCATGAAACTTTCCACAATCTCGTTGGTCATATGGCTTGCTGGTTTCTTTGCGCTCTTCCAATCATTGCTCAACGCATTAGCTGAAGTGATGCGCTTCGGAGATCGCGACTTCTACTCAGACTGGTGGAACAGCCCAAGCGTTGGTATCTATTGGAGGTCATGGAACAAACCCGTCTATCTCTTTATGAAGAGACACATATACTCCCCGCTGGTGGGAAGAGGTTGGAGCCCTTTTATGGCAGGCATGGTGACATTTACGTTCTCGGCCATACTCCATGAGATACTGGTGGGGGTTCCAACTCATAATCTAATCGGTATGCTTCCGTACTTTGGTCCTTAAAGTCATATTGCTGATCCTTGCGTAGGCGTTGCATTTGCTGGCATGATGTTTCAAGTGCCACTCATCGCAGTTACTCTGCCGTTGGAGAAAATGGACGACTCTCTAAGTAAAATTGTGGGCAATTCAATTTTCTGGGTGAGCTTCTGCCTCGTTGGCCAGCCGCTGGGTGCGCTGTTGTACTTTTTTGCGTGGCAAGCCAAATACGGAAGCGTGAGCAAGACGCCTACAGTCTAGAGTGCAGTTGCAGAGGTTTGCATGGGTTAGTTTGATTTGAAGCCTACTTCGGACGAATTTATAAATACATTATCGACCTATATCGAATATCGCCTATATCAAACTCTGCCATTTGTTTATTCTACGCTCTTCAGCAAGCAGCTTCCTTGACAGATCTTGAACGAATTGTAATGAAGAGACTTCAAAAGTTCTGCTTTAACAGATCTACACGTCTTCAATATCAATAACCAAGAAAGGGATCCCGAATCCAAAGCACGGAAGCAATAGTAGCTAGTTATGGTTTGATCCTCCTAGCTAGTCGCTAGATTGCCATAGTATTATATCCAAAATTTAATAAATTCGTGAACCCGTATTTATCTCCTAGTCATACAAAGAATCTAGATCCCAAGAGTTACAACGATACCCAAACAGAAGAACCCAAGATCAGCTCCAAAACGATCAATTCCACAGGCAACGATAGGGTTCTACAGGGGAACATGTTTTGGCGCCCGGGCCACTCGGATTCGGGCAGTCTGGGGTCCCGAGTGGATAGCCTCACGGCTGGGCTTCTACAATAATTGCCCCGAGTCCCGACCAGGCAACCAGTTATTACGTCCACTGGACAAATTCCACGTTTAAAGGTTGGAGATAGTCCCCTTTAATAATATTCCTGGATCTCCCCTAGCAATTGAACTCATCTGATTCATTCATCCAGGCAGCTGTCGCAAACTGAATATTCACCATCTGCACCTTTGTCATTACGGTTTCTGTCCGGGCTAACTTTGAACTGAGCAAAGATGATCACTATCACACTCCCTGAGAATTACGGGTGAGTGCCCTTCTCCATGACTGTTCGCGCCTCGTATCTGGAGTCCAGGTGGGCAATATTCCGCGCAAGGAACTGCTGATTGACATGTATCAGCGCTGCCATCGCCGTCGCACTGGGTGCGATTCCTGTCCTTGGTTTTATCCACGGTTTTGTTACCGGCCGTACTCGAAAGGCAGCCAAGGTTCCCTATCCTCACAGCTACGCCAGTGTCGAGGAATGCAAGGCCAACGTGGGTTCCCACGAATCCCTCTCAAGCCAGTCTGGCGATACGATGCTAATCGAATCTTTCTCTCTCATATAGCCCAAGGCTGAGCAGTTCAACTGCGCTCAGCGTGCGCATACCAATTTCCTTGAGAATGCTCCCCAGACGATGCTTTTCACCCTGGTCGCCGGTCTGAAATACCCGAACGCCGCTGCAGTCGCTGGCGCAGCTTGGGTTTTCTTCCGTTCGCTCTTCCTGTATGGATACGTATACTCTGGAAAGCCCCAGGGAAAGGGCCGAATGATGGGTGGCATGTTCTGGCTTGTCCAGGGAGCCCTTTGGGCATTGACTCTTGGGGTCGCGAAGGACCTCGTGACCTTCTAAACTGTGTATAGATATGTATGAACTGATAGGATTAAAAAAAAGGCCACGTAGATGCCTGCAGAAATGAAGATATGGAATATTCCTGAAAACCTGACCTTTACATTGCAGAAAATAGTGCTTTATATATGGCTAAGCCACGAGGTCTGTTGTCGCCATATGAAAATACACTGTAGACTTTCTTCCAACTACAGCATAAACAATAAATAGACCAGGATCCGCTATAAACACAAGATCTTAGATCAGCAGCTTCCAGACCTTCAGGGATTCTGCCAGGGGAGCTAGATAGATAAGTACCATACTTACTTGCATGTATCGGCGGCCAGCCAATCGAAGTGGGGCACCGTCATCGCGGGCCGCATTCGTGAATTCAGCGAATTTTTGATGCATTACAACTACAATATTAATTCTGAAAGGAACTCCTGTCAATACAGATAGAACGGCCAAGACGAGAGTTTCCTCTTGCATTCAATTGACCATTCATCCTCCTTTAAACCCAAAGCAGAGCTTCGGAGAAAGGATAGGACAGAATATTTTCCATCCTGCCCCTCCAAATTTACCCCTCTATCTGCATTGAACGACCATGTCTTCCAGATCGCAATTGAGGTACTCTGAACGAGCGCAAAAGCATCCTAACGTGCTCGCGAAGAAGCTGTTCGAAATAGCGGAGGCAAAGAAGACTAATGTCACTGTATCTGCCGATGTCACGACTACGAAGGAACTGCTGGATCTAGCTGACCGTAAGTTAACACTTATCGCTCTCAATTACACACATGCGCGCATTCCAATGTCTTTTTTTTTATAAAGCTGACAATATATCTGTCCTATACAGGTCTCGGCCCCTATATCGCCGTGATCAAAACCCACATTGACATCCTGTCCGACTTCAGCGAAGAGACCATCTCCGGCCTGACGGCGCTCGCGAAGAAGCACAACTTCCTCATCTTTGAGGACCGCAAGTTCATCGATATCGGTAACACCGTCCAGAAGCAGTACCATGGTGGAGCTCTCCGGATATCTGAGTGGTCCCACATTATCAATTGCGCCATCCTCCCCGGTGAGGGTATCGTCGAGGCTCTCGCCCAAACTGCTTCGTCGCCAGATTTCCCATACGGAAAGGAGAGGGGACTGCTTATTCTAGCAGAGATGACCTCCAAGGGATCCCTTGCCACGGGAGAGTACACGAAGGTCTCAGTCGACTATGCCAGGAAGTACAAGGACTTCGTCATGGGCTTTGTTTCGACGAGGGCATTGTCGGAGATCAAATCGGACGTGACCACGGCTTCGGATGATGAGGACTTTGTGGTTTTCACCACCGGTGTCAATCTGTCGTCGAAGGGTGATAAACTTGGACAGCAGTACCAGACACCTCAGTCAGCGATCGGCCGCGGTGCGGACTTTATTATTGCTGGTCGTGGGATCTACGCTGCGCCGGATCCTGTTGAGGCTGTTCAGCGCTACCAGCAGGAGGGTTGGGAGGCATATGAGGCTAGGGTTGGCAAGCAGTGAGAATATTCTATGATCTGTCTTTTTATATTTGTAGCAGAGTCGTGGCTATATAACCCTTTTGTGACCCAGATACAGTATGCATGCCACGTGATGATTTCAACAAGGTATTTCCCAAATACGAAATAAACCTTCTACCTACTTCAAATTCCAATATGCCGAATAGCGAAAAGAAAAAGACATCACTTCCTCCGACCTCTCCTGTAACATTCAAGGGAAGCTGAGCTCACGTATGCAAAGTGACGGGCAGGGATTTGCTGTCCTTGAGTTCTCCGAGATACCGGGAAAGTTGGGGAAGGGTGATGCGAATATAGTCTTGTTGGCTAAGTTGAAGGTGGACTCGTGGAGAGTGTCGGGTTAAATTGAGCCCGTACTGTCAGTCTATATTATAGAGATAAATGCCGAAGACTAAATTCAATCTAGTGAAATTAGAGACCCAACAACCTTCACCAGCGTCTCACCCTAGGCCTCTACTTTCGAACAGCCCATTGAGAGACTGTCAAATCTGCGGGCACATTTGTCTCAAAAGAGACCGCCATCCATGTGTCGTAACAAGGGTGTTTTATGCAACGGAAGGCGAAGAAGTTATGAAAAAAAAAAAAAAAAAAAATGTATGGATTTAATCTGACAGACAATGATTGCAATCGATTAATTCCTGGAGGGACAGAAAGCTTTAGCCTTCTACTAAGTCCACATTGTTCCTCATTCTCTCGTGGGTCGCACAAACGTCGATGGAGAACTGCAGCTGGTACGTGGTCTTGCTGTAACTGAAATCGCATACGGATTTATTGACTGCCATTAAGGCTGAATCCAAAGAAAGCCGTTGCCAGATACTAGATATGTTTGATCCTGACATAGTTCACCTGCTCGAAGGGCTGAACATTGACCGGTCAATGAATGCGTTCGCCCTGGTAATAAGCCTTCAGCGGCTATGTATTCTGTAGTCTCGAAAGAAAAAAATAATAATTTTCAGCCTGTATGACTCCAGCCGCAAACTTACAAGGTCGATTACGTCGATTCAGGCTCCATATTTTGGATTGTCATCCCCCCTGTCACTGTTACCTTCTGTCTGACTTCAGACTCGATCGTCATATTGTTGAATCCTAAATATCACGGAAGCAAGGTTATGTCTTGAGCGTCTAGCAGCTCACTGCTAGTTGCGTGCTTGATTCCAGGTCTAGGAGGAGGCCGTCCCCATGCTTATCTCCTAACTATGCAAAGAATTCAAATCCCCGTTAAGAACATGCTGCAAAAGGATGATACGATTGATCACCTGCTCACGTCTTTGTACGCTGACAGGAACCTGGGGAGACGGTCTTATCTCCAACGATTGCGTATCCGGACGATAGCGATATAGAGTCATAACGGAGAGGAGAGACTGCTGCAAGTTGGGGTAAAGAAGTCAAAGGTCAATTATCACCGAGATAAATCCTAGTGCACAGTGCTTTGTCGCAGAAAGTTCAGTGCGTCAGACCCTTATTATTGACTCGAATCATTTAGTTATTTTTGTTTGCCAGTTATCGCGGGCGGTACGTATCTCGCCTGATAAAGCTACCCTTGGCGGCCGGTAGAATGGCGCCCTAGGCGTGTTTAAGATTCTCACCATTCATCCCACCTTCGAATAAGCTTATGGTTCCAGCTCCGCAACAACCCCACAAGTGTCACGTAGCGTTGTATCCTGGAGGCGGCGGATGGTGCCGACTGTGCTTGATAGGGAAAACACTCCATAGCCGAGGATTATCGTGCAGAGAATGTTCCTCCGGCGAGGACGCCAATCACCAAAACTGGCGGCTCTCACGATCCGGGGAAGCGTGGCAAAGCTGTGGGTTTCGTTTAGTGGCATCGACCTTCCCGATTAGTCCTCCACATGGATATCAACCCCTCTTCCTCCTCCTTCTCCTCCCATACCCGGGTACCGATTCCACTGGCTATACTCATGGCGCAGGATGGTATCTGGCTGATATATAAATATAGGAGGATAGATGGCATAGATGGCATAATACTTCAACCTTTTGCAGTTGTCCAGAAGGCGTTTGGCAAGATATCGTGATAAGGAGCTCGGGGATCGTTATCTCTGTATCTGACGCATCGGATTCGTCAACGCGAGCTACCTACACTAATCGGGAAACTCAGCTGTCGACGTGGGCCGAAGTTAGGGTGGCACAGATCAGGCAAAAGATAACAGTCCTGGCTTAAAAGTAATCTGCGATCTTGGAATTATTGCTCCCACTGTCCAGACCTCCCGGGCACATTGCGTCTTCCAGCACCTTTCCATTGAGAGTACTCTCCAGCCTGGAAAGACGGCTACAATCCTGGTGACGGACCCCGGGAAAGGACATCCTGACAGACGCATTTCCTACTATAGAGGTACGCAGTTATGGAAACGGTCGACGAGAAGAACCCCACCCCGGCAGCGGTGGCGGCGACCGATGTCGAGAGCAGTCCGGTGGAAAAGCATCCAGACGAGAAGGTCCTGCAGCATTCACACGACGCCGATGAGGCCTTGAAGGCCTTTTCTGGGCTCGAGGGAGAATTGATCGAGGTCGATGAAGCGACCAACAAGAGACTCTTGAGGATCATTGACCGGCATATGATGCCATTGATGTGCGTTATCTATGGCCTGAACTATCTTGACAGTATGGATCACCTTTCGCCTAGGACTCTGGTGTCCTAAGTACATTTTTCTAATCCCTCATGAATATAGAGACGACTTTGTCATATGCAAGCATTATGGGAATCAAGACGGATATTGGCCTGACGGGAGATGACTATCAATGGCTTGGTAGCATGTTCTACTTTGGTAACAACATCCAATGACGAATCTATAACCTTGGTACTCATAGAATACAGGCTATCTGGCTTGGGAATATCCCACGGGTCAGCTTCTCCAGCGATTGCCTCTGGGAAAATATTCTGCATGCTGCATCATCCTGTGGGGGCTTATCCTGTGCTGCTTTGCGGCAGTTAGTAACTACTCTGGCGCAATTGCGATCCGATTTTTCCTGGGTATATTCGAAGCTGCAGTGACACCGGGGTTCGCCCTTCTCACCTCTCAGGTTAGTCTTCGGCCCAATCTATACGGTTGTTCGCATGTGCTGACCGATTACGATACCGCCAGTGGTATACTAAGAAAGAGCAAGGAACCCGTGTCGGTATTTGGTTCAGTTTCAACGGTTGGGGTCAGATATTTGGAGGCTTGGTGGCATATGGTATCGCCGTTGGTGCGCGTAAACATGGATCAGCAATCGAACCTTGGAAGATCATCTTCCTAGTCACCGGCCTCCTGACCATCGCCATGGGAGTGTACTTCTTCTATCTCATCCCTGACAGCCAGCTGAATGCACGCTGGTTGAAGAAAGAAGACCGGATTCTCGCCGTTGCACGTGTGCGCGTCAACCAGCAAGGAATTGGCAACAAGCACTTCAAGAAGTATCAGCTGAAGGAGGCTCTTCTCGACCCCATGACGTGGGCATTTTTCTTCTACGCCCTCGTGGCTGATATTCCCAATGGCGGTATTAGCAACTTCTTCAGCCAACTGGTAAGTCAAGAGACAATGTTAAGTATTTCTTGTATCGCTACTAATCTTACTTTATAGATTGTGAGTTTCGGCTATACGTCTGAACAGAGTCTGCTATACGGAGTTCCAGGTGGAGCGGTGGAAGTCGTCGCTTTGGTTTTGAACGGATATCTTGGAGATCGTTTCGGACAGCGACTTCTTTGCGGTTCTGGAGGCCTGGTGTGCTCGATCGTTGGAATGATTCTCATTGTCGCCCTGCCGCTGTCCAACAATGTTGGTCGTCTGATCGGATATTACATGACCCAGGCAAGCCCAACTCCATTCGTGGCGCTGCTGTCTCTCGTCTCGAGTAACGTTGCCGGCTACACCAAGAAGACTACGGTAGCAGCATTCTACTTGATCGGATACTGTGTCGGTAACATTATTGGTCCCCAAGTCTTCCGTCCGCAAGATGCTCCACGATACGTCCCAGCTGAAATCACCATCATCGTGTGCTGGGGTGTATGTCTGCTGGACTTGTACTTCATCTGGTGGTGGTACCGTCGACAGAATGCGCAGAAAGCCGAGACTCGCGCGGATCCTTCTTATGTCAGGTTGGCGAACCAAGAGTATGTACCAGCCATTTGTTTTAACCCACACGTAGACAAAAAAAGGAACGTGAAAGCTAACAATTATTACCCAGATGGCTCGATCTCACTGACATGGAGAACCCTGAATTCGAGTATACCCTTTAGTCGAACTGCATCTTGAGTATATGTATCATTTTGTTTATGATGAATGTTATAACTAACGAATATTTACTGCCCGCTAGAATTGGGTGTTGAAGCATGAATGAAAACGAATTGTTATAAATACCTATGTCTATTTCTGGATCGGTATACAACATATAACACCAGCGCAGTGAGACACTGTCTATAACTTGCCCTAATCGGCCCCTATTCTGTAGACAAGTCTTGAGATTAGAAGTGAATTATTGGTTTAGCCTTCAGATACCAAGGGGAATTATAAGGATTCTGGATAGTTTCCTCGGTCCCCCTTTCCGGGTTACAGGGCACAAACGTCGAAGTAGAAGCTGAACTACTATAACTTGGAAGATACTTGAACCCTGGCCTTAAAATAACACATATACATGACCAAAGCGAACGTTTCCCCAGAGCCCTATTCAATCGCTGAGGGAGACCGGAGCTTTTTCTGCTATTTGGTCATGGAGGGGTGATATTGTGATTCCTTTTTTCGTGTTATCCTCAGATTGTCAGATGTCTAGAACTATCGTAATAATGTGCCAAACACGTCTATCGATGCTTGGACAACTGACTCGATGTTCGCTCATGAGGACCATCACAAAAGCTATGTACAGTACATATGACAGAAGAGCAAAAAAACCCGGGGATCGTCCTCGTGATTAATATGCCTCGGTAACGTCTACAATAAAAATTTGCGATTTTAAACACATGACGCCTTTTCTGTGCGTTTTGTGTTTTCCCTTCTGACCTTGGGAGTTTATTGCTCGTGTTTTCTGACATAGACTCTAACTACTAGATAGGTCCATACGCTTGCATCCCGTACATGCATATGGTTTGCGACGCACCGAGAGTTTACCATATATTGCGTTGAAAGGACCGTTCCGTTTTCTGCCGAGACTCGGCACTCACCGTTACTTTACTTTATTCTTTTTTGTTTCCCCAGTCGGAGAAAATGCATACAATAATGAAGTGGAGGTGATCGAAGAACCTCCTATGCTCAGTGTCGACGACGATGAGTTGTCTGTTCTAACTTCTCAGCCTGTCTGTCCGCGACACAGCACACTGCTCTGCTTAGTTCGTCCCCAACATTTTCCAGATTGTTCTGACTCCCCCCCCCAATACTGGTGCGGAGTTGTGGAGGTCTCTCTTAGTTCGGTGTGTACCTGGCTGTGGACAATAATAATGTCAGATCGAAAATCAGCATGGAATTTTCAACTATGGTGGGAATTCACTCCACTCGCCCTAAAAAAGGGACTGCTCACCAGGAACTGCAGCAGTGAGTGATGGGGTTTTTCGCGTGGTTGTGGTGCTTTCGCATGATTGGATCGGATCGCCCATGTCGAGTGCAGTGGAGGTGAAGAGAAGCCGTCGATTGAGCTACCAAATACCGGCCGACTCACAGTTCTGAGGGTTGATTAATCAACGAACCCTGGATGGGGCGCGGAAACCATGCGAAGTCCCGTCGACGGACGCTCCCGGGACGAGTCATAGCCCTTGAACAGGCTCGTGGCTGGTCTGAGACGTCAGGTACAGTACCCTGCTCCAGCTTTGCGTTCCAGCGCTGTATTTAGAATAGATACTCTATATTTGGCCAGGCACCCAGGAACCAGTCAGTACATGGCGCCTACCGGCGTGATGGCAAAGAATATGACAAAAACAAAGATGAAACAGTGTCAACACGGAGAGTGGTTGGACAACAATGCCAGAAACAAGGCGGTAGCCCAGCGTGTCGCCGGAGTGACCCATCATCATTTTGACGGACAGGTAATAATAATACTAACCACCGGATCGAGCAGTATGGAGTAAACTACGGAGTAGACGTAGAATAAAACAGAAAATAGACTTGTTCTTAGCCTGAGGACGATTTATCTAGGTGGAGGCCGACTTGGTCAAACGGGCTGGGAGAGGCGGTGAGCTCGTGGCTTGGGCGGTGCGGGAAGGGAAAAGCCCACGAAGAAAACAGGACAATGATAATCGATCACCGTCACCAGCAGCTGCGCTCACTTGGAACTTGGGAGACCTAGCTGCGTAGGGTGACGATTAACTTTGCCATGCCATGCTCTGTGATGCTCTACGGTGTCAGTCCCGGCCAGTCATGCCCAGGAATGTCCAGGAATGCCACTACGAGTCGGCCGACGTGGGCCATCCGCCATGGCGATCCGTCTATCCAACGAAGAACGGTCATGACTGAGGTCGGCGCCAAAAGCAAATCACGGCGGATAGCTGGTGCATGACCCTCCAGTGCTTCTTGTCTTTGGCGCCCGCGCTTCAATTCCAAATTTCACGGCCCGTGAGGGGCAGGGTCAGTCGGTCAGACTGTTAGAGACCACGAAGGTTGACCAGTATCGGCTGGCTGCAGTGAAGCAGAGCAGCACCGCCCAATGATCCATGAGGGCGGCACAGCAGGTCTTCTGTATGGTCTCTTCACCAAGCGTCAGACGTTAAAACCTTTTTTTTTTACTGTTTTTTTAACCCCTTCGAGTGAGACTGCAGGTACTAGAGCAGACTGGCCCATGATCCTCGACTACTTCGGGTCCGGCGTGAGCGCCAACGAGTCTGGACCCTGGATGGTTGAGCCTTGTGGGCGGTCTGGAGAGACTTGAGAAGTCCGTCATGGACACCTGAGTTAGGTTACTGACCGTCGGATACGGAGAAATAGTCAGTTACTACTGGATTGAAGAACTGCGACTTCTACTCTACAAGCGCGGGGCGTGGCCGCTAATGCTGCCACCAAGACAAAGACGAAGATCCCAGACGGGAAGAGTCGACCACCACGCCGGTCAAGGTTCGTATATAGAGCGGACAACGACCCTTGCTTTCCTCGTGAGTGTCATTCGGGTGTCAAGCTATCTTACCAGACCCCAATCATATCCTGTCACCGCCTCGACCCTGTCGCCTTGCCACCGGCGGGCATGCCACAGACACACCCATCACTACATTCCTCGAGGCGTTGATCGTCTCCTCCGAGTGCGCCAGAAAGAGATACGGCTGGCAGGACCGTTATCGAGTACTTTATTCCGAGGTCGACTTCGTCACATCCCACAAGTCGCATCACCCTTCTACGACTTCTATCCTATCGTTTGATAATATTTCTTCCCTGAGACCATTTCTCTCTCTCTCCCTTCTACTCTCTTCATTCCAGCGGTTCGGCAGGGATCGGCCCCACCAGTCTGGCCCGGATCTTATCGCGAGTGTGGCTGGTGTCTCAACGCCCCAGGACACTGCCACCGTTGTTGACGAATACAGTGACAATTAAAGCAACATAGGAATATTCCGGAAAGCAAAGAGCAAGGTGCTCTTATATGCGCATTGTCGATCTTCTAAAGCATAGTTTCTGTGAATCGACAGTTGAGTGTTGCAGCAAATCAACGTCCCGTGTTATCCGGACCTTTTACGACATACTTTATTTACACTGGACGACAAACAACTATATCCGCCTAGGAGCCCGAAGGTCACCCTCTTATTGGCGCCACTTGTTCTCCAAGTCTGAAACGAGGTTTGTGTGACATGTGCTTGGACCAAGATTCTTCAGTGCACCAGCTGATCGGCCAGTCATTCGTTAGACTTCTTTGCCAGTTGGGGTCAGAACGACTCAGGAACCATGACCACCGCTTTCACATGCAACTGGCAACAGCAGAACATTCATAGCAACCAACAACAGCGGCAGCACATTGACCTCATATCCCACCCTTTTGTCCAGTTACATACTGCGCCCTGCAGCGATGCCATCCTCAAGCCCCCTCTTGATATACCCATGATTGCAGACTTGGATGGCACTACAACAGTCCTCTCTCCGGACCTGTACCAGGGCGTCTACACCACTGTTCAACTCACTGACCTAGACAACATGTCGCCTCCTCTGTCTCCGGGTTTAACTAGCAGCTCTTCCGTCGATGACAAGGAAGGCAAGCAAGAACCGCAGGGCCTGATCAAATCTGGAACTGCAATAGAAACCGCCCGGTCGAAGAAACCCAGTTCTCGCGCATCATCAACATCCAAGCGCCATAACCGGTCTACCTCTAGGAGTACTGCCGGAAGATCAGCACCGGCTAGTGCTCGAAGTTCCCTGCAGCTACCTACGCGGCAGCCAACATACGGCTCCTTGTCTCCTTCCAGCTCTCATCGGAGTGGCAGAACAGTCATGTCGCGACAGAAACGGGATGAATTGATTTCCCTGCATCGTGAAAGTTGTCGAATATTCCAGGAGAGCGGAAGCAGCTGGACTGGAATCCAGCAGGAGATCGGCCGTCCGGTGTTACGGCATAGCATTGAAATAAACGATCCTCTCCGTCCTTCACGTCCACCTCGCGCCAACACTGCGCCGGCGCACGACTTTGCACGCTCGACGCCTGAATGGATCTCTATACCATCTCCTTCTGCAACATCTCCCGTCAAGTCGCGGCGGTATCCGCCCTCTGCTCTTGAGGCTGCATCAGAGCACGCTTCCGATTCCGAGCGTTCAGACGCCGATTCTGTTCTTGTTCACTCCGTGGGACGGCAAAGTAAGACTTACTCGGAATATGAGCGCCCACATAAGCCAACACCTGCTACTGTGATCGACTGGACCTCCCCGTCCACGCGGAAGCGCGAGTACGAGAAAATCGATCGTTCCACTCGGGGCGTCCGTGGACTTTGGAGACGTTTCGCGCCCAGGTGGTGCCAATCAGGCTCCAAGAGAACGCCCTTCTATGAAGTAGGAAAACACGGCAAGCCCAACTACGAAGGAAGCGTGCGGCGTTTCAGGCTAGATGTCCCGGACGAGGAACCTTTTGGCGACATGGAATGCCACGAGAAGTCCCTTGTCGGGTTGGGTGGCGACGGTCAAGACGATTCGAGTTTCTACGACATGCTCGAGAACAGGCATAGTAAATCAAGCTCTTCCAGCGACCGCGGAACCTGGCGCTGTCTGAAGACAAAGAGACGAGCGATGTCGACGCGTTAATTTCATTATAATTACCCCATTCGAAGCGACCTTCTACGCCCATTCCATGCCACCGGTGTTCTGTTGATTTCCTTTCTCTTTTCTCCATATGGCGGGCTTTCTGTCTCACCAAAATCATAAAGCTCCACACTAATGCGCAGGTGCATCACAACTAAGCCCTGGGTGACTATCCGCCTGTGGTACTTTTCTTTCGGCTTTCTTTTTAGGGGCATTTCCCTTGAGTGTTAATTATTGCATTTGAGCGAGGGGGCTGGAGTGTTGTGCGATTTCCTGCATACTTTATTGATGATACCACTTCGTTTGCGTTACTACATTGCATCCGGCGCCTTGAAGTGGCAGCCACAAGACTGTGATACCCGTACATACGATGACAAGAGTATATGAACATACACGAATAGTTTGATTATTGAATACAAACAATAATATATATTACCTTACATTATGTCTTGTATGGGCCAAGGTCGCAATAGCAGTGGATCTATAGTCTTCTATTCGTTACGAAGGATAGCTCAGCGCGCTATTTATGATGATATCATCTGTTATTATCTAACTAGATCATAACCCTAATGTTGAACAATAATCCTTTTCTTTTTCCCGGGACGCAGAGAAATTCCTATAAACGCCGTCGCAATGCATGTGGTAGACAACCGAATCATTCTCGGTCGATCCGTCCTCTCATCTTCGTATCCTAAACCCTTGCCTATCTGACAATCACCACGGGTATGAAAAAAGCACATGCTAATTGCATATGCTAGCAACTTCCAATATCAACGACAACACGCCAAGTGCGCACGGAGAGTGAAGCCACCGCGCTCACAGCAGTTCGAAATCATCCAGCTTGTCGCGGTACTGCATGATGGTGCGCTTGATCTTGCTGGAATCGACCCATGTGACGAAGTCCTCCATACTGCGGGACACGAGATAAGCAGGATCCGTAACGACTTCCGTGCCGACTCTCACGTGGCCTTGTTCGATGAATGTGACGGCCTGATTGATGCAAATATCAGCATCTTCCATCCTCTCCCAGCTTCTTCAGAAGGACCAACTCGCCGCAAGGGGAGGGGTGAAGGGGGGGGGGCAACATACCGCCTTAATAGTCTCCACCATCCCCGACCTAACCATCATAACCGCCAACCGTCTCCTACAGAATGCCGAAACAGTCACTTCCCTCTCGACCTTACTCAATCCCGCGCCCTGCTCGCGACTCTGCTTCAAGATCCCCATTGTCCATAGCTTCTCGAGGAGTTCGGTCTCGGTCTTTCTCCGGAAGGGGTCTTCGGGGTCCAGCGCGGAGAGCTTGTGTGCGAGTTGTCGCAGAGAGCCAGCGAGGGAGTTGTATTTCTTGTAGTCCATGGGATTTTGGAGGTAGTAGCGCTGGCGGACGGCATGTTCGCGATGGCCGGCGTCGGATTTGTAGTTGTGGAGGTCGACTTTGCGGAGGAGTCTAGCGGGGTTAGTTATGATGATTCATCGTAATGGAGGGATTATTCTCTAGCTCAAAGGATATGGAGACCGAAGTCATGGATGGATACATACCGCTGCTCGTGATGCTTAAGTTTTCGGACCATGGTTGCGGTTTGTTCAGATGCGGCGTATTCACCTTCAAGAAAAGTATTTTCGGTCGATGATCAGATGAAGTTGCGACGGATTATCTAGAGGACGTAATGCGATAACCTTCAGTTGGTTCTTCAGGTCGTAGTCACCGTCGCTTGAACAATTTCTCTATCGAAAATTTTCGGTATCGATATCTAAAAGGCGGTAAGCACGTTTTGCCGGCGATCGGGGCGATGAGCTAGAGTGATGACTAAGCAGGAATCTGGACGAGGACCAATCAAGTTATGATCTGGGAACTATATCCCGACTGCAGTAGTTATCTGTTGAGAATCTTTCCATGTTGGAAGGTAAACTAGACTAGACTATTCTTTTCAATTTATTTGCTCCAGTAGCTGGGTAAGTGCGATTGAATATACGATACTTTATTAGTTTCAAGTCCTTCGACTTTTTTTTTGAGATGTGATTTATACCGTTTTTGTAGCTGCCCTGGTTTCTTCTCCACCGAGACAATGAGCGGTATCATTATTTGTGTATATGGTCATGGAGGTCTGCGAGTATACCTTTATTGCGCAGTGAAACAAGTCAGAAAGAGACCCATACTCACCAAACCAGCATTCTCGCATAGTGTCACCGCAGAGCAATCCACCTGTGTGGAAGATCCCCCGTAATGATAGTTTGTTGACTTTCTTATCATTGTCAAGTATACCGTCTACTAAAGTGAAATATGAGATTGTACAAAATATTCTCCAAAAGAAAGTCTAGATGTGTTACACTGCAGGCAGCAGGAACAATATTAATACTCTAGCTGAGGGGCATCACGTGCATCACGGAACCGGACAAATGATGCACCGACCAGCTTGCGGACACCTAATCGAAAGCTTTGGCCGCGGCGGGTAATAATTAGTTACAGCTGCCGTTGATCTGGTCTGCTCTATTCCACTCAATTCCAATCTGGCCAATTTGTCTTCGCCTTTTCACGCTTCCAGTATTTGTTCTGGAGCTTCTGTGTCCCAGAACAGAGCTGGATGAGTGGCCCATTTCCTCTACAGCCCTGAATTTCAGCGGCCAGATAAATTCAGCTGCCGTCCTGGTCAAGTATCGGACAGATATCGATAGCTACTTGCGCTGCACCCACCCTCGTCTGAGCTGCGCTGGCAGCTATCACTAGACGGCACCATGCTTCTACTCCGTATGCTCGCGGCGCTTTCTTTATTACTTTTACTTCCATTGTCGTTATGCGCAGAGGATTATTATAAGATACTCGGACTGGACAAGTCTGCCTCCGAACGGGATATCAAGAAAGCTTATCGAACCCTGAGCAAGAAGTACCATCCGGACAAGAATCCGTAAGTAGCGATTCTGGTGTAGTGATGTGGATTGGTGTTTTCGGATTGTTTGTATCGTATGCGCTTTCCGTCTAGCTAATGCATTTTCTCGGATCACTATAGCGGAGATGAAACTGCCCAGAAGAGATTCGTCGAGATAGCTGAAGCTTACGAGACGCTGTCGGTGCCATCGACGCGCAAGATCTATGATCAGCATGGACATGAAGGGCTCAAGCAGCATCAGCAGGGCGGCGGACCGCGCGCTCACGACCCGTTCGACTTGTTCTCGCGCTTTTTCGGGGGTGGAGGCCACTTCGGCCATGCGGGCGGTCACCGCAAAGGGCCCGACATGGAAGTCCGTCTAGATCTACCGCTGCGAGACTTTTACACGGGCAAGGAAGTGGAGTTTTCGATTGATAAACAACAGATTTGCGAAACTTGCGAGGGCTCTGGGTCCGCTGACGGAAAGGTCGAAACATGCGACAAGTGTGGCGGCCGCGGAGTCGTCATACAGAAGCACATGCTTGCTCCTGGAATGTTCCAGCAAGTACAGATGCACTGTGATAAGTGCGGTGGAAAGGGAAAGACGATCAAGAAACCCTGCCCGGTGTGCCACGGACACCGTGTTGTGCGCAAGCCGGTCCAAATCTCCGCAACCGTCGAACCCGGTATGGATAAGGGTACGCGTCTGGTGTTCGAGAATGAAGCGGACGAGAGTCCTGACTGGGTCGCGGGCGACCTGATTGTGATCCTGTCAGAGAAGGAACCTGAGCTGGGCGCTACCGACGAAGAGCGCACTGATGGTACCTTTTTCCGGCGAAAGGGCCAGGATCTCTTCTGGAAGGAGGTTCTCTCCCTGCGAGAGGCCTGGATGGGTGAATGGACGCGGAACATCACTCATCTTGACGGCCATGTTGTCCAGCTCGGCCGAAAACGTGGTCAAGTTGTGCAACCGAAATCTGTGGAAACGGTCAAGGGCGAAGGCATGCCTGTCTACCACGACGGCCATATTGACGAACATACCGGGGATGAGGTCGGATCACTATACGTCGAGTACACGGTCGTACTGCCGGACCAGATGGAGAGCGGAATGGAGAAAGAGTTTTATGCCTTGTGGGAGAAATGGCGAAAGAAGAACGGTGTCGACCTTGGAAAGGACAGTGGTCGACCTATACCTCCGCCCGTCCAGACCAAGGATGAATTGTGATATCTTTGCTTTTCTCACACCTACTTACTGTAAGATCTTGTTTTGTTTTAATATTCCCCATCAGATACCGAGTTGGCTTTAAGTGGTTAGCGCATCAGGAGCGGGAGTGGCAGCAGATACGTGATTCGATTTTGATGTTCATAAATTATGATTGACGGCGGGAGGTGAATGGCGTGGGCAAGGGGAAGCATGATGCGAAGCTTGAGATCAGTTTGAGTAGAGTGTACTATTAGCTGCGACATAGAAGCAGGATCTGCGACTGCGATAGATTAGATTAAATCAAACCATTCTATACTCAGTGTAGCTATGTTCGCGCCTGGGTAATCTTATACAGAAGACGGAATTCTCCGTAAAGTGAATGGGAACGATGATTGATTCTGTGCGGAGTCAATCATGTTTTAGCATCAGGCTGCTTCCCTATCATTATTGCCATGAGTTACAGGTTCCTGCATTGTTCATCAAATAAAGGAGTCTTCTAGGCAGAGAAATCTCTACGCAAGAACAAACATGGTTTTATTCTATTCGACAGCTATAGTGATAGCTCTACTAATAGCAAGCAGTTATACAGTCTTCCATATCGCCACCAGCACGCCAGAAGACGCCCTACATCATGATTCTACTTCTACAGGAGGAACTGTGAGGATTAGAACCAATGAAATGGGCCAGGAGAGCATTCCAATCCAGCAGATAGATGGCTCTTGGGATCTGGCTCTGAAGTTTGCAGACACCTTTGACCTTCCTGCTGGATTGCTACTATTTCCAAGGGACGATGAATTAGACGAAGAAGACGATAGTGATCACCATCATCAAAGTCAGTTAACCACCCCACCCCATACTTAAAATCAAAATATCAACAATAATAGCTCACACCCTTTTCCCACGTTCCGATTCCAACTCCTCCACCAACAACAACAAAAACTCCTCCTCCTCTCCCACTCCCCTCGAGACATACCGCGCCATCTCGAACGTCGTCTTCGGCATCCAAGTCGCCGGGTCCCTAACCGCCGAAAACCAACGCAACTATCTCTGCAACAACAACAATTTCAAAATGAACCCCATCGAAGGTCTCGGTCTCAACTACGATAAACTGAAACAAGTCATCTGCACAGATATCCCTACCAGTCAGATCCCGCTGGACAACAAGACGGTGGCTGATTCGTTGCAGCTGTATAATGCCATGTTGTGGTTGCAGATGACGTTTAATGTGTTCTTTGGGAATGCGACGAAGTTGTGTGATATGTTTAATGTCCAGCAGGCGGAGAAGGTGGGGATGGATGCGATTAATATTATGTGGTATTTGTGTATGGTTGCGTATCCACATGGTCGAGGTTAGGGGTTGTACAGTACGTAGTAGTTAATCTGGTCTGGGTACTGTAGTGAGTAACTTAATTTTGAATGAACATACTGCGCATAAAGGGGTATTGGTGCGAGATGTAAGAATAGACAGAATATGTTTTTTTTTTTTTTTTTTTTTTTTTTTTCAGTTGGGGCGTTAGCTAGGTACCTATCTGATACTTTATGATATGGGTGCTTGTATGCACATACATACATAAAAATATATGCCCATTTTTTGCAATGATTAAGTAGAGGGGATAACACCCGATGGGCGATACCATAATAAAATGAGCAGTAACTAGGTACCATGAACCTGAATTTCGGCCGGAGGGGATACCCATAACAACCCCTGCTCACCTAAAAAACTTTGACTACCACGACCTAGACGCTGGCAGGAAAATCCGAGAATACACCAACAACAGCCTGACCGTCGCGCAACCCCTCTCCTCCGGGAAGGTGAAGCCGCATCCGGCTAAGGTTGGGAAGGACGGGTTGAAGGGCGTGTTGGAGGGGTTGCAGCTTATGAGGGAGAATAAGGTGTCTGGAGTAAAGTTGGTCTATAAGGTTGAGGAGACGCCGTAGGGCGTTGATTATATGAGATTGAGAGGATGTTTCGTATGTCGTTGCAATTATGATATGACTGTGCACAGGTTAAATTAGGTGCTGGTATAAAATTGAATCCTATCGAGATTAATGTACGATATTTGCAATTTACGCCCTCAGGAAAAAACAGAAATGAGAAGAACAGAGGAGAAGAACGTCGTGAAGAGTCCAGAAGGAGCGTATGCGTCATCAAGGTAAAGACCGTCATAAGTGTCATCCCGGCATCAGGCCATCATGCTGGAGTGCCTGTAACGTCAAAAATATCGTTCCGCCATGTCATACCCAACCCACCACTGGCATCTCCATGCTCCACGGCGTCGTGTGCTCGCTCGGCCTCTTCGTGCCACAGCTTGACGATGCTGCCCGGTGCGTATACACCATGGAAAACGCCAGTGTCTGGAGCATCCGCGCCAATTCGGGTGTATACATCTGGGTCCGCTCTTGGCTTCAGCCGTGCCGTGACCGCTCTGATGAAGGTAGCCAAATCCTGCGGGTCCGCAATTCTGGTAGCTCGGAGCCGCTCTCGAGCAAAGACCAGCTCACGGTTGAGGGCGCGAGCCGCGGTCACGATCTGCTCTGCGATCTTCTTCTCCAGCACGCGGCGCACGAGTTGCTTGAGGAAGGGCTTGACAAGCCAGAGCAGGAAGCTCCACTTACTACGGCGCACGTTGTAGTTCAGCTTGTGGATGTGGACGCGAACACCACGCAGGGTGAAGATATGTTCCAGATGGTCGCGACCAACTTCGACATCGACGGAGATGTCGATACCGCGCTCGTCCAGGTAGAAGCTTGCGATACCCTCGTCCTTCAGACGGAGAAAAGGCCCGGAATGGGCACGCAGCCAGTATCCGAACTCTGACGCAGCCATGCTGAGACCAAAGATCGACAGAGTGAAGTTGGTCTTCATGTTGGTGGTCGTCCTCTTGGAATGCGTCTTGACCAGTTCAATATCATTGCGGGTGCTCAGATGCGATTTGAACGGGAGGAAGGACGAATTGCGGACGGTACGGCCGGGTTCGAGCACTAGGTTTTCGACCAGCAGATCCATTTCAGGAACCGAGATCTCGAGTCTCGGGATGGGAATTCGCTGGACACTGCGGATCAGCAGCGGCAGAAAGACATGGACGAGATCGGAGGACAGCATGCTTGTTTTGCTGTTGAAGGCGTCCGACACATCGTGGTAGATCTTCTTCGTCGCGGCAATGGACTTTGCGACCGCTTCATCGTCTGCCACACTCTTGAGGGTTCTCTTGGCCTGCTGCAGGAAAGCGTCGACATCCTGACGGATGCCCGTGTCCGAACCGATGCTCTTCGACTTCTCCTTCAATTCTTCCACCTTCTCCTCGGCCGAATCGAAAAAGCCAGGGTCTGTCAGCATCTCCTGCAAGGATGATCCGATCTCAGACATGAGCTTCTCGAACTCTGGATCCTTCTGAGTGTGGCTCAATAGAGCGTTGAACTGTTCCCGCAGTCGCTTCCAGTCATCCGGGTTGCCAAAGGAGCTGACCAGGGTCCAGAATCGTTCCACCGCCTCGCGAACGTCCTCATTCAGCTCTACATCCTCTTGGACCGCCTCCACGGTGTTCTCTGCCGCTCCGGAGTAGAGCTTGGCATACTGCTGCACCAGCTTCGAGATCGTAGATACGGAGTCGGCGTAATCTGTCCGTTGGCGTAGGTTCCCCACGACCTGCTTCAGGCGGTAGAACAGCGTCTCCCGCCGCTCTCCCGAGAGATTCTCTTCTGCGCTTCTGACGGCGGTCTTTCCCGTTTGCGCTACCCCATTGCCGGTGAGTTTGGCAATCTCTGTAGCCTCCGCGCGGATCTCCTCGGTGGAGGGTGGTGGCGCCTCATCGGAGCCAGGGCCTTGGACGGTCTCCAATTCGGCTTGTGACGGTTTGACCTCCTTGCCGACTTCTCGAGCGGTATCCGCGAGAGAAAAGGCCGTGTCTGAAAAGATCTGGCGTCCGACGGTAGCGAGGTCGTCCACAAACAGACGGAAATCCGCATTGGTCATCAGAAGGCCTCCAACGGTCCGAATGCTATCGTACGCTGTCACGGAGCTAGTCAGTCTTTGCTCCCCGTAGAACCCATCTCGAGTTTCCGCTCTCCTCATATCTCATACCTGCTTTGACATCTGTCTGGTGCTTGATCCGCGAGGCCTGATGGGTCAGACGGCCGGTGTCGAGCTGGGCGCGCGACTTGGAAAGATGCCAGAGAAAGTCCTGCAACTGATCCTGACTGTTCTTGTCCCGCAGCAGCTCGATGAAGGTCCGGATACCGAGCTTGGCGTCGCGGGTCAGTTGACGTCCGGCGGGACTGACCTCGTCTGGGTTGGGATTGAGGACGTCGGAGGCAAGCAGGGTGCGGAGGTTGGCGATGGTCTGCTCGGTGGATGGCATATAACCCTCCGCGAGGGCACGGAGCATCTGATAGGAGTGCAACTTCTGATGAACCCGACGCTGGAGGACGGTCTCATCCTCGTAGCGGGGGAGGAGTGGTTCGGTATCACCTCCCCGCGGGGACTTGCGGCGGCCGAAACAGGACGACATGGCTGCTGTCGAGCAGGACAGACCAAAGGCGATCAATCAATTGACTTTGCAGCCAGACGAGAGAGTCCCTAGTACACGCTGGAGGATTTAATTGATTCTGATCGGGGCCTGGGAGAGAAGTTCTGGTCGTTGCAAATGACGGGAGAGTTGCTGAGGATGGCATGACGTTGACGTCGACCAACCGGTTTTCTGGGATGCAACACGCCAAGAATGAATGCCTGGATGCTTCCAGTTGGATGGAGAGAGCTGCGTTGATGCATTATGATGGTCGTCTCTTTCATTGCCAGTTTACTATTAGATATATCGAATAGTCACTGTTATTTATGAAAAATATATCCAACATGTTCATCTCAATTGAATAATGGCACGTGCGTCAAAGAGCACGTCCACAGCTAGAGGAGATTTAATTTAATTCCGTGGAGTCGAGGAGAGAAATGCTGGAGTTAGCTTCCCTTTAGTCGATCTGGATGATCCACCCCGACAAGAGCTCCAGACCAGACCGCGGGTGAGGGATCGAGCTTATCGAGATTCGAGCCATCCAGACTCCCCAAGCTCTGGCGTCTGAGTAATCCGCTGCCACCGGCTGGCTTCTAGAGCTTCTCCAGAATAGATCAATTAATGCCCAACCTCTCGCGCGAGAGACATACGGAGTAGACGGCCGGATAAAATACTACTGAATACATGATTATTGGATTATTATGAACTACATAGCTGGATAACTGTAGCCTGTTGCTCTGGATCCACACAAAAATAAAATAAAAGAAAAACAAAATAAATAGTTATGAAGATCCGAGCAAAGTGAGTCATCGTAAAAGACCCGTGAAAACAAGGGATGGAGAGAACGTCGATCGCTAGGCAGTCATCATACGGGAGCAGGGAAAAAAAAAGAAAACATATCTGACAGGAATTGAGACATTAATTATTAATTATTCTTCGGGATACAGTAAGTTAATTAACAATATTACAATAATATTACTGCTTGTGCGATGAACCGGGTGAATGAATGCGTCCTTTAGCCGGCCATCGAGGCGAGCCCATCGGCTCGATGTCCGCGCCGTCTCGGAGAGCAAGAGAGACAGCCGACGGGGAGTTCGGGAAGATGCCGTCTATTCTATCTGTCAGAATCTGTCAGAATTTAGAAAAAAATAATATCGCACACAAGTAGTCTATCTAGTATTATTATGGGCAACATGAAACCCCCTAGCTGACTGCATTCTCGGATCGGTTGCCTTTTTCTCTCCTTGTCTGACGGGGACGGCATCAGCGTACGGCAATGGATATACCGTAGGATAGATCGATCGTGGGACTAGAGGATGGTTGTTGGTCTCGTGAACACCCCTGGAGATCCGTGATTATGATTATTCTTCTTCTTCTCGTCCCATGGCACCGCGATCATTGGCTTCAGCTGGGTTAGTGGGATTCACTTAGTTCCCGACGAGGCACTCCAGACTCCACTGGTAGCGTTGAGTCGCGGGGCCACGCGAGATGACCGGGATGGAGGGGATTCGTATTATAGGACTATAGTATAGTATAGTAGTATAGTATAGTAGTATAGTATATAGAAGAATCAATCTGGCTGTTTTCTTTCTCGGCCGGGACCGGGATGACCGGTGAACCAAAACGAAAAATTAATGCTGGGAAAGAAAGGCGTTTGCCATCTCGTCCTCCACTTTTGCCCTCCTGGAAAAGGATGGGGTAAGTTAACTAAACAAACTAGAGCCGTTCTCCAACAAGAAAAACCAGAACCACGATCCGATGCATTCTTCTTCTGCTTCCTCTTCTTCCTCCGCATTTGATCCACCGGCTGCTTTTCGTGAACCCCGGCTCCACCAGCGACACTAAAGTACTGTATCCGATCATAGTAACTGGCCAGGATGCTCTCTTACTGCTCAGCTTTCTGCTCCAAAAGTAAAAAAAAAAATGAATCATCTCTGGTCGAGCACAGTAGTTAGTCGAACACAACCAACTACCTAACCTAAGCCAAAGAATTCCCCGTAAACTGATGGATCGCGCTGTCCGTCCCACTCTCTCTCCTCCACCGGCCGCCCTGGACTCCCCGACTCTTCCCGACGGGGGCAACGCGTATCATTTCACTTCATTTTCTCATGGATCTGCCCGGCACATGGCAGCTGCAATTAATTAGTTATCCTGCGTTGCAAATCGCCGCGGGTCAATTGCCTGTCAGGGGGCCATGTCGTTCCATCCGTATAAGAAAACTCTCGTCCCGGCAACGCTGGTGACCAGCTCCATGTCCAGGTCATTGTCCATGTCCAATTCCATATCCAGACCTTCCTCTCTGTCTCGTGCCCAAGTTGCCCTGACTCATAGCCGGACTCGACCTTCTTCTACCCAGATAGCCAGCATGGCGCACAATTCCTTGTCCCAGTTTCAGCAGCGCAAGGGGATTCATTCCCCAGCGCACGTCTCGCAGACCGGTCCTCTGTACGTGGAAACAAACAAACACTGGCCATCAGACAATATGCCTCTGCTGATAGATACTGACTTCATCTCAACAGGGACGGCAATTTTGATACCGCGAATCCTCCCTATATCCGCAAGTACCTGCGCACCTACGGTCTGACTCCGCCGCGCACAGAGTCCTACGAGGTGCAAAAGACCAGATGTATGCATTCTCGTTTCTGGTCTGTTCATAACTAGGGCAATGCTGATGGCAACGGGCAGGTCTGGCACAGCTGGCGCTAAAGAGCACCCCCATTGAGAAATTCATCTACCTGAGCACCATCCGCAAAAACAATGTCCACCTGTTCTACCGTCTGGTCACGGATCACCTCAAGGTCCGTCCTACATCACATATAGATTCCGGACGAAGCTAATGGCAGACAGGAATTGACCCCCCTGATCTATACGCCCGTGGTGGGTGAAGCCTGCCAGCGATGGTCGGAGATCTACCAGCAACCAGAGGGTAAGAGGACTTGCACGTCCCATCAGTAAACAATGGCAGACCAACCAACTGACTTCGCCAGGCATGTATCTCAGCTACGAGGATCGCGGAAACCTGGCTGCCGTCATTGCCAACTGGCCCCAATCGAACGTCGAGATCACATGTATCACGGACGGATCGCGCATTCTGGGTCTGGGTGATCTGGGAATCAACGGCATGGGCATTCCCATTGGCAAGCTCGCCCTCTACACAGCCTGTGCTGGTATCCGGCCAGAGGCGACCCTGCCCCTGACGCTGGATCTCGGCACCAGCAACAAGACCTTGCGGGAAGACCCGCTCTACATGGGCAGCCGTCGGGACAAGGTGACCCCGGAGCAGGAGCAGGAGTTCCTCGATGAACTGATGGCTGCCTTGACGGAGAGATGGCCGGGGTAGGTGACACCAGTGGTATCATATTCAGATTTATCATATTAACTAGACCCATAGGATCGTCATCCAGTTCGAGGACTTCAAGAATCCCTTCCCCGCGTTGGAGCGCTACCGCCACACGTACACCTGCTTCAACGATGACATCCAGGGTACCGGTGCGGTCATTCTGGGCGGCGTGATCAATGCTGTCAAGCGCTCGGGGCTTCCGTGCAAGGAGCACCGCGCGGTGTTCCTGGGTGCCGGCAGTGCGGGGGTCGGTGTGGCCCGCCAGATTGTCGAGTTCTTCATGCGTGAAGGCATGACGGAGGATGAAGCCCGTTCCTGCTTCTACCTGGTCGACACCAAGGGCCTGGTCACGGCGGACCGCGGCGATCGTCTGGCCGACCACAAAGTCTACTTTGCCCGGCAGGACAACAATGGCCAGCAGTTCAAGTCCCTCGAGGAGACCATCGACTACGTCAAGCCCACTATCCTCATGGGTCTGTCGACCCTGGGCGGCGTCTTCACTCCCGAGATCCTGAACAAGATGGCCGCCTGGAACAGCCACCCCATCGTCTTCCCGCTGTCGAACCCGTCCTCCAAGTCGGAATGTACTTTCGAGAGTGCCGTTACTCACACGGACGGCCGGGTCCTCTTCGCCTCAGGTTCCCCGTTCCAGCCCTTCTCCTTCACCAACGCTGCCGGCGAGACCAAAACCCACTATCCGGGCCAGGGTAACAACATGTACGTGTTCCCTGGCATTGGTCTGGGCACCATCCTGTCCAAGGCGGTCGAAGTCACCGACAGCATGATCTACGCTTCGGGCAAGGCGGTGGCCGAATCGCTGACGGCGGAGGAAGTCGAGATGGGTTTGTTGTATCCCGATCTCACCCGCATCCGCGATGTGAGCGTCGTTGTCGCCCGACAGGTGATCCGGGCGGCACAGGAAGCCAAGGTCGACCGGGAGACGGGGATCCGTGATCTGAGCGACGCCGATCTGGATGCCTGGATCAAGGGCCGCATGTACCAACCCCATGGCGAGGTCCAGTCCCTGGAGCGGGAGGTGGGCTCCCTCCTCTCGTCGCTCGGACGACCCAATGGATTCATCCATGCGGTGAGCGAGGAGAATGCTAAGCTCTAGTTGCTTTTCTACGATACGATACTATACAGCATGCACTGTCTGGTTGATTCTGCATCTCTTTTACGGCATGGCAACCGGGAGTTTATCATTCGCTTATCGTTCATTCTTTCCATCCCGGATGGTCGTGTCACCGCGAACATCGCGTTTCTCTTTCGTCTATTGTTAATACCCCCATTTTCCTTACTTCCCCCTCGTGTCTTCAGTTGGAGCACGACCGCATTTTCGATGCGGGTAGCAAAGATGGTATACGGTTAGGTTAGGTTAGGTTAGATCTGGCCTGGTTCGTTGGATCAGGAACCGGCCAGTAGAAAAAAGAAGCCTACAATGAAAACACCAATTATGACGAGCAGAATATCATTCCATCCGTAGCGTACAGCAAGCTATCACGTCAACAGAAGCCACGATGTGTACTGTATGGTACTGAGCTGGCTCTCGTGCCCATTACCCAATCGATATCTATCAAGAAAGAGTAAACGAATACGGATTATACACAACACATCCCAAACTCGGACACTAATCTCCCTCGTCTCACCGAACCGGACCGTTTCGGATCCTGCGACGAGGACGATCGCCGGGAAGTGCCGTTTCGGCGGACGCGGACATGTCAACCCCAGATTCTCGGGACGGTCCTCCGCTTCTTCCCGTGGAATACATTAGCATAGTAGTTATTCTTGAAGCAGGGGGGAAGGTTGCTTTTTTTGTTTTGTTTACCCCGCATGCGGAGATTAAGTGTAGATGTTGATGTGGTTGCTATTTTTGAAGTTTGACGTTGTGTGTATGTACTTAGATGATTGACATGGGGAAGTTGAACTGGGTATGCATACCTGGTTGGAACTACACTACGCATCTATGTATATCTAGAAATGGAAATGATAAGGGATGGGTAATATTCTATTGTTCTGATAATTCATGCTGTATGGTACATGACTATGCATGTCGTTTTATCACAATTGTATGTACATATATACATAGGCTCCCTTCCCAACGTCTGTACGATACGATAACAACGCAGAGCTCAAGCTCAAGCTCCAGCTCAAGCTCCAGCTCCAACGAACTCGAATCACCCCAACCCAACCCCGGATCTTCACGTCAGGATAGACTCTAGAGTGAGCTACAGACTAGAGTAGACGAGACTAGACTAGACGAGACTAAATTAGATTGCATATCGACAGCTCCGTACGGTACGATCGATCTGTTCTCTGAAACAGTAAACTAAACTGCGGGGTGTGCTTTCTTTCCCCACAAACAAACGGAACTACGTACTTAGATCGGGGGGAGCAATACATAATATGAACCCGTCAAGTTTCAACCCGATGATCTAGATGATCCTAGGACTATCTAGGACCTCTTCCCCATCCACCAGGGTCCAACGAGGTCCCGACACCCCGACCCCGACCCCGACCCCTACCGCTAGTTCAACTATTTCCCCCGATAAGTTCCCGAGCTTGGACCGCTGGACATGATTGATTGGCATTGGAGTATTACTCCGTACGTACCAGTATGGTAAATGTAAATGTAGGTAGGTAGGTAAATGACGTGGCTGCGGGGTGTACGGAGTACGCGTGAGAGCGGGTCAGAGACAAGAAATTTAGAAAATCGTTAAAACGTGGGGTATCTAAGGTAAGTTCCTAATTGTCTGATAGTTGCAGTAGTAGTAGTTAGTACTCCGTATACTCCGTATTATTGAGTCATTATTATTGACTACTCCGAGGTTCGGGGATTCCGGACGTGCGGAGAACTACTGTACTTAGTTCACGGAGATTGTTCGGGATAGAGGAGGAGTCAATAATCAGTCAGGGCGGGGCAGGGACACTGATTAGATAGTACGGTATATCAACTGCGGAGTAAAAATTATCATGATTGTTACTACCTATGCTAGTTAGTTAACTAGCTAGCTTGTGAATAATAATAATTCCATGTTAGGAATTAGTTTAGTTCTCAATAGTATTCTTGCTTTTCCCCGCATGTGAAGTTTATTGTGATAAATTGTTGCCCTGGCTTAAAATATGCAGATATACTCTTACCTCGTATGGTATAGTGTAAAGTGTACAGAATATTATTGTTTCACAATGTGATCCTCACATACATACAGAACTGGAAAGAAAGAAAGAAGATGAGGAGAGTCGACTTACCCCGCATCGTTCTCGCATTCGTTATTGAATAGGCTTTGTTTTTCTATTCTATTCTACATATCTATCTAACCCTGGGGAATAGAATAGCAATAATAACAATCGATCCTCATGTGAACTGGAACTTTCATATGGCGATTAGATAGTCTACTCCGTACATTCCATTCCACATGACCTGATTGTAGTACAGATCGACAGACGTAGTTCTAGCCCCCATTCTAATCGAGTCCCGGGTAGAAAGAAAGGTAAACAATCGAAACACCACAGGGTAGGTAAGTAGGTAACTTTCAACGAGAATTCCTCGGATCCACGCGTCACGAGCCTTTCTTCATATGCATCATTGCATCGTTTCCTTGCTCTTGGGGGAGGGGTGAATTCCAGGAGCTATATTTGATATTTCTCCGAATCGGGACGTTGTTGATACTATTGCATATGGGTATATGGGTAATATCTCGTTATGCGGGGGGGGTGCGGAGATGGAATTTGGTTTGTTGCTTGTGGCTTTTTATAGATTATTATCTAGATGGGGGTTTTAACCTGGTGATAACATGCGGAAATAATTGTTTATTTGCATGCGATTTTGTCAGTATAGGATGTGGTTAAGATTCTGTTTCTGCTCTGAACTCTTCTATCGGGATTGTGGCTTGCTTGCTATAGAGTTCTATCTTGTTCTTTCTGTTCAACTATCTTTTCTTTAATCCGTGGATGTCTATGGTATGATGCTATGATAGCTATTGACTTTCTGCGCTCTTAAAGAGCCCTTTTGTTCAGCATTTCATAATCGAACCAAGCCAAATGTTCTCTGTGCTGGAAATTCGTTTCTCAGCACGGCAAATCTAGCTTCGCTAGCTTCTGATGGCGAATCCTTGAAGAGAACGCTTCCCAGTCAATAATTTTCATATATCATAACCCGACTTGTCTAATGTCTGTCCGGATTGATTATCCGTCAGACTCACGGCAGTATTCTCTATGTTGATCTCAAGAGACATGATAGATGATTGATTCTGGAAAATCACCAAATTTAACAGAGATCGGCAGTAAGAAGAAAACCTCGACTGGCAATGTCTGCTATGATGATATGACGGTTGTGGATGCGTGTCAGAGTGGTAGTCTGTCATGGAATCACGAAAGTGGGAGAGTCCTAGGTGGCTGCTTTCGAATCGTTGTCTGTCTGAGCCTGTCTACGGGCAGACCTCCCGTAGAGTATCTGCCACGCCTTTCTAGCTCTGCCCATAGAGATAAATAGGCTGAGCTAGTTGCTCGAGAATTCAAGCTCAGCGAGCTTCTCTTCAAGATTGATTGTCTCGACTCTCGACAAGTCAATATAGGAAACCACGCACGCTATCTACTTCAGTGCCTAAGGGCCGATAAATATCTTGTTCGCGCTGGATAGTTTCAACGTTAACTTCCTCATCGCTAGAGAACTGCTCTTGTACCGTTAAGTTCAAAATTAAACCAAGCGGCAAGAATCATACTGAGTACTCGAGCTGAATGAAAGAACAGATACCAATCCCGTTCTATGCCAATCCGCCCTGGTCTATATATTGTCTCGAGTTGAATATTGCCAACATTGCTTATGAAGTGAACGACTACCTCCGAGGACAATTGCGTCGGTTATTACCTATCTTTTGATGGCTTTAAGCCAGTCGACCGAAAGGAGAACTCTTTTTTGATTCGACCTAGATCTGATGTCCTCCTATCTGATATCCGCTGAAAGAACCCAGATGATCAACATTGCCTTCCACATCGGTGTAATTCAAGATACATTGACCGATCTGTTGTCGAGGAAGAATCTTCAATCTTCTCCTGATCAGGAAAAGGGGCTCCATCAAATCAGACCGAAAGAGGAATAGACCATGGGGGAATATCCAGAGCATAAAACAAACAACCAATAGCGAAACAAGCGACAAGAATATCCACACGGAGACGGGAAAATGGATCTATCCGAACGAGGCCATGATTGTGGCGCTGAGAGGAAAAAACCGAGGTAGTTTACTCTATCGCGCGGTGGAGATCTCTAAGTACTTACAGATCCAAGCGAGTGGAATGCGACGGAAAGCATGTGCTTCTGGTTTTTAGCTTGAGCTTATCCCTTAGAAGCTATGTCCTAGCGAGATACTTTTAGAATTTATATCGAGGCCTTGGAACTCTGGCTGCTTTTCTAATTCGAAATTTATCTATAGGACGTCCATAAATTATCTCGATTTTATTTTCTTATTCGCTATCACGCAATTGGTATCGCCGAAAAAATGCCTTCCGTTCTATCCGACCCGGTTAAGCTGCCATGTGGTGTTGTTCTTCCCAATCGCCTTTCGAAGGTAAGTATAACTTATGTGCTGCGTAATGATGCGCTCGTTTTCACCAATGGCCGTCGTTCTAACCCTGTTACTCAGGCCGCGATGGCTGAACAAATGGCCAAATCGTCAGACCATACCCCAGACGACAGTTTTGTCCAGGCATACAGCCGATGGGCTGAAGGCGGATGGGGATCTATTCTCACAGGTTCGCAATACGCATTCTGTCTAATAGAAGACGGAACAAGAAAGCCAACATATCGATTTAAACCGCAGGAAACGTCCAAGTAGATGCGAACTACTTGGGTGGTCCGAACGACCTGGCACCCCCTCGGTATTATGACCCTGAAAAGGACGCCGCCGTCCTCCAGCGGTGGAAGAAGTATGCGGACGCATGCCAGAAACATGGCTCTCCAGGTATCGTGCAGCTCTGCCATCCAGGCCGACAGTCGCCTTTAGGAGCTGGCGAGCGGGGTCTCCTCACATCGACAATCGCGCCTAGTCCAATCCCCTTGGATATTGGAGACGGAATCCTAGCTACGCTAGTTCGCATGCTGGTCTTTCCCACGCCGAGGGAGATGACGGTTGCGGATATCGAGACAGTTACCCGCCAATTTGTCGATGCTGCTCGTCTTATGGCGGATGCGGGGTTTTCGGGAATCGAGCTTCATGGTGCGCATGGATATCTGATTGGTAAGTTCTACTTTACTGAATGTCCCTGGTCTGACACAAGTGCTGATAACATGTTCAACAGACCAATTCCTCTCCCCCAAGGTATGCCATCATCTTTTCAAGAACAAGCAAAACCAACAGTACCTCAAGGACCGACTTGATGAACACCAACTGACCACCACAGACAAACCACCGCACCGACGCATATGGAGGTACTCCAGAGAGACGCGCGAAGTTTCTCTTGGATATCATCACAGAGACCCGGAAGGCTGTCCCAGCTAACTTCTGTATCGGAATCAAGTTAAATTCCGCGGATCACGACTCCAGCAATTTCGAGGACGTGATGACCCAGATCGGTCTCGTGGTTGCGGCCGGAATAGACTTCATCGAAATCAGCGGTGGATCGTATGAGAGTCCAAAAGTGAGTTGCTAATACCTACCTCCCGCTAGTTATGTCAATCATAGAAATGCGTACGCACCTAACCATCACCACTAACAATGTATCCAGATGATGGGCTACGAACTCGCCCAAAAGGAACAGAAACCGACCTCCTCCAGGACCGCTGCTCGGGAAGCATTCTTTCTCGACTTCGCTCGAGAGGCGCGCAAACGCTATCCCGACGTCGTCCTCATGCTCACAGGTGGTTTCAGAAGCCGTCAAGGCGCCGAAGCTGCCGTGAAGGAGAATGCATGTGACCTCGTTGGAATCGGACGTCCAGCATGCGTCAATCCCAGATTCGCGCACCTCCTTCTGGACGATGGCACCAAGGATGAGGAGGCCCAGTTGCCGCTGGAGAAGGCGCCAGTGCCGACGTTGATGAAGTGGTTGCCTGTGAAGATTCAGAGCGCAGGAGCAGAATCCGTGAGTGACTTTTTGCATGATTAAGATTATACCAGTTTCGAGGTGTAGACACTAACATGAGATGGATATATTAGGTATATTATATGGCCCAAATTCAACGATTAGCCAAGGGATTGGCGACGTATGCACCTGGAATTTGAGTCACATATGAATCGAAGGAGTGAGCCTAGAGCAATGCTCAGTTGGAAATCGAGGAAAAGCTTCAGAACCGGCTTATCATGTCTGTTATTTATAGATGCATCTAGAGGTACGTCATTAGATTAGGAGGCGTCTTTTCTACTACCAACATACATTGGTGGGATCTATTTATCGTATGTATATTATTAGCGCCTTGCGCGAATCTATCGTACATCCTAGTCGTTGTTGATAACGTGATTTGTACTCGTGATATATATTTCATAATGTCTCTTCGAGATTGTGGAATTCCCTAGCAGGGGAAGTAGAACGGGACTCGTTCCTCACGCATATAACCCAATATGACTGGCCTATTTCCAGAGAGCCAAAAAGACGACGAGAGGAACCTCAGCAGTGGTATTAAACAAAATATCCCCGGAGGGACTTCTAGTACATGAATAAAGATGAATTTACCACAATCATGCAAGCTAAAGAGCAGATATCTTAACTGCCCACTTCTCTCTCGAGAGCACCGGATCGTGCATCCTGTATGTACTACGGGCCGCTAGTCAAGTTCTCTAGCGTCTCGAAATCAGGCATCCATAAAGGCACATTGTTGCCTTGGTCTAACCAGGGCGCGAGTTCCATAGCCATTCGCATAGCACCATCCGTCCCTCCAGGCATATCTGGGATACCGGATGCTGGCATCGCCTGCGAGGTGTAGGTCGCTCCAATATCGGACTGCGACACATTTTCACTGTTAGGCATAGTGTTCGACATCCTGCTGAAATCACCACCGCCATGTTGTGCAACCATCATCTGCGCCATTCCAAGGGCTCGTAGCGCTTCGTCACCTTGTAGCTTTTCCATCGCTGCGTTTATGAGCAGTTCGAAGGCATCGCGGTATTTCTTCACCCATCCTGCACGCTCACCCATGACGAAAAGCACGGTCGAGCAGGCACGGATGTCATTGCTCATTTGTACAGACCACACTCGATCAGTATGTGTCCAGAGGGCATAGAGCAGTGTAATCCCAGCTACAAAGACAGTCTGGACGGCTAGGAAGGAATGCCCGTATTCGAGCGTCTGATGCAATCTTTTATGTACCTGGCAGATCTCCCCTGCAGCGCGGAGACAGATGTGGTAGTACGGATCACTGAGTGAGAGAAGCGGCAGGAAAGGTTGGATCAGTAACCGAACAGCTCGGTTGTAATGCAACATCGGATAGTCCAGCTCTGAATTACTGAAACAAGAGGTTGCGGAGGATTTCCATTCCTCGAGTTCAAGATACAGTCGGTCCAGCTTAGGTCGGAGAGTATGGAGAGCGCGATCCGCCCTATATATCGAATGTTGGATTTTGGAGTCAATCTGCCGTAATTGGAAAAGGCAAATCGAAAATGTGAGTGTTGTCTTGAGTCCCGCTGGTGGTTGTGAAGTAAGGACGGCAGGGTCGCGCTCATCGTCGTTCACATTCAGTGGTAGTTCGAGATCGATATGACTATCGGGAATACTAGGCGGACGACCAAGCGAGACTGCGATCACTCGTTCAAGATAGTACACGGACCAAAAGAGACGCCGTCGCATTTGCGCCGTGAAGGGATCAAGGTTGACAAGGTTAGCTTTACGGTGAAGTCCAAGATCGATACATATGCGCATCGCAAGGCCGATCATGTACCAGACACCATGACTCGATGCAGACCGCAAATGATAGATGACTAAGAGAGCCATAGACTCGATGTTCTGAATCGATCGCAACTCCTGTACCGCACACATGTGCCGTAATGCTGTCATATAGAACCGCTACACCTAGTTAGTATGGGATGCTCTATAGCGAGAAGACTCCTACAGCGTTGGCATGCTCACCTCTGGCGCGGTGTAATTGTATTTCTCGCTCAGCTGCATCATCGTTGCTCCAATAGAATAGACCAAATAGAGCTTAAACAGGCCGAATTTTTCAGCCTTCGACAACCTCTCGTGTGGTATACCACTCAGACTGAACCTCTTTTCATGTAGAGCCCATAGTTCTTTCCGATCTAGGAACGGATATCGGGGATGTAAGCGGTTTATGTACGCTTTGAGTATCCGTGCCCCCATTTCTTCGTTCGGTGGTTCGGCCGCATTTGCTGTCAGGTCCTCCATCCTGGCAGGTCTATTTATGACACTGGGACCACCTTCCTCAGATGAAATAGCTGCACCATTGACCTCCTTGGGTCCACCGCTCGCTTTCCTCGATGGATCAGAAGACGGTGACAACACATTGTTCCATACGGTCGCTTGGACCATCTCACCTAGGTTTACAGCGAGGGATAGACCGGAGCTGGACCCGACATACGCTGGTGCATCAAGTGAGGAACCTACCGTGAGAAAGCCAACGATCTCACCGAGGGGATTGCTAGTAGTGCGACGCGTAGTAGCCTGGGGTGAAATGGGAGTTTGAGATTGTCTAAAAGAGACCGAAGGTTCGTCTCTCGGCCTTGATTCGAACTCAGACAAGCGTCCCTCGAGATATGCGATGCGCTCCTGCAAGGCACGGGTATATCTAATGCAATATTAGCATCATGTGAAGTATGCAGTGTCCTGTTCAACTCTAATATGTACTTACCCAGGCGAGCTTTCGCGATGTCGGCTCACCAGCGATTTATCGCACTCAACGTTCGCCTTCCGACAGTTGGAACAGACCGGGTACTCATTGTCACACTATCTCCTGTTAGCCATCAATTCATTGATTGATGGAACAGTATCAACGAAGGCAATGAGAGGGAATACACATACTTTCTGTTTCCTGGTTTTGCACCGTGTACATGCCGTTCGACCGCGCTTTCGCGGATTATTATCGCTTGAAGTAGATGGGGAATCCATCATGTCGTGACTGAATAGACAATCCTATGGCCACCTGCAAAAGAGTACTACTTTATTCGAGCAATGCCAAGAGTCATAGTGGTCTAGGCGTTCGAGAGCTTCACTGTGCGTCCTTAGGGCCACCGAATCAGGGCCGGATTGCACAACAGACCCTAACGCTCAGATTGCGTGTGAAAGGATTGGCATAATGAGCAGCTCTCTAAGCACCAGTAGTGCTACGAGCTGTTTGAATCATAGCACCTGTAGCATCACCCCGCGATGGAGAAGCCATGAAGTCGATTTTGAATTTCTTGGCGGGGCGTGGAGAAGCTCGACATCACCACGCTAGTCCGGACTGGGTTGCCGGCTCTTACTAGGTACTCTTGCTGTTTCCGGTAAAGCATCATACTCCTTATTAATGATAGTATACTAATGGGACTGCAGTTACTTCAAGGGAATAAATCACTACCAGGGCAATTGCAAATAATAATATTTGTCAATGTTCCCCACTTGTTGTCCGTAAAGCAGCAAGTAATATGTAACTTGAGACGTTGCTACATGGATCCTCTCATTGAGGCCCAAGGAAACACAACACATCCGTCGAGAGCCGTAGTTCCGACTTCATGCACAGCATATTGGGCAAGTAGACGTGTCTCGACAAACAGCTGCTTTGGTAAGGCTCCTCAGAGCCCACAAAGACTAACACGTGATGCACGCGCCACCTGTTGAGTTTCCGTCTCTGTGCAGATGCTGGTCACATCCTCTGGTGTGTGACATGCCAATTTCCTACCGGCAGTAAGTTTTGATCTAAAGTGTCGGGAAACTTCTCTCGTTGCGAATGCCACATGGAGGGATCATGACTGTATGAAGATGATGCACTCTCGGCAGTTGTACTAAGGCAAACGAGCTATAATCAAAGCCGCCCTTGTCTAGTTGTTCCGCCTTGATGTCGGAATGATAGCGACACTATTAGGCATAGCCTTCTTCAATTGTTGACTTCAAGGCTTCCGCCCGTCCGCAGCTAGTTGGGGCTCTATATAACCCAAGATTGAATAACGAGATGGGCACTTCTCGAATACTCATTCCGGCATTATAGAGGCACTTGTTTGGCTCAATGACAATGCTAACTTGCAGCCCATAGCTGTACCAACGCACTGTAGGCCTTGCTGACAGAGGGAAGCTTGCTCTGCTGTCGAAAACTCACAATTTGCCACAACCCACATCGGCCATAATAGCGTATATCCGTTTGCAACTTTGCTGTGCGGAAGTAATCGAAAGTAGCCATGCTTGTCAATGCTTCCCAGAGCAGTGGTCACTGTCGAACACACCAGATCAGTCAAGTAACGTATACGGCCATCCAGATTGTTGAACAACTCGACAGGGATATTTCTAAAAATTGGATCTGCTAGTGTTAGACCGAAAGAGCGGAAGTCATCATAGCACTTTATGACATGTGAGTAAAAAGATATCTGAGCTGCGTGGGAAGAGGCCAGGAAACACCTCGTCCATGGGTCACGTGTCGCATTTTCTGGCGTCGCAGGGGTATTATTTTCCGCAGCAGGAGCTTCATACTGGCACCTCCAGTGCCGTGGGATCCCTTTATGCCAGACATCGATATCTTCAAATAGAGAATGCGCCTTTTTGAACAGCGCGCAAAATAAGTTCTCCGCTGGTTCTGGACTGGGTATTGCAGAGCAGAGGATTTGTCGTGTTTCGCTTGCAGCGTTGTGGAAATCGGATATTTTTCCCGCGATGGTTCCAGCGAGGTAAACAATGTCAGGATTGTATTGAGTCTTGACTGACTCCGGCAACGCCGTGTAGCGGTATTGTTTGTTGAACATGGCTTGCATTTGCTGTAGTGAGAGAAATAATCAATAGAATGCATTGCCCTCTGGATGAAGCTAAACGTACGATTTGTGTCACTGCCCATCCAAACAACCTGCGGCCGTATTTGCTCCTCAGCTGTGTCCGGCCCCAAGACTGCATTAAAGAAGAGATTCCAGGAATGTGGGGATTCAGTATGCTCTCCCTTTCGCCGCTAAGGTCCTATGGGTTTTGTCAGTAAAGGTTTGGTTTTCGCTTCGATCATGGACAAGATTACTGTAAACATGCTCAAGAAAAGCGATGCAGCAACAACCTCATCCCGCAACGCTAGTTCATTAGAATTCAGCGTCGCAATCAGCGAATTTAATGCAGCGCCATAATGCTTTCGGGCGTGAACTTGAAGCTGCTGGACTCCAGATGTATTGAACAGAGTGAGATACGAGACGCTGAGGATCGCATTTCTCAAACAAGGATCGTCACCTCTCTCCTGATACAACTCAGGAAAAAAAGCCAGGTGACCTTCACATGGAGACCTTGCGACTTGTAGTACGTGTTGATGGAAGAAGTAACAGAGGGACTGCCACTCCAAGCACAGAACAGGAGAATGAGGCACTGAACTTGTGCTTGCAGGGCCATTTGACCCTCCTACTCGATCGACTTCTCCTTCCAAGCGTCGTTGCATTGTGTTGTCTTTGCATTTTAACAGAGCACTACCCTGCGAAGAGTCTCCTTCTTGACCGGTCGGTTTGTACGTGCGAAATGCGAAGGAAGAAGGGTAACCGGTACATTCTTTGCCGTATATCATGCAGCGCCGACATGATGGCCTCGTCGCGTCACACTTTACTATAATGAATCGTAAAGAAGCGAAGCTATTCGGGAAATTGGAGACATACCTTGACTTTGCGCCGGCGACAACGGTAGCACGCAGTACTAAGTCTCCCGGGGAACACCATGTATCGCTCGGGAACACTGCTCGTCTCACTTCTGTCTCGTAATAGGTTTATTCCTCTGGTAGACAGTGAATGAGGAGAACAATGACAGGGCATTTAAGACAAAGAAACGAAGGTATGATAATGAACATCGATTCCGAAGTCGGTCGATAGGAACATCGATAGCTCATACTGCTTCTAGAAATGGCCGGCTTGGCAGCGCGCCAGCTAAGTAGTCTACGCCAAAAAAAGAGATTATTGGATCGAACATAATCCGCCCACGCTTTAATTTATTCTTAGTGCTCACAACGCTTGGGACGCGCAACCCCGCCCTAGCAGCAAATAGGGATGAACTCGACAGGACTCTATAGAATTAAATCATATCGGCATTACAAATATTGGAAAGTGTATCTGCATATCGGCTATGACGCCTCCAACTTAAGAAGCTTGAGAAACTTGAGAACGTTTTGCTGGTCATCATTATTAATGTGACACCTACCAATTAAGCAGTTCTCAACCACAGTCAAGTGTTGGTCAAGTGGAGATCTCACGCCCCAAAATGAAACGACTAAAACCACCATACAATTATTAGACGCTTCAAATATCAACGATGAAACAGGGCATGCCTCGCGGAATCTATGTTCTCTCTTTGGAACACTATGTTTGTTTCATTGTCAGATATGGTGTAGATATCTCAGTTAAGTAAGTACACGCAGGCATAGGGTGCGATTGGAATAAGATGTGTATTTGATCACAGGGACTTTCTTGTAAGTTATCGCACAGGTGATCTGTCCTGCTCTACACCCTTAATGGTTATCGGTAAGAATGTGAATACCAAGGTCCTAACGTAGATTTATCTCGTTAGCAATTTCCTAAATCGGATTGTTTCGGAGAGACCAAGAAGACTCGGTAGCGCGGTATTATTATTAAGATAATTTGTTCCACATACCTTTCCCTTGGCATCATCTCGTCCCGTGTGATACTTGGTGACTGGCTCATAGACCAATTCTGGATTTCCAGGTACAAGCTCGAGATCTATTCCCGCACTTTCTGCACCTTCGACCCCATCCTTGATGACAATGTTCCGTATGTCGATACCCGTAGGCGTCTTGAAGGTATGTGCCCCCAAAATCGCCTGTTTTTCTCCTGGTGAGGCCTGCACCCATGGTATATAATCAAACTCCGATGGGCCTCTGCGGAGAATATTATCAGCCACTATGATGGATTTTCCAGGCTTCAGGAGACCCAAAGCCTCAACTAGCCAGGTATCGGGCAGATATCGATCCTTCCAATGGTCAATGAAGAGCACATCTATTCCATCCTTCAGCACACCTTTTCCCAACAAGCCGGCTAAAGATAGGTGTGCGGGAGCGATAACAATTGATATGAAATCCCTCAGACCGGCGAGGTCGATAAGCAGGCTTGCAATAGCCGCATTCACTGGATTCAATTCCAAGCTAATGTACTTTTCACCTCCGGCACGACGGACTGCATCACCGAACAAAATAGCAGAATACCCAACGTAGCCGCCGAGCTCAACCATCACGGAAGGTTTTCGGTCAGCGATGAGAGAGGTGACGATCGCTCCTTTCTCAGGGCCGACATGTATAAGATGAGAGTTAGTCGTAGAGAATTTGTCAATCTCATCGAGTATGGCAGCCGGATTGTTGCGGAGGCGTCTTTCGAGATCAGGAAGAGAGAAGATATGCTTCAGTAGTTCAAGCTCACGGCCGTCCTAAAATCTCAGCAGATAGCAGTGACTACTGTCAGCGCCTGAGATATTGAGAATACCTAGGTAATCCATGTTTCGAGAAGACATCAGACATGTTGGAATTATAAATTCCTCTTTTCGGACCAATAACTTACATCTGAACGGTATCTGGGCTTGGAGTCAGAGTCTGGAGCAGCCATAGTGTCGCAATCACTGTATCTTCGGATGAGGAAACTGAGTATACTTATGATGAAGAAACCTATTAGACAGCTCTTAGGTGATAAGTAAGAAATTTGTTTAAGTGACCGCATTCCAATTTGGATTTTCCAGTTTCTAGCTGTCTATATATCTTTCTGGGCAGTATATATAGCTAGAAGGTACGATTATCACTCGAAGATGAAAGACAGTGAAAGCCCGGTAGGTGGTATGAAATTGTCTAATCGACTAGAGCTATGGAGAATTATGATCAATCTCCTCACCCAGCTCCACTTATTTACGTATCAGTTCATATTCAACCATTTAAGAAGCTGCATTCTTTTCAATTTTCAGAGTTGATGTCCTTTCTGTATATGCATTCTTACATTCGTTGTAGGTAACGAGAATCGTATGGAATCTATGGATGGTTTTCAGTGCCATTCAATATAGGTGGAGACCTACACGTCTAGCGTCGGAAGCTCACCCTGAAAGAAGGATAGCAGGATAACTTTTCAATCATCGAAACCCAAGATTGGCTCTAGAAAAACGGCGAGGTGTTTTAGCGGGTGGGACTTCGCAAGGTCACACCGAATGCGGAATGGCGCATCTCAAATATCAGATAATCTTGACATCTGGCAGAGCATCGCCATCCAGAACACAGATGTGCTGGCGGCACCTCTCCTGAATTCAATTGTCCCATTGGGAGAATTAAGAAGGTAAAAAAAGTTCCATCCAAATATCTTGTCGTGATCGGGGTTCATAAGCAGTACAAAGCTCTCGGAGATTGGAAGCTTGCTGGATAACATCCATACTTTGCTTTTAAGATCGAGTTCTGTGACCGAAATTAGAATTATCAAGCCAATTACTTCGGGCATACATACACATTAGAAAGTCTGTCTTCTGGTAGAAAAGCCTCAAAAGTAGGCTTAAAATAAATAATACATTGGCAAATTCTCTCGAGCTTCGGCCACCGACGATTGACAGATAGATATACGTGCCATAACTAGAATTTGCGCTCACATAGTAATTAAGCGACAAGAAATCCCATATAAAACTAAGATGTTCGCGCTATCTTGAACCTTTATAGGCCCAAAAAATTGGGGAAATACTCTCTAGGCCCCCTAAAATAATTAGCAAGTCATTTAGTCGCAAAAATAAGAGCAGTCTCATACACGGTGCTTGCTCTTGCCCTTTCTTTTGCATCTCAATTACCGAGTCTGAATCGAGCGATTACTCCGCAAACTGTGGACCAAGATATGACTCATCTATCGCGTTATGCATTCACGGATATTAATCTGGACCAAAGGTTGAGAGATAGTTGTTGTAGGAAGATGCAACAGAACTAGAAAATCCACAAATATTATTTGCCGTACGGCTTCTTTCACGGGGAGCCAGGAGAAACTATGTCTCAACCCCAATTCCAAAGCTACCTATAAGATATGGGCTAGTTGTCATTGGGGCAGCCTGCTGCTTTCCTAGACAACGGTCAGCGCTGCATTAGATGTTAATCATCAGTACGTACGTTGGGGCCACTGTGCGGGTGGGGGTGGTTGTTGTTGTATTTATTAACGTCCAGCGGGGTGCAGGCGAAGCCTGTGCCCCTGAGACTTCCCATGGGGTATAGGGACGTGCTAAGCTATAGATTTATGTACATATTGTGCAACCGTAGAAAGCATTCAAGCAAATGTAATGATATTCGCCAGTTGTCTAGGATCCCTCCCGACCTGTAGAAGGGTTCTAGAGCGTTTTACATGTGTGTAAGGTGTTTGAGCAGGTGGTCTCCGGGTTGCAGAGGAGCAGTGGGCTCCGAGCGTGTGCGCCAGGGACAGGGCCTGGGTGAGAAGTTTGAGGTCGAAGCCAGAGCAATGGAGAAGGAGAGGGGGAGAATATAGTGGTGAAGAGAGGGGGGGGGGGGTTGCTCTGCGTCGTCGGGTGAAGGAGGTAGAGGAGGCAGTGAATTTCGTGCCACTGAGGAAATTTATATGTTAGCGTATGGGACCCTGAAGGTCTGTTGGATGACTATCGTAGCTATCAAGAAACGCTCTGCTATATGCATCTGTGAACCGAGTAAACGCAGGAGATTCTGTCCAGGGTTATAATAATTATTGGAACAGTGTTCTACACAAAGTGGTCGACGCTACGCGGCGGCGGCATACAGTAATCATGCGTACCGTCTTTGACCAGCTGCCGACCGTTCCCACCTGACGACCGCTTTTCCCCCCATAGAAAATTAGCAAATCTAAACCTTTATAACTTAACCACAATTAAATATTTTGAAATAAAATTTAAGATATAGATATTATAAATAATCAATTTTTAATTAATCTATTTTTTTTATGAAATTTATTAATATATATAGTACTATAAGTAGTTAAAGTTAGTAAATTTTCTAAAATTTTAACTTAATATTATTTATTTATTCTTTAATATTTTATTATAAAATTTATTGTATATATTTTTTATACTATAAAGTTTATATAAAATATATAAAACTTTAAAAAATAATAGTAATATAATATAATAATAATAAAGAAAGTTTTAAAAATATAAATTTTTAATTAACTTTAAATTAGTAAAAATATATATAAACTCTTTATTTTAAAGCTTTTATATATTAATTATTATTATATATTTATAAGGAAATAAAAAAATTTTAAGTTTTTAGAATTTATTATAATTTTTTTAAAGGTTTTATTTTTAAAGTATAAATATTATTATTATTATAGTGCTAGCATAGAGAATAGAATAACTAACCCGCTAGCTAATGCTTACCTAATCTAGAAGAGTAAGGATTATACTCTTCTAGATTATATAAGGAGTTATATAATCTTATAAAAATATTTTTAGCATATAATTTAATTTAAATTTAAGCTTCTTAAGCTATATCTTATTTATTAAGCCTACTTATAATAGCTTATTCTAATCTAAATTAACTAAATAGAGATCTTATAGCTAGTCCTAATATTAACTATCTTATTCTATTTATTCTAACCTGCTCCTTAAGCTTATATCTTAATATTATATAGCTCTTATCTAGGAGTTAATATTATTAATAATACTTACCTTAATTCCCCTATTCTTACTAACTACTCTAAGAAAGTTTATTAAATATATTATTATTAACTATAGGCTAGAATAATATAATTATTATTACCTAATATATAAATATATTACTAAGGCTAAGTTATCTATAAATAAAGCTAGCTAATATATTAAATAGACTAAGATAAGATTCTAAAAATTTTAGTAAAAGTTTGCGGCTATATAATAGAGACTTAAATAAAAAAATATTAATTTTAAGGCTATCTAATAATATTAGAAAATATAGCTTAATAAAAAGGAATAATAATATATTTAAGCTATTCTTAAGAGAGATTAAGCTTATTATATAGCTATCCCTATTATAAATATACTTATATTTATATTTAAACCTAAGTCTAATATTAAGAAACCTATAGCTATTTTAATAGGAGTATTTAAAATACTTATTATTATACTTTTCTCTGCCCTTAAATTTTTAAAGAGACTTTTTAATTTAAATAAGTTTAAAGGTAATTAAAAGAATCTTTAGCATTTTATAGCTTAAATCTAAGGGAAGATAATAATTAATTAAGATTAATTCCTAACTCTTTAGAATTATATAGCCTATATAATTAACTGCTTAAAAGATATATTTTATATCTAAATATTACTATATATTAAAAATAGAACTTATATTTTTAATAACTATTAAGAGATTTTAAATATCTTAGAGTATATATTTAATAATCTTAATTATATAAATAATATATATAATAAACTATTTAACCTCTATTAGATTAATAAAAAATTTAAAATTTTTTTTATTAAGTTCTAGCACCTAGCACTAAAAGAAAAAATACTTAAAGGAATATTATTTACCTTATTTAAGTAAGCTATTAATTAAGAATTTTAAGAAATATTATTATATAATTAACCCTTAAGTTATAAATATTATTAATTTATTAAATTTTTATAAGATCTTAAGAACTATTACTGCTAGTATATTATAAACTAGCCTCTTATTATAAAGATTTATATTACTATTTTAAAACTTATTTAATATATTTAGTCTTTTTTACTTATTTTAAGTCTTACCCTAGCTATAAGATATAATAATTAGCCCTAGAGAAGCCTTATATAAAAAAGTAAATTAGCCTTAATATAGCTATATAATCTAATAAATTTAAGCATTTTTAAATATTTAGGCAGGAGAGAGTATAGTCTATTATATTATAAAACTAGTGCCTGCTTTTATTATAGCTCTCTAAAATATTATATTAAAAACTACTTATATTTAAATAACTGCTAGAAGATCTAGATTATAGCTATATATAAACTCTATCTTTAAATTTCTTAAATAATCTAATTCCTAGACTTATATAATTTATCCTTTAATTAATTTTTAGTAAAAAGAGTAAGCCTAGAATAAATTATAGCTAAGCTTAAGAATTATATATTATCTAAATCTCTACTACTATTATTTATAAAATTAACCTTAAAGAATATTTATAATAATTAAAATTAATAATATTATCTATAATATTAGAAAGAAAGAAGGAGAAGATTTATTTATTAATTTATACCCTATTTAATACTAGAGCTAAAGGATAAAGATTTATAAACTAAGAATAGGCTAAAAATTAAAAATTAAAGCTTATCCCCCTAAAAAGCCTAATTATCTTATATATATTTAATAAAAGAGAACTAGAGAATAAGAAGATTATATATTATATCTAAATAGATATAAGAATTAAGGACTATTTTAAGAAAGATACTAAGTTTTATATTATCTAATTAGTATATTATTTATTATTTTAAGACTTCTCTAATTAAAGCGCTATAACTTATACTTATAATTTATTGCTTATAATATTGCTTTTAATAATAATTATTATTAAAAGAATTATAATATACCTTTAAAACTAACTAAAATACCTGCCCTATATAATATTCTCTTAAAAGCTTTACCCTAATATCTATTCTT